AAAAAAAAACCGTAACTTTCTAGTAGTGCAGTCTCTCTGTCTCTCTACAGCAAGGTAAAAGTCAAACTATCTGTGTTTGGCTTTCTTTTTTCTTTTACCTTTCTTTTTCTCAGTTGGGAGCTCTGTGAGTCCGCAGCACGATGGTGTGCTGATGAGTGACGAGTGACGTCGTGTTTTGTCTCTCTTGGTAACACCGTTGTTGATGATCTTTCGATGCTATTACACGAATGCTTGGCTTAAAGTTTTGCCTGATTTCCATTCTAAACTTGGTCGCCGGGAAGGGACCGAGGTACGTGTTAAAGGCTTCGCGCTTCGTAGTTAAACTCTTACAAGCTCTGTGGATCCATCGTGCTCGCCTTGTCCCGATGCTATGGATGGTGGAAAAACAGACTCACTAACGAGAGCGAAAATCCAAAAAAGCTGTTGTTTTCCATGATCTCACACGTATCGCCTTGTCCCCGTCTAAAACTGCAGTTTTGATAGTTCAGGTAGTAGAAAGTGCGTGAGTTTTTTGTCTGCGAAAAGACCAATCCTACGTAGACGGGAACGTGACGATTTCGACAAATCACGACTTGTAGCCGGTTTGAGTGTTAGAGCGAGTGAGGTTGTTCAGCGCGCAACCAAGCTAGCAAACGCATCGAAGACACCGAACCTGGCCAACAAGGTCGTGCCTCCTACCTGGTCCTGCCCACGACCGGACGTCGCGGCAGCTGCCTCCTGCTACGAGTTCGACCGGCGCGGATGGAAAGTTGTACGAGGACGAGCGAAGATTCTACTTGAGAAAGTAGAGTAATAAAACAAGAAGAGAGACACGAAGTAGAGGCCGGTTTGTAGTATGTACACGTAGAAGTAATTTCTTGCTCCACCTGCAGCTGCTAGAACTAGAAGTTCAAGTTCTTGCGTTGCTGCGACGAAGAGGGTGGAGACGTTGACCTTTCTTCGATTGTAGTAGGCTAATTAATATTTCGACGTACAATTATATCGAAACAAGATGTTGGATTCCTCCTGCTCCCCCGAGCAGGAGCGTGAAATCGAGTCCCCGCTGTTTCCCATCGGCTGCAAAAATGCGAAGAAGGGGATCTCCACAACTGCAGCGACGCCGCCCTGCCAGAACAGTATCCTGTGCAAAAGTATCGCGCTCGTATTGCAATCATGCATTAGAGAGCAGGTAAATCCGCATTACAAATTTTTTCTCTCATGCTGAGGAAATTTGTAGTGCATTTATACGAGGACGAGGAGTACGATATTACTTTTGCAGTTCATAAACAGAGGAAGAGAGCCCTTGTCTCCCGCGGAGCGGCTCCTTCTGACCGACTTTGACGAGGATGAAGACCACCAACTTCGCGAACCGGGCGTCGTCAACATGTCCACTTCGAGTTCTTACCCCGTAGAACCCACGTCGACGCGGCATCAACTTTATTCGGCGGGGACAGCTGCATCAACTACGAAAAGTGGCGGTCCGTCGTCTTCGAAAAAAGAAAATCAAAATGTAGCTTCATCTGGTTCGAACAAAAAATCGAAAAACAACGAGGATTCTTCGACGTGGTCCGCTGCTGGCAGAAGTGCAGATAATTCTCCGAAAAATACCGCTCACGCTCACCGCAACTACAAGACAAAACAAGCCACGACTCTTGGTCTTGCCGCCGCAGCTCCTGCGCCCCCGTTGAAGTCGAAAATATATACGAAGGCTGCTGCAACTGCAACATTTTCCAGCACCCCGCCCTCATCTACTAGTTGTAACACGGCAGTGGCGACTGCCGGCTCTGCCACTGCCTGCCCAGTGATTCTTTCGCCCGAGACGTATTACCTGCAAGAAGAAGAAGAAGAAGTAGATGAGTGTGAGTCATCATCATCAGGAGCAGCAGCTGGTGCCCAAAGAAGGACAATGCTTCAAACTACGAGCCCTGCTCGTTCGCCGGGCAATAAATTACGTGAAGAACAGGATGTGAAGATCATCAACCAGTCAGAGCGACAGGGACAACATCACCATCAGCTCCACACAACTACCTCTTCATCAGATTACACCACGAGGACCACGACCTCGCGCGGCGTCGTGGCCGCCGATCCTCCACTTGTTGGAAACGACTTGCTGTACAAGTTTTTGGAGCGCAAGTTCAACGAGCAGGACAGCGATCTGAGAGCGCAGTTTGATATGAATTGCAAAAGTATCGTACTCGTATAAATGCATTACAAATTTCCTCAGCATGAGAGATAAAATCTGTAATGCGGATTTCCCTTCAGAAAAAGATTTGTATATGCATGATTGCAATTACAATACTCTTGCACAGGATATTTGAGGCTTTTGCACTCCGGTTCGAGGAGCAAGACATGAAGTTGAAGCACCATTTATCGAAAGGAAAAATCCCCCCTCCCCATATCGAAGCGGAAATTTCTGTTTCTGGATTTGTGTACACAAATCAGCTTTGTACTGCAGGAGGGCATTGCGGCCAGATGCCCAGGCTAGGTAGGGGCGTATCGGTCTAGGTGTTCAACATGGCAAATGGCTCGCCTTTAGGCCCACCAGCATGACAAATCGCTTTCATAATGGGGGCGAAACTTCTGCCCTTGTCTGCTTGCAAGACAGACGCCATCTGTGGCCTCAAATCAGCAACACAAATTTTCGGAAGCAGGCCTTGTTGATATGGGGAGGGGGAGTCTTTCCTTTCAATACCATTCAGCGATGCTGGAGAAGCGGGAACTCCAGTTGAAGTGTTCCCAACAGGAGCAGGAAAACTGGGTGAAGGACTGTGATATCCTGTTGTGCAAAAGTTTCGTACAACTCGTAGAAATTCCAATGCTATTCTGGCATGACAGATATATTTGTTTTACCTGAATCAGCATGACAAATTGTTGCTTTTGGGTAAAGAAATCGAAATCTGTATTGCAATTTTGAGTAGAAGTGCGATACTTTTGCAATGCATATGTGAGCTCGCGTTCGCGGAGCTGTCCGAGTCTGTGGCGGTGAAAGTGGAGAATTGGGAGTGCGAAAAGATGGCCTACGACACGGAAATCATCAACTTGAAACAGAAAAACGAGGAACTGCGAAGGCAGATTTCGGCTTTGAAAGAGTTTGTTTTTGGAGAAGATGAAGAAGTAGAAGGGGATGAAGAACAAAACAGTGCGTGCTGTGACGAGCTGGACCAGGTCGTTGCTGGAGCGGGGATGATTCATCACGGAAGCGGTCGCAATGTGTTGAGCGACGACAATACCTACCGTACCCCTGGTAGTTCGTCGGGTAGGGGCAATCCTGATAGAGGAAGTACTGGACTTCTACAGGATGCAGTTGGACGACCCAGTCCTGGCTTCGTCCAGCAATCATCTTCCGGTAACTTTCATTATGCTGCGAAAGCACAGAATAAGGCGAACAGTTTTATTGGCGGCGAAACCACCACGACCGAGCAGTTTGGAAATCGATCTGCAAAAGGTCATCTGAACAGGAGGTGGATGAGAGGGAACGTGACATTGTTAGAAATCTTGGCAGAGGAGATGGAGGATGGAAAAACGAAACTTGATCAAGGCCACATGACCAACACTGACACGGACAGTCACGCTGACAAAGGAAATAAAGCACAGGCGCATGATAATAAACGACGCGCAGAACAACATGGAAAACAACCACGAGCACGACAGGACGTCTCTCTCAGCGCTTTTGTGGACTCTCTTTGGGGAAAGATGAATCCCAAAATAGCCGCAATGCAGAACGAACAGTTACAAAAACTGGCGGATCAACTGGCGGCGAAAAAAGATCAGGAGATTTGGTATCAATCATAATATTGAGCGGATCAACGCAGCTTCGTTGCTCTGGCTTATGAACTTGATGTTTGGTCATGATCGGTGGATGCTGCGCTGTCGCTTGATTATATCATGGTAGGAAGAAGTCGAAAAAAGTTTTCGCAGCTTTTCCGAAAATATTAAACCGACCGTAAGTTTTTTACTATCAGGTCCCTTGCCGCCCGGAATGAGGAGTCGGTCACGAAGGCAATGGAAACTTGCTTGACGGCGCAGGCAAACAAGCTTCAGGAGCACGAAGTGCACATCAAAGCGAAACTGCAAGCCGTGACCGAGAATTTTGACCACTTCCAACTCTGCTTGGAAGAGTACCAACAGAGGCTAGAGGAGTCGGAACAGCAATCCTCCAAGATGAACTACGGCATTAAACAGAACCGCAAGAACTCGTCTTCTTGTCCCGAAAGAGATGTTGAGCAGCAAGAACTTCTCATGCGGTTTAAGCACGAGGCGGAGTCCAGGTTGCAGTGGATGCAGGAGAAATTGGACGAGAGGGCCAGTGAAAATGAGGAAAGGTTGAAATGCACAACGCAACAGCTGCAGAAATCGAACGAGAAATTTGTGAAGGAGTCCAGCAACGCAATTACCGAACTCCTGAATAACTCGAAAATGATGGCAAAACGGATGGCGCAAGACCAGGAAGACTTTGAGGACTTTGAAAAAATGGTGCGGAAAAGGGAGCACGAGAGGGAGGCAAGGTAAAGGTCGTCATAGATAGAAGTGCTTGGATCGTACAAGGTCATATCTTCCGTATCATGCTCCACGTGATTCTTGTTATCGCTGATACGACACACAACAGTAGCAAGAAGTACACAGCGAACCGAACAACTACTTACTACCATATGGTTTTACAATATCAAAATTGATCTCCCATTCCCAGGCTCATCAAGACCGAGGCAACGCTGACGAATTTTGAGAAGAGTTACGCCGAGACGTGTGAGAAGCAAGTCGACGCCGTGAAGGAGCAGAAACGAAAGCAGGATTCCCACGAAAAACTTCTACAGCAAGCAATTAAGAAACTGCACAAGGAGCAGGAGCAAATGAAGTCCCTGTGCGACAAGACGTATGCAATGCAAAAGAAGTATTGTACTTAGTATAAATTGCATTGCAAATTCCCCCAGCATTACAAATTGAATTTGGAATGCTGATTTACCTTGAGAAAGAGATTTGTAATGCATAAATCAATGCAATTACTACGAGTGCGATGCTTTGGCACAGGATAAGACGTTTTCCGAAACGAAACTCGCCTTGCTGAATGAGGAGGAGCAGAAGAACAAGGTCCAACTTCAGGTGGAAACGAAATTGCGGGAAATCCTCGAGGCGTTTCAACAGGAAACGGAAAAAAAGATGCGGCTCGGGTTGCAGAACCAACTAAAACTGGTCAACTTCATGGTCGAAATGATGCTGGGAGGAAATTATGTTGCATCTTCGACAAGTGGTGGAGCTCCTAGTACAGGTGGAGCTACAGATGCAGAGATGACTCTACAACTTCCTGGTTGTGCAGCGCCGTTCTTGGTGGACGATGTCGACCGCAAGAAGGGCTACAACATGATCGACGAGTCGCCTACTTCTACGGGAAATAAACTACAGAAGGTCGGCGTAGTGGCCGCCGCGTGCAGGACTACGATGCCGCCGAACTCGTTTGAGAACGTCATGGCGGAGAGGCGAGAGGATGACGTTGAAGGTACTATGATTATACACATTTTGAAGGTGATTTGTATTTGCTCATCATGCTTTTTGCTCGCAAGTAGAAGAACCGGGTCACGAGTTGTAGGCCATTTTTTTTGCGTAGATCGTAGTACAAAAACAGTAACAGATTCTAAGCAGGAAATCGATTCTATCCATTTCTCTGCTCAACAGGTGCTACCGCCCTCGTTCCGGCTTCTATTTGTTCCGACCTAGTATCCCAGTTGCACAACAAGTGGCACAGCATTGTGCAGCACACGAAAGCGAGATCCTTCCTGGAGTTGCTGCACAAAAAAGCGGACTACAGTGTGCTGCGCCTGTATGGGTGTGTCAGAGTTGAAATCGACAAAGTTGACATAACTTGTAATGCATAAAATCGATACCAGTTGGAAGCCCAATTTCTAGGCGGCGCATGAGAAATTTGAGTAGAGCCGAAATCCAGTTTGTCATGTTGTTTGGGTAAGGAAGACGCCTTTTGTCATGCTACTTTAGCAGTTCTATTTCTACGTCTACCCCGAAACAGGCTCACAATCTGCCTCTCTTGCCTACTCTGCAAGACAGGCACTTTCTGCGTTGCACTTTATGCATGACAAACTTTGACGATTTCAATCCTGACGCTTCCATAGCCTACTCCAGATTTCGCAGCAGCACGCGGACACCCGAATCGACCGCCTCTATAAGGATTTCCGGGAGTTTCTCAACGGTTTGCACCAGAGAAGTAGCGGGCAGCACAACGTCATCTTCAATACCTCCGCAGCGGTTCCGAGAAGCTTGAAGATGTCGGAGAAAGAAAGACAGTTCAAGAGGGGAACGAGGAAGATGGCAGCAAGAGGCACAGGACGAGAAGGTGCCAGAGATTTGCAGGAGGAGCTATTGCTGCAAAATGATGAAATGGATCTCCAAGACGACGAGGAGTCTGAAGATCCGATTTTTACCGAAGGAGGTGGTCACCAGGAGCTTCCCGCAAGACCAAATACGAGTCCCGGAGCGTTCGGTGGAGGAGGTGCGTGCTCCAGGGGTACTAGGATAAAACATGCGGGGCGGGCGACTCGTACTTCATCAGCTTCACACAGCAATATCAAAGGGGGCTTGACAACCCCGATCATTCCCTACACCCGAAACAACAACTATTTCGCGACAGCACCACCGATGCTGAATCAGCACAATGAAAATCATTGTCCAGATACCACTTGTCATGGCAATCACTATGTGGATCAGCAAATTTGGTTTTCTCCGAACACGACCAGCAAGCAGATTCCCCGAAACAACCGCTACAGCATGCCGGCGAGCGCTTTCGCGAATGTGGGCTTTTTCGGCGGATGCGGCGGCGACGAATTTGAAAATTTGAAAATCGAAGACCACGAGCTATTTCTCGATGAACAAGGTGGTGCTGCGGTTTTTGGAGGAGGTTCATCATCTTGGGAGATGAATAACTTTGACAGAGAACAAGAAGACGAAGGCCAACATCCTGGTGCGCAGCAGCCGCTACAAAAAACACGGTCGCAATCCGCCGGCGCAGTAGCCCTGACCACGACCACACCAGCTAGTACAGGGGCCCGGCATTATACGAGCTACCACGAGCAGGTGCTGGGTGGAAACAAAGCAGGTCCTACTTATGCAGCTGGGACTAGTAGTATGGAACAGCATTTACAAGAGCGTCAAAGTCAATCGTCTCGTCGTCGTAGTGCCAGGAATAACTCGGCGAATCGTGCAGCGACTGGGCGAGTAGGAGAGCAGCAACAGCAGCAGCAACAACTTTCGCCGCACAAGACCTCCATGCGTGCAACTGCCGGCAACGGCACTGCGAGGCCCTCCACTGCCGGTCTTCAGGGACAGCCAGGACACCAACAGCGGCATGTGCGAGGAGAACGACCGACACACAATCTACTTCAGCACCAACCTCAACCGCCTGGCGGAGCACCATCCCAAGTTCCAATCATCACCCGGCGGGTGACCGCACGGCGGCCCCCGACGAGGAGGAACATGAACGTGGTGCATGCGGGCGGTGCGCATTTTGAGAACTACGTGCCGAACCAAAGTTCATCATCCTCGCCTGGAGGTGGTGGAATGATAATGAACCATGATGGTATGCCCAGCGGCCAGCAGAATCCGAACTCGCCGAAAAACCGACCGGCTTCAGCTGCTGCAAACAGTTACGAGGCGGGGATGATAACAAATAACGGGGCGTCGAACAATAATAGTTCGAACAACAACAATCTTAGTACAACCGGCAGAGGTTCTTCTAGTAGCCCTACTGCAAGAACAAACACCGCCGCCCTAAATGCTGTTGGTGTCGGTTTCGCGGAGAGTCTCGCCGCAAACGCGGTTCCCCGGTCTCCCTCGCCGACAAGAACGAGCGGAAATTTCAGTGCGAGCTGTAACCGGAATAGTGTGAGTTTTGGCAGAACATCTTCTGATCATCTTCCTACGACAGGGGAAAGGAACATTGTTTACGCTGACAGCTGCACGGGAGTAGGGGGAGGTACTCGTGAAAACATCAACGGAATAACAGCACATAACATTTCAAGTCCACCACGGAGTAGCTGCCACCAGCCGAACAGTTTGCATTCCTATAACCCCACTTTCCAGACGGCCGCTGCTGTTGCCCCCAGCAGCTGCAACTCGTCGTCCTACAGCAAACGAATGGCCGTGATGAATGACTACGAGAACGACCGTCCCCAACCGTTGCGACCACACAATAATTCTGTGATGACGACTTCCCGACCGCAAGGGACCGGGGGAGAAACTACCAAAGGCGTCGCGGATCATGTACTAGTTGACGGGTCACTAAAGCAGGCACGACACAGTTCCTATTTTTTGCCGGGACATCATCTTCAAGCACAAACCGGTGCTCACCAACCACATCAACCTCCTCGGGAAAACGTCTATGCCGCTCTGCTAGGCAAACAAAACAGCACGACCGGAACACTGACAGGAGGTTTTTCTACTTCCCAAAGCACGACGACTCCCGGCGCGAATTCCCATGCTGCGAAACACCTGCAACACCAGCAAGGTGGTACAACTTCCGATGAGATTAATCATGTAGTCGGACCAGGATCTTCTAGTAGTCGTATGAACAACAACATCTTCGGGGGCAGCACATCAACCACTGATCATCTTCTGACGCGCGCTGCAACCCCGGCGCCGAAAATTATTTCCAACTCCCCTTATCCCCCGTTGGAGCCCCAGCCCCCGCCGCCGCGAGCGTTGGGAAACACCACGTCCAGTGCTGGGGCGGCGTACAGGGCGGGAGCAGGAGCGGATCATGGACTGCTACACCATGATCCTCATCATACGATCACGCCAATAACTGTGCCGTCGGGGATTGATGTTGCCCCGCCGCGCGTATGAACTGCAAAAGTATCCTACTAGTGCGAATTGCATATACAAATTTGCTCAGCATGAGAAATGGAATTTGTCATGCTGTTTTACTTTGAAAAGAAGATTTGTCATGCATATACTGCAATGAGTACGACTACGATACTTTTGCACAGGATAGCGCGCGATGTCACCGTCAAACAGTTCGCCGAAGCAACTCATCGGCAGCTACAACAGCTATCAAATGCAAAAATGTCATCTGGGTCTGGAAGAGTGGAACTTGTAATGCTGTCTGCGGATTCTAAAAATACCTGTGTTGCATGAGCAGCAAGAGGAGTCAGTTCTTGGCACGCGGAGAGGGCATTTGTCATGCGTAATTAGCATCAAGAAGCTCTCAAAGAATCTGTGATGCTAGCACCAGCATCACAGACCTGACGGGTCATGCAACATGTGCATGACAAGCCCCGAGGACTCTTCCAGACCCAGACATATTTGCAGTTCATAACAGCATCAGCAGCGCGATTCCGATTCCCAATTCCATTGCCGAGATGCGGAAGAGCTTGAGCGGCGGCGCGCGAGGCCGGAGCAACACGGGCAACTACAGCAATGGGAATAGCAGCGCAACGCCAACAGCGGGTGGGGGCGGGATCGGGAATGGAAATGTGATGGCTTGGAGATGATGGCGGAGTTGTGTTTTTCGAGGTGGAATATTTTGTCTTGCTCTTGCACGAATTAATACCTTTATTCTTTAAAAGCGCTTGCAAAAAGCGCTAGCTTTCGTTATGTGGTCAATATTTCTTTTCTCTTTTCATAGACAGCCTAAAGCTGAACCAGTTTAAGAGTAATTTTGAAGACAGTAAGTCAAAGTCAAATAGTACAAGTGCATGAGAAGTGGAAAAGTAAATATAAGCTGCGACGTCTTTCAATTTCATGACTTTTCTTTTTGTTGAAATCCTCGCGAAAGACAAAGAACCGTACAAGCATGATGAGACGCTATGATTGGCGATCTTGATTGAACTTAAGTAATAAAGTGGGTCCGAAAGATACTATGGCTCGAGGACAAGTACAGGAACAGGCAGAAAAATATCAGAGGACAAACAACCACCTCCAAACACCTCATCAGTGCTGTTGTGTTGGTGGCGTTGTTGAAAGTGTACTAGGGGTTGGGTTTTTCTTTTTCGCGCATTTTTCTGAAGATCATGACACATAACCCTGCCGGAGAGGAACGCAAGGGCCGGCAGCGAGCAGCAACAAGGTTCCTCACACCTTCATCTGCGAACAAGTCGTGGCGAGCACGTTGGAAGTAGAGCTGCAGGAGCTCTGCCACCGAAAACTTGCAAAGATCCCGACTCACAGAAGAGTTGCAGCTTCTGTGTACCTTGATGTAATTGGTTCTACCTTGTTTCCTGCCATGAGTAAAAGCAAAATCATGTCGGAAAAGCCTGGCCGTGCTGCTTCCCAGACAGCCCCCGCGGCTATCAAGGGCTTTACTTGTGTCTCGAACAAAATTGCGTCCCTCTTCGAGAACGAGCGGATTGTCGCACCCGTTTGCGTGATGACTCTTCATTTCGGCATTGCTTTGGCAATTTTGTACGCCAGACCTTCACCTGCACCAAAACTCAACATAGATGGAAATGTATCTGGGCGACGTGTTGGAATTATGGGAGACAATCAGATTGCGAGCAGGAACCCAGCGTCGCCCACGAGGACCCAGCATATTGCAACCACGGGACTTGTTCAAGCAGGAGGCCGAATGACTCACTTGAAAGCAGAGGAAGCTGCCTATGGTGATCTTGACCACGAGCACGTGCACGACCACCTGCTTAGTTTCTTCTTTCCTCTACCACAAATAGACGTCGTACTACCTCCCTGGCTTCCCTTGATGCTCTTGACCATTTTCTTCTATTTTTCCGCCAGTTGGGCGGATCCGGGCTTTGTCCCGACGCAAAACTTTCCGACCGTGGGAAGTGGGGGCGTGAACCCGTTTCTGATTCTTTTGGGCATGCTGGTGCACCGTACTACGAGAGGACCGCCGCAACATCTTGATGGAACGTCGAAGCATAATTACGAGCTTGTCGCGGTTGTCGAGGATGATCATGTGGACGACGTGGTCGCGAGGAGCCAGGACACCGGCGAGGGAAAGCTACATGCACTTTCGCCTGGAAGAACACGTATAACAAGTGGACCGGGGGGCGAGCTGGAGCTTACAGAAATGACCCACGAGGCGGATCAAGAACATGTCGTGCTCGACATGGACGCCAACCGCTTCAGGGAGAGGGCAACGGCAACTACGGCGGGGATAGTATTAACCGCCGCTGCAGATGCGGAAACCCCATCGAGCGGCGCTGTATGAATCGAGTAGAACAATCTGTTGTCGACGACCTGTGGTGCGGTAGCTATATTTCTTCATGGCAACTAGTACTCCTACTCACCGTCAGTCTCAGTGTTAGTACCGTCACAAGCACTATGATTGAATTTCAAAACGACGACGAGCTGAAATGTATACAGTTCCAGTTGTTCGGCAGAATGATTTCTGATGATACATGGGAGCAGTAGTTGTCTGCACGCCGACATCAATGTCAATCAGGCCGAGATGAAACAGGTCAATAGCGACTTCGACATTTTTTTCCATACACAAATCGACGCAGATGAAGATAGCGACGTCATCCGACCTGCATCCAGTCTGACGAAAGCCAAGCAGGCACCGCCCGTTGGCAGTCTGGACCACGAAGAAATGGGAAGAAAGATCCAGCACAAGGAGCCCGCATCAAACGCAAACGGTCTCCGCTACTGCGAGATTTGCGAGCTGTACCAGCCCTTGCGCAGCAAGCACTGTCGGGACAGCAAGCGGTGCGTATTGCTGTATGATCACTACTGTCCTTGGATTGGCAATTGTGTCGGGGAATGGAACCGGAGATCGTTCTACTTTTTTCTCTTCTTCCAGTTCCTCGAATTGCTCCAGTTTTTGTTTTACGGATTGAAGGCGCTGGTGATTTACGCTTTTCGGCCGAAATCCTGGCTCAGTTCATCCGGTCGTGGGATCACCAGTGCGACCGCTAGGCCCAGAAAAACGGTGTACAACACGGGTTCATCTTACAGTGTATCAAAAGTAAAAATGTCTGGGTCCGGAAACTTGTGATGCTGTTGCTGGGTGGCGTCTCATGATGAGGCTACAAATGCTGGATCAGCATGACAAGTTTCTGAGCTCCTCCTAGGTGTTGCCTACTCTGCATGACAAACTGCGCTTCTGCATCACAGAAAAACGGAGCTCTTGGGTAACGTGCATGACAGATTTAAGACTCATGCCAGACAAGCATGACAAACATGAATTCTTCCAGACCCAGATATTTTTACAGTTGATACAGTGACCACGCGAGCAATCTGGCCGGGAAAATGCTGCATGGACGGGGGATGTCAGCCGCAGCCACGGGAGCGGTGTCGAGCGCAGGTATTTCACCCGTAGTTCACCCAAGCAGTTTGATGTTAGGAGCATCAGCGTCTTCTGCAAGTGCTTTAGTCCGAGGACTGGATGATCACAAAGGTTTGATGTCGACCTCAGTACCGTACTACGGTGACCAGTTCCACCAGCACACATTGGCACCTGCAAATGTTCTCACGCCGCACATAGGAGCACGAGCACCAGGAGCAGCATCCTCTAGTACTATTGGTACTGCAATCGTCCAAGCACAACTGGCCGGAATGCGCACGCCGTTTCTCCTCCTGATGACCGCTGTTACGCTGGTGCTTGTGTTCCTTTTGATGGTGGGCGCGTTGCTCGGGTTTCAAACCTATTTGGTTTTCGCGAACCTCACCACCTGGGAGGCGACGACGTGGTATGGATTGCAAAAATGTCTGGGTCTGGAAGATTGCAACTTGTCATGCTAAATCCGAATCATGCAAAAATCTGTGTTGCATGACTGCCAAAAGCTGTCCACTTTCGACCAAGATGGGAGGGAGTTTCTCATGCAGGATAGGCATGATAGAGTTAGAGACCTCACAGACTCTGTCATGGCAGGTCCCGCATTCCAGACCTCAAGGGTCATCGAAAACCTGCATGACAAGTTTACACTCTTCCAGACCCAGATATATTTGCAATGCATACGTGGCACAAAGTCACATATTTGAAGGACTTCAAACAAGCGAAAGGCTCTCCGTTCAGCCGGGGGTGGAGACTGAATCTTGTCGCTTTTTTCTGCCCTTTGCGCTGGTGTAGGACCCGCTTAAGAAACGGGAACATGCGCGGGGAGGCGGAGGAAGTTGTCGTGATGAATTGCGGGTCGATTTCATCTGCTGGGGGTGCTGGTGGAGAAGACCTTGTCGTTGGGGTTGATGAAGAAGACAATCAGGACAAGAACCGCAACACCGCAGATGAGCTGCACGTGAATGGCATGAACGAAGCGGATATTAACCATGCGGACTCCACCCCAAGCAAGGGATCGAGACCTTCAGCTCGCGGCAGAAAGTTGTATGCGAGGAGTGATAATGTCGTCGGAGAAAACGAAAAGATGAGTCCTGGGGGCGCGAAAACTTGCAATCCAAACAAGATGAAAGTGACATCTACGGCACTGCAAGCGAATCATGATCGTCGTGGTCGACGTGTAGTCCCCGCGTTTTACTACCACCCGTGGATTCTCGGGCCGCAGGAGGGTGATGAGGCGTCCTCCTGCGATCCGTTTTGTTGTGTGGAAAAAGAGAAAGACGAAGAAGATGATGAAGCACCCTATGAAAAAGAAACAGATGTTGATTATCGCGGAAAAAATCGAGTTTGATGAAGGCCTCGCTATGTCCTTAAGTAAGAATGTTTACAACTGATACTGCACAAAAAATGACTACACGAAGATTCAAAATTTCTCCTCGCAGTGACAGCAAGGCACTGATGAAACTGGTAGTGGTGAAAGGAACGATCCCAAGATGCCTGCCTGTTCTAGAATTAGCTGTCTCGCTCCAGAAGTATGTGGTCACCGCTAGAGAAAGGATCAGGCGTACTTCTGCTTCATGCGAGCTGCTTTTTTATGATGTTGCGTTCAAACTACTCAAAACCGGCTTTTTTCAAGAATCGCATGCAGTGATGGAGGAAAACGAAAGTTGAACTGTGAAATTGCCGCCAATGTATGATAAAGATTTTATATGACTTTTCGGCAGTATCGTTTCTGTTGCAACCATGAGTTTTTGAGTAGAAAAGACGTGTGGGTTCATCCCGCTTCCTTGTAGTTCGAATTTCATTTACATATTGAACAGTTAGTGTCTACTTTGGTGTTTCTTCAGAGCTACTAGTACTAGAGTAATGTAACCCCCCCCAGAACTTCCTTTAAAAAACCTGTACACCTTCTATTTAGGACCAAGATGAACAAGATGTCAACATTTCGCCGGGCGACACGGTCCTTCATTGCAGTTATCGCCGTCGCGTTCAGGCGGGACACGACCACCACCCCGTGCCTTCTTTTCCGAGCGGTCTCTGCAGCGCAAACGAAAATCCCTGGCTCATCTAAAGAAATGCCTGCCCCTCCAGTGTCCGCCCAACAACAGCCCTGGTCAGGAGCCGCAACACGAGAAGTCGACGAGGAGCAAAGCGCAACCTCCAGCAAAGTATCAAAATGGTTGCCGATCGGGCCCCGTGGTGTGCCCGCAGCTCCTACCTACCATGAATATCAACCCGAACAAGTACTAAGTGTCTCATCATCCCCCGCGGATAATTTTCTCCGGCGCCACCGCAGTTTCGGCTCGGTCTCCACTAGAACTCCATCTTCAGTGACGTCGCAACATGCGGGTGCGATTGGTTCTTCGTGGCATGTGCTCGGGGAAGATCATGTTGAAGGTAGTGCCAACGAAGACGATGAGTTCAAATCCGACCACGATACGCGAAAACTCACGAAATCCACCGCCCTTCCCTCCGCTAGCAGCGACGAAGCCTCATCTTCGGAAGTCTTAGACGGAAAAGCACCGCCGATTTTAGGGGCGGCGGCGGCCTTTTGTCGGCAAACTTCGAATAGAAGTTCTAGGAGTAGTAAGAGAAGTAGAAGCAGCACTCGCGGTGGCAACAAGCGCAAAGCGTCCTCGTCTTCACGACAAGCAGAGGCGGAGTGTGGTCCTGTGGTCTCATCAACAAGAATCCAGCAATCTGCTTTTTGCGGCATGACGCAGACTGGCCGCGAAGTTTCATCTCCTGAAGACTCATCTAGTGAGACAGACGATCTACAAGAACTTGGAAAATCTTCAATATCTCCGTTTTTTGCAACTGCTGTTTACCAGGACGAGACAGACCTTCCGCCAGCGCTGCCATCTTCAAGAGTTTCTTTGGCTGAGGACCAAGAAGAGGTGCCCGAACTGCAAGATCCACTCTCAGCCCTGCTGGACGCCCTGCTTGGCACAGCGGACGAGGAGCATAAAAGTGTCAGGCCTGCGACTGATTTTTCTCGCGGCTTGGTGCTTGCGAAACGAGCAACGGATACTAGTGTGGGCTACTACGGTCGTCCTTTCGAAGATCTGTCGGTCCGGATTCAGCGTTGGGTGGAGAGGCACTATTATGGTGGTGGTCCCCAGGATCATCATCGTGTGTTGCAGGATGGGGACGATAAACAGAAAAAGTCCACCTTTTACCTCCTGGACGTTGGCGGTGTCCCGCAACTCTCGCCGATGGAACAATTGTGCCCATGTGGAAACGTGAATCAGAGCGAGCAGCTGATGTTTGCGCCCTCTTCCAATATCCGCCACATCAGAACCGGGTTGACGAAGAGATACAGCAGAAGCAGCTTAGATTTGATTCTGGACAACAAAAAGTTCTGCCTAAGCTGCGAAGGAGAAGAAAAGAGGTCCTCGCAAGAACGGTTTGACGTAATGAACACGGCAGGCGAGCAGTGTAGAAGCGCCAGTTCCTGCTGTGTCCTGCCCGAGCTGGAGAACCAAGTGTCCCTGCTGTTTCTCCAGGACATGCTGTGCGACTGTGACCAGCAGGGGAGGAAGACGTGCGGTGGGTTTCTGGTGTCGGACCAATCCGCGAAAAGATTACTGGAAAACTGGGCGCAGTTGCTGAAGCTGGACGAAGATGTGGAGGTTGCCGGCACCGGAACAACTAGTCGTGCTGCAACTGGAAGAAGTGAGCCAATTGCAGCCTACGTTGCGATTCTCGTTCCCTACGGCCAACGAAATACAAAAATGCTGAAGTTTTTACGAGATGCGGTGGGTAGCGGGTATGTCATTCGACCACGTCCTGCTCTAGGTAGTGTTGCAAGAGCATCTTCAGACGGACCACCTGGTAGCAGAACACCAGCACCGCATCAGGGCCCACATGCTGCTGACGTTCAGGACCAACATGAGGCAATCAAAGTTACCGTGCAGGAGGGATCGACGGCGGCCAGTCAGTATCCTGTGCAAAAGTATCTGATACTCGTATTGCCATCATGCATTACAAATCTTTGTCTTAAGGTAAATCCGCATTGCAAATTTTCTCTCTCATGCTGAGGAAATTTGTAATGCATTTATACGAGTGCGATACCTATTTGCAGTTCATAGTCACGCAATGGTGATGCGGTTTGAAAAAATGGACGACCTGAATTTGATATCCAATGCAAAAGTGTCTGGGTGTGGAAGAATGCATGTTTGTCATGCTTGTCTGGAATGACTCTCAAATCTGTCATGCACGTCACCCAATAGCCCAGTTTTTCTGTGATGCAGAAACGCAGTTTGTCATGCAGAATAGGCAACACCTAGAAGCTCAGAAACTTGTCATGTTGAGCCAGCACTTGTGGCCTCATCATGAGACGCCGCCCAGCATCACAAGTTTCCAGACCCAGACACTTTTACATTTGATATTTGAGCTTTCTGTAGCGGGCGAAAGGCAGGAGGGATCGACGCCAGCCAGTCACGCAATGGTGATGCGGTTTGAAAAAATGGACGACCTGAATTTGAGCTTTCTGTAGCGAATATCAAATGTAAAAGTGTCTGGGTCTGGAAGAATGCAACTTGTAATGCTGTCTGCAGATTCTAAAAATATCTGTGTTGCATGAGCAGCAAGAGGAGTCAGCTCTTGGCACGCGGAGAGTGCATTTCTCATGCGTAATTAGCATCAAGAAGCTCTCAAAAAATCTGTGATGCTAGCACCAGCATCACAGACCTCACGGGTCATGCAAAATGTGCATGACAAGTCCCATCTCTTCCAGACCCAGACATTTTTGCATTTGATCAGGCAATAAAAGTTACCGTGCGGGAGGGATCGACGGCGGCCAGTCACTATCCTGTGCAAAAGTATCGTACTCGTATTGCCATCATGCATTACAAATCTTTGTCTTAAGGTAAATCCGCATTGCAAATTTTCTCTCTCATGCTGAGGAAATTTGTAATGCATTTATACGAGTGCGATACTTTTGCAGTTCATAGTCACGCAATGGTGATGCGGTTTGAAAAAATGGACGACCTGAATTTGATATCCAATGCAAAAGTGTCTGGGTGTGGAAGAATGCATGTTTGTCATGCTTGTCTGGAATGACTCTTAAATCTGTCATGCACGTCACCCAATAGCCCAGTTTTTCTGTGATGCAGAAACGCAGTTTGTCATGCAGAATAGGCAACACCTAGAAGCTCAGAAACTTGTCATGTTGAGCCAGCACTTGTGGCCTCATCATGAGACGCCACCCAGCATCACAAGTTTCCAGACCCAGACACTTTTACATTTGATATTTGAGCTTTCTGTAGCGGGCGAAAGGCAGGAGGGATCGACGCCAGCCAGTCACGCAATGGTGATGCGGTTTGAAAAAATGGACGACCTGAATTTGAGCTTTCTGTAGCGAATATCAAATGTAAAAGTGTCTGGGTCTGGAAGAATGCAACTTGTAATGCTGTCTGCAGATTCTAAAAATATCTGTGTTGCATGAGCAGCAAGAGGAGTCAGCTCTTGGCACGCGGAGAGTGCATTTCTCATGCGTAATTAGCATCAAGAAGCTCTCAAAAAATCTGTGATGCTAGCACCAGCATCACAGACCTCACGGGTCATGCAAAATGTGCATGACAAGTCCCATCTCTTCCAGACCCAGACATTTTTGCATTTGATCAGGCAATAAAAGTTACCGTGCGGGAGGGATCGACGGCGGCCAGTCACTATCCTGTGCAAAAGTATCGTACTCGTATTGCCATCATAGCTTTCTGTAGCTGAGGAAGGGCAAGGGCAAACGTAAATCAAACGTAAATCAATCGGCATGCTGCGCATGTGACGACGCTTGACAGCAAGAAATCTGTGGCGGTCTGCGGACGACGTTTCACCTCATCAAGTCATGCTGATTCATTGCAGTTGTTTCTGTCGTAGTGTAAGTAGTGTACTCATAATACTCGTCATGGGGACGATGTGTGCCAAAACGCAAGCCAAGAAATTTTTCAACAAATGTATGCGGGTGCGGGAGCAGTGGTCTTCAGTTTCAGTATTTTCTATTGCAAGTAGTTACGAATCTCAGTCTTCACTACTTTTTGTAAAATTGTTGCATGTGCAAGTGCAAGTATTTTGTGTGAACCAAATTAAAAAAACAACTCTATTGGCACAGCAGTGAGTGACGTTGCACATGTTGATGCTCTTTCTAGTTTTCAAAAGAGTGAGAATCGATGTGTGCCAGAATTTTTTCAAAAAGAATTCATACAATAACTACGAAAGGGCGAGAAAAAGTGAAAAACAAAAGGTGCGCGGTGCTCCACCTCCTCCGCAATTTCGATTCTGATGTCGGTAAAGGAGCGGTTGCCAATCTTCATCTTCAAAAAACAATGAGTCATGTTGCTGTAACTTGAGCACCATGGACCCCTTCTTGATTTTGCATCACGAAAGTTTTCTTCATGGGTCGATAGTCTTCAACAAGCCTACGACGCCGCGCTCCTTGCATTTTTCAAGGAAGGAGCCAGCAGGAACAACAGGGGCGATGTTGATTGCCAATGTCAACGCAAATTCTACTCTTCTTGAGGCCGAACTCTGTTCTCTGACCTACACCTCTCTGGTGGTGAAGGAGTCTGAAGTCTTTACTTTGGCAGGCTGCAACCAGAGGTGGATCTTCATAGTTCATAGTCATACATACGATTTCAACAAAAAAAAAGATCGGTTTCGGTTGCATAAGTAGCAGCTTAAAATGGAAAACAGAATTTCCATTTCGCAAATAATGTTGAGGGTAATTCCTTGAAAATATAAATAACAGAACTTCGTGGCACGACCTGAGGCTAACAAGCTCATTCCTATCATGCCGGCCGTCCCAAGTAGTGCTATTTTTGCCAGTGTGATTTTATTATTCGCTGAGCGAGCTGCTCGAGCCCATATCGCTTCCAGGAAGGTCTATAGCACGCCCCTCGAGAAGATTTTCTACCCTATCACCTAGTACACCAAAAGCGACTACATATACCCCCCTGCTTCCCGCAATATAAACACAGTATAGAATAAAAAGCGACGTGTGGCCCTCCTGATTCTTTCACCTTCATCTATAATCGTAAAGTGATGACATAATCTGCTCCAATCAAGTTTCTTTGTCTTTCCCTTCCTTCTGTTCTAATTCGTATGTTGAAGATGCACATCCCGTCGTCTAGCGCTTACATCAAAGCCATGGCAGACCAGAAGAAGAACGCGAGTAGCTCCTACTTATCTCCCCCAAGCAGCACCTCCTCCCCGCCGCAGCAGGGAGGTAGAGCGTCGAACAGCCCCGGGGAGAAAGACAAAGAACCGCCGCAACCATTACCGCGCCGGTCTTCTGGAACAGGGTCATCCATCAGGTCCTCAGCCTCCAAAGCCGAAGAAAAACTCCCCGAGCTGGTGAAGTCCTTCGGGCAGGCGATCACGTTGGAACTGGGAAAGAAAAAAGCGATCATTTCCTCCATTTTCGAAAAAGAGGAAACGGAACTGGTGCAGAAGAGAAGAGAGTTTGCAGACAAGGAGATAAAGATAATTGCAAGTAGAACTTTTAGTGAAGATGCTGGACGAATCAAACAAGATGAACTTGAGAACGCGACGAGCAGTGAAGATGCTAAGGGTCACGCCGGGGGTGGTGGTGCGGCAGGAATCTTAGAAGTGGGCACCGGTGGAGCTGCGGCGTCGTCGTATGCATTGCAAATATGTCTGGGTCTGGAAACTTGTGATGCTAAGAGTGAATGCGAGTTCCACTCCAATACGAAGCCAAGCATGACAAATTTTTGGGCTCCTGTGTGTTGCGTGTTCCTCATGGCAAACTGCGTTTTTGCATGACAGGCAAGAGGGCCACTGCGTGCCCATGCATCACAGATTCTTGAGTCATGTCAGACAAGCATGACAAATGTAGCAATCTTCCAGACCCAGACATTTTTGCATTTGATACGTCGGGCGATTTTACAACTTCTACCACAACACGCACAGCAGGACCTGCAAGCACAAATTCACCTTGTTCCTCCAAATGCAAATACATCGGCTCTGCCCTCCCCTTCCCGCTCCGGCCTACAACCTCGAATTTACTCACGAAGGAAGAGCTCGAATCTGCCGAAGAACTCGCTTTCGCAACGTGGTGTAAAGCGACGAGAGAACACATCTCTAAAGCGAACGACGCCACCGTTAATAATTATAACGCAGGAACATCAAATAATTACGCGTACTACACCAGCATCCCTCCTGTCGAATACAACCTGGACGTGTGGCGGCAGCTGTGGCGCACGACCGAGCAGTCAACGGTCTTGATCCTCTGTGCGGACGCGCGGAACCCTTTGATGCACATCCCGTTCTTGAGTAAAGAGGCCGTGAAAGGGAAGCAGCTGCTTCTCGTGTTGACGAAAGTAGATTTGATCAGCACTGCTGATTTCGAAAAGTGGCGGGAGTTCTTCACCAGGACTAAGGCGGCCAGAAGTCCTGCTATAGGAGATGAAAGTCAAAGTGGTGAGCAGTTTCATAAATTCGATCTACCAGAATTCGCCGCGGTGTTTCCGTTTACAAAGCAACCGCATTTAGACGAAGAATCCCACGAAGCATTCGTGGAGAATATCGGGGCGAACTTCCGGAGAAAACGGCTCAAGAACCCGCCTGCCGGGAAAAAGGTCGACGTGCGGAAAAAAGTGGACGCATACGCGAACGCCATTGTGGATAAAGCGATTGAATTGTCAACTACAACATCATCTGCGGTAGTTTTGTCCGGCGATGAGCAAGCCGTTGACCGACCAAAACCAAAACGCGGCGGACCACACGACAAGAGCACAAACAAAATCACCATCGGCTGCTTAGGCCACCCGAACGTCGGGAAGTCCAGCCTCTTGAACGCGATTCTCGGCGTTCGCCGACTGAGCGTGTCGCGGACCGCAGGGCACACCAAACATGTGCAGCACATTTTTCTAGACAGTGAGAAACAGGTTGAACTGCAGAAGGAGATGAAAAGAAACAAATCAAAGTCCCCACAGGGCGGCCAAGCGCAAGCCACCACGATTGATGGCCCAATAACAGCAGTGCTCCCCTCTGTGTCTGTGGCGCAGCAGGTGCAAAACTTCGAGAACCTCTCGAAATCTGAGATGAAGAAAATGAAAAACGAAATGCGCACCGACTACCGGGAACTGCAGAAAAGCGGCGTTTCCGGGGCGGGAGGTCGTGTGGCCGGCGCCGCGTCTAAAATGACACCAGGAGGACCTGATGAAACTACAGAGACGAAAAACGTGTCCGCCCCGACTTTAAGCACAGCGGAGGGAAACCGGCAGAAGCAGAAAAACAAGCGGAGACGAGCGAAAAACAAAAACAACGACTTGGACTTCACGCCGGAGATCCGCGGTGAAAATAACGGAGATAAGGTTGTCGACCAAGTCAATTATTTGCAGCAAAAATTGGATCATGGCGCTGAGGCGTCAGATGATCAGAAAAAATCTGGCGAAATCATAGACGATGCCACGCGTGGTCCTGCAGGAGGTGAAGAGCCTAAGAACATCACTTCAGCCGAAAACAAAGACAAAGACGCCGACCAGCAACTGGTCGTGATGGACTGTCCGGGGCTCCTGTTTCCAAGAAAGCACTGCCCACGGACTGTTTACGAACTTACCGGGTTGCTGCCTATCGCGCAGGTCCGAGAAACCTATTCCGCAGTGCGGTTTCTGTTTGAGGAGGCGAAAGTGCCGCTCGACAAAATCTACGGGGTGACTATTGACATGATCGACGACGACAGCTGTAAGGCAAAAGCGAAGAACTTGTGGACCCCGCAGTCGTTCTTAGAGGTCTATGCGGACAAAAAGAACTACACTTTTATGACCCGCTCAAACGTTACAATCTCAAACGTTACAATAGAATCTGGGTTTTGTATTGCATGACGAGCATGACAGACTCGGACAGCATTCCACTATCTGCAATACAAATTTCGCCAGATTGTAGTGCGGATTGGGACTCCAGAACTTGTCATGCGCAATCCTATGGGAGTAAGCTAGATAATGCACTTCTTGCAACACAAATTCCAGATTCTATTGTAACGTTTGAGATTGTAACACCTGAGCGGGTTATAACTTTGGCAAGGTCCGGAGCGCCGGACGTCCACCGCGCGGGGCTCGAGATCATTAGAGATTGTGTGGATGGAGTGGTCTGTTGGCAAGAGAAACCTCCGCCGGAATAGTTTTCTTGTGCCTAAATGATTTTAATTTTTTGGTAAGGATCATCATGATCTTGATCCATTGATATCTTTCACGACGACGCTCTTCATGGATCCCTTCCCTCAGGGGTGACCTCTTGTTGAGTGGTTCATGCTCCTGGATAAGTTGTATCTGTTCACCATTTGAAGTTCGTTGTAGCACGATATGTCGACGAGGGGCAGGAATAGACAGCTGCGACGCAAGTATTTCGGGGAGATAAGGAAGATCATTTCCCAGATCCCGTGTCAGACTGACGGAACTGTTGAAGAGAGTGGAAGCTAGTACATGCACACTTCCGGATGATCCAAAACGGAAACAGTAATTGCAAAATGCAAACCAGTAAAAGAAGTAGCTCTGATTCCGATTTCAACGCAATGTCAATGTGTCAACCTCCATTTCTGAGAGATGCCAAAAATAAAATTGGTGGAATTCAATTCAAAGTGCAAGATTATGAGAAAATTGAAAGTTCTAGTTCGTACTACTAGCGCCATCGCTTAATTGCGTAACTCATCCAATCGCAAGCAGAAGTTCAAACAAGTGTCAAATATCATTTTATTTCGAGTGTAGAATCTGCAACTTCTGGAGGTTTCCTCTTCCGTTTGCAACGAAAAAGTAGACGACGGTCGATAGATACAAAAACTACTGATAGATACAATTTTCAATTTCAAGGTCAAGCTCGCATTTTGGAGCTCAGCAGGTACTTGTTGCCATATAACCAATATCCCTTCCTTTTTCTTCTCGAGCTCTTCACTGAGGAGTCTTGTGGCGCAAAATGGCCCCCGACCACATGACCACAACCGCGTCCCCCGCGAAGCCCGCGGAGCAGCTTTCTGCGGACGAGTGGCGGTTGCAGCGGCAGCTCGAGTATTACTTCAGCGACAAAAACCTGTGGAAAGACACCTGGCTGCGCGAGAAACTACACGGGTCGGAAGAGAACGACTGTACCGGCTGGATCGACGTCGCCGTCATCGCCAACTTCAAGCGGGTGCAGCAAATCACCTCTGATCTGGATTGGGTGGTGCGCGTGTTGTACCGGATTGACGAGTTGGAAGTTCGCGCGCCGGGGTCGTACGATTGCACAACCGTGGAGACGACCTTTAGCAAAAATCGTCAGAAAGTCAACAACTATGTCAACATGTCTCCGGAACAATCCGGGAACAAGAATAATGGAACGCCCGAGGAAGAGTATGACTCCGTTCTTTCCGGTACTGTCTCCCCCACTAGAATCACGACGAAAGTGACAACCACACAGTACCAGGTCCGACGAAAGGCTGCGCTACCACCGAAACCAGTCGCAAATTCTTCTTCCGCGGCTGATATTAAAAACGGTTTGATGACCAGCAACACCTCCGATTGCGGGTCAACCTCCGGAGGTGCAGCAGATCGTGGTCCGCGCAACAGTCTGACCAAGAACAACAGTGGATCTACTTCGTCGCAACATCGAGATTTAGCCATGGACTCGGACGAGGAAGATCGACAGCAGCAATCGTCCACCACGACCCTGGACGGACCGACGCAGAATAAATCCAGTTCGACAAATAACCGGTTGATCCCGGGTTTCCGGCAAGTCCCGAAAACGGGCGTCATCTACGTGATGGACGAAGCCGCGAAGGTCGGGTATTCCGCCCAGACCGCGCACGAGTGGGCCAACTTGGGCCAGGGGTCGCCGGAAACGTCGCTACCGAAGCACTGGCCGGCGTCGGTGCGGAACCGAATCAAGGAATTGATCGAGGCGGGAAAACTGCCCTCCTGCGCGGCGCAGACCAGCAACCCGGCAGCCCACCTCCACAACAACGCGAGCCACAACTTCGGCCCCAGCGAGCACATCCAGGGCCCGTGGGACCAGGATTTGAAACAGCTCGAGGTGACCCCGGAAAATTTACACTACGGGAACGTGAACGGGGATTTGGCGCTCCGGCGCGCGGTCGCGAAGTTCTACAATGACATGTACCGCAAGGGGAAGCAATCGCTGTACCAAGCGGAGAACGTCGCACTGGTCGGCGGCGGGCGGCTCGCGCTGACGCGGTTAATTGCCGCCATGGACCAGATCAATCTCGGGCATTTTTTGCCCGACTACACGGCGTACACGGAATTGCTGTCCCAATTTTCCTTGACCGGAAAAATCAACTCGATTCCGATCTTGTTGAATCCGGAGAACAATTTTCGGTTGACGCTACAGGAACTCCGGCGGGAGATTGTGGGGAAAGGGTTGGGCGCGTTGCTGTTCTCGAATCCGTGCAACCCGACGGGGCAGTTGGTCGAGGGGGAAGAATTGAAGAATTGGGTCCGGATTGCAAGGGAATGTCAGTGCTCGCTGGTTATCGACGAGATCTATTCGAGGTAATTTATTATGACATTTTTTTTGCATTGCAAATAGAAATGCAATCCAGATATCGATCTACGACCAGGAGAAATGTGTGCATGTTTGCGCCGTCTATTTGTTCATGCATTCGGACTCCTGCTCAAGCAAAATGAATAATCCACAAAAGGAGCTGCATAATTATGACATAAATTTTTCTCAGGTACGTGCATGCATGACAAATTTTCGCTAGTATAATCATGCATGCTATGCAATACAAATTTACAGGTATGTTTACACGCAGCGTATGGCGCCCTCCGACGCGCACTGGCGCATGGTTTCCGCCGCGCAGTTCGTGGACGATGTGAACAGTGACCCGGTGATCCTCCTCGATGGTCTGACCAAGAACTGGCGCATGCCGGGGTTGCGCGTCTGCTGGATCGTCGGCCCGCGGCAGGTATGCATTGCAAAAGTATCGTACTCGTATAAATGCATTACAAATTTCCCTAGCATGAGAAATAAAATTTGTAATGCTGATTTACCTTAAGAGAGAGATTTGTAAATGCATGACTGCAATACGAGTACGATAGTTTTGCACAGGATACCAGGTTATCGAAGCGGTGGGGGCCGCGGGGTCCTTTCTTATGCATTACAAATATGTCTGGCGTCTGGAAGGTTGCAGCTTGATTGTCATGCTAAATCTGGATCGTGCCAAAAGTTTGTGTTGCATGATGTCCAAAAGATGTCCACTTTTGGACAAGTTCAGGGGCAATTTCTCATGCAGGATAGGCATGCTAGAGGTCTGCTCACAGAATCTGTCATGCTAGGTCCTGCATGCCCGACGTCATGGGTCATCGAGATCTGCATCACAAGTCTTGCAATCTTCCAGACGACCCAGACATATTTGCATTTGATATTTCTCGACGGGGGACCATCTCTACCAACGCAACGGGCCTTGGTGCCGCTGCTGAACCCGAAGCTCGTCTATCAAATGTAAAAATGTCTGGGTCTGGAAGACTGCAACTTGTCATGCTAAATCTGCAGCATGCAAAAATCTGTGTTGCATGATTACCAAAAGTCGTCCAGTTTTGACCAGGTCGGGAGGTAGTTTCTCATGCAGGATAGGCATTCGAAAGGTCTCGCAGAATCTGTCATGCTAGGTCCTGCATTCCAGACCTCATGGGTCATGGAAAAGCAGCATGACAAATCGCGCATTCTTCCAGACCCAGACATTTTTACAGTTGATATCGTCGTGGAGCAAACCATCCTCCTGCAGTTGCTCTTCAGCCACAAGTATCCTGTGCAAAAGTATCGTACTCGTAGTAATTGCAGCAGATACTTCAAAAGCCTCAATTTACGCACGGGGTCACAATTCTACTTTTTGACGCGGGTTCCAGCGCAAAAACCAAAGGGCAAAGCGCGGCCGCAAGTAGGTCGTGGCAGTTGCTTCGGTTTGAAAAATCACAAACAGAAAAACTAGGGCGCGAAACAAGGCGAAAAAGCGGCATCACATGGAGAAGTAAAATGCTGGATAAAGCCGCTCGTGCTGAGGGAACAGAGAAGCACTTATCCGGTGGTACCTAGGGGGCCAAAAATTTCTGCATGCGTGTCCTCCACGCGGGCGGCCCCTGGGTGCGTCGCTGTGGTTGTCAATCCGCGTGAGGGGTGAAAAGGGATTGGGCGTAGCAACTCACGCCATTGTACCTTGAGCCAAAATGCCGACATCGCAAGCTTTGACACATTGATCTTTTAGTCCACAAGTCTCAATTAAGTGTGTGCAGATCTGGCGCGACAGGTTTTCGGCATTCAGAGCATTGATGTCAACCTGAAGCGTCGCTTATTGAGACTTGTGGATTATGAAATCGATGTCAAGTGTGTTGCAGTGGGAGGCTTTTGGCTCAAGGTACTGTGTCGTGACTTGTTGTGCCCAGTCCCATTTCACCCTTCGCGCGGCATGGCGGGCGCGAACTTCGCTCTTAGCCCTTTAGTTTTCCGTCGGGAGTAGGGCTCTGCAGCATGGCCTGGTGCGCGATATTAATCCGCGCCCCATACCATGGCGGAACACTTTATTCTGGGTGGTACGCTGCAGATGTTTTCTGTAGTTGATGTCTTTGGAGGCTCGCCGACTCTGATCGCCGGAGCCCACCCGGCGATGTGAAGCGCCATGATTTGGATCCGACGAACAAGGGTGGGCTAGGTTGTCTGTTTTCCAAAAAGTTCTAACCCCCGCTAGTGGGTGGGCACTAGCGGGGGTTAGGGTCAGACGAATGTAACCCACCTTTGTTCATCCTAGAACAAATGAACAAGGGTGGGTTACATTCGTCCGAAGCTAACCCCCGCTAGTGCCCACCCACTAGCGGGGGTTAGACCTTTTTGAAAAAAAGCAGATGTAACCCACCCTTGTTCGTCCGTGTCAAAGGAAGCAGAAAGTAAGCAGCCTGCTGAAGTCAGCAGCCGGGATGCCAGCCCCGGCGGATATGATCGGGAACGACCATGCTTCTGAAGTGCAAATATTTTTGTAGAACTTTATTCGCCACGGAGTGGCCGTCTCTTAGCAGGTATCTTTCTCTTTGCTTTTAGTAAGATGTCGGCCCAGCAGGACTTCTAGCAACAAAGAGGGGGAGTTGGCTGGTTGGGTGGTCGGTTGTGCGAGTGTTGCCCTTCGCTCCCAATGGATTAGTGCAAACAAAAGGACAGAGCAGTTGTTGCAGAAGCTGACCCAGAGCCAGCAGTCGACCCCGGCAATTCAAGGCGCAGCGGGCTCTGCAGCGCTGGGAGGCCCTGTGGCGGATGAGTAGAGGCATGCCCGAAGAGGTGGATTGCCGGGCACCTATTCTGTGTCAGATTCATTCAGCGCCCCCGGAGTATCTTTTGCGATGCCCTTCCGCGCGCCATTTTGCGGCAGGCAGGCGCTGCGTGCGTGAGCGTGCTTTGTAGACGGCCCGGCGTTGTGCTATGCATGTGCCTACCAGACACTATCATAGAAGAGGGCACTTTGGCACTTAAAGTGCCCTCTTCTATGAATGTGGCGGCTCGGGGGGCACTGAAACAGGCGCAGCCGCAAAAACAGGCACAGAAACAGCTACAGAAACAGGCGGAAAATCAGGCACGCAAAAAGGTGCAAAAACAGGCACAAACGCAAGCGATGCGGGGTTGGCGCACCAAGCCCAAAAAGAAGACAATTGTGACCCCGTGCTTAAATTCCGGTAGTCGAAGTATGCATGACAAATCTTCCTCCTAAAGTAAAACAGCATTACAAATCCCACTTTTCTTTTTGCCAAAATTTGTAATGCAATTTATACTAGTACGTTACTTTTGCAATGCATAACAAACGGGATTTCCTCCTGCACCGGCTAAACGAGATGAACATAGTATGGGAGTGTCAGAATCGAAAGCGACAAAATCGAAAGGATTTGTCATGCATAAAACGGATTCCAGTTTGAACCCAGTTTCTAAGTGGCGCATGACAAATTCTGGCGGTGCCTAAATCCAGTTTGTAATGCTGTTTAGGCAAAGAAGACCGATTCTCTCATGATGTTGCTTTAGCAGCTCGAGCTATAACCCCAAACAGGCTTACAATCGGTATCGGCCTCACTTGCCTGCTCTGCAACACACGTATTCCGCGTCATGCATTTTATGCATCACAAATTTTTCGATTTTGTCAATTTCGATTCTGGCACTTCCATACATCGTGGTGGAACACCCGCCGCAGGGGACGTTTTACTGCTGGTGCGACATCTCGAGTTTACCGGCTCCGTTGAACACCTGCTGGGGGTATCAAATGTAAAAGTGTCTGGGTCTGGAAGAATGCGCGATCTGTCATGCAGCTTTTCCATGACCCATGAGGTCTGGAATGCAGGACCTAGCATGGCAGATTCTGTGCGATCTCTCTCATGCCTATCCTGCATGAGAAACTCCCTACCGACTTGGTCAAAACTGGACGACTTTTGGTAATCATGCAACACAGATTTTTGCATGCTTCAGATTTAGCATGGCAAGTTGCATTCTTCCCGACCCAGACATTTTTACATTTGATAGGCGGTTTTTCCGGACCATGCTGAACGAGGGGAAGGTCATCGTCTGCCCCGGCGTGTTATGAATTGTAAAAATATCTGGGTCTGGAAGATTCTGACACTTGTCACGCACGTTTTGCATGAGCCATGATGTCTGTGGTGCATACCCTAGCAATACAGATTTTTTGAGGGCTTCTTGATGCGTATTCCGCATGACAAATGCCTTCTCAGCGTAGCAAAAATTGCATTTCCTTTGGTACTCATGCAATACAGAGTTTGTTGGAATCCAAATGCAGCATCACAAGTTGCATTCTTCCAGACCCCGACACTTTTACACTTGATATGTGTTTTTTGACGTCAACCCCGGGCATCGCAGGAAGTTCTCGAATTACTCGTATCAAAATGAAAAATCCCCCCACCCCACATCAAAACGAAGTCTGTGATGCTGGATTTGCGTACACAAATCAGATTTGTCTTGCTGAAGAGGACTGCAGGTCTATACCAAGCCTGAGTAGAGAGGTTTTGAGCTAGGCTCTTAGCATGAGAAACGTCTGCGCTGTAGGCCCAACAGCATCACAAACCGCCTGCATAATGCGGCGGAGCCTGTGGAGTTGCCTTCTTGCAAGACAGAGATGATTTGTGGTCGCAAATCAGCATTGCAAATTTTCGGCGACTTACCTTTTTGATATGGGGAGGGGGGATTTTTCCTCACAATAACTCGGGCTTCGTCCGGCTGTCCTACGGGCCGTCGTTTCCGGAGATCAAGCGGGGGCTCGACGCCATAGAAATGGTGATCACGAAGTACAGAACGGGCGGGAGTTGTAGTGGAGTGAATAAAATGGGTATGGGTTCCTCCTGCACGACATTACCTTCTTCGTCGGGTATGAAGCGGACTCTGTCCATCGGGGAAGCTTCGGAAAAAACCGCGAATGGGTGCTGTTCCGAGATGAACTAGGACATCCAGGAGCATTGTATGTTGTCCTACGTTCTTCTTGTTCTTTCCCGGTGGTGGTCGCAGGGTGAAGATGTTGACGTCTGTAGAAAATGATCTTCACGTGGTTTTTTTTGTACTTTATTTCATATGTACAATATGGTTTGGCCAGACAGTAAGGTCTATCTGTTTGGAAATGAATGAACCTAGCTTGACAAGTCCTACTTATGTGCAGCTGCAGCAACGTTTTGGTTTAAGGAGGCTCGGGCTCAAGGAGTTTGTGCGCGGAAGTTGTAGAGGTTTATTATCTGTGTGGAGAAATAAATTTCTGTGCGGCATATTTACACGCTTCGAAGATGAGCTACATGCATCAAACAAGTTCAGGACAACGAGAAACAAGACTTTTCAGTAAAACCTCGTCGCAATACTACAACTACCCGCACCGCATACCTCCGCTTCGGTGCATTTTCACATCGCACTCCTCATACACGAATAAGATTCAATCATGCTTTGCTTACGCGAGCATCATACGCTCGCTACAGCAATGTAAATGTAATAATTATGCAGGAGTATTTTCGCCGGCGAAGGCGATGAAACTGAAAGAAAGTGTTACAGCAGGAATTGATTCCGCGCAAATTACCGATCGAAAAAAATCGAAAATGACGCACAGAATCGAAGATGATCGAAGTCATGTCTAGTACTCGCCAAATCCAAATTGCGCTGCTAATCACCGCGCATTTTTTCCGAGAGAAATTGAAATCACTTCCATGAGACATGGATGAAACGAGTAGAAGCAAGTACATGATCCTAATCCATCGGTATATTCGCTAAGAATAATTGTTTGACTTTGAGCTGAATGAGGTTGAGGATCCATTCGGAGAGGGGGCTCGTCGCGCGCGCGCCGCCCACCTCCGCCGTCCTGCTCACAGACGCACCGCATAAGCCCGAGTATCTTCCTCGCAACACGCCCAACAACTCTTGGCATGCGCAGCAAGCAGAACAAATCCACCCATGCGCTTCGTTCGCCTCGACGATACATAAATGAAACTTAAGCTGCTTTCGAAAGGACGTCAACGTCATTGACTCAACTTGACCCATACCACAGTGACTTGAGACGTGAAAAGCCACTTGAAATCCATCGAATCATATAGTAGTTTTTCTTTTTGTGCAAATCTCGTACTTCCAATCGCGATAGAAGATTCTTGCAAAAGTAGCGACCACTTCATTTTAACCTGTAATTGCTAGCTGTTCCCCCAAGAAAATACGACCAACTTTGCAACTACTACCGCCCACCTGGGGTTTTACGATTTGCTTTTTGTTTTGAAGATTTTAAGTTCGGCACTACCTCACAGCATCTCCGAAAATGGGCCGCTCTAACGGATGCGAAGCGAACAGAAAACGAGCAGACGCCGCCAAGCGGGCAGAAAAATATGCGAAAGATGGTATAGCTGCAGTTTTTCTGTAGTAATAATTAAACAGGTCCTGCTCATCCAGTCCACCTCATTCGCTTATAGCAACTGTAGCTGTTTCTGTGAATCGCAGGAACGGATCATGAAAACGAGCAGAAATTAAAATTATACACCTCAAAAAAAAAACCCAGGTAAATCGCAGCTCGACGCCAACGCAAAATGCATGACCCTGCAGTGCCAGGTGTGCCTGCAGAGTTTCATGTCAACGCAGCTGAAGATGGCCAAGATGCACCACGAGCAGAAACACGGCAACAAAAAATGGGAAGAGTGTTTTCCCGGACACCCGCAGCCCGCGGCGTAGTGAAGGGCGAGAGTTTCTCTACACCAGATGCTGCTCAATAATTCCTTCTCAACATCCTCGTGCAACTTTTCTACTTAATAATACCAAAAACGCGACAACCACCAGTGCGGCTCGGAAGATGAACTAGCTTTTGCTCCTTTGTCATGACGGGACGCAACGACGGGCCACCACCACGTGCAGGAGCTCCCCGACTGCTCGTCGTCGGGGAAACGAAAATGGTGAGTAAAGAGATGGATGCTAGGACGACCCACAATGGTGTGGTGCACGACATGATTGAAAATGAAAATGAACTTTGACGCCATTCTCATTTGCAATAAATCTTTTGACAGCATGGAAATACGTACTTGGACGAGGCCTACACACTCATCCTCAAGACAACACAAGATGAAGACGAGCTATAGCTGCTGGTTTAGAAAATTTTCTCCCCTAAACAACAAAAGTTTGCTCATGGTTTGGCGCGATTATTTTGATTTTCCATCGTCGTGACTCTGACACCTCGTCTCCACTTTGGAGGTAGGTTGGTCACGGACTTTTAACAAGCAAAAAAATGCGAAATAACAGGAAATGGCGGTGATGTGAAAAATTACATCCGCCTTCATCCGAGAACTCTGGCATGGGTAGATCTTGTGCACGTGTTCCTCCGTGGCCTTAAGTAATGACTTTTTTCGTTCCTGTAGGTCGTGGATTCAAGTGCATCGAAAGAGAAGAGCGGCAGCTGGACGGAAATGCGAGCAACCCAAGCCGTTTTTTGGCCTTTTATTTGAGAGACTTCGTCCGCAGGAAAGCCATGAGCAGACACTATGCACTTGCACAGTAGCCACGATTTGAGTTGTGCTATACTTTATCAAAGCTGAGCAAAAACAAAACGGCGCGTCCATAACATCTGAGTGATGAAGGCGAAGAGGTATACGAGCGATGTGTATTCAGCTCGTCTTTCGTTCATCGTTGTTTCATCCCGCCCTTTGTCTTGTTTCTCAAGGAGGTTCATTCTAGCCGGTTGAGCAAGGACCCGGTAGTAGAGATGCAGATGCCGTGCCTGCACAATGCTGCTCTCCACTTGACTCCTGATTTTGAAATTCTAATAATTGCACCAGATTGATTTTAGCCACGGGGCAGTCGTTCTTACAGCTTCATCAGTCAGTGCTCAAGAGAAGATTCGCAGGAGGTGCGAGGATCATGACGGATGCCGTGCGCCCGCGGCGCACCGGGCAACAGCGAACAACCACGTCCAGGACGACCGGAAATACAACTAGTGGGAGAGACAGCGACTCCTCTTCCCGTCGACGGGGTGACGCAGCACGCAGCAGAAGTAGAAGAGGAGGACAACAGGTTGTCCAGAGCAGCACTCTATGGATTGTAAAAGTCTCTTACTCGTATAAATGCATTACAAATTTCCTCAGCATGAGAAAGAAAATTCGTAATGCGGATTTACCTTAAAAAAAGGATTTGTAATGCATGACTGCAATACGAGTGCGATACTTTTGCGCAGGATACACTCCCACCTTCTCGCAGCGTCCCCCGCAGGTTCTGATGTCGAAGAGGATGTTGCCGCCGGAAGATCTATCAAACAAAAAAGTGTTGACGTTAACGGTTTTCACAAATTATGGCAGTCACGCATTACAAATTTTGCCCTTCATGCATGCTATGCAATACAAATTTGGGCACTTTTTCTGATGCGTTACTGCATCACAAGTTCCGTTAACGTTAACACTTTTTCCTGTTATAAGATCACAACACGAACAAAGATGTTCATCTTGAGGAACTTACCTACGCCCCTGAAGATGCAACACCGGTTTATAACTACACAGGAGGTGGACCTGGAGATTCGAAAACGACTATCGGGAGTGCGCAAACAAACACAGTTTCGTCTTTACCTTCCGGACGTGGTCGAACCACCATCCTAGCAAAAACCTCGTCGAAGCAACTCGTAGCGCAGCCAGCGTTACGTACCGGGACGCATGAGATGCTGCAGAGCATGACAAGTTCAAGTAGAACTTCAAGCACTAGTACAACTACTACTGGCCATCTGTATCAGTATGATCTGCAGCTCGTCACAGCACGGCCACCTACTTCGTCATCCAGAACTCTGTACAGAATCGACGATTATCTGAACAAGAAGCAGGAAAAGCAGCTGGAGGAGAAGTTGAAGTGGTGGTACGACAGTAAGCGCTGGTCCGTTTTCTACACGCGCAGGGAATCCGCGCTGCGGTTTCTTCTCCTTTTGTCCGTTTTTTACTTCGCGCTTCTCGGGTACCTGCTGTTGACCACGAAATGGGCGACGGGGTTGGTGATTTCCGATTCGCCAGCCGTAACGAGACCGTTCAAATCGCTGGAAATCCGGTCCAGTTTGTTTTACGTCGACACAAATTTGCAGTGCAGCGCAGGCGGGTCATCATCCTCTGTGCGATGGAACTACAAGAACCCGGCAGCTAGTACTATTGGGCGAACCGGAAGAGCAGGAACTACTGGCGCAGCACCGGCAAGAAACAGCGATGAATTATTACAAGAGGAACAGAAAGCGATGCTCGAAGATAACTACGACTACAACAACGCGGAGGTGATGTTGGAAGGTCAGATGAACGAGAGATACTACCGAGTTCTGTGCAACTGGTTTCAGTACATTCACGGACGCGCGAACTTTCGGGACTTCATCTCTTGGGCCTGTAGCAGTTTGCCAGCGCAGAGGGACGCGGTATTCAGATTCAACAACTACATATAGAATGTTGATGCGGGTGGAGCGGAAGGAGAATGACAGATACATTTTCTGATGCAGACTCAGAATTAGATGCATTTGCTTTTGCATTCATGTTCATCACAAGATTAAAAATACCTCCAAGAAAAATTTCGTCGCCCAAGAATAAGAAACAATAACTAACCTCGTCCACCAGGCGATTTCCAATCTGTTCCTGGACAAAAACCTACTCTGCGATGTGGCGACCAAACACGCGTCGCTGCACCAGTTTTTTTCCGCGATCGTCACGCCGTTTCTCCTCATCCCCATGCTGGGCTTCACCGTCATCTGGGGCATCTGGCTCTTTCAACCGGCGAACACGGTGTTCGGTGACGTCGCGATGCTGTGCTTTTTGCTACCGGTGTTCGTCGTGCCAGGGATGTTTGCTGTGTACAAAGCACTTTCGGATTTTTTTGTCGTGATGTACCTAACTATGAACGCTATGAATGAAGCAGCACGCTTTTCTTGCTTTGCTTTTGGCGGTAATAAAGCCGCCGTATCTTTTGCGTACTTGAGACACGACATATTTCTATCAAATGAATTTGTGTATCACTATCAGCCGTACCATGGTGATTCAAGACCTTTCCGTCGAACTTTCGCCGCTCCTGGACATTCCCCGCGAGATCCTCCGGCGGCCGGACATTGACCTCGATTATCTCCAGTACCTCATCACCAACCCGTCGGAGATGCCGACCCACGTGGAGGCACAGATGGAACTCATCTCCCGCACAAGCGAGGATTTTTACCTCACCCAGGAGTGGTACGACTCGTTTTCGCTGTGGCGCTGGCTGGGATTTGTCCCCTTCGCGGTGGTGTTGTTCACCTCTCTGCTGTACTGGAGCGTGGTGGTGCTGTATGTGTTTGTCTCGCCCGAATCCATGCTGGTGCCCAGTTGGGTGGAACGAAGTGCGAGGAGAATCCGGTGGCACGTGCTGGGAGGACATTCGGTATTCTTAGAAATAAAAATGAAGCGAGAAAATTTTTTTCCCGCGCATGCAGATGCAGGTTTCCTTGCGTGGCATGATTCATTTTTGCAAGAAATTGAATTGTATTGATCAGCGTCTTTGATTGCCATAATTGCGATTGGTGTCACATTTTTTCGCCAAAAAAATCAGAACCACCGCTACGCCGGGCTGGCCAGCGCCACACCTTTGTTTGTGAAGGAGAACCCGGAATTTCTGGCGGATGTTGGTGAGGAGGAAGAATTTTATTGGGAGGAGGGGGAGAATGAAGACAGTCGTCGAGGACAGGTGAAGCACAATCTAGCTATTTCTGATGCTGGTACTAGACCACAGCAACGCGACTTCAAGCAGTTACCAGACCACAAACAGAGCGAGGAAGACCACGGCGGCGCGGATGTCTTGTCCGATGAATACGCGACTTCGTCGCCGACTGTGAGGGAACAAGTAGATGAGCGGGTAGTTGCAACTTCATCATCATCGGCGGAAGATGCGATCATCGCGAAAAGTAGAAATCGTAGTAGAAGTGACAAAAAACAAGGCCGCCATCAAAAGCATCGCGTTAGTAGCAGCAGGACAAGCGGAAGCGCAGAAGTGCGGGAAGTAAAATCATCTTCGAGCATCAAAGTCGCGGCAGCATCAAAGGCCGCACACCGAGAAGACGACGATGTTAAAAACAATGCGCGAACTGTGTCGAAGGAAAGCACGACGGTCGAGGAGGAGGAGGATTTGTTTTCTTCGGGCGATCCACAGAGATTGAAGGTTCCCGTTTCGAACGATGCAGGTTTCTCGTCAAGAACGCAAAAAGACGTTCTTCGGTCGACAACTTCACCAGGCGGCCGCGGCGTACATTCATCATCTTCGTCAAGACGAAAGGTCACTCAAGAAGAAGAAGAAGTTCTTGAAGCAGTGACAAGCGCAGTAGTTGTTTCCGGCGAACATGCCCCTGCCACCGACCGGACCACGACGGAAAATGGCTATGGCGAGATTCTTCCAACTTCAACTGCCGATAGCAGTTCCGGTGTAGCGAAGAGTGCTGACGAGAAAAATGACAGTATCTCCACCTCGACAGCGTCTACTTTGTTTTCCGCCCAACAGCATCAAAAGCGCAGTGAAAGTAACGTTACCACGACGTCTTCCTCTTCCACCGCTTTGCTGCACGAGGACTTCGAGCAGTTTATCAGCAGAGGACGAACTAGTAGCAAGACCGAGATGTTGAACATGAACACCAGTGGACAAATGACGTTCTTCGATGCGAATCGTGTGGATAGTGAACTGGGACGAGATGTACTACTGCCAGAGGGTGGTGCGCTGGGCAGCAGGACGCTGGTAGGTGGTGTGGGAAGTAGTGAAAGTAAAACGGGAGGTGCTGCTGTTCCTGTTGTATCAAAGACGTTTCTGTCGAGTGCTGACAATACTAAATCTACGTCAAGTCCGACGAATTTTTCCTCTTCGTCGAATAGCACGAACAGTAGACCTATTTCCAAGAAAAGCAACAAGACGAACCCATTTTCGTCTCCGGATGACGACGGAAGTAGTTTTTTGAAAAGACCGAATGGCTGAGATGTGACAGTTAAGCTGGATGAAGTTGTGAATGAAGAAGATGAAGGACAAAAAAATCAAGTTGGAACCGCGCGGGCAACACGATTGAAGTGCGCACCACCTATTGCGCGACGTGCGATGGGTGCCAGTCTGCTGGTGCACTTTCTTGCCTACAGAATGTTGAGTGAAACCTGAGGTAGTATCAGTAGTACGCGCGACGAGCTCGAGCGGTCCTTGTTGACCACTCTTCTTCGTGTTTTGACATCGAGAGACTATCAGCGAGCTGTGAGAAGTTGGTACGCGTTCCGGCAGTGGTGTGAAGCTGATCTACTCGACGCAGGGAGTTTTCGCTCCTGTAAGTAAACTACAACGACTACTTCGAATGGCTTTTACTACTTACGTTTGCCATCCTCTGATGTGACTGCGCGTAGGTTTTTGCGGTCGGACAGGGCACGATATGAGCCACCGCTGCACTTGTTTGCGCAGGCAGGATGCAAAACCGGCGCGGTTTGTGGTGTGGGGGGCGGCTACGTGTCTCGGGCTGCTGCCTCGCGCGCCGCTGATGTTGACGGAAAAAAGCGAGTCGGCGGCTTCGGTGGACAGGCACCTGCCGGAAGCCCAGCGGGTCGGCGTGAAGGGCTTCATGGGGTTCGGACACCACTTTTGACCACTACACCAACAGACGAGCCTCGCAGCGTGGCGAAGCATTGGCGCTGAAGGTGGACGCGGGCGCCCTCGGCCGCCTGCGCTTCAGTGGAGCCGACGCAAAAGCAACCAGGGCGCACATTTACGCAGCCAACAAAGCCCCTGCCGGTTGCCTCCCTGATTCCCGCCGGTGGCTCGCGGACGGGGGCCAATCTTGGCCGCGCCTGGGCAGTTTGCGGCGCCTGGCCGCCTGTGTTTGCTGAGCGGCGCCGCGCCTGCGGTGCCCAGCGAACCAAGATGAAACGCAGGAGCCTTTTGGGGAGGCTGTTGGTTCTCCCTCCGCCGGCTCTAATCTGGCGCCGCACGCCACAGCCTTGGCGCGGCGGCCCTGTATTACCCGTGCTGGCCGGGGCGCCCTGCCGGTGAGTGTATTTTGTTGGCGCGTGGGCCTCTCCCCTGATCACTTCGGAGGACCCGCTGCTCTGCATTGACACTAGCGGCCCGGCCGCAGCGGTGGGCTTGCTTGTGTTTCGGTTGCTACCACCATAGGTGGTGCTTCCACATCATTCCACACGTCGTGTGCGCGATCTCGTATATGTGCGAAGCAACATCATCAACAAGGCTGAAGAAAGCTTAAATCCCTCCAGGCTATGCCTCCTGACGCTCTTCGTAGTTACATGCGCGCCAGCGGCAGCTGTAACGCCGATTATTACATCAAGCGCCGTCGTCAGTTGCAAATGTTGCTATAAGAAACTCGTCGACTCGTCGGACACTTCTGAAGATACAAGACGAGCGAGGTAAAGTAGAGGCAACAGACATCAAAGGAGTCGTGCAGTTCGTTGAGAGTTCCAAATTGGGCGAACAAGAAGCATGAGTCGGTTGTGTACGGCGTTGTCTCGTTATCGGTCTCGTAGAATGACTTTGGAACAGCATCATTTTAAACTACCGCAAAAATGTAACTCGTCCTGATGATGCCGAAAGTGCAAAATGATGCGCTCGTACCGCTGAAGAGGAAATTGCAAAATAATAGCTTGACCACGATGCTCTGTTTCAAGTCGTCCTCTGTTGAGAGCGTTCTTGTAGTCGTGTGGTGCTCGTTCACTATAATATATTGGTGTCGGTTCGTTCACGTGAGGTCGTACTACAGCACAAAGAGCGTAACCGTAAAACTCGTACTACCACCTACGTACTCTAGCTTGTTCATCGTTGGGAATTTGAAACCACTCCACTATTCCGTCCACATTGTGAGCCCGTTTGTATCTCCCTACAAACCCATTGTCAACTCATTTAATCTGCAATCAGCAGTAAAACTACGAGCAATTCGTTTGCTTCCCACAAAATCTCCCCAATCTCTTAACTACTCGCAAAACCACTTTGCAACGCAGCAACTCGCACGTTGTTTATTCAACTACTAAAACCACAAAACAGCACCAGACGTTTTTTCGACAATAAACAAGAACAAATCACACCTTCGGGAGGTTTTGTTCGTCGCGGCTTTACAGCTAGAACACTCCAAGAGGAAAAATCGCTTAAGAAACCTTCCCAAAACACCCCACATCGAAGATGTTCGACAAATACGAGCTTGGGTGCTACGACATGACCTTCAACTTGGTCTACCCGGACGAGGCGCAAGAGCCGGTGGAGTACGTCCCGAAGAAGACGTGGCTGAAGTTCCGCCTCTCCAAGTATGTGCGCCTCCCGAAGCTGCCGAAGATGCCGGCCCTGCCGTCGCTGCGCAAGCCCATGGCCAAGTCCAAGTCGCCGATGAAGTCGCCCAGGAAGTCCCCCTCTCCCCGCCGTTCCATTGCGGACGAGCCGGTAGATATTGAGTTTGTGGTATTGATTTTGGTTTGTTCACCTTGATCTTCACATAATGGTTCAATCGATAGCGCGTGACAGGACTAGGACAAGGAGACGTGCATTTGCATTTACAGAAAGAGAAAAGAAGTCTAGATTGTTGTTCTGCAACACAATATACCTCATGCAAAGTAGATCCAAGACCAGCATTTTAGATAGCGGAATGTTGAAAATCCAAACCTTAACACCAGGACGAGCTTTCGGAGATCGACGAGGCTGCTGCGTTCGCTGCTCTCCCGGCCTACCGGCCCCCGATGAAGATGAAGATGGCCACTCCCAAGCCGATGAAGATGAAAATGATGGCTGCGACCCCGATGAAGGCCAAGTCTCCGGTGATGGTGAAGGCACCGAGTCCGATGAAGATGATGGCGGCGGCTCCCAAAATGATTGACGAGAAGGCGGCCTTCGCGGCGCTGGCTCCCTACAAGCCGCCCATGCGCAAGAAGATGGCCATGGCCATGAAAATGAAGAAGCCCATGAAGGTATAGATAATACTTCGATTGCAGCCATGCATTACAAATCTCTCTCTTAAGGAAAATCCGCATTACAAATTCCATTTCGTCATGCTGACCAAATTTGTGATGCGATTTCGTCATGCACATCAACATCAACTTCGACATCCACGGTACACAACTAGTACAAAAAACACCTTCAGATGACCATGAAGATGAAGAAGGCAATGATGGTTGCCCCGAAACCTACTCCGATGAAAATGACCATGAAGATGATGGCTGCCCCGATGGTATCAAATGCAAATATGTCTGGGTCTGGAAACTTGTGATGCTAAAATGTGGATGATGGAAACAGTTCCGAATGCAATCTAGCATGACAACTTTCCAGAACGCTTTCTCATGGGCAATCCGCATGAGAAACTGCGTGCTGCTTGCTTCCTTGTACAAAAGAGGCTGCGACTTTTGTTCGTTATGCAATACAGATTTCCGAGGTATGGAAAGCTAGCATCCCAAGTTCCAACCTTCCAGACCCAGACATATTTGCAGTGGATAGATGGTTGTCGCTCCCCCGCCGAAGCCGATGAAGATGAAGATGATGATGAAGAAGATGGCTCCCGCCCCGAAGCCGGCCCCGATGAAAGCGAAGATGATGAAGATGATGAAGGCGGCAGCGCCGAAGCCCGCCCCGGTGATGAAGGCGACGCCGATGATGAAGATGATGGCCGTATCAAAATGAAGAATCCCCCCTCCCCATATCAAAGCGGATATTTGTGATGCTGATTTGTGGCCACAAGTCACCTTTGTCATGCATATAATGCAAGGGGAGCTATTTGACGCATTTTTCCAGAGCAAGTCCGTCATGCGCATTCGACTACTGCAAACCTGTTTGCCATGCACAATTGCTCGCCTTCTGCATTATACCCAACGAGCAGGCTTAGAAAATACCGCCAAGCACTTTCTGCAAGACAGATCTGATTTGTCTACGCAAATCCAGCATCAGAGATTTCGTTGCGATATGGGGAGGGGGGATTTTTCCTTGCGATACGCCGCCCCGACCCCGATGAAGATGAAATCTAAGATGATGGCCGCCGCTCCAGCTCCCGTGGCGCCGAAGCCGCAGATGCTGAAGGAGATCGCGGACAAGATGACCAGCATGAAGACAATGAAGGCGCTGGGAAAGTCCGAGATCGACTACCTGAAGGCGATCTTCAAGAAGGCCGACGTGAACAAGGACGGTACGCTCAGTCTGTCCGAGTTCAAGGCCGCGGCGCTTGGAGGCCCGGGCAAGAACAAGGAGGCCAAGCTGATCACCGCCCACACCGGGAAAATCATGAAGAGCCTGATGAAGATGAAGAAGTAAAGGAACAAAGGGAAAATACGAACTGATGTCGCAGAAGTGCACCAAACTACACGAAGAACAAATGTAGCGGTCTCTCGGGCGCATGCTGGCGACTCTGCATGGTTGTAGTAGACAACGAAATCAAATACTGCATGAAAATTCTATTGCTTTTGCTTTAACGTATTTCCATTATTCCACCTCTTCGTCTTTTATCAATTGTCATTCTCAACGATCGGGATGTTGCACTGACTTACTGCACGTCCCACAGCGCTCTGGGCTCTATTCGAAAAGCATCTACTTTGTCATGTAAAATAGCAATCGTTTCTTCATCTTCAAAAAAGGTAACGTCATAGCATCTTCAAAGCAGTATTGTTACAATATTAAACTTCTAAAGCGAATCTTCAGGGGAAATAAGATACGTCGAATTAAAATTTCAGTTTATCAGAAAATCAGACACAAAAATTCCGAGAAGTTTATCACAGGAAAAATAGCAAAATCTAAATCAGTTTAGGTTAATTACGCAGGAATAGAATCAGACGGCACGACAGAATTTCAAAAATTATACTACAAAAAGTTTTCAGTTTCAGAATGATTTCAAAACAATTTTCAGTTTTACCATAGCTTCTTAGCTCGCTTCTATCTTATGGGTTACATGTTGGTGCGGGAATCGTGTTTCATAAAATGTATTATCGTACAAAATATGGACGTGGTTTCAGTACTACACAGAACAGCCTACCCCAGAAATAAGCATTACCACCCCGTCGTTCTCGTTTTCAAGTATGTCCCCGAAACAAAATTCTGCTTCAGTTTGCTTTGGTTAGATACGGATACGGTGCAAAAGAGGAATCGACGACGTCACACCGCACGTAGGTTGCCTACGGACGGGCGACGCGCCGGCGCGTCCTACGAAGATTCCTTTTCAGGTCCGACCAGAACTTACTGCTAGTAAGAACCGGTGCAGCTGCCTCGCATATCCTGCCAGAACATGGCGAAGGAAAAGGTCCTGTTTCGTTTGAGCTACGGTAAAATACATAAAAATTCTAACCCTCTACGTCTACTAGCTACGTAGTTATTTCCGAAACGGAAGAACATGTACATAATTTTGGCGCGAGCGCGGGATGATGAACTGTTATTTGCACAGCTTTTACGAAATCTGGACACCGACAAGAAAAAGGCGGTTCTTGAACTTCTCATGCACTACCCCCAAGATGAGTCAGAGTCACGCTGTGGCTGTGTCTCGAAAATAAATCCAAAATCCACCAAGCGCGATCTCTGGATTAGAGGATCCGCTTTGATGGCCCCACATGCACATTTTCATACACGCCAGTGTTCCATCAATGTAGTGCTCCGTTTTGCTTTTTGACTTCTTTCGGAGGAAATTGATTTGTATTTGACCCGCATGAAAATTCAAAGGATCAATGATCTCCGGGTGTGGAAAGCAATTCAAGCACTAGTCACACTGCGTCGCTAACTCCTGAAGTGAGATTGTATACTTTTTTCGAGTCGAGGTCACATAAATACGAAGAACTTTGTCGTGACAACTTTCAGCCTGGCTACGAATTCTTGTAGACTCTGACATCATAGCGGTGTTTCAGCCGACTAAGTACACACGTAGTTTTTGTCAGAAGTAGTTGCAGTAGTTGTACATAAGGCGATTTCCATTTCGCCCACAAAATTTTTTTACATTTTTGTTTTGTCTGGTTTCAAAGTATTTTTTCATGGAGCTATAGCCATCTCTTACATTTACTCCACAGGAGCGAAAGCTTGCATTATATATACGAAGATCTACGACTACATCTGCAGTTTCTAATATTGTTCATGTGCAGCAACATGCAGCACGGCGCTCGGTCGTGGCGATTCTGACACAACAAGGTTTTGCTCGCATTGCAGTGGGACGAAGAAGTAGAATTTCCTTTCGGCCGCTCGCTGTCAGTGTCGTCGCGAAGTGGCTTTCGGAATTCAATGCACTTTTGCTTCCCTAGTAAACAAAACCGGGCGACGCTTCTTCACTGCAAACAATAACATTCCACCTTCACGCAAGGCGATACCGTTCTTGCACAGCACTGACACCTGTACGATCCGGTAGCCGCCTTGAAGGTACTTAGTAGTTCCCGGGGAACGAATATACGACTACGGCGCTCTCCTCCAGATAAATCACACCAGCCGCATTCTTCAAACCAGTATCGATCCCATCGGAAGACAAAATAGCGCATTGTTCTAGTAGTTCTTTCCCCTAAACCCTATATCACCAACCTCCGTCCCTTGTTTGCAACGAATTGCGACCCGGCTTTCGTTACCTACTGCCCAACATTTCCTGTCGCCATATTAAGGACCCGGCTCCGCAGCAAAGTAGTCGTGCGCATTTGTTTGAGCTTTGCTTTTGGCTTGGTTCAATCATCCCTCCGCGCCGTCCGCCTCCGCACCAATTATACCGACGACTTACGCGACCAATCTCCTACGACAGCCTGCCACGACCAATATGTCCTCCTCCTCCAGTTCGTCTTCATCTTCGCAGGACTTCTACGACATCCTGGAAGTCCCAAAACAAGCTTCCGCAGACGAGATCAAGAAGGCCTACCGAAAACTGGCGATAAAATGGCACCCAGACAAAAATCCGGACAACCAGGAGCAAGCCACGGCCAAGTTCAAACAGGTGGCGGAGGCCTACGAAGTACTGTCCGATGAGGCGAAGCGAAAACAGTACGACCAGCTTGGCATAGACGCCTGGAAGCGCATGTCCTCGGGTGGCGGCGGCGGCGGGCCGGGCGGCGGCTTCCACGGAGGCCACGACATCGACCCCAACGAGATTTTCCGGGCTTTTTTCGGCCAAAATTTCGACCTCGGCGGCATGGGCGGGCCCGGCGGTGGGGGCATGCGATTCACTATGGGAGGCGGCCCAGGCGGGGCGGGAGGTAACTGTTTTGTAGACTTGAGCACTACGTGCGGAGGAGAGGGCAAGAAGATAATTTTAGTACGCCGCTCTGCAGGTGAGCGTGAAAATTTAGATTGTATGAACAAGATCACGTTCTCTCGACATGATTGAGTGCGGCCGTGAAGATCATGCTGAGAAAATGCTATACCAGGTATACACTTCTCCTTTGGCGGCCCGATGGGAGGTGGCGGCGGAAATATGGGCGGCGGCGGTGCCGTGGATCCCTTCGCCGCGCTCTTCGGCGGAAATGCGTTCGGCTTTCCGCAGCAGCAGAGCCGGGATAGACAAGCAACCTACAAAGTTGCCTGCACCCTCGAAGAGCTCTACACCGGGTGCGAGAAACGGGTCGAGACCAGGGCAGGGGTACTTATAGTTTGCGTTTGTTTGACAGCTATTGCTATGCCACGTCGAAGAACCTGAACCACCTTGCTTTTCCATCTTGCTGTCGTGCATGCATCGTCGACCTAGAACTAGAAGAGTGCTGCTGGTCGACGTCGCGCCGCGGGAATCTACTGCAGCGATCTTTTACGTGGCAGTTGTAACTCTAAGTGCTACCTTTGTTTGTAGTTCTTTGCTCGTTGTCATTCGGGAGGATGATGTTGAAATGTACAAAACACGACACACTCTCAGGCCTCTACGATCTCGATCCCCAAGGCCACTAAGCCGGGCACGAAGCTCGCCGCGCAGTCGCTTGCGAACGACGACAATGCAGCGGCCTCCTCTGCCCGGCCGAAAACCGTGTATCTGATCACGCAGAAGGATCACGCGCGATTCGAGCTGCAGAACGAGCACGATGTCTACTACCTGTGCACGGTTTCTGTTTCCGAATGGCTGCTGGGCACGCGGTCCTCTAGCGGCTCTTCCAAACCGCTGCAGTATGAACTGCAAAGGCAACATGAACATCGTACTCGTACTATTAATTGCAAACATGCATGACAAATCTTCTTCCTATATGTAAAACAGCATTACAAATTCCATTTCTAAAAATGCTGGGGGAATTTGTGATGCTATTCATACTAGGACGTTACTTTTGCAGTTCATATGCAGATTAAGATGCTGGATAACAGTCTTGCCGAGCTGGAAATCGACGCCCTGCAGCTTTCCTTCAAGCGCAGAATACCGGGCTGGGGCATGCCCAAGAAAGCGGCGGCGGTAACAAAGGTGAACGCGGAGAGTAGGAGGCGGGGACTGAGGGAAGGAAGGCTGATGGCGAAAGACCACGGGGACATGATTATCAGGTATGTCTATGTGGTTGGTACGGTAGTAGAACAACATCGATCTACTCGCAGCTAGGATCAGAATCATCATGAACATTGGTGCTACTAAGTAAAAGTGAATCTTTCGCCATAGCAGAGACGTTCGAATCGGGGGGGGGGCGAAGCGTTGTAAAAACTACACGATGATTTACAACATGAACATCATACAGGTTGATTCCGATGTCCCGCCAGGCCTTCGAAGAGAGCTTACGAGTCGGGAAAACGGTGCTGTATTTGCTGGGCTTCCTCCTCTTGATTCAGCATCCCAGCATGTTTTTTCTGCTCTACATGATGTCGCCCATGTTGCAAAGAATCCTGTTTGCATAGGACGGATGTGGAGTTTTCTACTAACAGCACGAAAGAAGATGAAAAGCAAAGTGTGAATCCATCGCAAGTCGTGTCAATCAGGAATTGTGTGAAGCATTTGTAGACCACATCATACGTGATAAAATGAAGCGACATGATACAGGACCACCACGATTGGAATCATGGTCGGAGCGAGGAGAACAACAAAGTTGCCTGCTCCTACTAACTTTTTTGTCCCAGTTCCATGTTGGGTCCAGAAAAAAAAAATAAAATATCACGCAAGGAGAAAAGTCAAAGCTGTTAAGGGGAAAAGTCCTGCCAAGGAGAAAAGTCCAGCCAAAAGAAAAAAGTCCGAGCGTGCAACAGCTCGCGCGGTGTGGGGACTGGTCCCGCTCTTTTTCGTGAGAAGTGGCATCGGAGAAAGTCACCGTGACAAATTTCGCCCCTAGCGTTCAAACTTTCTGTAGCGTGTCCCAACCTCCGCACTTGTTAGTCGGGATGATTATGTTGGGGGCGCACGAAGTAGGGCAGTTTTTGCGCCCCCGCACCAGTGCAAGGGTTTCCAACCAGGTATGAAAGTAATGGCGCACGGGTGCGCGTTTCGTCGATTTCTTGCGACGATACTTTTCAGGCCGCAGGATGTTTGGATCTATTTTCACCAAGAATCTGCGCGATTCATCGGCCCCCTTCTCAATTCCGAGAAGGGGGCGGATGGCGGATTCTGGCTGACGTTGCTCCCGGTCCCGCATCCCGAAGTCAAGGGGCTGGCTATCGGAAGCTTTGCTCGGAATGAAGATAGGCCTGGTGGTGGGTTTTGCGTTGTGTTTGGTTTTGCGCTTTTGCACCGACGCGGGCGGCGATGCCTCGTTGAAGTAAGAAAGGCGCAAACCCAGACCCGGCGCCCGCAAAAAGCGGAAGCCAGGGAGGGCCGCGAAAAAAATCTCCGCGCGCGCTGCGCGCGCGGAGAGAAGTTCTTGCAGCCGAGCCGCAGGCCGTGCGGGCTTCGAAATGAGCGAAGGGGGTTCGGCAAACTCAACTCCCCGAATTTGCCACGCGCGCAGCGCCTTCCTTGTGGGGTAACTTCTTCTCCGTGCGGCGCACGCGCGGCCCGGCCCCTCCCATTCATATGGAACGCCTAAAATTTTTCTCGCGCGCTGCGCGCGCTGGCTGCCCGTCCCCTCTTTGTTTCTCTTGGCCCGTTTTTTGCTCACGCGGGGGCCTCCTTGCTGCAGGGGACGACAAAAAAGTTGTCGCGCGCAACGCACACAGCCTTGGGCTTCCTTCTTTGGGGGGCAAGCCCGTGCAGAATCCGCTTTGCGCAAGCGGCCTTTGATGTCCGTGCTTGTGTGGTTGGAGGGCGCCTGGTATTTTTTCCGCGTACCAGGCACGCAGCCTAGCCTCGTCGCCTTGGGGGGGGGAGGGTCTGAAAGATCTCTTTCGCACACCGTGCACGCGGAAGCGCACCGAGCTGGCGCAATTTCCCCGGTGCGTCTATTTTCTCTGCGTGTGGGGGGAGCCTGCTCTGATTTGCTGCTAGCCCGGCGGAGATGGGGCAGCATGGCGTGCGCGCGGTGGTGCTGACTCTGCTTGCGCGGCACGGCAAAGGCGACGCGCGCGCGGCCCGGAATTTTCTCCGGACCCGCGGCCCTGTTCCCAAAACCGCAAAAAAAAACTTCTTCGCGCGCTGCCGCGCGCGCGTGCGAATTCCATTGGCCCGCTTGCCTGCGCCGCCGGCGAAGGCCACAAGCCGTACGCCCCCCCTGCTGTCCTAGGCCGTGTGGGCGTTGCTGAGCGATTTCGTTGTGGGGCCTTTGCCGGGCTGCAGCGCGTGGCACATGGGGTACCGGCTACCCGAGGGAGGCGCCGTGTGTTGCCCTAGGGTGGTACTGGGGGCGTGCCGCGAGTCCTTGGCGCGGCGCTTTTTTTTCGCTTTCTTACTGTCTTTTTTCCCGCAGTGCTGTGTTTAGCATAGTGTATTCTGGCTAAGGATACCCTGGGAACAGCTCACGCGGTGCCAACATAAGTCCCAGGCTGGCTGTGGAGGTGTTTTTGGTCTCGCGCAGAGAATGGCTTGGTGCAGGACGCTGGGCGTTTTTCCCGTCGCGCAGTGTTTAGCATAGGGTATTCTGGCTACCCTGGGCGCGGCTTGCCCAGGATAGGTGCGGGTCTGTAGGTCGATTTTTGCCTCTGAATGTAGCGGGAGGTCGCTGAGTGTAGCGTAGGGAGAGGCCCCGTAGCAGGGGCCTGTGCCCGGAGACCGTTTTTTTTGTGCCCTGAACGCATTCGCCCCTCGTTTTCTCTTTAAGAAGTCCGTTTTCCCATCATCTTCTTCACGATGTCGGGGCTTCTCGAGATTTCCTTCAGAAGGGGACATTTGGGAAATCCTTTCTCCTGGGCTTTTCGCATGATTTCCTTTGGGAAATCCCTTCTCCTGGGCTTTCCGCATGATTTCCTTTGGGAAATCCCTTCTCCTGGGCTTTCCGCGTGATTTCCTTTGGGAAATCCCTTCTCCTGGGTTTTCCGCGTGATTTCCTTTGGGAAATGCCTTCTCCTGGGCTTTCCGCATAATTTCTTTTAGGAAATCGCTCGCCCCTGGGCTTTCCGCGTTATAGGAAATCTCTTCCTTAGGAGCCGGCCGCTGATCTCCGCGTCAACACGTACTGGAAGCAAGCTCCTTCTGATCTCCACTGCGAAACAGAGCGGAGACGAGCTCGGTGGCTAGGGTCTGGGTGGGATAGGGCCTGTCATAAGTATCGCGGTTTCTCCTTTGATATGGATCAGAGGGTCCGCGATGTCGGACTTTTCTCCTTTGATATGGATCAGACGACTTTTCTCCTTTGATATGGATCAAAGGAGAAAAGTCCGGACTTTTCTCCTTGCAAAGGAGAAAAGTCCGCTGGATTGATACCAGAGCGAGCAGCTCCTGGCCCAAGTCCTTCTGTTTTTGCTTCAAATCTTTCCGTTTTAGCATCAAATCCTTCTGCTTTGGCATCAAATCCTTCTGCTTTAGCATCAAATCCTTCTGCTTTAGCATCAATTCCTTCTGTTTTAGCATCAATTCCTTCTGTTTTAGCGTCAATTCCTTCTGTTTTAGCATCAATTCCTTCTGTTTTTGCTTTTTTCTAAATATCACACATGTTGTGATATCAGCAGCGCAATCGACTTTTCTCCTTTGGTCCTGTGATATCACGTGATATCAAAGGAGAAAAGTCTTTTTTCAAAGTTTAAAGACCCGGTCTTCGACTTATGTGGAGTTCTCTGCTTTTCGCGTGTTGAGTTGCGGAGGCGGACAAGGGATAGCCTACTTCTTGATGGTTCGCAAAAAAGTTCATGATGATGTTGCATGAGAGACTGAGACCACGAAGGATGAAGTATGTAGAATACGAGACGACGCGCCGGACTTCTTTTGGTGGAGTCTACACTTGTAGAAGTGAGACGTGAGTAAAAGTAGTTTCGTGTTTCTGAAAGGATAAACAAGATCTTATTGAGCGGAGTTGTGCTGGTGGAGGTGGTCTGCAAACGTGCCTCAAAGTAGTGGCAAAGCTGCAAACGCAGTTGCTTTTTTTCTGATGAAATTTTGTTTTCAATGTCAGCATTTGTTTCCTTTCATTAACAAAGCAATTTTTGAAACTGAGAAGGTTGCACGCAAATTATTTAACCCTACTCTTTAGCGGGTTACACGCATGACTGCTATTATCAGTCGACTTCTTCAACGAACAGCTGCAAAGTGAAAAGATTTGCGCTCGAAATTATAGAAACACAACTCAAAAAGTTGTTCTCCTCCGCTAGCATTTCATTGCTCATCGATCAGCGCAGCAGCTCACACACAGCACGCTACGTTCCCGCTTCTGCAGCCGCTCTTTTTGCCGATTCCGCAGAAGGATCTGGCACAGCCCGCCGCTCGTACCCCCCGTCGACGTAAAAGCAAAAAAGAGGACCAGGAGAGCGAGTGGTGGCTGCAGAAAGCTCAGAACATCTTCTCGCCCAGAAGCGCTGCTTGAGAAGCTTGACCACTGGTGTGCAGAATAAAGCCGTGTCCGGGCGGGTGATCTGTGCAGCAGACCGCGCTAAAGCCGAGGATTTTTTTTGTCGATACGACTCATTGCATACGACCACTAGAAGACAGTGCCAGCTGCAGAGGCAATTCGACGACACGGTTAAAGCAACAGCAGAAGAGCCCTTCGTTTTACCTTTGTGGTAAACTTCTACGCGAAGGTGGCCATTCTTGGCTCAGCAATTGCAGCGGTGACCGAGGGGATACATCTAGCGTAGCGCCAACCTTCTTGTTCCTAGCAGCTGCAGCGATAGCAGAAATAAGGGCAACATCAAAAAACTTCGACCTGCATCCTCTTGTTCTTCGAAGAGCAGTATCGCGTCCTGCAGACTTGTAACGGCCTCGCTCTAGCAGTAGCACTTCACGCGAATCATCTACAGTGCTCTTCGATTATACCGAAGGAACGCGGTTCCAGGTACAACTTGTTGGAACAAACAATTGAGTCTCCTAGCACTCACAAGAACGAAGAGGAACACGGAGAAGTACTAGGATAAACAAGCACAAACACCACGAAGCGGCATCCGCAGCCTTGCAGCACCCACGCGGTACTTTCCGGCACCTCACCACGGGTGTCTCTGCCTTGTCTTCGACATCACAACGAACAGCCTTCAAGACGTGAACTTAAGCCAATCGCCCGGTCCTCGAACACCAGCACAGCATTCTACGGTCGTCGAGCTCGAGTCGGCACAACAATCTGAAGAATTACATCCACGATCTGTAGTAGTTCCCAATTCTCCATTGCGGATCGTTGCGCAAGAACTCTGGAGAAGTCTTGTTTCTGCTCGGAGACGAGTTCTTGCTCCAATCTCAATCACCACGCATTAAGGGAAACGAGGCAGGTACCGGGTGTTGAAAGATTTATTTGGCAAAGAAGTTGCGACCGCAGCTAGCGCTACATCAACCGGCAAAATGGACACCACGAACTCGCCGCAGATCATCCTGCACACGCACGAAGGCCTGAACTTCACCCCCTTATGGCGTTCTCAAGTGTTACATTCTCAACTGTTACATGAATTTGTAATGCAAGACTAGCACAGGTGAGAGGGAGAGCCTTGCGCGTCTTGCATTACAGGTTTCGTGCGGATTATAGTGCTGTTTAGCCCTCCGATAATTTGTCATGCGCAGCAGCTTCATCGTCTGGCAGGTCATGGTCATTTTGCATGACAAATCATGTAACAGCTGAGAGTGTAACGTTTGAGAACGCCATACCCCTTCGAGGCGAAGTGGGTCCCGCACTCCGCAAGGTTTGTGGTGCTCGGCCAGAATCCAAGGGCGACCGGCGCTTTGGCGGTCTACGAACTAGAGAGGGGGAAGGTATTTTTATACTGCATGGTGTTTACTGTCGTTGTTTGCTGGACCTGGAGTAGTTAGGCAGCTATTTTTGGTCCTGTCTAACTGTAATTGTACGGTGGATCTGATTGATGATATGCATCCTCTTCGTGACGAACCATTCCTAGATGCGCAGATTAGAGTTTCAAATTGAGAGAGAAGCCGGACGAGGACGAGGAGTCGTCAAGAATGTGGACCATGAATACAATGATGACCTGATGGTGCTACATTCAGTACTTTATTGCAACACCAGGTCAAGAAGCTTTCCGAAACCGAGAAGCCAAAGGGCTTCAAGTGCGGTACGTTCGGCGCCTCGGCGATTGAGCAGAGACATTTGGCGACCGGGGACTACGAGGGGAATTTGGCAATATGGGACCTCGAGGACATAAGAAAACCGATCTTCGAGGTCCGGGGGCACGATAAAATCATAAATTGCGTGGAAGGGTACAAGGATTTCTATTAGAAGCAAATTGTTTCATGATGAGAGTAAGCGTAGTAGAATGTGTTTCGTACCTGAACAGAACAGTGTCAGGTGGCACAGCAGCGGAAGATGAACTTGATATGGGAACGAAAAAACGCCTGAACAAAATGACTAGACCACATTCATATCGTAGGGCAGCTGCAAGAATAAGAAACACGACGTCGCAAGGCATCAAACTAACTCTCAGGTGCGGGGGCCTGGGTATCGGTGGCGGCGCACCAGAGCTCGTGACCGGATCAATACTTCTCGGAAACTCTTGAGTCGCAGCGAAAATGGTCGTTTCGTAGAGTCAGACTGCCAAAATTCTCACAGACATGACGAAGTGCAGGTCGTGCAGTCACTTGCATAATTGGTCCACATCCGCTTTTTTTTATTTTGCATGGATGGAAATGCTAGCTGCACCTGCAGCTGCACTGCACGAAAATTTGAAATTTCAAGATCTGTGGCTCTTGCCAGACTCAAGCTTCTGCAAGGATAGGAAAGAGACGGCACGGTGCGGGTGTGGGACCCCAGACAGCAGGATCCGGTAAAAGATTCGAATTTTAATTGTGGATACGGTGACTGAGACTGTATGTAGTCCCATAAAACTGTCATGCTTGTGCTTCGCCTTTCTTGCGTAATGAAGCAAACGCAAAGTAGCCAAAGGTAAAGACTGTACATTTTCAAAAATGAAATACCGAAATGCAAGGTGCTGTCCCTGGAGCCGGTGGACGGCGAGATACCCGCAGATTGCTGGACCGTCGCCTTCGGCAATAGCTACAACGATTCTGAGCGGGTAATATGCGCGGGCTACGACAACGGAGACATCAAAATGTTCGATCTCAGGACAAACATGTTGAGGTAATGCTGATGTTCTTATTCGCTATCTGAATACTAACCTCATCAAGAGGCCTTGGCCTTGATGCAATGGTTGCGTGCGAAGGAATCACATGCAGCGGTTTGCTGGTGACAATGGCAGAAGTCTGCTTTTCTTCCTGCCAAGCAAAAAGTCGTCCATTCGATGTCTTGGAAATAATGAATTGAAAAAGTATGAAATTAAAAATCCGAAATCGCCTCCAAAACAACTAACACCTCAGATGGGACACCAACGTAAAGAACGGAGTTTGCCACATCCAGTTTGATCGAAAAGACATTCTGATGAACAAGCTCGCGGTGTCCACGCTGGAGTCCAACATGATTGTGTACGATCTGAGGACCTACCACCCCGAAGAGGGCTTCGCGGGGAGGACGCAAAAAGTGACCAAGTCGACGGTCTGGGGGTGTCACTTCCTGCCGCAAAACCGAGAGCTGTTTGCAACGGTGGGGGGAAACGGAAGCATCACACTCCACAAGTACGTGTACCCAGCGGAACGGAAGGTACGAAAGATTGGTTCTGGTCGTGCAGGGTAGGCTCTTTACTTTCGGCATGGTTAAAAAGAAAAACAAAAGGTAAAAGTAGAATTTGTGTTGCAGTTCTTGTGCTGGTGCTTGTTGTCCTTATCATGCAACAAGCCTCTACGAATAAACAAATATCAGGTCGAAGTGAACGACGGGCTCGAAAAGGGTGTCGCCGGAACCGTCGAGACGTTGAATCAAAAGGAGCTTTGCACACAACCGATCGCTATCCAGTGCAAATCTGTCTCGGTCTGGAACAAGATGTAAGGTTTGTCATGCAGGGTTCGCATTACTCAGAAGGTCAAGGTCTTCAAGGCTTCGGTTTGGAATGCGGGCGCTAGCATCACAAGTTTTTGTTTTGAGCTGCAGGGGGCTCCTCGATGCTTATTGCGCATGAGAAATGTTGCCTTCGGCTTCGGCTGCCCAAAAGTGAAAGCTTATTTTGCTGATCACGCAATACAAATCTGTGTGTCGATTAGGTCTAGCATGACAGTCTTCGAGACCCAGACATTTTTGCAATGCATAATCGTGAGCTTCGATTGGCATTTGAACAAGGAAGGGCTGTGCGTCTTCGCCTCCCTCGACCAATCCGTGCGGGTGGCAATGTGCACGAAGCTAAACTTGTACTAGATTTCTCCTGTCGACATCTCCTTGAAATGGGTTTTGGTCGTGCCTCGTCTTTTTGCGTTACTAATTTTTCCATTTGATTTTGGAATTGGTATTGGGGAGAAGACGCTGAACATGTCGAATTTTGAAAAAACTTGACATCCTGTCCAGAAACCCGCTCGCTACGCATGCTGTATGTGATGTGATTGCTTGTCGCTAGAGGAAGGAAGGCGAAATAAGAAGGAATAACGTGTTAGAAGGTGAACAATTTCTTGCATAAAAAATGTGCATGGAACAGGTGGCAGTGGCAGTACTACTTGCACTGAACCTCATTATACAGTTGTTCTGAGAAGAGGAGCACTTCTTTGACTGTACAAAAAGCATTGAGTTTTCGTCTGTGGTTCGTGATCAATGAGATTGGAAATGTGCAACTCCATCTGCTCGGTACCATTTTTATTCTCGTCACTCGTCGAGGCGTAGTACGTCGTAGTCCAACTACTTATTTGCGCAAGTAGGAATCTAAAATCGGTTTTCGTCCATCCCTCATACGTTGAGACTCAGGAGTCACCTCGGACAACAAGCAAAAAAATCGGCTTTTTCTTCCCGTCGTTCGTTCAAGGCAGGAAAATTCGGCGTACATACATACAACTCGTGCAAAGAAATAGAAATCTTTTTTGTTTTGTAGTTTTTTTTATTTTGAGCTTCGTTCATGGTACCGCTCGTCGTTAGTATCACTGTGATGTTAGCGTTTGTGTAAGTTGCGACAGTAACAGCAAAGCACGGAGGTGCTGCAGTCCACTTTCAGCACCCCGCCTGCTTCAACACCAAATTGAGACACGGTGTAGATCAACTTTCGAAATAAAAAATCAGCTCCTTCAGGAGAACGACCCGTAAAAAAATTGCAACCCCCATCATCATCTTCGTGTTTATTTCACTCACAACCAACCCTTGAAGTTGAATCCGCCAACAAGAATCTTCATCAAAAATCAAACGGACACGGAACCGTTTCGTCTTTGCCTTGCACAAAAGCGAAGCAAGAAGCGGCGATTTGAATTTGTAGACCCCTCGTCTATCATCTCATTGATTCCACTAAAAGAGCAGCTGCCCACCATACGACTAACGATGTGGGCGGCACCAGCAGGGCGGAAAAAGTCTTTGTCGTGTGTTGAGGCGACACAACAGAGAAACCAGCACGATCCGCGGCCCGTGTGCAGCTTGTCGTTGCGTCGGACACGGCAATATGGCGTTCTCAAACGTTACACTCTCAACTGTTGCATGGACTTGTAATGCAAGAACAGCAAAAGTGAAAGTTGCAACATTGCAGCTTTCGCATCACAGATTGGCCACAGATTATCATGCTGTTTAGCCTTTCGACAATTTGTCATGCTAAGCACCTTGATTAAGTGGAGGCCTATTGCAATTTTGCATGGCAAATTCATGTAACAGCTGAGAATGTAACAGTTGAGAACGCCATAGTCAACTCCTGCTCTTTGGATCTACTTCGTGTTTTTCCCTGTTGGCGTGTCCTTGCGACGGAAAGATTGCGAAGCCCGGCACCGTATGGATTGCAAAAATGTCTGGGTCTGGAAGAAAGCACTTGTTTGTGATGCATATTTGGATCACGCAAATGGTGTCTGATGCAGGCAGAAGCATCACAGGTTTTGAGCACGCCTCTTGATGCCTGTCCCGCATGAGAAACTTCCTACTTGCGTACCAAGAAAGGGGCAGCGTTTGCCGCTCACGCAACACAAATTTTTGTGTGCTCCAGAGTTTGCATCACAAGTTCCAATTCTTCCAGACCCAAACACTTTTGCATTTCATACACCGCGCAGCCCGTGGTGGTGCTCGAACCCGGCGTCAAAGAACGGCGCGACACTGGTGGTAAGAACAAGGACCCGCCCGACCCTGCCGGGTCGAGTGTCCTCGCGCAAGAGACGACTGACAGTTCTCGTGCTGGTTCATCCAGTGCTACTACTCCTGGAGGCGAGGACGACAGCACCTTGAAGCTGCTGCACCAGCATCTTCATGATGCGCAAGGAGATGACGACTCATCGTCCGGTATTTCTCGCTCTTTTCACACCCCCGCCCCCGGGGCGCGAGAGATGACGCAGCATGCGCATCATGCCACGGACAAAGAAACCGAACATTTCCTGGCCCCTGTCCTCGAGATGAACAAGGGGCAAAATTCTCCTGCACAAGACGAAAGTGCTGGCATCCGCGATGTGCCACAAGAACCATCGCCCGACGGGACCACAGGGCCGAAAACTGCTTCCTCCTCCGCGTTGGAAAAGCGCAATTACGGCAGCTCGGGAGGTGCAGCTGGACCGACGACCGGGACCACAGGACTAGGACCTGCCCATGGTGCGGCTGCAACAGCGAGGAACCAGGTGGGCCGCCATGTGGGCGGACCTCCTGGCGTGCAGGAACGACAAGATGAACCACGAGAAGGAAATGAAGATGGCGGCGCGTTGGCACAAGCACCGCTCCTTCTGAACGACGATGAGAGTGGCTCAGGAACCAAGGAGAAGACCAACAGGCGCAGTTTCTCGAAAAACCCGCGTTCTGGAGGATCCGCGTCGCCTGCGATCACGGATGATGAATTTTTGCCACGGGCCGAAGCAGATGCAGAAGAGTTGCCGGTAGCTGCTGCTGCTCCGTCGCATCAAAGCTCCTTCCAAGAGTCGTGCAAGGACTGCCTTCCACCACCGGGCGCGGGTGTGCATACCCCTGTTCGGGACGTCGTGAAGAAGCCGAACCCGGAAGAAAGCCCGGGTGTCGTGCCGCCAGCACTGGCGACGCCAAATCCGGCACTGCAACCGCGCACTGGGGCTGCCATGCTACTGGCATCACCACGAGCTCCTGCGTCTGCACCGCGACAAGATCGAGCCACCGTGGGTCCGCCGCAGGGAATTTTGGTGATGGGAAGCAGCTACGCTCTTGAGAGAACGGGGCCCGGCGATGTCGAAATTCCAGATCCGCCGCTCACACAGCAAGGCAAAGAGCAGGCGCGTTTGGCAGGCGAGAAGTTCGCACAAGTATTGCAGGGACACCTAAAAAAGCCGGACGAACAAGTATTGCAGGAACAAGGAGCAGAAGATATTAATACTAAAAGGCTCAGCTTTACCACGGAGAGAATGGTCTTTCTCTGCTCTCCCATGTTGCGCGACATGCAGACCCTGGACTCTTTCTTGCAAGGCGCAGCGCCTGAACTGTTTACGAAAGATGGGAAAATAGATCTGAAGAACAAGTTTCCGGCCATTCGTCTTGTTTCCGAAGCCCGGGCGATAGCACCGCTTGGGTCTCGAAGTATCGAAAACCAAGGCACGGCTCTTGGAAAGTGGAACGCGAACTTCATGGGAAGTGTGAGCTTCTTGGCAAACTTTGATCCGGAAAAAGGAAGGGGCGAATACGCTCACTTTCTACCCCCACCAGGAAAATCTACTCCTCTACTTTGGTCAGAGCCAGAATTTGCAGCAAGTTTCGGCGACAATTTCGGGGGCCCCGCCCTGTTCTTCAACTTCTTGCGGGACGTGTCGAAAAACGAATTTGAAATGAATGAGCTCAGCGACCGCACCGTTATGATCGTCACTGACCCGAACACCATAGACGCGCACGGAGGCGACTGGTTTCGGGGGAACGACTTTGGGTTCGTGCTCAAATCAGCGGACGGGAGAGATTTTCCTCATCGGAAATGGAAAGTGAATAATGGTGGTGACAACCAGCCCCTCGACTTGTTCAAAATTACCAACCTGCAAGGCGAAGAAGGGCTCAAGTATCCTACACCACCAGTTTGCCAGGCTTTATGGGAGATTGACTTCTCCGCAAGAATTGAACCCCAACGAGCCGACCCTGCACGCGCTCATCAGCCTCCACAGCCAAAAGGCGGCCCGATGAAACGGGCCGCCGACATCGAGACAGACGCCGCCACCGACGCCCGGTCGAAAGAAAAAAAGTATGCCGACGCCCTGTGGAATGCAAGAATGCTCGACAGCCCCCACGGTGGACCCGGACCACCGCCAGGTGGCCACGAAGATGTAGGGCGTGACGGCGGTGCGATCCTCCGTGATGTTGCGATGGTCGACGGCATGCACCACCCTGGCATGCAAAGAGGACCAGGTGGGGGTGGCGGTGGGATGGGCACAGCAGATGATGATCTACACAGAGACGGCGCTGCTCTGGTAGGAGGCGCGGGCGGTGGCGACGTGCAACTACAACCAGAAGCAGGCGCGCCTGGCATGCAATTGTCAAAAGAGGAGGAACTACCATCGGCACCGCCAGCCAACCGGGTAGCGCCTCTCATTGTTTCTGAGGAAGTGAAGGAAAAGAAAAGTTCCGACGATCCGACCGTGCCCGAAAGATTTGGAGAAGATGAAGACCTGGCGCTAGCCCTAACCAACCAGTTGATGGAATTTCTGAAGGTCGCCGAAAGGCATGGCCTTGACCTCGTCGATGCTTATAGAGTAGTCGACGAAGACCGCTACTCCACTGGGGGTGACGGGTTTTCGTATCCTACATATGTTGGAAACCCCGATTTTGAGAAATACGTAGACAAAATAGTGGGCGCCGTTACAAGGACACTTCTGAGGGGAGAGCTAATTGGCTTGACGAAGAGCAAGACCGAGAACCTGTCTGGTGATCCCGCTGCTATTGAGCCAAAAGAGAAAGTGGAGGAGCGGCGTATGCGCATCGACAATTTCGGCGAGCTTGTCGTGAACAGATTCCTCACAGTTTTGGAGGTGGTTTTGTTCGACAGTTCACTGGATAACGTAGGACCTTCCATCGGAAGGGGATCATTTTTGCCGGCTCGAATTGCTGATATGTAGTGAGGCCACATACGGTTTTAACCTGCGCTTTCTTGACATGGCCTGCAGTTTTGTCTCGCAGTTTTTTACGAACCGACAGCGGTGCGCAATTGAAAAAATAAAAAACTCAAGCGCCTTAGCCTGCTTGCCTCTGCTGTCAACAATTTTCGGCGGAGCGCTACCGGTATCGAAAACCAATTAGAATCACAAAAATGACAAAGGCGAGCCGGCGAAAGTGGCGCTCTGTTGAGGCGCTCGCCGCCTTAGATTCTGGCCGCCTGAGTAGGTGCCCCGGCACGCACCCAAAGAAACCACACACAAAACAAACTCAGCCAACCAGCATCATGGTATTGATCCGGTTTTGAGCGGGTATCTGAGGTGGTTGCGCAAGCTGCCGCCGCTCCGCCGGATTTCGTGCAGGTGGCGGGCGTATATTTGTCCTTCTTGTCGCAAAAAAAGCAAAGTGCGCCGGATCTTCGCTGCCAGTCCGCATAGCACACTTGCGCCTGCTTATCGCCACTTTGTTTTTGGGCGCACACCGGAGCACCGAGCGACCCGAACCGGGTCGCCCACGCCATCAGGATTGGCCTCCGGGGCGAATTTTAGAGGTTTTCCATGATAAATTGAGATTTGCGCTGATTCTAACTATCTCACTTAGCAGCAGCCCCAATATTTATGCGGTTTACTTTTATTCACGGGGGCGTGGGCAGCCCGGGGGAACGGGGGCGCAGCAAAGGAACCACGAGTCCGGTTGCCGCTTCCGCAGGCCGCGTGGCCGTTTCCGGGTGGTGACTTTCGCGCCGATGTCGAAGGCAAAAGAGATACAGCGCAGAAACCGCAAGTCGCATGCGACAGGACCGGGGGTTAGCCACTATCCTGAGGTCATGATGTTTTGCGCCGCTTCGTCGGCCCCAGGCAAGAAAACGCCAATGGCCTCACTACCTCCCCCCCGCCGGCTATATTTGCGTTTTCAATACCGAAGATGCCACCCGTGTCGGCCGACGTGAGTTCGCTCGAACAACTAGAGCAGGAGTATTTGGACCATCGCGCTACCTTCTCATCGTCCTTCATTGTGGAATTAATGTGCAAATCAAAATCAGCAATGCGTACGTTGCTTGATGATGAAGTACGAGCTCTGGATGATGAGCAGCTACGCTTACTTGGCGGAGATGATCCTGATCGTACGACACTGCTCGTTGGGCGGCTGAGGCGTAGTTTGAGTCTGTACGAAAGCCGAGAAGTTTGGAAAAAGCCGAAGAACGACATGACGCCGGGAGTCGAGAGACTTGCTTTGTCGTTGGCCCGGTCCGGGGAGTTGCCCAGAGAGCAAATAGTAGAAACGAGAAGCAGCAGCCAGAGCACCTTCTATCTTACAAACGAGAAGCGGAAATCAAGGCTATTCGGCGAAAATCCATCCGGTCTTCTGCGAAAGTGGCTTCTACAACCACTGGCTTATCGCTGGCATTCGTACGCCAAGGTTGGCGTATATCCTCGCACGGAATTGATTTTCACGAGCGAAGAAGCGCGAGCGGTGGCGAAAAAAGTGTCTATCAGGATGAAAAGCACCCACCCGGCTTCAGAAACAGAATGGGTGAGAAATGCTTGCGTTATATATATAAAGATTTATAATTTTCATGCGTAAACGTACCGCTAAAGTAGCTATCGGTGTAGCAAATGATAGTTTGTGCCTCTCCCCTCCACGCGAAGATCTTTTCGCATGTTCCGCTGAACAGAGTCTGAAGGTGGAGGAACAGGCGGAGGCGTGGAGGCACAGCCATTTCTCATGATTGTGATGTTATGACTCATTCTTCATCAGTTGGGTCTATTTGGACATGTTTCGACCAGAAGTTGAAAGATGAAACACGGCGACCTGCTTTTCCGGCTGCCAAGTTTAACTGCCTGCTCATCTCAAGCAAGCCTCGTCCTGTGGGCCCATCTTCTTCAACAGACAGTTTTTAACCACTGCGCTGCGTTTTTTATCGTTATGCGCAGATCCCGGCGCCATTGTGCCTGCATGGCGGCCCAATCCCCTTCTGCTTGCGCTTGTCCAACAGAAAGATGGAGCGCCACGAATCTGAAGTGTCGATGCGCATCCCCCGTGCTCGATATGGTCTTAGGACCTCACTCGAGATCTCGCGTCGTTCGTCCATCGCTTTCGACCACGCGTGTTGTAGGTACAGACCAAGATACGGTCGTCGGTGTTTTATTTGCCCCGTTTTCGATTGGTTTCCCTAATCATCGGAATCAAAGGAAGCCGCTTCCTTCGATTGCGATGGATTAGCCGTCGCCGTTGCCCGTCGAAAAGGCTCTCGCAAGTTGCTTACAAAGGACCCCGAGCGCCGCTTTTATTTTCGCCTTCGTCTGAAAGGAGTATCTCTATTGTGTTCATGTTGTAATGCATTGAGGTGCCGGGCATCGCCGAATCCATCCAACCGCAGCGCCTAGTAGCGCAGAGCCGAGCACAGTTGTTCGTGTTCCTCCACTCCCCCACCTTTCGGTAGGTGGAGAAAGCTGAGCCATAACAGGTGGCTGTGCTGACTCGCAGGAGCCCCTTGGGTGAAAGTCGAGGGCGTCCCGTCTAGTACTTTTCTGGGCGCGTGCTCTCTCTGTCCCTGACATGCCTGCGTGCGAGCGAAACACACTAACGCACCTCCTGACTGCTGGGCGCGCTTATCTGCTTCGGGGATCGCCTTGTTTTGTGTTTCCTTCGCTCACGTTCTACTTGCCGTACATACTAGCCCTGGGTCACTGGTGGCTTGCGTGTTTCTTCTAGAAGGTTGCCGCGGCTCACTCCGTGCTCAAATAAGCCGGTCGACCTCGACCTCGACACGGTCCGTGCTCAACCAGCTCGGTCAATTAATTACTGGGCGACAACTGGCCTGGTCTTGGCCCTGCTCACCGGAGGGATTTGTATTTTCCAAGAGTTGCTTGACTTGTAGTTGGGGACGGGATAATAGAAATCGCTGAAAATATATCTTCGCTTTATTTTTTTTTTTCGGGCCCCTCCCTCTATTTTCAAACTTTCAACGCTTGTGTGACGGCGGGAACGGCGCCACAAAAATATATGCATGACCGCGACAAGCATTTCTAATTCTGTGGCTTCTTCCAGTTAGGGATTTTCTTCTACCTGATACAATTTCACTCTTTTTCGCACTTCGTGTTTGGATTCGACGGCCCCGTGTTCGAGGACTTGAAGGGAGTTGACGTGACTTCATCTTGCCGCTCCACCGAGAATATGCGTATCGACCCGGCTCAATCATCTCAAAGTCAAATGCGCATCCACCTGGACTGGTCATCCGTATTCGTTGACAGCACTGGAGACTGGATCAGCATTGGAAAAAAGGCATCCGAAGACGATGCAGACTACCAACAAGATTATGCTTACAAAAATGATGTGTTTGAGTGTTGGAAGCACGCAATCTTCCGCGAGCCCCCTAAAAAGCTGGAGAAGTCGCGAGGCGCATGTCCTGGTGGTGCTGGATGTCAATGGGCCGCCAGAGAAGGTTCACATGATGGCCATGGATCGCCAGAAGAAACGATTGAGATGGGCAGGCCCGTCCACCTCGTCGCGCTCCAGAATGTGAATGCGCCAGTCGCTGCAAGTCAAGAACATGTCGATGTAGCACAACTACAACCACCAGTGGAAAGTCTACCGAAAACTGTACCTGTAGCTCGTGCTGAACCTTCTGAAACGCAAACGCCCGCCCGCGGCGCAGCTTATGTTACTGTTACACGGCCAGAGCTAGAAGAAATGAACAAGAGACGCGCGATGCGGGAACATGGTACAGACCTGAAGTGGACCGAGGACAAGGCCTTGTTGAAGTCGATGGTAGACACAGTCGAAATGCACATGAAATCGTTTTTGACGTCTCGTCTGGGAGCAAACCCTTGGGCTAAGCCTGCGGAGGCAGTTGGTATGGAGTCCCTAACAAGCGATCTTCACGATCGAGGTGAACTCCTTCCTCTCATTGGTCATCCAGACTTCGAGGAAGCTGTAGACAAAACACTGGGCGAGGTGGTGGAACCTCTCGTAGAATCTGAGCTACAGCTCATATTTTCGGTGACTACTGATCTCACCTATGCAGCACTCACTGGCATGCTCGACGGAATGGGTCAGAGACTAGTATCTCGGTTTGTAAGGGTTTTGGAGCCCGTGTTTTTCTTTCGAGTGCCGAGCGACCAGGATGGGGATGCTCGGATGCACACGCCAGATGGTGGTACCTTGTACGGCTTGGAAAGGATGCTTTTTTCGGTCTGTTACATGGTGGAGCTAATGTGTAAACTAAAATCGGCACTAATCGCCCACGCACTTCGTTTACCCGAGCGCGACCCCGGGGGCAGACGTGCTTTTGATTACTTTGCGGCCGTTTTGGAAAATGAGCTAAGTTTTTTGAAAAACCGAAATGATTGGACGGAACCCAAAATTCCCGGGCCGGACGGCTTGCCTCGCGATGAGTTGGGGCCGCTGCGGGATATGCATTGCAAAAGTATCGTATTCAATACGAATCGTATAATTTTTTATCTTAATACGCTTTTTTTTTCAAAAGAAGAAATGTAATAATTGTAATTTTCGTTTCCCCTAGATCTAGAAGTAGGCTAGTATTACAGATCTGTCGACATGCATTTGTGCGACTAGTACGAGCACGATACTTTTGCAGAGGATACAGGGCGAGGCGGGCCGCCAACTTGTAGTCGTACCCAATACCGACGAGGGCACTCCTCTTTGGTTTGCTCGCAACCCCACCGTATTTCTTCATAAGATGCTTATGGAACCGCGAGGCGAAGGCAAGACGCTTACTGAGAACGCAGAGACACGCAAACTGGTCCGTCACTTTTTTTTTGCGTTCTCGATGTTTGTCTGTGGAGACGAAACTGCCACTCTCAGTGGAACGCCATCGCAGGAAATATTTCCTGGCCTATCCTTCACACTCGACAGAACAATCTTCAATTTCGATCTCAGAAGAACCTACAACTTGTCCCCACCAGGAGACCAAGGAAGAGAGCTTTGGATAAACGCGGTCTTCGTCTTTCCTGGTCCTTCAGAATTGGCGCCTTTACAGGAAAAAGTTCTGCGCCACTTCCAGAACGAATTTCTGCAGCATCTGACCGGCGCACAATTGGTAGAGAAATTCGCTACACGGAAGCACGAGGCATCAGGGGAACCATCGGAGATGGCGGAATTTCTCGGGCAGGAACAGTTCTTCGAATTATCACTTGCAAATGCCTCCCGGTCTATCGAGAATCATCTCCAAAGAAAAGTGCTAAATACTGTCTTGTTTTGAAGGTTTTGCATAGATTGTTTATCGCCATAGAGGAGGATGCCACACCCACGCAGCTAGTGGCACGCATGTTGACAACCAGCAGAATATCCTAAGTAAGAACCACGTACCCACATCACCATCGAGAGTCTGCTAGACAAGAAGGAAATCGAGATGCTACGCGGACTTCGCGTTTACGAACTGAGGTCGACAATTACTAGTTGCGTTGCCGGTCGTCCTCTGCGGCCAGTTCTTCTGAGGACGTTCGTGCGCGCCGTGCAGTGGACCCCATGGACACCGGACTTTAGCTTGCTCTGTAGCGCAGTCTCTTCAGAATGATCAAAATGGGAGGTTGGGTACGTTTTTTCATAGGATACACAACTATTTGAGTTCTTGTGCTTTTCAGTACAGATTTCATCTGTGCCCAGTCTAAAAATGGATTCGAATAAAAAAGCCTGGTCTAAAAAAAATAATGATTACAATAATCTTAATTCGACATGCAAGATACTTGCAATCGCGTGGCCTTTGTTGCTCACATATAGAAGAGAAAGTATAAACGAAGTGCATGTCCTCGTGTTGAAGATGTGTCATTGTTTCTGATCCTGGGATACCATACTGCAAGGGCAGTCTTTATTGTGCTGCTGCTCGAAGTGCTGACATTTGACTTTTTCAGACCCAGGAGGCATATTTGTACAGCATAGACGCAGAGGGTAAACGAATTCATGAGTAACGAACTGGTACCAGCACTTGTGGAAGCTGAGTTGGATCGCTTCAGTCGTGTTACGTATGCAATGCCAAAGTATTGCTTGCATGTACGAGATGCCATGCACGCAAGCCTCTCCAAGGCCAGATATGCTGATCAAAACAGTGAGGTAGTAGCAAGGAAGAAGCGAGAGGAAAGGTTCGTCTTGCAGTGGTGCAGCCTTATCCTTCGTACATCTGTGATACTTTTGCACAGAATATCCTGCCTGAATACGCCATGGCCACGGGACTGACCGATGGATTCGCGAAGAGGGTGGTGGATCGCCTCGTCGCTGTTTTGGAGCCTATTTTTTTGACAAAATTGCCGCGACTTGTTGCCAAGGGCATCCTAGTACGTGACGCAAGTGACCACGCGCGAGATGTTGATCCGCAAGATGGTGATCATCCTGTATCATTCTGCAAATTTGTCTGAGTCCTGCGAAGGATTACTTAGGAACACGCACGGTGCTGACAGCATTTTAGATGAAAGAAGCGCGCCTAAAAAGAAGTCGTCTTGCAACATGATAGCGGCAGCATTATGCTGCCGCTATCATGTTGTTATATGCCATATAAATTTAAATTGGAAATGAGTTGTAGCCATATACTTCTAGAGGCGAACTCGGCCGCGGCTATGTATATTTTTTTTTATGGATGCTAGTAGTCTAGGCAGGTACAGTTTCCGCGACACTCACAAAGAGGCTTCGAAGAAGCTGCTCTGATGCTTGTGCAGGCACAAACCACGACGCGCATTTATTTTTCGCATGCCACTTTAGTAGTATGCTATGCAGCACGCATTTTTGCATGATTATCATCATCGAAATATCAAAAAAAATAGAGTTTCGCACACAAAGCTCTGCCACTTTCCACAGCTACTGTGAGATTATGAAGATCAACGTTTTTTGTATTCCCGGCATTATCTTCATTAAGCCTTTTTCGTATTCCAAGGTAGACCTCCGAGACGTTGACAAATTTTCAGTGCACAGCTCGTAGAAAACCTGGGAAGCCGCATATCAATTGCAAATATCTCCGCGGATTTTGCTTTTGGATGAGTGCTATTTCCATTACATATTTGTGGTGCAGTGTTTGGATCTGCACCTACAGCAGAGCATGAAACGCACGCGACTGTAACAGGTTCTGCGGAGACTTTTCCACGTTTGGGCAAGAGGGGAAATGCCCTCTCCGGGCGACAGAAAGCGCGCATACCCATGGCGACTTCTGAGCAAGACTGATTTTCATTTTTCTCTATTCCAAATGATAAGCATCATCCAAAGTAAATAACCCACAATTGCATATTTGCAATGCATATGGATCTTTGGCACGGACGGGCGCGACTCATATGCTGCCGCGAGTAGTATCTACTGCAAGTTGTATGTCTGGGACTGGATCTGCATTGGCTGCATGATTTAGAGTGATTATCAATCTTTCATCGCAGGGCTTTGGTTGTAGATTTTGTTTTAAGCTGCATGTTCTGGCGCAATATCAGAGACTTTTCCTGGTTCGTAGATGACAAAAACAAAAAGTGCGACTTATCGTCATGCGAAACAAATACACAGCATACAGCTCCCAATAAAGCTGTCACACTTGAACTTGTCTGCGAATGGTAATCTGTACGTCATCAACATCATGATCATCCGCACATTAGCATGACACTTTTTAAGCCCAGACGTATTTGCACAGGATACAGCTACACCAAAGTAACACCAACAGAAACAAAAGCAATTGCCGATAACGCCATGTTCTATGTGAGCTTTCTTGTGCAATTGATGTGCAAACTAAAATCAGCAATGCTTGCCTACTTGTTTCCTCCAGACGAGCAGAAGCCCACAGTCGTCTTCAGGCGAAGCTCGAAGCTCAAAAGCTCCGCAGCGGAGGCAGCACGCCAGCTGATTAAAGACGACATCGAGTCTTTGGCAGTTCGAGGTGCGGACTTGAGGCCAGATCTTGCTGGCACTGCCCTGGACGGAAGTGGGAGTGGCGACTCTGGAATTAAGTTTGCGAAGCGTCCCACGTTACTTCTAAACAGGCTCCTCTTTACCACGCTGGTAAAGAGGCAGCTCCTGGTCCAACGTCACCCACTTCTTGCCGACCGTGAAATTAGCATGTTCGCAAACGAGAAATCACAGGAAAAAGCGGAAGATCTCTTTCGTGCGTTTTCGCGGTTTGTGTGTGGAGACGAAACTGCAACTGTCGCCGGTTCCAGCAGAACGCTCCTAACCGACGAGGAAGAATACCCAGCTCTCTTCTTTCAACTTGACAAAACGATATTCCGATTCGTGGGCGAGGACTGGAAGAACATAAACTTAAACTTAGAATACGAAGAGTCACAAACGGCAGAGCCGTCAAAGGGACCAGAAGGAGAAAAACTTTGGAGGGAGCTGATATTCGGAACAAGGAGCCTTAAAAAGTGGGTCACTCAACTAATCGAAGATGCAAAAACGGCAACACCAACAGAAGAACCAACTGCCGAAGGCCGCTCCAGGTGGTTCGGTTGTGGCGCCGGTAGTTTTGTGCAGCTTGGGGAGTGGCTCAGCAACCAGCGTTATCGACTTGGAAACATGCCGCGCGACCCCGCAATGCAACATGTACACGTAAGCATGAGCTGATTTTTGTTTTATTTCCAAAACAAAAACAAAATCAAAAACGAATGACAGGGTAAATAATACTTGTTGCTAAGCAAAAGACAAAACAAAAACAAAAAGTCGGTATGTGTCCCCACCTTCATTAGGCCAGGTGGCCCAAAAAGCATGCGTGTCGCCTTGCATTTTTAAAGTTCAAAGTAAATTCAAACTACTCGACCACTAGTTCTTTGTGCCGAGGTGAGCATTTCCATTTCATTCTCATCCTCGTTATGCGCATCCATTGTACGTAGCGCAAGCGGGGAGCGACATTATGTTGCTACCGGACGATGACAGCGTACTTAAAAAAATAACTAATTTGAATAAGCCTTAAAATTAAAAATCGTTAATCAGACACCGCGTGAGTGTGTGTGTGTGTGTGAGCACGACATCATGCATATTTTGGTTGCGAAAAGTTTCGGCTTAACGCTTACCTCCGTGCTCGCCACGTTACCTCACCATTACGCAGTACATTGTACTGCTACAATAATCGAATTCGCAAGTAGCGTCCTTTGTGCAAGAATTCTGAAACCGAAACGGAAGTAACCACATATCATCGTCAGTGTTTGAGCTTTATCGCAGAATTATGTAGTGCTTTACGTGTTGCGGTTGCCCAAGGGATGCGGAGAAAGGTTTTCAGTACGATAAGCCCAGCACAGAATGGCTGTTGCCATTTATCCATGTGTCCCACTCTTCGTCTTCTCCAGCGGCCGCCTCCGGTATATGATATACAAAATTTTGAATCAAGTCAAAGAAACCATGCACTCCTGGTTGCAAACGCTGATTCACAGGAAGAAAGCTGGATTGCAAGCACCAGATAACGCCTCCACCAAAGCCGCAATGCAGCCCTCTGATTGTACCTGAAAGTTCGTCAAGCGTGACGGTTTTGCTGGTAGCACCAGTTCCAAGGAGAAAATAAACCGTATTCAAATAAACGAAAAATGTGTTTGTTTTTTTGCATGTATGTAGTTGATCTTGACTGCATCAGCATCACAACAGCAAGCGCGGCAACATCTTGGGTTTCGACTTGGCTCTTCGACAATTTTGTTTCATTCCTTCCTTGCACTGACACTTCGACGATTGGCGATTGCGATTGCGAACAAAATCCTGACAACTCGGTCGGAACCTATGAAGGGCAGCTGGAACGACGTTCGTGGTACTCCATTCAAGGGGTCTTCGCCTACTTTTGCACCTTCGTGATGTTCCTTGTCCTTTATTACCTCATCGTCTCCCCTTGCCTCGCTGGTGTGCATCGCTTGCGGGGCCTCCTCTGCCGGGCGAAAAATGACCGGGAGGCAGAGGAGGAAGAGAACATCACAAAAAACCTCCCGGAAGAAGCGGAAGACGATCAACACGATCCTGCCGGCAGTGCATCTGTTGCAGTGGAGTCGCCTGTTTCCGCAACCAAGACCCATTCACTCACTGCCACTGCTGGCACAGCAGAAACTGTTGTTGCCCAAGATAAGGAAGCCGATGTTGTTCCTGCTACTGGACTTGCAGATGGTGACGACCGTGTTGTAAACCGTGTTCTTGTGGCCCCGAAGGAGGAAGAGCAAGATGACGCGACAAGCACGACGCGAGCCGCGGAAGTCGAAGTTGAAGAACAAGTTGAAGCTCCACCCGTAAAAATAAAACTAGCAGAGCGGGAGCCACGACGAAACAAAGGCGGGGTACCGGCGCAACCTGATGTCCGTGGCGATGAGGAACCAGAACAATCTTCGAGGAGAAGTGAGAACAATACAACTCGTACCCAGAAGATGAAACAGGCGTCAGCAGACATGCGCAGCACTCGCACAAGAACTACCGAGCAGGAAAACACAAAACAAAAACGGACATCCACGACCAACCCGGAGGACGTTGGGCCACCTACTTCTACGGCAATTCATCCATGCAGCCTGTTGCCGGACGAAGACGAGGATGATTCGCTGCCGCGGAAAGTAGAGATGAAGGAACATGAGAACAACATGACGAACACCATTGATCATGTTCCACAAGGTCACAGTCCTACCGCCGGGACCTCTCCGAAGAAGTCTGCCGCCGCGAAGAACAAGCTTCATGTTCTGGCAGTGGATCATGCGCCTCTTGTTCGTCAAGCAGGAGTAGATACTGCATTTCCATCTGCTGCGAATATGGACGGTACGTCAGAGGCTGTTCTTTCCCTTGGTGAAGATCAAGCCGACGTCGACGGGCTTGTTGCTGCTGTTGACGGGAGCCTACTAGATGCACAAAGCCGCGCTCTTTCGCTCCGGGTGGGTGATGTAGATAAAAACAAGACGGGGGCAGTTAATCAAGAGAGTCAAGGTGTGAAGGAGCGGGACCAGGAGAAGAAGACGGTGGCAGGTCGTCAAGCATCTCCTCCACCTTCCGCCGCGTCGCCTTCTATCAGCACCTTGCTCGCCGAGGACGAGGATTCTCTGCCGCAACGCACACTTCTGTTGAAGAACTCTCGTCAGGCCGCCGCAAGTGACACGGAAGCGGAAGATGAGGAGCAGGTCACGTTGCAAGCGGCCCTGGACAACGCTGCCGGACGGTCGCTGGTGGGCAGGCTCTGGGGCTTCTTTCTAAGCGGTTCTTCTTCATCTTAACCGCAGTGAGCTGAAGATTCCAAGAGGGACGATTTTACTGCTCAGAAGTAAAATCAGCGGCCTCTGGGACGCGGCGAGATAAAGATTGTATTTCCTATCGTTCCACGGAAAGCAACCAGCCCCAGGTGCAATGAATATTTCCTACGCTTTTGAAAGGATGAAAGACAAAACGTTCGAAGATTTGATTCCACTACTAAATGCATTTCTAAGTCCAAATGAGTATGACACCAAGACGAAATTTTGCTTTACTTTTTTCTCTTTCAGTTTGACTTTCATTTTTCTTGCCCTGGGAACCCCAGACAGCCCCCAGCTACTTTTGAGATTTTCATGCTTTTTTTCAATCAGGCACCAGTACATGAACAAGAACATTTTTTTTTCCATCAACAGTACACTACGCATAAGTAAGCAGAAGTATCTTTATTCATTCACCGTATACATTCTATAAGCACTCGCATTCCTTTTTAATTTCAAATTACACATGACTAATTCAGCACATGCACGAAAAAGACTAGCACTTATCCGTCAACAAGGCCACAACGAAACCAAAAGTAAACCGCTTGTATCATATTTCCGAGGAATGATTCAAAATCAAGTTGTTCGAATTCTGTATCTGTTCTGCTAAATTTTCTATTCGGAGAAGATCGAGAAGTGAAGCAGTATGCAGGTGCAAAAAAATGGGTTTGGATTATGTGTTTATTTTGGTGTTCAGATCATCGGACTGGCAGATCTGGATGACGTTTTTTTTGAATCGAAAAATCGTCCCTCGTCTCTCCCGGTCTCGTATGTTGTATGCCTAAGTCAGGCCTTCTTTCGTCAAGGTGTAAAACATGCAAGATGAAATGAAGACTTATCATCCAGCATGCAGTAGTTGCTAAAACTGCAATAGCTTCGTCTAGTCGTTGAAGTGGAAGGAAGTGCTATTTGTGATCTTCGTGCAGGACAGCCGGCATCGTGACCTATGCAGCAAATTAGTACTTTTTTGTTACAACCATAACGGGGCGGGGTCTAGTCATCGGCTTCAGAATTTTTTGAAAACTTTGAACGTCCCGACGGTTCGGTCGTCCGAGAGGCTTTCTCACAACTTCGTAGCCAGTGCGAGACGTTGCTGGTAGCATGTCGAGCCCCAGCTTGCCATCGTGGTTCCTGTGTGACCGATGGGGCCCTGCGCTTTTTGCGGGTGGTCAGCTTGCATACTCAACCATAGTGAGATACGCCCGTACCTGAGAAGGTTGAGGCAGCGCCGAGCTTTGTGGCTCAGCGTGCAACATCGGCGTGCTTCGTGGTCAGGGCCAAGGACCTAACACTGCGAAAGCGAAAAGTAAAAACATGTCGAAATAATAAGAAAAGCAAAAAATAGGAAATAAAGCACTTACTATCGTTGAAAAATAGGTCCTATGCTATGAAATAAAATCAAGAAAGAAAACGAGTCCGAGGCCCGCCACCGGGCTTGATCTCGGTGCGAATTCCTATTCCAGCATGCACATTCTAAGTGGGCTCCAATGTTCATCATGATCCTAGATTCGATCGTAACGGCACACCCCGTTTGAGAGGCTGGTGACGTTCTTGAAAGCACATCGAGAGACAGTTGGTGAGTGTCAAGTGTGAGTTGATCTCGTGCGTTCGGAATGAGCAAGAAAACGAGCGGTTTTCGTCTGACTCGTCTTTTCTCGCTGCAACTTGTTCACATACCTCTCAAACTGCGTGCCGAGTCGGGCGATGTTTTTGTAGTTTTTGTGCGTTGATTCATCGAGTTTTCGCCGGTATCTTCGGTCTTCGTCTTTCGATAGCGTATGAAAAGATTCTACAGTCAAGGCCGAAGTTATTCGCACTACCGTTCTTGCCGGCGGGGACCGTATCGCACTACCACTACCATTGCCGCCAGCATGTTCTAGTCGGAGTCGTACGAATTATGACAATGCGCAGTCAGATGTACTGGAACTGGTAGAAACAATAAAGATGAAGACCAAGACTGTAGTTCGCTTGAAGCCCTCCTGACACGATTGCGAGTGCCGCGACGGGTCCGAGACCACAAGGCAGTCTTTAGCAGGCGGCTTTTCGAAAATATCAATTGATTTCCGCCGTGCCCCGGTGGCCTCAAGCTGCAGGTCGGCATAGACCACCGAGAAGGAGGACGACAGCGAGAAATTTGCGTCCTCCTGCTCCACCTGAGCGGAAACGTTCGTGCGCGGAAAATCGTTATTTGAGCCACACAGACATCAACCAGCGGGACGACCAGTAGGCGGGAGCTCTACTTTTTCCCTGCTTCCGTACGACGGCGTGGTTTTTAGTTGGGTCAGTCACTCAGTTGTACTTACAGCGGTACTCAGACTTACATCGGCGGCGAGATCCAGAACCACTTCCAGTCTACCTCACCACGACGGGCCCGTGGTTATAAGAACTAAGTTGCAGGAGCAGGACACGACCAGATTCAAACAACCCACACAGGACGGACGATACTTCGCTTTTACCTCCATCTGTAGCTCTGGTTGTACCTACGCAAGCCTGCCGTTAGAATAATTGGTGACTTTTCATCCGTACCACCCTGGGGATAGCGGGCCGTAGTGCGAGGACAGGATCGACATCAAGGCGGAGCACCATTAACACAACGCTCTGTTTTCTTGTTCCGTCGCTGTGATCATCTTCTTCCAGTTCTTGCCAGAAACATCGCTAGTCAGCCACCCACGACGAGAAGTGCCAGCTGCAAAGCAACGTCGCGCGTGTTGAGCCGGCGCAACTCTTCATCGTCGTGCGCAATTTGTAGGAGCGCTTCGCGACCGCTCGGCAGGTCGACGGTAAGCATTCACTTCGAGTCCGGAAGCCTTTAATACCAGGTTTTTCTCTCGCATCTTCATCATCTCGGCCGCAACCCGAACAAAATCTGCCGGAATTAGAAACGCAATTACGCGAGGACAAAACCTGCGGCCAGATCCCGGGTAGCTCCGTTACTGCTCCCGTCCTGGCGCATCAGTTCGAACAAATCCCTTGGAGCTCTCTTCTCGTCTGCGACAACGCGCGAGGAAAAGCGACTGCAACGGTTCGTGCAAGTAGAAGAACTTGTTGGCAATCCAGGAGAGGAAGGCAACATCTGCAGCGGAGAGTAAGAGCAGCGACTATCTTCTTCGCGAGCCGAACATCAAAACTGACAAACCACGGCTGTAAAAAAGCGGGAAGGTACCAATAGAACTAAGCACCACGACGTGGCGCAGAAGTAGTCAGTCTTCGTTTGTAGTTGACACAAAGTCTTCTACCCGTCCGGGTCCGGCCAGTTCTTCTACATCACATAAACGAGCAGGAGAAGCGGCGAACAAGTCTTCTTGTCCTGACAAGCCCGAAGTGGTCCTCGCGCTCGCTTGTCTACTTCATAGTCCGAAGGCATCTAGTAGTGTAGGTCAACTTCTCCTTGTCGTGGTCGGTATACGACGTCGCCTGGCTACTTCATCCTCCAACGCGAAGAAATAAGATGTTGGCTCCCTACCAGAAAAAGTCCAACAACCGGCCGAAACGGCCCACGACGGTCGGCAGCACGAGAAGCCGTTCGTCCAGCGGCAATCAGGCCATCCTGAACAGCATGCACAACACGACCTCCCCCCGGAAAATCATGCAGTACGTCGGCGTCTCCGAGTATGGAAGCGTCAGGTTTGAAATCGTCAAAGTTGAAATAGTTTGCCATGCATAAGATGCAGCCCCCAAAGTGCCTGTCTTGCAGAGTAGGCAAGTGAGGCACCAGATTGTAAGCCTGTTGAGGGGTAGAAACTGAGCTGCTAAAGTAGCATGACAAAAGCCGTCTTTCTTACCCAAGCAGCATGACAAACTGGATTTCGGCTCTACCCAAATAAATTTGTCATGCGCCACTTGAAAACTGGGTCACAACTTTGACTTTCATCCATTTTATGCATTACAAGTTATTTCAACTTTGCCGATTTCAATCCTGACACATCCATACCGAGTGCCCGATCTGCCGCACGCTCTGCGAAACCTACGCGGCCTCCCTGGTGGCTATCAAGTGCAAATATGTCTGGGTCTGGAAAGATCCAAGATTTGTCATGCTTGTCTGACATGACTCTCAAGTCTGTCATGCACATTACCCAAAAGCCTCATTTTTCTGTCATGCAGAAGTTCACTTTGTCATGCAGAAAAGCCAAGACTTCTGTAGCACCTCCAAAACTTGTCATGCTTGCCAGTCATTCAATCGACCGAGGTGTCCTCGTTTTTCGCAACCAGCATTACAAGTTTCCAGACCCAGACATATTTGCAATGCATAGTGGCGGAAAAAACGCAAATCTCGCCTTTCGACCGGCTGGTCGCGCAGGACTTCATACCCGCACGGGAGTTGGCCGGGGGGACGAAATTCTGCCGGTTTCACACCTACTGGAAAAAAAGATACGACGTGCTGTCCTTTATCAACAAGGGATTGCGGGAAAACGTATACTTACACCTTTGAATCAGAATGTTGATTTTCGTCTTCATCAGAAGTTTCATATGCAAGTTAAAGTTTTGCTTTGCGTCGTAGTCTGCCTCTGTACTTCTAAGTACTTGATTTGAGTGCGAAGAACCTCTGTTCATTTGCAAATCATGACAAATGTCTGATCAGATACGTTACGAGGCACTGTACGACCTCCTGGCAGTAATGGACACACAAGCGAAGGCATCAATAGAGTGCTATCACGCGTGACAGCTGCACCTCCCCTGCGAGATCGTCCATCTTGAGCAGCAAATCCAACAGGCGGTACCGGAACCGGTAGCACACGTTTGATGCGTTTTACATGACAAATTAGTTACGATACTTCTTCTAATGCAGATTTTTGTAGTACTGGCTCTGGCTCCAGTCTGTCGCGGAAAATGTTATGTGAGATGCAGTGAGGCCGTTGAGGACACTGTCGAAATTATAGACGAACTTGATAAGTAGCAGAGGCAGTCGTCGACGCCAATGACTGTATGAAAAAAAAAACTGTGATGGGAGGGAGCAGCTGTCGCAAATCATAAGCGGTTGTTGGAAGACATAAAAGAAGAGGTGGAGGGGAAACAAGTGTCCACAAGAGGCGAGGTATAATTTTTTTTTCGTCGTACTCAACTGTTCTGATGACATCATGCATGTGACAAACTAACATCTCCCGACCAGTACATTCATCTTGGCGCATGTGATGAAGCATGTATCGCACGACGCAATATAATTTCATTTTGAACATAAACTACATCATCAGGTCCGCAACTCGCTCATCCGTGAGGCAAGGCGCTTAACCGACCTCTGGGATGCACATAAGAATTGAAAGCGTGGAGCCAGTCGTTTGCGTTTGAATTGTGCACGCAGCGAGACTCTCAATGTTTCGCATAATATCTACGAAATGTAAATACGTTGACCTCGATGGTATCCGCTATAGTTGTTCCACGGGCTCGCTGTGGTGTGCTAGGACTACAATAAATTTGTGTGCTGCAGAAAAGATTTAGATACTAAACGCGACTACCACTGCTCTTTTTGCCTGGCATACCCCAAGTCGAGGACTTGGACACCCAGATCGCGTACTCAATAGGCGACCTGCAGACGCGGCAGGCCCAGGATCTGGCCTTCGAGTTCGAGAATCTGGAAAGGCAGTACGGCGGGAAAAAGCCGCACTACAGCAGCGCACTGCTGGAGCTGTTTCAACAGGAACCGAGGATGAAAAGAGCGGGGGCTTTTAACGAAGCATTGAAAGTGGTAGACGCCGGGAAAAAATTGGAACAGGTATGACATTTTGGAAACAAACTTATAGTGATGGAGCTTGGAAAATGTTTCTCATGATATTTGCATTTCTCAGGCAGTGAGTGAGTGTCTTGATTTTCGATTTCGTCCATTATCATGATGAAAGAATGATTTTTCATATCATAATCCCTAACTAACCGCGCTCCGACCTCTATCAGGTCCAAACCATGCGGTTCAAGCGCGAAATCGAGCGGGAGAAGTCGTTGAAGTTGTCTTGGAAGGTGTGTCAGCAGACGCGACAGATAAACGGGATCGTGGATAAGATGCAGCGGCACAGGAGAAAGGAAGAGGCGAATCGGGAGATCGACCGCGAAAGGTTGAAGTCCAGGGTAAAGACGGCGCTGCAGAGATTAGAAAAGGTATTTTGAACTAAGTAAGAAGTATTCTTCTACCGCGTGCTTGCGCTACGCTCCGACAGAGCGGTTGGTGTTTTTCTACGTTGTGCCTTTAATATCTGCAGTTTTGATTTGAACAAATCCCGAAATCAAAATCTACCAGGTCCAAAGACAGGCCGTAGTGGTGATGCGGCCGCCGTTTCTGCAGCACATCTACCGCGTAAGGCACGTTGTCGAGGTGGAAGCCAAGAAGGACCACAGTAGCCCTAGGTCCAGCTTCAAGGAGAGACCAGCGCTCTACGAGGGACCACAGCAGGTCTCGTTTAGGACCAGAGACGTCGACGATTTCGGACGGGACGTCAGAACCGTGGACACCTTTCCAGAGTGCAGCAGCGACTTTTTCTACACCATGATCATGGGACTGCAGAACATGGTACTTCTTTGATGGGATTTTTCTGGATTGATATAAGTAGTTTCACTTTTCATGTTGATCTTTTGTTCAGTTTGTTCTGATCTTCTATCACTTTCAACATCTGCTCGCATAATGCTAGTAAGCGCACATCAACTTATCCATTCCAGAACCGCATCGGCATGGGTGGTAGTGCCGCGTCCAATGCACCGGGGGAGGAGGGCTTCAATAACAGCAACGCGAGTTCCCCGATACGCACCAGACCGGTCTCATCGCAATCCCAAAACCGAAATCGCAGTAGTAGTGCGCCGGGAAATACCCTTACAAGACCGAAGTCCGCCCCACTAACCGGAAATTCGTTCTTCAACAGCGCAAGCAAAATGGGAGGGATACACTGCGACTGGTATGACTTGAGTTTTTTCTGATTTGTCCAGCGGTCGGAAGCGGAACAAGTACAAGAGACGGCACAAACACTTTTGTTGTAGGGGCACAAGCATGAAAAAAAAAACAAATCCAGATGCAGAACGTGAATGAGAATGATCCTATATAAAATCTGTTTCATTCATCTTGATGCGACGTGCTTACCACTTCATGAGGTGCGGCGCTTTCACGACGAAACCGATCGAGCTAGAGCAAGAGAAGGACATGCCAGCCTCCGTGCAACGAGCTTTGGATTCGTATATACCGATAATGTCAGTGGTGTGTTTTATTTCCGTGTTTGTCATGTTCATGGAACAGTATAAGGATGCGAAGCACTCACAATCAAAAAGAACTCTGCATGTTGATGGACAAGAAGCAATGATGAAAATAATTTCGATTCATCTCATTCTCAGCACGGAGTTTGCGAACGTTGCCCTCTCTGCACCCTCCGTAGACACGATAATACCGGGGCCGAGGGGCATTCCGGATGTGAATAACAAGAAGCCGAAGCAGACCAGCATGACTGAACTGAAAAAGATTATCGAGCCAACTGCATCAACAACCGGGGACGACGGTAAGTAGAGGAAATGTTGTTCCGCTGTTGCACTGCATGGCTGGGTGTGTATATTGCTTAGAGTGTTTGAGTTTAAGAAGCCTACATTACCCTGCTGGTCTTGCATGCGCGAAAAAAAAGTTCTTCTATCCAGCACGAAAATATTAAATCCTAAGGTTCGCTGAAGTCCACAAAATACGTGGCAAAGTGCTGCAGCTTCGCTTGCATGTACAACTGGAACGCAAAGAACTCTCCAACCTACCTCCGCTCCCGGCGCCACCTGCAGATCGACTTGATGCAACGGACGGCGAAGAAGGAGCAGCTGGACAGGTTGCCGCAGGTCCAAACGGACGCCGGTATGAAGTTTGTAAGGCAGGGGTAGAGCCGATTGCACGGCGGAAGGATGATATCGATTATGTACTAGAGCGACAACCGGTATTGAAAACCACTTCGACTACCAAGAAAGTTGTTGCCGAGAAGAATAATACCAAACAGATTTTACCAAACTACAATGCAAAAATGAACGGCAGGACTAGAATTCATCAAATTCTCCACTTCAAATATTAACCTCAATTGAATCCAACTTAGCGCAAAACAAAAGAAATTAATCTTCCTCTCCTGGAGCTATTCTTTGCAAGGATTATATGCTTCTGTCGACGCGACGTCTTTAAAGTTTCAAGATAATGACCCGAATTTAAAATGTACGAGTGGTGTGCACTAGAAGACTTCTCTTCCGCGCATACGTGGAAGTGATAGTGACGACTCAACAAACCGTAAAATATCATATACGTTTCACACGACAAACGTACAAGCTTACACCGCTATTTGAACTTTATTCGCTACCGTTCTACTCAATGTTACTTTTATTCGATAGAAACTGAAAACTGCACGGCTTCGGCTGTGGATGTTCTTGAACTACCCCATTGTATAAACTCTACTCGAAAAATCTTCAGTATTTTATTTCCAAATGTGATCTGCATCCGCAAGCACCAAATAGAATCGTCGAAAGAAAATGGCTATTCGAGTAGCTTTAGCTTCTCGGGCTCTTGATAGTTGAAGCAAACTCGACCCTGTTAGCAGTTTTCCACTATATTCAGCAATAGCCGCGTCTATTCGCTATCGCGGCCTCCAGATAGAGCTAAATTTGTTTCATCCCGTAAAAATGTGCAATTGCAAGCGAAGATTTGAAATTTTGCGCAGTCGCAGCGGCTGCAGCGAGATTCTTGTTGATGATGAACTTGTTTCTCGTTTCCGATGATAAATTTGTACAGACAATAGAATCTGGATTTCACGAAGAGGATGATGTGAAAAGTATTTACATCTCCAAGTAATTTCAATTAACACGCGCCCCTGTTCTCACCCTTAACCGATCCTGAAGATGGCAGTAGTTGTGAGGATCTTCATGAAAAGTTCACAATCAATTTGGTTTTGCGTTTGCTTTCAGATTCAGTTTCGTTCCCGCGGACGGTTGTTTGTCCTCGTTTTCGGAGGCTCAATACAGACCTCAGTAGTTCGCCTAGTTTCGGTTTTGATTTTTTCTTTCAGGACGGCTACGGCTAGTAAGACACGATACTACATCTAAACGACACACAGTCTGGCACAACCTCTATTCAAGAAAGTGTGCGCTTTAGCTCATTTTGCTTTTTGTGCCTGGCGGCTGTGCCGCTGCGACTCAAACAAATAGTAGCATGTAAGTTGTAAAACCCAGAAACACGCACATTGAACATGCAGTACTCGCTACAACTAGATCTAGAACTACAACTTCTCCTAGAGTGCTTGGTTGAGAAATAAAGCAGCAGACTCGGATTTTTTGAACGTTCGTCATGTGACACCGACGGGCGAGTGCGCAAGATCGTCGTCAACCGGGCACCAGAAGTGATAGACGACAGCAGGTAGACGACACGTTTCAGACGACACCGCGCTCCTGCTTTGTTGAACCGAAGAGCACGGAGCCGTCCCCCCCCGCACAAATAAAATCATGATGCAGCACCCGTCAGACCACGACAATTACCCCCAGCAGTCCAAGGTCCTGTTGATGGGCCGGGCGAGCGCGGGAAAAACCTCGATCCGGAGTATTATTTTTGCCAACTACCTCGCCCGGGAGACGTCCCGTCTCCACCCCACGAACAACGTGGAGCACTGCAACCTGCGGTTCCTGGGCAGTTTGCAGCTGAACCTGTGGGACTGCGGCGGATATCCTGAGTAAAAACGTACCCACACCAGAGTCAGGATGGGGATTTTGCAACACAAACCTAGGAGTTTTGTGAGTCACGCATGACAAGTTGCACTCTGCAGTGTAGTGCAGGTTGGCAAGTGCAGCCGCGTCACAGATTCGTCTGCTCATCCTGTTCACAGCATCACAAATTCCAAAACACGACTGGAAATGGCTCTCATGGGGATGCGCATTACAAGCCTTCCTGTCTTTGCAAATCTGCATTACAACTCTGGCGTGGGTACGTTTTTACTCAGGATAGCGGGCAGGACGTGTTCATGGAAAATTACTTCGAATCGCAGAAGGACCATATCAAAAGGAAAAATCCCCCCTCCCCATATCGAAATGGAAATCTGTGATGCAGGACTTGTGGTACACAAATCGGATTTGTCTTGCAGTGGAGGACTGCAGACAGATACAGAGCCCGGATAGGGGTGGCTTGGGGTAGGTACTTAGCATGGCAGACGTCTGCCCTAGTAGCGTAGCAGCATTACAAATCGCCTGCGAGATGCAGCGGACGCCCTGGCTTTGCTCTCTTGCAGGACAGACTCGATCTGTGGCGACAAATCAGCATCGCAAATTTCCAAGAGCACGCCTTTGCGATATGGGGAGGGGGGATTTTTCCTCACAATAGACCACATCTTCCGAAACGTCAGTGTCTTGATTTACGTGTTGGGCAGCACGGCAAGCCTGACACAGACGGCGACAGGCGGGGCTCCGCAGGGCCAAGTGGCAAACCAAGAGGTATTGTATTAGGATGATAGTTGTGCAGCGGCCTACTCGACGTCGTTGTGTCGCGATAAATGTGTTGCGCGAGGAGCTAGCTGTACACCCGCCCCTGCGCTAGCTCGTGCAACATGATATTAAACACTTCCTTGCAATCAGAAAGTCTTCATCGTTAATATCCACGCCCTGCTCGTCTACTTAATAGAAGAATGTTAATATTTGATCCACTTCTCTATCTCTAGTAATACGTCGAAAAAAAAGAAAAATCCTTTCCAACAACGAACGCAGGTCCAGCGCGACATGACGTATTTGAAAAACACCTGCGAGAACATTAAGCAGCTCTCCCCGGGGGCGAAAGTGTTTGTCTTGGTGCACAAAATGGACCTAATTCACGAGAAGGACCGCAGCTTGGTTTTCCAGCGATACGAACAGCAAATCAACAGCATTGCCGGAGCGGATCTCGTCGGCTCGGTGAAGTGTTTCGCGACCTCGATTTGGGACGAAACACTGTTTAAAGCGTGGTCCAACATTGTGTACAGTTTGATATATCAAATGCAAATATGTCTGGGTGCTCTGGGAAATGAATACGCAACTTGTAATGCAGGTTTTCCATGACCCATGAGGTCTGGAATGCAGGACCTAGCATGACAGATTCTGCGAGATCTCTATCATGCTTATTCTGCGTGAGAAATTCCGTCACCGGGGTCAAAAATGCACGGCTTGTTTTGGTACTCATGCAACACAGATTCTTGTATGATTCAGATGTAGCATGACAAGTTGCTATGTTCCAGACCCAGACATATTTGCACTCCATATGACACCGAACATCACCATGATCGACAAGCAGCTGAAATACTTCTGCGAGACCTGCGAGGCTATCAAATGCAAATATGTCTGGGTCTGGAAATTTATGATGCTAAAATGCGCATGACGAAAACGCTCCCTCATGCAGGAAATCATTACAAGTTTGCAGAACGCTTCCTCATACGCGCTCCGCATTAGAAACTGCGTTTTTGTATGACATCAGAGGCTGCGACTTTTGTGGGTCATGCAATACAGATCTCACAGGAATGCAAAACCTGCATTATTTTTTTCCAGACCCCGACATATTTGCAATGCATAGAGGCCGACGAAGTGGTCCTGTTTGAGAAAGCCACTTTCGTCGTGATTTCCCACACCACGCGGCGGGAATTCCGGGACCCGCACCGGTTTGAGAAGATCTCCAACATTATCAAGCAATTCAAACTCTCCTGCGGCAGGGCGAATTCCAGTTTCAAACGCCTCTCCGTGCAAACCGAGACGTTCACGGCCTTTATCGAAAAATTCACGCACAACACCTGTCTCATGCTGATCGTCACCGACAAAGACGTGCATCCGGCCGCGGCCATCGCGAATATTGACGTGGCCAGGAAACACTTCGAGAGAATTATCAAATGAAAGGTGGGAGTGGGACGAGGGCGAACGCGAAGAATTCACTTGTATAACAGCGACAGATCCACGTGGTTTGTGTTTCCTCCTTCCTCTCGTCGTGCCGATGAGCCGTGTTGGCTAGCAAGGACGAGGGATACTAGGGTGAACATCATACCATGAGCCGGAATTTAAGTATTTCGCCAGACACGTGCTTTGAAAGCGACAAAGTTAATTTTGGACTCAGAAAAGCAAAAACAGCAATCCCAGACGAGGGTGGGAAGGGGCGTCGGCATGGAATCGCTCAGCAATATAAATATTTTGCGAAGTTTTCTCTAGCGCCCCCGTAAGTAGTTCCAATGTTCTCAGTAGACATCTTGAGACTATGATGCTTTCGAAACGGTTCTACTGAAAGTCGGTCAAATCTGAAGGCGTTTTTTACAAGCGCATCATTCGGTTTTCCCGAGTTTCACAACAAGCGCACTGCCCAGTAGTTGCCGATTCTGGTGAAAGCAGCTCCTAAGTGAAAGTGAGTGTCCTTACGAACTATTTCCAATGGACGACGCAGGCCTCAGTTGGAGCTTTAGGTGACTGACGTCTTCGCACGCTTCAACATCGCCCCTATCTTTTAATGTGACGACGCTCCTTGAACTCGTAGTGCAGACTCGTACTCATAGCGCAGAAAGAAGGACTCAATAATTGAAACTCAAAGTTGTTTTATTTTTTTGGGCGAAGTCTCCAGTCCACCGGTCCCGTTAGGGAGCAGGGAGGACATCTACTTTGGCGACCGACTACTGGCCTTTCTATCTAGCAAAAGTACTTCATTACAGCAGCAGCCTCAAGCAAAAATTCATTCGCACACAGCACCGTACTTACAACTATCTACACCGGCCAAAATTCGAAACACATCATGAAGTCGTCCTTCGTTCTTTACTCTTCTACTGCTGCGCTTCTGTCTCAGCCTCTCGTCTACTTACCACAGCAAGTTGCCGCCCTGGCCCCCCATCCCGAGGCGTCCAAGCGGAAGCCGGACAAGAAGGCCCACGGCAAGCTCAAGGGAGGCCACCCAATCGAGTTGCAGGACCGGATCAAGGGCGCCTACTATGGCGCGCTGGTCGCCGACGCGTTTGCGCTGCATTCCCACTACGAATACGATGCAAAAGTGATCAAGGAGGCGCACGGGGGAGCGTTGATCGACAAATTTTACGGTCCGGGGGAGCTGATGGGCGGCACGACGCACGGCGTCGGCTGGGGCCGCCGAAACTACCACCCCGGACAGCGGGCGGGGGACCAAACGGATTACGGGTTGTACAACGTGGTTGCGCTGGATATGCAGTGCAAAAGTATCGTACTAGTAAAACAGCATTACAAATTTTTCCAGAAGGAAAAATGATATTTGTAATGCTGAATAAGCTAAGGAACCAGATTTGTCATGCATGACTGCAATTACTACGAGTGCGATGCTTTTGCACAGGATACTGGAGTATCTCCAGCAAAACCACCACGCGGAAAAGATCAAGAATCCGAAATATAACGCGTCCGACGAATATCAAATGTAAAAATGTCTGGGTCTGGAAGAGTCATGCCGTTTTTGCATGACACAGAAGGGCTGGCATGGAAGCTCTAGCATCACAGGTTTCGAAAAGCTTCCGCAATGCCGAATCCGCATGACAGGTCCCCCATTTTGGTGGCAGAAAGCAGGCAGTTTTTGCTACCTACGCATGAGAGATTTTTTTGTGTTCGAAAATGCGCATCACAAGTTTGGACTCTTCCAGACCCAGACATTTTTACAGTTGATAACGAACTGATCCACCCGAAACACAACACCACGCACATCTTCAAGCACCTGAACCAACCCATTGACCCCACGTCGCTGGTGATTTTGTGGAAGAAAAAGATCGAGGACATCAACTGGGGTGCGTGGAAGTGCACGCAGTCCCGAACGACTTTGGAGCAAGTGAAGCGCGGGCAGCGGTTCCCGGACATTGGGGGCAATTCCAACGCGATGGCGGTCCGGTCCGCGGGCATTTTCGGCGCATACGACGACGAAGACATCGCGGCACAGGCGAGTCGGGTGCTGTCCTTCACACACAGGAGTCACGAGGCGCTCGTGGGGGCGGAGTTTTTCACACGGGTGGCGCACAAGGTACAAGTATGTAGTCTTGTATGGGGGCGATGGTTTATTTCTCAGTTGCTCCTGTGACGGCATCGCAAATCAAGTTCAAAAGTATGCCATGATAAAATGCTGCGAGCGCGCATTAGATGTAGAAGCCGAGGAGTTGAAGCAATGCGCCAGCATATCAAATCCATCTCACCATCAGGTAATTTTCCTCTCCATGACACCGAAAAGTGCGATCAAAGCTACCTGCGCGTGGTTCGAGCACAAGCGGGACAAATTTGTGATGGAGCAGTGCGAAAAGGGCATGAACAAGTTTAAGGAGGTGCGAAGACGGCACTCCCGGCTGGCGAAGGAGGAATTCGCCGACGACCTAGCGATGACTTCCATGGCCAGATTGTGGGAAGTAGGGAAGACGGAGCCGATCAAGGTATGATTGAATACGTTGCTGTTGATACCATGTTGTGGAGGGTAGTAGAACCTCCTAGGAATCCGAGTGGTCGTGGTCTGGTCCACAAATTATCACGACTTACGGTGCCCTTACTACCACGTTGTGGTGGAGGTGAAACAAGCAAGTAGGATTTCTACGATTTAGTTTCTTTGTGTTTGAAGGAACACCACTGCAATTTCAGGTCGGCAAAGCCTCCCCAACGGAGGGCACGATGCCGGCGTCAATCTACATGATTTTGAAGTATGAGGACGATTACGAAGACGCGGTGAAGAACAACGCCATGGTGGGCGGCGACAGCGCCAGCCGCGCAATCGCAATCGGGATGGTGCTGGGAGCGTACCACGGGGAGTCGTCTTTCGAGCCCGAATGGCTGGAAGAATTGAACATGTTCAAGCGATCCGAATCCTGGTTGCAGAGACTGCCCCTGCTCAGCGAAACACCGGAGCCGATGCCGTTGAACAACGAGCATTACGAGATCCGCGGGCCAACGGATATCAAAAGACAAGAACTGTAGAAGAATGGAGTTTATTGTAGGTATAAATTTTGTCCTCGCCGCGCAAATCATGATCGGTTAATTCGCTGTTCGTTAAACTCCACATCACTACTGATATTGCAAAGCGTCGCAGCGACATTATACGCGAATGAATCGAACTGATGCTAAAGTAAAAAAGTTGTTCCGGCGTGTCTTCAGGTCTATCCTGAATGTACTTTTTGCATCACATCAGAACCGAAAAGAAATAGTCTCTGCAGTGTGCAGAAACTTTGCAGAGTCTTTGCTGTTTTTTGCAAAAGAGCAGGCAGTTACTTATGGCGAAACCGAAATTTAGCTTTATGGTTATGGACCTAGCACGCTACTATTGTAATCCTAGATTGTCATTGTTGCCGATACGCTCGATTTTTTCCGCAACTACCAATCACTGCTAGGGAAGAACAGAAACTGAAACTCTGTATCTACTTTTTGTCGGAACGAATGAAAATGCACACGCAATTAGACGTATACGGACGATTGACATAAATCGAACAGCAGCCCAATCAGACGCAATTCCAATTTGAACACTGTAAATACTATAGCAGAACTTGAACTGTAACGTAATTATGGAAAAGCAAAAAAAAAGCCTGTGTTTGTCAAAGTTGGAGCCACAACTGAAAAAAAGATAAACTGCCTGATGCTACCTGTTTGCAACAGGATTTTTCCTATTGTCGTTCCTTTGTGTGAAAAAATTGCGCGTCAACGCAGTGCTGTTCGACATTTCTAGTTGCTCGCTCATCGAAGGACGAACTAGCCACCGCGAGCAGGAGAATTCAGGGTTGAAGATGAAGTTTCGTTTGTGGTCAGTTGAATAAAATCTCTATATGTCGCGGTGACAACAATCGCTCAAGAAGAGATAGCTGTAGTAGAGAGTAGAGCCCCGACGAGGTCAATGATTCGCTTGTCGCATTGTGCTGGTGGTTGTTCAAATTACTCCTCCTCCTGTCGTTCGACTGATATTCGGCGCAGCGCGGGCAAATGCAAATCAAAATCCTATAGCCCAAACCCAATATAGTCTAAGTAGGCCGCCAAAACACGTGTCGATCGATATTTCGTCCGGCTTTTCCTGCCGTTGTTTGGTCGATCCCAGAAATAAAGAACCGGAAGGTCATGCCGGCGCCCGCGAACAAGATGACTGAGACTGGCTCGCCCAGCAGTGTCGTCGTGTCCTCGCTGACAGAGCTGGACTTTTCATATGCATTGCAAAAGTATCGTACTCGTATAAATGCATTACAAGTTTCCTCAGCGTGAGAAATAAAATTTGTAATGCGGAGTTACCTTGAGAAAAAAATTTGTAATGCATGATGGCAATACGAATGGGTGCGATACTTTTGCACAGGATATTTCCGGTCCCTTGCTGAAATTTCTCACCGAGGTCAAAGAACTCGAGCGGCAGGGATACTTCAACGACGAGGTTGACAATCATGAAGTAGGACAGCACGGAACCAAAGCAAACGCAAAACCTTCCACGACCTACAAGGAGCTCTGGGGCGGTTCAACGGAGGGCGAAATCCTGGACGTTGCGAATAAACACTCCGGCGAGGAGCTTTTTCCGATCCTGTTCGAAACCAGCTCGCGAATTCGTGACATCAAGCGGCTATTGGAGGTGAACAACAGCTCCTCTAGTACTTCCACGTCTGAAGAATCGAGTGATGAGACTGGTGACGATGTCGGTTCGTTTTCGCACGAAAGCAGCAGTCGAAATGGTAGCAACAAGATGAAGAAAACCGGCGCGTTCAACAGTACTAGCCCAACTAGATCGAGGAGTAGCAAGGCGGTGTTTGGTGCAGCTAAAAGCAAAAGAAAGTCTTCAACCACGCCGATGCGAGCAAGCAGTACGTCTTTGCTCCCCTCGCCGAAACAAGCGAAAAAATCATCGAAAGTGAAGGCATCGAAAACTACGAAAACTTCGTTTTTTGACGAACAGACGGTCGAAGATGGTGCATTCAGTACACCGATTCTTGCAAAAACTACAACTGCATCATCGGGGTTGATGATGGAACAGTCGGATCAGCGTCTAGCGGATACGCGGCGAGAATTGGACGATCTGATTGCATCAACCGGCGTGTTAACAGGTACTACTATGTCCTCGTCTTCTGGCGCAGCAGCAGGTACAGCAGCAGGTGGTGGTACAAGTAGCACGTACAAGAACAGCAACACAAATAATCCTGCAGAACAGTTGTTCAGCACCTATGGTTACGACAGCCTGTCGGGAACCATGGCGCGAAACAGGACCAGCAAGCTCTCCTCGTCCCCCTCTTCCGTGTTCTTACCGCAGATAGTCGGCAATAGCAATAACAACAAACCGACCCGCAGTTCCTCAATCACGTCCATCAACAGTGCCGCAGGGCCGCTGTCCACGCCAACGGGCATGATGCACGACCGCGGCGCGACGCGCAACAGCCGGTCTTCCTTTTTTACCAGTGTCGTTCCAAACAAGCAGCTACAGGTGGATCATGGGAGGTCCTCGTCGTCGATGGTCCACAAGAACTCTCGAAATCATAAAGCATCCTCCCATGGTTCTAGCGTTGCAAGCACACGGGCCAGCACGAAGGAAACGTACGTGGTGACTCACGACGTGTCGCCGGAAAAGTTTGCCGAAAACTCGTCCAAATTGACGGAACTGCTGCGCGACGCGGAACAATTTTTGTTGACGTAGAAAATAGACGTATAGCGAGAAAAGGAACACGCTCCTGTAAGTGGAGAGGGAAAGGAAGGTCATGAAATCTCATGGAAGAAGATCCACTGCGCACAGGAAGTGCATTTCGCAGTTGAAATTGAATAGCATGCGAGTTGTAATCTTCGTAAAAATTGACTTGTTTTGTCTTGACGTAATATAGGTAATTACGGTATCAAAATTGTGCACAATAAATTTGTTTCTATTCTTGTTGTTTCTGATTCTGTAAACCATTGTTTCAAATTGATTCTGCTTGCCTTATGTTTTAGTTAATGTACAATAACTCTCTTGCAGGAGCTTTGCATTCTGCAATTTCTGCGTGTTTGTTTCATCATCTAGAATTTTTTTGTTTGTCATGATGCGGTCGGTACGGTCATTCGTAGAGGTGTCTGAGTCTTCCCTTGATGACGGACAAAGTTCATCAGACACATCCTGCAGACGACTGTTCGACGGTTGTTGTGTAGACCCTTCAAGCTAAACTTGCTCTGAAAAAACATAGAGGACGAAATCACACAGCCCCGGCTCTTTCAGCAGGGGTCGAGCCTCCTCTTGGGGCGATCGCTGTTCTTTACCGAGTTATGTTAGGATTTGTCAGCTTGGCTGCAAGCTTTATCTATGCAATGAGTTGTTGATGGCGGCGCTATTTTTTTTCTGTTTCTTTTTCCAAAATAAAAACTGCCGTCTGTCACCAGAGCGAATGAGCGGTAAGATTGGAGGGTAGTGCCTGTTTTGCAGTGCTTGTAGAACGTAGGTTTGGCACCCTTTCCCGTGGTCTGGCCTAGTAGTTTGGTCCTTTTATTATATTGCAACGAAAATGATCTTTCTACTTCTACTGGTACCAGTCTGCAAAACGCAAAGATCTTCTGTTCTTCGCGGGGCATGGTGAGCATGCCCTCGCTGTTTCCTACTTCTCTCACCGCCTTTACAACCTCAACCTTCCGTTAAAAACTGACAGTGAAGATGAAGGTTCTCCTGGATACTCTTGGCGCCATCCTGCGCCAGCCCTGGCGTACCATGCGCACCACCTACGCCGCCGTGGTGTGTATCCTGTGCAAAAGTATCGTACTCGTATAAATGCAAGTCTTGCGTTACAAATATTTTTCTTAACGTTAATCAGCATTACAAATTTATTTAGTTCTCATGCTGAGCAAATTTGTAATGCATTTATACGAATACGATGCTTTTGCAGTTCATAGTGAGCTGTGTGGTGACACTCTGGGCCTACTACCTTTTGGACCTGTGGCGCACCGCGGGGGAGCTGTCCGATGGCAGCAACTTGATCAATTTGGACCATTTGGAAGCCACGTCTGGCGAAGGAGGAGCCGACGAGGTACTAGCAGGCGGAGCAGCGGGAGGAGGGGGAGGCAGAAGTGGTGCATTAAAAGGCGGGACCACAAATTCCAAGAACATCAACTCGGATGACTATGAGACTTTCTACGGACTTCTGCCAGGGGGACGACATAGTGGATCCGGCTCAGGAAGCAGTGTTGATCCGTCACATGCTCTCACCCTCGTTCCCACCGCTGGCTACGAAAACAACCACGCACGCGGGGAGTTTCTGCAAACCTTGAACCTTCAAGCGGAAACGTTCGCTTTCTACGTATGCAATGCAAAAGCAACATCGCAGTCGCACTAGCTCTAGCACAAACTGCATCACAAATTCAAATTTCCTCAGCATGAGAAATAAAATTTGTAATGCTGTTCTACCTTAGGAAGAAGATGCATATTTGCAATTGCTACGAGTACGATACTTTTGCACATGATACTACGGAGATAACTACATTTTCTCCACGAAAACCTACGACGGCGCGGATCTGAAGGTGGGCGCATACATTTACGTGAGCTCGGAGCTGCTGAACAGCAAAATCGGCCTGGATTTGCTCTCCAAGGGCATGCCGATCGCGAGCAACAAGCTCGGATCCTGCACCCGCGGCAGCGACCACGAAAAGCGGCCGGGCTGGTTTTTCGGCATCTACTCCCATGAACGCGGGAAGGTAATACGGTTGCGCGACCATGTGCAAAGTGGGGGAAGGAACGGAAGGCGACAACTTCTGGGGGAAGAGGACACAGAGGACTCATCCAAAGCAAGCGTGCTTGTCCGCGGCGGGGAGAAGAAAAGCAGGAGCAAGAGTACAACAGACAAACAGTACGCCAACAGCAGTCGAAACAAAAACCGGCAAGATCATACGAGAGCGCCGTCCTCGAAGTCATCTTCATCAGCTTCCTTACATGGCCATCAAAATGATAACAACGATCCACCTGCGCGCCCCTCCGACGAGCTGCAGTCGGTCGCGACGCGGAGCAAAAATCTCCGCGGCTACGTATCACAATGAAAAACGCCCCCACCCCCGAACTTGGGGGCATTTGTATTGCAAACCTTTCCAACAGAAACACTCGCCCTCTTGCATCTAGCAGCATCACAGATTGGTTATCGTGAATAGCGAAGATTTGTATTGCGACAGATCCCAGCAAGCGCGGCGCTTGTCATGCAAGCTAGCAACGCTATATACGCCTAGACTCTGCATCACAAAGATTCATATTCCTTTCATGCATGACAAAAAGTCTTCACTTGGAAACTTCGCATCACAAATTATTCCAACTTTGGGGGTGGGGGCATTTTTCACGGTAATACTACGCGACGGCGGCGGACCGAGAGCGGACCGCGCAGCGGATACGGGACGAGTATCAGAAAGACCACACGGATGATGGGAAACGGGAGGGCCACGATCCGCAACCGAAAGTAACTTCGACGTCCTCACAAGGTGGCACTGGCGGCGATTCAATTCCAGCATATTCTACCCCACCAATATCCGGATCCGCTCCACCTCTCGATCCGCCGGAGGTCCGTCTCTTTCTCAACTGGTCCACGCAAAGGTCGGCCTGCACGGAGCTCGCAAGCTCGTTCGCGTTACCGCTGGACCAGTGGGTTCGGGTTGGGTTCAGAATGGACCGACACGTCGCGATTTTCATCGAGAAAGAGATCGTCGCGGACACTGCGACCGCGAATCGGGGTAAAATCTTCGTCGAGAACCGGTTCAAAAGACCGATCAAACCCAAAAACAGCCAGAAACTCCTGTCCGACATGGCGACGCGGCATCTCGGGCGAGGGACTTACATCGGCGGGAGCAGGCTCGGGGGCTCGTTCTTTTTGGGGTTTATCGCAGATTTCACCATTTCCGTCTACGACAAGGAGGTAGTGCGGTTAGAGAAGGGCGTTTTGAAAAACATCGCGTTTAAATCAGATGTTGACCAAGTCGAACTCTTCGAAGTCGCGCAGCCGTTGGAGTTCACGCGCGGGGTGGGGGGTGCGAGCCCCTTGACGAAAGGGCAGGAAGTAACGACCAGGGATCAGTTGGTCTTGCAGAAATACGTCAATGTCAGGCTGGACGATAGTTACCGGCCACGAGAACAGGACAGCAGCTACTACCCAACGGCCGCTGAACAAGGTGGAGCAGACCAGTCACTGGGCGACCACGACCCTTTGCACTCGCACCACGAGAACGCTTTATTCGGAGCAGCTTCTCAACAGCCGAAGTCCGCGCAGGAAAACATGCAGATCTTGATCAAGAAGATTCTCCTAGAATTGGGTAAAAGACAAAAGGACAAACAAAAGTCCAAATCGTTCAAGCCAAAGCACGCGATCGAGAAGAACATGGCGAACCTTTTCCGGGACCACGACCAGTTCGAGAAAAGCTACAAAGCGCTCAGCAAAAACCACGACGGAACTTTGTCCTTCAACAAACGAGTGACGACGACCCCCGCCCCGGCGATGGACAACTATTTCGAGGGCTCGAAGAACCGGAAGCCGGTGAACTTGAAGGATATTCGGACTTTTCCACCGAAGACAGCGGAGAACAGCGATCCGTTCGGGGTGGTGCCGGCGAACGGGTTGAATGGTGTAGTGAAAGATGAGTTGGAGTCGGAAGATTTGCTGAACGGACAGAAAAAGCACGGGATCTCCGAAGAGCGGATCTCGGCGGAGAAGAAGCAAAAGCCGGAAAATGGTGCGTTCAAATACGAGCACGAGATGCAAGACGCGGTGCTTGGGGAGTTGGCGCAGCACAACGCAGCTTTGATGCGGGAAGCGCATGCGAAGAGGAATATACACCGGTACTTAGGCCCCAGTTTGTTTTTCGATCGGAAGTTGTAATTACTACAAGGGTGAACACGCTCCACTCAGTATGGGGGAAAAAACAAAAATCCAGCAGCTCCGTCGTTCTTCTTTATTTCTTAGCGCAGTAGTTCTACTCTTAGGGCCTTGAGCGTCGACCTAAACCTTAGAAAGTCTAAGACCTACTAGTATGCGGCCTGCAGCTGTTTCACTATAAAGAAGTCTCTTTTTCTCGCATCGGATTGAGTTAGGGTAGCAATTTCTTTCTTTCCTTTTCTTTCAGAAATTTCAGTGTGGGTTTGCTTTCATTTTTGAACTTTCAACATTTTCGGAACGGGTGCGCATCACTTTTCTTCTTTGTCATGTAAAAAATGCGCCCGTCCGTATCTCTTCTCAGTTGCGTGATGCCTTGGCAAAATTGTCACTGATGCCTCCCCGGTGTGATCGTCGCCGTGCTTGCTTTGCCACTCTGCCACTCTGTAATGCACATACACAATGTCATAGTGAAGTCAGTGAGACCACTGCGTTTCGCATTTTTAGCTTCACGTGCATTTGTCCATCTCATATTTTTTCAAAATCCTATAACCCCAGCCCCCAGCCCACCGCTGATGAAGAGTTCAACACGCGGAAAGACCTCCTTCCCGGTGAAGAGACGGTTGCGCCGATCGAAAAGCTCCGGAATATCCACCTCGACCCGAACCGGAAAAACTACTTTGATATCCCGGAGCAGGAGAAAATCAAGCTGAAAGAGAAGGGCGTCCCGGAGGAAATGCTGAACCCGGTGAAGTATCAAATGTAAAAATGTCTGGGTCTGGAAGAGTGCGCGACTTGTCATGCAGCTTTTCCATGACCCATGAGGTCTGGAATGCAGGACCTAGAATGACAGATTCTGCGCGATCTCTCTCATGCCTATCCTGCATGGGAAACTCCCTCCCGACTTGGTCAAAACTGGACGACTTTTGGTAGTCATGCAACACAGATTTTTGCATGCTTCAGATTTAGCATGACAAGTTGCAGCATTCTTCCAGACCCAGACACTTTTGCATTTCATATGAAGGCGCCGATCAGTGTCCACGAGCCGGAGAAGTGGCAGGAAGAGGTGAAACAAGCGATGCGTTTCGTATGGAAACGTCAGGATTGAAATCGACAAAGTTGAAATCATCTGTGATGCATAAAATGCAAGGCACGAAGTGACTGTGTTGCAGGGATTGCAAGTGAGGCCGGTTGTCGGCCTGTTTGGGGTTTGGGATAGAGCTGCTAAAGTAGCATGACAAAAGCAGTCCTCTGTCCCCAAACAGCATGACAAATTGATTTCCAGTTCTCGGAAAATTTGTCATGCGCCGCTTGATAAGTGGGCTTCCGACTGTTATCGGTTTTATGCATGACAAATTATTTCAACTTTGACGATTTCAATCCTGACACTCCCATAATTCGTGTGGCAAAATTACAAACAGAAAACCTTTGGAAATGACGAAATCCAGCCGTTGACCGGCAACCCGTTTAACTGGGCGGGCGTCGGGGTGATGGTGTTTGAATCCCTGGACACGATGCTGTTGATGGGGATGCGGAAAGAATTCGACGACGCGGTGAAGAATTGGGTTCAGCAGCTGAACATTTTGGAAGAAGCGAAGGACAACTTCGTCAGTTCTTTTGAACTCAACATCCGCGTGATTGGCGGGCTCTTAGGGGCGTACAGCTTGTTGGAGCTTGACGAGGAGAAGGGATTGAGCAACGAACTATCAACTGTAAAAATGTCTGGGTCTGGAAGATTCTGACACTTGTCATGCACGTTTTGCATGAGCCATGATGTCTGTGATGCATACCGTAGCAATACAGATTTTCTGAGGGCTTCTTGATGCCTATTCTGCATGACAAATGCCTTCTCAGCGTAGCAAAAACTGCATTCCCTTTGGGACTCATGCAATACAAATGTTTTTGGAATCCAAACGCAGCACCACAAGTTGCATTCTTCCAGACCCAGACACTTTTGCACTTGGTACGAACGGAAACAGCACGACGTGGAGAATTTGAAAAAAGCGGGGGAGCATATCCAAGAAAAAAACTGTGTAAGTGTAAATTAGTGTTGCAGAAAATGCAAAACTGTTTACAGTTGTCATGCTGGACATGCATCAGAGGCAATTTTCGTGCGTGTTTTCACGTACTAGCTACGCATGACAGGTTTTCTGTGTCATGCAGAGGAAACTTGTGATGCTATTCCTGCAAGAAACTTACACTTACACAGTTTTTTTCCTGGATAGAGCAGAAGCAAATTTTAATTAGCAAAGCCAGGGAATTCGCAGATCTGATGATCGAGTCAAAAATGTTTGAAGTGGCAAATGGGAAGAAGCCAGGATCATCTTCTAATAAGAAAATCTCCCTTGACGACGACCCCACCTCCGGGATCATGATCCTCCCGGAAATCAATCTGAAACAGCGGAAAAGCCGACGCCACGAGTGGACGCAGCACTTTGTCTTGTCTGAAGTCGGCACTTGGCAGTTGGAATGGCGGTTTCTCTCCTACGCGTTGAAAAATCCCCGGTACCAGGAGCTGGTGGACCGGCAGCAGATGCTTTTGGTAGATCCGAAAGTTCTCATGCGGCAGGTGCACGGGCTGTTGCCGAACTTCGTGGACCCGAGTTCGGGCGTGATTGTCAGCTCGGATTACTCCTTCGGTTCCGGTGCGGATTCGTTTTACGAGTACTTGCTGAAGACACACCTCTGGATGCACAACATCTATCGGGAGGGGTGTAGCGGTACAACTGCGTCTGCGAAAATGACGACCAAGTCGACTGCTAGTACTGGTAGTAAGAACGCGACCGCTATCGCTTCCCTTTCTCCTGCGGAACGGGATGCACTCTGCGCGGAGGGACGGGACATTGGGCGAAAACGGGAGAAATTCAGGGACCCGCTGAAGGAAGCGGGCTGGGGAATCGGGAGGGATGAAATGGTAAGGAGGTTGGAGAAGGAAATTGTGAATGGATTTCCATCTGCTCTTGAGAAACCAACGGCTTTAGGTTCAACAGGTTCAACACCTCCGCCGTTGAGAATAGACGAGAATACGGGCAAGAAGCCAGCAACAAGAAGGTTGGCAGAGTTGCTTCCGGCAGGTAGTAGTGGCGAACCTGCTGTGCCTGCTGGTGTGTCTTCATCTCCTTCAGAAGATGTCGTGGTCGCAACAACGTTTGCCGCAGCGGTACCAGGTGCTGCAGTTGACACGAGTGCAGCTCCAGAAGTAGCTGTACCTGCTAGTAAATCCGCACCAGCTAGTACTAGTGCTACTGTCACGGAAACAGCACTACCTCTTTCGACGGCAACTTCGGCAGTGCCAGCAGCTGCTTTCGCAGCCAATGCCGCGCTCGCACCACCTGCAGTCGCCTCTGCGGCTACGTCTATAGCTCCCGCATCCGCGGCTCTCGCAGCATCTGCACCAGCACCACCACCTATTCCCGCTGAGGACCCGGCCCCCAGCAGCTTTGCCGAAGTAGCAACGACCTCGGAACCGCCATCCACACTACCACCAGTACCAGCAGTCGAAGAAAAAGAAAATCATGCAAGAGAGCCTGCGTCTTCTTCTTCCGAAGCACAGACCCCCGCACCCCTACAGGGAACAAACAAGGTGCCACATAAACCCCCTCCAACCGAAGACCCGGAGGAGACCCTGCCACCCGGCTCCGAAACCAACCCGCCCCTGTCCCGGGAGAAAGCGCCGCAGACCTACCCGCCGGAACTGCTCGGCGGAACGAACAAACAGGAGAAGGAGTTAATGAGGAATCAGTTCCGGAAATCCGACAACCTTGCGAGTAAAATAACCGACGACAGAATGCACAGCATGAAAAACATCGAAAACATTAAAATGCAGAAGGAGCACTTGGCGATTCGGGAGAAATTGAACAAGGAGAAAGGCATAGAAACAACGGATCAACAGAACACCAATCTTCCGGAGGAACTTTCCGAGTCGGCGAAACAGCAACTGAAGCAGAAGATCAAATCGGAATTAGAATCCACGAAGCAAAACCTGTATGCATTGCAAAGGCATCGACGCACGCGTACTAATTGCAATACTGCATGACAGACACAGATCCAGTTTCTTACCTGAATATGCATGACAAATATCATTTCTCTTTCTGAAAATTTTGTAATGCAATTTCCACTGCATACGATACTTTTGCAATGCATAACCCCCTAGAGTGGCGCACCGCTATGTACAGTCTGTCGCAGCGAATGCTGATCCAGGGCTTTCCGCCCCACGACGACAACATCTTTTTAAGGGAGGCGAAGTCGGGAAATTTAATTAACCGGATGGAACACCTGTCCTGCTTCGTCCCGGGGATGCTGGTATTAGGGTATTACGAGCTGCCCGTCACGATAAGGGACGATGGCTGGGTGGAAACGGCTTATCAGTTAATGGATACGTGCGTCAACATGTACAAGCGGACCTATTTCGGGTTGGCGTGTGAAGCGACGAGGTTTCGGCTGAAGCGGGATTTGAGCGAGAAAAAGTTAACGTATTGCGACCAGGAAGACAAGGTGTTCCATCTACGGCCCGAAGTGGTGGAATCGCTGTACTACATGTACTACTATGCATTGCAAAAGTATCGTACTCATAGTAATCGCATGCATGCATTACAAATTTCCTTCTCAAGCTAAATCCGCATTAGAAATTCCATTTCTCATGCTGAGAAAATTTGTAATGCAATTTATACTAGTGCGATGCTTTTGCATTGCATAACTACTACACCCGCGACAAAAAGTTTCAGGAGTACGGCTACGAAATCTTCCGCGCGATCGAGATGCACACGAAGACGCAGTTCGGGTACATATGGCGTTCTCAACTGTTACAGTCTCAACTGTTCCATGGATTTGTGACGCAAGAATGGGAAAAGTGAAAGGGGGGCATTGCGCGTCTTGCATGACAGATATCTGCCTGCTCGGCCCTTCCAGAATTTGTCACGCAGAACAGCTTGATCGTGTAGATGATAGTGCTAGTTTTGCATGGCAAATCATGTAACAGTCGAGAATGTAACGCTTGAGAGTCCCATAGTACAGTTCGGTGACGTGGAAAAACCCGGAGAAGAACCATCCGAAAGCTGGGCATCTGTTCTTCAAGCCGAGAATCATGGACAAACAGGAATCCTATTTTACGGCGGAAACCTTGAAATACCTGTACTTGCTCTTCCAAAAGGACGCTGGGGAGTCGATTTTGTCCCTGGAAAACTTCGTCTTCAACACGGAGGGTCACCCGATAAAGCGGTTCCGGCCGGGACTGGTGGCGGCTTCATCTGCGGGAAATGGTAATGGAGGTGGTGCTGGGGGGCGATAGCACTAGCAGCTGGTGTCCAGACGTATGCTGGACTTGCACGTGCATTGTCAGGGATGATAGAGACGACAATAGCGCTGCCGCTCTACTATTTTTTACCACGACGCAAGAACTTCAATCATTTGACGCTGAGTTCGCTTGTAGTACCGGTTGCGCAATAGAAAATCCTTCGTATTTTTGATGTGCTGTTCGTGCAAATATTGACTGTGTTTTGGGACTGCTGCTGCAAGACGTCTCTGATTATCTGGTTCATTATTTTTTTCTTGCTGCTGCGACACAGAAGTTCTACTCATTCTGGACGTCTAACAGTTGTTTCTTTGCAAATTTTGAAATATCCTCTACTTGCTCCAATATCCTACAAGGATTACTAGAGAGAAGCGCTACCAGCCAAAAAACATCGGTAAGTTTTTTTTTCTGATTTCTGCATGCAGGGCTACTTTGCCCGAACTTTTCAAAATGTAAACGAACTAACGAAAATTCTCGAGAAAGATGTAACCGTCACCTGTTTTGCCTTGTCTTTGCGCACTAGTAAAGGTGGTTGGATCATGGCGCTTCTCCGTTCTTCAAGTGCCGTTCTTGTGTGAAACTAGGACTACGTTTGCCACGGCTCTCGTTATTTCCCGGCCGCTGATGCAGCAACAGGTGTGCATGAGGGCCACCGTCTATCTTTCGATCAGCTGCGAAGATCGCAAGAACCATTCACGATCGTGGGAACAAGACGATGAAACTGAAAACCACCACACCTCGGCCATCTGTCCGCCACGTGCCACCTGTCGGCGGCGGTGACGGCGTGCGACTGCGTGGTGCTCTGGTGAAAATATTACAAGGAGCTACAACAGGTGCCGGCCGCGGCGCTGCCCACGTCTCAACAAGAACATAGGACCTTCCCGCAGACGTCCCAAGCTGTAGAGGCACGGTCGTGCTCGTCATTGTTACCTCCAGCGATCACTGCCCAGCACATCAGCCATGTCGCGCCACCTTCCGTCTTTGGGGGGCGCGATTGACCTCAACCCGGGTTCTTTCAATGGTGGGATTTTTAACAGCCCAAATTCAGGCGCATGTTCTTTCAAATTTCTGGTCCAGACGTTCATACTGCTCATCTCCTGTTCCGCGCTGTTAACCATCTCCCTCTACAACTACCTTTTGATTCAAACCCTCCGCGACGCGGAGAGTTACAAGGACGTCAAAGTCTTTGGCTTGCCGAGTTTATCCTACACCGGCGGGATACCGGGCAGTGGCGGTGGAGGAACTGGCGGTGCAAACGGGGTGGATACCCCGCCCGAGATTTTGGCTAACAATAACAATAATCCTAGAACAACATCTCTCCTCGGCGGCAGTGCCGGCTCTTCCAATTCTGAAGGGACCTCATCAGCATCATCTGCAGTTTCCTCACCACAGCAAATTGGGCCTGAAGCGCCCGAAACGCAAGGATACAGACACTATATTTTGGGAGAGAAAACGCCAGCACCAACGAATGCACCCAATTACTGGGCCGGGTCTGCGGAATATGTTGCGAAAGGAGCTGGTGGTGCGCCGGGTGGTAATACAGCGGCGAATGCTGTCGTGCCAGACGCAGGAACGGTTGTACCAGCAGCACATAGCTCTGCGACAGAGCAGCTGGTAACTCCAGTTGGTGGCGCAGCACCTCCTAGCAGTCCTGCAGGGGTTGTTTTGGCTTCAGTAGGGGGAGGAGCTCCTGCCACGACCGTAACGGATGCAACGCTCAGCACCACTGCAAAGCCGGGCGGTACCGACATGGTCACCGTCGCCCCTGGGCAGCAAGCAGATGCGTCGTCCTTTGGTATGGGAACGTTCACAACCGGGAAAGAAGCACTGTCGTTCAAAGCGCAGGACGCAGATACGGTGACCTTCTCCGCCTGGATATACCTGCCAGAGATACCGGTGCTGAGATATTTAAGACAGTAACTTGCTTTGGTCCGATGGCGTTTTTCTTCGCACAGAAATGGCGACACCTTTATTCCCGTAGTTCTAATTCGCACAAGAACTGCATCTTCATTATGCATAAAGAAACCAATCTCAAAGTCAAACGCAAATTCAAACAGGCCGAGTCTCTTCCGGTCGAGTCCCAGTCGATAAAAACGATAGCCGCCACGAAAAACTCCGGCTGCGGCGTCGGCCAGGACAGCAACGGCTGGGCCTTTTTCGTTCACGAGTGGGGGACTCTGAACCAACAACTTCGCCTCTCCTGGACTACCCCCGAATCTGCCTGCATAGAGATGAAAGCCCACGCCCAGATCCGGTACAACAAGTGGACCTTGGTCGGCTTCTCCTTTTACCCCGATCGCGCTGTTGTGTTATGAATGGCAAAAGTATCGTCCCCGTGCTAGTACTCAATCTACTTAATTCTTTTTCTTGCAATACAAATTTAGCTCTGCGTGACAAATGGAGTTTTTCAAGCTGATTGAGCTTGGGAAAGAGATTTGTCTTGCGTGATTGCGATTAGCACGTGCGATATTTTTTCACTGCATATGGGTACATCGGGAACAAGATTGTCGCGGACACATCCGAAGCCAACCGGGATATCTACAGCAAGGGTTCCGTCTACGTCGGGGGTTTGTTCCCGCGGATGGTGGCCAATAGGGAGACGGATCGGCCTACCGCAGGAAAAAACTGTTTCACTGTAAACTTGTAATGCAAAACATGTATCAGTATCTTCGAAGTGTTTGTCTTGCTACACATGAAAGACAATCGATTTTAGCTGTGTTTTCGCTTAGGAACCTCGCATGGCAAATTTTCTCTGTCATGTAGAGTGAACTTGTGATGCAAAACTGGCAAAATCCTTACAGTGAAACACTTTTTTCGTGGGATACGGCTCTACCTGGGCGGCTTCAAACCGGAGCAGCAGGGCATGCACGGCTTCATGGGATACATGCTCGACGCGCGGTACTACAGTTACACGTGGCCCGACGCAAAAGCGTTCTTCGACGCGACGATAACGAGACTCGACGATTTGATCGACAACAAACACCTACTAGACCGGAGTAGCATGAAAGTGCACGTGCAGTTTGGACAGTCTACCGGGCCGGTGGTCAATAGGGTAACGAGGGAAATCGGAATCTACAAAACGTTGGACAGCAAAGAACCGGTGCCGCTCTTCAAATCGACCCCGTACTGCTTTTTTCATAGTTTTTCCATTTTCATTATCTGATGGTTGGGGCTTCAAACCCACGCGTAGTCTCACGCGAACTCGTCCCAGAAGGAGTCGGATTTCATAAAAAATTTTCTCACTTTTCAGAAATCATCAAACCTTAGGTACATAGAACGGCCAGACGTGTCCTGGGTTGCGAAAACGCCTCCTCCAGAAGCGACGGATATGCAAGCGGCTGCCTGATTCACTATTCCACAACACAGTCATGGTCAATTATTCCGGGAAAGCTGTTTCTCCAGCTTGATTGATATGCATGCTGAAGTCGATAAATAAGGTTAAGCAGAAGTTCTGTGCCATGCATGCGTATAGCTCAAGTACATGACTACCATCGAGTAGAGCCCATGCATTCAGAGTATAAACGATGGACGAAGCTCATACTGGTTGTCGAGAGACGTCTGCGCATCACCCTAGCGGTAGCTTTCTATTCATTCTGAGAGTGAAATGCACTTAGTGCAAGAGCGAGAGACTTAAGTGCCGAGGTGAATGCTCAATAGTAGACCTACTTACCCTGGGCTGGACTTGAACACAGCATCCAGCTAGCGAATTTGCCGCGCTCGTAGTACTAGCTCGTCGCCTGTGACGCTCCTTAATGACAAAAAGGAAAGACGAAGACGAGCACTGCAGCACTTCTTTTACTGCAGCTACCGAGAATGAAAGAAAATCAAATATCGCGCTTCATTTGAAAAAAAAAAATCTTAGGAAGCACGGAGGTGCTTCGACTTATTTCACAGCACGACCATGAGAATACAGTAAATTTGAAGATCTTTCCAAGAAAGAGGCAGCACTACCATCATGAGAATACAGATGAACATTACTTAAACAGAAGCTCGTCAAAATTTCCAGCCCCTCCAGCCTGCGCTGCAGCACCTGCTGCGATGCGCAATGCAGGCGCCGGCCGAGGAGGTTTTAGGAGTACCGCAGCACGACAGGGGGCACCAGCGCAAGTACTTTTCGGCGCGAGCAGCAGCTTTTTGTTGCTCTACTCGCGATCGTTATTTTATTTCCAGGTAGCACTCGCATCGGAAATTGCTTCCAATGCCGAAGCGGAAGCTGGTGCAACTGGTACAACTTCAACGGCAGCCGACAAAGCTGTCGCGGGGGCGACTGCCGATGCAGGCCATCTCCCCCTGCTCCCCAGCCCACCGCCCCCCGGTGGCCGACTAGTCCTGGCAGCACCTCTAGCGGTGCAAGAATCTGCGTCCGGCGCCCAGAGCAGTTACCCCGAGTTGCTACACCAGACTCGGACGCAGCTTTTTCACCCGGTTTTCCCGCCTTTTTTCGCCGCCCCGCCGGCAGAAAGCCTTCCCAATGCTGGTGCAGTTGCACAACAACAGCCGCCGCCGCAGCAGCAGCAGCCGCAGCAGCCGCAACCTGTTTTACCGCCTCTTCCGAAACCGCCGGCAAGAAATCCACCAAGTACTCCGAGCCTGTCACAACAAGACGCTTCCTTGCATAACAACCAGAACATCAACCCGCGCCCGCCGTCGGTGTTTCCCCACCGCTGGTCCGTATTGAGCGGGCTCAAACAGAGACCGGCGCGGTTTCCGTTCCGCCGACGGCAGGCCCGCATTCCGCTCCGGAGAAGGCGTATGGATTGCAAACATGTCTGGGTCTGGAAGATTGCAACTTGTCATGCTAAATCCGAATCATGCAAGAATCTGTGTTGCATGAGCGGCAAAAGCTGTCCACTTTCGACCAAGTTGGAATGGAGATTCTCATGCAGGATAGGCATGACAAAGACCTCACAGAGTCTGTCATGCTAAGTCCAGCATTCCAGACCTCATGGGTCATGGAAAACCTGCATGACAAGTTTACACAGACATTTTTGCAATCCACAAGGCGGTACTTCCCGCCGAAGCGGGGACCCGCGCAGCGGACGCGCGTCGTGTATGGAAGCGTCAGGTTTGAAATCGTCAAAGTTGAAATAATTTGTAATGCATAAAATGCATGACCCGAGGCACGTGTGTTGCAGAGCAGGCAAGTGAGGCCGATTGTCAGCCTGTTTGGGGTTACAGATCGAGCTGCTAAAGTAGCATGAGAAAATCGCTCTTCTTTGCCTAAACAGCATGGCAGACTGGATTTAGGGACCGCCGAAATTTGTCATGCGCCACTTGGAAACTGGGTTCCAGCTGGCGTCCATTTTATGCATGGCAAATTATTTCAACTTTGTCGATTTCAACTCTGACACATCCATATCGTGATGAAAGATGGTAAGATGATGAGAGTGATGCTGATGCAAAGAATAGGAAGACCCAGGTTGAAACTGAAAGACCCCACAAAATTATGGAGAGAAAAAAGTTTGTCACACTCACTAACTTGCAGGATTTGCATTACAAATTTTCTCAGCATCACAAACTTTCCTTGTATTGCAGAAACACTAGGGAACTCCCTAATGAAGTTTGTCTGTGATGCATTTTTACGCATGACAAACAATTTTGTATTGCAAGAATGCGCATGAGTGATCGTGACGAACTTTTTTTCTTCGATAAAAGTCGTGGTGGTGGAACAGGACCCCTCCGCCGTTCATAGTATGCATTGCAAATATCCCTGGATGTCTGGAAGGATGCAACTTGTGATGCTACCTTTCGATTCTACAGAAAATCTGTATTGCATGAACAGCAAAAGAAGTCGAGTTTGTTGCTACGCGGAGAGGGCATTTCTGATGCAGTATGGGCATCAGAAAGTCCTCGCAGAGTCTGTGATGCTACGGCATGCATCACAGACATCATGGGTCATGCAAAATCTGCATGACAAACTCCTGCATTCTTCCAGAGGACCCAGACATATTTGCATTTGATACATAGCCGACATTACCGACGTGGAGCCGCGGGCGACACTCCCGGATGACGTGTTGAAGGCAAGTTTTCCCGCCCGATGGAAAGAAAAGTTCTCCGAGGACGAATTGGTCCAGTCGCAACGAGACGCCGACGTCATGGCCGAAACCGTCCGGAAAGAGATGGTGCACTGCTGGCGGGGGTACAAGGCAACCGCGTGGGGCAAGGACGAGGTGCGCCCGGTCACCGGGGGAGGCCACAACTGGGTCTCCATCGGGATCACCATACTAGACTCGCTGGACACGCTGTGGGTGATGGACCTGAAAAAAGAATTTGCAGAGGGGGAGGACTTCGTCCAGAAACTAGACTTTGGGGCGATAAGGTAAAAAGTGCTGATGTGGGAGGTGATTATTGCGGTGATGTGATGTGATGTTGATGCAGCTATCACAACGATGAACACAACTTGTGTTTGCGTACTTATCCATTTTCGCATGCCAAATTTCCTTATCGTTATCACAGATCTGGCTACCATTCCGTCTTCGAAATCACGATCCGTGGTCTCGGTGGGCTGCTCTCGGCCTTCTCGCTGTCCCAGCACCAGATTTTTCTCGACAAAGCAGCGGATTTGGGTTCCAGATTGCTCCGCGCTTTCACCCAGGAGTCCGGGCTACCAAAACCCCAGATAGACCTCGCATCCGGCGGTAGCAGGTGGCTGAACTGGTATCAACTGTAAAAATGTCTTGGTCTGGAAAGTTGGAACTTGTGATGCTAACTGTGGACTCTAAAAAAATCTGTATTGCATGACCAGCAAGTAGAGGAGCCGCATTTGTGCTACGCGTGGAGGGCATTTGTCATGCAGAAATGGCATCAGGAAGCCTTCCAAAAATCTGTGATGCTGGGTCATGCATCACAAGCATCATGGGTCATGCCAGACAAGCATGACAGGCCCTGCATTCTTCCAGACCCAGACATATTTGCAATCCATAACTGGGCGACGGGCACAAACATCGCAGAAGTCGGAACCTTGCAACTGGAGTTTCGCATGCTGTCCGCGCACACAAAGAGGACGGAATTCTGGACCGTGCCAGATAAAGCGTTCATGAAGATCGTCGAGAACAGCGAAAACGCGAAGAAGGGTTTGGTGCCGATCTACATGGGGTCGAAACAGCAGTCCGCGCACAGCGGGTTCATCGGAGGGAGGATAAGTCTCGGGGCAATGGGGGACAGTTACTACGAATATCTAGTGAAGCAGTGGCTACAGAACGGGAAGAGGGACGCACGGTATTATGATAGTGATGCTTCGTTTTTTTATTTTCATGCCTGTTTTGTATTCGAAAATTTAGCTTTTTGTCATCTTCCAGAAGGAAAAAGTAGAAGGAGATAGTCACAGTCAGCGCGCGTGAAGATGCGGATGGCAATTTCAATTTCTTACAAAAATATAAATCAGGTACAAGGCATTATTCGTGAAGGCCATGAATGAAATGATGGACCGGCTCGTGGTGAAAACCAAAAAGGGCACCATTTTCATCGCGGAAGAGAATGCGGGAAAGCGGTTGGACAAGATGGACCACTTGGCCTGCTTCGTGCCGGGCATGTTGATACTCGGGATCCTCGAACTAGACAAGGAAGAGGTGGACCCAAGGTGGCTTCCGGCGGCGGAAGGAGTTGCGGAAACCTGTTACAAAATGTAATACCGTAGTACAACTTCATTTATTTCCTTCGTGGTTCTCTCTTCTATACCGATCATGCAAAAAACAACCAAGAGTGATCCGTTTTCATCATGCAAACTCTACTCCTCCCTCAATAATTCTACCAAAACCAAGGTACAAGCTCGCGCACACCGGTCTCTCCCCGGAGTATGTCCGTTTCGACGTGAATGCCAAGGATAATGCGAACGATATGGTGCTCCCGCCCGACGGCGCGCACAATTTGCTTCGGCCGGAAGCGATCGAGGCTCTGTTATCAAATGCAAATATACTTATCTGGGTCTGGAATAAACTTGTAATGCTGAGTGACGTAGCATGAGGAGGCCACAAATGATGGCTCATCATGACAAGTTTATTCTGAGCTTCTAAGTGTTCGTGTTGCCTATTCTGCATGACAAACTGCGTCTCTGTATCGCGGAAAAATAGGGCTTTTGGGTAACGTGCATGACAGACTTGGGAGTCTTGCTAGCCTGGCATGACAAACCTTGCTCTTACTTTTCCAGACCCCAGACATATCTGCACTGCATATCTGTACTACCTGCACTACTACACCGGGGACCCGAAATACCGGAAGTGGGCGACCGAGATGTTTATCACACAGAAAAAAGCTGGCAGGGCACATTTGTAATGCAAAAATAAATACACAAAAAAACCTGTATTGCATATCGGAAACAGCATGCTATGGGGCCACCCATGACAAATTTTTGTGTGTGTTTATTTTTGCATTACAAATTATATGCCCTGCCAGCTTTTTGTTTTGTCTGTGTGATAATGTTTTTGGCGTTCAAGAAGCACTCGAAGACCAAATACGGTTACACCGCGTTGCGGGACGTGCGGAATCCGTCGGTCCGGAGTAACCAGCAGGAATCCTTCTTCATGGCCGAAACGATGAAATACTTCTACCTGATTTTTTCCCCCATCACAATCCTGGACTTGAGCAAGTACATCATCAGCACGGAATATGCAAGAAAAGAACTATGTGAGTGTAAGTCTGTGATGCAGAAAGTGCAAAACTGCTACACTTGTCATGCTGGATGTGCATCAGAGGCTCTTTCCTTCGTGTTTTCAGGTACTGGATACGCATGACAGGTTTTCTGTGTCATGCAGAGCAAACTTGTGATGCTATTCCTCCAAGAAAATTACTTTACACCTACACAGTTTTTTCCTTGGATACGGAAGCCCACCCGATGGCCATGCCCATCAAATTTCCCGGGGCGCTGCCGGTGTGAGAAGCAGGGGGGCGGGAAGTAGAGGCGCAGAGGAACAAAAGCGGAAGACATCGGAAGCGGCGAAAATGCCCATGTATCATTAAATGTTTTTAACGTCCTCACGAAAGCAAAGTTTATGAATCTGTACAACATCATGCGAATTTCTTAATTTTTTAACAGTCTTAAGTACACCTTTTATCCACCAAGTCGTTTTTAGCATTGAAAAATAGTGGTCGGCCTTGTGGCAATTCCAAGTTCAGTCTTAGTCTTAACCTTCTAAAAAGATGCGACTTCGCCCCCCGCCTGGGAGGCAAAGCGTCGATAGAAAACTTTCAATGGTTTGTGCAAGATGAAACAACGACACTCATCAATGAATGAGTCGAAAGTGGCTATTCCGCTGCTAAGTTTTTGTAGTTCTTTTTTCTTTGACACTAGCGAATGCGAAAGCTCGAGCGAATACTACTAAGAAATGCGACCAGTTAATGTTACCAGTGGCAGTGACGCCCGCTCGCAAGAGAGCGGAGTTTCAAATAGCCCCGTTCGCTGATAGAAGTATCACGAAATCTTCATTTCATTTCTTCTGTACAGTTTAGAATTGATTGCCGTAGTATGGATGGCCAGAACTACGTCACCGGAGGTTGGAGAAAAGCGGGATTACACCATACGATGGCCACGGTACACTGTACAGTTTCGCGAGACCGGTGCAGATTTTTTGATTTGCCATCGTTAGAAAAAGGAACGACCGAAGAGTCGCGCACGCATGGTTTCATTTTGATTTCCACCTCTACTTGTCGCTGTCGCAATCAAGATTAACGTCGGCGAGCAACAAGATCTTGTTGTAGGATCCTATCCCTCGTTTTTGTTCCGGAGGCGTTTCTCTTGTTCCCGCCCCTGCGTCGTACACTGTAAGCACCTTTTCTTTTGTGAGCCTCCGAATGATCATGAAGTATTTACTATGTGATCTTGCACTTTTCTTCTTCTGGTTCTGTTTCCTACGGATCCCTTGCTCGACTGCCTTTTTCATCTGCGACGCATGATCATTGTTTGCACGCTTTTGATGTTTCTCGAGAAGACAAGATCCGTGTAAAGCACGAACGTATCTTTTGAAGCATAAGCAAGAGCGGCATCTTCCTCATCACTCTTCGATGCAAAACGACAACGATTTTTTCGGAGAAAAAAAAAGGAATCGAAAACAAACGAAAACGTGACCTATCTTCACTATGGATTTCCTCGAGGGTTTCGATCTGGACGACTTCTATGTGGTCCAGCAGCAGACCCAGACGGACAGTTTTGATGTATCCTGAGTAAAAACGTACCCACACCAGAGTCAGGATGAGGATTTTGCATACACAAACCTAGGAGTTTTGTGAGTCACGCATGACAGGTTTCGCTATGCAGTGTAGTGCAGGGTAGCAAGTGCAGCCGCGTCACAGATTCGTCTGCTCATCCTGTTCACAGCATCACAAATTCCAAAACACGATTGGAAATGGCTCTCATGGGGATGCGCATTACAAGTCTTCCTGTCTTTGCAAATCTGCATTACAACTCTGGTGTGGGTACGTTTTTACTCAGGATATGATGCCGTGCATCTTCACGACTTTCTGCTAGACGAAGTCGAGGAAGATGATGAGACAGAAAGCCAAGAGCTGCTGCATGGCCATGGGAGCGACCAAGACACGACCATTGAACACGACGATGATCTGCCTGTAGTTGCAGGAATCGCGCAGAATAAAAAAGAGAACTACTTCTCAAAAGAAGTGGACACCACCACCAGCCGCTCGAATTTATCTGCATTTGAAGACAAACGCAAACCACCATGCGTCGACGCCGACGCCGAATCCACTACGACAATAAACGAGGCACAAGTACAAGGTCAAGGCAGGCAGTCTGCAGAAGATGCTGGTGATGTGGTACTAGAAGACAACAACCCCAGAACTTCAACCATCTCCGAAATTTCCAGTAGTTTCGCCGAGGATCTGCAGTACCAAAACCCCGATGCCGCTGCTCTTCTTGCTCTTGGTGGCGGCAGGAAAAAAACGTCGAATGTTGATCCGGAAGTTGTTCTTGGTCCTCATCGATCATCTTCATCGGAGGAGAAGAATTTTAGCACCACCCCCGACAGCGCAACGGAACTTGTACATCATGATGCGACGACAGCGGGAAACCATGACCAGCAAGACCAATCCTCAACCTTTCCCTTCCCAATTGTGAAGATCATCAAAAAACGCAACCGCGACCTCTTTTTCCTCGGCGAGCTCATGGAAATTTTGTTTTGCGACGAAATGGCGTGGTGTGTCGGACGGTCCCTGGAACGAGGCACCGAGCACGTTTTCCCGTTGAAGTATGGAAAAGAAGTTGTTGGGGATGATGAGGTGAAAAAAGCGATGAATTTCTTTTCGAGCAGCAACGAAAGGACAAGTTCTACATTGTCCTCGCAGATGGAGCAACTACCGGACAAGTTGCACAAGCTTCCATCAAAGCATGAACTTCAAAACGACCGCCTTGCGAAGTACCATGTGAATGGGACGGATTTGATTTTGGATGTTGAGGACGCAGCATCAACACACACCCCTCCCTACTTCCCCTCTGCTGCTCTATTCGCGAGTACTAAAAACTACTACTATCCGTCGCACAGTACTGCTACCGCCTACGCGGCGTATAACAAGGAAGTGAAGCGGTACTACCAACAGCAGCGGAAAAAGCAGCAGATGGAAAAAAAGTGGCAGCAGCGGATTCTACTCGCAAAGGACGAGGAGGTCACTGTGTTGCAGAGAACCCTGAAGTGGCTCTGCATAGTGCCGATTGGAATAGACGACGTGGCGCCCGCTCGTGGAGGTGCTGGAGGTGAAGTAGAATTTGGCCCTGTATTAACCGGAGCTGCTTCTGGGATCGTCGTGTCAACATCTTGTACTTTTGGTTCTTCGGCGGGTTCAACCGCGACTTCTGTGCAGCTTCATCCACGAAACAACCTGCGGGGACTAAACGGGCGAAACAACCACGATTTCCAGTATCCCACAGAAAAACAAAAAAGCTGGCAGGGCACATTTGTAATGCAAAAATAAACACGCAGAAAAATCTGTCATGGGCAGCCCCATAGCATGCTGATTAGGGTAAGCAATGCAAATTTTTTTGTGTATTTATTTTAGCATTACAAGTCTGCCCTGCCAGCTTTTTTCTGTGTGATATCAAGCATCAGGTGCAAGAACTGATGAGCAAATACCTGACAGCGAAAACGATCCTGGACTTAGAAAAATCGTGCGCCAGCGGGGGTGTGACTTTCAAGCTAGTTAAGAAGCACAAGAACGTCGCGCAGAAGACTGCTGGTCCAGCCGCAGCAGCTGGACAAACTTCCTCCATGGAGACAGCAGCAGCAGCAGGAGGATCTTCTTCAGGACAGCAGCTCCAAGATGAACACCACGACCATCATCCTGTATCTCGTTCCAACCACCAGTACCAAATTTCCGTGGTTGCGAACTCTGAATTAGTGTACGAAAAGGCGAAGGGGGTGCTGCGGAAGTTTGTCAAGGACAATTTGTATGCCGAGTATTTCAAACTTTCCGGGCGGAAGGTGATGTTCCGGATTTTGGAACATCCGGAAAATCCGAAGTTGGGAACAGTCACGGCACCAGCTGCGGGAACTGGAACTGCATTGTCGAGCGGAGAAGTGGATAAAAAACTGGTGACGATGAACGGGAACCAACCTCGCACGACGGCGGGAACGAATGATCTTCAATCTCCAGGGGGATTATTTGCAGATGATCAACAAAGCCATCTTCAAGGTCAATCACAATCTAACGGGGACGACGACAATCACGAGCACCCTGAAAACAATTCTCATTCTCTTGACGACCCTAGCTTTTGTGCCGAGCCCGAGAAGCAAGCGACAGGGCATGAAGAGAGCTCGGAAGCGAACGCCAGGGGGCATGATGACCTTTGCAATCATGCGTACAACTATGCGGAAGGAGCAACAGGAGGCTGTGGAGATGACGACGAGGCGGGTCCTGCTGAACCAGGTGGCCGCGGAGCCATTGTCAAGGAAGAAAGCTGTGAGGAAGATGAAATTTCCGATATGGAAAACGAGTCTGACGCAGACGCTGGCTCGGATTCGGAACTACAAAAGCTTGACGAAATAAATGACGAACATGCGCAGCATCTTCACATTCACTCTCCAGAGGACGAGCGATGAAGTAGATGATCATGATGCTGCGACGCAATAGAAACACTGCGGTCTCACACGAAGTCATTTGGTACACACTACAGTGCTGACTTTCCGGAAGTCATGATTTGTTGCGCACCTGATTTAGGGTTCTTGGTATTCTGATTTAGGGTTCTTTCCACGCTTTGTCGTTTTCTTTTCGAATTTATTGCTTCTCGTGGTCATAAAAGTAGAAACAGGAAGAGTACTCCAGCAAAAAGTTCACCCACGTCGTCCGACTCGTACAACGTGCTAAAACAGAAACACGGCCGTCACGATCGACACATAAACTTAAACATCATAATTCGTCAATAGCTGAAACCTACATCGTTCATACCGACGTCGTTCTTTCTTAGCTGGTTCTGCCCGCTTGGAATTACCGTTTGGTCCTCTTTTCGTACTTCTCTTAGTATACTTTCGTGCACGACAAAATGCTCCGTCTATGTGATGCTGATGTCGACGTCCCCATTTCAGTTTGTGTTTGACCACATACAACTTGTTACATCTATCAAGCGTCATATCTCATCTTTTCTCGTTTTGCAGGTCCCTTTTCCCTGGCTTGGAAATTGTATAAAGTGCAGACTACACCGTAAATTTTCTCTTTCGTACTAGGGAGAGTCTTTCTAGTCCTCGTTTCCAAATCTTCTTCTGGAAATCAAAATGTTCGATTTAGAAGAGAACGACGTGCTGGAAGCGCGCGCCGGCAAGAACGCGGGGGTGAGCAATCTCGTCAGCACATGTACTTCCACAAATGCCCCGGAGGTAGACAACACTTCAGATATCGCAAAAGTTTTTAGTGAAGGCATTCATCATCTTCAAGATGACCACGAGAATACGGCCAATGACAAAAGTTCTCCAGAGGATCACCATACTGCAGCAAGAACCGTTACTCCCCCGGCACCACCTTCCCTCTCGTCCCTGCGGCCCATTTACTCCCTCCGGGAACTGGCAAATTTGCACGAAAATGCTTTGCTCGCGGCAGAATTTGACGGTGCAACTCCGTCGGAAGACGCGACCTCTTCGAATGAGCTCAAGCACAGAGGCTACTACCTGTGCGGCCGTGTGGCTGCTGTGGAGGAAAAAACCGGAAGCGGAACGACATCGACTGCGAACGGTTGTAACGATGCTGTTGCTCTGAGTAAGGCACCACAACTTAAGACTGCGGGGCAGATTGCAAAACCGGGACGGAATAAGGCCGCCGCATCCGGTGCCAGTTCTGCAGCAGCCAGCCGCGCGGGAGAGGACATGGACAAGAAAATTAGAAACGCCGGAGGAAAGCAAGCGAAGGTAAACGCAGCCGGAAGTGGGGTAACAGAAGATAGTGCTGCTATCGTTGCCGCCACACAATCAAGCGGATCGCGAGAAAACATTGCCACGACTTTTCTCTTCGAAGACCTCTTCGGAGACCTGCTGCAGATCATCATCTATGAGACAGGCACAAATGTTGCACCACTTCCACTTGACGCAGTTGCTCAGCAGGATAAAACAAGAACCGACCACCTTGCCCGACCAGATTATAGCCTTAATGTCAATGCCAGTCGTGGCAAGAACGACGTTGGCTTGCCGGCGCGCGAAGTCTCGGCTCCTGGAGCAGAACCAGAAGTAGGAGTAGCCGACAAACGCAAAGAAGACCACGATAAGCCTAGCAGTAGAAGAAACAATGAGAAGGCCAGTAAGAGAAGCAAGGACAAGGAGAAGCGAACAACCGAAACTTCTACGAGCGACACGAAGAGAGGAGGCAGCGGACACTGGTGCCAACTACGTGAAGATGAAAACAAATACCCTCCTGGCACTGGGTTGATGCTGCTAGAGCCGCTTGTAGTGAGCCATCGCTGTGCTGATGATGATGATGGTGGTCCTCCTGATGAAGTTAATACTGCCGCATCGGGCGCACCGACGCCTATTGAAGCTCCCACGTTCAGCGGTATTCGTTGCACCTTCACGGTCAAAATTGTACTTAGTGCGTCGACGTCCACCTCCTCGCTGCCGGTGGAGCACAAAGCCGAAGCACAAGCAATCCTCTCCTGGCCCGCCTTTCCGAAGGACATTCGCGATTGGATCGCGCTGGGGCAAAAGTTTGAGCAACAGTATTTTCAACGTCCGGATCCTGCTGGGCAAGGAAATCAAACGGACAAAAACGATGCCGAAACACGCGACGATCGCTCCTTTCGGTATAGTCTTTATAGCGATCTGAGAAAGAAGGACTTGACGTCCCCCGGCAACGAGGCGGAACTCGCTTTGCTGTGCTACCGCCGGGCTTTCGCCAGCATTCCCAACCGAATTGAGCTGTCCAGTTGTTACGCCAGTTACGGCTACTGCTTTTACCAATCGAACCACTTGTCAGCCGAGGCCATCCGGGCGGCGCTGATTGCTTGCGTGCTCGACGTGGACAGTTTTCGGGCCTGGCGAATTCTCGCGGACATTCTCCGTGCCAAGAACGAGGCCGTCCCAGACGCGATTGTGAATTTGCTCGGAGAGTTCGTTACTAACTTTGTCGCGACGAGGGGATTTTTTGCATCATCATTATCTCCACCGTCTCCAACAACTCGGTCGCTAATTCCACCAAGAAGAACAAGAGGCGTTTTGGAAAATGCGTGTTGTTCTGAAGATTTCTATGATCCACCCGGGCATCCCTTTTTCGTTTATCTCGAGTCTCCATCCCCAGCTCTGCGCGCCAAGCGAAAGGCCTGGGACCGCGGGACCGGCACGCTGCAGATGTTCAAGAACTTTGCTGCTGATGTGAAAGAAGAAGCGGTGAAGGAGCTATGTAATCTTTCCTTCGCAGCGACCGTCGCGCTGCCGGGCGTGATGGACGTGTTTGAGAGACAGCGACAGGAGGTGTGTCAACTGGAGAAAAACAACAACGACAACCATAAAACCTCTACAACTACTGAGCGCGCCACCTACCAGGAGTTCGAAGCAGCCAAAGACCAGGCGAAATCACCTTTCCGCCGGCATGAATTTGGCGCCGAAACGCAGCGGGCATACGCACGACTGCTGTTCTGGACTAAGGAGATGGTGGAGACGGCAAAGCACTGCGGAAAAGTTTTATGTCTGGAGAGCAATATGGCCCTCAAGGTCGTGAAAGACGAGCAGGCGAGGATGGAGAGGGAAAAGTATTTCGATGAGTCGGAGCAAGAGAAAGGGCTAGACATGGTTCGCTTTGCGCTGCTCCAAAGCTGTGTCGCCGCGTTGCTAGACCACCAGAATCCCGACCCGTGGGTACTGCAGATTCGCTGTTTGGAGCAACTGGGTGCGCAGTGCGCGCTGCTCCGCCACGGGCCCGGGTACAGCAACATGGGGCTGCGGTTGACCAGAAAGGAAACCGTAGGCGAGTGGCTGACGTCGTCTGCGCTAGCCTCGCAGCTCCTTCGACCCGACGGCCCGCTAGTGGACTTTCTGCATCGCCTTTTCCCCACGAATCTGTTTGGCGGCGGTGGAATGTTGAACCACTCGGTCGGTGCCACGGATAATTCCTCATCTAGCGCCGGGAAAAGCACGATCTCGATTCGCACAAAAACAGCCGTTTTTCGCGCGCTGGAAAACAGGGACGCCTTGGGTGAAATTAGTAGTAAATCCTGGGAAGTAGTAGAAACCAGCACGAATCTTCAGACCACTTCCACAACGGCCGGGGCCGATAGCAACATGATACACGAAGACACGGCAAAAGCGGATCTCATACAATTGGACTTGGAGAGTGATCCTGGCGGTGTGGTCGGCAGCACCCCGCTTGCATCATCAACCAGTGCAGGTGTCCTCGCGGGTATATCTTCAACAACTGCTGCCGATGAAGTAGGAGGTCCTGCCTCGCGGCATCCGCATCGTCAAAATGCCGCATTCCAGCCACAATCTTCGCCGGGCGTTAGCCCCTCTTCTTCGGCCGCTGCTTCGACAAGCCAGACGACGAAGCAAAATAAACCGGATAGAACTACAGCTGCAGCTGCCGGTAGAGATAAACAAGATAAAGTGCAACAGACCACAAAAGCCAATCCACCCCCGGCTTTGGAGGTGTTACCCATACCCGGAGGGACGACAGGGGTAGAAGTGCTGCCTACAACAAAAATTTTCATCAATCCGGGCGCAGAACCTCGGACGCCCGCAGGCCACAGAAGAACCCTCAAGAAGCTGAACAAGCTGAATGCGAAGGTTTTAAAGTCGAGCGACACGCAAAAATTCATCAAGGCCGCTGGGGATACGCTGAAACAAATTCTAATTTCCGGCTACAACAGAAAACCGAACATGCTCGAGAAGTGCCTGGCCTTCGAAGCCCTGCTGGCGTACGTGACTACGAAACCCGAGGACACCGGCATCGACACAGAGGCAATTTTCCGGCAAAGTCGTCACTTCTCCGACGAGATCTACGAGACGCACAAAGCCCTGCATCTGGAGTTTTTAGCGCACTTCAAACACAAAATCGCAAGGGGGTTCTACGGCAATGGTCGTATAGGTGGTTTTCTTTCAGATACAAAATCACCTGGTACAACACCATACATGGACGATTTTGCCCGCACCGGATCCTGTAACCCTTGCGAAGCGGACCTTGTCCGTCATATCCCCCCGGAGGACACGAACTTCCGGCAAAATAACCCAGTATTCGCTGCGTCGCCCACGTTTTTCTTCGAGAAACTGCTGTATCCCGCTTTCTTTCTGGGCTTCATTTCGCCCTGGAAGGGCGCGATGTCGCTGTGCACCGGCGATTTCGCGATGCTCTGGCGGGATCTGCACTTTGACGAGGATTTGGTGGAGGCTCGCTGGTTGAACGCACGGAACCCGATGCTGGGTGAGGTCATGGTGTCGTCTACAGAGAGAATCCGCATCATGGACAAGCTTGCCTTGTGGCGCAAGGCACTGCAACCGGTGGTCGTCAGTACAACTCGCTACGGGAAAACCAAGAAGGAGTCCGCTGCGATTGCGCACAGTGGTAGTATTTTTGGAATAAATCACGATCCAGTTTCCACCTCGTCTGGTACAGCCGCACATACCACTTCCAGCAGCGACTTGTATACTAGTCCGGAAAGCGGCGAGACCACCACGAGCCTTGCCTCGACAGCACGCGACGAAGAGTCCACTTCGCAGCTTGTTTCATCGTCCAGTTCTGGTAGCACGACCTCCTCGTCCACCACCTCGAGCCCTCCAAAAATGCTCTTGGAGAGCATCAAAGGCGTGCGGTTTTTGGACAGAATGCGAAATAGGGAGCGGGCCGTGAAGGCCCGCATTCCCTACGGCTTCCAGGTCGTCAAGGACGTGTTTGCCGAAGCTGAGCAGGTGCGCGCAGCAGCACAGATGAGTTACAAGTCCGCCAGCAAAGGCACCGAAGTTGTCGACCATGAAAAGGCCCTGGCAGAGGAGGAGGAAATGGAATTGGATCTGGAACGCGAGGACGGGTTGGTTTGTAACCGACCCGTTTCGCTGTACACGGATTTTCGCAGGCATCCGTGGGACACGCGGGGCACGACGGGAAACAAGATCACTTTGGTGCAAGGAACGACCCACGTCCAAGTCGGGTTTCTCGACTTCCAGGAGCTCATGAACGCGAAGATTCTTGGTGGTGAGACAACTTCAACTTTTTCTGAGAGTTGTGAACAAAGTCCGGACGGCAAAAAAACGACCACTAGTGGCTCTTCCCCGTCTTGTTCACCAGGCGGACTGCTGCAACTCCCGCACGAGAGCGAACGCCTGAAATTCGTCGGCATTTGTTACGACGCCTACACCGTTGCCAAGTTCACGGTGATCCAATTCATGCTGCTCTCCGAGGACACGCCGCTCGAGCACGTGCTGCAGGTCTGGTACAGCTCGATGTGGACCTTTGCTGCACTGGAAAGTTTCATCGCGCACTGCAGGGTTGCCATTGTGGTCCTGAGTGCCAAACGAGTTGTGCCACCAGAGGGAGACGAGGAAGAGCCAGAGAAGCACCAGTCAGCAAAAACTACTACTACTTCTGCGAAGAGTTCTTCTGGTAACAAGAAGAATCAGAATGCCAAAAAGCTGTCTTTCGAAGCAGCGGATGACATGGTCGGGGACCCGTCAGTGTTGCTTTTCCTGGAGAAGTGGCTCGCCACGGCCACCGAACAGCCGGTCACCCCGACTGAAGCCGCGTGCACCTGGTTCAACAACGTGGTGGGGGCCGAAATGAGCTCGGTGATCGGCCGGCCCGTGCCGTACGACCGTGTTTCAGAAGATTTGCTCGCGTACCTCCGCGTCGTGGAAAAGCAGACGAAGAAAAAAAGTACGGGCGTGCCGTTCTCCACACACGCATGCACGAAATTTCTCGAAGCGTTCAACGCGATTCCCTCTTTCAAGAGCGAGGCGAACCGCGTGGCCTTGGTTCACTACCTCCTTACCGGGAGACTCGTGCCAGGCGAAGGGATGGACCGCGTCGCTGCGGGAGCAAAAACTTCTTCTACCGATGAAGACGCTCTTGGGGGGCGGGGGCTCGTCGATGTTGAGGAAGTAGACAAACAGGAGCAAAGCGGAACCAGCAAAAAGACAAACAACGAGGGACAAAAGCAAAAGAGCAGAACTAAGCAACAGGGGCGAGGAGATGATGAGCCGGATGTTCTTGATACGAACGTCACTTCCTTATTTCTTGGAAACATCACTATGTTTCGAGCGAACATAGTGGCGGGCTTGGAAAAAAACCTGAATGCACTGACGTGTCTCTCCATCGAGGACTACATTGATGAATTAGCCCGGGATGACGCCGGTCGCCGACTCGAAGTCGATCTTGAACAACATCAAGCCGAACAAGTGGATAAAAGTACTGAAATTTCTCGTAAACGACCAGACACAACAACATCACCATCTTCCACACGAAAGAAACCCAAGACCGCTCTATGCGATCCCACTCTGCTGCGGAAGCAGTATCAAAAACGGGCAGCGGCGGGGGAAATACGCAACATCGTGCAGCTATTTATCCGACGGACGCTGCGGCAGCTGCAGTCCCTCCGGCGCAGCCTGCTGTCCAGAAAAGTTCAGGTCTTTCTGCACTACCGAACCCACGACGAATGGAGTCGGAGGAACGACCTGGCCGACTTCATTGCTACTTACAACCCAGCAACTGTTTCCTGGACCAACGAGGTGGACAGATACCCGCTTGACGCTTTCCACGAGCTGGCACGAAGGGCCAGTCGAAAACCGCACCAGCAGCAGCAGCAGCAGCAATTACCGACGACGCATTATGCCTACTCCCTGAATTGGATCGGGGAGACTTTTGGCGCCTGCCTGACCGATTTCCTCGCGCTTCCAGACCCGAACAGATCGACAGACCAGTGGGATCGCTATGTTCGCGCCAGACAAAAGCCCCAAGAGGAGCGCGGCGAAAGAGATGAAAACTCCGACGAAGCCTACCTGTACCAGCAAGACCCCGAAACCTTGAAAAAAGTGAGACAAATTCTGGCGTGTTGCTGCAGCGAAAACGGGTTCCTCTACTCGAGGAAGGGACACCGAACAACGTCGAGCGGAGCTGCCTTGTCGTACGATGTTGAACCTCCAGCAAAGAACGCTGCTGAAACCAGTAATAACGCAAGGCCCGCGCTTTATGCAGAAGCAGAAACGAAATTGCACTCAGCGGTAGACGATGAAGATGTGGAGGACGATGAAGACGAAGAGGAGCCATCTGGGGGACGAGCGTCAAATGGTCCTACACCGGTAAAAAAACTACCTTCCAGGATGTTGATCCCCCCGCGGAGACAACTCCACGCCAGTGGCCAAGTTGCAAAAGTGCTACTTGACCATTATCACTGCGCTCTGCTGAGCACTCCCTTGCGGTTGCCCGCTCTTTCGCTCTGCCGGTACGTCTTGCAGCAGGTCACCTGTGCGAGCTGGGTCAAAGACTTCTTCTGCAAGAAATCCAAGCACATCATTGCGCACTGCGAGGAAAACGGACTCAATCTCTTGTCCCCCCTCTCAACCTCCAGCAGCCACCAGCTGTCCTTTAGCTGGCGCTACTTCTCCGCAGAGGTTGCAGGTGCTGCTGGTGCACCAGGAGCTACTTCTTCTGCGATTGTCTTTCCCTGGACAAAAGAAATAGTAATCGAAGATAAAAATAGTAGTTCTAGTTCTACCCCCGCGCCCGCTGCTTTATCCTCGTCGTCCACACCAACTACTACACTCGTGCCGGGTGAAAATATTGAGGCGGTAAAGGAAACCAGCACGGCTCCTACTGGCGAGAATGGATCGGCTGGAGACCACCAGGTAGTACAGCGAGTAGTTGACGACGAGGGAAATATCATCAACAACACCGCAAACAAATCGCAAACTGATCGCTGCACCGAAAGAGAAGCGCTAGCTTTTGCCTCAACCCCAGATGAGAACAAAACAGATGAGACACCCGACGCTCGGGGTCGCGAAGAACAAGACGATGGTGGTCTTCTTGATCAAAAACTTGTGGCAGCTGGTGGCGCGAGCGAAGCAGTTGGGGCCGCAGAGAAGGATGTTGAACAAGCAGAGGAGACACTACTAGTACACAACCCCGACATGATGATCTTCCACGACGAGGACACTAGCAAGCTGAGCAAGCACGCCCTGAAAAGGAAGCGCCGCGCCCTGCGGGAAGAGGAGGAGCGAAAGCAGCTTGCGGAGGACGCCGAGTTGACCGCGAAGCGTCTCGCCCTCGCCAAGCGACAATACGAGCACGCCCGCTCTTTGGAACGGTTCGTGACAGATCACGTTTTAGTTTCAAAGAAGCGCAATGGCACCATTTTCGAGAAAGACAAATGGATGCGTGCGGCGCAACGCTGCACTTCTTCTACGGAGCAGGACGAGGAGCCTTCTGAAGCGCAAGACTCCTCGTCGAGTTTCTTTGTCTTGGACCCTACTCGAGGCCGTCTGGAACTCCCACCGACTGTTTTGCCTTGGTTGTTGCCCCTCCTGAATCGGCCCGAGTTACAAGTATTCAGACCTGGCTCGTCAGACCCCATCGGCCTGCCCGAGGGCCTCGAGACCGACATGGAAATGGTGGACATACTTTTCAATTTTTCTCGAATGAAGGCCGACGTGCAGCCGTACTATCTGTTCGTGAAAAATCTGCTGGAGCAGAAGCCCGAGACGTTGATGGCATTGGCATGTACCAATGCGCAGCCGGAAATGGTAATGCAGCGGTGGTGGACCGACAACGTGGAAGATCATGGCGCGATACAAATTGGCTACGCTGCATATCAACTCCTGGAGTTCTGTCACACCGAGCTGAACGGCCAGCTGACCGCTTTGACGGACCCGATGCTAGTTGGCAGTGGATATGGCTTGCTCAGATGTTACAATCTCAAACGTTGCAATAGAGACTGAAACTTGTCTTGCATAAACAGCATGAGTGCCATACAGAGACTTCGGCTTTTCGCAATAGAAATTGCGCGATATTCTCATAGAGTTTGGAGCTCCGAAACTTGTCATGCTCGCTCCTGTGGGAGTGGGCCAGATGTTGCGCATTTTGCAACACGACAAGTTTCAGACTCTATTGTAGCGTTTGAGATTGTAACACCTGAGCAGGTTATAGTGGAAAAAGAAAATTTCTGGGATACGTGTTTCAAAACCTCCGCGACTTCAGCCCAAATGTGTTGAAGGTAGCAGCTAAGGCAGAAAATAAAGGCTCAACATCTGCCGATGGAACTGCAGAAGATCCCTCTTCATCTTCGGATCATGCGATATCACAGAAACCCTCCGTATGGATGTGTCAGGTTTGAAATCGTCAAAGTTGAAATACTTTGTCATGCATAAAACGGATACCAGTTAGACCTACAGTTTGTAGTCGGTGCATGACAAATTTTCCCGGTCATGGAAGCGAGTCTGTCATGCGGTTTAGGGCAAAAGAGCTGCCTTCTGTCATGCTAGTCAGCAGTCCAACTTTTGACCCTTACCAGGACTATAATCTGCTTCCCGTGGGTCCTCTGCAATAGAGTCACTTTTTGTATCGCATTTTATGCATTACAAACAAGGTCCGAGCACGGGGACAGAGTCCCCGTGCGGCGACCTTCCGGCATTTGTCTGGGACGAGGGGGCTCGGGGGTTGTGGCGGCACTGGGCAGGGAGAAAAGAAAGGAAGAAGCTGGCGCCGGGCCGGGGGGCGGGGCGCCGATAACTCCGGCGCCGGGTCTGTAGCTGGCCCCTAGGTCATGGCGCGGGGACCGACGAGTCCCCGCGCTGACCTAGGGCCTTTGCCCCTGGGCCGTGAGGTTAGTTTCCGGGAAGCGCCCAGAGCTGGCCGCTAGGTCATGGCGCGGGGACCGAGTCCCCGCGCTGACCTAGGGCTGGGCCGTGCGGTCAGTTTCCGGGAAGCGCCAAAAGCTGGCCCCTAGGTCATGACGCGGGGACCGAGTCCCCGCGCTGACCTAGGGCTTTTGCCCCTGGGCCGTGCGGCTGGTTTCCGGGAAGCGCCTAAAGCCGGCCCTTAGGTCATGGCGCGGGGACCGAGCCCCCGCGCTGCCCCAGGGCTCTTGCCCCTGGGCCGCGCGGTTAGTTTCTTTCATTCATTCCGGAAACAAAGCGCCGGCACCTGGCCCCTAGGTCATGACGCGGGGACCGAGTTCCCGCGCTGCCCGAGGGCTTTTGCTCGTGGGCCGTGCGGCTAGTGTACGGGGAGCGCCAAAAGCTGGCCCCTAGATCATGACGCGGGGACCGAGTCCCCGCGCTACCCTAGGGCCCTTGCCCCTCGGCCGTGCGGCTAGTGTATGGGAAGCGCTACAAGCTGGCCCCTAGGTCATGGCGCGGGGACCGAGTCCCCGCGCTGCCCTAGGGCTTTTGCCCCGGGGCCGTGCTGTTGATTTCCGGGAAGCGCCAAGGGCTGGCCCCTAGGTCATGGCGCGGGGACCGAGTCCCCGCGTTGACCTAGGGCTTTTGCCCCTGGGCCGTGCGGTTGGTTTCCGGGAAGCGCCCAAAGCGGGCCCCTAGGTCATGATGGGGGGAGCGAGTCCCCTAGCTGCAAGCCCTGGGGCTTTTGTTTGATTGCCCCTGGGCCGCGCGGTTAGTTTCTGGGAAGCGCCAACAGCTGGCCCCTAGGTCATGACGTGGGGACCGAGTCCAAAGCGTCAACAGCTGGGCCCGGAGGCCTGATGCCGGGCCGCGTTCGTATGCAATGACGCCGGTTGCGAGACTATTTAAATGCGCCAGGTTTGGATACTTCTGCCGCTCTGGATCTTTCACGCGATTCGGATCGATCCGGAAACGCTCTCCGCTCTGGATATTTGTTCTGCCCCCTGCCCTGGGTGTGGTTGCCTGGGGTGTATCGGGGGTCTTTGCCGTGGGTGTCTGTCGGGGGTGTCTGCCGGGGGTGCGTCTGGGGTGCGTTCGGGGCTTGCCCTGTAACTTGCGAATCACGATGCTACGCGGCCACTTTACATACCCCAGAACGCAGGCCAAAGCCTCAAAAGTCCCGGCCGGGGTCTGTCGGGTGTGAGTGTCGGGGGTGTCTGTCGGGTGTGAGTGTCGGGGGTGTGTCTGGGGTGTGTTCGGGGTGTGCCCTGCAAATTACGAATCACGGTGCTACGCGGCCACTTTACATACCCCAGAACACACCCCAAAGCCTTAAAAGTTCCGGCCGGGGTCTGTCGGGGGTGTTTGTCGGGGGGTATGTCGGGGGTGTGTCGGGGGTGTGTCTGGGGTGTGTCTGGGGTGTGTTCGGGGTGTGCCCTGCAAATTACGAATCACGGTGCTACGCGGCCACCTTACATACCCCAGAACACACCCCAAAGCTTCAAAAACTCTGGTTTGCTGCTGTTTAAATAGTAATTATTTCAACTTTGACGATTTCAAACCTGACGCTTCCATACTCCGTGGCGCCGACTCGAGACACCCGACTTCCCGGCGAGGGACACGGCGACCTCCCGCCCCACCGGCCGTGGGACACGAGACCCGGGTGCGGGCAAGCGAGGAGGCCGGTGGAGATTTGTGAACACACCACGCACGTTATGAGTCGTGTGCACAACTCTCCCTCCCGCTCACTTGTGTTGCATGAACAGCAACAGAAGCGCTGGCAAAGATGCAGCTTTTGGATGACAAATTTCTAGAGGATTGCAGTGCGGTTTTGGATTCCGGATTCTGTCATGCAAACAGTGCTAAGATGCAAAGGGTGGATTTGGAATTTTGCATCACAAATGAGGGGGAGGGGGACGAGTTGTGCACTTTCATACACGTTCAAGTCGGCTTTCTCGACTTCCAGGAGCTGATGTATGCACTGCAAAAGTGTCGTACACGTACTAATCGTAATCGCGGTCATGCATTACAAATCCCGATATTAAGGCAAATCCGCATTACACATTTCATTTCTCATGCTGAGGAAATCTGTGATGCAATTCATACTAGTACGACACTTTTGCAATGCATATGATGAGCGCCAAGTTTGTTCCAAACGAGGTCCTCGACAAGCGAGCGGAATTGGAAAAAATGGAAGCAGCATTTCGAGACGTCGAACGAGTGGCACAGCGATCTAGTAGTACTTCAGGTCAAAAAGAGAGGTCGGATGAGCAGAACCGTGAAAATCTTGACGTGAAAAATCACCTCCAGGAAGTCAACAATCCTGACATCAAGACCGCGGAGGCAAGCAAAAACTCTTCCACGGAGCAAATGAAAAACGGTCCTTCTAGGCCGCAAACCCGTTTTGTTGGTTACTGCCACGACCTGTACACACTGGCGAAGTTTCTCGTCATCTCGAAGATGCTGGATACGGAGAGCTGCCCGATCGATATGCATTGCAAACATGTCCGGGTCTGGAAGGATGCAACTTGTGATGCTATCTTTGGATTCGAAAAACATCGGTATTGCATGAAGGGCAAGAGGAGTTTTCTGTGCTACGCGGAGAGGGCATTTCTCATGCGGAAAAGGCATCAGAAAGCTTTTTAAAAATGTGTGATGTTGCTAGGTCACTCATGCATTACAGACATCATGGTTCGTGCCAAATATGCATGACAAACCTGGCAATTTTCCAGAGGACCCAGACATCTTTGCATTTGATAATCGATCACGTGATCCAAGTGTGGTACTCCTCGGTGTGGACCCTCGAGACCTTCGCCAGCTTCGCAGCCGCTTGCCAGGCAGTCGTCTGGCTAATCCAGTCCCCGTATTTCGTGGGACCGCCCCGGACTCCGGAGGAGGCGGCCAGTGTGGAAGAAGTGGAATCGCAGCGGCGGCGGCTCTTCGACGAGGACATTTTTGAGGGGAAGTATAACCACAACCACGAAAATCTTCTCTGCGACATCCTCGCCTACTGGTCCGAGAAAGCAACGCCGGTCCTGCTTCCGGACGTGCACCGGCAGTGGTTTGACGAGGTGACCTGCATGAAAAACTTTGGCTGTTTCGACACCGTCGCGTGCTTTCGCAGAGCCATCGACCACGAGGCTCTGCTCCACTATTTCCTGTCGGGGAACTTGTTTCCCGAACTCACGGCCCGGACCGCTTTGGACAGACTGTACACACTGAAGGAGCCGGCCAGAAGAGCGACGCTACAAGAGATTCTAAAAGGGCAGGTCGAACTGGTGAAGGGCCCAACGTACAAATTGGCTGAAATGAAAATAAACACAGGACGAACAAACGACAAGGCAAAGGCAGGAGCTGCAACATCAAGTCCAGCACAAAAGTCACCAGTCCCCATTCGTGAGAAAGGGTCTACTTTCCTGTTCGGCAATGTGACCATGTTCATTCACTCAAGCGACGAGGAGATCTTGCCGGTGGAACTTATGTTCCGAGATATGACGCCGCTGCAGCGGAATCTGAACGCTTTGGCGTCCATGTCGCTGGACGACTATGTGCAGGAAATGAAATTAAACGAACGCGATCTGGGCGGTAGTACCTCGTCTGCTAAAAAAAGCGAGAAGAACCTTCTGCAGCTGTTTCTCTCCGCGACGCGCCGGAAGCTTTCCAACCTGCGCACGCTGATGCGGGAGGACAAGCTCTGTGTGACCCTGCGGCAACGGGACTGGCGGCGAAAGCCTATCGATGCGGAGGACATCGGAGCCTTGAGGCCGAAGTCCTATCAAATGTATAAAATGTCTGGGTCTGGAAGAATGCAAGATTTGTGATGCAGGTTTTCCATGACTCATGAGGTCTGGAATGCGAGACCCAGCATGACAGACTTTTTGAGGTCTCTATCATGCCTTTCCTGCATGAGAAACTCCCTCTCAACTTGGTCAAAAGCGGACAGTTTTTAGTACTCACGCAACACAGATGTTCGCATCATTCAGATTTAGCATGACAAGTTCTAACCTTCCAGACCCTGTAACATTTTTGCACTTGATAAATGCATTTCCTGGACCAATGAGATGGACCGATACCGCATCGCGGACTTCCATAAAATTGCGAAGGCAAGCGAGGGGCGAGAAGGTGTTGAAACATCAACTTCTCATCAGAACGATCCGGCAGGCAGCTGCACCGACGTCCTCACAGATTTGTACCCGTCGGTTAATCCTCGGTATGGGGAAGCTTGCTTCCACTTTGGCTACAGCACGAAGTGGGTCCTGGAGACTTTCGGAGCGCACATCCTGGACTTCAGCAGCTACTACATGCACCTCCCTGGGTGGGAAAAGTTACTGGAGATGAACAAGACTGAAGATAAAGTGGAAGGGCTCGAGCAGTGGCAGAGAGAGCAAAAGCAGATCCAACATGAGCAGCTGCGCGCGTGGATCGGCCAGGCAATGCGGATCCCGACAGAACTTCTTCCCAAAGAGGGTGACGGAAATGAAGAAGTTCTCGAAGGCAAAAGCAAAAAAACAGGTAAAGACCTGAGTTTTCGGCCGGGAACGATCGCAGAATTGGTGGAGCTGCCGCTCCGGTTGCCGGGCAAAGACCTGGTGAACCGCAAGCTGCAGGAAAGTGTGAAGATGTGTTGGATGCAAGACTTCGAAGCGAAGGCGCCGAAGGACTACGATTGCACGTGTATGCGGGAAGATCTGGCGACGCACGTGTCGCCCTTGACGCTCCAGGACCGCTACGCGCACCAGGAGGGCGATGGCAGCACGACAAACACCGCAGAGGAACTCGCAACAGGAGGACACTTTTCCTCCCTGTTCCTGGAGTGGGTGTACCTCGGGAAAGTAGGTGAAGCTCCAGAGGTAGAAGCAGCGGACGAACAGGAATTCAAGTCCGTAGAAGAGGAAAAGTTTTCATCTTCCACAGACGCGGATGAAAACGAAAAGACACAGCAAAAAACGGAATAATGGCCCAGGACCTGCTTTTGCTTGGGCTTGATTCCCACGTAGTTGTTGATGTTGTCTATTCAACACATTATATTTTAGCTAGGGCACATCAAATAGACCTCTTCCATATCTTCGTCCTTTCAGTTGTAATCATCGATCCCCAGCATAATTCCAACCGTTTCATTTTTGTCGTGAAGTAGTAAAACGGTAATCGACAGAGAACATAGGTTCAGAAGGAGCTCGAAAAACAAAGTAGTCATAACCTAATCTAGTAATTCGCTTCAGCATTGCTCGGATTCATCGAGTCCCTTGTTTCTGGTTCCGGCTGTTGTTCCTGCAAGAGGCAAATTTCGTTGTTCTTCCCAAGCGCTCCTGCACCGTTTGCACGGTGTAATAACGTACTACTTGTTGGAGAAGGCACCACCACTACAGTTTTTCCGCAACACTCGTCCTCCGGCTACTTGAGCGAGAGTGCCTTCTACTGCAAACATGCCAGAGCGGAAACATCAATATGCCAGCGAGCTCGTCTTGATCAAAAATGTCTATGTCACCCATTGTACAAAAACGCACCTCTAAGTATACAACTCGACGCAAACACCCAAAATAAAAGTAGGCAAAGCGAAGAACAAACACAAAACACATACGGCTCAGATCATTTTCATTCTTGGAAGTTGTCCATTGCAAAAGATGCCAATAAAGAAGAACTTCTGCAACTACATTTACGCGAAAGACAAAGATGATCGCCGCGCTGTGTGAACTAATTGATAATGTATCTACAACACGAGAATGAATTTTAGGCACTAGGCCATCCCACTAGTCGTGTGAGCAGTGTCACTCACTAGCTGGATGTGAAAAAGCTATCAAATAATTCAATATTTATAGCAGGAAGAACCCGAGCACAGAGGCGATTTATTTCGACATTTAGATACACACCATCGTTGTAGATACTAAAGATAATTCTGCTAGTACAGCATCTCAAGTCACCGCTCGGCCGAAAGAATCCAAGATGATGCCCCAGCAAGGTGACCAAGACGACAGAACCGGGTCTATGTCCTCCACCGCTCCGCAGGCACAGGCACCACAGGCAGGGAAAGAACATCAGGATGCACCACCACGGATCAGCAGCGACGGTGGGTGTGGAGAGGACCCAAAAAATCTTCCTAAAAACGAGTCAGCAGCTACTTCGGTAGTTCCCGCTAGCTCCGCTTCCTTTTCCCCCGATGAATCTAATTCGCGTAATATCTCGTCGCCCGTACTTGTTCCTGAAGTGGAAAGTACAGTTGCCAACCCTCATCTGACGAAGGCGCCAGCTGCAGTAGGGAGCAGTACTCTCACGATGGGAGAGGAAGAAGTTTTGGACCATCAGATGATTACGCCGAATCAAACAACTACAACTCATGTTGATCATCCTCCTCCAGCCGCGGTAGAAGGTGGAGAGGAGGAGGACCACATCAATAGCTCGTCTAGAGCACCCCAGCCAGCCGAGGAACCAGTGCTTCTAGAGGTGCCGTCCGCAGCTCCTGCGACAGAAGGACCACAAAGAGCACCAGAGCCCCCGTTACTCGCGACGACCTCCGCGTCAGTGCAGCTGGATGAAGAAGACTATTGTCAAGAGGAAGCTGTGGCTAGTTCAGCTGTTGTGCAAGGACATAAAGTAGAGAAAGTGGAAGAACAAGTGGAAGCAGAAGCTGATGTCTCATCTTTAGTACAAGGAAGTGAAGGGACAACGCCAGCAGCTGAAACTATTTTGCAGACAGAAGAACTACAGCCACCGGCTGCGGGGGAACAAGTACTGGAAGGTGATGAACCGGAGGACATAATGCTGCAAAAAGAAGAACTACTGCCTGGTGCTAATATCAGATCATTGCCCACACCCCAGCAGCACAACATGGCAGCTGCGTCGCCGCGAGCAGAGATGAAAGAGAATAAAACGTACGCGACTACAACGGCAACGTATTCTTCAGATGTCGTGGAGGAAGTTCAAGTTGATGAAAAGATTGCTTCTCCTTCTCCAGAAGCCGTTGCGCCACCGTCGCTACAACTAGAAGTACTGGAGCAAGTTACTGTACCATCACAACCTGCTGTGATACTTACACCACAGGAAGAAGTAGCTGTAGCTTCTGAAACTCCAACCGCACCAGGAGAAGATCTTGTTGCGTCGGTACCTGTGCAGCCGGAGGTCGTGGCTCCAGCGAAAGTGGACGAGATACATGCTGCTGCTGCTGCTGCCACCACAGCAGGAGCACCTACTACAGGCACAGCTGCTGTTGTAGAAGAAGTACTAGAAACTCCATTACCATCTGTCGAAGTAGAACCACCTTCACCCGCAAGCGGCACGACCCCGGCCGCGCCGGAAATGGAAATGGTCACGAACAAGAACCCCGCGAACAGTTACAATGTGGTGAAGGAGCAAAACGATTTCACGATTCACACGAAGAACACCGAGCAGCTGCAGGAGCAGGACAACGGTAATATTACAAACTTCCAACAGACAGTAGAGCCAGCACCGCAACCAGTTCTCTCACACCAGCCAGAAGTGGTCGCTGTCCCGCCTGCTCCTGCTGCGCCGCTGAAGCAACAAGCATTAGAACAACCACCTCAACAGCAAGAAAACAAAACCCCCGCTGCTGCTGCACCGCCTGCTCCGGTAGAAGTTGCCGGCGCAGGTGCTACGGCTCCGGTTGCAGCTGCAGAGGTGGTTCCAAAACAAGCGACGACCCTTCTGTCACCCGAGGAGCAAGAAGCTTTCAACACCCTGCTCTGGATCTGCACCCAGCGCACGCGAGGAGGCGGAAATAAATCTTCGACCAAGAAGGGCGGTGGAGGTGGTCCTGGGGGTGCAGCCGGGGATGTTACCAAAGGACTTTTTCCTACCTCGGAACAACATCATCATCAAAATTGCACCACTTCTGCCACTGGTACGCCGGTCGCGGCCGCGGTTTCCGCGGGCTTTTTCCGCAAAGCGGAACGACAGGACCAGCTGGCGTTTGCGCTGCTGGAGTTGGGAAAGCGAGCGTACGAAATTTACGGCGACAGCATGGAGGAACGCAACACCGCAAACGACTTCCTCTTCACAGTGGGCTCGCCGCCACGAGGACACAATGCGAAAAATAACCGCAAGTCATCTTTCGGGAACAGTTCGAAAAACAAAAATGCCGTGCGCACGCCGACCTTTCTCGAGCGCCACTGCAGTGTGGGGGTATGCCTTGCAAAAGTATTTGTGTATCGCACTACGACGAAATTGCATGACAACTTCGCTCTAAAATGCATAGATGCAATTTGTCATGCAGGAGAAACAAGAAGCAAACACACCTGTCATGCAGTTTTGCATGTATTAGTCGACGAGTGCGTTACACTTTTGCAGGGGATAATGCGGGCTGTTTGACAATTTTATCGGCGGCAGCACAGCGCCAGACGGCGGTGCAGGGGGAGCGGGACCGCAGCAGCTCTTAAGAGCGGGAGCTAACCAGGCGACCAGGGCCGCAACCTCGTTTCTACGCAGTGGGTCTTCGACCACGTCGGCGCAGAATAACACAACGAACAATCGCCGTCAGGTGGGACAACATAATTTTGGGATCGGGTCACAGAAAGGGCAGGGAAAACACGGCGCCCATAGGACGAATCCGAGCTCTGGTAGGAATCAAGACAACAACTTCTGCGCACAACACCACGACGAGGCAAATTACTGCGCGCAACAGTAGAAGTAGAATTACAGTTACAGCTTTTGTTGAAAAAATCGAATAAAACGATTGCAGAGCTGCGAAATAAGTGGTGGCAAAATCCGACGACCACCAGATTGGATTTGATGCCGAAGACGCGAAAATACTTATCAACTTTTTATCATGATTTCAAGGTCACACACCTTGACCTTTACAAGCCTACTGGTTTTTACATCCACAATCGAATGAGAAAAAATATCTATCCTGCTGCGCAGTTTGGCTAGGGTGTCAGCAACATGCCCCTGGCGTTCTCTAGTTGTTCTGCGTTCGCATGTACTAGGAAACGTTGTTCAGAAAAAGGATTGGTGCGCTTTTCGTGCAGCGCGTGATTTGGATCTCATTTGCGTTCCTCATGTGATCCTTGCAAGAACCTGAGTGTGTTGGTCAGGTCTTCATCCGCCCGCGGTGTACGATCAAAAGTTCCTTGGTCAACATAATGGTCGGTGGAAGTGGGTCCGCAGTTGATAGAAATGTAGATAAAACGGCAGCACTACGGACGATAATGAGCGTGAGCAGATAATTTTCTTCTGAGTTGTGTCACGACCCAATCTACCGCCAGCGAGGTGCTGCTCAAGCGTGGAGAGGCGCTTTTTTGGATTTTTTCGGTGTTTTCTTAAGGAGACCGCGCTGGCCAATTTTCAAAAATCGCCGCGTTTTTTTTCTTCGTCTCAGCCATTCTGCCACTCATGAGATAGTCCTCCTCACCCGTGGAGTGGTGCTTTGTCGGATTCTTTCGGTCATTTTTCAAGCAACAGACCCTAGGCCTAGATAACCCAATCGAGCTGAAGTGTGCAAGTGCAAATTTTTTTTCAACAAAAAACTAGCTACCGAGCCGCGATCAGTCGTTGTTGCAAAAACAAGACCGAATAAATTCCAACTGTGCGGAACGAGATGAAGCCGATCATGAATGTTGTCAGAAATGAAAACGGCCGGGAAACTGCCGTCGAGAAGAAGCATTGCCCGAAGCATTGCATCGAAAGGAACGTACGACAAAACGATAGCGACACACCACACCTACCGTCGAACAGCATCGATCAATTTTTGGCGAGTACTACTACCCTAAACCCTAAAATTATCCTGGCTTGCGCGTATTACAGTTGCATTCGATATATTACGGTGAAATCGAACAACAATCCCTCGACGACTACCGTTATGACTTACAAATAAAGTATGGCATTTATTTTCGTACCTACTGGTCGCGGCCACGCATTGCAAATCTTGATGCTCCGCGATGTCCACCCAACACGTTGTTCGAGAACAAATTCTTCTGTAAACTTTGCGCCGAAAGACACAAGGGGGGGGCGGAAGTCGAGCGCGGGCGCTGCGTTTGTTCTGCGAGATCGTTTTGTTGTTTCCGTCGCCACATCGACGTCCCGGTCGTCCCGATTCTTTTATCTGAGTATAACCGGGCTGAAGGTTTGCTTCCGAATTATGGACAGCTGGGGGTCGTGGTCGTGCGCCGGATAGTCGACTATACGACAAGTGTCAACACCCGCTGGAGGCCCTGGAGAGTCATTTTATTATGTGCAAGAATTGACAGAGAGACAGCGTCTTCTTGTACAACTTGTTCACTTGTGTCAATATGTATTGGAAACTACGGACAAACTTACTAAAGTACTCTAACTCTACTTTGGTTTCGTTGTTCATTTCTCTTGCAAGGCACAAGCTTCTTCCATCCTAGGTGCCGAAATGAACAAATTGATGGGATAAGCCCCGCATGATCGTGGTTCGAAGATGAATCAGGTCGGGTGTATGGTCAACCTTCGTGCAGAAATCGGCGTCGGTGGAAACATCTGCTCAAGTCCGCGACAATGTTCTTGATGTGCATTCTGATTCGTGCCGAACTAGTGGAACTAAGCACGTGAAGTAGAGCGGCAAAGTCGACGAAATAAATAGACCACGAGAGCTAAGTTGGTTGTAGCTTCATTTAGGATTCCATTCATGCGGCACAATGAATCTTTCGCCGAGCAGAAAACTTTCGTTAGGACGGCGCGACAATGTCAATGCGCGTATAATTATCCTGTCGTGATGACAATATCAATTTAAAATCGTATAACGCACTAATTTTCATCGATATAGTAGGAATGCTCAATGAAGATCGCTTCTGAACAAGAAGATGTTTACTAAATCAAAGTTTCGGGATGAAACAAACTTATAACGTTCATCGTCCCATCTGGCAATCACAGTGTCTGTGTCAAAATGTGAGGGGCTGCATATAACTTTTTCATCTCGATGTCGATGAATCTCGCGGTCGGCTCCCCGTCGTCCTGGATCCAGCAGTCGTTGATGGTCCTTCTGGCGATGAGGGCCCCGACGTGTGTTGTGCTTGTTTCCGCGTGGCACGAGAGGACCGCCTTGTTTTCTTCCACCGCCGCGATGATCACAGCGACGTCCCCCGAAGTCCTCAGTGTCAACAACATTGGCACGACAAGTACGACGAGTACAACCACTACAACACACGACGAACTTGCTCACCAAGTCGAGCGAACTCCACCTATCAAAAGTAAAAGTGTCTGGGTCTGGAAACTTGTGATGCTGGGTGGCGTCTCATGATGAGGCTACAAATGCTGGCCCAGCATTACAAGTTTCTGAGCTCCTAGGTGTTGCCTATTCTGCATGACAAACTGCGCTTCTGCATCACAGAAAAACGGAGCTCTTGGGTAACGTGCATGACAGATTTAAGAGTCATGCCAGACAATCATGACAAACATGAATTCTTCCAGACCCAGACATTTTTACATTTGATACCACCCCTCCCACTGCCACTACCCGCGTTCGAGGAGCTGGCCCGGAGATACGAGCGGGACATCAAATGTAAAAATGTCTGGGTCTGGAAGAATCCAACTTGTCATGCTGATTTTGGATTCTAAAAAAATCTGTATTGCATGAGCAGCAAAGAGAGTCCGAATTTTGCAGCACGGAAAGAGCATTTGTCATGCGGAATAGGCATCAGGAAGCCCTCTAAAAATCTGTGATGCTAGGGCATGCGTCACAGATTTGAGGAGTCATGCAAAATGTGCATGACAAACCCGGCAATCTTCCAGACCCAGACATTTTTACATTTGATACGGGATTTTCCGGAAACAAACCTGACAAAAGTCTTCGTGGCCGACTACCCGTGGTCGTACAGGACGAACAGTACTAGTACTTCTATGATGTTGACCTTGAAGAAACATCAAGACGTCGTCGGCAGCTCCAACTACAGCATCATTCCCCAACCCGACCGCGGACTGTTTGGCGATGCTAAGTACGGAATTGTCAAAAATGTCCAAAAATGTCAGGGGTCGCGCGTGTCGCCCCTCCCGTTTGACGGGAATTGCCGGCCCCGGCGCCCCACCTCATGCATGAACAAGATAAGTAGCCGAAAGGCCCCACTTTCAGGCAGTGGCAAAGGCAGACCGGCCGGAGTAGCAGCTGCTGGTGGCCGCATGGCTTCCGGCTCGCTCTGTCGCTTCGTCCGACGAGTGTGGCGCACAGAGATTGGTCGGAGCGCTGTGCCGGCCGCGGCTACCACAAGAAGGCGCATCGAGTTCGGGTTAGCTACCTTCGAGCCCTGCGCCCGCCATCCCGTTGCCCCACCCACCGAGAACACCCGCCGCCCCTCTGAGGCTGGGGAAAGGGCAGAAAAACAGGGGCGCGGTGCGCTCTGGAGAGGGTTTGCCTGCGATGGGGCAATTGCCTTCGCAGTATTGCGTTGGCAAATGCAAAGCACACGCACGGGGCGGGCTAGCGCGAAAAAAACATGCTCCGGCCGTTCGCAAACGATGCCGCGGCCTCTTCCGTGAGTTCCTCTAGTAGAGGCTTGCCCCCCCCGTCTTTCATAGACCCCCATTCTGGCCTCCGGTTCCCGACATCCTGGCAAGCCCCACGCCGAATGCATTCGCCTGTTGCTTATCTCAGAAAATACTTTAAATTAAAAGTCCGGATCCACCCCCGGGCAAAAAAGAAGCAAACGGCCACTCGGCTACCCCTAAAAGGCCTTTTTTGGGTGCCCCTCGTAGCATCGGGGGAAGCGCAAAAAAGCGCGTTTTTGGCTACCCCTCCTGGGCGCCCCTCCCGGAGGGGTGAGACGAACAAGACACCCGGCCAAGAAACACGTTTTGCAGGAGTGCGAAAGCACCAGTTGCAGTTGCGCGCCGTTTTTGTCAGCTCCAACTACAGCATGATTCCCCGACACGACCGCGGACTGTTTGCCAAGGACGGGCGTTAGCATACAACAAGGTGAATTTGCAGTGAATTTGTATTGCGTGGCAATGCATGAACTAATCACGTGCATGCGACGAACACGAGGAAAACAAGCAGCCAGCGCGCCGTGCTGATGGGCTGCTTGGCTGGTGACGCTGCCCTCCTATGGACGCTTGCCGCTTGTTGCCCAAAGAGGCGCACCTGGTGGACTGCGAAGCAACACAGGTGGCTTGTGGCGCCGGTTTTACAACACGATGCTCCATGTTGATCCGCAGACTCGATGGTGGCGGATCGATAGGGAGGGCCATGCCTGGAAAGGGGGGCAGGGACAGTAGCTCAATATCCCAAAATAGAGAAGTCGCGTCACGGGTTGTTGCTGTCTCGGCTTGGATATCTGGAGGCGCGTTGCGATGGATGCTGGCATCGCCTGCTTAGCTCTGTACCTTCTTCCCGGCTGTGTTCCTGCCTCATCTTGGTCGGGTCCTCTAGTTTTCTTTGACGTGACCCCCAGGTCAGGAATTTTCTTGGGGAATTTTGAGGCTTCTTCTTTTTGCGAAACTTTTTTGGAGCTCCAAAACCCGGAGTTTCTCATGCGCCCGCGAATTTTGAACAAGTGCCGTAGGCCAAAACTCACCGGCACTTTTTTCAAAATTCGCCCCAAAATTCACAGGGCTCCCCTTTTCGACCGTGATAAGCAAACTTCAGCGCAGCAAAGTGCTTAAGAATGTCCGCACATAGGCCCTGGGAAGTGGGGCCGAGGGGAAAAGACAAGCGCCTTCTGTTGCCCTCAGCCCCTTTATATTTTATTCTGCCGAAAAGGCCTGGAGAGTTCACGCGCCTGCCGGATAGACGCGTCAAAGCTCTCGGCCTGGTCCTTTGGCCCTTTTTTTTGCGCCTTCTTGCCTAATTGCATGTGCTTCGCAGCCTTTCTTTTTGGCGTCTTTGCCGCGGCTGTTGCAGTGCTCTTATGCGAGCACAGGGAGACGAATGGACATGGCGAAAGAACGGCACCCAGACCATGTCTAGAAGCTGCCCGGCGCATAAGCCTTGACTTCTGCGGTGTGCAGAACCCACTTCCCAGAAGGGCAAGAGGGAGAATGTAGCGGCGGACCCACCTGCAATTTGTCATGCAAAATTCACTACAAATTCTACTCAATTTCTCATGCTAACGGGCGTTACAGCTCTAAACCAACTACAGCATGATTTCCCAACCCGGCCGCGGACTGTTTTATCAAATGCAAAAGTGTCTGGGTCTGGAAACTTGTAATGCTAAAATGTGACTGGTGGGCGCACTCTAATACGCAGCCAAGCATGACAAATTTTTGAGCTGCTCCTGTGTTTCGTTTTCCACATGGCAAACTGCGTTTCTGCATGACAGACAAGAGGTCCTTTTCCTGCTCCTGCGTCACAGATTTATGAGTTATGCCAGACAAGCATGACAAACTTGCATTCTTCCAGATTTAGACACTTTTGCAATCTATATGTTTGCCAAGGTGAGAATAGAAAAGGGCGAAATCGTTGCCACCGTCGCGCAGCCCTTGTTGTTATCTAGCTGCAAATTTGAATGTCTGGATTTGGAAAAGATAAAGAAGATGTCGAAGTTTTTCATGCTCATTTTCAGGATTTTAATTTTTGTAGGTCCCCCCGCATCACAGATTCAGCTGCCACAGCTTTCCCATGTTCATGCTGCATGCGAAATTCTTTCGTCTCAGGGCAGCCAAAAGTGGAGAAGATAAGTATTGCTTCTCTTGGATCACAGATTTTTGTGTCACTAACCGAGAGCGTCACAAGTTCCAGTCTTTCCAGATTGCAATGCATAGCTATTCCGCTGCCACTATTTTCAAGAACTAGGTCGTCTCTGGGAGTTAGCAGTGCCCATGAATATGCTTTGCAAATACTCCTGGGTCTGGAAGAGCTCCAACTTGCCAAGCTAAGTGTGGATCGTGGAAAAATCTTCGTTGCATGATTGCCAAAAGTTTTCCACTTTTGATCTTCCAGTTCAGAGGGTGTTTCTCATGCAGAAGATGCATGGTAGAGATCTCACAGAATCTGAAGCTGTCATGCTAGGTCCGGCATACTTCCAGACTTCCTTGGTCATGGAGAACCTCCTGCATGACGAGTTTTAATTTGTCTTGCAACCGTCCAGACCACCCAGATGACTTATTTGCATTTGATAGTGAACTGCGCGCACGGATTGGCGCGTACCATCTTAGCAGCAGAGAAGCGAAGTGCTCGTGAGTTGGAGCGGACAAGCACGAGAAATGCTGAGGCAGCTCCTGGCGCTGCTCGGCCGGTGAAGATTCAAGAAACGCTGTCGGAAGTGGATGAAAGTGCGTGTCAAAGGACAAGTGCAGCCGAGAGACCGATTGCGATCATGGGACACACCTCCGAAGTACTGGACGGCTGGAAAAACAGCAATAGTACTTCCACCTGCGCTGCAAAGGCCGCAAACAGTATCCACATATAAAAAACCCATCCCCATCAATTCCTTGTGTGGCAGAGACAGCAGTTTATGCATGTTTTGCATGACAAATTGTTTGGGGATTTTTGGTCTTTTCTTGTGGATGAGAAACGAAGCCCCGACGAAGACGAAGCGGGCGACGTCCAGCTTTCTGGACTACGCGCAATTCCTGCCAAAACCCGGGGAGCTGGGTTTTTTGTGGAAACTTCCCGACCCGATCTTGCGGGACCTCACGCCTTTTTCGCAGGTTTTCGCGTATGCGCGCGGAAGAGCAAAGGCCCGGGCGGACCTCGCCGCCGAGCGGCAGATGCACAAAGCGTTGCTTGCGGACTTCGAGTTGGACGAGTTGGACCACGGGACGGAGGTGTCGACGGAGGCTCTGCAGCACGCAGAAATCCTGTTGGACACGCGCTTATTGTACATGCTTTCCGAGGCCGGTAGGCGGGCCATCATTCCCTTTTTCGACATGGCCAAACGCCGCATGAATGCCAATCTTACGAACACGGAGACCGCGGGGTTTGCTGCAACAGGCGACAATAAAAGTATCGGAGCCGAAGCACTGCGTGCAACACGAACGATTTTACCCGGAGAAGAAATTTTTCTGGATTTTCTCTCTGACCTGCGGAACAAGGAGGAGGTTAAGAATAATGAAACGACGCTGCTCTCGCCAGAAGACTTTTTCCGAACCCGCGGCATCACGGAAAACGAATGGCTCGTGATGACCTCTGGGTCCTGCAATTTCTACGACCCAAAGCCGCATCAAGGGCTCACCAGGTGGACGTGGAACAATGAAACAGAAAACGTAACTACCGCCGCAAGAAATTATAACTCTCTCCCGACCAAGGCTTGTGAGGAATGGCAAGACCGGCTGGCACCGCATCGGGCGACTTTGGCGACGCAGTTCCCGCTATGGGGTTCTCAAACGTTACATTCTCAACTGTTACATGATTTGTCATGCAAAATGACCATGACCTGCCAGACAATCAAGCTGCTTCGCATGACAAATTCTCGGAAGGCTAAATAGCACTGTAATCTGGATCAAACTTGTAATGCAAGACGCGCAAGGTTCTCCCTCTCACCTGCTGTGCTAGTCTTGCATTAAACAGTTGAGAATGTAACGTTTGAGAACGCCATACCCGCGCCAGCTAGGTTTGATCGATTGCTTGTATGCGGATCTTATCAAATGTAAGAATGTCTGGGTCTGGAAATTTGTATTGCTAAAAGTGAATGGGAGTTCCACTGCAATACGGGGCCAAGCATGACAAATTTTTGGGCTCCTATGTGTTGCGTGTTCCGCATGGCAAACTGCGTTTTTGCATGACAGGTACGAGGACAGCTTTGTGCCCATGCATCACAGATTCTTGAGCCATATCAGACACGCATGACAAATGTAAGTAGCAATCTTCCAGACCCAGACATTTTTACATTTGATAGATCTGTGCAGAAGTGCGGGAGTACAACTACCGGGAGCAGGTGGTTCTATTACAATGAAAAACGCCCCCACCCCCGAACTTGGGAGCATTTGTATTGCAAACCTTTCCAAATGAAACCTTTGCCCTCTTGCATCTATCAGCATCACAGGTTTCCAATCGTGAGTAGCAAAAATTTGTATTGCAAAAGACCCCAGCAAGAGTGGCGGATGTCATGCAAGCGATGCGATACACGCCTAGACTCTGCATCAGAAAGATTCATACTCCTCTCATGCATGGCAAAAAATTTTCATTTGGAAACTTCGCATCACAAATTTTTGCAACTTTGGGGGTGGGGGCATTTTTCACTGCAATAGGTTCTTCTTCAACTTCATCTCACGAGGCTACAAGAACAGAAGCGGCACGGCACAATACAAATAGCAGGACGGACAACAACTACGAGCGACGCGGGTCAAGGCAGTTTTCCAGGGCAGGACCCCGACGCCCACCGATTCCGCCCCCGATTCCGCCCCCGATTCGCAGAGATGAAAGAGAATATTAAAACGTACGCGACTACAACGGCAACGTACTCTTCAGATGCCGTGGAGGAAGGTCAATTTGATGAAAAGAATGCTTCTCCTTCTCCAGAAACCCTTGCGCCACCGTCGCTACAACTAGAAGTTGTACTGGAGCAAGGTAATCTTGCATGCAACTTTAGCAAGAACTAGGATAAAGAAGATCTGCGAAGAAATTGTGCGACACAAGGAATAACCAGGCACTTGATATGACTGCTAGAAACCAGGACTCTGTCGTGCTCTGATGTTAGCTGCTTTTTTCGGTCTCTCTGCGAAATTGAAACATCAACGATCCACATATGAAATTAATCGATCTTTTACAAGTCAGTGTTGCTCCGCCGCCGGTATTGCTGAAAAAAATCTCCCAAAACCGATTTCCCTTATAGAATCGATCTCGAACGTATCCTGTCGCGGCTCTCGTACAGTTGCGCGCCATCGGTAGTAGCACTTTTTGCAAAAAAATGAAAAGTAGTCGCTCATCCTCATGCTCATCGATTTTTCATCACGGAAAGCCTCATCGAAAGAAAATGCAGCAGGTCTTTTGCTTTTCCATTCACACTTATCAAGAGAAACAGAAACGAGAGAAGATTACTTGACATCTAAGTAGAAAACGCGCATCTATCGTATTTGAAGTTCTGTGTTTATTTCGTGGGGAAAATCAGAGGAATTAAAATTGCAAGAAAGAGAAAACATCGCTTACAGAACGTAGACTAAGAGCAAACTGACATTTTTACTTACATTGCAGGGGCAAGAAGAAGAACAGTTCAGCGCACATCAAAGCAGATCAAAAATGGCGGCCCAGCTTCTCCGGAAAAGTTCTTGCGCTCTGCTGTTGCTCGCAAACGCGGCGTGCTTCTTTCTTCACATCTTCGAGGTGCAAGGAACTCCCCTGCGTCCTGGTTGTTGTGCTCATCGACGACGGGGATCTACTTCTCCAGCTTCTCCTTGCGGTTCGCAAGAGGGAGACCCATGCTGTTCTCTCGGATGGCACGAAGACATTACTCATTCAGTCTTGCGCCACCTGGATGGCCACGAGCCCGGTACAGGTAACCTGGAGGCGGCGAGCCATGCATTTCGCGCTGCGGTGCGCGAAGTGTATCACGACGACAGGGATCTTTCATCCGGAGCCTTGGTCCACAGCACCAAGGCCTTCAGGGCATTGCTTCAGCGCCTCGCGACCGAGGACCGTCACGCCGCGCAGCCGGACTTTGTCCCGCAGGAAAGCCAAAGCGTCGCACAGAACGTCAACACAATCCGACAGCAGCTGTGGAGGGAACGGCCGGTCGGGGACTTCCATGGCAGGGGCGACCCGCCGAGCGGGCCGAGTCTGATTCGGAAGCTGTGGAAGAGCACTACTGGCGGGGATCTGCAGGCGAAGTATTTTTTTATTAAGGACGAGACGGCGACCGCAGCCGCAGCCCTCAAAGCATTGGAAAGATCGCTTGCGAGACCAGACGAGTTGTATAGTCCTGAACTGTCGCCGTACGGCACGCACACACAGCTGTCCAACTCTCCGAATTATTCGAATCCGCTGCTTTACTTTCTTCGTCCAGGAGACCTGCCTGAACATATGCCCTTTGATATGACTCATTCACATTCTCTCTCTCTTTCCGATCACGTGACGTTGAAAAGGTGGACGCCGCCAGGCGGGGAAAACCGAAAAACTGTCCTTACCTTTTTGTCAGAACGAAGCCTGAGAATTTGGAACTCCGTGGTCGGAGGACGCGAAAAGGTGGAAGCTTCTCTGAAAGCACGTCTGTTCCCTCACTCCCTCACGAACCGTGGAAGGCTGGCTAACCACGGTACCGGTAGACGTGAGACCGCGAGACTGCTTCTCGCAGAGTCCGATGCTCGTCGTCGTCCTGGTCGTGTGCCTGCTGCAACAAAGCCGGAAGAAGCCTTGGGCCGCCTGTCCATGAAAATCTGGCTCGAAGTTTTAGCTTTAGGTCGAGGTCAGTGGAGGCCGGTGGGCACTGAAGCTCGCGTCATCGTCGAGATTTCGTGGCAGAAAGCGAAAGCCGCACCGTCAAAGCGCGTAATATGTTAAGAAGGTTCAACAACCGAACCACTCAAGGGGCGGAGCAATGAGAAGGCTCAAGAACCACTACGAAACGCGCAAGGGGCGGGGCGACCCGGGAGTGAGGAAGCAGTGAGGAGGGGAAGAGGAAGAAGTTCTTCCTCTGCGAAGCAAGTGAAGCTGTTTATTTATTCTTTGGCGCGTCTAGAAGCTTTTGGCCCTTCCTGTTTTATTTTTGAAAAAAGATCGCTGTTCTAGTTTTGGATTAAAGATTTCTAGTTTTGGATAAAGATTTTTTCCGTTGTAGATGAATTCAACGAAGTGCAGTTGTGGCTTTAGAGTGGCGTGATGATGTTCCTGAAGCCTCACGACATGCGAAAGCGGCAATCTGTTGCAGATGAACGCCAATCCAGCATGTTTTCCGGGTCAGGACCTACACAGCGAGCATCTTCTTGGTGCAAACCGTCGGCGACTTGCAAGTCCGGAAAGACGATGCTCTTCTTGCCGGGGGGAGTAGTAGTAGTGGTAGCAGTGGTAGTGCAACTGCTAGTGGTACAACAGCAGCCTCAAGTACTTCTAGCTCAACACTTCTTTCTGCATCCGCAGGTAGTAGTAACAGCAAGGATTTTTCCAACATTGGGCGCGCCATGTACACCCTTTTGCGGATTGTCACTCTCGACGACTGGGTCTCGACGATAAAAGGCGTCACCGAGCCAGCGGTCAGTTGGAACAGCACTGCTTTGCTGGAGCTACGCGAGTTGCAAGGCGCAGATGTTGGCGAGGTGATCTTCATGCCTGGTTCGCAAGTAGAAGAACAACAATCGGACTACGTCGGTACAACCTCCAGGAGGTGTAGGAGCCGCGGGCGGCGTTGCGGGGACAATGAAGCAATCGCTGATGCGGCGCTCGGAGTTATGAATTGCAAAAGTATCGTACTCGTCGTATAAGTAAATGCATTACAAATTTCCTCAGCATGAGAAATGCAATCTGTAATGCTGATTTCCCTTTAAGAAAAAGATTTGTAATGCATGACTGCACTACGAATTCGATACTTTTGCACAGAATAGGAGTCCATGGTGACCAATTTTCGGGGCAGTGAGAGGGAGAAGAAAAAAAAGGAAGAGGTATGTATTCAAATATGTCTGGGTCTGGAAGAATGCAGGTTTGTCATGCTTGTCTGGCATGAGCCTTCAATCTGTGTTGCGTGAGCAGGAAGAGGGCCCCTTGCCTGTCAGGCAAAAACGCAGTTTCCCATGCGGAAGACGAAACACATAGCGCGTCATAAACTTGTCATGCTTGGCTGCGCATTGTAGTGCGCCTGCCATTCACAGATTTGCATCACAAGTTTCCAGACTCAGACATATTTGCATTGGATAGGAAGATGTGGAGGACGACAACNGGGCGGGGCGACCCGGGAGTGAGGAAGCAGTGAGGAGGGGAAGAGGAAGAAGTTCTTCCTCTGCGAAGCAAGTGAAGCTGTTTATTTATTCTTTGGCGCGTCTAGAAGCTTTTGGCCCTTCCTGTTTTATTTTTGAAAAAAGATCGCTGTTCTAGTTTTGGATTAAAGATTTCTAGTTTTGGATAAAGATTTTTTCCGTTGTAGATGAATTCAACGAAGTGCAGTTGTGGCTTTAGAGTGGCGTGATGATGTTCCTGAAGCCTCACGACATGCGAAAGCGGCAATCTGTTGCAGATGAACGCCAATCCAGCATGTTTTCCGGGTCAGGACCTACACAGCGAGCATCTTCTTGGTGCAAACCGTCGGCGACTTGCAAGTCCGGAAAGACGATGCTCTTCTTGCCGGGGGGAGTAGTAGTAGTGGTAGCAGTGGTAGTGCAACTGCTAGTGGTACAACAGCAGCCTCAAGTACTTCTAGCTCAACACTTCTTTCTGCATCCGCAGGTAGTAGTAACAGCAAGGATTTTTCCAACATTGGGCGCGCCATGTACACCCTTTTGCGGATTGTCACTCTCGACGACTGGGTCTCGACGATAAAAGGCGTCACCGAGCCAGCGGTCAGTTGGAACAGCACTGCTTTGCTGGAGCTACGCGAGTTGCAAGGCGCAGATGTTGGCGAGGTGATCTTCATGCCTGGTTCGCAAGTAGAAGAACAACAATCGGACTACGTCGGTACAACCTCCAGGAGGTGTAGGAGCCGCGGGCGGCGTTGCGGGGACAATGAAGCAATCGCTGATGCGGCGCTCGGAGTTATGAATTGCAAAAGTATCGTACTCGTCGTATAAGTAAATGCATTACAAATTTCCTCAGCATGAGAAATGCAATCTGTAATGCTGATTTCCCTTTAAGAAAAAGATTTGTAATGCATGACTGCACTACGAATTCGATACTTTTGCACAGAATAGGAGTCCATGGTGACCAATTTTCGGGGCAGTGAGAGGGAGAAGAAAAAAAAGGAAGAGGTATGTATTCAAATATGTCTGGGTCTGGAAGAATGCAGGTTTGTCATGCTTGTCTGGCATGAGCCTTCAATCTGTGTTGCGTGAGCAGGAAGAGGGCCCCTTGCCTGTCAGGCAAAAACGCAGTTTCCCATGCGGAAGACGAAACACATAGCGCGTCATAAACTTGTCATGCTTGGCTGCGCATTGTAGTGCGCCTGCCATTCACAGATTTGCATCACAAGTTTCCAGACTCAGACATATTTGCATTGGATAGGAAGATGTGGAGGACGACAACATTGTCACCTACGTCACGCTCGCGATTCTCGGCCGCCTGTATGAAGATCCCACCGCGAAGAAGCTGTTCGATCGGTGCGGATTGCAGTTTCGCAACCTGATCGAAGTTTACTCGGAGATGCGGGAGGCCAGGCCGGGCGACAACGTGATTTTAGCGGATGACTACTTCGAAGCGCTACTTGCCTCGTTGGAAAAGGTATCCCACGAAAAAAGTGTTACAGTTTGTTACACATTTGCTGTGAATTTAGCCAAACCAGCATGTTTTCCGGGTCAGGACCTCGACGCCCACCGATTCCGCCCCCGATTCCGCCGCCACTTCCGAGGCGACATCTTCGCGATGAAACGTGAGGATTGCTTGTCAGTCCTGTCTGCCAAAATTTCATTTTTAGCTGAAACACATAAATTGGCGCGGACAGATACATATATACGCCTATTTCTACTTTCTAGGTCGTGGTGAACAGTTCTACACAGGTATTTAGACCGGGTTCATCTCGCAACGGCACTAGAAGACCACGATCACTGATCTCAACTGCCCATTTTGTGCTACTTCTTTAGAAATTCGATTGCTGTATCCCTGTCGCTGTCGCAGTGTATGATTCGCATGACTTTCGGAAATAAATGTTGCTTTCAAATAAATCTCCATTACACAACAACTCAGATATTTCTTCGAACGCGGTAAGTAGCAGGAAATCACCGGAGAAGAAAAGATGAACATATTAAGAGCAACTGGAACAAACTACAAAGTCTTGTCTAGGACGGGACTAAAACGAGAAGAAAAAAGCGTGGTATAAGTACTTAATTATATGTCGCTACAACAAGCCATACTTGACGGGAAGAATGCGCGGTAGTCAGGACAAGCGAACCAAGACCTCCAGCACCTTTGTGTGTCCATACTCCGTTGTGATGCAACAAACTTGTTTTCGCTTGGGTTGTGGCTTCCCCTTTTCTCGTGGAAATGCTCCTTTCTCAGTCCTGGTTCGGTTGATGTTAGAAAGAACATATAGAGTGATGTCGTATCGGTTCGTCCTCTAGTGCAGCTACCACCCTGCAATTGTTTCGCTTTGTCTCGACGAGCAATTTGCCTTCCTACTGACCTCGTATACAGTTATTTAGGACGGGTTCATCTCGCAGCGGCACTAGAAGACCACGATGACAATGACTGATACTTAATCCAGTACTTCTACTGCGTAGATACATACTAGCCACGTGTTCATTCTGTTCGTTGCAACAATTATCGCATTTTCGTCCATCGGTCGACAAAGAAGCGGCAGAGCATGGTGAGCTTCTGTAGAGCTCTACCTCTATACTACAAGTGTGAAAATAAATTCGAGAATCAAGATCGTGGAGCGCATAGGCATAGACCAGTCCTGCTATAATTTCCTGTCCTCTCTGTCGGTCAGTTCTGCTGTACAAATCGTAGCAGCATACAAGAATCTCTTTGTCGAGGTAGAAACAAATTTCGCAGATGCAAATCTATTTGAATTTCAATTCTATCTGATCACTTTACGAATAATGGTGGCCGAGACCATCTGTTCTCGAAAATGTCGATCCTGCAAACACTCACAGACAGTCCCCCTAACGTTGTATGTACACCGATTTTGACCAGTCAGTCCCTAAAAATCCTTCTAGTCATTAGCCCCAGCATGGTAATCACAACATCTTGAGGAACCAAGAAATAAAGCAACTAAAGCCTCGTCGTGAAAAAACTTCGACGTACAGTGCCAATTTCAAGTACCACACACAGCTAGTATTTGGACTGGTCACTTCCAGATTTAAGCATTCCCATTCGCAATTAATCGTATACAACCCGTCACTACGAACATCCAATTTCCTCTTCTCGGAGTCGGTGGACCCAGTTTTACTTAATACTAAGGGAGATTTTGTAAGACTTGCAGAAGGCCTGTATTTTGCAAAGTCATTTTTTTGAAATTCTGCGCTAAGAAGTAGAAAAAACTACTGAAGCTGCACAAGAGACAAAAAAAAGGAAACGCTGCAAGCTCACTCTTCACTTGCGCTTTCACGTAAAAACAAGTAACAGTCGTGGGCTTTTTTTTTTCACTTACCCCCTGCTTCCTCCAGGCTATTTCTCTACGAAATTATAAATGATGTTAGCCGCCCATTCTTCACGGGTGCACGACAAGGGACGGCTCTCTCAGAGTCCCCGCATGCATGTCCCTGCCTCTATCGTTGCTGGTGCGAAGATTTTTGGGTTAATGTTGCAACTTTGCTGCTCCTTGTCGTCCCTGTTCGTCCACGTAGAAGGATTTCAGGTGATGACCCCAGCAACGAGCCGCTTTTCGCTATCTTCTCTATGTCTAGGTCGGACGAAGGGCAAGGCTGCAGCTTCTCACGACCCACTTGTGGATTTGTTCACACGAGAGCCTGGGCTGGCGGACCAGGTTCTGTCCTTCCTTGACCCTGTACAACGTATCAACAGAAAAAAGCGAGCGCGTCGCTATGTTCGAAAATTTTGTCATGATAGAAATAATAAATATGCGTACTTCCCGTCGTAATTAGAATTACACAAAATGAAACGATCTACCATGGAGGACGAGCCGCTACTGTGCTCCTGGTCACGAATGTTGACACGTCAGACGAGACAGGAGATTGTTTTCAACTCAAAATTGTGCATGCTCTAGCTTTTTTCCGGATGATAACTGAGGGGCAGCTCCCAGCAGCAAGCCGTCTCATGAAAGCAGGAGTGAGGCAGCAAGACATACGCCTCCGGCAGCAAAAAACTTTCCGAGCCCTCCTGCAGCCACTTCTATCTCAAGACGAAAGCACAAGGACTGATGCGCGCCAGGGTGGCTTTGTTTTTCCGGAGGAGGTCATACAATCGTTCGAAGAAAACGCAATGGCGGTCCGGCGCGCACTCTTTGCTCTGCAGGGAGAGAACCTGCAAGATGGGACCACCGTGGCTCCCAACAGAAGGAATATGTCTTGGATCAGGACACTCTGGAAGCGTGTGACCAAGCAGCCGTTCTTGCATACTCAATACCCCAAAACTCTAGCGCACGCCCTGACTGAATTAGAAACGCAGCTTGGGCACGAAACGGAAGACATGGTGGTTGAGGACTCGTCGGAGCTGCAACGGAGGCACTATCGTAAGCCGCACTTTGTCGCGGTTGCGGAACCAAAACCTTTCGGACTTCAAAACGTCGGTGATCACCGCTATCCCGGTACTTGTTTAAGGCTCGTGTCAGCAGTCGTGGACAACGAGGAGGACTACGGTAAGTGGCAGAAGAGTAATGGTTCCCCAGAAACCACCACACTGTACGACAAGTACATTAATTTTCCAGACTCTCGACCAGGACCACGGCGGGTGGAGCTCCAGCACTGCCGGCACACCAGCCAGAAGCCTAGTATCAAATGGCAAAAAGCCTCTCGCGCTCGCCAGCAACCACTTGGGACATGATGGCGCCCGAAAGTTGTATATTGAATCTGTATGATTTTTGCTGGACAAATTGATGCGCTGTCTTGTCGAGTGCACCAATATGATTTCCTATATCAATCGCGTTCTTTGGTTTGACATAAAGCTAGAAGCGGCTTTCGCTTGTTCACAAGCTGTCTATCTTACCCTTGCGTGGACGTGAAAATCAATATGTCCACAACTTTGTACTCGCTCCAACCATCAATCTAGCATCATGCGACGCAACCCATCAATAATGATGGGTACAAGGAAAAATGCGTGGCGCTTTTTTGTTTGATACAGCGAACGGCGCTGCGGCTTGCATCAGCTTGGAAACCTGCAGCCGGATTCCCCCACTTCAGTGACGAAGAAAACGAACGTCTTTGGGAGGACTACGGTAGTATCCTCAAAGTCACCGGCCACTGCAGCGTAGTACTCGCCAAATCAAGCAACTACACAGACGCAGCTTCCACCTTGACGACCAAAGACGAGCTGCACACGGCCGCCCGGAGCGGCGAGGAACTTTTTGCCGGCTTGAAGCTACAAATTTCTCTGACTCTTCGCCAAGACGAAGACCGGGCCCGACAGCTGAAGTCTCAAGTTGTGGTCGAGATCTCGAACAGAAATGAATTTTGAGTGGCTCGGGGACAAATGTCTCTCGACTAGAAGAAGAAGAGGATTTATTTTGCACTAAAAATTTCTTTCTGCTACAGTACAACTTGCGCGACACAGCAGAGTCTGTTGCGCTGGCGTTTTTTTTTTTGTCCGGTAGTGGACAACTGCTACTCCTACTCCTCCTGCCGTTCATTTGAAAAAAATCGACCTCAACAGTAAAGAACCTCAAGAACAGTGGTCGCGTCGTGCGGGTCCCCCTGCATTGAAAATTTTCGTCGAATTTGCAGGATCTTCTTCGGCTAGGTCCTCAAGTCTTGCGGTTGGAGCAAGAAATAAATCACTTTTCCTACATCACTGACACAAAAGAAGATGAAGAAAAAAGTAGCATGTTGTACTTGAACAGTACGTGGTAGCTACTGATCTTGACTGCCCAAGTACTTCTTTCGAAATTCGATTGCTGTATACCTGTCGCTGTCCCTGTCGCTAGTATGATCCGCATGACTTTCCGAAAATGTTGCTTTTGAATAAATCTTCATTACACAACAACTCAGATATTTCTTCGAACGCGGTAAGTAGCAGTAAATCGCCGGAGAAGAAAAGATGAACATACCAAGAGCAAATGGAACAAGCCACAAAGTCTTGTCTAGGACCGGACTAAGCGTGGTCTTATCTCGCTAGTACAACGTCAACGAGTCATCCTTGACAGGAGGAATGCGCTGTAGTTAGGAGAAGCGAGCCAACACAAGCGCCTGTGTGTGTCTATACTCCGTTCTTGTTTCTGCTTGGGTTGCGCCTTTCCCTTTTCTCGTGGAAATGCTCCTTTCTCAGTCCTGGTTCGGTTGATGTTAGAAAGAACATATAGAATGATGTCATATCGGTTCGTCCTCTAGTGCAGCTACCACCTTGCTTCTGTTTCGCTTTGTCTCGAAGAGAAATTTGACTTCCTACTGACCTCGTACCATCTTCGGTCTTGACTGGATAAAAAAGAGCTTTCCATCGGTACTTCTCTTCGTGTACACTGAATTTATTCCCATAGCTACTTATCGGTAATTTCGTTCTTCAACACAGAAACAGAATATCAAACATCGTCACGTCTGTGCTTCGTTCGTGCAAAAAAAAAACTCATCCTGCTTTCGTGCTTTTACACCATTAATTACCACAGAACGGATGCCTGCAAAATGCCATCGGTCTTTTTCAAATTATTTACTCGTCCTGTCGTCGTGCGAACATGATAAACAACCCTGGCGTTTCCTCCTCCTGCGACATTTTACTTCCATTTGTGTGTTGTTCATGTTCCTATCATCAATTTACAACAGGCATTCACCCCTGTAATTAATATTTCCTTTCCACATTTTTAGAAGTTTGTCTCTCTCAACGTCCTAGCGTTGTATGTTTTCTAGTTTCTCATAGAAAAGAACTCCTGATGTTGATGTTAAACCAATATAATTGTCGAAAAGGAAAGCCTCCGAACTATGATAATGCGGAAATCGAAAATATTTTAGAAAATTTTTTTAGCATTCCTATCATTACGTCCTTTAAATAACTTGTTTCTTTCCCCGTTTCACGACTTGTTCCAGATTTTATGTTGAACGAACAACATCTACGCATACAACAATTCTCCCTCACGACCAATAGACGTTGAATGCACCATCTGCCGTGATCCACGGCTCGAAGATGGTTGAAATCAAACCACAGTGGCAACCAGCACCTCCAGTGGCGGTGAACAAGTTGAAGCTGTGAAAGAACGCGTGATAATAGGAATTCAGCAGCCTGCTCGGCGAGTAGACAAGGTACTTATCAGACCAGAAGATGAAGAAGTTTTTATGAACTGCAAAAGTATCGTACTAGTATAAATTACATGACAAATTTCCTCAGCATGACAAATGCAATTTGTCATGCTGATTTGCCTTGGGAACGAGATTTGTAATGCGTGTCTGCAATTACTACGAGTGCGATACTTTTGCACAGGATAGTTTTTCGGCGGCGACGATTTTTTTGGCGACTCGGAGGATGCAACCGGCGTCTGGGGCGCCGCGGCCGGCGACCAGCACATCCACCATGTATGGATTGCAAAAATGTCTGGGTCTGGAAGATTGCAACTTGCCATGCTTAATCCGAATCATGCAGAAATCTGTGTTGCATGAGTGCCAACCGCTGTCCACTTTCGACCAACTTTGGTGGAGGGAGTTCCTCATACAGGATAGGCATGGCAGAGACCTCAAAGACCACTCTGTCATGCTAGGTCCCGCAACATTCCAGACCTCATACATAGGTCATAGAAAACCTGCATGACAAGTTTCATTCATCCAGACCCAGACATATTTGCAGTTGATACCATGCCGACAGCCACGATTTGCATCTGATGAAGCCGGGGCACCAGAACCACCGCACCGACTCCGCGGCCGCCGCGGCCCTAGAGCACGTGCACCAACACGCGCACCAGCACGGCTACCACCGCATGGGCACGGCCGCGGACCAGCGAAAGTCCGCGCAGGGCGTGGTTGGCGGCGCCGCGGCGTACCGGAAATCGGGCCAGGGGGTAGCAGCAGCGGCTGCGTACCGGAAGTCGGGCCAGGGGGTCGCTGCACAAACCGCGTACCGGAAATCCGGCCAGGGAACAGCAAACGCGCTACCCCACTACCAGCAGTCCGCGTATGGAGGCCACGGGGCTTCGCAGCACGGAAGAAACGCCTCGCAGGCAGGACACCATTATGGACAGCACGGTGGGCAGCACCCTAACCACTCCATTGCACACCACTCGGCGCTATGCATTGCAAGAGTATCGTACTAGTATAAATTGCACCACAGATTTTGACACGAAGAGACGTGGAATTTGTGATGCTGTTTTACCTTAAGGAAGAGATTTGTCATGCATATTTGCAATTAGTACGAGTAGGATACTTTTGCACAGGATAGGCGCATGCCTCCATGCATCGTAGCAAAACCGCCGACACCTCGCACAACATTATGGCGGTCGACTATGCGAAGCACAAGAAAGATATATTAATATCAAATGCAAGTAGGTCTGGGTCTGGAAAGTTGGAACTTGTGATGCTAACTTTGGACTCTAAAAACATCTGCATTGCATGACCAGCAAGAGGAGTCCAGTCTGTGCTACGCGGGGAGGGCGTTCTTTGTCATGCGGAAAAGGCATCAAGAAGCACTCAGAAATATATCTGTGATGCTAGGGAATACAGGACAGACGCCACTGGCCATGTAAAATCTGCATGACAAGTTGCAACCGCTCAGACCCAGACATATTTGCATTTGATAATTAAGGAAACGCACCAACGGTGAAAGGCTCGACGAGGACGACCTCAGCGAGGCGTCCAATAAGGCCTCTCGCAGAACTATGGAAGCGTCAGGTTTGAAATCGTCAAAGTTGAAATAATCTGTAATGCATAAAATGCCTGGCCCGAGGTACGTGTGTTGCAGAGCAGGCAAGTGAGGCCGATTGTAAGCCTGTGTGGGGTTACAGCTCGAGCTGCTAAACTAGCATGAGAGAATCGCTCTTCTTTGCGTAAATAGCATGACAAACTGGATTTAGGGACCACCGAAATTTGTCATGTGCCACTTGGAAACTGGGTCCCAACTGGCATCCATTTTATGCATGACAAATTATTTCAACTTTGTCGATTTCAACTCTGACACATCCATAAGAACCGGGCGCGCCACGAACCGGTCGCAAATCCGGGACAACCTGAGTAAGATCAAGATGGAGAAGAAGACGAAGCTTCGGGCGTGCCTGAACGACGGCACACCCATCGGCTTCCACTTGGGCAGTAAGTCCCTTCCGGAAAACATGCTGCACAAAATCAAGCACGAATGCCCCGAACTCGGGAAGCTTGATTTGGGCGAAATCATCTGCTATTCCACCTGGGACGATGAGTATGCAAAACTTTTCGCCGAGTACTTGGCGAATGAGCAGTGGTTCGAGTCCCTGTGTTGCTGCTGCGCGCCGGCGCTGTGCTGCGGGTGCCGGCAGAAAAATCCCGGCACGGACGGGACGAAGCAAAACGCGGCGTTTATCATCTTGAGCTGGATCGGGTCGATTCTTTTGTTCCCGCTCTATCTATTCGCGTTTGTCATTCCGTACTGCTGTGGGCAGCGCGGGACCGCCGATAAAGACTTTAAGTACCCCGACGGGATCCAGATGTGGGGCGCGAGGCACGTGTACCACATGGTGTTTGAACGCGCCTACGTGCGGCTGAGCTACTACCCCGCGGGGAGTAACCTGGTGTGGAAACAGAAGCGCTTCAACCACGCGGCAAAGAACAAAAGTAGAAAAGCTGGTGGGGATAATACTTCCTCCGATAGCGACACCGACCTCGAGAGGGGACGGCTGTTGGATTTGAGCGACGACGAAGACGACTATTTCCTAGAGGAGGCGGTGTTGCTGGACATCTACTACAAGTTCAGCGAAGAGGTTTCCTTCCTCGGGCCGCTGAAGGACATAGGCGCGGGGTACCACCCGGAGGGGGGCAAGTACCCGGATATAACCGAGTCCGGGATCAATTCCTATATCAAAAAGATCCCGGGCATGGTGGTGGTCCACGGAAAGAATAAAGAACTCGAGTTTCTGTCCGAGTCCGACATACTCTCCGATGCCAGCAAACGGACCGGCGCGGCGACGTCCACGGAGTCAGAAACAGAAACAGAGACCGGCGCGACTAAGAAGCAAAAATCACCTTCCCGCGCCACAGATCAAAAGTCCGACGGCGTGCGGCGCGAGCTGGACAGTCGGGCGACCGGGCATATGGAATTCTCAATTGTTGCATTCTCAACTGTTACATGAATTTGTGATGCAAGAATGGCAAAAGTGAAAGGGAAAAGGTTGCGCCTTTTGCATTACAGGCTTGGAGCAGATTATAATGCTATCTAGCGCGTCGAGAACTTGTGATGCAAAGAAGGCTTGATGGTGTGCAGAGCAATAGCGTTTTTGCATGACAAATCATGCAACAGTTGAGAATGTAACGTTTGAGAACCCCATAGGGCAAGGCAGTCGCGTCGAAGCGGATGTGGACGCTGTTGCCGCGAAAGCGATGAGCAAAAACCGCGCTGAGGGGGAGCGGGAGAACTTGTCGCGATTCGGCGAAGAAACGGGGAGCAGCGCCAGCGAACAGTCGGACACCGGAAATTATGACAAAGGCCCTCGCAGCCAGGGCTCCCGGAAAACCGACCAGATCGGAGCAGCTGCCAAAGAACCAACAAGCAAAGCCTCCACGGTACCGTCGCGCGCGACGCACCGCACTGATTGGAGTAAGCGAAGTTCTGGCGGCTATGAGTGGTCCTCGTTAGAGATGAAAAAGCAGAAGCGAGAAGACAAGGTGTTTTGCGCACAGGTCGGGCCGTTTATGAAGGCGTTAGAGAAACAGCGGAAAAAAGTGATAGACCAGATCCGCGCGACCCGAAAGGCCAAATCTCGGGGCACGCAACTGCGATCGAAGGTGTCGCGGGGCCAGCGGTCAAAACAGACGGGGACGGAGGTTGCTACAGACACCAAGAAGAAGTCGGATGTCATGGTGGTCGTGGAGGTCAGCGGCGAGGGCAAAGTGCAGAAATCGCACGGCGAACCGGGCGCAAAAATTGGGGGACCGAGTAGTGCGAAAACTGCCGGGACCGCCAGCGAGGAATCCGAGCCGGGAAGCAGCGCCTTCGCTTCTGGCGGTTACAAAACCCAAATAGATAACATCGGAGGTGGGGGACATCACGGTCAACATCACAATATTCCACCGGGCGGGACATCTGCAGCTGAGGCAGCGAAGAACGCTGCGGCCACCGGGGAGCAGTACTCAGGCCATTTTGCGCACGAGAAAAAATCCGACGACTTCAGCGCCCAGGGCAACTCCATCGCGGGCAGATCCGACAACTACGACATGCTAAAGAGCGGCAACATGACCTTCGGCAAAGATGCCGCAAGTTCGGCCGCCGCCAGGAGCGCTGCGGCCGCATCGATGAAAAGCAACGCGTCGGCGAAAAGCACTAATTCCACTTCATCTGCGATGAAAAGTACTAGCGCCGCAGGTGCCAGAAAGCCGAGCCCGGCTTCTGGTGTGAAAAAGGTAGCGAATGCGCACGGGTTTGTGAGGCAAGCGTCTAAGGAGGCGGAACTGCACAAGAAAAAGACGAAAGCGGGGAGTGCCGCATCCAAGGCCCCCGCCCACGAGAAATCCGCCGAAACACTAGCGAGGGGTACCCGGCAGACGGACAGTGTGCCCTCCGTGATTGTACAGGTGAGCGAAGACGAGCTAGTCATATGAAATGCAAATAAGTATGTCTGGGTCTGGAAGAATCCAAACTTGTCATGCTAAATCCGAATCATGCAAAAATCTGTATTGCATGACAGAGACCTCACACAGTTTCTGATGCTGGATAGGCATGACAGAGACCTCACACAGTCTCTCATGCTAGGTTCCGCATTCCAGAAGCAGACCTCATAGGTCATGAAAAACTTGTTTTACACTCTTCCAGACCCAGCCATATTTGCAATGCATAAGTCAGCTCGAGTGGCAACTTCGCGATCGATCCGGCGCTGCTTGCCGACGCACAGGAAGCCGCGGAGCAAAAGAAACTAAATCGACAAATGAGTTATGAGAAACAGAAGAAGAAAGCGCTAGGAAAAGCGATGAGCAGATCGCTGTCAAAAGAGAAACTACAGGACCCGCAGTGCTATGGAAGGAGTAATTCAGGAGACGACGACGACTTCCTAACTTTGCAATCGAATGCCAACCCATATTACAACGACGACAAGTAACAAGTATTTCGGATTTCCAATTGAATTAGCATTTTGCATTTTTTTTTCAACAATAGTATACATAGCTACATTTTCATTTTCCACTTTACATTCGCACATTCATACTTTAGATCAACCTTTCAAAACTTGCACCATTTTGCTATTCCCTATACGTCGCATTTTTCAGTTTTTCGCCGACCGGCGTAATTCTTTACACGCACAGAAGAGAAGTTTTTCTCAGTTTCCACTTTTAGGTATTTAAAGACAGCTGTAACCCAGCTGCTTTTTGATTTTGCTCCTCGGTAAAAGCGTTAGTACTAAAGTTGTAACAGAAAAAAGGTGCACTACTTTTACACTGTATTTTTAATCTTGCAGTGAAAGAGTAGCGAACTTAGAGAAACGCAACGACCAGAAATACATCCGAAAGAAAATTTGTCATGCTTTTATCCAGAACTTTTCCCGCATTTGCTTTCCCCCATCATTAGAGAAAACTCTTTTCAATCTCTCATCTGAAAGAAGGAATGAAGCGAGGTGGCTCAACATCATCGTGTGGGGCAACGAAACTCCTACTTTCAGTCGTCCGCAGTAAATTTCTTCATAAAAAATGCAAGCGTAGTTCCACGAAAAGGCAATGCCTACTTTCGTCTGACTATCGTTATTCGGGTTGCGTGTTCTTTTTGGTTGTGATGTGCATCTTTTGTGTCGGATTCGTTGCTTCTTATTGCTCTGATCATGCGGTTTACACAGTCATATTCAGTATCATTTTCAAATCCTGTCGCGTCGTGGTCCCTTCGAAATCCAAAGTGTCGGTCGAACGTAAAAGTCGTCCATAACCTCCTCGAGAAAAGTTACCCTCACCCTTGCCAGGCAAAGATTGACGTCTTGCGCGCCGACGTCAAGGCGCGCTACGATGTACTGCATGCGAAGATAAGTACAGCTCATCAGTGACCAAATTTTCTCATGCGAGGCAGCTTCAACATCGTGTGGATATTGATGCCAGTTTTGCATGACAAACGTATGTAACAGTTGAGACTGTAACGCTTGACAGTTCCATACAGGCAGGTGACAGCACACAGACTCTGCCTGCGATGAATCTCAAAAAATCTGCCTTGGTCACCAAGGACCAGTTTCTCGCCCTGACCGCGTTGGTCGAGTCCAAAGTCTCCCTGGCGGTATGCATTGCAAAAGGAGCATCCTACCGTTTTTAGCAATCACGATTGTCCCGCATGACAGATCTGCCTCTTGTCTACCAAATTTGTTTTCCAAAAAATCGTCGGTACAGCACTTGACTGCATGTTTATTACGCTACACAAAAATAAAAAAAAACTGTTCACTTACGCGTTCGAGATCTGCTTTGTTTTCCGGGGTAGATCATTTTTCGATGAAAAACCGAAGCTCTGAATTCCAAAAATGCAGCTCTGAAATTCCATTGATTGATCCGGGGAGGTAGCGTTCAACAAAATTGATGTTGATGGTCCAAGCTCAACCCCGAGGCCTGTACGAGGCTGAATAACGTTGATCCGCATCTTCAGAAAATCACAATTTTTGTGCGATGCAATCTATGAATTGTGTGCCGCTGATTGAGTGCCCCGCCTATGCTACGTAGTGACTTGTTTTCCTTTTCCAAATCTCCAACGATGCAAATACTACGAGTGCGATATTTTTGCGCAGGATATCCAGCTACTTCTGAAGATCGGTCCTATGGTGTGATGAATCGTGTCAGAGATCGATTATTTTGAACCACCTCGATTCATCCAGCAGGCCCCTGATTAATACCATCCAACTCCAACCGATTGCGATTTTTGCTCCTCTTATCGCATCGTAGTTTAAGAAGACTTTCAGGAAAGACGAACAAGCGTTGCCCTGATCCAAGACTTTGATAGGATAAGAAGGTTGTTTGCAACATCGGTATTATTATCTACGACAGTGCCTGTCGCTTGTAAGTGTTGTAGCACGTCCGCACAGCACAAGAACTTTGCCACATTTTTGAAATAACAAGCAAGACACTGCGTCAGTCTATAGAATTTTTGCACGAAGGAATTAGTCCCTGGGAAAGCAAAATGATGAGGTCGTCTCTTCGTACCATCATGGCGCTTTCTGTCGCCTTCACTTTTGCTACTATCAACATGCTCGACTCTGTGAACGGCCGGCGAATGAGAGGCGCAGAAAGACCTCCTCCATCCGGCTGGGGCATGCGCCGGCGTGTTAATGCTAGTACACGGGCATCAAGTTCAAGCCGCGAAGGGCCAACGGCGTCGACGATACCGACGGGCGTGCGGCGAATGCCTGTTGCTGCTCGAGGAGAAGAGACGGACGCGGTGAACACGGGCGTGCGAATGCCTGTTGCTGCTCGAGGAGAAGAGACGGGCGCGGTGAACACGGGCGTGCGCATGCTTGTTGCTGCTCGAGGAGAAGAGACGGACGCGGTGAACACGGGCGTGCGAATGCATGTTGATGCTCGAGGAGAAGAGACGGGCGCGGTGAACACGGGCGTGCGCATGCATGTTAATGCTCGAGGAGAAGAGACGGGCGCGGTGAACACGGGCGTGCGCATGCATGTTAATGCTCGAGGAGAAGAGACGGGCGCGGTGAACACGGGCGTGCGCATGCATGTTAATGCTCGAGGAGAAGAGACGCAGACGGGCGCGGTGAACACGGGCGTGCGAATGCTTGTTGATTCTAGGGAAGGGCCATCCAGCCACGCAAGGCCAGCGGCGTCGACGATGCAGACGGGCGGCCTGGGAATGCTGGAGGAGGCGGAGACGGGCGCGGTGGAGACGGGCACGACGCGCCCGCGAAGGAGTGCTGGTGCTAGCTCCGTCCTGCGAAGAATCTCGTCTCCTGTCTCTTCGCCGAGACAGCAGGAAACTACTGAGACGGGCGAGGCGGAGCCGCGAATGGCATTCGCGGCTCCGTCTCTCCCGTCAGGCATTATGCCTGATGGTGCTAGCCACGGCCGGCGAATCTCTCCTGTCCCTCCAACGACCAGGCGTGCGACCCAAGGCAGGCGAATGCATGTTGATGCTAGAGCATACCCATCAGCGAGACAGGAGCCAGGTACCTGCGTGGGGCGCGTTAAAAACCTTTTTCGCAGGATGTGGACATCATCAGCTCCAGCTTCCGCTTCTTCGCAGGCTTGTGGTCCCGCACTGAGTGGACCACAAGCCGCTGCTGCGGCAGCAGACGCCCAACGTAGTGCCCCCCCTCGTGGCCAACCTCGCGACGGGCAGAGGATGAACCCCCCGGCAGCTGCTCAAGACCAGCGGCATGGATCTTCATCGTCCGATGTTGACCAGAACGGATACAGCCAAGATTTCGTCCGAATGCAACTGGAGGCATGGTCAGGATGTAGTGCAGGCGCTGGAGGTTGTCCATGGCTCTTCTAGCTTTAGCTTCACCGCATTTTTCACCACGATTTATTTCTCAGCCTTGTGTTGAAAGCAGGTGCAGGACGCTATGAATAGTATATTCTTTCACTATTCTCAGCATTATATATTACATATGTATAATGGAACAAGATCATCTACGAAACTTTCGAGTAAGGAACGTCTGACCTAGGCACGCTCAAACATTCGCGCCTTGCGCTATTTGTGCGGTGCGTGTTCCGCTTGCGTCCAACACTGATAATTTTTTGTCCCACCTACCCACACCTCACAACTATGCTCAATCGTGCTGACGCATTGGCGGAGCTGGTTTGGTTTTTGGCAGAAGAAATATAGTGAGATAGTACTTTAATTTTGATTTTCGCACCACGTATGTATGATTTGGTTCTGTTTTGGTTTTCCAGATGCTGCGAAGTTTTGTATAGCATGTGATAAATCTTTCATTATGGTTCGACTACAGAAACGGTTGAACTGCAACTGCGTAGTTCATATTAAAACGGTTTGGATCTTGAGTGATTTTTCTGTTGTTGACCTCTAATTCCGTCGCCGTGAATTCAGCACTGAAATGACTGTTGTATAATTGCTACATTTTGAAACAATCAACTTTTTTGATTTAACCAAAAGCTGCACGAGGGCGCACGAAGCACGCACGTACATCAGAATGGAAACTACAACCGTAATAACATCGAGAAGTGCAAGTGGAGAAGTGCTATGCAAAATTCTACTTGTCTCTCGAAACCCCAGCCCCGCTCCGAGTCAAAACGACAAGGGTGCTCGATTAGAAATACAGATGATGAACTACACCAGCCCCAAACTACCCAACGGAAGGTTTTCGCGCCGACCCCTTGACATCATGATTTTGCGTTTGCCAAAGATGCAGTTGCAGATCCAATGAATGGAAGTAGAGGCGAAGTGGCAATGCCGCTTCGAGTTCCTCGCAACGGATCTGCACAGGCAACAGAAGACGTAGGCGATAGTACAGATGACGAGCAGCACTGAGCCCATGTTGTTGGGAAATCAGTGCCGTGCCAAAGACCGCGTCTTACATAGACATATTTTGTACAATATTGCTCCTGCAAAGAGGCAGCAGCATCCGCTAGAGTGAAGGATGCACAATGAACGCGGTGCGAGGCTTGTAGCCCGCCGCCGCCATTGAAAGACCGCGGTAAAATCGATCAGCACGACGCTAGTAGCGAGGACGCATTGACGCTGCCATCAGGAACATTGGAAATTATAGAGCCCGCCGGTGCGCTTTAAGTCGCCACCCCAGCCCTGGGCGGCCCGGGCACGTCCAGGATGGATCCCTGTTCACCTCTTGTGTTGTTTGTCTGAATCACGAACACAGAGTGTTGCTTCAAAGTCTTGCTCGTCCGTACATCGTTGCATGGATCGTTTTCCTGGGGACACCAGGATCAAACTCAATTCACCATCAGAAGTGTGTTACAGCGAGGGTGGGGTGTACCCAAGCAATCAAGCAAGTTGTCGCATGGATCCTGTATATATGTCTGTATGTATTTTCAAGCTCGGGGCATAGTTTGGTTGATCTTGATTCGAGAACATGAGGCAGAGTGAAGCGAGGGTGTGTGTGGTTTGCATCGTGAAGCACGTGATCATTATCGTTGTCGGGGGTGGCTTGAAGATGTAGGTCGTGTTCCCTTCGTACTATCAAATTTTCAGTCGTGCGCTTTCGTCTTCCTCTATATTTCGCTCCAGTGTAGTGCAAATTTCTATTTGCACAAGGCAAGGAATTTCTGTTCCTTGTTGCAACACCTACCAGTTTGGCTTGTTGCAACCAGGAAGTGCCTCCAAACAAGTAGAAGGAAGATCAACCTTAAACGAGGAGGGAGCATGTGCATGGCCCTCTGAAGTAGAAAACTGTGTCCCCCGCGACAGGGGGAAATAAAATGTTGACAACCGACACTGAATTCTTCCCCTGTGATTTTTGCAAGTCACGAGCAATTCAATTCTTGTCAGACCAAAAAAATGAGTCTCCATAATCTTCTCGACAAAAATTACCCGCCGCGGAACGGCGGCGGGGTGTTGAGCGGCCACAATTCTTCGTCCACGTCCCTACTTCCCCCCACAACTACCCAACAACCAACAACGCAGCTTACCACCTACGCCGACTATGCTCGCCGGCTGAAGTACTCCCTGCCGAAGACTACGGATGAGGAGCTTCTGGAGCTCGTTTTCAAGAAAACCTTCGACCTCTTGTCCAAAGAACAGAAGAAGCTGCAAGATGCCGAGCAGAAAAATGCTCTGCTCACGAAGCAGAAAGCCGAATCGCAGAAAGCGTACTTGCAGGAGGTCTCAATGCTGCGCGATCAAGCGAGGCCGGGCCGGACCAGCGTGGGAACTGCAAGTGGCGCAGCGGAGGCGCAGCAGATTCATCATGTTGTTGGCAGCGACGGCGTTGTACCGGCGATCGCTCCGAACACAATGTTTTACGAACCGCTAAGGTGGAGGACTGATTTTTTTGGTTCTCATGGATTAGAAGTTGCAGCTTCCGTTGCTTTTAAAGTGTTTTCGCCATGGATGTTGCATCTGCATGTGCATTCTTGACAAAAATAAATGCGTACAATCTACACGACGCTCATATGTAGTGAGGTCACGAACGTTCTATCCTAGCGATCTTTTTGCCATGCATCACGCAAAACGACCGGCAGTTTTCAAGTGGCCGGAGGTGTTTTTGAGCATAAAAAATTTCCAATTATCAAGCGGCCGGGGCTTTGCCATCAAACAAGCCCGGTCGAAAACTATCGATTCCCGCTTGATAAAACGACGCAGGGGAGCCGGCAAAAGGGGCGCCCTTCTGAGGCGCCCACCGCCTTAGTTTCTGGCGGTTTGGGGCGCCCAAAAAGGGGCGCCCAAAAAGTAGCACTCCGAAAAAAACAGCGAATCCGCATGGTATGGGCCTCATTTTGGCCCACATTCGGGCCCCGTAAAAAACGCCTTCAAGATCCGCCATTTCAGAGGCGGACTTAAGGCCAGAAGATGCGGCGTTTTGACAAAAAAAAACAAAAAAAACAAAGCCCGCCAAAAGCAAAAAGCCAATCCGCATGCTATGGGCCCGATTTGGGGCTCCCAAGGGGCCGCCCCTGGCTCGGGCCCTGGCGGGGCCATAGCATGCGGGGAAGGTTTTTCGATTCGAAACCAAATGGAGGCCAGCTCTAGCTCGATACTTTTAGCGACCGCCGTGCCGTCGTGCATAACATTACTCACGATGGCATGGCGGGCAGAGAAGTTGCGTCTTTTTTTGGCGTGAAGACAAAAAGACCGCCATGACCTCACTACCTCCGCGGACGCGGCTATTATTGGTACTTCTACGTCGTATGCAACACAAATACACAGGTTTCTCGACGACCAGACGCGTGAATATCAACTGTAAAAATGTCTGGGTCTGGAAGATTCCAACTTGTCATGCTGATTTTGGATTCTAAAAAAATCTGTATTGCATGAGCAGCAAAGAGACTCCGAGTTTTGCTACACGGAAAGAGCATTTGCCATGCGGTATAGGCATCAGGAAGCCCTCACAAGATCTGTGACGCTAGGGCATGCATCACAGACATCAGGAGTCATGCAAAATGCGCATGACAAACCTGGCAATCTTCCAGACCCAGACATTTTTGCAATCCATAGTGAATTAGTCGAGCTGATTGTCCAGGAGCAGTTAAAAGTTGCGAAAAACTATGAACTGCAAAAGTAAAACGTACTAGTTCTAGTTCAAATTGCATTACAAATTTTGGCAAGAAGAACAATGGAATTTGTAATGCTGTTTTACCATACAGGAGGGAGATTTGTCATGCATATTTGCAATTAGTACGATTGCGATACTTTTGCACAGCATAAAAACGAAGAGGATTTCCAGCAGGAACGGGAAATCCGCGCGGAAAAATATTCTGAGTAAAAACATCCCCACCCCAGACTTATCATCATGCAAATCTGCATGCCAAAAAAGTTTCTCATGCGAAGCCCCATGAGGAGCTTTTTCTAGTCGTGTTTTGGGATTTGTCATCCTAGAAATAGCATGATACGGTAGATCTGTGATGCTGCCCAACTGGCTAAGCAGGGTTACACTACGAGGACGAACTGGCCATGCGAAATAACCAAAGTTTGCTGATTTGTCTAGCAGATTTCCCATGTTGACTCTGGTATGGGGACGCTTTTACTCAGGATAAAAAAATCGAAGAATTCAAACAGTTGGAGAAAGACCAAGAGTACAGCCAGCTGCAAGCGGAAGCGGAGTCCGCGAAATTGTTCCAGAAAAAGTGCAACGAGCTGGAACTCGAACTAGATAGCGAGAAGCAGCGGGCGAAGAATGTCATGAACCGGCTGCATATGCATTGCAAATATGTCTGGGGGTCTGGAAACTTGTGATGCAATTCAGTGAACAATAACCGCTCTGTAATGCGCCGCCAAGCATGGCAAGTTTTTTCGTGCTTCTGTACTGCGTATTTTGCATGAGCAACTGCGCTTTTGCACGACAGGCAAGAGGACCTCTTGGTGGCCACGCAATACAGAGTGCAGAATCATGCAAGACTAGCATGACAAGTCTCGCAATCTTCCAGACCCAGACATATTTGCTGCATTTGATACTGCAAAAGCGGAATGAACAGCTGGAGGCGGAAATTTTATTGAAGCTATCAACTGCAAAAATCCCTGGATGTCTGGAAGAGTGTAGACTTGTCATGCAGATTTTCCATGACCCATGAGGTCTGAGATGCGGGACTTAGCATGACACACTCTGCGAGGTCTCTGCCGTGCCTATTCTACATGAGAAACTCCGTTCCAACTTGGTCAAAAGTGGACAGCTTTTGGCACTCATGCAACACAGATTTTTGCATGCTTCAGATTTACCATGACAAGTTGCAATCTTCCAGAGCCAGACATTTTTGCAATTCATAGAAGCAGGAGGAGAACAAAACTTCCGTGACGAACAGCAGGAATTTGTTAGCGGAGATCCAGAAATTCAAGGAACAGTTGATAGATGTGGAAAAGGAAAAACAGAAACTAGAGAAAGAGCTCGAATCAATTCAGCAAACAACTGCGAAGCAAGCGGAAAAAGCAAAACAACAGGAAAAACTGATTGATACTTTGAACTACGAAAAGAAGAAGATTGTCGACGATTACGAGAAGGAGCAGGTGCAACTCCGGTCCGCAAACGTCGACCTCGCGGGGCAGCTTGAACAGAAAGACGAGTTGATCAACGACTTGGACCAGAAATCGAAGTCCCTAGACTTGTGCGTGCAGGACTTCCTCGTGAAGTTCAGCAAGGTCGAAGAGGATAGAAGAACAGAGCAAAACAACTTTGAAGAAACAATCAAAGCCTTGAAGGAAAATCTAGCAAAAACGAGTGAAGCGTTTGAGCAGAAATGCTTGGAGGCGGAAAGGTTCCGGTTCGATTTGGAAAAGCAGTCGGAATTAGTGGAGAATCAAGTTTTGGAGTTGCAGGATTTACAACGAGATTTCGACTCGATGAGTAAAACGCTGAAGGAAAAAAGTGAATTGCTCGAGAAGTTAGAAGACTCTTTTTCCACTGAGAAATCTCAAACCACCGAACTCCGGCAGCACTACCGGGAGCAAGTCACTGAGACGAATAGTCTGAGGGACGAATTGGCGACAGTGAAAAAAGATTCCGAAAAAGCGGATTTGAAAAACAAGGAATTAGAAACGGAAAATAAGTTGTTTGAAGAGCAAAAGACACTTGCGGAATTCCGGTACACAGAACAAAGCGAGGAATTCGAGAAGGCAAAAACGAAAATTACTGAGTTGGAAAAGGACTTCAAGGAATTGGAAGAGCACAAGCTGCAGATGGAGCGCGAATCTGCGGTATCAAATGCAAAAATGTCTGGGTCTGGAAGGTGGTAACTTGTGATGCTGTCTTTGGATTCCAAAAAAATCTGTATTGCATGACTAGCAATGGGAGTCCAGTTTGTGCTACACGGGCGGGTCATTTCTCGTGCGGAATACGCATCAGGAAGCCTTCTAAAAATCTGGGATGCTAGGGCATGCATTACAGGCGTCATTGGTCATGCAAAATATGCATGACAAACCTGGGAATCTTCCAGACCCAGACAGTTTTGCATTTGATATGCGGAGATCCAAAATGAATTGAAGGATAAATGTGGTCTATTGGAGGACGAGAAGCAAGTTTTGGAAGAGGAAAATACGAATTTGGAAAACCGGGTGATCATCCTCGAAAACAACGTGGGAAATTTGAAGAACATTGTGCAGCTGAACAACGAATTCTACGCGAAATTCGGAAAGGAGACCATGCGGAGTAACGAAGAGCAAGATCATGGCGAAAATCAAAATTCCGATACGGAGGAAGAAGATGGCAACAGCTCCGATTATGAGTACAGTGAATCTGGAGTGCTGTCAAATGCGCAACTTTCTAACGCGAATTCCGCAACTGGGAAGAGGATGAAGGAAGAAATCGCGACGGAAATCGAGAGAAGCTTGGTGACGGAAAGCAGCCCGCCCTTGTTTCCGAAGAAAAGTAGAAGATTGAAAAATAAATCGTCGAAGAAAAGGAAGATCGAAAAACTGCAGTATGAAAGCCAACAAGAAGGGTCGTTTATTCCCGGTCAGGAAACAAGCGCTGCTGGGACGAGCAACGCACTTGCTGCGCACTTTGAAGATCCGAGGAACCAGGAGGATTTTCTCGCCGACGGGCCTTGGGACTTCGAGGAGAGTTGCGATGGCAGTTATGCATTGCAAATATATCCAGCTCTAGAAGAATGCAAACTTGTGATGCGCATTTCACAACACATAAAAATCTCTCATGCGTAGGCAGCAAAAGCTGCCCACTTTCTGTCACCAAAATGAGAAATTGGTCATGCGGATTCGGCATTGCGGAAGCTTCTCGAAACCTGTGATTCTAAAGCTTCCATGCCAGACCTTCTGTGTCATGCAAAAGCAGCATGACTCTTCCAGACCCAGACATATTTGCATTTGATAGCAGTCTGGTGGTCACGAGACGGAAGTTTTTCGAGATCACAGCGAGAAGCAGCAACGCCTTGCGGCGTCCCGGAAGTGGTGGTGCTGAGGAGCAGAACGAGAATCACAGCCATGGTGTTCCTTATGGTAATGAGAATGTTGACAAAGATGACCAGGACGGCAGCGTATAACCCGCTCAGGTGTTACAATCTCAAACGTTACAATATAATTTGGAATTTGTGTTGCGAAATCCGCAACATCTGGCCTACTCCCAAAGGAGCGCGCATGACAAGTTTCGGAGCCCCAAACCCCATGAGATTCTGACGAAATTTGTATTGCGAAAAGCCCAAGTCTCTGTATGGTACTCATGCTGTTCATGCAAAACAAATTCCAGATTCTATTGTAACGTTTGAGATTGTAACATCTGAGCAAGCCATACAGTGCGGACATGTCTTCTAGTGTCGCCGCCCACGACATCAACGACAACGATCAAGACTATCATATGTAAAAATGTCTGGCGGGTCTGGAAGAATGAAACTTGTGATGCTGAATTTGGATTCCAAAAAAATCTGTATTGCATGAGCAGCAAAGGGAGCGTAATGCTTGCTACGCGGGGAGGCCATTGGTCATGCGGAATAGGCATCAAGAAGCCCTCAGAAAATCTCTGATGCTAGGGCATGCATCACAGACATCATGGCTCACGCAAAACGTGCATGACAAGTCTCAGAACCTTCCAGACCCAGATATTTTTACATTTGATAAAGACCAACATTCCGCTATGTCGAAGAACAGCACGAGATATAATAACAACTACTACAACCCGGCGTCGCGGCGGAATTCCAAAACGGAGAATTTTTTCCCGAACCGAACCAATTTCTCCTCCGGGACTGGTGCGGGAGGCGCGGGCGGGAGCATCAATAACGTTGCGTTTTTTCCCGCCCAAGCGAACATAACCAACACCTCCTCGAAAATGTTCCGCGGGACGGGGATGTCGTCTCAGCACAACCTATCAAATGTAAAAATGTCTGGGTCTGGGAGATTGCAAGATTTGTCATGCATATTTTGCATGATCCATAATGCCCGTAATGCATGGCCTAGCATCACAGATTTTTAGAGCGCTTCCTTATGCCTATTCCGCATGACAAATGCCATCTCCGCGTAGCAAAAAAAGCGCTCCCTTTGCCGCTCATGCAATACAGATTTTTTTGGAAACCAAATGCAGCATCACAAGTTGCATTTTTCCAGACCCAGACATTTTTACATTTGATACAACCGGACCACCTACCAAAGGACGAACCAAAGCAACATGATGAACCAAAGCTATCCTTTGCAAAAGTATCGTACTCGGTGCATATGCATTTATGCATTACAAATCTCTTTCTCAAAGTAAAAAATCAGCATTACAGGGTGCTGAGGGAATTTGTCATGCAATTTATACTAGTACGATAGCGAAACTTTTGCATTGCATAAAAGCAGTCGGTTCACCATGACCAGGTTCTGGGACGAGCGCCAGTCGGTCTTCACGGAAAGTCAGGACGCTCTGCGGATTTTGGACGAGAGGTTGACGCAAAATCTGCTCTGGAAGAAGTTTTCGCGGACCGCAGTCGCAGAGAAGAACAACACCGCGGTTGGGTTTGTTCAACAGAATAAAAGCAGCAAAAATTTCCCACCTGGGAAAAAACGGATGGCGCAATCTTTGACGACATGGACCGCTTTAACAGCGGAAAAGGAGAAATTAGCTATGGGAACAACAAGCGACCAAGAAAACAAAAAGCGCGACGCGCATTCCGCCGGTTTTCATCGGGCAATTGACGCGGCGAAGACCAGCAGCGCGTCAAGTTGTTCGAAGTCTGCTTCGTCCGAGGAGGGGGAGATGTTGAACAATGATCTTATCGCGTTGCCGCAGTCTAGTTCCAGTTCGGAGCGCGGGGATTTGGTCGATGAAGATGACGTGAGCAACTATAATGATGTGGAGCATAATCATCTTCTCGATGGCAGTGTCGGTGGTCCGCAAGATCATCGTCATGGCGAAAACACGGAAAATGAGGAAGAGCAAAGTTCATCTTGTTTCTACGACACGACACAACAGGACAATAGTAAAACGCCGCACGGAACCTTCTTCGGAGTCACGATGTCATCATCAGCCTCTGGCAGTGTCGGCGACGGGAGAACAGGAGTAAGAAGCAACAGAAATAAATCTTCCCGGCGGAATAAAATGCATGGGCTCCGGAAAAACCGAACCATCTACAACCGCCATCCGCGGAACCGCTCCGCTGGCCTCTATCCTGAGTAAAAACGTACCCACCCCATAGTCAAGATGGGGATCTCGCAACACAAATCGAGAAGTTTTGGGAGTCAAGCATGACAAGTTCCTCGCTGTAGTGTAGTGCAGTTTAGTAAGTGCAGCCGCAACACAAATCGATCCATCTAGTCATCCTGTTTACAGCATAACAAAGTCCAAAATACGTTTGGAAATGCCTCTCATGGGGATGCGCATTACAAATCTTCCGGTAACTGCAAATCTGCATGACAAGTATGGGGTGGGGACGTTTCTACTCAGCATAGCCTTCGGGACGACATTAAAGCGGCCTGGGGCGAGCACGCGGAGGATTTACTGCATAAAACGAATGAGTTTTTGGAACAGACACGGGCGAGCAATGCGAGCAGTCGGAGAAGGAGCGCGTCGAATGCGAAGGGTAATTTCTGGAGTCGAGGAAGAAAGCCCGGCGTTGAAGACGCTGACGAAATAAATGATCCTGACGCGAAAAAATCCGAGATCAAGCGCACCGTCGATTCCTACGGACTTGTTATTACCCGCGCGCATCCACTGCTTCACGCGGCAACGGACTTGAAAAATGCGCGCCTTCTGCGGAAACTCGGGTACAGCGAGCACGAGAAACACCAACTGATTCTACGGAAATTACACAATTTTGACGGCCAAGGGACCCACACCGCGGCGTTTGGACAGGAAGAGAACAGTATGGATTTGGACCACGAAGGCCATCTACGACGGGACCACGCCGATGATTCGTCAAAACTCTCTTCCACGGCCAGTTCTCTCGGCGGCGACCCGAGACTTTTTTCCCGTATGGCGGAAAGGAACAGAAAGCACCAGTCGTGGATCCCGGACACTAGTCTGCAGGAAGGGGAAGAAGGGTTTGTGCCGCAGTGGCAGCGCGCGACGTTTCCGCCGTCAAGCACGAGGGTAAGGCAGGAGTTGGAGAGAAAACATTTGGAAAGAGCAAGGAGGCACGCGGTGAAGAAGCGAGGAACAGGGCCAGGGCCGGGTCTAGGAGATCCAGGTACTAACAACCAGCAGAGCAGCAGTTCTTGGCGGACCAATAACAGTTCTATGATGAATGGAAACAACGACAACCGAGCGCTGGAGGAAAACCGAACCAACAAATCCTGGAACACAACCGCTCGGGAGTCGGGAGGTGATGGTGCAGTTGCAGGTAACCACGAAAATAACACGAATACTAACGCTGCAACGATGGACCGTTCGAAAGCGAAGTGGACCTGGACGGGGGTGCAAGCGACGTTTGGATCCAAGGAACCTTTGTCGGAAACCCTCCGGAAGGAGAGGCGGGAAAGGCAGAAAAATCTGGTTTCTCTCCTTGGAGAAATCCTGAACGTCGGCGTAACTAACGGTAGTACCGCGACTGCTACGAATGATGAAAATCTTCAAAATACCGCGGCGAACAAGAGCTTGAATAACACGGCGACAACTCTAAACTTCCATCCCACACAACAACCACCTGCAGCATCCTCCTCCTCCGCCGCGGCCAATGAGAATAACAACGACACTGCGACGAGTAATGTGAAAGACAGGGTCGTCGAGCCGTGGGTGCGCGACTTGTTTCTCAAACTCCGTCAAGCGTTACTTGATTCCCAGGTTGACATTGTCGACTTGGAGGCGCATAAGGATGCGGTGTCCTCCATGTTGGAAAACCAGGAGAAGCACAGTAAAGACCTCAGGATCCAGCTCGCGAGGCACCGGAAGATGTACGAAACAACCGTGTCCTCCTCCGGATTCAGAATGTCAAAAGGAGATCAGTTTTGGACGCCGGCGAGCGGGTCGAACGCTGGGGGAAATTTGATGAACAACGGTGGTTATGGATTGCAAAGGCATGATCGTGCTACTAGCAAGTGAATGACAAATTTTATCACAAGTAGAGCATTTCGGATTTCTAATGCTGAGTTGCCGAAGAGCTGAGACTTCTCATGCAGTGTTGCAATTACTACGAGGGCGCTCCTGCATTTGCAATGCATAGTCAGTTGCCAGCGACGATTCAGGAACCAACTAGCCACACGAACACTGTCACGCGGGGCCTGAACCTCGGGCGGTCGAATATGGATTGTAAAAATGTCTGGGTCTGGAAGAATGCAACTTGTCATGCTGATTTTGGATTATAAAAAAAATCTGTATTGCATGAGCAGCAAAGAGAGTCTAAGTTTTGCTACACGCAGAGAGCATTTGTCATGCGGTATAGGCATCAGGAAGCCCTCACAAAATCTGTGATGCTAGGGCACGCATCACAGACATCAGGAGTCATGCAAAATGTGCATGACAAAGCTGGCAATCTTCCAGACCCAGATATTTTTACATTTGATATCGAACATGTGGTCGCAATTGACGGACGACATGCAGGAGCAGCTGCATGCAACGGAAACGCAGCTGCGGAATACATTTTCGAAACTAGATGTGGAAACGCAACAGAAGTTGGAGGCGCAGTCGTTGGTAACGGCTTTGGAAGGCGAAATCAGACAGCTGGAAGACACGTTCAGACAGACACAACAGGTACAGATTTCGCTGCTGTTTGTGAAGGATCTGTATGAGAAATATGCTGTGCGCGAGCGCCTGCCTAAAGAGTGGTTTACAACTACATAAAGACGATGCTTTTGTCAAACAAATTCTTTCACTTTCAGGGCGCCACCGTTCCGCGCTGGGACGGTTCTGACCCGGAGCTGATGCGGGGCTACAACAGCGATGGCTCCGAGCCCGACGATAACCGCGACGGGGAAGACGATAACAGCGCCCAGCAACGTCTCAAGTATGATTCCCAAAACCCCAGCCGTCCACAATCCAGCAACCGATCAGGTTCAGGAGCGAATGAAAATGGTCAACATAATAAAGACCGGAAAAACGATGATCAATCCGCGTCGGAGACAAGTGGGGATATCAAGACTCTCGACCCGGATCAATTGGATCACGAGTCGCAATTGAAAGCGATTTTGGACACGACGATCGAAAATCTCAGCACGGACTACGCGAAGGAATCCCGGAAGGAATTGCTCCAGAGGCTGCAGGAGTTGGAAAGGGAGAAGGAAGAAGCTAGTAGGACGATCTCGCGGTTACGCTTGATCATCAACGAGATGTCGATGCGGCTAGTGAGGCTGAAAGAGAACATGGAATCCAGCAACGGGATGGAAAATAAGCAAACATCGAACTACGAGGAAATGTTTCGGCAGTCTGGCCTTGGGGATTTTCTCTCCCGCGACCCGGGAAATGTCTTCAACCGGCTGTACCAGGACGCGGTGCGGCGGATAAGGAAAATAGAAGACATACAGAATCAAAAGCAGCAATTGGAGCAAACGAGTGTTTTACGCGTGTTTTTCGCCCCCGGGGAAGAGAACGACAACGCGGAGATTTTTCAGCGGGCGCAAATGATCAATAGTATGGCGAATGGTGGTGGAAATGCGGGGGCTGCTGGCGGCGTGCAGGTTTCCGGGGGGCAGCAAGGCAACGCAGCGGGAATCAATGGTCTGGCGTTGGATCTCTTTCAGCCTGTTGTTGATAAGAGCAGGAAATCCTCTCTGAAGAGCGGGCTTGGGGGTGGTTCTTTGGGGAATAAAAACGAGTTGCTCTACGGACAGAATTCTCTGACCAACACGAATTTGGACACGACCTGGGACGAAGCTGGTTGCACAACGACAGTGACAACATTGAGCGGGTCACTTATCACCTGTAAAAATATCTGGGTCTGGAAGGGTGTAAGCTTGTCATGCAGTCTTTCCATGACTCATGAGGTCCGGAATGCGGGACTTCGCATGACAGACTCTGTGAGGCCTATGCCATGCCTATCCTGCATGAGAAACTTCCTCCCAACATGGTCGAAAGTGGACAGCTTTTGGGAATTATGCAACACAGATTTTTGCATGATTGAGATTTAGCATGACAAGTTGGAATCTTCCAGACCCAGACATTTTTGCATTTGATACTACTGCAGGAACAACCAAACCAGTTTCCACAACATCAGCGCGCCGGCCATCAGGGCGGGCGGAGGAACAACGACAACCCGGAAGAAGATGACCAAGAATCCTTCAGCTTTTACAATCCAAACAACGACACTGCGCACCAGCAGTTGGCACTTTTGGATGAGGAAAACGTCTCTTCCGGTGTCGTGCAAAAGCAGCGGCGAATGCGCAGCGGGGTCGTGGATTTGTCCGGTTCCATGGTGATCGACCATGACCAGCAGTCGGTCTCTGGGACGTCGTCACGTGGTGGGGAAGGGGATGACCACGATGGTGGGATGAACTCTTCACACGAATACACCGAGAACGAAGACCAACATTCTCAGCAGCGAGGCGAAAATGGTGAACAGGCGGAAGGTGGCTCATCGTGCGCAACGTTTCTCACCGAAGACGCTGCCGCAGCTGCTGTTTCTGGCGATCAGGAATATGATGATGGCAGCTACAGCGATCAGAACCTCCAAGTTGTGCACGGGCGGGAACTAGTTCTTGCCGAAACTTCGCTCTACACGAACGCGTCACGGTCGCGAGAAGGGTCGGCTCAGGATGAACAAGATCAGCATGGAATAAATGCAAGTCCTCCAATTGTGCACCGAATACCTTCGCTAACCAGTCCGAACAAGCAGCCACCGATCATGATGCAGTCTTATGCGCCGGCGAATAAGTGGTCGACAAGAGGAGGAGCTCTACCCGCACAGGCACCTGGATTACAGCAGCATCATCTAGGAGCAGCTGGTGGACCAAACGCAGGGAAATACAAGATCACCCTGTCTCCACTCGAGGCGTCTCCGGGGAAGCGCCTCCCATCGCAGCAGTTCTTCGTGGTGCAGGAGCAGCCTGGGCACGACTACCACACGTCCGAGATAGGGGGACCTGGTGGCTCAGCATCGTCGAATCCCATGGACGATTTTTCCTCCCTGAGTCCATCGAAGCGCCAGCTGTCCCCGTTGAAAGTCAGTCCTTCCAAGATGAACAAAATGAAGGGAGATCATGACGGCGCAGTTGGTGGCGGAAACACCCCCTGGAGCAGCAGCAAGTTTGTTTCCCCGTTGACAGCAGCTTCTGGGCAAGCGAGCGGTCTCTTGGGAAAATCGCCGTCCAAGGTACCGCTTTTCTTGTCCCCGTTGTCCCCCATTGTAGACATGCACACTGCGAAGAATCACCATATGGATTGCAAAAATGTCTGGGTCTGGAAGATTGCAACTTGTCATGCTGTCTTTGGATTCCAAAAAAATCTGTATTGCGTGACCAGCAACAGGAGTCCGCCAGTTTGTGTTACGCGGAGAGGGAATTTCTCATGCCGAATAGGCATCAGGAAGCCCTCTAAAAATCTGTGATGCTAGATCATGCATTACCTGTATCATGGATCATACAAAATATGCATCACAAGCCCCGGAATCTTCAAGACCCAGACACTTTTGCAATCCATACACCAGTTTACCGGCGGATTCGCAATGAACAGGAAGAGCCCGGTGAAGAATGGGTGGAAATAGCGGAGGGACGCGCGGAAAATATCGAATGGATCATTGAAAGATTAAGAGTGCATTACTACACTAGCAGTAACGTCGTGAAAACGAACAGCGAGGCAGTAACTTAAGTTTCGAAATGTCACAATCACAAAGACAAAGTTATTTTTAGCAATCACAACTTTACCGTAAAAGTAGAATGAAAATTGTCAATAAAGCAGAAAGCGATTGTATACAACCGTGTCGCTAGGCTCGCGAAATGTATGCTACTCGTTGTAAAGGATAATCCTGTAGAATCGTTCCAAAATGTACAAGAATTGAAGCTTGCGAGTGTTTTGCTTCACATCATGTACAAAGCTGACCAATGATTGTCGGAAACCTCCATTGTTTCCTGTTTCGATCACTGTTGCGATTTATAAATTTGTGCGTGGATTCCTGTACTCATTGAATGTAGCGCGGCTTGGCCGCTGTTTACCAGTGCCTTTCTCGTTGTAGGCAACTAACTCAGTCCTCTTTGCGTGCTGTTGTGTTCTCCATTCCAGGATTGCGAACCAAGGATCAGCGGTTTGGTGAGACGATGAAGGTCTGGTTCCATTTGTACCTTTTATGATGGATGCAAGTCAACAGTTTGTGTCTCATGTAGTGGTGGAGGACTTGTCAAAGCCAATACAGATCTCCGAGCTCTTTGTTGCTCCAAACTGGCATCGAGATCTCGTGGCGTTAGGAGGAAGCGAAATACGATGAAGGCTCTCTCCATCGGGGGTTGCAGATCACAACAGATATGTGCTGTGTGGCGGTGGTTGTGACTTCTACTGAGAAGGCTCCTAGCTTTATTTTTCAGCCATTTTTATGTCGGATTGTCAGTAGTTCTAGTTGCACTACTGAGTTCAACGTCCTTCCCCATGATCCTGCCGTGCATTTTTGATCCGAGGACATGAGGCTACTCGTGAGCTTGGTGATCAAATCGTATTTTTTAGCACGTGCACGTGACGACATTGTACGCAAAGTAGAGAACCTGGTGCCGAAACTGTGGTTGGAAACGTTGACGAAGACATTATTTCCATGCCGAGCTCTACCGATCGATCCGATTTTTCTATTTTGAAGCGCACGAGATGCAGTTGTGTCTTTTTTAGCCTTTAAAGACTGCGTAGATACAGCTCTCAGATTCGATTTCATCTTCACGACCTTCCCCCGCAGAGCAACACTAATTCCTCTATCGTTTGCATCTTGCATTCGATTAGGGTCCTTTTTCAATCCAATTTTCAGGTCAAAATCTGGAGTATCACACCGCCACGCGTGTACTACTCCAGTAAATCATTTTCAGTTGTTGTACTACACAAAAAATCTAACGACAAGACAAATCTAACGACAAGATGACTCCCCTCATCGACGGGCTCATCGTGGCCCCGTGCCTTTTGGGCCTGGGCTGGGCCGCGAAGGAGTGCGTTTTTCTCCGGAACGTGAAGATGAACGGGCACAATATCAAATGCAAAAATGTCTGGGTCTGGAAGATTGCAACTTGTCATGCTTTTTGTGGACTCTAAAAGAATTTGTATTGCATGACCAGCGAGAGGGGTGCAATTTGTGCTACACGGACAGGCCACTTCTCATGCGGAAGGTGCATCAGGAAGCCCTCTGAAAGTCTGCGATGCTAGGTGATGCATTACAGGCATCATGGGTCATGAGAAATATGCATGACAAACATGCACTCTTCCAGACCCAGACGTTGTTACGTTTGATACACAAGGACAAACTCCTAAAATCCGATCAGCTGGGTGAGGACACCCAGAAGATTCTCTCCGTCATGACCGTATCAACTGTAAAAATGTCTGGGTCTGGAAGATTGCCGGCTTTGTCATGCACATTTTGCATGACTCCTCAAGTCTGTGATGCATGCCCTAGCATCACAGGTTTTTAGAGGGCTTCCTGATGCCTATTCCGCATGACAAATGCTCTTTCCGTACTGCAAAATTTGGATTCTCTTTGCTGCTCATGCAATACAGATTTTTTTAGAATCCAAAATCAGCATGACAAGTTGGATTCTTCCAGACCCATACATTTTTACATTTGATAGACCGAGATCGGCGGCTACATCGCGGAGGGCGCGAACGCGTTTTTGATGAAGGAATATCAGTACATGGCGGTCTACGTGATCCTCTTCTCCTGCATCCTGACCCAGGTGAACTACGGAACGGTGGTCGCCTTCATCGTCGGGTCCATCACCTCCATCCTCTCCGGTTACATCGGTATGAAAATCGCCGTGTACACGAACGTCAGGACCGCGCACGAGTGCTGGAAGGATTTGTCATCTGGGTACGACGTCGCCATCCGCGGCGGGTGCGTCATGGGGCTGAGCTTGGTCTCTCTGGGAGTGCTGGCTCTGTACGCTTTGATTCAGGTCTACACGTCCGCGTCGGATCCCTTCGGCTTCGCCGGCGACAAGAGCGCAATCTTCGACGCGATTGCTGGGTTTGGACTGGGTATACTTGCGTTGTAAGTAGGTGTCTTGTTCTTATTCTTGTAGGTTGAATGTCATAAGCGCATGCTGGGGTCGTACTGGCTCGTTGACGGAATGGTGAACAAATCTTAGTGAGTTTCTGAGGGGCACGCTCGTTGTGCGTGCTCTGTGAAAGACTCGAAAGAAAGTGACATGAAGCTGACTGTTGCACATCGCGTATTTTTGCCCGTGGTTGAAATGAGGAACAAATCTTGGTGAGTTTCTGAGTAGCACGTGCGTCGTGCTTCTTGTGAAAGACACAAAAGAATCCCGTACGTAGACTGACATTATTTGCACACGGTTTTGTAGACTATGCTTCCTGCACACCCTGCAAGCGGTGATGGTTCTCCGAAGTTGGATTGTGGATAGCCCGTGAAGGCCCTTAATTGCTGAAGGCTGTATAGGTGCTGCGCATGATGACCCAAAAGCTACTTGGTTCGAAGATGCACGCTTGCCGTGCCTCTGTGATGAAGAACTGCACGAATTCGGTCTGAGACTGTTTTCTTTAGGTCGTGTAGTGAGATCTTGATCTGCCATTGGTACTTCACCTCATACATCACACTCGGGAGCCGACTGAAGACGCGCACACCAATCCAATATTTGGTGTGAGGTGATCTCTCCGTCCCAGTAGGCAAGAGCCGCTTCTTAGTTGCCCCATGAGGTTGCAAAGCTCGTCTTCGTGAGGAAAAAATAGCTTCCTGACTTGGCCTCCCAGGTCGTCAGTGATGCAAGGAGAACTCAAACGATAAACACACATCTGACAGAAGCGGTTTCAAATACAGGCGCAGCTGCAAATAACAGGCCCCCTAGCTTGTCAAACCACTCCTTTTTAATCACTATCTATGCAAAAACTCTCAGGTGGTTCCTCCATCGCACTCTTCGGTCGTGTTGGTGGCGGTATCTACACCAAGGCTGCAGATGTCGGTGCGGATCTTTCCGGAAAGAACGACTACGGGCTCGATGAGGACGATCCGCGCAACCCGGCGTGTATCGCCGACAACGTGGGAGATAATGTTGGGGACGTGGCCGGTATGGGCGCAGATCTGTTCGGTTCCTTCGCGGAGGCGACGTGTGCGGCTCTTGTGGTCGGGGCGAGTAGTGGCGCGTTTGCGAATGGCATCGCCAACAACTGGTCCGCCATGATGTTCCCGGTATAGGATTTTGTTTTGCGGATTCTGCATTACAAAAGCATCATGTTAGCTGGTAATTCCATCACAAGTTTTGCTCCTGTCGTGATGCAGAATTGAAAGCAGCATAGGCAGCCTATCTGCTGATGCCGATAGCAATTCACCCTCCAATTGAGCTGAAAAATGCCTTTTGATTGTGGAATGCGAATCGATACTGTAAATGTAATCATAAAAACGCATTTCGCCTATTTTCGGGGTTCTCGTGATGTAAAATCCTTGACGCTTTTTTCTTCCGATATTCGCAGGTTGGTCTGCAAATGTTGTTGAAAAAACAAAAATTTACTGACCCAATTATAATGTCAAGAACGGTTGAAAAGCTTTTCTTCGTAGTTGCCACAAGAAACGTCGGACGGCCTCTGAGTATACCATATCAACCTCCATCAAAACTATCTCAGGTTCTCCTTTCCTCCACCGGTATCCTGGTCGGTATCATCACTCTGTGCGTTGTCAACCAATTTTACCCGGTCCGCGAACTCCCCGACATTGAGAAGGCGCTGAAGGGTGTTCTCGTCATCTCCACCTTCCTGGAGATCCCCGTCATTCTCATCCTCGCCAAGGTCTGCCTGCCCGACGGAACCTTCGACTTGGCCGCAAACGCACGTGGTGTCACGTGGCTCGGCGCCGCTGTCCCGTGTTATCCTGTGCAAAAGTATCGTGGTCGTAGTAATCGCATTTATGCATGACAAATCTCTTTTTCAAGGGAAATCAGCATGAGAAATTCCATTTGTCATGCATCGCAAATTTGTAATGCGATTACTACTAGTGTGCGATGCTTTTACAATTCATACGTGCGTGTTGGGCGCGATCAGCGGATTGATCATCGGTATAGAATACATTTGTGGGCGCGATCAGCGGATTGATCATTTGTGGGGCGAAATGGGCCTTAGCGCTAGTGTTGGCACCTGAAAATTTCTGTTGCACATGATGAAAAACTCAAATCAAGGTTTCGTCACGGAATACTACACTTCCCACTCTTACCGCCCGGTCCGCGAGATCTCCGAAACCCAACGCGTCTCCGCCGCCACCGGTATCATCTACGGCCTCGCCCTCGGGTACCTGTCCTGCGTTATCCCGGTTGCCTGCCTGGGTTTGACCATCCTCGTTGCCTACACGCTGTGCGGTTCCTACGGTGTCGCACTGGGTGCGATTGGTATGCTGTCCACCATGACCATGGGGTTGACGATTGATGTCTACGGCCCGATCAGCGACAATGCGGGTGGAATCGCGGAAATGTGCGGTATGGGTCCGGTATGAACTGCAAAAGTATCGTACTCGTAGTAATTGCAGTCATGCAAGACAAATTTCGTTTTCAAGCTAAATCAGCATGAGAAATTCCGTTTGTCATGCTGAGCCAATTTGTGTTGCAATACTACGAGTGCGATACTTTTGCAGTTCATATCCGGAAGTGCGCCGTCGAACGGATGCTCTGGACGCGGCGGGAAACACAACCGCGGCTATCGGAAAGGGATTCGCAATCGGCAGCGCGGCGTTGGTGTCCCTGGCTTTGTTCGGGGCGTACTGCGTGCGGGCACAGGTAAACATAAACTGTAACTGTTATATTTTCTTCCTGAACTACTACTTGTACTTCCAATCGACTTTACAAACTCTGCGTGGTGTACTAGTCTTGTGCTACCCATCAACTCATCAAGGTTGTACTAGTCTTGTGCTACCCAATCATCCACGCAAACAACCCATCAACTCAAAGGTCGAGACGGTCGACATCCTCGACCCGTGGTGCTTCTCTGGTCTTCTCTACGGTGCCATGATGCCGTACGCCTTCTCGGCCATGACCATGAAGTCGGTCGGTGAAGCCGCGAACGACATGGTCAACGAGTGCATGCAACAGTTCCCGAAAATTCTCTCCGGGGAAATCAAGCCCCAGTACCAGCGCTGCATTTCCATCTCCACAGAAGCGTCCCTGCGTGAGATGCTCGCACCGGGTGCGCTGGTCATCTTGTCCCCACTATCAACTGTAAAAATGTCTGGGTCTGGAAGATTGGAACTTGTCATGCTGTTTTTGGACTCTAAAAAAAATTGTATTGCATGACCAGCAAAATGGGTACAGTTTTTGCTACACAGACGGGCCATTTCTCATGCGGAAGGTGCATCAGGAAGCCCTCTAAAAGTCTGCGATGCTAGTTCAAGCATTACAGGCATTATGGGTCATGAGAAATATGCATGACAAATCTTGCATTCTTCCAGACCCAGACACTTTTACATTTGATACCCACTCGTCGCGGGCTTGGCGTTTGGGAAGAACTGCACGGCCGGGGTCCTGTCAGGTATAGATTGTGTGATGCGATTTTCAATATAGAGCAGTGATTTCTATCTTGATCATTTCGGTAGCTTCTGATGCAAAAACCTGCAGCATTGAGACTTTTACTCTCTCATGCGCATAGTACACATGACATGATTAACCTCCTATCAGGTGCTCTCGTCTCCGGGGTTCAGCTGGCAATCAGCATGAGCAACAGCGGTGGCGCATGGGACAACGCAAAGAAATACATTGAGGCTGGTGGCTTGGGACCGGAGTTTGGAAAGGGTATTTCAACAGTAATATTGCAATCATGCATTACAAATTTCCATCCCAAGGTGCCACAGCATGAAAAATTCCATTTGTCATGCTGGCCGAATTTGCAATGCGATTTCTACTAGGACGAGCATATTCTCCTGCTATGCGAAAATCTTTGTCACACGACAGGTTCTTCCGCCCACAAGAACGCGGTCACCGGTGACACCGTCGGCGACCCACTCAAGGACACCTCCGGCCCGTCCCTGAACATTGTGGTCAAGCTATCCTGAGCAAAAATGTACCCACCCCAGAGTTGTAATGCAAATCTGCATGCTGAAAATGTTTCTCATGCGGAGACCCATGAGAAGCAGTCTCTAGTCGTGTTGCGGGATTTGTGATGCTATAATCAGCATCATATGCTAGATCTGCTATGCTGCTGAACTACCTAAACAGGATTACATTACAAGGACAAACTTGTCATGCGAAACAGCCAAAGCTGGTTGATTTGTCTAGCAGATTTACCATCTCGACTCTGGTGTGGGGACGTTTTTGCATAGGATACAAGCTGTCTGCCATCATGTCCCTGGTCTTCGGCTCTGTCATCGCCAACTGGTCGAACCCAAAAACTGGCGGGCCGTTCTGGCTCGCGGTCTCCGCCGCTGCGCCAGATGCAGCTCCCGTCAAACCAACGCTGTGAGGGGCAGGAAGGTCCTTCGGTTGAAGAGAAGATGATAATTTAGAACTCATCCAGAAGAGGTAGAAAAGACTCTCGCGTAAACTTAACGACTAACCACTTCCTTAGTGTCATCCAATTTTATCATTTAGGGTAGAGCTCTAGAAGCTCTTTCTAGAGTTCTACTAGCAACTGAGAGACGAGATCTTCTGTCTACAGATATAGAACTGCCGATGAAAGATAAGCGTCTTCTTGTGACAACAGCAGGCGCTTTTTCATCTTTTTTCAGCAGGTGTTTTTTTCCGCTGTGATACCACTTCGGTATCATCAGCGTTTTCGAATTGCGAAGCGACAACTAACGACCGACAGAGCAAAACCTCGCTATGGGGTTTTTGGTACAATTGAATTGCGCCTTCAAAGAACCGATTAGGACTCATGTCACCAAGTGCAACACTAAAGTTTTTTGATGTTTGCACGATGATGTTGCCTGAAAAACCGCTACTATGACCACAGCGCCTCTAGTTGATAAGAGTCAGAAAGCTGAACTAAGCGAGAACAAAGATTCATTTTGGGCCGAGGAAGCTGCAGTTGCTGTCGCAGCTGCTGTCTATATGATGGACAGGGAACGACTATATTATCGCGAAGATCATCAACTACGCAATTGAACTGGCACGCGGAATTTTTACGCTTCAACTTTCGAAGGAAAAACTCTGATGCGCGATTCTCTGAAGGTTGTGAGAAGACAGATTTTCCGAAATGAGGAAGTGGCCGACCGCACCGGTATCGTATGGCAACGAGGAGGACCAACTAAATGTCAATTGTTTCCTCGAGCATGTTCGTATCCGCGCATCTTGAAGTTGCGTGTGTCTTGTTGCCTAAAGCCTGTTTTATATTTCGGACGGTTAGAGGATGGGCCCAGCCGTAGAAACCCGATCTACTTATCTCTGCTTCGTTGTCGCCGCATCGTTTGTCGCCTTCGCTGTGTCGTTGTCGCTCTCTGTCTCTCGCGATCGTTTTCTTCTGTCTCTCGCTACTCAGAGCGATCAGTAGCCAGTATCACATTCAACAAAGTCGATGAAGAAGTTCATCTGACTGAGGTGGCACGTCTACCCAAACCTACTCGCAATCATACGTGGAAGTTCAATTCTGCACCCGCCCGATAGTCTAGTGCACAGAGTATTTCCTACACTACTGTGTGTTACCCACAACTAAACGCCATTTATCGCCAGAATAGAAAATCAAGATGGATCTCCTCGATGGGGTTAGCGGTGCCCACTTTGGGCTGGATCTGAGTAGCCACCTCGTCTCCACCCAGCAATCTATTGCTAGTCGCGCAGCCCCGCCCGCGGCGCCCGCGGTTGCGGTCGCGCTGACCAAGGTGCCGACAACGGACTTGGATGTGCCGCCGGCAGAAGAGGCCCACCTCGCGTACCACTTGAAACCGAATCCGCAAGTCGTTGGAAGCCCCACACCAGCTCGCTCTTCGGTAGTAGTCGCAATTCCGCAAAAGCCCCCGTATCAATTCGACAAACCGAAATCTTCTCCCAACCCGGCCATCCTCGAGAAGCACTGCAACTTACGCCGCCGCGCCGCGAACAGCACGTACAAAAAGTTTTTGGAGAAGGGGTACAGCGCGCTACTCCAGGATGGCGTGATCGAGTCCTGGGCGTTTCGGCCGAAGAGGGGATTAGATCCGGAGGAAAATCTGATGGTGAATCCGGGGATGTGGAAAAGAGGAACGATTGTCCATTCCGATGACTGCGGTGTTGGGAATGACGAATGTCTCGGGATCCGGTGGCGGGTATGGATTGTAAAATTGTCTGGGTCTGGAAGATTGCAAGATTTGTCCTGCTAGTCTGGCATGACTCTGAACTCTGTATTGCGTGGCCGCAAAGAGCTCCTCCTCCCTGTCATGCAAAAACGCAGTTTGTTATCCGGAATACGCAACGAACTCAGAACCATGAAAAAAATTTGTTATGCTGTGGAGCGCATTACAGTGGGCTCACTACTCCCTTCCTTGCATCACAAGTTTCCAGACCCAGGCATTTTTGCACTCGATAGCGGGACCAAACGAACAATAGATTGTTCACGGCGCCAAGGTGGGTGCGGGAGGAGCAGTTGGATCCGAGGAGCTACGGGAAGTTAGATTGTACCGGCGGTGCGTGTGAGGAAATAAGGGGTGATGATGAGGAAGATGACGGTAACAGTGCCACGGGTGGTGGAGAAGTAGGGCAGACAGTTAATCCAGAAGATGAGGAAACGGGCGAGGACGCTGAAAGTAAAGTTCCGGACACCTCCACGAAGGACACCGAAACTACCGCGGCAGGACACGATAGCAGCGGTGTGGGTTCTGGTTGGCTGTCTGGCATTTCCAATGCAGTGCATGCACACGTCGCGAAAGCTGTGCAACATGTGGCCGACCACGCGAAGCTTTTGCACGCGCGTTTGCTTTCTGGCACGACACCCAAGGAAAAGAAACTGCCAGAGCCGGATCCTTTACGGGAGTTTGCGCTGAATCTACAGGCGGCGGCGGGGCCGAAATTCAAGCAGATTTTCGGGTTCGATCCCCGGGCTGTGGTGGAGGAGAACAGCAACAATGCCGATGTAAGCAAAGAACCAGATGATGACGCCTTTGACCCGGACGAACTTGACGCGGAAAAAACTACAGATGAAACATCTTCTGCTTCTCTCAATCAGAATAAAGCGTCAGCTACCGGAACAAAAATGTCGCCGAACAAAACCGAACTAGTGGACAAGCTCCGCGCCGGTATTTTGGAAGCTGCGTGTCACAGGTACTTCGCAACAACGAAGGGGAAGTACGCGAGAGACCACGACGGCCTGGAGGCGAAAGAAGCTTACCACCAATTGAAGAAGTTCGGGATCAGAATCTACAAGCAGGAAAAACTTCGACGGCAGGGCGGAAGGATTTTCGGAGCTTCTGAGAGTGATAAAGAGTTCTCCGCACAGGAGCAAGAGCGCTACTTGGAAAAGTTGAAGCAAGCTGAAAAACTGCCGGAAGACACGCCGCCCGACGGGATCACGAAAGAATTCTGTGTGGAGGAGCCGGAGAAAGACGAGCCAGCGTCTTCCTGGTTCGGCGGTGGCGGGGGAAAGAAAGACAACACAAAACTACACAAGAAACGACCTGCGCAACTCAAGATGAGATCGAAGCACAAGCTCCTCGACCTCGCGAAGCAAAAGCCCGACGGGCCGGTGATCAATTTCCCCAAAACCATCCAGAACGCCTACGACTTGAACAGCTGCAATTTGAACCCGGCTGGTGAATATGCATTGCAAATATGTCTGGGTCTGGAAGAATGCAACTTGTAATGCTAATTCTGGATCGTGCAAAAATGAAAATCTGTGCTGCATGAATGCCAAAAGTTGTCCACACTTTTGACTCAGTTTAGAGAAAGTTTCTCATGATGCAGGATAGGCATGATAGGGATTTCACAGAATCTTTTATGCTAGGCCCTGCATTCCAGACGAGATGGATCATGGAAAACCTGCATGACAAGTCTCGCAATCTCCCAGACCCAGACACTTTTGCAATCCATAGCGAGGCTTTGCCGAGGAATCATTCTCCGCCGGCTTTCAAAGTCTTGTCCGACGAAATTCCAACCAGCAAAAAAACCGCCACTTTCAGCCCGGAGATGTTCGACCGATACAAAACGGTGTTTTCCCATGAGAATCCCTGTTTGTTCGACGACTCCCCGGTGGACTGCATGTTAACAGCGGAGCAAAAAGTCGAGAAAAATTTTCTGTTAGAAGCGCTGAAAGACGACGGTCAGGAAGTAGTGCACGGGAAAAATGACGAAACGACTGCGTTTTTGTTTGACGTGAAAGCGAACGAATACGCGATTTGCGGTGCTACCGGGACATCAAATCCGACTTTGCAACACGGGGCAATGCACTGCGCGAAAATCCGGATCACGAAGTACCCCATTTACCCGATCTTTCCGAAGAAACTCCGGAGGGAACACAGGACCGCGTTCGAGATGCCGCGGTTGGAGAAGAATTTTGCGAAATTCGTGCAACAGTGCAACAGAACTTGCAAACCGAAGTTTGAAAATGGGAAGAAAATCGGGCTCTGCTTCCTCCCCGACGTCGTGCTCGATCCGGAGAAAAACACGGCGATGACGGACGTTTTCTGCCGCAAAGCGGAGGACTTGTTACTGATCCCGGAGAGGGATAGGAAAGTCACCGTCGGTACCCAAGTGGAGGTATTGGACAAAAGCCGCGGGAAGGAGAAGGGAAGTTGGTTGCTCGGGAAAGTGACGAGGTTGCTGTTCCCGGAGAAGGATGCATCGGACGATTTATCCGGTTTGGGCTACGATCAGGCAGACGACGGAGGGAGCCTCGCGGAGAAACAAGGCAGCGTTGCTTCTGACCCTCGGACATCTTTCGACAAAAAACCCTGCCCGCCAGTCACCGGCTGTGCAGAGATCGATTTCTTGAACATATGAGAATGCACAACTCCCCTTCGTTTGTCACGCAAGAGCGCAAGTTCACCCTTTGCCTCTTCGCTCTATTTGCATGACACGTTACCGAAGGCGAAGCCCAAACAGAACTACAGTCTTGTATGACTGATCATGCAAAAGCTGCACTCTTGCCCGCGCGTCTGTTGCTGCTCATGCATTTTTAAGAGCGAGTTGTGCACTCTCATAGCAAAGTGATGGGGGATTGAACCGGAAGTTGAATGTGCAGCGGCAGAACAGGATCTATCCAGTGCAAATTGGAAAAACCATGCGGTTTCCGGCGGAAAGAGTTGTTTCTTCGGGGGCGATGTTGTAAGATTTTTTCATGCGTGACAGGCTCTGATCTTCCAAAGATCAAGATAGAAGTGGCTTGTGTCAACAGTTAGCTGTAGCCGTATGTAGACACATATACAAATGTTTCATATTCATTGGCAACGCCAAGAATGTAAAAACACAGACACGATTAACATTCGCATTTTTCAACATTCCAGCGGGTCCTTCTGCTGAAGGTCCAAACAAAGCAATTGCTACCGGCAACTTGTCACCCGTTTCTCCGCCTCTCGTGATCGTGTCTCCCACTTGCCGTGGTCGTGTGATCATAATCGTCATCGCTTTGGTCGTTTCGCCACGCAAGAAGAGGCGACTGGGGCTACTTCAGAGAGGCACAACAAGCAGCATTCACTGTTGATTCTTATTTCGTACATCGCATACAGCCATGGCTATGGAAACTACATCGTCTTTTCTGTTTATGATGGTGATTTTTACGTGTGGCATGAAGAAATAATGATAAAGATATTCGCTTTTCGTGGACGTGGTGTCCTGCTTCGCAACTTTTCTCCAACGTAGAAGTGCTGCCGACGTTCTTACAACCTTGAGTTATAATTTAAAAACAGAAATTCGAAAACACCAAAAAATGCCGCTCGCCTCGACCGCCTTCGTGAATCCGGAGCTCGCGGACTTCATTTCCAACCACAATGCCAAAGGCTTCGTCGACAGTATTCTTGTCCCCACCGCGAATGATGCGAGAACCGGTGTCAGTGCGCAGTTCGCAAAGAGCACTGAGGTGCACGTCGAAGACATGAAAAAACAGCAAACGACCGAGCAAGTGGGCGGAGGTAGCGGTGACTTCTCCACAAGACCCCCATCGCAGCGACCAAACATGGAGTCTTCCGCTGTGATGTTAAATGAGAACACTGCTTCTCCCAATCCGACCGTGATGGAGAAGAAGTGCAACTTGCGCCGGCGGGCGGCGAACAGCAGCGTGAAAAAGTTTTCAAAACTCGGCTACAGCGGATTGAACCCGGACAACGAGTTGTGGGTGTGGAGACCGAGGAAAAAATTGTCTCCGGAGGAGTATCAAATGCAAAAATGTCTGGGTCTGGGAGATTCCGAGACTTGTCATGCTAGTCTAGCATGACTCTGAGCTCTGTATTGCGCGGTCGCGAAGAGCCGCTACTCCCTGTCATGCAACGACGCAGCTTCTCATGCAGAATACGCAACTCAGAACCATGCAAAAAACTTGTCATGTTTGGCAGCGCATTACAGTGAGCTCACTATTCCCTTCCCTGCATCACAAATTTCCAGACCCAGACGTATTTGCATTTGATAAGAAGAATTTGATGACCAATCCGGGGCTGTGGAAGCGCGGAATCTTGGTATGAAATGCAAATATGTCCGGGTCTGGAAGAAAGCAACTTGTCATGCTAAGTCTGGAATCGTGCAAAAACCTGTGTTGCGTGCTTACCAAAAGCTATCCATCTTTGCCCAAGTTGAGAGGCAGTCTCTCATGCAGGAGAGGCATGATAGAGATCCCACAGAATCTGTCATGCTAGGCTCTGTATGCCAGACCTCACGGGTCATGGAAAACCTGCATGACAAACCCTCCACTCTTCCAGACCCAGACATATTTGCAATGCATACTTGGTGCACTCCGACGACTGCGGCGATGGGGACGACCAGTGTCTCGGGGTTCGGTGGCGCGACGGTGCAAATGACAGGGTGTTTACGACGCCGAGATGGATTTTGGACAAGAAAACGGATCCGCGGGAATTTGGGAGATTGGAGTTTGAAGAGGACGGGAGTACTATTGGGGGTTTCAAGGGCAACAACGACGACATAGGAGCGTCGAAGAAAGACGCGAAACAGGATGCAGCTGTTCCTCCTGCGGCAGATGGAGATGGCGCAGAAGGAGCAGCTCCACCTCCTGCTAATAAGGAGCCAAATGACATCCGCGATTTTGCGGAGAATCTGGCCGACGTGATTGGGTCGAAATTTAAGAAGATTTTCGGTTTCGACGCGAAAAACGACGATCCTCTGCCGAAGAAGGAATTAATCGAGAAACTTCGCGAGGGGATTTTGGAAACCGCCTGTCATCGGTTTTTCGCGGTCAGCAAGGGAGAGTACGCGAAGAAGCACGACAATCTTACCACGAGAGACGCGTACCACGAATTGCGGAAGTTCGGGCTGCGGATTCACAAGGCGGAGACACACAAGGAAAACGCGAACAAAGCGTCATCGATCACAGATGCTCCGAGTCGGCGGTTCCAGCGTTTCCGAATCGGCGAAAACCAGCACTACGAGGAAAGTGAGAAATCCAAGGAAGCGGACCGCATCCCGGAAGATTTGCCGCCGGAAGGGATCACCAGGGATTTTTGCATGGAGCCAGAAGGAGGAACAGCAGCAGCAGCAGCGGGAAATAAAAAAGCTTCTTCCGCATCCGCGGCAGAAGGTGGATCACCAGCATCAAATAAAGCGGCGAAAATGGTGATGAAAACTAGATCACAGCTACTCGCCGACGCGAAAGACAAAATCGATATTGGCTACCCGAAAACCGTAAAGCGTGGCTACGACTTCAGCACCTGCGACCTGGACCCGGCCGGCGAAGCGGTTCCGCGAAACCACGCCCCGCCTGCTTTTCGCTTCTTGTCCCCAGAAGACAAGGAGACGGACACCTTCAGCCCGGAGCTGTTATGCATTGCAAAAATTATACGATAATCGTATTCGTACTTGTATAAATGCATTACAAATTTCCTTGGCATGAGAAATAAAATTTGTAATGCGGATTTGACTTAACAAGAAAATGTGTAATGCATGATTGCTATACGAGTGCGATACTTTTGCACAGGATAGCTGTACAAGCGGTACCAGAAGCTCTTCACCGACGAGCCACAGTGCTTCTTTGAAGATTCCCCCGCGGACTGCTTCCTTTCTTCGAACCAAAAGGGGGAAAAGAAGACGTTGCTCGACGAGTTGATGAAGGATGGAGAGGATCTGGGAAAGAAGGATGGGGAGAAGAACAAAAACCTGGCTTTTCTTTACGACGTAAAGTCCAATCAGTATGCGGTGTGCGGCGCGACCGGATTGCAGCCGAGTGTGAAAAAAGGGCCGCTGCACTGCATGAAGTTGCCGATTACCAAGTATCCAATCGTGCCCATGCTCACGATATGCGAGTGAAGACAAAATTTTGTAAGCTAGCACGGCAAATCAAAATCGGGAACAGGCACTGGGGCTTTTATTTCCAGACTTGTGATGAAAATTGACACCAGACCTAAAACTTGTATGAAGCTCTTTGTCCGACAGGAGTATTAGACACGGGTTGCTTTTTTTTGACACGTACTGTTTTAGCTTATTTTCTGTGATAGCATACAAAATGCAAATTTTGCTCTTCATACGCCACCAAAGTGAAGGGTCAGGGGGGCGTAAACACGACCTTCCCCCTTAAAGAACTGATCTTCCCCTACACGGAGAAATGCGAAACTTCTTGCCGGCCGAAGATCCGCCCGGACAAAATGGGGATCTGTTTCCTGCCGTATCAAGTGCAAAAGTGTCTGGGTCTGGGAGATTCCGAAATTTGTCATGCAGCTTTTCCAAGCTCCCCCACGTCTGGAATGCAGGGCCTAGCATCACAGGTTCTGCAGCCCCTTGGTGATGCGTATTCTGCATGAGAAATGCCCTCTCAGCATGGCCAGAAGTGGGCACCTTTTGCACGTTATGCATCACAGATCTTTGTAGGATCCGAAATACGCATCACAAATTCGGATCCTTCCAGACCCAGACATTTTTACATTTGATATGCCGGATTTAGCGACAAAACCGAAAGGAGAAGAATCCACCGAGCGCGTGTTTTGCCGGGAGGCGGACGATGTGCTGCTCGTCCCCGAGCGCGATCGAAAACTAGTGGTCGGATCGCAGGTGGAAGTGCTGGACAAATCCCGCGGGGGAAAGGGTGTGTGGCTGTTGGGGAAGGTCGCGAAGTTTTTGTTCCCGCCCAAGGATGATACCGACGATTTGTCCGGGTTGGGAAATTTTGAGGACACGGGGGGTAGCCAAGTTGCAGCGGAGGCGCAAGACCCGAGAACGTCGTTTGAGAAGGAGCCGTGTCCGCGGAAGACCGGGTGTGCGCAAATCGATTTTCTGCAGCCGGATGGAAGTTTGAATCGGAAGTTGAATGTGCAGGGGGTAAACAGAATCTATCCGGTGGATTTCGGGAAACGCATGCGGTTTCCGAAGGAACGGGCGGGGACGGCGTTGTGAACGGGAGGACATAAATCTTAAATAATCATCTGCTGTGTGTTTGGCTAAATGCACGCCGCGACTTCCGTCGACCCTGCATGCTCGGTTCTACTTCGAAGAAGAAAGAAGAAGATTCTTCATCAACATGGTTTCTTTTCACACCAAACGAGCATGATAATTGTGGTGACTGTAATCCGGTCTACTACCTGCATTGTGCAAAACGAGCTGCTGTCGTGTTTCCAGAACGCCCTGCAGTCAGCAAGTGGCTGGACCGTAATAAATCGGTGTTCTTACGTGACGGGCATCCAAGGAGATTGCAATAGCAATTCTGTCGGTGAATACGAAGTAGAAGTACTTCTATGCCATTGAATTTGGAGTTGTAGATTGACCGCTCGGTGAGGTGGTGCGTGAAACTACAGATGCATTCTCCTTGCAAGAAGTGCATTACTTTTACTCCAACATAGTGCTGGCGCTGATATTAACATTCACAGTCAGCAAGACCAAAATTTTGCTTTTCTCCCTATTTCTCCTTCGCAGGACCTTTCATTTTCCGTGAAATTTTAATTTGCTGAGACTGATAGTAGTAGTACTAGCACGTATGAAATTTTAATGCCCACACTTCGCTTTCTGCCTTAGCGCATGGCAGACTCTCACGACCTCTTTATTGTGTAGTTGCAGTGCGTAGTTGCCCACATCGTTTACGCTCTGTCGAGAGCACACCAGAAGATAGAACCAGAACTCGTGCGAGTCGCATGAGTGAGATACGCGAAGACGAGATGGGTTTGCTTTTGTCGGGCCGCATTGATCCTATTTGGTGCAAATACGCATCCAATGCTTTCTCACGGTACATACTACTCCTCGTGCAGCAGCTACCTGCGCGGAAAAAATTATTGGATTTCTGCTGACCGAGATGAAATAGAACGAAATCGTGGAAAAGTCTAGAATGTAGCTCTAGTAAAACGAGAGATTACTGCTCACTTCGGTTCCCGAGACCTTGCAGCAAAGAAAGTACTAGATCAGTGAGCAAAGCAACACCCAAAATGCCGCCTACATCTCCTTCCTCGCCGTCGGCAAATAAACCCACGGCACTCGCTCGCGGCACAGCATCCTCTACGACTACCTCGAAGCCGCAAAATGAAACGATCCAGGTACAACCATCCTCCCCCTCCAAACCGAAGAAAAAAGTGGCAGTAAACACGGGTGGCAACCCTGTCCAAAAACTCATGCACCTCGCGATCTACGAATACCGACTCGCGTCGGTCATTTGCTTCCTCTGCTTCGCGCTGCGCACGGGTCTCATTCTTCTCTCCAGCATTTATTACTACGTGGTCGAGCAATTTTACCTGGAACAAAACTTTACAACGCTCGCGAGAAACAACTTTCCGCTGTTCTCGCTTCTTTTAATGGCGGCTTTCCTGATTTTTTACCTCTTCTTCGCTGTCTTCGCCGTTCCCTACTACCAAAAATCCAAGCCGGCGGAGATCTACGCGACCAGATTCATGCGGGAACACTACGTGAAATTTTTACCAAACTCCTTCCACGCCGGCCCCCGACCGCCGATTTGGTGTTTCCACCCGCTGTTGCAATTTCTGCCGTGGATGCTGCAGAATGGAATCCACGGGAAGTATTTCCAACCGGCCCGGGAGGTGCATTATGTTCGGTCGTTCGATCTCGAGAATAAAGAACTAGACGAGAACGGGGAGGAGCGAACAGAGGGGGATGGAGTGAAACGAAATATGGCGCACAACTTGAAGATCGTCGTGATTCCGCCGTTTGCAGCAGGAACAAAGGAAACTGGAGGAATAAACACAGGAGGAGCAGCAGCGGATCGAAATCAACACAGTAGTAGCTCGTCCCGGTCATCAAGAACGAAGCCCACACTTACCCTCCCCGATTCCGCCCCGATCGTCTTCATCCTGCCCGGGTTGGCGTGTGACGCGGAAGATTTGCCCGGGATCCACCAAATCCTCTACGCAAATCACCGCGGGTACCGGGTGGTGGTTTTGGAAAGACGGGGGCAGGGACAAGGGTTGCTCGAATCCCCGAGGTTCAACATTTTCGGGGACGTTTTTGATTTAGAGATCGCTTTCAACCACGTCGTGAACAATGTGTTGCCGGACAAAACCGTGGAGAAATTCTGTATCGGGATCAGCGCTGGCAGTGCGTTGCTAGTCACCGCGATGGGGAAGTTTGATAGACGGAGGAGGGAACTGGAAGCGGTGATGCAGAAGAACGCGGGCGCGCTGCAAGTACAGCCGCAAGATGTTGAGCAACGTTCTGGGCTTTCTTCTCTAGGAGAAAGTCGTGGAAATAAAGGAAATACGAACCGCAGCATTACCAGTTTCGACAGTGCAGCTTCCTTAGTCTCTACAGCCACCGGAAGTAGTTTTAATTCTGGCGATGTTCACGGCAGTTCTTCTATTGCAGTGAAAAATGCCCGCAACCTGAAAGTTGAAATAATTTGTGATGCGAAGTTTTCAAATGAAAACTTTTTGTCATGCATGCAAGGACTGTGAATCCAATCTTTCTGATGCAGAGTCTGAGGCGTATATAGCATCGCGCGCATGACAAACGCCGCTCTTGCTGGGATCTTTTGCAATACAAATTTTTGCTATTCACGATTGGAAATCTGTGATGCTGATAGATGCAAGAGGGCGAAGGTTTCATTTGGAAAGGTTTGCAATGCAAATGCTCCCAAGTTCGGGGGTGGGGGCATTTTTCTTTGTAATATCTTCCGCAAGCAGCTCTACTTCCTCCTCTTCCAACATAAGCAGCAGGAGCAAATCGCAATTGAAAATGGGCAGAGGGTCCCCTGCAGTATTAATCCCGAATGAAACCGCGAAGAATTTGAATTTCGTCAAACCTATCCCCCCACCCAAATTCGACGCCGGGTGCGCATTGTACCCCGGCTTTGACATCGCCCCCGGCGGCTGTTTGACCCAGTGCAGTCCGCTGTTCGACTCGATTCTGGTCAACGGCGTGCAGAGCTACTTCCTGATCCGAAATGAGAAAATTCTGCGCGAGTTCGATAACGAGGCGTATATGCATTGCAGATATGTCTGGGTCTGGAAACTTGTCTTGCTGGGTGGCGTATCATGAGGAAACCACAAGTGCTGGCTCAGCATGACACGTTTCTGAGCTTCTAGGTGTTGCCTATTCTCCATGACAGACTGCGTTTCTGCATGACAGAAAAGCGGGGCTCTTGGGTAACGTGCATGACAGATTTCAGAGTCATGCTAGACAAGCATTACAAACATGCACTCCTCCAGACCCAGACATTTTTGCATTTGATAGCGTACGAAGAAGCGATCAACGCAAACAGCTTCGAGGAGATCGTGGACGCGATGTGCGTCTTATGAACTGCAAAAGTGTCGTACTCGTATAAATGCATGACAAATTTCCTCAGCATGAGAAATAAAATTTGTAATGCGGATTTGCGTTAAGAACAAAACTTGTATTGCATGACTGCAATGCGAGTGCGATACTTTTGCACAGGATACGTCTTCGCGGGCTACAAATCCGGCAGGGAGAAATTTGACGAGAACGAAAACCCGGTGAGATTTTTCCCAGACATCACGGAAACGCCGATTTTGACGGTGATTGGGGAGGACGATCCAATCTCGAACGTGAAAAATTTCAAGACGATAAAACGGGGTAGTTTGCACGAAAACTTCTGTGATGAGAAAACTAAGTGGAAGATAAAGGATTCGGGGTTTGGGAAGACGAATAAAGAGCACATTGAAACATCGGAGGATGTGCAGGAAAACCCATGGATCGTGGTGGTGGCGCAGTCTATCATACGAAAAAAGTGTTTCACTGTAAGGATTTTGTAAGTTGTGCATCACAAGTTTGTTACACATGACACGGAAAATTTGCCATGCGTGCTTTCCAAGGGAAAACAGGCTTGAAACTCCGATGTGTTGCAGGTGTGGCAAGACAAACACTTTGGTGCTTCGTTCTCTGCATCACAAGTTCACAGTGAAACAGTTTTTTCTTGCGATACAGTCGGGGTCGCACTGCCCGATGCTGGACGGGATGTTCTGGCCGTTTCGGAAAGTATGGCGTTCCCAAACGTTACATTCTCAACTGTGTTACATGATTTGTCATGCCGAATGACCATGAGCCGCAAGAGGACTATCAAGCTGCTTCGCGTGACAAATTGTCGAAGGGCTAAACAGCATCTAAATCCGTGCCAAATTTGTAATGCAAGACTTGCAAGCTTTCCCCTTTTGTTCCTATTGCTGTTTTTGCATTACAAATCCATGGAACGGTTGAGAATGTAACAATTGAGAACGCCATAAAAAGAGACGAAGGGTTTAGCATGCTGGTCCGACAAAGCGGTGTTCGACTTTTTTGACCGGAGGAGGGAAGTGTTGAAAGAGGAAGAAAGAGGAAGGCAAGAAAATGCTAAGCGGTAAGTAGCCGGTGCGTTGAACAATTTGCAGCTGGCATTTCTTCTTGTTTACTTATCTGAAGACTAAAGAAGTGCAACTAAAACACGACTACATGGATGATTTGTAAATTGCAAAAATTTTTGTTGCCAAGAGACACAATAACAGCATCTTCCATTTCACAAACTCTACTTTTGCACACAGTAAAAATCGTGCGGGCGACTCGTACAAACGCTGAAAGCGGGCAGCCGCTGAAAGCGGAGGAGCCGCTGGAAGCGGAGAGCCGCTGAAAGCCGGCAACCGGTGACAGCGGGCCACCGCTGAAAACGCGAATCCGCTGAAAGCGGGCCACCGCTTGCAGCGGGCAATCACTAAAGCGGCCAATCAGCCACTGAGGGCGGGCAACCGCTGGAAGCGAGCGGACAACCGCTAAAAGCCCTGGCGTGGTTCCCCGCGTTCCGCGTTTCCCCGCTTCCAGCGGTTGTCCGCTTGCTGCGAGGGGTTTATCGGTGGGGCCTGCTGAGACTCGACCACCCCCGACGGCGGCAGCGTGCTGCCGTCTGTCTCCCCCTGCTTGTTCCTACGGGGCCCCATATTTGGGCAGAGACAGAAGCGGGCGGTCTACGCCAATAACCTAGGGCGCGCAAGTGCCACCGACGTCGTGGTGTCCTGGATAAAGACGGAGGCTGTGACTGCACCCCGAAGCTGCGAGAGCCAGAACAAACGCAGTAGCAGGAAAGTGGCGCCTGCTATTCCTTAGTAGAAGTAGCAGCGCTGAAGCAAAGCGCAGTCGCTTCCTTTGCATGGAATAGAGCTTCCGGAAGTACAAACCCAGAAGCAGAAAGTAGAAAAAATAGAAAGCACAAACCGCGTTGAATAGTAGCAGGAGCGGAAATTACGGTCGCACAGATAAAGACTAGAAAGCCCACGCGTCTGCTTTTGGGGTTTCGGCGCTTTCCGCTGCCTTTGCAAGGCAAAGCTGGGGCTTTTTACCGAATGAAACAACGTAGCCCGGGGGCGGACGGGGGAGAAGAGTGGGTCGACCGGTTGAGGACAGGGGAAGAGGACCGGGCCGGCCCGCCGGGTTCCGCCGGTGATGTGGTTGAGTTCTCATCCGGCCGCCGGCCCGATAGGAACTCAACCGCGAAGTTCCAGATTTAGTTTGTTACCCCGCTCTAAATTAATTGCAAAAATTTTTGTTGCCAAGAGACACGACAATAACAGCATCTTCCATTTCACAAACTCTACTTTTGCACACAGTAAAAATTGGTCTCGAAAATAAATGCGGACGGACCGTCATTGAAAATGTGAAGCTTGAAATTTTGATCGCATCAAGATTTTCCACCTTGGGCAATAAAGCAACTATCACCTGACTCTACTCCTGCGACATGTTTCTGTTTGCAATAGGGAGGCTGAGGCAATACATCCAGTAGAAATCTAACGAAACAGAAAGCAACAGCTGCAAGAAAAATCCTAGATTTCCACTTTTCAGTTCTTTAGACTGATTTATGATTTCGCATCCACTCCCATCGAGGAGTCCGAGTTGCAGCTACTTTCTGCCTCATCTTGACTAGTGATCACATGAGCACTCATCTTCTAAGAGAGCCTACTACTACAATCCTAGCTGGCGGCTGCACCAAACGCAAAAATACTCTGGTGAATATCAATAGAATTGTATCATTGAAGCCGAAAGCTTTCTTGCAGCTTGCGGTTCAGCATATTTGCGCATTTCTGCACTTCCAAAAACCTCGACTCATAATATGGGAAACTTTTTCAATTCCGAATGGCGTTTGGTTTATTTTCCACGCCTGCGGGGCACAAATTCAAATATGAATATCACAATTTTACGCCTCCATGCAGTCTCGTGCACGGCTACGTGTCTGCATCTGATAACAAAACCTGAGGTACCAGGCCTTTCAGCCTATGGTGCAGTCGTCTCATTTCTATAAATCTCGGCGTTCTCCTGCTATTATTGATCGCGATCATGATCTGTTCCATTGGTGTATACCATGTAAGACGGTTCCACTTGAGAAGTTGAAGTTCTTCTGTCGGCGATCACACCTCCGTGTGAGGATCTTCTGATGTTAGTGAAAATTGAGCAACTTCTCTACCGGTATTGATTCTCGGGTCCTCTTGTCAGTTTTATTTCTATTTTGTTCTTTGGTTGTTCTACCTAGTTGCATGTCGTAAGTTCGTACCAGCTGGTGTCACGCCAAATACACCGCGGCAACTACGCGAAGTGAGTTGCAGAAGTAGGTCCGTGGTTTTTACTGTTCCAACGATTGGAAGCTCATTACCTTTAGTACGACTTGCACTTACTTACAAAAGCAGGCGTTTTCACTTTTGCCTAGTTCTAGTTGTATGAAGAGCAAACACAAGCACAACCCACACTACAACAACCAAATCGAATCAAAAAGATCATGACTGTAGTGCGAGGAGCACCACACGAGGCGATGATGTCCCCTCATGTGTATACGTCGACCCAGGCTGTTTTGAAAACACAGCCTGCTCTGCAAGAGCAGCTAAACATGGATGGCAAGAAGAACATCATAACCGCACCCCCGGAAGTGGATTGGAGTCGTCAGGAGACTCTTCCGCCGCTGGTCTTCCCTCCGTTCAACTACCGGACAGAGGAGATTGTCGCGAACAAACCCGATGCGGAACCGGAAGTCTCCCTCCCGGAGCAGTTCCTCCCTCCGTCTCGTATCATCCCCGAGTGCCGGAAGTTTTTGGAAAGTAGCTGTGCGAAGCTCTCCATTCCGACAGAAGCTCTACAAAAGTTCGCGCAATCCATCGATATCCGGGATTTGTGCGACGTGAGTTGCGCGAAAAGCAGCCCTGCTGGTGCGGAGAAGATAATTGTTGTGCCAGAACGGGACGAGGATGTTGTCATGCCGGACTACGATAAATTCGAAACCCGCTTGAACGACATCGCGCGAATCCTGGCCTACAATGTCATTAACTTTTCCTTTTTTCCCGACAACGGCAAGCCGCGCTGGTTTATCAGCGATGAGGGTGAAGACGACGAACGGGGCGAACAAAAGTTTTTCGGGAAGGACGACGAGGCGTTCGCCATTGTCGAGGCCATGAAGCGTCTCGAGAAGGAGGTCAGGGACTCGACTATCTGGCGGAATGGACATTTTCTACAACAAATCACAGTCCCTCACCTCGAAAATGTGTTCCGCCCGGCAGCCAATGCTGGTTCCCTCCCTCTCCTGCCCTGGAGAATGCAGTGCTTGCGGTCGCTCGGGGACTGTTATTCGAACAGGGTGTCTCTGGAGAAGCTTTTGGAGATTTTGGGAGAGAAGCCGACCGTGGGAAAATTTGTCTACCTTCTTTGCAAACACGTCCCTGCTTTCCGGGACCTGCGTCGGGACAACATCGAGTTCGCGAAGCGGCCGCAGCTCGCGGCCTCGATGTTGCACGCAGATAAGTTGGTGGTGTTTTCTGACTTAAACCAATCGTTGACGGTGTTTTCCGATTACCGCTTGCCGCAGTTGTTCCTCACCGAAAAAGTGTTCGACTTTAATATTTCTAGCAAAACTAGCGTGGGAACCGGAACAACCGAAGACGGTACTATGAGCGGCAGCTGCGAAGAACAAGTACAACTACCAAGCGAAAAGACCTCTACAACTTCTTCGCAAGTAAAGGTGACAAAACACAGCACGCCGTTATTAAGCATAATCGAAAACTGCGAGTTCATCCTATCAAATGCAAAAATGTCTGGGTGTGGAAGAATGCAATTTGTGATGCTGCATTTGGATTCCAAAAAAATCTGTATTGCATGTCCAGCAAAGGGGATGCGATTTGTGCTACGCGGAAAGGGCATTTGTCATGCGGAATAGGCATCAAGATGCCCTCAAAACATCTGCCATGCTAGGACATGCATCACAGACATCATGGCTCATGCAAAACGTGCATCACAAGTCTCAGAATCTTCCAGACCCAGACATATTTGCACTTGATACATCCCAGAAAACTCCGATTTCGAGGTCTCCCTTCGAGCGGGCACAATCGTATCAAATGTAAAAATGTCTGGGTCTGGAAGATTGCAACTTGTCATGCTGTTTTTGGAATCTAAAAAAATTTGTATTGCATGACCAGCGAGAGGGGTGCAATTTGTGCTACACGGATAGGGCATTTCTCATGCGGTAGAGGTATCGCAAAGCCCTCTAGAAATTTGTGATGCTACGGCATGTGTTACAGACATCATGACTCATGGAAAATATGCATGACAAATCTAGAAATCTTCCAGACCCAGACACTTTTTGCATTTGATAAATCGTCGCCTGTGCGGATCTGCTGGAGCTGCTGCGGAAAATGCACGAGATATCGCAAGAAAAATTTGTTTCACTGTGAACTTGTGATGCATAGAATGGAGCACAGAGCGATTTGTCTTGCTACACCTGCAAGACATTGGATTTTTAAGCATGTTTTCGCTTGGGAAGCGCGCATGGCAAATTTTGTGTGTCATGCGTAACAAACTTGTGATGCAGATCTTGCAAAATCATCAAAGTGAAGCAGTTTTTTCTCACGATACGAGAAGGAAGATTTCGAGAACGGATTGAACATGGCGAACCTCGACTACTACCTCTGGCGAAAAGCCGTGCAGCTGGATGGGGAAGGGAAATTACTCCCCTTTCACAGAACAAGGACTTACTGCTACTGATAAACATTTTCACGGCTTCTTCCATAATATCATGAACCCGCATCGCGAATTCAGGAGAGAAGCTGGAGATATTGTTTTTATTCTGTGGCAGAAGAAGGCCAGCACGCAAAACATGTCGGGAAAGAGCGACTCATACATAGAACTGCTCCTCAGTGCTTCTACTGATAGTTTTTGCTTAAAGTTTTATTTTTCAACTTCCGGAGACCTGAATGATCGCAAGAAATTCTGTTCAACATAATCGACTTGATGTTTTCCATCGCTCGAGTGGTTCTTTGATATTTCGCAGACGCAGTCGTTGCAATCGCATTATCGTCCACGGTATATCACAACTCTTATCGTGCTTGTCGTCGTGGTGGTCGTCTTTTTCTTTTAATCAATCGTATCTATAGATACTAGAGCTCCACAATCTGCTCCGCGAGAGAAAAACAGCAGAGCCGCCTGTAGTGACATCGTGGCATTCGTGCTCGTCATCCTGCACCCCATCTCGGCTACTAGTACAGTTGAAAGTAACGCTGCGTGATAGCTGCATTTCTTGACTTTTGTAAGGGAGAATTCCATTTTTCTTGGCTTCTCGCTGTTCAGTGACCGTACTAGTGGTACCTGGTGTGGCCTTGTTGCGTGATAGTACTCACTATTCTGGCGGCGCATCTGAAGATATAGATATAGTCGGTAGCGGTTTTGCTTTTGTAAGAATTTGTCGAGTAAAAACAGTAAAAAAAAAGAAGCTACCACCTTTTCCGCCTTGTCCATCCAGCCCGGCAAAAGCGACGTCATGCCCACATCTTCCTTTGCCTCCTATGAAATCTTGCACGAGATGTATGCGCCTAACGGCCAGAGAAGTTCCGGACAGGCTGCCAACATACTCGCCAATAATAACCAACCGGGCGATGGTACAACTTCTAATTCCAACCAGCCTCCCAAGCTCGCCGAAGTGTTTGCGAGTCAGCTCGGCCGCGATTCCCCCGTCTTTCGGGCGCTGCAAACCCGAATGCTGGAAGCGCACGAAGCGCAGGGAATTAGCAAGATGAATGCGGGAACATCAAATGCAGTCGTTGGGAGCTTGGTTGACAGGCAGGTCGGGACCACATTGTCGAACAACAGCAAAAAGAACAACGCTTCATCGGAACTTCTGCAGACGAAGAATGCAGCCGCTTCGGGTAACCTTTCCTTGCTGAACGTGGAAAAATCCGATCGGAGTCAGCAGTTCATTGCGAAAAAAACCGGCGGCTGCGACATCCGGCGCTTACAGGCGGGGAACACGATGAAGCGATTTCTGCAGAAGAACCACTTTGGCAAGTTCGGGTACAACAACCTTCCCGGGGAGGAGGTCTGGGCGTTTCGGACGCAGGAGGGGGTAAACAGTGCGAAGAACCCCGGGCAGTGGAAGCGGGCAAAAGTCATGGAGCCGACGGGAAGCTGTGGGGGTGGGACTGATAAGTGTCTGAAAGTGAAATATAAAGACGTAGGGATTGCAAAAGTTTCTGATTGTCCGAACTCGTGGAATTGCGGAAGTATGAAAATTCTTTCAAAAGGAACTGGACTTTGTGATGCGGATTTTTCATGTGGAAAACCTAAAGCTAAACCACATGTGTCATGCATGATTGCAATGAGCACGAGCGCGCTAATGCTTTTGCAACGGATAAGTCGGGGTTACCAGTGATACGGAGGTGGCGCCCAGTATGGATGTGTCAGAGTTGAAATCGACAAAGTTGAAATAATTTGGCATGCATAAAATGGATGCCAGTTGGAACCCAGTTTCCAAGTGGCGCATGACAAATTTCGGCGGTCCCTAAATCCAGTTTGTCATGCTGTTTAGGCAAAGAAGAGTGATTTTCTCATGCTACTTTAGCAGCTCGAGCTGTAACCCCAAACAGGCTCACAGTCGGCCTCACTTGCCTGCTCTGCAACACACGCGCCTTGGGTCATGCATTTTATGCATTACAAATTATTTCAACTTTGACGATTTCAAACCTGACGCTTCCATACCCAGGTGGATCGTGCGAGACTGGAAAAAGTGGAGCGGTACGATATAACCTGCTCAGGTGTTACAATCTCAAACGTTACAATAGAATCTGGAATTTGTGTTGCAAGAAGTGCATGATCTACCCTACTCCCACAGGATTGCGCATGACAAGTTCTGGAGTCCCAATCCGCACTACAATCTGGCGAAATTTGTATTGCAAAAAGTGGAACGCTGTCCGAGTCTGTCATGTTGATCATGCAAGACAAATCTCAGACTCTATTGTACCGTTTGAGATTGTAACGTTTGAGCAGGTCATACACGAAGGATGCGGCAGCGGAGGACAAGGATAACAAACCTACTTCCGATAGTACAGCTGCGGGTTCGCAAAAAGATGCGATTAAAGACGCAACCACCGACGAAGCAAATAAAAAAACTGACGAATCCGGGAGTAAGTCGACTGAGTCAACAACATCCACAGCTGCTCCCGAGGACGAGTCAACAACATCCACAGGCGATGATGACGCTCCCGAGGACGAGAACGAAGAGGAAACAAAACCCGAGAGTGAAGCTATCCTGCGCAAAGACATCCCGAAACCTGCTGCGATAGTTAGAATGTATAACCCAAGGGTAATCATAAATATGCTAGCGCTCGTATTTTTAGACGGGTTCTGCATACAGGACAGGCTTTGCTTGGACCAAAAAAAATAATATTGGTAAAAGCGTTTTGCGGTTTTTGTTCACAGCACTCACACTAAACATGTCGTGTTTGAGATTTCGTTTTTTGCACAGGATAGACAAACACAAACCGGAAGACTTGATAAAGTACGACATGGTCGAGAAGGATGCGGCACTAAGGATACGACACAGTGGTACGAAGGATGCGGCAGCGGAGAACAAGGATAATAAACCTACTTCCGAATCTTCCGATAGTACAGCTGCGGGTGCGCAAATAGATGCGAGTAAAGACGCAAGTACAGTAGACGAAGCAAAAAAAACTGACGAATCCGGGAGTAAGTCGACTGAGTCAACAACATCCACAGCTGCTCCCGAGGACGAGTCAACAACATCCACAGGCGATGATGACGCTCCCGAGGACGAGAACGAAGAGGAAACAAAACCCGAGAATGAAGCTATCCTGCGCAAAGACGTCCCGAAACCTGCTGCGATAGTTAGAATGTATAACCCAAGGGTAATCATAAATATGCTAGCGCTCGTATTTTTAGACGGGTTCTGCATACAGGACAGGCTTTGCTTGGACCAAAAAAAATAATATTGGTAAAAGCGTTTTGCGGTTTTTGTTCACAGCACTCACACTAAACATGTCGTGTTTGAGATTTCGTTTTTTGCACAGGATAGACAAACACAAACCGGAAGACTTGATAAAGTACGACATGGTCGAGAAGGATGCGGCACTAAGGATACGACACAGTGGTACGAAGGATGCGGCAGCGGAGAACAAGGATAATAAACCTACTTCCGAATCTTCCGATAGTACAGCTGCGGGTGCGCAAATAGATGCGAGTAAAGACGCAAGTACAGTAGACGAAGCAAAAAAAACTGACGAATCCGGGAGTAAGTCGACTGACGGGTCAACAACATCCACAGGCGATGCTGAAGTTCCCGAGGACGAAGAGGACGAGAAAACAAAGCCTGATAATGAAGCTATCCTGCGCTAAAACGTCCCTCACACTCCGATAGTCAACTTTTGAACTCTGGTTGTCTGGTAAAACTACAAAGCACTGGGTATGCAAGCGCCCACATCAGACAGGTCATGCACAGATAGGCTTTGCATGCACCGCAAGAGGTAAACAGTTGCGTCTACGTTTGCTAAACGTAGACGCGGAGCCTTCTGCGTTTTCTTGTTCATACCACAACAAAAAAATCGTGTTTGGGATTCAGTTTTTTGCACACAGGATAGACAAACCGGAAGACTTGATAAAGTACGACACCGTCGGCGGCTTGACGCAGAAATCGAAAATCAACAACGACGACACGCCAGGACCAAAAGAGCCCGACAAAGATCCGGAGTTGGATAAAATTGAGGACGGAAACAGCAGGAACTTGAACGAGGAAGAAGAGTCGGCGCTTTTTTTCTTCCTGCAAGCGTGGAAACCGAAACTAAAGCCCGGGTATTCGGGCGCGAACTCCGTTTTTGCGACTGGAGGTGGAAACAAGAGTGGTAGTAATGAAAAGCCGCTAGAAGACAAGTTCGAGATTGCGCCGGAGAGGAGATTGTGGGTGAAGGAGGTGGTGGAAAATGGTAAGAAGATTGAAGGCAGGAAAGCAGCAGGAGCTGTGCACCAACTTTTTACAACGGGAACGCTTGGGGGGAAGAGCAAGGCGAACGCTGCGGAAAAAGTGGATAATTACAAGGCAAAAGCGAAAAAGTCCACCACCGAGCAAGCAGAACTACCCAAACAAGGCGAGAACAATGATGGCAATAACAGCACAAAGAACGCAAATGCTTCTAGTGGCGAAAAGGACGGCACAGACGCTCCTGCTGGTGAGAAGGAAGACTTGGTGAAGAGCACCGGCGATAAGGCTTCCGAGGACGAGGGAAAAAACGTAAACGAGGATAGTACAACAACCAAAGAACAAGAAGAAAAAGATGACGAAGACGATACAGCTACGAACAAAAGCGGCGACAGCAATAAACCGGACGAGAACACGCAGAGCACCCCCGGCGATAACGATATTAATTCCAAGGACGAGGGAAAAAACGTAAACGAGGATAGTACAACAACCAAAGAACAAGAAGAAAAAGATGACGAAGACGATACAGCTACGAACAAAAGCGGCGACAGCAATAAACCGGACGAGAACACGCAGAGCACCCCCGGCGATAACGATATTAATTCCAAGGACGAGGGAAAAAACGTAAACGAGGATAGTACAACAACCAAAGAACAAGAAGAAAAAGATGACGAAGACGATACAGCTACGAACAAAAGCGGCGACAGCAATAAACCGGACGAGAACACGCAGAGCACCCCCGGCGATAACGATATTAATTCCAAGGACGAGGGAAAAAACGTAAACGAGGATAGTACAACAACCAAAGAACAAGAAGAAAAAGATGACGAAGACGATACAGCTACGAACAAAAGCGGCGACAGCAATAAACCGGACGAGAACACGCAGAGCACCCCCGGCGATAACGATATTAATTCCAAGGACGAGCGAACAAACGCAAATGAGGATAGTAGTACAACTTCCAAAGAAGATGAAGATGAAGACGAAGATACAGGTACGAAAAGCGGCGACAGCTACACCTCTGAGCAGGACCTCCCTGAAATCGAAGATGTCACGTTCCATGATTTTCGGTCGGCGTTATCCCTTTTCTACAAGAAGTCCCGCTGCATTGCGGAAAACCACGAGATGAAAAAATTAGCAAAAGCCGGGGACCTCCCCTCCTGGATGGTTGACGCGTTCGACGCCTACATATGGATTGCAAATATGTCTGGGTCTGGAAACTTGTGATGCTATGTGGCAATGATGGAGCATACTTCTGAGAGCAGCCAAGCATGACAAATTTTCAGGACGCTTCCTCATGATGTGTAAATGCCCATTAGAAACTGCGTTTTTGCATAACAAAGCATTCGCGCTTTTGTCGGTCACGCAATACAGATTTTACAGGAGTGCAAGACGAGCAATACAGATTCCAATTTTTGCAGACCCAGACATATTCGCAGTTGATACTACACGAAAGCGTACAAAAAATTCGAAAACTTCGGTTTCCGGACCAACGGAAAATCCAACGAAATATGCATGGCAAATGTGTCTGGGTCTGGAAAAGCTCAAATTTGTGATGCATGCTGCGGGTCACACAAAAATCTGTGTTGCGTGACTGCCAAAAGTTGCCAGTTTTGGTTAGGGTAGGAAGGAGTTTCTCATGCAGGATAGGCACGATAATGACCGCAGAAAATCTGTCATGCTAGGCTCTGCATTAGAGAGCTCGTGGGGCTTTGAGGAGCTGCATGACAAACCTTCGACTCTTCCAGGCCCAGACATATTTGCATTTGATACGAAATAGACTGTCCGAAGGATTTCAACCCGCTCGAAACCGAGAAGCACATCCGCGTGACAAAGCGGAAGGATTTTCCTTCGAAGGACTGGCGGGATGCGCTGAAGAACAAAACCAAGCCGATGGTTTTGGAGATGCCCTACGTGAACCGGAAGGCGCTGGATGAGAGGACGTGCGACGACGTAGACCCGCCCCAGCGGGAGCCGGGGATTTTTGCGGCCCGAAGCCACGCACCTCCGGAGTTCGTGGCGGTCAGTTTAGGCGACGGGACAAGTAGAAGTACTGGATCTTCTGGAGCAGGCAGCTATGGATTGCAAAAGTGTCTGGGTCTGGAAGAGTCATGCTGTTTTTGCATGACGCAGAAGGTCTGGCATGGAAGCTCTAGCATCACAGGTTTCGAGAGCCTTCCGCAATGCCGAATCCGCATGACAAGTCCCCTATTTTGCAGACAAAAAGTGGGAGCTTTTGCTACGTATGCATGAGAGACTTTTCTGTGTTCTGAAGTACGCATTACAAGTTGCATTCTTCCAGACCCAGACATTTTTACATTTGATAGCAGCGGTAGTAGTACAACTCCCACGCCATATCAAATGTAAAAATCCCTGGATGTCTGGAAACTTGTGATGCTGGGTGGCGTCTCATGATGAGGCCAGAAATGCTGGCTCAGCATCACAAGTTTCTGAGCTTCTATGTGTTGCCTATTCTGCATGACAACCTGCGTTTCTGCATCACAGAAAAATGGAGCTCTTGGGTAAGTTGCATGACAGATTTAAGAGTCATGCCAGACAAGCATGACAAACATGCGTTCTTCCAGACCCAGACATTTTTACACTTGATACGCCACGACCGGCAACCACCATGTTTTTCCGGAAAGACAACCTGTGCCATCTTCGGGACGAGCTGCGCAGTGCAAACGTATCGTATTCGTATAAATGCATTACAAATTTTCTCAGCATGAGAAGTGGAATTTGTAATGCGAATTTACCTTAGGAAAAAGATTTGCAATGCATGATTGCAATACGAGTGCGATACTTTTGCACTTGATACGAGCACTGCATCGTCGACGAAAACACTGACTCCGACGCGGCAACCGTAATTCGCCAGGAATTTCTGGCTGATTGGGGCGTGAAAAACAAGGGCCCGAAGAACGTGCAAAAGAGCCGTCGATTTTTCGGATTCAGGGGAACAAATTCGCAAGACACCCCAGAACAAGAGCAAGGAGAAACCTCCGTCCGCCGGGGCGCGAGCGGCGAAGAAAAAACCGAATTGTGGTTCGTGCCCAAGCAGCACAGCTGGTACCTGTGCGAAAAGAGTTCGCAGAAATGCGTGCCCGAAGCCGTGGTCTCGCAGCCCATCGACCGCAGCGATCTCACCCCGGAAGAAGAGTTTGAAAGCAAAAAAGCTAAGGACACCGTGTGTCTCCGGCTGGACAGTTTTCAAACCATGCGGGATTATGCGACAGACGGAACAACAAACGCGCTGACCGGAAAAACCATCGCGGAGACATACCAGCCGGTTTGCCTACCGAAACACGCGGTGCACGTTTTGCGGACGGTGGACCCATATCAAATGCAAATATGTCGGGGTCTGGAAGTTGTCATGTTGTTTTTGGATTCTAAAAAAATTTGTATTGCATGACCAGCAAGAGGGGGGTCCGCTTTGTGCTACGCAGACAGGGCATTTCTCATGCGGTAGAGGCATCGCAAAGCCCTCTGAAAGTCTTTGGTGCTAGGTCATGCATTACAGGCACCATGGGCCATGAGAAATATGCATGACAAGTCGTGCACTCTTCCAGACCCAGATGTAGTTGCAGTTGATAGCCCAACTATCGCCGAGGGCAGCGCCGTCGAGGTGCGGCTTCTCCCCGGGGAGCCCCGGGCACAGTATGCATTGCAAATATGTCGGGGTCTGGAAGGATGCAACTGGTCATGCTAAATCTGAATCATGTAAAAATCTGAATCATGTACAAAGGCGCCTCGCGCCGGGCGATTGACTTTGTAGCGGTGGGAGCGAACCACGCGAGCATCTTTGAACAGCCGAAGCTGCAAAGAATGAAGGTTGCTAATACGCCTGAGGGGAGTTGCGAAATGCTGGAAAAGCACGAGCACCCACTTGAGGAAGAGACAGACCACCTAGCGCTGCTTTTAGATGTGGTGTGGCGCCCACATTGGGCGGCACTGCGGAAGTTTGAGGAGGTCCTGCAGCAGATGGCTAGGGAAAAGGCAGGAGTCCAGACAGAATCTGGTCTGAAATTTAACGCGACCTATGCAGAAAGGATCCCGCAGGGCCTGTCGACAGAAAATCGGGTCAAGATCTATAAAGGAAGGAACAACTTCGAGAAAGCGGCCCCCTTTCCTATGATCACTGCCTGGCCTCGGAACACGCACAAGGCCGAGGCTTTGCAGAAGGCTTTTGAGGGAAAAGCGATGCCAGATCTTGAAAAAGAAGGGATTCACCAGGTGGAGACGTGGATGCAAGAGGTTCTAGTGGATGAGAAACTCATTGCCCCGATTCCGGCGGAAATGCCGAAGAACTTGCAGAAGCTCTTCGAGCGCGCAAAGCCAGAAAGGTTTGCGCATAGAAAAAAAGGCACTGGCAAGGGCGGCAAGTGCACTTCGAAAGGGAAAGGCTCGAAGGGCTTGCCGGGGATGAAAGGACGAAAAGGCTTCGGCAAGGTCAGGAAAGGCGGAATTGTTCTCGGCAAGGATGTGGCAAACACCGAGGACGATCTGCAGCAGTTAGCGCGGGAAGCTAAGGAGACTGCAGAGAGATGGGTAAAGTCTTTTGAGCACGATTGTGACCCAGACCAAATGGACAATCAGTACAAAAGGGCGAAAGCAGCAAAACTACAGGTCTGTGGGGCACAACGAGGCGCGGCTGCAGGTGAGCAGTCTTGCCTGAATATAGGCTCGGAAGCTGACCCGGTCTATGTCTATGGCGCAGAAGAATGCGCAGTGAAGATAGCTGAATTTCACTTGTCGAAAAACGAGCACATTAGGCGAGAAGCCGGCAAGAGGCACACCTTTGACCGCGCTGAATTTGCCAAAGCTTTGGGTGAATTGACTCAAGCGGCCGACCTTGTTCCTGACATCGAAATTACAGGAAAAGACTTGAAGGCTCATCTGAAGAGAGTCAACGGCGAAGCAGGGGGCGCAGACGGGATGCGAGTCAAAGCATTCCAAGGCTTAGGTATGAAGCAACTCTGCAACTTAGCCCGGGGCTATACGTCTTTCCTGAGGAAAGTCAAGAAGATGAAGTTCGAACCGTGGCTGGAGGATAAGGACCAGGTGATCCATCCTCTCCTGACTACCCTACAGGTAGAGCTTCTGGTCAAAGGGTTGGGGAACGACATTAGGAAGCTGAGGACAGTCATAAAAGGCACGCCGTGCTACAGACTCTTGCTCTCCTACCTCGTATACATTAGCGCCAGAGTTGCTGACTTAGGCGACAACTATACACCAGCAGGTGCTGGGGGTAAGCCGGGCGCTTCCAGCGTTGTGACGGCGCTGGAGATTCTGGGCACTATATACTCAGACGAGCTGCAGGATGGATGGAACAGGAAGCTAGATGCTGAGCCGAAGAAATTTTTGAAATTGCAAAAGAAGAGAGAGGGGGCCCCCCGGAGTAAGGCCAGCAAACTTGGGGGCAAGAAGAGGGCAAAAGGGAGTAAGGGCACAAAAAAGGCTACGAAGGCAGCTAGTGCGAGTCCACTCGTTTTGCACGAGCAGAGCACTTTTGGCCTGGACATCGAGAAGGGTTCACAAAGCAAAGCGAAGCATGAGGCTAAGCCTCTAGCCGCGCCAGGGAGCCCAGCTGCTGCTGACAGGGATGCTAGTGCTCAAGAACAGCCCTCCTCGGGGGAAGAAGCAGAGTGGCTCACTTGCCTAATAGGAGTCGACGCCGCAAATTTTTTCAATAGTCTCTCGGTATGCAGTGCGGCAAGGGTTTTGCGTGACGCTCGCATACATCCGGTGATCATCAAGTTGATAATGATAGCCACGTACTCGAAAAAGCTGTATTTGAGGAACGGCGAAGTTTTCGGAGAGATTAGCGGTCACCATGAAATGATCCAAGGCAGTGTAGACGCCATGATGTGCGGTAGTCTCCTCTTCATGCCGGCAGTGCATCAAGTGGCAAAGTTTCTTAGTGGGTGCTTTGATGAAGAGGGGCGAGTGGTCCCCGACGCGGAACTTAGAAAGTTAGCGCATACGATGCGCAACGCAGTCGAGAAGCGCTACGCGTCTGGTGAAGATTTGGACACTTCATTCCGCAAGTACGATGTCCGTACAGAGGTGGGCGAGCTCTTTTTTGATGTAGGGACGAATGGGGGCCAGTCAACAGGTTTTAGAAGGGTTGCGACACAGACGAGGGACGATAAGCGCAAAGGACGTGTGCGATTCGAGTATCAGGACGGCAAGTTACAGAATCCGCACAAAGCGGCGAAGCGTCGCGCAGCAACAGCCGTTCAATTTATCGATGACGGCACAATCTCCCTGCGTTTTAGGAAGCAGGATAGACAAGCTGTGCACTGGATTCTGCAACAGGTTTCGAAAATCTATGAAAGGATGTACGTCAGCGAAGGACAGTTTTTGTCACCTGCGAAGAGCGAGCTCCTGTGCTCAGATCAGGAGGTAGAGGCTTTCGCGTTGTTGCATGCTTTCACGCCACTAGGCGTCCAACTGTTGCGGAAGAGAGCCACTCGGATCCTCGGCGCAATAATAACGCTGCAAGGGATAGACGAGCAGAGGGCGGCGACAAAGGGTCAGATTACTAGCGCGATTGGCCTTGGCCAGCACTTAGCTGCCAAAGTCATGGCGAGTCAGAAAGAGATGGCCGGGGAGGAACTCAGGTGGTTGGTGGTTATGTTCTATCTTTCGGGGCTGTTGTATCTCCTTCCATTGATGCAGGTGATCTTGCAGCCATCGGACTGGGCTGACCTCCTGATGGATATGGCCACTGCAGTGGCGGAGACACTGGGTTTCTCCAAAAGGGCGTGGGTCGAGCTGACTGCTAGAGCACAGCTGCAGCCACAGTGCTTCTACCGAGTAATTTTCTCCGAGAATTGTTTGGCGTTAATCGACCCATTTGTTATGAGCATCAAGCTCCTCCGGAGTGCCTGCCAGTCTAGCATCCTGACGGATATGGACTTCCTATTGCCTAAGGCGGTCTACCCCGTTAGAGTTCTGGGGGCGGGCGAGACTGGCATCAAGTACAGCGATAAGGAGGACCTGAAGGAACAGGCTAAAGCGGACATAGCGCTTGTTCAGGCTCTAGTTGACGGCGCGGCGACCCGCATCTCCCACAGGAGCGACCTCAGGGTGGCAGGGTTCGTGCAGGACCGCACTCTACGACGTGACAAGATGTCGCCAGGCCTACCGGTTTACGAAATTAGAGCCTCGACAGATCTGACTGCAACGGTCTGCGTAGAGAGGAGCACAGGCAGGATTGTTGCGCAGTACAGAACGAAACTGGAGCACTTAAAGGTCGAAGTGAGGAGACAAGAGAGACGCTTCTTGGCATATGTGAGCAATGCAATGGCCTTGCTGCGGGGTGTCATGCAGTATTGTCATGGGGTTCAGAGAGCAGGAGTGGAGCTTTCGGACTACAAGCGGTTGCAGTCGAACACACGTGGCCCGCTCAGGCAGGGCAACGGAATAGTGCTGAGCCTAGTCGAAGCATTAGAAGGCGCGCAGGCCTTGGGCTATGAAGTCCGTAAAGAAGTTTTGCCTAAGCACGGCGAAAATTTCAGGGACTTAGACTCGGGAGTCCCAGTGCACGCGGTCCCTCTCGAGATAGTCAACGTAGCGCAGCGTGACAACTGCTACACAACATGGCCGGTCTACGAGTTCGGTGAAGAAGCGTACAAGTTTCCCCCGGTCAGGGACTGGCCGAAGATGTCGCGCACGAGACGAACGCTGTATCTTGACGAATGCTTAGGGATAGAGCAAGGGAAAGAGGTAAAACCAGAAGGAGGAAAAGAGGAGGAACAGGCCCCCTCGGTGCAAGAGAGGGGGGACCAGAAGGAAGCGAAGGGCACGGCTGCAGGCGACGTGCCCGCAGAGAAAGTAGACGCAGGAAGTGCCACGGAGCAGCAGTCCGGAACGGAAAAACACAAAAGCGACGTGGCAAAAGACCCGCTCAGTAAGTTTCACATGGAGGCTGACTGTCTGAGTTTGTGTCGTACTCTTGCGAAGGGTGCGAGCAAGCCAGCACAGGGGGAAGTGAGTCCCCCAAAGCCGGCGATGTCTAGTCGGGCGACAGTTGAAGAGCTTCGCCTTCCAGTCGGTTCTTCAGCGTCAGCTTCTTCGTCTTCCTCATCCATATCACACAAGAGGTATGACCAGCTCACAATGAGCGAGCGGAAAAGGTTTGCAAAAAGGCTTCCCAAGGTAGCGCGTGAGGGCTCAAACGCGTTGAGCTGGGGTGAGGGGGTTGATCGATCTACCGCTTTAGCGGAAGACGAGATGTGTCTTACTGAGCAGGGAGTTAGCCCCTCGCACTCTGCTGGCTGTTCCCCAAAGAGTTGGCAGCCAGAAAAGCTAGTGAAGGGGTCGCCGGAGAAGAAGCTGCGAAAAGTGGCGCAGCCGAGTACGGAGGACGCGACTAGCCAAGAAAGCAGGGGCACCGAGAAGGCACGGACAGTGTCTAGCAGTGGCGTCCTCGGCAGTAGCCTCCCGAACGGAGCTACCAGAGAGGCAAAGCGCAGCGAGGGGGGAAGTGAGGCTGCTTCGTTGAGTGCGGGGCGGGCTTCGTCGCCTGTGTGGCCAGGGGTCTCAGAGGGTAAGCAAGAACGAAGCGACAAAGCGCGTCAAGCGTGCACGGGGGCGGAACTGCCGCGACGTACGTTTGCGTCGGATGTCCAGGTGGGGAAATTCCAGAGGTTGCTGGATGTAGTCCACTTAATGCTACCGTCGAACGACGGCGAGGCCGGGAGGGGCACTGGACAAAAGCAGGAGGCCCCACTGGAGTGTGAACAACTCTCACCCAGGAGTTGGGGCGAGATGTTGCGCCGGGTCACAGGCAGGAAGAAGGAGGATGTAGAGTGACGGTAGACGATTCTGCCACTCTGCAGCCAAGTTAGCAGCTAAATAGTTTCGATTTGAACCACTGAGATTTTGCCACATTGAGACTTTGCCACATTCAGACTGATTAGAACATTCGCACAGAAAGCACAGAAAACGAAAGTGTCAAACTTGTGCTAGAAAATAAGTGAGAACGAAGAAAAACGGCAACAGCAGTGTACTACAAGAGTAAAAGGGTAGTTCCCGCCATTCTCCTTGCTCGTGCAGGAGGTGGCGTGTAGTTTCGAGTAGGCTTGCACGGTGTTCGGCGGGATTAGTGCTCCGCAGCCCTTGGGTGTTATGCAACCGAAGCTAATCGGTGGCACAATACGGAATCAGCTACGGTCGAGGGGGGCTTGAGAGGTAAAGGGGATTGCCGGCTACCCTTAATAGGTAAGTTCCGTCGCGACTCCGGCTTACGACCCCCGTCCCCCCTCCCGCCCTTTGCTTCTGTTGCAGAATAAGTCAAGGGTCGCACTAAGACTTCCACGCACAAACTAAACCTTTAAGTTGTCGCTGTGCCCCAGGTGGGTTGCCAGTCAGCAGTGACAAACAACTGGCCAATGGTTTGACATCTCCGGTCCGCGGCACTTGCCTTTTTCGTCCGTGCCGCAGGTAAGGCACAAATGGTCCAGCCTCCCCTGTCTGGGTGGGGTTGCGGCTTAAGGGAGAGTCTCGCCCCTTAGCCCAAAGGGGTACGTCGTCTCTTCCGTGAGAACAAAAACTTATGGCGTAAAATGGGTCGGGTCCTGGATCGTTCTGTATGTTGGGCTGTCGCGCTCAGCTAGCTGGCCGGGCTGTACTGATCAGGTGTGGTGGGTAGCTCCCGACTGGTTGGTACTTCTATTGGGGCGACTTGCCGTGGTAGCGCTCGGCTTTTGTATGTGGAGGTCGCCGAAAGTGCTTCCTCGCCCACCCCCCGGGGAGGGGATCCTTGACCTGTGGCGCTGGGAGCGGGTGTCCACTACATGATGATGATGATGCGTGATTACGAAAGGCTGTCCACTTTTGAGCCAATCGGGAGGCGGTTTCCCATGCAGGATAGGCATGATAGAACTCTCACAGAATCTGTCATGCTATGTCTTACATACCAGACGCAGACCTCATGGGTCATGGAAAACCTGCATGACTAGTCTGGCACTCTTCCAGACCCAGACACTTTTGCGTTTGATACGCAGGGGTTTGTCACCAAGCTGTGGAAGCCCATCGCGGAGCAAGATGACGAGAACGACACGGACGAAACCTCGGTGCAGGTCGTTTCCACCGAGAATTTAAGTCCGGCGGAGTTGGAGAAGTTAGAAAACGATTTGAACTCGCGGCCGCTGACGACGTCGGATGATCAGCACGATTGCAACACGGAGGGCTGTGTGAAGGTGATGTTTACCGACCCGGAGTTGAACCAGTCCCCAGACAGGATCTTTTCCCTGAACCAAGTGAAGAAAGCAACCCGGGTGGTGGAAGATCGTGTTGGGATTGTTTTCCTGCTCGGAATGGAAATGCTGGCGGGAATGCGCAAAATGTTTGTGCTCGGTAGAAGTTGTGAAAAGGGTAGCAGGCACGCTGCAACGACAGATGTTTTTCGTCGCGAGAAGCCGCAACATCATGGGTCTTCCCTACAGAACATGAAGAGGACCAAAAGTGCGCACAAAGGAGTGCGTCTGCACCATCTGCATCAGAAGCAGGATTGTCAAATGTTTCTGTGAAAGAACGACCTTTTGAAACTGTACAAATCGTATTGTCGTGTCATCTTCCGCGTGGCTCGTTTGCAAAAGAACGGCAGCGAAGCGATTTTCCTGTCAAGACGCAAACTGTTTTTGTTCACCTGCGTGTCGCTTTTGCTGATCCATCTGTTCTTGATCGACCGTGTGTTTGTTCTTGCTTTTTTCTTTTATTTTGCAGCACCAAGAAGGATCGGGGAAAAAAAAAATGATTCGGATAGTAGATTGTCCCCCGCAAAGAAGTACTTTTTGCGCGCAGCTTTGCACCGATGTTAGTAGCTGTTCTATTCACAACCTAGGCCAGGCACTACTTCGACAAGATAAATATTTTTAGTTCAGACATGTGATTTGGCGCAGATTAAAGGCACTGACTTTCAACGGCGATCAAAATAAGATTTGACATCCATACCCTCATGGTGTTGGTGTCGTTCTTTCGAAGATCATTTTTTAGAGGAAATCCCGATGTCCCATTGGGTTTTTGTTTTTCCGTTCTCGAAGGAAATGCGTCCTCATCGAAGAAATTCCGTTTATTTGGTTCTGTAAGACTGGCATTTCTGACAGTAAAATCCTATACAACGCTGCCTAACTTCTCTCCGCGTTTCGTTGTGTCTTTTGCCTCATCGCAACTTAAATAACTACTTGCTCAAATTGACCCCTCCACAGCTCTTTTTGTTCTATGACTAAGTACTATGTCTATTTGAAGTGGAAAGAGCTCGAGGTAGAACTCCAACTCCTGAACTACAACTTAGTATTTAAGTACTTTATCTTGACATATGACTTTACCTAGTTGTTATGCTACCTGTACCTCTGTATGAGCTTTACTAGACGTCATGATGTACAACAGCAAACCTGGAAAGCAGTACCACGGCGGCAAAAACAACCGCAACCGGCAGTCCCCCTACTATGGTGGCGTCGGTAAAACCGGCGGCGGACTAGCTCCCCTGTCGAAGGGGAAGATGGGCCGCGCGCAAGGCATGGGGGAAGCGATTGGGCCGCCGGGGTTGATTCAGGATGGGAATCCCAGCTATGGCAATATGGGGCATCTGCAGCAGGATTATTACAACCAAGGAGCTTCATGGGGTGGGGCTCCAATGATGGACCACAAAGGAGGCGGTGGAAAAGGGGGGGCGAAGTTCGGCGGTGGGAAGTACAACTCATCCTACAACACCTGGCACCATCATGACCCAACATCTCAGGCCAAACCAGCACGCACAAAGGGCCGACAGCCCACGGAGTCCACGGTGGTCGCGCGCGTGCAGAAGCGCGAGGGGCTAACCCCGGAAGACATCGAGGACGCGGCGGCGGACATGGCCATTGCGGGTGGGTATAGTGTTCCAGACAGGGTCGAGTTCGTCAGCAACACGCTGTGTTTCATCGAATTCCCCTCAGCCGACGCGGCGAAGAAGTGCTTTGCAGAGGTACTGTTTTCTTGCAGAGAGATGCACTAATTGTAATGCGGCTTTTGCAAAGCGGTCCTATTCTTACAACTTTTAGTGCAGCTGGTGGGCATGAGCATGACAAAATTGCTGGTGTTTGTAAAATTAATACATTGGCATGAAAAAAAAACTCATTCTGTACTTCTATCAGGGTCAATCCAAGAAGCTGGAAGTGAACGGGCAGACGCTGGATTTCGTGAATTACGGTGGAGCGGCAGATGTGAATGCTGAAAAAGAATCGGACACGATAAAGCTCCGGCACATCGAAGAAATAAGCGAGAAAGATATCAGAAAAATTTTCGAGGAATTGGTGCCCAACAGCATACTATTCGTGAAGATGATGTACTTACTTACAAAGCTCCTTTTTGCCTCTCACCTTCTGTTTCGTCCAGACACTTTTGAGGAATCGAATGTGTTGATAAACCGAAAGAACCGCAGTAGAATGTCGATTTAATCAAACCGCATTTTCGTTCTTGACAAGCTGCCCATGATTGTTAATCAAGTGGACATTGACGTCGTTGTAAAACTGAAACCTACAACCACTCGCAGAAAGCACAAGCCGCCGCAGGAATACGATTGGTGGGGCAATCCTGTGCCCCCAAACCCGCAGACGCAGACCACGAAGGGGCAGAAGCAGCAGATGGAGCAGATGCAGAACCAGTTTGCCTTTGTCACCTGCATATGGATTGCAAATATGTCTGGGTCTGGAAACTTGTGATGCCGGGTGGCGTATCATGAGAAAGCAACAAGTGCTGGCTCAGCATGACAAGTTTCTGAGCTTCTATGTGTTGCCTATTCTGCATGACAAACTGCGTTTTTGCATGACAGAAAAATAGGGCTCTTGGGTAACGTGCATGACAGATTTAAGAGTCATGCCAGACAAGCATGACAAACATGCATTCTTCCAGACCCAGACATTTTTGCAGTTGATACTGCAAGTCCCAACCCACCGCGAAATTGGTGATGGACCGGTTTAAGTCGCAGAAATATCCTGAGTAAAAACGTACCCACACCAGAGTCACGATGGGGATTTTGCAACACAAACCTAGGAGTTTTGTGAGTCACGCATGACAAGTTGCACTCTGCAGTGTAGTGCAGGTTGGCAAGTGCAGCCGCGTCACAGATTCATCTGCTCATCCTGTTCACAGCGTCACAAATTCCAAAACGCGATTGGAAATGGCTCTCATGGGGATGCGCATGACAAGTCTTCCTGTCTTTGCAAATCTGCATTACAACTCTGGCGTGGGTACGTTTTTACTCAGGATAAGAAACAGTCAAAAATCAACGACACTTTTGTCGACCCGCACTTTGCGAAAGCCTCCGCGCAGGTGCAGTTTGAAAGAGACCAGGCGAATTTACCCGCGGTTTTACAGGCTACAAAATTGCCGAAGAAACACATTTCCTTGCTCGCACAGGAACCGGAGCTCCTGAAATTGATGCAGGAGAAAAATGACGACAAAAGTGGACCCTCCAACCCGTTTTTATCTTCATCGAGCGCAGGAGGGAATAATTCTACGAGTGCAGCAGTTTCTGCGATACTAGAGAAGGAAGAGAACACCAATAGCAGCATGTGGGCCTCTTATCTGAAGAAGTTCGAGGGCGCGAATGGTGCAAAGGCGACAACGACGGCTGCCGTGAGCAACAGTCGGATCAACGGCGGCGGGGGAGCTGCAGCTTCAGCCAACGCTGGTGCCACAGCTTCCTCAGCCGGGGTTCTAGTCCCGCCTGGAGGTGGAAACAGCGGCGGCGCAACAGGATCTACTTCTTCCGGCGATAGTAAGCCGATGGATAAGTCTCTACCACGTGGGAGGAAACTGATGAACGTTTGGAATCCCGATGAAACGCAAACGGCAATATGGACCACTGTGGATAACGAGGGGCTTACAATGTACTATTTCATCTTCTGCAGGAACTCTTCCTGTTTGTCTTTGTGTTTGTTTCGATCACTATAGCGATTCATTTCACAGCATAATTGGCTAATCTCTTTATTCCGCTCCAAAACAAGATCAAGAATTCGGAGATTATACAAAGCAAAAAAAATCTTTTATACAGGTATTTCGACTCCGAGCGGGGTTTTTTCTTCGACGCTAACGCGATTTATTTTCAGTACGAGAAGGAATCGCGAGTTCTCATCCAGGTGGACTCCAAGGGAAAGATCAAGGAGGATTGTGCCAAACTCCCCTTGAAGCATCTCCCGGCGAGCTGGAAGCACGAATTTGGGTTGGTGATCCAGCCGAACCCGGTGCAAAGTCCGCAGCTTGGAGCTGCAGCCTCTACGGTGGAGAGTGGGCAAACTGGTGCACCACCTGGCGTGCCTGGTGGGTCACCTCCGAATAGCACAGATGCGACGTACAACAACCCGCAGCTACAGCAAGATGCTTCATTCCCAGTAAATGTGACAGGAACATCAAGTACTATGCCATCAACAAGCGCTGTTGACGACCCTAGCACGACTGCCCCGCCCCCTCTCAGCGCAACCGCCTCCAGTATGCGCAACGCGATGGCCGCGGCGTCGATGGAGCAGAGTCAGTTGAATGACCGGATGAACCAGCAAAGGCTTCCGTCGCCAAATTCCCAACCGCAACAGCATAGTAGTTCAATGCTGTATAACAACCAAATGACCCAGCAACAGAACATGAATCCCTCGCAGCAGCAGCAGCAGCAACAGCGTCCGCCGCCAAGCTTTTCCACAGGTTCGAACTCGATTCCGTTAGGGAAGCCGTCGCCGCAGTTCGCGCCCCAACCGGCGCCTACTGATTCTCGAGGCCCGGTCAGCTTTCTATCAAATGTAAAAGTGTCTGGGTCTGGAAGAATGCAACTTGTGATGCTGGATTTGGATTCCAAAAAAATCTGTATTGCATGAGTACCATAAGGGAATGTAATTCTTGCTACGCGGAGAGGGCATTTGTCATGCGGAATAGGCATCAAGAAGCTCTCAAAAAATCTGTGATGCTAGGGCATGCATCACAGACATCAGGGCTCATGCAAAACGTGCATGACAAGTGTCAGAATCTTCCAGACCCAGACATTTTTACATTTGATACTTTCAGGATATCTACAACGCGACATCGCACCACCAGCAATTACGGCAGCAGCAGGTACAACAGCAGCAACATCTTCTTGCGCCGCAGGGTCAGCAGCCACAGCAGAACTATCAAATGCAAAAATGTCTGGGTGGTCTGGAAACTTGTAATGCTGGGTTGGGAATGGTGAATGCTCTGAAATGCACAGCCAAGCATGAGAAATATCTGCGCTTCTTAGTGTTGCGCTTTCCGCATGAAAAACTGCGTTTTGGAATGACAAGCAAAGAGGTCTCTTCTTGCACACGCATCACAAACTCTTCAGTCATGCCAGACAAGCATGACAAACCTTCACCTTGTATCCTTCCAGACCCAGACATATTTGTAGTTGATAAGAACCTTGGGACGATGTTGAATACGAAGAAGCAACCCGCGGTGTTTGCGTCCGAATCTTATCAAATGCAAAAGTGTCATCTGGGACTGGAAGAATGCAGACTTGTCATGCTAAATCTGAATCATGTACAAATCTGTGTTGCGTGATTACCAAAAGCTGTCCACTTTTGACCTAATCGAGAGGCAGTTTCTCATGCAGGATAGGCATGATAGAACTCTCACAGATTCTGTCATGCTATGTCCTATATGCCAGACCTCATGGGTCATGGAAAACCTGCATGACAAGTCTGGCACTCTTCCAGATTCAGACACTTTTGCAGTTGATAAATCTGATGAGGAGGACATGGAACTGTCCGATGCGGAGGATGTCCCCGAACCGGAGGAAGAGAGGGAGTACATCTGCTATTTGTGTCAGCGAAAATTCCCCCACGCGGCCGCGTTGATTCGGCACGAGAATGAGTCGGATATCCTGTGCAAAAGTATCGTGCTCGTACTAATTGCAAATATGCATGACAAATGTTTTTCCTAAGGCAAAACAGCAATACAGATTCCACTTTCCTTCTTGCCAAAATTTGTAATGCAATTTATACTAGTACGATGCTTTTGCATTGCATATCCGACTTGCACAAGCGAAATCTAGCCGCGAAAGCCGCCCGGGAACAAGAAGCCATGGCGGCAGCGGCCAGTGCGGTGAGGTGAGGTGAATATTGATTGACTGCTGCTGGTGCGGGGGAGGGCGTTTTTGGTATAATGAATCGTGGTCGTGGTCGTGCCTGTGCTGGTTCATCAGCACAGTGCGGCTCAACCACGACATGATGGTGCCTCCATACGACCAGATAAAAACTTAGGGTGTGTTGTAACACACACAAGGACAAAAGCGACGTGCCACTGAGAACTACTTCTTCTAAGACATAGAAAATAGGATAAGCGAATGACGACATCAGAACTGAAACACGAGTTCCATATGGATACTTTCGTACCGGCTAGGTTCGTGGCGCGCAGCTGCGTTGTGATCCTCGCAAAACAAGATTTGCGCTTTCTCTGTTTCTGTAGTTCAGCCTCGCCCACGCACAGTAAGTCCGTGGTACGCATCAGTACGACCGCCAAGGAATATCGAGTTGAAGATGTCCAAACTGCCAGTGCTTGTCAGTCGCGATTGTGGGAGTTGAAGAGAGAAGTAGTTCTTGCACCTATGAAGAGCAGAAGCTTCGTCAACTTTTGTGATTTGTATTGCAAAAAAGGTCGTGATCGCAACTACAGCGGACGAGGAGATCTATCTTCACGTCGCACTAGCGTCATCCTATCTTTCTGTGTTTGTCGCGCCAGCAATCGTGTAGTGTGTTTGTTCAAATCTAGCAAGGAAGCGCATCAACTTTTATATATCCGTTTGCTGAAGTAGTAGGAAACTACACGAAGATTAGATTTAGAGGCCTAGGCACTACGGATGTCGACTTGAGTAGCACACAAGTTTGATCTAGATTCTCACATCTGTAGCGTATACACACACACCCTTGCCGAAAAATGAACGCGCTTCAACCGACGACCACGTACCAGCACTACGATAATTACCAGCAGCAGCTGCAGTCTAACCAGCAGGAACAACTACAGCAGCACCAGTATAATTATCAGCAGCAGCTGTTTAATCCCGATCAGCACAATAACCAATTTCAACTGGAAAACCACCAACCGTCACCCCCGCCCTACTCCGGTCCCCCGATTTCTCTCGGCGAAGTAGGCACGATATGGATTGCAAAAATGTCTGGGTCTGGAAATTTGTGATGCAAGGTCCTTGCGTCACTCACTCTTCCCTCCTTAGGAAGGGAAGAGTGAGCTCACTGTAATGCGCTGCCAAGCATGACAAGTTTTTTGGCATGGTTCTGAGTTGCGTATTCTGCATGAGAAACTGCGTTTTTGCATGACAGGGAGTAGCAGCTCTTCGCGGCCGCGCAATACAGAGTTCAGAATCATGCCAGATTAGCATGACAAATCTCGGACTCTCCCAGACCCAGACACTTTTGCAGTTGATACACGAAACTCGCTGACAAAATCGACTTCGAGCAGATCTTCGACGAAGTGTTCCAAACGCTGCTGTTCGAAAGGCGTATCCTGTGCAAAAGTGTCGTACTCGTATTGCAATCATGCATCACAGTATATTTTTCTTAAGGTAAATCAGCATTACAAATTTCATTTCTCACGCTGAGGAAATTTGTAATGCATTTATACGAGTACGATTATACTTTTGCAATTCATAAGGCGAATCCCGGAGCAAAACGGCGAGTACCGCCGATTGAAGAACGCGGCAGACAAGTCGTACTTGAACCTCCTTCGCACGGACTTTACGAATCGGTTGAGCCTGAAGCTCGACGGGATCCAGACGGAGATGGAGATCGCGAATAGCTCGGCGAACGCGTCGGAGCTGTACGCAAAAAATGTGTGCACCAGCGACAGGATAATTGCGAAGCGGGAACAGTTGGTGGCCTTGCGGAAAGAATTGGAAGGCTTGGTGATGCGGGGAGCGGGGGCTGGAGGGAGTAGTTTTGGCGGGGCTGGAGGGGATGCCGATAGGTACGAGTTTTCTAATAACTACCCTGTCGAACAGCAACAGCAGCAGCAGCTGCTGTATCAAAATGAATTTGCGCAGCAGCGACAACAGAAGCACGTGCAGTTTCAATCGCCTGGGTGAGGATGTTGAGAAGTTTGATAATCAGAGACTCTTATCCCAGGTGCCGATCGGATATTCTATTTGCTGAACAGATTCAACAGATACCTCAGAACGCAAATGGAATGAAAAGAAGAGTTGTACGCGAGAAACACAAACATCAAAAAGGTGTAATAAACTTAAGAACCTCCTCTTCCTTCTTCTGCTCCTTGCAAATCGATCCGCTTCTACGAAGCAGGCTCGTGCTCCGACGTCCTCGTGTTTGAAGTGTCCGTATTGCGTCAAGATTTCAACATCTTCATCAGAATTGCGAAACGAGTTGCTATGGAGAGAAGCTCTTCAGAGGAGTGCCTGTTCTATCCTGAAAATGAAAGCGTTCACGGTTGAGTGCAGCCATAAGCATAAGTAAATTACCGACACAAGAGGGGACGAGGTGTTGAGTTGGAGAATCTTATCTTGCTTCAGACCTGAGAGGCGGAATTGAATATCCACCTTGTCCTTGCTATTCTACGTGATATTATTTCAAGAACAGAACTGCGCTTATCCCGCGGAGCCAGTGGTGGTTGCCCGCCGTGGTTGTCGCTTGCCCGAGTTGTCAGCCCCTTTCCCTGCGAAGAACGCGGCAGTCAGTTACCCGGCTGGCTCTTCGCTTGACACGACAAGCAACAGGGCGGAGGGTGTTATTTGCTCCAGAAGCTAGACGGAGACAAGACCCCGCGATTGCGATGCGCGCCGGCTTCCGCGCGTCGCACCCTTTCCCTCCGGCAGCAGAGATGTTGGCGCTCCTTCTGGTCGCGCGGCGGATCCTAGCAAAGGAAGCATGTCAGCCGGAAGCCTGGGCCCCCCGTAGCCTACTGGTGCGCCGTGCCGCATGAACAAGCGACAAAAGTGCACAAGTGTGCAGCGGGTTTTTTCGAAACTCACCCGCGGAAAGCTGCTCCCGTTAGCAATCGCGGCGGAGAACGAGAAGCAGGGGGCGCAGCGGCCTATTCTTGCTGTCTCGACTGTGACGCGCTGGCCTCCAGCGGTGCCCCACCCTGGCCCCGCGCCGCGCGCGCGCTTGCTTCCGTACCGGGTGGACCGCCCGGGCGGCGGGCCTCTTCGCCAGTGCCGCGCGCCGGCCGCGTGCGCCACTTAAATGCGCCAAAGAGCCGCCCCGGCCCTAGCTAGCGGCGAATCGGGCCGGTGACGTGCCCCTTTTCCAGCCAGCGCCCGCGGGGGGGCGGCGGTAGCAGGGGCGCCGATGTTGGGCGCGGCCCGCCGGCCCTGGTGGCGCGGCTTTGTATGTCGCGGCCCGCTTCTCTATTTATTCCGCCCTGATGGAGGCCGTCCTGTTCGCTGCTTCGATTGTGTTTTCTGCGTCTCGAAGTTGGCTATGTGCGCTGGTTGCCAGAAGTGTTCGCGACTGCGCCAGTGAGCGGAGGACCTGCGCCGGGGAGAGGAAGCGTGCGCCGACTTGTTTCATGGATCATGATAAGGGCACTTACAGATGAGAACGAGCAGCGCACCTCAGAGGTCGAGCAATCAATACAGGAGGGACAGTCTACAGAGGCATTGTTTGTAGAACTGGAAGGTGTGTGAGGGTATTATGTGCGGCCGCCTGAGACCTCATTTGTATGTCCATTTTCACAAGCACCTGAGCGTAAGGTGCAGCGGGTCTACCGAGGACGATGAGTGCTACTTAGCGGACACAAATGCAGACTTTTCTTGCATTCATAAATCCGTACTCATTTTGAGCCGCTAAATTGTTATAAATCTCTCCTGGAAACTTGAAGAAGTTTATTTTTTTGCATTTCATTTCATCCGTTACCGTTTCCGCTGTCTGCACTAGAATTGGGATCCCATTGACAGTAGATTTTGTGCAGTTACTGAACACAAACTGAACACATCTTCCAACACGAAAGGCAAGCTACGTTGACGGTGCTGAGTACCAGAGACGGCCACGCCACGCACACGACAACTGACTTCCTCTTCCGGATTTTTCAGAATTCTACCACACTACCGATTTCGCATTTCTGACGATACTTGCTCTAAGCAATACTAGCAGTCGGGTTTTTGTTGATACGAAATTTTGATGTTGTTGTAGTCGGGCTTTTTCTTTTTTTGGATTACTCGAATGAACCAGAATTATCGAAAACTGGAACTCTTTTCCAGAAGATTGTCCAAGTGCAAGTGTTGTCATAATTTCAATTAACGCACACGCTGATCTTCCGCGGGCTTACCAGTACACTATTGTTTCTTTGCTAGTACACGAGCGCGAGATATCAATTACGTATCACCCTATATCGTCTCTTCAATGCTCTTCAAGTCCCTCGCTCTATAGACTCGTTTCTGAATTAATTTGCGTTTTTCTCGGAAGGTATTTCGGCATCCCCAAATCTTTCCTTCAGCGACACACTCGGTTTTCCGTACTCGTACAGCACTGGCAAAAAGGCCTAAATAACTCTTCGGTAGTTCTGACGTTGAGCACAAGCAGCATCACATTCGTGCTTGTTTTCGGTCGTGCTTTCTGAGCTGCAGAAGTTATTTATTTCGTCTCGTCCACACAAACGGCAAAACCAAAACGGCCCTCGTTTTTTTCTCTTTTTATCATCCCGGAGTCCGTACGAGTACAGGAGCACGTACCGAGCAGCACCTGAGCGGCGCAACATCGTCCTTCGTTTCGAGAGTGTCTGTCTTCATCTCAAAACCGCTTGTAGATCTCGTTGTTTCAACATGATTTTCACGGCAATTGCTTCTCTTCGTCTGCTCTAAAAAAACCAGGAAATCTCACAACTCCCGCTCTATCTGCTATACCCCTATACGATTTTCTACTACAGTATCACCCATACAGATTTTTCACCATTTTCACACTTCTATACGATAGTTCCACTCCTACTTGATAAAGAATATCCTTATCCGTTTCTTCTCAATTATACGAATTCGAATATTTAATGAGCAGACGCCGCGTAGTTTCCAACGCCAACTTTTAGCAGCCACTCGTTTCAACAACTACTAGTTTCATAACCGATCACTACAGAAGTGTTGCTTCTCACCATAAAGAGCGCGTGTGTCTTTCTCTTTCCTTGTTTTTGTTTCGCTTTAAATAAACCTTCTACGTTATTCGTAGATTCTTGTGTCACGAAGTAGAACCTTGTTGTGTCACCACTGCACGACAGGCTGCTGGGAAGATTCGCGCCGTCGTAGAGAAGAGAAAATTATACTTGAGGCGCCACCGACTTCTACTATCAGTGCAAGAGATAGAGAACCTTAACTGTAGCCTGAAGACGAACACGAAACTCTGCTTGGACGTATACTAAGTCTAACGACTAGAAGTTGCTGGCGATGTTACCCGACTATCAAATGCAAAAGCATCGTACTAGTATAAATTGCAATACAAATTGGCTCAGCATTACAAATTCAATTTGTAATGCGGATTTGCCTTAGGAACTGGATTTGTAATGCATAAGTGCAATTACTACGAGTGCGATACTTTTGCACAGGATACCGACAGCGCTGCGGCAACGTGGACTCCGGACCCGTCTACGACCCACAGCACCCCCGATCTATCAAATGCAAAAATGTCTGGGTCTGGAAGAATACAAACTTGTGATGCGCATTTCAGAACACAGAAAAATCTCTCATGCATAGGCAGCACAAGTTGCCTACTGTCTGTCACCAAAGTGGGGGATTTGTCATGCGGATTCGGCATTGCGAACGCTTCTCGAAACCTGTGATGCTAGAGCTTGCATGCCAGACCTTCTGTGTCATGCAAAAACAGCATGACTCTTCCAGACCCAGACACTTTTGCATTTGATACGATCTAGCGGCCAACAAGCCGCCAACCTCCCCGGCGGCCAGTGCAACTGGCGAACCGGAAAAGCCTGCGATCATGACAAACAATAACAACCGAGTGGACATAAATCATGCCGAGCAGAAGAAAGGTAAGTCTAAGAGTACTATGGACTTTGACGCTTGACGTTGTTCTTCAACTCTTTTGCCATGGAAGACTGCTGCACTTGTGGCGCACTGATGGTAGTTTTTGGAATCATGCGCCTAAGACTTCTGATAAGTTGAAATTCTACTTCACAATCAACTTCACCTACATACAGCTCCACCTGCCGTCACCACGCCTGTGGCGACCACGACGGTGATTCACCACCACCCCCCGAAAGAAACCATGCACGATGTGGGAACGCCACCACCGAATGGAGGACAAACGCTGCTGATCGCGTACTGCGTTTTGTTGTTGATGTCCAAAATGCATGACAAAAATCATGAAATTCGTAATTGTCTTGACAAGATTCATGAAAAAATCAAGTTGAGTCATTGCGACCATAATTTCATGACAAATCAAAACTTTGTTCGCAGGTATTTCCCCTGGGAGGCCACAGAGGAGGACGTGCACCGCGAGTTTTCCAAGCACTGCAAGGTGAAACGCGTCCACCTGGTCTTGGACAAAAACAACACCAGACCCCGGTGTTTCGGGTTTGTGAAGTTTGAATCCAAGGAGGAGGCCATGAAAGCTTTGGACGCGACCCGGGAGGGTTTGGTGTGCTTGAACGACAGCCGAGACCATGTGTGGCACCTGAAGGCCGAGTGGGCCAAGACTGGCGATATGGTGGACGACGCCAACAGCGCAGCGGGGTCCAAGTCAACAAGTCCAACGAATAGCAAGGGTATAATTGTTTTTAGCTGCTTATGATTTGATACTACGTCGAGCTGTGCAACGAGCAAAATGTTCCTTGCATGTTGACAGACATGGCCAAGAAGGTGCTGTCTCGCTGCAGAGGATCGATTGATCCATTACGGAGCTAGAACAACATGTATCATCAACCTGCAATCGTCCGGAATTAGATGCATGTTCTTGATCTCCATCGAAGAAAATAGAACCATGGCAATAGTAGATTTCTGTTTCTCATCCCCCACAACCTTCAGGTAAAAACACCAAGAGCAACAAGGGCGGCGCGTCTGTGTTCAAGGGCAAGGGCAAGCAGTACAGCAAAAACAGTATGTACGATGGCTACAGCAATTACGGCGGGGGCTACAATTCATCGAAGTACAGCTACCACAACTCTCCCCCGACCGCGGCCAGCTACTACTCGGCGCAGTCGGCTACCGGGGGATCTTCCTCTGCATCTTCCTACTACGCGAACAGTAACCCAGGGTACTCGGTCAGCGGGTACCATCATGGGAGCGGCAGCAACGCCAATGGAAACTACCATCCGCTGAACAGCTTCGCAAGTGGAGGCGCGGGTGGACCACCTCCGCCCCTGGGTGCGTTGGCGGGCATCAAGGGTAGCAGTGCCGGAGGGGCGGGGTCGTACAAGGGCGGAAATGCGTACGGGTCGGACCAGTCTTACTACAGTGTGCCGACCGACAACAGCAGTCACGCCAGCACGAACTGTATAGATTGATTGTTTAATAGTGGTTTGCGATTTGAATTTCATATCCTCGCGTATTAAAATTCAAGTTACAACTGTTGCGCATGACAAACTGCATTTTTTTATATATCTTTCAAGACTTCAATCTCCCTCTACTCTCGACAACGAAAACAAAAATCACCCCCACAGCACCGGAGCTCCACCACGCGCAGGCGCAGCTACTAGCCGAGCTGAACTACAATCTAGACACTTCGGCCGCGAGCACCGGTCCGTTGCTGCAGAACCTGCTCATGTTACAGCAAGTCCAGAGCCTGTCGCAGGATCCTTATCTCCCGCCCAACATCGCGGCATTGCTGCAGCAGCAGGTACAGTTTCTTTATGATAGAGGTTTTTGAAGATCCTAGATCTTCTGGAAGTAGTTCTTGTTGGCAGGGAGTAGAAAGTAAGAAACAACGTCAAACAACGTCTTGGGCATCATGATCATTTTTCCACTATACATGACCACGACTTCCAATCAAAACAGGCTTCATCTCTCGCGAACACGCCGCCGCCGACTGCGAGTGTCCCGCTGCCACCCACAGGCCCTACGACCCCCTTCGGGCAGCCGAGTCTCTTTCCGCCGAACCCCTATCCGACGGCCTACGATCACCCGACGGGCCTGGACCTATCCTATGTAAAAACGTCCCCACCCCGTAGTTGTAATGCAAATTCGCATTTTTATAATGTTTCTCATGCGGAGCCCCATGACAAGCATGCTTTCTTCGTGTCTCGGAATTTGTGATGCTGCAATCCGCACACGAGGCTAGACGTGTTATGCTGTTGAACTAGCTAAACAGGATTACACTACGACACCAAACTTGTCATGCGGAACAGCCAAAGTTTGTTGATTTGTCTAGCAGATTTCCCAACTTAACTATGGGGTGGAGATGTTTTTGCTCGGGATAGGACCTGCCGTATGATTACGGGGGCCCGGCTAGGGGCTACTAGGCCCCGGAAGACGAGCATGAACATCCTAATCAAAAAGACGAATTCGAGAACAAAATAAGTATGAATAAATGTGTAGGAGCTGATGGAGTTGCAGTCGCTGTAAAGTAGGAGTAGGTATAAAAAAATTAAGAAACGAAGCAAGTTTTGCAGTTTTGAATAATAACAATGGCGAGCAGTCAACAACGCGACAAATTATGGCCGCTGCCCTAGTTGTAAGTATACTAGTCGCGCCACGCTCTGCGGAAGTTGTTACGGCGGCCGGAAGGAAGTTTTTGGCTGCTAAAGCATCGTTTCGTCCAGAGCAGACCAGGAAAAAACTTTTTCTCTGCTGCTAAAGTGTTTTGCGTACACGAATTAGCTTATCCCTTCAGCTCACACGACGAACGGTCACGCCGCTTGCAGTTTTTAGCACTGTTTCTTTCTCGGACCTTTTCAGATTACTACACTATGAAAACTCATCTTGTTAGACCAAGCTGCGCCATCAACTTGATGTCTAATTCTTTTGTTTCCAGAGCGGCAGGACCGTTGGCGGGCCGCTGACAATTATAGCATTTTGCGTGCTGATGTCTATGAAACTGTAAAAAACTTTTGCGACCGAATATAAAACTCAGCACCTCTCGGCTGGGAATTTTTTAATGGATTTTTCTTCTTATTCGCCTACAGTACAACTCGTTCGGAAACAGGAAGATTGCACAGCTGCTGGTTGTTCAAACAGCAGGGGCTGCTGCTCTGCAGTCGAAAAATATGAAAAATTAAGAAAACCAAATCTGGGGAAAACACAACAGAACTTTATCCAACACTTTTTTTTGTCGTGTGCACCTTGTAGCCTTGTCGTTTACCGCACCCGCCGGACGTCCTCAAGCTACAAATACAAATACTTGCGCTATTAACTGCGCTGAAGGAGAAAGCAGAAGCAGAAAACTTCGCGCTTTTTGCAAGAGGACAGGTCAGCTTCAAACTTTGCCACGCAAAAGGGTTAGCCGTTAGGATGAAAACCAATGTACATATCAAAGAAAAAAAGTTCGTCACGATCACTCATGCGCATTCTTGCAATACAAAATTGTTTGTCATGCGTAAAAATGCATCACAGCCAAACCTCATTAGGGATTTCCCTAGTGTTTCTGCAATACAAGGAAAGTTTGTGATGCTGAGAAAATTTGTAATGCATAACCTGCAAATTAGTGATTGTGACAAACTTTTTTCTCTCCATAGTACAGAGAAGTTTTGTAGTATAGCGCAGCGGGAGGTAGGATGCTCTTTTCACTCTTTTCACCGTCGTTCTGCCTGAAACAGGCACGAGGATTGGTGAAAATAGTAAGAGTTTGCGTTGTTGAGGTGTAAAAATTATGCAACTTCTACTGCACCTCTAGATAAATCTCCTCTGATCTCCGCGAAGAGGCGCAGTGGAGTTCAAAAGATCGCGGAGGTTTGCAGAGGGAGATTTGCCTTTTTCGCACTAAATTCTGGTTTCCATGTCCAAGCAAGAAATTAATACTCGATTAACTTACAACTATCCGAACTTGTTTTGATACATCAGCTTCTGCAGGTTTCACACGTGAAGGCTTATGATTTCTTTTTCACCCTTTTGTTTCAAGAGAACTTTTACTGCCACAATGTTTTGTTTTGAAGAATGACGCTGTCAAATTTTTACACAACAACTCGTTTTCAACTGTTCATTGATTCTGTTTCTACCTACCTAATTATACGCGTTTACAAGAACGAAGCGAAGACAAGATAGAACTTGCTATGCCTACAAAGAACAATTCTTTTTCACCTTGATCTTCTGTTGCAAAAACCTGAAAAAATAAAGTTTACCGGGAAGAAGAAAATTTTGACCACAAAGTACTTAAAAGTGCCCCAAAGTCGGCGGCCCACGTAAAAGAAACAAATCACGGGTTGTGTTAGAGTTTGCAGGTTGTGTTAGATCTAGACATCGGTCTCCGTCGGCGGAGAAAGTGGAAGTGCGTCCGAAAAGAAGAGACGGCACAAATACAATATTTTTCAATTTCAGTCGCGTCAGACCTATCCTCTTGAGCGATGAAGCCCTAGAGAAATTGGCATTTCTTTCAGCTGGAGAAAGGAGCGAAGAGTTGTGAGAGAACGAGCGAGTCAAGAAGCTTGTAGTCAGTGTCTATTCTTTCTCAGACGAACAAGCAGATGATGGCGCTCCTGCTCCACATCGCCCTGCATTTATTTCAACAAAACAGCAGGCGGTGGGCTTTTATTTAGGCCATATGCTGCTCACGTTCTCCACGAGGCAGGGGACCGATGCCGGGCATGTCTTGCCCGGCGATGAAAGATATGCAGCGCTCCTTCGTCTGGCGTTGGTTCTTGGCGCGTTTCTGATGCCTCAGCATCGCGTTGGTGCGTGGTTTGCGGCGGCGGGTGTGGTTTGCATATGGATCATCGGTGATGACAGCCGATGACAACTGCGCTGGCGTCGCCGAACAAGAAAGAGGGAGACACTGCAGGCAAGTAGAAGCCTGCTCCTTCTCTTCGCTTGGTGTCCGGACCAAAAGCGAGCGACGACGTCACTCCGCCCTTGATTTTCCACACATTGACCGCGCCAAAGAATCGGCCGAAGCACTCGCCGAAGGAGGCGCCAAATGCCGCAGATGAAACAGCGCCGCCCCCGGAGGCCGGGGCGCGCGGGGACCCTTCTGGGGCGTGCGTTGCAAGAGCGCGCCCGCCCCCTTTTATTTGCCGGCCCGCCGTGCGTGCCCATCTTGGTGGCCATTCTTGGCTTCCCCTTTTTCCCGCCGGGGGGTGGAGAAGCGCGCAGCAATGGCCGTGCCCCCTCTGCACACGCGCGAGCTGTGGCACCAGCGAGCGTGGTTTACTCCAGCGGTTGGCCCGCAAGGGCCACTGTTCTCGCGCCCTGACTCACGGAGGGCACTGCTGCACCGCCAACAATCTAGATACCTCTCCACTTCGTTGACCTGTGTGCGGCGAGTGTGACTGTTGTTTTCTTGTGCTCACAACACGAGAGTTGTCTCAATAGAAACATCGACACAACTGTGTGTATTTCAACAGAGGAATCAATTTCTTCTTTTTATGATCATATTATTTTCGGTTTTCCCAAGACCAGATATAATATCATATATATCATATGAATCTGATTCTTTCAAATTGATCCGAGATTATCTATCGATCTTTCTTTATTTCTTCTCATATCTGGATATCAGATTATCTTGATAATTTCAATCGAAACCATATCCAGAAAGAAAAGAAAAAAAGAAATAACAATCCACAGATCCTCCATATTCGAAAAATATATCGAAATCAAAATATTTCAGGGGAAAATTTTGTGGATATTTAATTGAAAAATGAGAAAATTGATGAATCATGAATCCATCGAGATTGATCGATCATTTTATGATATTGCATCTTTTCAACGGTCAAAAAAAAAAATCCAGATCTTCCTTAGGAGAATCCTATATTCGGTGTCAAACATGAGGATATCGAGGCATATTTCGTAGTAGCGGATCGTTTTCGAATGAATAGATAAAACAAGAGGAGGTTCTTCCAATTTAAATATTTCACTTTTTTCCGTGTGATCACACGCTTTTTTGCTCTTTCCTGCATATTCTACCCATCCATTTCTGTTCGGAAATATCTCTTGAATCTGTTCAGCAAATAGAATATCCTATGGGCTCCTGGAATAGGGATCTTTGAGCATCAAATTTTTCAGCATCCTCACCCAGGCAATTAAAATTGCATGTGTTTCTGTTGCCGTTGTTGCACAAATTGATTTCGCTACAACATCTGTTGCTGTTGTTCCTGCTCGACCGGGTTATTGGAAAATTCGTATCTGTTGGTATCGTTGGTATCTCCACCCGCCCCGCCAAAACTACTCCCTCCAGGCCCCATTCCCTGTATTGATCAATTGGTTCTGTTGCATCGACGCTGCGGCCGTGGCGTTGCGCATATTTGAGGCGGGTGCGCTGAGAGGGGACGGGGCAGTGCTCGGGTCATCAACAGCGTTGGTTGGCATAGTGCTTCCGGAGGGAGGAGCTGCTCGTGTCGCATTTACTGGCTGGCAACAAACCATCTGGTTGCAGCTGCGGGTTGCCGTACGACGTCGGAGGAGGAGGCGGACCACCAGGTGGTGCACCAGCTTGGCCACCCTCCACCGTCGAGGTTGATACCCCAGGCTGCGGACTTTGTACCGGGTTCGGCTTGATCAGCAACCCACATTCATTCGAGCTTCCAGGTCGCTGGGAGATGCTTCAAGGGGAGTTTAGCACAATCCTCCTTGATCTTTCCCTTGGAGTCCACCGTGATGAGGGACTGCGATTCCTTGTTCTCGCACTGAAAATAAATCGCGCTGGAGTCGAAGAAAAAACCCCGCTCGGAAATCCAACGTCTGCCCGTTCTCTTCCAACTTCTTGGATTGGCCCTGATACAAGTACAGAATGAGTCTTTTTTTTTCATGCCACCTCATTTTACAAACAACAACAATTTTGTCATGCGCACCAACACCAAAAGAAATCAAACTTGTAAGACTACGACCGGTTACGATTTGCAAAAGCTGCATGACGAGTTCATCTCTCTGCCAGGCAATACCTTTGCAAAGCACTTCCTCGCTGCGTTGGCTGATTGGAATTCGATGAAGCACAGCGTATTGCTGACGAACTCGACCCTGTCGGGAACGCTATAATCGATCGACGCCATGTCCGCCGCCACATCCTGAATGTCTTCCGGCGTCAGCCCCTCCCTCGTGTTTCTGCACTCGGGCGACCACCGTGGACTCCGTGGGTTGTCGGCCCTTTGGGCGTCGGCAAAGTTGCGGTCCTTTTCGTGGTAGCACACGATTGATTCCGGCCCGGCGGCCGCTGGCTCCGGAAGGCGTCACCCGGCGCTCGTTCCACCTGCAGTGCCCCTCTTCTTCGTCCGCAAAATTTTCTTCATGCCAAAGGGGTTAAAAATACTTTCCATGCCGATTTTGGTCACATCGCCGCCACTCTTGAAGAGTGGCGTGATGCAGGTGATGCAGGTGAAGAGTCTGAAGACTTCAGACTCTTCACCTGCATCACCTGCGGCTGTCTCGTGCTATCAATGGTCGTTGATGCCAATGTGGTGGAACAGATGGAACACGGACTAGAACCAACTACACAATCCATAATTCCCCTCCTTTCACCCCCCATTGTCGCTGCTTCTCTTTTCTTCTCCTCTTTCCACTTATCCAAGCAACATATAGCGGGACGGCAAAGGATACCCTTCATATGCTGGTTCACTTTCTTGTCGTATCTGGATATGATTTATATGGTCTCTGAGATCCATTCCGAGATTATCTCTATCTTCATTGATTGTCATGATCATTCTCCCGAAGAAATTATTCTAGAAAAATAATATTCTCATATGGTGGATATCATTGATCTGATTCATATCTGGATATGATTTCTTATTTTCCATGCCTGAACATGACATCAAATTAATTTTCAAGACCCTGAAATTGCAATTTATCTTTGAATCATTGATTCGATCCAATCCATGCCCGGGCATGGGTCGAATTCTTATGCTCATCTTCATCATCAAAATAGAAATTATAAAGAGAAAGATCTTCATCCATCTTGAATATATATTTCGATCATGGATCAGAAATTATCCATTTTCATCAAACAATTTCATTCCTTCATTTCTTTCTTTCTATTCATGCCCGGGCATGGTGTCAAAGATAGCGCAGTCGTAAAGCATAGGCGAAGAAACGCACCAAGGATGGCCGATCTTCTCTCCGTCCACTCTAGGCCTCTGGTAAGACCGGAGGGCGAGAACCGATTTGATCAGACTTTGACAGTTGGCATCTGAGACCGAGAAAGCATAGGTGTACCGATTAAGGACATTCAGGATCCAAAACCAAAGGTGATAGCAGCTATGTAACCTATCCGCCGAAAACCCGAGCCGTAGCCAGTTTTCCCTCCATGTATGCCTGTGGTAGGACGGAGGGAACATGTGCACAGTGATCAAGTAGTGGAGAAGGTAAGTATGGCATTTTCCATGATACTTGTGTTGGTTCCTTGGGGCTCCAGCTGAGTCTGGGAGTAGAGCAGAGTTGTCTTGATGAAGTTCATCATACATAAAATTGAAAGTAGAGGACCTTCTTGCTACACTACTTTTTTGACTAAGTAATAAATATTTATGTTCATGATCTATTTGATGTGGTCCGAGACCAAGTTGTGGACCACGAGATATCTTCTACCTGCGGAGTACCTCAGGTCTTCAAAAATTCGGTGCTTTCTCCACTAATACCTGCTTCTTCAGCAGTTCCTTTAACTTCCCTTAGAGTTAGACTGCGCAACAAAGGTGTACATTGTCCACTTCTGCGGGGCAGCTGTTTATGCGGCGGGATAGCGCCGGGATGCATCAGGTTGCTGCTGCGGCGATCCATCACATACGGAGCAGCGCCCCATGCCATCCAAAGACCTTCTTTGTATATGGCTTTTATCGATCTCTCATCCTTGAATATTGTTGATTCTCTAGGTCTTTCGTCACGTCATGCCCTTGATGGGGAAGATCCACCCAAAAGCAAAAGGTCAAACACCCGCGCTAGAGCTACTTGTGCGAAACAGAAACCCCACTGAATGCATAACAAATTGTACCATCGGCCCAGCTGCATATTAGATATTACCAGCGAAAAGGTCAAAAAGTGGCGCAATAAGTTGTCGCACAAGCTCCCGCGCTGGGTGTTGTTTGCACCTTCCAAATCAAAGAAAAATGGTTTCCTGGACGTATGTAGTATTTCTCTGCTTGCACCACGAACGGAACGAACCTGGCCTCTACGATTCGCGTTGCTTACTCTGTCTAAGAAACACGCATGTGAGTGACGAGATCGAGACCAAGCATTAGCGATTAGCCTTAATAGTACTATCTGTGTCATACTCATAGTAGACCCGAGTCTCTCTCTCTCGGGGAGATTGCGAGAAAAAGCGTGTCCATGAAATAAAATCATACATGTGATAAAAATCATACATATGTGGCTGTGTGTTTGTGTTGTGCAACTTGTACAGTACTTTCATGAGTTTATTTTTAGTCTTGATGTTCTATTTTCTGACGTCGCAATACTTACGAATGGCTGCTGATGGTCCTCCTGCGTCGCAACTTCCTTTTTTCGATAAAAAAAGACGCGGCCACGGAGATCCATCGTATAAACTACAACTGTCTGCAGAAATAAATCGTACACGTCGATCAAAAGAGAGAGGTGGTCACGGCAGGAGCAGTCGTAACCCTAACGAGAGCTGCAACTTGCTCACTTCTCGTTTCGTGGGCCTTGACAATATGTGCAGCAAGCTGTGGCACCACCAGCAGATCAAAAATCAGTCAAGCCGGCAGCTCCCTGCCAAACAAAAGTTTTTGCAGCGGCACTGCACGCACCTCTTGCAAGAAAGTCCAAGAGTCCCACCGTGTCCGCGTCGCAAAGAGTGTGAACCATATGCACATATTCCTTCCCGATGGGTCTTAGGTCTTCCGTAATCTATTAGTATTTCTAGCACCACTACTTCTTTCAGGTTATCGCCCAATATTGAACTTGAGAGCCAGCATTCCTCGAAGCAAAAAAGTAGAAAAAAGGAGCGTGCGCATGCGAGTGCCATTCCTTAGTTTGGGTTTGGCCTCGGCGTTCGCAAAGTCGCACGGCCTTCCTTCGCGGCGACCCACTCGTTAAGAAACACGACGTCGTTCCCAGCAGTGTGCAGACCGAGTCCGCAGACCGAGATAAAGTCGTAGCCCTCGTCAAGCGTGGACAAATTAATCTCGCCGCCATTCTCGGTGACGGGCGGGTTAACAACGTCCCCCTCGCTTTCGCGGCCGGGCGGCATGTCAAAGCCATTGCGGCGGCCACGTGCGTTTGTGTAGGCGGCTTTTTTGCGCGCCCGCCAGTGGTTCGTTGGCCCAAGAAGATATGTTCCTTCGTCGTTTAAGTTTTCCTTCAATTCCCAGGCTACCTCCTTCTGTCGCCGAGCGAGTACGTCACTCAGGCTCGCTTCCTTCTGTGCCCCGGAGGGACTGCCGCGTGTCATTACTTCGGGCATTATTGCGGTGCCGGTGTTCTTCATGTACTCATCGAAAGCTCGCAAATTGTCTGCTCCACCAAGGCTCCGCCAGTCAGCGGCCAACCGAGCTTGTGGCTCGCCTGCATTCTGACGCCTACGCACATCCAGAAAGCGGTCAAGGTAGAAGTTCTGCTTTTCCCTGAGGGCATCCGCATCAAATGCCACGACGCACTCTTCTCCAACGACCGTTTCTTTTTTCACCTCCGTCAGGCTAAATAAACCTTGCTGTAGATTCGTGAAGTAAACTCCGGGTCCGACAACGGCAGTTTCTGCCGGCATCAATGTGCCGGAGGTTCTGATCGCTCGATGAGAAGTTGCGGGGGTGTAATGATACAGAATCTTAGGCGTGCCGAAGATCGTGCGGTCAAATCCCCAGTGTCCCATGCCCATTTTGTTGCCGTCAGAGTGGGGATTGTTGAATATTTTCGCGCCGCTGGTGGGGTTCTTCCACGTGTCATTGCTCGTCTGCATGATTCTGCGTCCCACGCGAATGCGAGCCAATACAAGCGCCCAAAACATTGTCATCACGAGTTTGCGCATCTTCTGCTCGGATAGTACGTAGTACGTGGAGACCCAGGCTGGGCTGTCGGCGTCCGTGATGCCAGTGGTGTCCAGGTCGTATTGCTGGAACAAATCATCCATGTCTTGGTGGTGAACACGGACGGACAGCAAGTCCTCAAACCGGGCCTTCAAGCGGTACTTGAGTGCGTTGACTTCCAGTGCGTTCCAGCTACTCGACCAGCTTTTGACACTGCTATTCCACACCGTGTTCAAGTCCTTCGGCCTAGTACGTTGCGCCGGTGCCTCGGCGGTGCCCGTTGTCAACTGGTCGGTCAGTTTGGAGATGGTCCACTTTTCATCCCAAATGGTATTCAAATACCAGAATACACCGTTCGTGGACTCGTAGTAGGTAGTATGCCAGAAACTGACAGCAAACGGCACGATCGAAGTAACTCGCTTGTACGCGAGGTGAATGCGGTCCTGCGTGATGTTCTCGCGGAAGTGGTGCTTCAGGGTTTCGGTCGCCGTAGCGTTTAGAATTGTATCCGCACTCCCACCGGCCTTGAACGGATCTTTTTCGTGCGCGTGATACGCTACCCAGCGAAGCCACGTGTCGCGCGCCGCGCTTCCCCGGTTGGCCTGCGTCGTCGTCCCATACGGACCAGAATTAGTCAAATTGGCTGGCTTCGCCGCCGGCTTCGGACCAAATTTGGGGGTCGTCACCGCAGGCAGGTCTACCGCATCCTCTGGGTCGTTACTCACGATTCTGCTGAGCTGTTTCGGAGCCGAGCGATTTCCGTCAGGCGGGCCCGGCGGCGGTGGCGGATTTGGTGTGTCGGGTGGCGGGCTTGGAGGATTTGTTGTGTCGTGTGGCGGGCTTGGAGGATTTGTTGTTCCGGGTGGCAGGCTTGGAGCATTTGGATTTGTTGGATTTGCCGGCACCGGCTGGTTGGGGTTATCGTTATTGTTAATGGAATTCGGTAAACAAGCAACGACAACGGCGATAATACCGCCGACCACAAGAACCGACCCGACGACGATCAGAATGATCACCCACACTGGACATCCACACCCGTTCCGCCCACGGGGTGGCTTTACTACCTCTTGCTCGTCAACAAGGTGAGCTGTTCCGTCTTCGGCATAGTAGTATTGCGGATGTTCTTGAGCAGGCCCCCGCGGAGGAGAAGTCCCCTGGTAGGTGTAATACTGATTTTGTGCAGCTCCTTGTTGCGGTTGTTGCTGGTACTGTTGCAGAGGAGCAGGAGATGGAACAAGCAACGGGGCCGCTTCGCCGACGCCTTCGGCATTACCTTGATAGTGGTAAACATGCTCTACTTGAGCAGCAGGCTGCGGTTGCGGTTGCAGACACTGCTGCACTCCAGGAGCCTGATGCTGCTCAGGCTGCGTGACGTGGCCGACACTACTCGCTCCCCCATGAAGGTCTTCGACTGTACCAGCGTGCGCCAAGATATTTTGCTGGTGTTCTTGCATTTTGATTTTCAAATGCCGATGATGAGAAGACAAATATTCTGCAACAAAATTAATAGGCACCAAACAACTTGCAGGTGAGTCAACAGATGCGCAAAATATTAATATCTTGTATTTGTTATTGTTATTAAAATTGTTATTGTACAACAAAAAATGGAAGATAGAGACAACGGCCCGGCGCCAATGTCCTTTGCAAAATCAGATGGTTAGGCCGGTCAAAGAGCGGCACGACCGATGGAAAATCAATCTTTATTTTTGATTTGAAGTCTCTGACTGACGAAAAAGTTGTTTCAATTCGAGTTATTCTTGTTCTTTACGAAAAAAAAACAAATTTAGATCAGATTTGATAGATTTTCGCTCGCGTACCGGAACTCTAAGAGTGCAGCCGGTGCTTTTTTTTATGAACTAAAGCTTGGCCACGCTTGCTATTTCATCCCAAATCCTTCCGATTCTACTTTTTTGTTGCGAAAATATATCGAAGTCAAAATATTTCAGAGAAAAACCTTGTGGATAGCAATCTATCCAGATTTCTGGAAAATTGGCGAACCATGAATCCATCGAGATTGGTCATTTTGTGATATTGCCACTTTTTAATATCGGACATTACAAATCCAGATCTTCCCTAAGAGACTCCTATACTCGGCGTCGAACGCAAGGACGTCGAAGCATACCGACGCCTGCTTTGTAGCAGCGGACTGATTTCTGCGGGAAGAGGAGGTTCTTCCAGTTTATTTCATTTTTTTTCCGCGTGGTCACTTTTTTGATGTTTCTCGCATAGTCTTCCCATTCATTTCTTTGTGTTCGGAAGTATCTCTTGAATCTGTTCCGCAAATCGAATATCCTATAGGCTCCTGGAATAAGGATCTTTGATCATCAAATTTTTCAGCATCCTCACCCAGGCAAGTGAAATTGCACGCGCTGCACAAATTGACTTTGATGCAGCATCTGCTGCTGTTGTTCCTGCTCGACCGGGTTATTGGAAAACTCGTATCTGTTGGTATCGTTAGTATCTCCACCAGCCCCGCCAAAACTACTCCCTCCAGCCCCCACTCCCCGCTTTGGTCAACTGGGTCTGTTCCATCGACGCTGCGGCCATGGCGTTGCGCATACTTGAGGCGGGTGCGCTGAGAGGGGACGGGGCAGTGCTCGGGTCATCAACAGCGTTGGTTGGCATAGTAGTGCTTCCGGAGGTAGCAGCTGGTCCTGTCGCATTTACTGGCAACAAACCACCTTGCTGCAGCTGCGGGTTGCCAGTGGACGTCGCATCTGTGCTATTCGGAGGTGACCTACCAGGTGGTGCACCAGCTTGGCCATCCTCCACCGTCGAGGTTGAAGATGCCCCAGGATGCGGACTTTGCACCGGGTTCGTATCAAATGTAAAAATGTCTGGGTCTGGAAGAAGAAGATTGCTAAGTTTGTCATGCATATTTTGCATGACCCATTATGCCTGTTATGCAGCATGGCCTAGCATTACAGATTTCGAGAGGGCTTTCTGATGCGTATTCCCCATGACAGACGCCCTCTCCGCATAGCACAAACTCGACTCCTTTTGCTGGTCATGCAAAAATACAGATTCTTTTAGAATCCAGAGACAGCGTCACAAGTTGCAGTCTTCCAGACCCAGACATATTTGCATTTAATAGTTCGGCTTGATCAGCAATCCACATTCGAGCTTCCAGCTCGCTGGGAGATGCTTCAACGGGAGTTTGGGACAATTCTCCTTGATCTTTCCCTTGGAGTCCACCGTGATGAGGGACTGCGATTCCTTCTCGTACTGAAAATAAATCGCGTTGGAATCGAAGAAAAAAACCCGCTCGGAAATCCAACGTCTGCCCGTTCACTTCGAGCTTCTTGGATTGGCCCTGATACAAGTACAGAGTGAGTTTGTTTTTCATTCCAATTCATTTATACAAACAACAGCAATTTTGCCATGCGCGCCAGCACCAAAAGAAATAGAAATTAGATAGACTACGACCGGTTTGCAAAAGCTGCATGATGAGTTCATCTCTCTGCAAGACAATAATACCTCTGCAAAGCATTTCTTCGCTGCGTCGGCTGAGGGGAATTTGGTGAAGCACAGCATATTGTTGACGAACTCGGCCCTGTCGTGAACGCTATAACCCCCCGCGATCGACGCCATGTCCGCTGCCGCATCCTGAATGTCTTCCGGCGTCAGCCCCTCGCATTTCTGCACTCGGGCGACCACCGTGGACTCCGTGGGCTGTCGGCCCTTTGGGCGTCGGCAAAGTCCTTTTCGTCGACGCACACGAGTCCGTCCCAGCGGACGCTCCGGAAGGAAGGCGTCACCCGGCGCTCGTTCCACCTGTAGTGCCCCTCTTCTTCGTCCGCAAAGTCTTTTTCATGCCGAAGGGGTTAAAAATGCTGTCGGTCCCGATTTTGGTCACATCGCCCCCGCTCTTCAGACTCTTCACCTGCATCACCTGCGGCTGTCTCGTGCTATCAGTGGTCGTGGACGCCGATGTAGTGGAAGTGGAATACGGACTAGAACCAACGACGCAATCCATAATTCCCCTCCCTTCACCCCCCGCTGCCGCTGCTTCTTTTTTTTTCTCCTCTTTCCACTTATCCAGCGCGTAGCGGGACGGCAGAAGTTGCGCTTGCTCATGTCCATCCATGCGCGCGTCGTTTTTATCGCCCGAAGTTCTTACATGGCCCGCGTCTCTCTCCTTCGGTCGAACGCCGTAAAGTTTGAAGGCGTTCTCGCTCGTGACCCGGATCACTTCCTCCACTTTGACCTCTTTCAGCCAGCTGACGTAATTTGCGATCTCCAGCACGTCCGCGGGCGAGCCAGTTTTCGTGGTGAAATTCGGCGCGTCGGTCTCCAACAGCATCCGGTCGAGGGGGATGGCTTTTACCATCTCGTACAGGTTCAGCTTCTTGCTAGAAGTAGTCAAGGTTGCGGCCCTGCCGGGCATATTCGCACTATCTTGCCACTCTTCCTCCAGCTGATTCGGCAAGTCCCAGTCGTCCGCGTAGGGAAAGCAGACCGCGCCGCAAATGCCGAAGTAGCAATTCGAAAACCGGGCTAAACAGCGGCAAATCGCCGGGATTGAAGCAATCACCGCGTGCCAGTGGAACGGGTAGGCTGGTTCTAAATTCTTCTCGATGAATTCCAGAAAATGCCTCTCGCAATCGCGGCTGTGGAGCTTCAGAGGAAGTCGCAGCTTCTTCGCGATCGCGATGTTTTCCAGAAAAGCCAACTTCTGCTTCTCGATCGTGTTCTTCACATAGTCCTTATCTGGTAGCTGCTCGTACCCCGCAAAATCCAGCCCGGTCTCGTATCAAATGCAAGAATGTCTGGGTCTGGAAGATCTTGAGGTCTGTCATGCTTGTCTGGCATGACCACAAAGTTTGTGATGCGTGTCCAAGAAGAGACCCTTTTGCCTGTCATGCAAAAATGCAGTTTGTCATGCAAAAAACGCAACACAAAGAAGCGCAGATATTTCTCATGCTTGCGTGTGCATTACAGAGCATTCACTATTCCCAGCGCAGCATCACAAGTTTCCAGACCCAGACATTTTTGCATTTGGTATCTCGCCCCACGCGACCACAGACTTTTCTCCGTTTTCCCGTCTGCACTTTTCCACCGCGTCCATCATCATGGCCGCCATGTTCTCGTCCCAATCGTACAGGGCGTTCTTCGGGTGCGTTCCGAAGCTGGCCAGCACGTGCCCGCGGCCGTTCTTTACCAGCCGCAGGGTGTTCTCGACCTGGTCCAGCTTCGTGCAGCAGGTGATAACGGAGAAGCTCGGCGTGGTTTTCAAAGGGAGAGCTGCAACAGCCTCCGCAATTTCCTCGTCTGGAAAATAAAACTGGTTGTCCATAATGTACTCCAAGTGCGTGTTCGTGTCGAAGATGGGGAATCGTCGCAACTCCTCAAAAACCGTGCAGTCGCTGCAATATCCTGAATAAAAACGTACCCACACCAGAGTCAGGATGGGGATTTTGCAACACAAACCGAGGAGTTTTAGGAGTCACGCATGACAAGTTTCAGTCCGTAAGGTAGTGCAAGTTAGCAAGGAAAGCCGCATCACAAATCGACATTCTGATCCTGTTTACAGCATTACAAGTTCCCAAACACGACTGAAAATGCCTGTCATGGGGTTGCGCATCACAAATGTTCCTGTCATGGCAAATCTGCATGACAACTCTGGGGTGGGGACGTTTTTACACAGGATATGCAATACCACTGGTTCTGCCGGTACCAGAACCCGGTCTTTGCGCACTTCCTTTTCTGCCGGCACTCCGTATCGCAGTGAAAAATGCCCCCACCCCCAAAGTTGCGAGAATTTGTGATGCGAAGTTTCCAAATGAAATCTTTTTGTCATGCATGAAAGGAGTACGAGTCTCTGTCTCTCTGATGCAAAGTCTAGGCGTATATCGCATCGCTTGCATGACAAGCGCCGCTATTGTTGGGATCTTTTGCAATACAGCTTTTTGCTATTCACGGTTGGAAATCTGTGATGCTGATAGATGCAAGAGGGCGAGTGTTTCTTTTGGAAAGGTTTGCAATACAAATGCTCCCAAGTTCGGGGGTGGGGGCATTTTTCATTGTAATACTCCGTGCAGAAGATCTCCAGCGACCTATCCTGAGTAAAAACGTCCCCACCCCAGAGTCAAGATGGGTATCTCGCAACACAAATCGAGAAGTTTTGGGAGTCAAGCATGACAAGTTCCTCTCTGTAGTGTAGTGCAGTTTAGCAAGTACAGCCGCAACACAAATCCATCTAGTCATCCTGTTTACAGCATTACAAAGTCCAAAACACGATTGGAAATGCCTCTTATGCGGATGCGCATTGCAAATCTTCCTGTGACTGCAAATCTGCATGACAAGTATGGGGTGGGGACGTTTTTACTGAGGATACGACCGGTCCTCGCGGTCCTGCCGGACCGTGATAATTGCCCCGCGGAATTCCTGTTCGTCGCACTTGTCAATGCACTGCTGCGCTTCCTCCACCGTGTCAAATTCCACCGTCGCCCAGCTCTTCATCATGCCCCAAATAATGTTGACCTTTTGGGGGTAAGTCCCGGTCTTCTCCGCGATGAAGTTCCGGAGTTGCCACCACGCGGCATCTATGTCGCGGATGTTCAGGATGATCAGCCTCGGGGTCGAGGCGCGCCGCATGGAGACGGGCGGCGTGGGGCGGGAAATGAAGAACGACATTATTGTTTTGAAGGTTCCGTGTTTCTTTCCGTGTAGTACGAAGAAATAAGTGAAAGCAACTTCCTAGTACGTGTGGTAGTCACAAATCAAAGGAGCACTACAACATATTTTTATACTCTTCCTCGTTGGTGAAACATAGTCGCTGTATAATTCGTATTCCTTTTATCCTACTGCAAAAAGGAAATACTGTGCCGCGGCTGTGGAAACAAAAAAAATGATTGCAGCATGATGAGGACGAAGGTGAAGAACGCATTGCAGTTAACCCAAAAATGCAGGAACGGGTATTTTTTTCTTGGCAAGATCGACTTGGACCTTCATTCAGAGCAGCGAAAGACTGAGCTTCATCTTTGTCTATGTGGGGCTGCTTCTCCGCTGGTATAGTGGTACAAACTTCGAGTACTACTCGCAGATGGAGTAGTGGTGTATTCTGCGACGACACAGAAGAGGAACATCAACATAGTCCATTTCCGATCACCTACTCCGCTGAGTAGTTTCATCTAGAATTACTGTTTCGATCTAAACTTTTCTTTTCCGCAGAGCACAGTCTTTAATTTCGAATGTCGAAACGGCGGTTTAGTAGATAGGTTCTCCGTCTCAAAAATTTATTCCATCATCATGAAGTGACCAAGTTCCAAATCAAGTCCTTCCCTAGCTCGTACTTGACCGGCCTAGAATCATCATGTTGACAGTGCCACCTTCCCCGGATGAAGAAGAAGAAATTATACCTCCCCGCACAACATCGTTCACTTCATGATGATCATCTCTCCCCGAATCATCAACCAATAACGCCTCCAACTGCTCCGGGTCTACTCCCAACCCATCTGTCCCCGCCTCCCCCGTGCCGGAAGCACTACCGGAGCAATATGTTTTCAACGCCAACGGCGCCCCGGGATCGTGGTCGTCCACCTCCCGGACAGCGTAGTCAATGTGGACGAAACACCTTTCCACCTGCGACAACGATTCGACGTGGTGCTGCAACCGGATGCCGCAGTCGTGGGACTCGCGCAGCAGCGTGTCTTCCGGCTATCCTGAGTAAAAACGTCCCCACACCAGAGTTGTAATGCAGATTTGCAAAGACAGGAAGACTTGTAATGCGCATCCCCATGAAAGCCATTTCCAGTCGTGTAGTGGAATTTGTGATGCTGTGAACAGGATGAGCAGATGAATCTGTGATGCGGCTGCACTTGCTAACCTGCACTACACTGCGGAGTGCAACTTGTCATGCGTGACTTCCAAAACTCCTAGGTTTGTGTTGCAAAATCCCCATCCTGACTCTGGTGTGGGGACGTTTTTACTCAGGATACAGGCATGACAAGCTCGACCTCGACGAGAAATTTCGGGCCAAAGTTATAACCCGCTCAGGTGTTACAAAAATCTCAAACGTTACAATAGAATCTGGAATTTGTGTTGCAAAATCCGCAACATCTGGCCTACTCCCAAAGGAGCGCGCATGACAAGTTTCGGAGCCCCAAAGAACCCCATGAGATTCTGACGAAATTTGTATTGCGAAGAGCCCAAGTCTCTGTATGGTACAACTCATGCTGTTCATGCAAGACAAATTCCAGATTCGACCGTAACGTTTGAGATTGTAACATCTGAGCAAGCCATAAAAGTGGTACGCGGTGAGCTTGTCGATCGTCACATTTTTGCTGTTCAACAGCTTGTCCGACTGGATATCCTCCTCCAAAATCCGTCTGACTTCGTCCAGAAATTCCCGGTCCGCGACTTTCCCCACCAGGATATTGTGAGGAAAAATCCCCCCTCCCCATATCCAAAACGAAACTTGTGTTGCTGTATTTGAGTACACAAATCGAATTGTACTGCTAGAAGGCCAAGAGACGCAACTGCTCCCTCGTTTGCAGGCAATTTGTCATGCTGTTTTCCGTTTCCAGTTGCTTTCTGTCATGCAAAAGGCGCAAGGCTTTCCAACACCAACGCCAGCCAGCACTACAATCCGCAAGCATCTCTTCCCTTCTAGCATGACAACATGATTTGTGGTCACAAATCATGCTACACAAATCTTCCTCTCGGTATGGGGTGGGGGGATTTTTCCTTTTGATACAGGATCTGCACCTGCTCGATTCCGAGGGACACCCAGGAGTAAATGATGTACATGGAGATCAAGATCGCGCCCGCTGGATCAATCATCCACCAGGAATTCCCCGGTCTGTCAGGGTTGCTATGCTCCACACCGGTTGATGGTGCAGCGCCACCATTATCTGGCTTTTTACTTTCGTCGAGGAAATGGCTCCCTAAATTGGCGAACAGCATGGCACTGGCGTTGGACAAAATGTCGTTGAAGTTGTCCTGCGAAATGGCTTCCACGGAGGAGGAGCCCGTGCGGATGGCGATGGTTTTGGACAGGCGCCAAATGACAATCTTGATGAAAATGATGGCGGCAACGATGACATTCGCGGAGATGGACATGTCGACCGAGGGCTCTTGTTTCACGAGTTGCTGGATCGATTCCCGGATCACCTCGAGCGACGCCATGCCCATGACCGCGGACGCAACCTGACGAGCAGGACAGGGGAGGTTAGGTTGTCGCAATAGAAGATAAAATTCGTGGTGCTGAACTGCAGATTCGTCTATACTCTTTTGTGATGAGATAAAAGCGCATGCGAGGGTACAGTATGTATCAAGGGGGAAGAAAAAATCCAAAAACCTACTGCACTTTCTTACCACAACCCCCACCGGCTCAATCCTCGCCCTCCCGGCCGGATACTATGAAAGTGAAAAATCCCCCCACCCCATACTCAAACTAGAAATTTGCGATGCAGATTTGTGGCCACAAATCAGCTTTGTCATGCTAGAAGGGAAAAGATGCGGACTGTAGTGCTGGTTGGCGTGGGAAAGCCTTGCATCTTCCGCATGACAGGGGGCAACTGGAAGTGGGAAACAGCATGACAAATTGCCTGCAACCGAGGCCACAGCTGCGTCTCTTGGCCTTCTAGCATTACAAGTCGATTTGTGTACCCAAATACAGCATCACAAATTTAATTTTCGATATGGGGAGGGGGGATTTTTCCTTTTGATAGATACAGTGCCGACTTCGCCGCCTTCGCCCGATTCGCGTACAGCAACACACTATGCTCTGCAAAAGTATCGTACTCGTACTAATTGCAATCATGCATGACAAACCTTGTACTTGTTTCTTAGCCAAATCAGCATTACAAACTCCATTTCTCCTTCTGAGAAAATTTGTATTGCGATTTATACTAGTACGATGCTTTTGCAATGCATACACACTCTGCGCAAACAAATCGACGCAAGAGTCCACCAAACTCGCCAAAACCGCCATGGAAAACGACGTCAAGAACGCGATCAACTTTACGATCGCGAGGGTAAAGTTGATAAACAGTGTCCCCTGGATGCAAAATCGCTCGTACGCCTTCTGCTGCGATGTCTGCCCCCGCGCGCAGGAATCGTCATCGCCATTGTTGTTCTTCATCCCCTTGCCGTTCGGAGAGAGTTGTTGGAAGAGGTTGCTGAACATGCTCGGCGACGGCGCCCGCACAATGGAGTCGTTCACGTTAGTGAGGGATAAGTTCGTTTTTGGCGTCGGATTGGTTGTGCTGAACTTCGACGGGGTGGTCGCGGTGTAATTCATTTGGTGCATGACTTTATTAGCAGCCGCGTTCATGTCGGTTGATGTGGAGGCAGATGTCGTCGCTATTGTCGTTGCGGACGAAGAAACGCCAGAGGAGCTGTATGGCGGACGCAGAAACTTTTTTTTCAACTACTTTTTTTTTTTTACCCATATGAAAACGCGACGGGTTGTATGTGAGGAAGCTGTGCGCTGCCAAAAGAGTTGATATATGAGCGTCGCTGCTGATAAGTATTTAACTAGCTAGTCTGAAGGCAGGGACAGGAAGGCGCCAGCAGTGAACGGTCGCACGGATTCGGTCCGAATCCGTGAAGCCGGGCCCCGCCGGTGTCGACCGATTCCTGCCTTCAGACTAGCTAGCTAAGCGAAATTTTGTATGTTATCTATCCATGCATGGGAAATGTATATAATAAATCATGCCTATTAGTTACCATGGGTAAATCATATGGGTAAAAAAAAAAAAGTAGTTGAAAAAAAAGTTTCTGCGCCCGCCATAAGCTGCTGGGAACTTTGGGAAGTTCCAGCTCGAAGGACTTCATTTTCATCTGCTTTGTGGATTTGATGCAACAAGAAGCTGTATAATTTCATACGCAGCTACAAATTGACGTACGACCCAGTCCGTGCTAAAGAGAGGAACAGAAAAGCTGTATGCAGCACGGAACCCGCTGCAGGGATTTGTTCCCTCCGGTGCCTCGTTCTACGCTGCAAAACTAAACAAGTTATGTCTAAGTAGCACCCACCACGGATCGTCAACCGACGTGTTTGATTTCACGAACGAAGATCTTGTATTGTAGTTAAATGGCGATTCATCTCGGTTCCACGCAGCTACTGGAAGGAAAAATGATCAGAACCACCCTCCGCTCTATTTCTGCCCGCGCTCACGTATGTCTCAAATGGTTCTAATGTGCCTGCTCTATGCCACCTACCCGGACGAAAAGCACCGAAAGAAGTAGAAAACGTAAACGCAACCGAAACTGACTATATCGGCCGCCTTTCGACAAGGTCCAAGATCAAAGCCCGCACCACATGAAGAGCAACCCACCTCCTACATTGTTGTCGCAAAGAAATCGTTCGCGCCACTTGCAACAAAACCGGGACTCTTCCTCTTGCGGCATCACCTCCGCGTCCTTGGATCGTATCATGTAGTTGCGTGTCTCTTTTCTTTTGATTTACATTTTTTCAAAAACTCGGTTTCTTTGCTGTTGGTTGTCGCGAAATATTAATTCTTGGGTAGTAAGTTTTCTACTATGTCGCTATGATTGAGATTTTGGGATTGAATGCTTTGGGTAGGGGCTAAATCAGCTTCCACCATATGATGAAAAGTATGAAAAACACAATGCCGCCCAGCACCGCATACTGCCGGAAAAGTGCCTGCAGGGAGAGCATTTTTGCGTTGTCCTTGAAATTTTTCGAGTGGTCACGCAGCGAGGAGGCCTTGGCGCCAACCTCCTCAAGTTTCGTGCCCTTTTCTATCAAGTCGTCGAGGTTGCGCCGCATCACGGATTGAACCTGAAGAAGTTGGTGGATGAAGTGTTGCATTTTTTTAGATCTACTTAGCACGCACACCTGGTGCACAGGGTAGTACACATGCTGTTTCATAAATATGCATGACATTAGTCATAGTCTTCGTCACCGTCAGAGAATGAGAATACCAAAAATTTCTACTATACCTCCACCAAACTCTCGCTGAGCTTCTGCAAACTCGAATTGGATTTCGGGTCCCGGAACTCGCGCTGCTTTTTCTGAATTATCCTCTCGAACTTTATGAAGTAGTAAGGTTTGTCTATGCACTCGATTCTACTGCGGTAATCCACTGCACCGGTGCCGAATTCGCGCTTCAACTCTTCCAGAAACAAACGATATATTTCCTCGAGGAATGCAAACGCGAGCTTCTTCGGATAGTCCTGAGAGTGATGATAGTTTCTGTTTCATTTCTTGCTCTTGCAATACAAATTTTATATCTGCCTGTGCCTGACATTGTCATGCATAATCAGAATCAAAACCGCGCTTTTTGGTCGAAAAAAAGTTCAATACCGCCCCGCTCAGCACCATGATGCAGACGCCGTCGTCTATTCTGTAGTGAAACTGGTAGCCACCGAGAACGTCGACGGTACATCGGTCTGGCCCGTGAGCGACCTTTTTCATCAACGCCTTCGCTTGCTGCTTCAACCTGATAAAGTTACAATGTGGCTTCTTATGTGTCATGCGATACATACAACAACAGAAAATAGACCGGATTTATTTGGTCACTATGCATACAAAACGGCATGCCAAAAATCTTCAAAACGACTCTTCAATACTGTGAAGCTTGGGTCATCGATGATGACTCCCATGTCTCGACCAGCACCAGCCCGTCGGCTGCGCGGGAGATAAAAACCAAGTCCATGAGGACTCAGTTAGGTTTCGTGGGTTATATCACAGTGAAAAATGCCCCCCACCCCTGAAATTGCAACAATTTGTGATGCGAAGTTTCCAAATGAAAGCTTTTTGTCATGCATGAAAGGAGTAAGAATCTTTCTGATGCAGATTCTAGTCGTGTTTCGCATCGCTTGCATGACAAGCACCGCTCTTGCTGGGATCTTTTGCAATACAAATTTTTGCTATTCACGATCGGAAATCTGTGATGCTGATACACGCAAGAGGGCGAATGTTTCATTTGGAAAGATTTGCAATACAAATGCTTTCAAGTTCGGGGGTGGGGGCATTTTTCATTGTAATAGGTTATTTCACCTATTCAGTGGCCTTAGCAAGACGAACGAACGGCGGGGCGTCATTTTCTGCTTGCTATTGTTCCTCTGGTACGTCCGTCGAATTGGAGGTGGTAAAAATTCTAACAGTAAAAAAACGTCAAGAAGCTAGAGGCGTCGCACAAAGTAGAAGTCGTGTGGGCTAGGGATCTTCCGCACTGTCTTCGGTGTAAATAAGGTCGCCCGGGAAACTGTGGTCACTGTTCTTGTAAGTAGTATTCCTTTTCCTCAAAAATACATCATCTCGTCCTGATTGTGATACGTACGACCCAGATGAAAAAGGAAAAGAGTAAAAGGCCGCCACGCCTTCTAGATTCTTCTTGAAAAAGGAAAACGAGGAAAGTTGAACTCATCTTCAAAATCGTGATCTGTTCTCTTGCCCGCGGATCTTGCTTCGACAGAGATGTTGCTGCGGCTGCTGCTGAAATAACGGCAGTAGCGAAATAGTAGGAGCAGGTACGAGGACAATCACTTTTTACTGCTGCTAGAACTTCTCCACCCAGTTGAACTTGTTCTGTATGTTGTTGATCTCGTTTTGCTATACCACTTTCATGGCCACGTAGTTCTTCTTGCGAACAAGATATCCCACGTACTAATTGTAGTACTGGGAGAACTTTCTTGATGGCGAGGTTCACTACTTCCAGGTGAACACCACGTGCACGGGTGGGACACATCACAGCAAGGTGCTACAGCAAGAATGGGTTGCAAATTACTCGACGTCCGATGCTACTTGATTAGAATTTGTTCTTCGTCGACAACGTTACTAGCAAAATTCTTCATCTTCATCCGAAACAGCAAAGGCTCTACTGATTCTAGTGCAAAATCTTCTGCGCTTGCTGCTCAAACTTCTTCAGTCCATCGTCCATCGGCGCGAAACTAACCAAAACCACTTCCAGCCCGCAGTTCTTGAACTTCTTCACAAATGTGCACTGTAAAAGCCTCTTCCAGTACACAACACGCATGAGAAACTCTAGCTGCAGCTCGGAAACACTAACTTTGTCATGCTGTTCTATGTGGAAAAACGCAGGACGGCTCCATCATGATATAGCGCAGAGATCTTAATAGCGTGGTGGTGTATAGAAAAAATCTTCTCCATTGCATACAGGAAAGCAAAATCGCCTCGTAGATCCAAGAGCTGGAATTTCCAAACACCCCTCCGCCAAGCAGCGTTAGGAACAACTTTTTCGACCCAAGTTCCCCGTCATGCCTTTTCATCGTTTCCAAAGCCGCGTAAAAACACGCCTCGTAACTGGCTTCCAGGACGATCCGCGCGAGTACTTCCCAATCTGACTTCGTGGTGCGCGAGCTGTTGTAGGAAATCGCGCAGGCGGACGAGAGGCAGTGGGTCACGAGGTGATTCCCCTTTTTACTACCCTCGCTGTCGTTGCTTTTGTATTCCGTCAACCCAAAGTCACCACACGCCGTCACCTGCGTGTCTGCGTGCACGCCGATCCTCAGCTTTTCCTTGCACAGCTCCCGATCCACTTTGTCCCACGGGACGGCGCATAAGCCTTTTGATTCCGCCTTCGTGTAGCCTGCAATAACGCGCCAGAACTTGTGTTCTAGGTCTTTATCGTCCGCTGCTGATGGCCTTGCCGCCTTCTTGGATTCTGGTGAAGAACTTCTGTTGCTGTTTTTCGAGGCACTGACTTTCGAAGCGGAAAAGACGCTGGAAATCGGGGTGTAGCTTTTGCTGACGCTATTATTTTCGCTCTGCGAGTATTGAGAATTGATGTCGTGATCATCGTTCTTTTCTACCTGGCTGCCTTGTTTTCGTCCACGGGCGCCTTCATTTTCACCTGCCTGTTCCTGCTCACCCGATGCTGAGCGTTCCCTCTGCTCTCCCTCGCAGCTCGAAGTCGTGCCATGTTCGCTGCTCGGGTATTGGTTAATAGCCGGAGGGATGAATAAAGATGCTTTGTCGCCTCCACGACCTCGTGTGCCACTGCCGTTTTTCGCAGCCTGCTCCACAAATCGCGTCAGATCTTCCAAGTTGTCAATTTGCTTCTCCCGGCTCTGCCCCGTGAAGTAATTTCTCACAACCACCGCCGGTGCGGTACACAAAGAACACGCTGGTCCCTGGGTTTTATCCATGGCCCACCGGGTTACACCTAGTTCCGGGTACATCCCCATGTCAACCTGCTCCAAGCAGTTGAACTGTGACGCCACCTGAAACGTCGCAAAGTGGTTTCCGTGCTTGTCCAAATTGTGCAGCGCCTGCACATCCTGCCGGGTGAGAATCTGGAAGGTTGATAGAGAAGCTGAACTGATACAACTTTTCGGAGGTTGTACTTTGTCCGCCGGCGCCGCATTGTCCTCGACGTCTTCATCAGGTGACTTTCCCGGGTGATGGGCCTGCATGTTTTCTTCGTTTCTCCTTCGCAGCTCGCCGAGGGACGGGCGGGTAAAATAACCGACGTGGAACTCCCGAGCCTCGTTTGTTCCTCCTTTCTGAGCAGCTGCAGTTCGCAAAACCCCCTGCTTCTCCGGATCGTAGTCGAACTTCTCGATTGTTTCGTCCCATGACCGGGGCTCGGGAAAACCGAAAACTTTTTCAAACCAGTCGGTCTGCACAATCGGCCAACGAGAGGAAACCGGCATCGGGATGGTGTTATTGCTGGTGGAGTTTTATCTGGATGAAGAACAAACTATGTATGATCCAAGAGTCGCCTGTGCTTCACTTCTTGTGTCAGTGTGAGAAAAATGAGTACTTAGCACTTAGCAAACACGGAGAATCACTTATCACCACCATTGCAGTCTTGAACCTCTCACTATCATCGTCAGAAGTAGCGGTGCTTGGGCATGTCGTCCTTTTCTGGCCTTACTCGCAAAGGAGCCCTTGATCAATATTTGATATGGACGCTTTGTTACATAGCAACGACCTCCAACAACCTTCGCGTCGATGTGTGTGAACAACCAGGACAGGAACAAAAACCGAACTGAACCATGAAAGATACACACTGAGAAAGCTCTTTTTTCAAGTACGTTCCAACAACGGCAGCGATGCCGTCAGCACGGGGCTAGAACGCCTGCCACACACAGCCAGGGCACAAGAACGGACCGGCGGCACTGTTTCGCGCGCCAGATGACAGACTGGCACAGAAATGCCAGCACGCACACCCGCAACGCTATATGTAAGGCCCCTACCGCAAAAAAATGGATCACGGGGGTCCGTGGCTGGCCAAAATAAGCTCCCGCCCGAATCGAAGTGCGCCGCCCCGGCATGCTGCAAAGCGAGGAAGCGGCCGCGCGACCGCCGGCGACTAGCCCCGTCGCATCGAGGCGACCAACCCCCCAGGTGCGTAGCGGCGGGCACAGGCAGCCAGCGGCCAACCGGGCGGCCATCGCTCAAATTCTTCGGCGAGCGTGTTGGGCTTGGTTCCTCCGCCTTTTGTTCGCCGTGAATGATGGCGGGCGGTGTGTGCGAACGTGTCCGGGATGGGCGGCCTTGCTTCCAAGGCCGCCGCCGGTACAGCAGCAACACTGTGCCAGGCCACACCGACACGCCTTCGACCACGCGCCCCGCTGGAAATGTAAAGCGGGACACCGGTGCGGCATGCTCTGCCCGACCCCGGGGCACTCGCGATCGAACTCTACCGGCTCCCTGGCCATGCGCCCTGAGTAAAGCGCTGCAAGGAAGCGTAAGCTCGGGCCGGCGGGCCTTCCAGCTGTCCATGCCCCGAGGTGCGGAAGCCCGTCTTGATAGCCGCGCCAAAGAACCCAAACACAGCCGGGCCGCCGAACCAGAAGCCAGGCGCTCTCTTTTTCACAACACACCTACAGCGCGCATTGACGTGGTTGTTCTTTTGAAATTACTGGATCATCCCAACGTCGGCCGCTCCAGAAATCCAACAGAAGATGGAAACGCCAGTGAAGCTCGTGAGAAATTGCTCTCATCTCTCAGCGCGCTCCTCTCAACAAATCACTCGCAGCCCAGCAGCTTTGCCTTGGAACAACTTTTTCCAAAAGAAACGCAGCAGGACGATGAACGGCCGCCACGTAGCCGAACCAAAAAACCACAATTAGGAGACGGACTGCTGCGCCATACGTAGGTGCCACATATATGCACTTCTGCCAAACAATGCATGTGCCGGGCGGTGCGCCACAAACGGGTCAACGGGGGGCCGCACGGTGTGCGCCACAAATGGGCCTACGCCGCGGCGCGATCGCTCGGCGCCAGGCGCACAACGGCTGCCCAGCCATACACGCGCAGTCGGCAAGCGGGAGTCGTGGGTAAGTAATGCGGAGGGGCCGACGCGCCCTCCCTCATACGTGGAGGGGCGCAAGGGCCCGGAGCGCCGGCGACACGGCGGGGGACGTGGGCGCGCCCGTCCGTTGCGCAAACACTAGCAGGTCGCGCGGCGCGCCCGCACTTGGCGCGGGCGCTGGCCAAACGAAGGGCCGCCGCGCTCGTCTCGGGCAAACGCGACCGGCCCAGCTTCTTCGTCTCGGTCGGCTTCGGGGTGCGCGGCCGGGAGGGGCGGGCGGAGGGCGGTCGCGGGACGGCGCGGCGACTTCGGGTTCGGGCCCGGTATTCGTCGGGGCGAAATCCGAAATCACGCTCCAAGGGCTCGCGCCCGCCCGCGGCGCGCCGAACGCCAGCGGCGCCGCCCATTCACCAATCACATGCATGAGCCTGGCAGGTGCGCGGACGGGGGCCGCAAAAGGCGGCGGGCCAAGTTGCCGCTGCCGGGCCATTTGCCAAGCACCTGAGGAGGTGGGCGTCTTTGCAGGAGAATAGAAAAGCCCCAGCCTTTCGCACGTGCGGAAAAAGTGCAACAACGTTCTCTCTGAACAGAAAAAACGCACTCACTCACCTCCCACGTGGACGTAGCTCCTGATAGACTGATAAACGAAAGTGAGTACAGCACTCGTTAGAATTTGAGAAACTCCCTCGACCTCTGTGTCATTGTCTTGCCGCAGTGCCTCACTTCCACGAACTAGCACCGCCCTCGGAAAAGCTTCAATCAACGAACTGCCTGGTCGTACGTGGAGTTGCTTCTTTCGATTCAGCGGTAGCAACCAAAGACCGCACCGCCACGGGCGGTGATGATAAAATTAGACAACGGATGGCAATTCTTTCGGACCTCACCGCAAGTCCGGATGATTTGGCCTCCTAGTTTTGCTGTGATCTTTCGCATCTACCAGCCTGAATCCACTCGCACGGAGGTTTCAAAACAGAGCTGCGACGTTGACGTAATACACAACAGTTGCTGCCGCAAATAAAGCTCGTTCGGTCGCCTTTCTTCATCAGTATCCAAGTACGATGTATCTGTATTCTCTACTGGTCCGTATTCTCGTGAATGTGTCTTCGCGGCTGGGTACTTAGAGGCTGCCCTTTCATCTGGCTGGTCTCTTCTCGAGAGATAAAACTAGCAGCTACCGCATGGTGCTGTGTGAAGAAAGAGCTGAAGACTTCCGAGGTGTAAGTACTTCTCTAGCTTTATCTTTTTGCGGTGTAAAAACTAATTTTTTTGCAGAAGAAAAAAGTGTTGAGGAGGAAGACAACAATGAAGGGTCAAAAAACATGGGTCAAACAGCTTTCATATCGAGTAAAAGAAGAATTTCTAAAGAAATTTTTTGGCATGGCACCAGGGGAGATTTTCGCAACACAAAAAGTCTGCCAACTCCAAGTGCAAAGAGTACTTGGTGGACATATTACACCTACATAAAAAGTTCATCACCCGACGCAGAAGTTCTTCTATTTTCTTTCTATCAGTTCTCGAAACAAATCAAATCTGTTTGCAGTGCTTTATTCTCATGCTTGAGTACTGACTTTCTTATTCTTGCCGCACAGTGTGCTACTCTAATTCAAACTTGTGTCGCCGGTCCTCGTCGTCCACGCATCTTCGGGTTCGCAATCGCAAGGTAGAAATCAACATAGTAGTACTCTTGGGGATACAACGCTCATCCACAGAAGTGTAAAAGAACAAGGGCGCAGGCCTGCCCCCGATGTCTGTCGTTCATCGCAAAGAAAGATCAAAATCAGTTCATCGACGGAAACGCTGGCCCCCCTATCCTGAGCAAGAACGTCCCCACCCCAGAGTTGTCATGCAGATTTGCAATGACAGGAACATTTGTAATGCGCATCTACATCAGAGGCATTTCCAATCGTGTTTTGGCATTTGTAATCCTGTAAACAGGATGAGGAGATGAGTTTGTCATGCGACTGTCCTTCCTAGCCTGCACTACACTACAAAGACGAACTTGTCATGCATGGCTTCCAAAACTCCTAGATTTGTATTGCAGAGTTCACAACTTGACTATGGGGTGGGGACGTTTTTACTCAGGATACCCCCGTGCCGGTAGTCAATCGGTCCCCGGTTGTAGCTATCAAATGCAAAAGTATCTGGGTCTGGAAAAGTGCGCGATTTGTCTTGCAGCTTTTCCATGACCCAAGAGGTCTGGAATGCAGGACCTAGCATGACAGACACTGCGCGATCTCTCTCATGCCTATCCCGCATGAGAAACTCCCTCCCGACATGGTCAAAACTGGACGACATTTGGTAATCATGCAACACAGATTTTTGCATGCTTCAGTCTTAGCAGGACAAGTTGCATCGTTCCAGACCCAGACATTTTTACATTTGATAGTAGCCCATTGACCCGGTGTTCGGACCCTGAGTGAGAAATTGTTTTTCTGTTTGCATTTTACACATCACAAACGTTAATACTCAAAGCAGAAACTAGCATGACAAAGACACCGAGCTGTTCTTGACCTTGATCTTTATGGCGGGAGCAAAACAATATTTTTGAAAACAATAAAATTTTAATCGATGGGTATTTAGGATTTTGCATCTAGCATACTTGAAAACCATCTATAAAAGGCGCCAATTAACTATGTGATTAAGCTAGCTAGCTAAGGAAGGTCCGGTGGAGCGGCATCAGCACGGAGGAAGGGCGGCCCGGTCGGTTACGGCTGTGCCTGCACAGCCGTGGAGCAGCAGCTCGTGGAAGACGATGTCGAAACGCCGGCCCCGGACCTTCCTTAGCTAGCTACTTTAACATGGTGCCTAGCTATGCATATCATAAAAATGTAACTAGGTAATCCCATCGTAATATGCATTTTTACCCTTTGGTCAAAATTTTCTTGTTTTCAAAAATATTGTTTTGCTCCCGCCATAATCTTGTCGTACCAAAACTATATTTATACCATGTGCACTGGCCGGGGTTGCGGCGGGGGGTTGATTCCGTCGAATTGCGAGCCACGACCCTGTCCGCCGCTACCGTAGCTATTGCTGTTCCCGCCTTGCGAAAACATTTGCCGTTGCATCCCCGAACCACGGTTCACGAGGGGAAAGTTGTTGCCTGATAGATCATTTTTAGGGTGATAGAAACGTCGGTCTAGTTTCGTCTTCTCAACATTCTCGCAAGGTACGTAGTGAGAACTTTGTCAAAAGAAAAAAGTTTTGAAATCTCATCGTCGAAACCATGTGTGAAGATTATCTAACAACACTAAGTACCTCCTCCCATGTTGTTACCCCCACCGTACCCACCGCCGTTGCCGTTTCCACCGAACCCACCGCCTCCCATAGTCCCCATCGGACCGCCAGGTCCACCACCCATGTTGTTCATGGTACCCATGCCGCCCGGGCCCATCATGCCACCTACCGGGGCGCCGTTGTTGCCATAGTTGTTTCCACCGCCACTATTGAAGTTGTCGTTGTAGCCACCGTTACCTCCTCCGCGGCCGTGACCTCCTCCAGGTCCCCCACTGTAGTTGTTCCCACCACCGCCTCCGCGCACCGGGTTCGGCAACGGAGGCTGGTTGTACTCTCCCGCCGAGGATCCTCCGCGGGCGGTGCCGCGGTTCACCAGCGGCGGGTTCGGAGCGGAAAAGAAGCGGTGGGGATCTTGGGCGTTGGATTGCTGTTGTTGAGAAGCACAACCTTGTTGCGCGGCTAAAGCATTATTTCCACCGCCGCGCGAACTGTAGTTACTGTTGTTTCCGTTGCCGCCCGAGGAGTTGTTCATCATGTTATTACCGTTACCCGAACCACGATTGTTGTTCATCATCGTTCCTCGTGGGTTGTCGTTGTTGAAATTGTTGCTTCCAGTGTTCATGTTATTGTTTCCGTATCGGTCTCTCTGCTCGCGGAAGGAGTTACTGTGGTGCATATTAGACGAATTGTTGTTATTGCCCATATTGCTGTTGTTCAACATCATATTGCTTCCTCCGCCATGATTCCCCGCACCCATTCCCATCTGAGAACCGCTGTTCATCATGTTACCACCCATCTGCAGTTCTCCACCCCGATTGATATTCGGGTGGTTTCCGCTGCCCTGTCGGGGCATCTGGTCGTTGCAATACGAGGCCGGGATGGGCAAAGCCATCTTCGACTGAAAATCGCTGCTCGTCTTCCCCTCGCGGTTCCGCCCGCCGCCACCACCACCGCCCATGGCCGCATGGTTCCTCGGGTTGCTGCTTCCGCGATTCATCTGCACTTCTTTGCCGCTGGCGTTGTTGTTTCCGGCGACCGAGGCACTGCCACGGAGCTGATGCTGTTGACCATCATTCATCATCATGGAAGTCGGGCCACGGTTATTGTTGTTGTTAAAACCAGAGTTCATCGAGTTGTAGCCGTGGTTGCCACCACCGGAATTGTTATTCATGCCCCCTCCAACGCTGTTCTGCGGCTGCAGTGTGTGCGTGATCCGGTCGTCGCTACCGCAACTCAAAAAATCGTCGGCATCATTGTTTTCGCTCATGGAGGAGAGGCCATCGGATAATTGGTTTTGTCCCATTTTGTTATGTTGTTCTTTGCTCGCTGTATTGTGATGTTGCCCACCTCCGCCCCTGCGGGCGGACGACCCGTTGTCTACTCCCGCAGCTCCTGAAGTAGATCCACCCGGGTGCTGGCTCTGTTTGTTCGTTGTGTTGATCTGGTTTTGATTTTGATGCGAAGAGGGAAGAACGACTCGAGAATTATCACCACCAGCGCCCATGTTGTTCAACATCTGCGCACTGCTGTTCATGCTTTGTTCGCAGCCACTGCCACTGTTGCTTTATCAAATGCAAAAGTGTCTGGGTCTGGAAGAGTCATGCTGTTTTTGCATGACATAGAAAGTCTGGCCTGGCAGCTCTAGCATCACAGGTTTCGAGAAGCTTCCGCAATGCCGAATCAGCATGACAAATCCTCCATTTTGGTGACAGAAAGTGGGCAGATTTTGCTACCTATGCATGAGATATTTTTCTCTGTTCTGAAATGCGCATCACAGGTTCGCATCCTTCCAGACCCAGACATTTTTGCAAATGATATGCTTCCGCCAGCCCCAATCGGCGGCGGCGGTTTGTTGATCGGGCCACACGACATAGAATTCGATATCAAATGCAAATATGTCTGGGTCTGGAAACTTGTAATGCTGAATGGTCATGATTGACTGTGCCTGTAAGTGCCGCGCAGCATGACAAATGTTTGAAACGCTTTCTCATGCGCAGAACGCATTACAAACTGCGCTTTTGAATGACGAAAGTGTGGCGCGGCTTTCTTTGCTGCTTATGCAATACAGATTTTTTAGGAATGCGAAACATGCAATACAGGTTCGACCTTCCAGACCCAGACATCATATTTGCATTTCATATTCGAGCGAGACTTGCTGTTCCCGAAATTGTTATTGTTGTAGCCAGCACCTCTGTTGTTCATCGAGTTGATATTGTTCATCCCAGAACCTCCGTTACCACGGTTGTTGTAGCCACCTGTGCCGCTGTTCCGGTTGTAGCGAACCAGGTTGCCATTCTGGTCGTAGATCGTTGGGCCAGAGTTTGCGTTGCAGTTTTCCCCAGTTGTCGTCGCCGTCCCGCTCATGGAACTGCTGTTTCGGTTAGTATTCTGGTCTTGTTGCCCTTGCGGTCCACAGCTGTCACGCCGGTTCGGCGGGGGAGTACTGGCGTTGCGCTTGTTATTGTCGTATCCCAAATAAAAACGTCCCTATCTTCTTGTTCCCATACTTGTCATGCCAATCATACAAACCTAAAGACGTTTCTCATGCGCAGCCCCATCAGGAGAAATTTTCATTCAATGCTAAGTGGTAAGTAGTTTGTCATGCTGAATCAGGATAAAGTTATCGATTTTTGACCCGCATGCGGCTGCGCGACAGGCTAAACACGATTAGACTGCGAGCCGAACTGTGTCATGCGAACCGCCCAGACCTTGTGGATTTGTGTAGCAACGCCCCCATCTTGATGACTGTGGGGTCCTCGTGGGGACGTTTTTCCTCAGGATATGTCGTTTCGGCCCACGTTGCTGTTGTCGCCGTTGTCGTTGAAATTATTGGAGGAATTATTATTGTTCGTGTTTCCATTTCCACCGCGATTGTTCATCCCGTAGTTATTGTTGTAACCTGCCCCGCCACGAGAGGAGGATCCACCGCGGTTGCAGCCCGCCCCTTGCTGATTGTTCATGTAGTGATTCATCATGCTCTGGCGCATGCTCTGCCGAAACATGTTAGTGCCATCATTCAGCCCGTTATTATTTCCGCCCATGTTGCACGGCCCGCTGCCCGGACCGCCGCCGCCCATCATGCCAGAATTTGGTCCACCACCTCCCATCATGTTGTTCATCATGTTACCTCCTCCGCCGCCCATAGGACCCCCTGGGCCGCCCATGCCGAAAAGTCGAGGGTCCATGCACCCACCTGGACCACCACCGCCTCCCATGTTGTTGTGACCACCAAAGGGATTGCCACCGCCGCCACCTCCCATGTGTATCAAAGGGAAAAATCCCCCCACCCCATTTCGGAAACGGAAGATGCGCGAATTTGTGATGCTGTATTTGAGGACACAAATCGAATTGTATTGCTAGAATGCCAAGAGACGAAGCTGCGGCCTAAATTGCAGGCAATCTGTCATGCTGTTTCCCACTTCCAGTTGCCTCCTGTCATCCTGGAGCTGCAAGGCTTTCCCACGCTCGACAGCACTACAGTCCGCATCTTATTTTGCCTTCTAGCATCACAAAGCTGATTTGTGACCACAAATCTGCATCACAGATTTCTGTTTTGATATGGGGAGGGGGCATTTTTCATTGTAATAATGTTGGATCCACCGTTGCGCGGTCCTCCACCTCGGTTGTTCATCATCATGTTGGGAGGAAAGTTGTTGCCGCCATTGAATTGCATCATCATCTGCATTTCGTCAAACGAGATGTTGTTCATCATGTTGTTCATACCGGGAAAGTTGTTCATCATCATGTTGTTCATATTGCCCCCAGGCCCCGAATTGTGCATCATGTTGGCCATCATTCGTTGCTGGTGCTGCACTTGCATCATCTGCATCATGTTGCGGGGTCCATTGGGTGGCCCATTACCATTTCCGCCGCCGCCTCCCATGTTGTTATTGGCGCCCCCGTGGCTATTATTTCCTCCGCCCATCATGTGATTGCCGTTGTTCCCCCCGTGGTTGTTCATGCCGCGGGGGAAATTGTTGTTATTCCCGTGGTTGTTGTACATCCCGCCGTTATTGCCTCCCATCATGCCATTACCACCGCGATTGTTGTTGTTGGGTCCACCTCCCATCATGTTCATGCCGTTACCTCCGCCCATATGAGGCGGCATCATATTGTTGTTCCCACCACCACCTCCCATGTGATTGCGACCGTGAGGACCATTGCCGCCCATGGGGCCGCCGGGCATACCACCTCCCATCGGATTCATACCCATCATGTTCATCTGCATCATCGGATTAGTACCCCCAGGGCCGTCGTTGTAGCCAAAACCGCCGCCGCCGAAGGTGCGGTTGACGCCGTAGGGAAGCATGCGGGGTTGCTGCACACGATTCCCATACTTGTTGTACAAAACCGGGCCGTCTGTTTTGTAGTTAGTGTGGGTTTATCATTTGGAACAAATTTCTTTTACTACAATGGAGACGACGAGAGATAGACTTTACTTTCAGCAAGTAGATCATCATGCAGTCATCGGGAAGATGCAGCCAACATAAAAATGAAAGACGCAAAATAAAAGCAAACAAAAAAAGTTCAGTACTGTAGATACCCAGTGTGGCGGCATTGGCGTAGGTGCCTTGTCTTTTGGAGCGGATTATGGAATGCGTAAGGCTGGAACCGGTTTACTTAACAGACTTTGTCAAGCAGATTTTGTCGTCCTGCATAATATTCACATGGAACAACATGCACATCATAAAGTTCTTTTACTGTCTTGGAATGTTGAACAAGAACTAAACCTGCTACACTAAAATTTCTATACCTGCTTTAAACGATAATGAAAAAGCGAACGCTCCTATCCCAGCAAGTACTTGTCATTTCATACTCATGGCGACGGCGTACTGATGGTGTTTTTTGAAAACGATTTCCCCGTTGGGGCAGTGGGGGTTCGGTTCCACGACGTTGTTGATTTTCCACCGGACGAAGCAAAACTCCGACTGGCCCTTCGTCTATCCTTTGCAAAAACGTCCCCACCCCAAAGTCAAGTTGGGAATCTAGCACTACAAATCTCCAACTTTTGGGAGCTGTGCATGAGAAGTCCCCCTCTGCAGTGTAGTGCTGGTTGGCAAGGGAAGCCGCATGAGAAATCGATGCTCTGATCCTCTTTTTAGCATTACAAATTCCAAAACGCGATTGGAAATGCCTCTCATGGAGCTGCACATTGCAAATGTTCCTACCATTGCACATTTGCATGACAACCCTGGAGAGGGGACGTTTTTGCACAGGATATCGTCGACTCCATAAAGACGGTGATTCCGTCTTGCGACGCGAACGTGCCCTGCACCATGCTCGGCTTCAACTGTTTCGTGAGTTCCATGGCCTGCCGCGACTTCTCGTGGTCCCGCAGCATCAAATGGTACCTTTCCCCCGACATGGGCATCACCTTGCACAACCTGGTCAGCCGACGCGGCAGGGAATTGTACCGGCCAAAAATGGCTTGCTGCGTCTTCTTGTCCCGGCACTTGAAGATTACCGTCGGGGCGCCGGCCTGCAGCACCTCCGGCATCAGCATCTCAAAATCCTCGGGTTGGCACACGTCCGCCAGCGGTTGCAAAAGTTCTTCCATCATCGACTCCTCCAGGCGAGCAGGCAAATCGGAGACCTCCACATTGAATTCTTGTTTGTTGTCTTTGCCCTTCGAGCGCGACCCTGCAACCGGCGTTGACCGCGATCGATTGGACTTCGAGCCCGAACGGCCGGCATCTTCGTTCATCTCGTGAGCTTCATCTTCGTGATCTACGTCAGCACCGTCCTCATCCTCGCGAAGGGTATTTTTCTTGCCCCGGTACAATTTTTTGTCGTTCTTATCGCCAGGAGGTAGAAACCGGTCATTATTCATCGGAGTGATGTCTTCCTCCTCAACATCTGAGTTTTTCGGCGTGGTTTTCGGCACCAGTGAGTTGTCGTTTTCGTCTTTGTTGTTTCTCGTCGTGCCTTTCGAACTACTCGCCGGCAACTGTTGCTGTGCCGACGCTCCTGTTTTCCTATTATCAAGAACTGCAGGCCCAGGGAAAATTCCGCCCGGGGGCGCTGGGGGCGTGGGTGGAGCGTTTTTTCGCTTGACATTCCTGCTACTATTTTTCGGAGTCTTCGACTGATCCTTGCGGCGGGCCGAAGCGGGTGTTGCAGTACCATTATTACCTTTACCGTCTTTCTTCTGCATAGAAGTATTATCCTTCTTGTTCGTTTTCGCAGCTTTTTGCTCCTTCTCCAGAACTGGGGTGCTGTGCGACCGCTGGCGCGAGCGGAAAGGAGAATCCTCCGTGTCGTCGTGTCTGGGTGTCGGCGTCGCGCACACCTCCTCGTCACCGACCATGTTTTCGTTATCATTTGGGCCGAGGTAATCATCATCATCTTCCTCTTCTGGAATGTTGAAAGTACTATCCTCCACAGAGGCCCCAGCCGGGGCTTTCATCGAGGTAGCAGTCGCTGTTGTAGAGCTAGCAAGAACGTCCAAAGAACTCGTAGAGGGCGGGATCAGTTTAATGTTCTTTGCCTGCAAAGACTTCTTCTCCTCGCAGCTGGCTAAGTTCTCGCCACAACCTTTCTGCTGAGGCCCTTGAAGATCTTCCGTCTCGAATGCGGCCTCGGACGCCGGGGGCCGGTCGGAAATCACACTTGGCCGGTTTTCCAGCGAATTGTAAAGCATGCTCGTTCTAGTTTTCGAGGTGCGCGGCAGCACGATGTTACCGTTTCCGTCCAGTAACAGCTGCGGCGCGCCTCCACCCGCGGTGATTGTCTCGCGGTCAACCTCAGCAGCACTGGTTTTCGTGGCCTGCAGTTCCGCAATAATCCGCTGGTGGACTGCAGTCGGCGTGACTTGGTCCACGTCCCGGGCGGATGAACCAGCAGCAGCAGCTGCAGACGTGGTCGAAGTAGTAGAGGTTTTCACAACAGTAACACCAAGATTATTTGCTGGCGCCTTTTCCAAATTATTTCCACCAGCTGCAAGGGGTACCGTCTGGTGTTCACCGCCCTTCAACATCATTTGCGGAGTACAACTTGTGGAGGTCCTCGAAGAGCCCTGTGCTACTTTGTGCAGTTCGTCCTCTTCCAGATCACAAGTCCCCTTCAAATCCGCCCACTTCATCCCCTCGGGTTGCACGTGGTGCTCCTTCGGCACCGGATCATTCCCGGGCGTGCCGACCGGGGCTGCAACATCGGTTGTATTCCGCGAGGGCATATTAATTTTGGCCGGGGTCTCCTGTGCAGCTCCCGGCGTAGTTCCCTTGGTGTTCTTCACCGCTCCTAGGAAAGTAGCAGAAACACCACCCGCAGCAGCCTCCTGCGCTTCTTCGGTACTGGCCAGAAGGTGATCTTCGTCGTGCAGCCCCACGACCTGCTCTTCGTCTTCCTCAATGCTCGCGTGCAATTCCATACTGTTATTGCCATTCGAATCCTCCTCCTCGTGCAATTCCCCGGGGTGCACCCCCAGCGCGGCCGTCGGCGGGGTAGCAGGATAGTAGGTGCCGCAGCTCCCTAGCTGGTTGAAGCTCTTTGTAGGCTTCGGCGTGTCGAGGTTTTGTTCTCCAAAGGGGTGATTTTGGTTTTGCTGGGCGGGAGAGCAGGACACCACCTGCTGTGCCAGTGGCTGCACAGTAGATGTCGAAGTGGAAATGATAGTCGCACAAGAAGAGCTATTCCCGCCGGCGGTAGTACTCACCCCGGAATGCAGCTGATGTTTGTTGTTCTCGAGATGATCTTTTTCATCGATATAGTCAGAAAAATCTTCATCGTCCACCATGTTGATATCCACATGATCCGGCGTGGCAAATTATCACACAGAAAAAAGCCGGCAAGGCACATTTTTAATGCAAAAATACATAAAATCTGTATTGCATACCCTAAATAGCGCGCTATGGGGACGCCCATGACAGATTTTTCTGTGTATTTGTTTTTGCATTACACATACGCCCTGCCTGCTTTTTTGTCTGGGATACAAATTTTTTATCCGTGATGTCACAATCCCCGGTCGCACTGATGGTCGCCTGCAGCCTGGAGGGTCGATACCGCTCGGGTTCACCTTCCGGCAGCTCGGAAGGGGAGTCATCGTGAATCACTGCTTTGATGGCGGTCGTGGCCTGTCGTGTATGAGTTTCTCTGTAATATTTTCTGATGTTTCTCAGTCCTGCATATCGGGAGTAGAAAATATTAGTTGCTAAGCTATTTTTATCGTCATGGTTTACATGCAGATTTCGTTGTTTCCTAGTTGCTTGTAGCACTAATTCATACCATAAAAGACTGAGACGCGTCGTTCTCCGACGTTGTAGTAACTAAGCCGCTGTTCGTTCCTCGCAGCATTTGTTCCGTGTGCTGCAGCGCTCCCCTTTCGCCTTTGCCCGAGGGCTCCTGCAGATCAGAAATGCCGTCGGATATCGACTCCGGCGCGTTGGAAGACAAATATCAAAAGGAAAAACCCCCCCTCCCCATATCAAAACGAAGTTTCTGATGCTGGATTTGCGTACACAAATCAGATTCGTCTTGCTAGAGAGGACTGCAGGCCCCTATCGAGCCTGGGGAGAAAGGCTTTTGCCTAGGCAGCTCGCATGTAAAACGTCCGCGCTGTAGGCTCAGCAGCATGACAATCCGCCTGCACAATGCGGCCGAGCCTGTGGAGTTGCCTTCTTGCAACACAGATGCGATTTGTGGTCACAAATGGGTAACACAAATTTTCGAAAACGCACCTCGTCAATATGGGGAGGGGGGATTTTTCCTTGCAATAACAAAGGAGAGGACATCAGAAAGGCGTTCGCGCTTAATCGAATGGATTCCTGGGTGCGTTGCTTGGCCTGTTGATTTCGATTTGAAATTTTTCACGCTGGCACAACAGAGCACGAGGAAGAAGAAGTTGTGTGCTAAGTAATATTTATAATCCAATCTTTACGACATAGGAGAAGCACGCGCTAGCACTCGGCTTTCGTATCCAAATGTTGAGTCCCAAAACTTCTACTTCTACCTCCTCCCTCATTTCATCCGCCGCCTCGAAACCTTGTTCCCCACCGACGTCCAAAAAGCCCCGTTGTATCAAATGCAAGTATGTCTGGGTCTGGAAGAGTGCGCGATTTGTCATGCAGCTTTTCCAGGACCCATGAGGTCTGGAATGCAGGACCTACCATGACAGATTCTGTGCGATCTCTCTCATGCCTATCCTCCATGAGAAACTCCCTCCCAACTTCGTCAAAAGTGGACAGCTTTTGGCACTCAGGCAACACAGATTTTTGCATGCTTCAGATTTACCATGACAAGTTGCATTCTTCCAGACCCAGACATTTTTGCATTTGATACCCCGTCCGGTCGTCGTAATTGGCGTGCGAAACAGTATTACGATGAAAAATACCCCCCTCCCCGAACTTGAAAGCATTTGTATTGCAAATCTTTCCAAATGAAACATTCGCCCTCTTGCATGTATCAGCATCACAGATTTCCGATCGTGAATAGCAAAAATTTGCAATGCAAAAGATCCCAGCAAGAGCGGCGCTTGTCATGCAAGCGATGCGAAACACCCACGACTAGAATCTGCATCAGAAAGATTCATACTCCTTTCATGCATGACAAAAAGTTTTCATTTGGAAACTTCGCATCACAAATTTTTGCAACTTTGGGGGTGGGGGGCACTTTTCATTGTAATAAACAGCTCCCGAGGTTCCATCTTAACCTCCCGCGAGATCGTAGTAGATCCAAGGTTGGCACTCTGCTCTCGGTCCTGCTGCTCCCCGGTGTTGGTGTTTCGCTTGAAAACAGCACCACGGTTGTTAATATTCGTACTGCTATTTTCCGGGTCGGAAATAAATTCCGTGCGTTTCAGGTTGTCCGTTGTCGTGTAGTTTGCCGGAGCTCCTGCAAGATGATGAACAGGCTGTTGTTGTTGATGCTGGCCTAGTGCTCCGGAAGTTGCGGTAGTAGTGGCTGCAGTACTTTGCACTACAATGTTCTGCTGGTGTTCTACTTGTTGATTTTCCACAGCCAACGACCCGGATTTCAGCACGGGTAGTTCGGTGTGCATTTGCACCACCCCCGCAGCAGGGGAAGAATCTTTGGAGGGGAGGAAAAACTCTTCCTCGGTAAACATCTGCTCGCCTATGGAAGCGTCAGGATTGAAATCCTCAAAGTTGAAATAATTTCTCATGCAGAAATTGCAAGGCATGGAGTGCCTCTCTTGCAGGGATTGCAAATGAGGCCGATTGTGAGCCTGTTTCGGGTTTGGTATAGAGCTGCTAAAGTAGCATGACAAAAGCAGTCGTCTGTGCCCAAACAGCATGACGAATCGGATTCCGGCGCTCGGAAAATTTGTCACGCACTGCTTGAAAATTGGGCGTCCAACTGGTATCGATTTTATGCATTACAAGTTATTTCAACTTTGACGATAGCAATCCTGACACACCCATATCGCCTTCGTGCAGCGTCGTAGAGACAGCCGGCGCTGCGGACTTCTGCTTGCTCTGGTCGTACACCTAGTTTCAAAAGAAATTTTTGTTTTTCAGGTAAAAAAGTACTACGTTAATCAATCTGTCATTCACGGCTTGATGCCAGCAAAGCCAGGCGTTTTGATGTCATACTACCGATGTTGCCAGATTGCTATGCAGCACTATACCGTGCTAATCGCCGTTTCGAAAGCCTGCCCGAGCCAGGTCTTGTTTTCTTTCTGCGGAGAATTGTTCAGCCCACCTGCTGACCGTGGGGTCACGTCGACCGACCTCGTCGTGGGTTGCAAAATCCCCGAAACCCCGACCGCTGCGGACCTAAGATGGTTTTTTGTCATGCAAAAAATTATTGACAGATGTAGTCTCGCATGATGCAAAGATCATGTCAGTACAAAAACAAACCTTGAAGTCGACCCTGGTGCGCGGAACATACTTAAGTTCTTTGTAGCAGAACCAAGCGACACTTTCAATATGATGAACCCCCTCTAGAACTTACTGCGGGAATGGATCCGAAGATTCCGGTTCCCCCGCAACTTGCTCCGCAGCTGCGCCGGAGCAGGAGGACACAACTTGGTCGCTCTGGGAGGACTATGAACTGCAAAAGTGTCGGGGTCTGGGAGATTCCGAGATATGTCATGCAGTTTTTCCAAGCTCCCCCACGTCTGGAATGCAGGGCCTAGCATCACAGGTTCTGGAGCTCCTTGGTGATGCGTATTCTGCATGAGAAATGCCCTCTCAGCATGGCCAGAAGTGGGCACCTTTTGCACGTCATGCATCACAGGTCTTTGTAGGATCCGAAATACGCATCACAAGTTCGCATCCTTTCAGACCCAGACATTTTTGCATTTGATAAAGTCGTCGACGAGGCCATTTCGGTTTCGCCCCCCCGGTTCGCGCCGCTCGCTGGGGACACAAACACCTTTGGACAGGACACAGAGACCTTTCGGATGTCCGCTGGCGGGGAGTCGTCGGAGAGTTGGTTGCTAAAAATATAACCCGCTCGTGAGGTGTTACAATCTCCAACGTTACAATAGAATAGAGAAATCTGTGATGCAAGAGTGCATGATCTAGTCTCTTCCCACAGGATTGCGCATGACAAGTTTCGGAGCTCCAAACCGCACTATAATCTGGCGAAATTTGTATCGCAGATAGTGGAACGCTCTGCGAGTGTGTCATGCTCATCATGCAAGACAAATCCCAGATTCTATTGCAACGCTTGAGATTGTAACGTTTGAGCAGGTCATAAAAAAATCTTGAGATTTCGGGAGTAGACCCAGGGGAAAAGTTTTCCTCTTCTTCGGTAGTGTGGCTAATGGCTGACATGTAGACGGATTTTTGGTAGGATAGATGAAGATGATGAGGAATCTTTTTGAACCAAATTGGTTTGTGGATGGTGTTAGCAGGTATATATTATTTTCAGTGAAGTTGTAAAATCTTTTCCTGTCGTAATACTAATATTGCCCCAATGGCAAGGCAGAACGTGTGAAAAACGAAAAAGTTGGAAAAAGTCTGAGCTACTAGTGGCACCAAAGAAGAAATAATTAAAGCAGTGCTATTGCTATATTACGAGTTTCTTGTTGAGAGATACCAATTCAGAATCAGAAAAGCTTGTTTCCAGTAGAAGTACTAGCAATTTGATAGTGTGGTCGACTTACGATCAGAAGTCGTGTTTGTCTTTCATCTATTTCTAATTGAATATGAAATTGTATTACTTCGCATTAGACAGGAGTGCTTTTCCTTTGCTTCGAGAAAAAGTAGTGCTTTTTCTTTCTGGAGCTACTTAGAAGACCACCGGCTTTTCAATGAATTTATTTTCGGTCTACTTCAACATAGATACTTACAACAAAATTATTACGTCTTCTGCTTCTCCTCACACAGTCACAGACACTGCAGCAAACTAACAGAGAGACAGACTGCAGAAAATAAATCTCAAAAGAAAAGGTACAAAACGCGGGAAAAGAGATCAGTGAAAGGCACAAGCCATGTGATGAGAGATGGCGTGCAAGGAAAGTAGTCGTGGTTGTGATCAACATCAAAGCACGAAATAGAAACAGTCTCGGACAGATCAAAACGCCGCACGCAGCAGAGACTACTGCGAAAGTTGAGCCTGAGTCGTTTTTTAGCTAAGTATAAAATATCGCTGCAGCTGTTTGACAAAGCAAGCTCTACAACTCCCCAACTAACTTAGATCTTCGCGGTTTTTTCGAGAAAATATTCTACCAGATTGGTGAAGCTCCGAACAAATGGAGCAGCAAAATCTTCTTCGACAAGAAAAGAAATCTTGGATCTTCTTTCTTTATGCTATCAACAATCGAGTCCGCTTGACACAGAGAAGAAAAAATGGCAGAAGAACAACTGTGCAAGGAACCATTGGCACAAGCACCGAGTAAGGCTTCGCTATTTCCTGCTTTCGATGGACATCAGGTGCAGCTTGATGCAACATGTGTCCTCGTCCCGATTGCGTGCTTGTGACAGCTGTACTTGTTCAAAAAAACTTTACTTTCATGGATTCGGTTGGAAAAGAGAAGTTTTGAAAATCAAAAACTCAACAGTGACGCAGGATGGGGCTCGTCGAACTCTACTCTTGCTTCGGCAGGTAATAAATTAAAGCCCCCAGCAAGAACTCGTCTCCGGTGTTCGTCTCACGCACTCACCGCGGCGGCCGCCTGCGCGAGATCGCTCTCATCTTCCACGTTTTTTTCCACCGGTGTTCCATTTCTACTTTTGTCTTGCTCGACAGAAGAAGTCCTCTCTCCCACGTGGGTATACTTATTTTCCGCTGTGTGCAGAAGCGCCGGAACCGCCACCCCCGCGCCAGCCCCGCCGGCCAACCGCGCCAGCACCGTTTGCGCCTGCACCGTCGCCGTGGCGGCGCTCGCCCGGGCGGCTTTCGCGGCTTCCAGGATCGAGGTCGCCTTTGCACTCGCTAAAGACGCCTGCTCCGCACTCTGGCCCAGATCCGCGGCTTTGTTCGCCAGCGCGCTGGCCTTCGCGGACGCTTGTTTCCAGGCAGTCATTAGTTGGAGTTGGTTTTTTATGCAAAAAAAAATGTGTAAGTGTAACTCTGTAACTCAGAACATGCAAGAGAGTTACGCCTGTCATGCCAGACAACCACGAAGTCGTCTCTCCATGTGTATCGTCCGTCACAAGCCACGCATAACAGGTCGCTTTCTATCTCTATCATGTAGAGCAGATCTGTGATGCTGTCACCCAAGGAAAGTTACACGACTAACACAGTTTTTTCTTGGGTATTTTTTTCCGCCGCCTGCATCTCGCCCGCAACGTTGTCCAACTCCACTTGCTGGGCCCGCAGCGCTTCGTACGACTTCAAATACCGCCGCGCTACTTCTTCCGTTGCTTTCTTCGCGATATCCAAGGCGGATTTTGCTTTGTCTGCTTCCTTCTGCAGCGCCTGTGCCTGCACCGCCAGCATGTCGGATTCCCGTGCGTTCTTCGTCCCCGAAGACGTTTTCTGCAATTTCTGATTCGCTTCCAGCTGTTTCGCAGCGGCTTCCTCGAGCTGCTTTGCGTTCTCAGAGGCTTGTTGCGCGGATTCCAGCACTTTGGCCGCTTGCTTTTCTAATTCCGCGTTTTTGGTGGTCGTGCTGGATTTATTCTGTTGCGATAGAGTTGTGGAAGTCGTGACAGAAGCAGAGGAAGTAGTGCTGCTAGCGGTGTGCACAAGACTCTTCTTCTTTGTCGAGTCAGCATTTCCTGCACCAGTGCCGGCAATCACAGCCGCACCATTGTCGGCTGAAGCCACCTATCAAGTGCAAAAGTGTCTGGGTCTGGAAGAGTGTAAACTTGTCATGCAGGTTTTTCATGACCCATGAGCTCTGGAATGCGGGACCTAGCGTGACAGAGTCTGTGAGGCCCCTGCCATGCCTATCCTGCGTGAGAAACTCCCTCCAAACTTGGTCGAAAGTGGACAGCTTTTGGCACTCATGCAACACAGATATCTGCATGATTCGGATTTACCATGACAAGTTGCAATCTTCCACCAGACCCAGACATTTTTGCAATCCATACCACCGCATTGCAAGTTTCGAACCCGTCGATTTGTCTCGCGTCCTCTGCAACACAAGTCCAACACTGGTTGCTTATCAAATGCAGAAATGTCTGGGTCTGGAAACTTGTAATGCTGCGTTGGGAATAGTGAATGCTCTGTAATGCACAGGCAAGCATGAGAAATCTCTGCGCTTCTTTGTGTTGCGTTTTTCGCATGACAAACTGCGTTTTTGCATGACAGGCAAAAGGGTCTCTTCTTGGACACGCATCACAAGCTTCCTGGTCCTGCCAGACAAACGTGACAAATCTCGCAATTTTCCCGACCCAGACATTTTTGCATTTGATATTGCTTGCCTCGTACCGATTCAGACTGTCGTAGTTGTCCAACGGGCAGACACCCGCGGAGCAGGCGTTCTGTCCGCACAAGGCTGTGCACAGCTGGCACGCGGCGGTGCGCTGGTTACTTTTCTCTTCTGTTGTCGCGGATGTTGACCCGGTTCTGGAAAAAATCGCCAGTCCATCGGTGCACACGGGGAAGAAGATGGCTCTTGCCAAAAGAAGGGAAAACAGCCCGAAACCCGCCATAGTTGCGGCGTTTCTATCGTGTTGCAACTTCTCGGCTCGATGCGGCACCACGATGTTGCTTCTGCTTCCCTAGGTGCTGCGCTACATTTTCATGCACCGGAAAAACATATGACTTCCGCCGGAGCGGTTGTCACAACCGGACTATAATTTTCCGTGGACGAGGACCATCTTGAGCACTTTAACTTGAAAACTTGGACCTGCTGTTTCTGCAGTAGATCACATCAAAGCCCAGCGGTTTAGGATCCAAAATAGAGGAGGTGCCAGTGCTTGTCGTTGCAAAGGCACGCCGTTGCTCCCGAACTCGTCATCTCCTGCAATTCAGAGTATTACAATAAGTCGCACGCTTTTAGTTTTATCTTGGTTTCGGGGTTCATTGCTTTGGTGGACCTTCAATGTTCTGTTGGGATGAAACTCATTGCATAGAAATAACGGTTCTTTTGTCTCGTATGAAATGAAAGATAGATGATGAGACGCGGCAAGCCACTGTGGTCTCGCGTGGATTTCTAATTTGGACGAGATTATATTGCATTTACAATCAATACAGAGCTAGCCCTTGACGTGTGAAGTGTGAAACGAGGGCAGCCGGTGAAGATGCGTACTAGGTGGTGCTACTTACAGGGTAAAAAAGCGTGTTCTTTTATCAAGTCATTGTACATAAAAGTGGGAAGGAGGGACGAGGGTATGACAAAGATCATCATCATTATCAGAGAGGTTTACATTAGCATATAGAGTTTGCCTACATCCACTTCTCGATAAAAAGCTCAGAGACAAGAGCAAGACGCGGTCTCTTCGCCAAAGAAGTTTCTGAGGTAAATCGTACAAAAAAAGTGGAGCCAACATCGTGGCATCACAATAATTCCGTGCTGTCTACTTTGGATTTCGTGAAGCTACTCGTTGCTTCATCTTGTAATTGTAAAGTGAAAATAAACAAACGTTTCTAAAAACAGAGCACTGAATCTTGAATCATCAAACAATAAATCGAATCTGCTGCAAACTGGATGTTGGAAAATGGTGTTACTTACTGCCCAGACAGAAATTGCAGCAATCCTGGAAAAGGAATTGATAGTCTTGAAGTTGTCTTTCAAACCTCCTTGCCTTTCCCTCACCACCCAATTTTCCCCGTCTGACTCCCGACCGCCTTAAAATCTTCGTACACCTGCAATCTTCCGATCCATTCCTCCTGTTTCTCGGAACTCGCGGTGAGCATTTTATACCACTGCTGCCAGTCGTTCACTTCCTTGACGCTCTGCTTCAGCCGGTGATTCACGAATTCCTTATTTCCTCCGAACATCGCGTAGATCTTGTCGAATAGCGTGTTGATTTCCAGTACAAAAGTATCGTACTCGTACTAATTGCAGTGACGCATTACAAATCTAGGCGCTAAGGGGAATCCGCATTACAAATTTTATTTCTGATGCTGAGAAAATTTGTAATGCATATGTACGAGTACGATACTTTTGCAATGCATAGTTGATTTCCAGTCCCTTCTGCAGCAGGTCCGGCTTGGACTCGAACAGGACCGGTGATTCCTCCTCAAAAGTATGCATTGCAAATATGTCTGGGTCTGGAAGAATGCAGGAGTTTGCCATGCAGATTTTGCATGACCCATGAGGTCGGTGATGCATGCCCTAGCATCACAGACTTTGCGAGGGCTTTCTGATGCTCATACCGCATGAGAAACGCCCTCCTTGCGTAGCACAAAATACACCTCTTTTGCTGTTCACGCAATACAGATTTTATGTAGAGTCCACAGGTAGCATCACAAGTTGCATCCTTCCAGACCCAGACATATTGGCATTTGATAAAAAGTCGACTTTATCAACGTGTTCGCGGCCTCGATTACGTTCGCGGAGACTTGTAAAAGCAGCGGGCATTTCTGCAGTGCGGACCTCAATTCCGCTTTTCCGCCAAACACGTTTAGGTTCTTCATGGTGTTAAAGGCTCGGGTCAAATGCGGCCCGTTCGCTGCGAGGATTTCTGGGTGTAACTCCACTGCGCGGAGAATCTCGTCCATGTTCAGGATGTTGAACGATTCCAACAGTTCCAGTTTCAACTCGCGGACCCACGGGTACACCTTCCCGAGCCGGAAAATCCACTGGCCCGCGAGCTGGTAACCCGGCGCGACTTGCTGACGGGCGAGGTACCTTCAGGGAAGTTGTGTTTTGTTTGACCACGCACGGAAAAACAGCATTCGATGCATGCAAAACTGATATCATGTTTTTCTTTTTATCGCGAAAGCCTTGCATGACATTCCTGTACCTTCTCGCCGCCACGTCGCCAAACTCATCCCTCAAGCGGTTAAATAGTTCAAAGACTTGCGGGTGGCTGCTGAAGAGCTGGGGTCTTGTCAGCAGCTCCTTTTTCGCCGGATCCACGTCATCTTCCTCTGCCGACCTGGCGGGAATCGGCTTGAAGAAGGCAACCTGGAATAATAGATTTTATTGAGTAGAGCTAAGTAGGCATGCGCATGGCTGAACTGCACGACAAGTTCCTTCACTCATCCGCAACCTCGCATCACAAAAAATGCAGCGAAAAAAATATTAAATCCAAACTTACCATCAACGCCCCCTGGCTGGATTTGACTTTTATCTCCCCGTCGTAAAAATCTTTCACCCTGATCGAACAGGCCGTTAAATCACTCCGGCTTTTCCTGTGTCGAATTATTGGCGGTTTCAACTTCTCGTCCGTTTTCCACCCTTCTGTCACGTGCCACACTCTGACGTCGTCCGGTATATCCTCCTCGAAGTAGCACAGAAACACGGTCACCGGTTTTGACACCTGCAGCGTGAACTGCGGGACGTCCGTCTTCGCACTTTTGTCCATCACGTCTTCGTAAATCAACTGCAGAAACGTGTAGTCGTTGAAAGCGTCAAACGATCCGAGCATCAGCAACTGGTACTCCGCGGGGTGTAGATGTTCCGTCTGTCTCTCCCAGTACTCCGCCATGGCGAGTTTTTGCTCTTCCTCATCGTCTAGATTCGGTTTTTCCTCCGGGTTTTCCTCCAACTCCAGGTATGCATTGCAAATATATCTGGGTCTGGAAGGTTGGAACTTGTGATGCTAACTTTCCATACCTAGGAAATCTGTATTGCACAGCCAACAAAAGTCGCGGCCTCCTTTGTACACGCAAAAACGCAGTTTCTCATGCGGATTGCCTATGAGAAAGCGTTCTGGAAAGTTGTCATGCTGGGTTGCATTCGGAACTGTTTCTCTCAGCCGCATTTTAGCATCACAAGCTTCCAGACCCAGACATTTTTGCATTTGATACCAGGTCCTTTTTCGCAATCTCCTCCGGATCGTACGTCTCATCCTGGATTGCGAAGCAGTATATAACCTGCTCAGCTGTTACAATCTCAAGCGTTACAATGTGGATATCTGTGATGCAAAAAGTGCATTATCTAGCCAACTCTCATGGGATTCCGCATGACAAGTTTTGGAGATCCAAACCACGCCGCAATCTGACGAAATTTGTATTGCCGAAAGTGGAACGGTCTACGAGTCTGTCGTGCTGTTCATGCAAGGCCATTGGTCTTCCAATTCCCGACTTTATTGTAACGTTTGAGATTGTAACATCTGAGCGAGCCATACAGTAGTCGTTCAATTTCTGTGTGTAGTTCACGAAAAGGGGTTTCTCGGACTGCTTCGAATACCCGTAGGCGCCGACTTTTCCGTAGATAAGGGGTGGGCGGATAGCGGGACCGCAACCGGGGATACCTTGATTGATAGAAGTTTGAATGTGTTTCTTTGTTTTTGCGAAGGGTTGTACTTACTATGATGATGTGAAAGTCACTCTCATTGATCTTTGTGGAATGTATACAATTTCTACCGCGATAGAAATAGCACAAAACAAACCCCTATACGGCAGGTCCCTCGCGGAAAGCTTTTCGAAAACACCCGGAACCTTCCGCCCTTCCAACCCTCCACTCGCGGCGTCATCATCCCAATTTCCTCGGTCCACTCTGGCAACCAGGGGACTTGTGACACGAGCTCGTCCTCGCCCGCTTGCTCAGCTGCTTCGTCCGCTTCCAGGTTGTTCATTCGGTAGAACAGCAGGTAGATCGTTACCGGGTCCCACAGTACCATCTCACAGGCGGTTTCCGTCGGCTCTAGCCCCTCCTCGCGATACATGTCCGGTTTCAGGTAGATGTAATCTGCAGTATCATTCATTGTCAACATCGAACAGGTAGTAGAACAAATTAAGTATACTTCTCCGTCTGCGTGAGGAAAGAACGCAAAAAAAAGCTGCTAACTTTATTGCAGCAAACAAAACACAGCCAAAAAAATACTTTTGAGCGCTGAAAACCCCCCTAGCCGTTTGAAAAAGTAGATTTCCGTTGCCTCTGGATCCGCTTCCCCGAAGCACAGATCTTTCTTCCGCAGGTCCGGACACACTTCGTACTGTATTTTTGTGTCCGTGTTCACGGCCCAGAGCGGACCCAGCATCTCCTTCAACACTCCGTACGATGCGCGGATCAGTGCGGGCGGGAGGTAAAAGAGCGGCTTGGCGACAAACTCCTTCCCCTCGTTGAGCGGTAAAACTTTCAACTTCCGGTCCTCCGCGAACTTCCCCAGGCCCTGTCGGAGCTCCCAGGGGAAGTTGTCGAGGTAAAGTTGGGTTGGATCCAAGATCGCCCGGGAGTCGACTGTCCCCAGATGGCGGATCACAACCGGGTTGACACGTTGGAGCGGGATCTTCGAGATGGGGTCTTTTTTACTCGTCAGCTGCCACCGCTGCTCTTCATCGAGAAGGAGGTACCTGATGTGTTGGAGGAAACGCATGACAAGGCGGCATTGTAAATGCAAGCATTGCATCATACATCGAATAAGCGAGCTTCGAAAAACAGAAATGCATCTTTATACATGACGGATCTTGGTATCGTGATTTCCGGCACATCATCCGCTGACGGTTCCTTACTGGAAGACGAACTGCTTTCCCCCACGTCCTCTCCTAAATAAAAAGGTCCTCACCCCAGAGTTGTGATGCAAATCTGCATGCTTAAAATGTTCATCATGTTAAGCCCCATGAGAAGCATTTTCTGTGTGGGTTTCGAAATTTGTGATGCTCGAATCCGCACGACATGCTGGATCTGTGATACTGCTGCACTAGCGAAACGCGACTACAATGCGAAGCCAAACTTGTTATGCGCATCAACCAAAGCTTGTTGATTTGTGTAGTACGTTTTCCATCTTGACTCTGGGGTGGGGACGTTTTTGCACAGGATACGTCCTTCCCCTTTTTCGCTTCCTCCGCTTCCTTTTCCTTCCGCTCCCTGCGACTCCTCGGTGACTCGAATTCCGGCCCCGGGCCAGAGCCGATTTTCGGTTTTGGCGGCTCCAATTCGTCTTTGACGTACACGACTTTGTCGTTGATTTTGCACCCGTCTATCCTGGTGTAGGTACCCTGATACGCGGAGCCGTAGGTGCTACGACCCAGGACCTCGACGCGCTGCGGGACGCAACCTGATCAAGATTTGATGTGAAGTGGTTTTTCGACCGATGTTGAAAAGGTGGTCTTTTTCATTTTCGCGGGAAACCGCATCAAAGAAAAAGCGACATCAGCAAGCGAGGAAAATTGAAATTCACAGCGACAGCATGAACAAGCTCTAACAAAATAACTGATTGCAAGCGGGTTCGCTAGTGCGTCTTTTTATCAAATGCAAAAATGTCTGGGTCTGGAAGAATGCAAGTTTGTCACGCTTGTCTCGCATGACTCGAGAATCTGTGTTGCATAGGCACGAAAAAGCCCTCTTACCTGTCGTGCAAAAACGCAGTTTGCCATGCGGAATACGTAAGACATGGCAGCCAAAAAATTTGTCATGCATAGCTGCGTATTGCAGTGCGTCTATCATTCATTTTTAGCATTACAAGTTTCCAGACCCAGACACTCTTGCACTTGATACTTTTTATCAAAAACCGATTCCACTATACTTTGGTGCATCACCCAAAAGACCAATGGTTTCGCCTTCAAAACGTCCAACAGCGCTTGCCAGCACTTACTCCTCGTTTGTTGGTTCAGTTTCAGCAAGTTCGGACTTCTGGATAGGTAATACAGTGCTACTTCTCGACTACCCAACAGCTGGCCCCACGCGGCTGCGTTGTCTTGGATTAGGGTCGTGTCGGAGTAGAGTAAGTTGCCGGACTGGTTTTGGATCGTTGGTATTGTTGAATAACAAGACTTTAGCATGACAATCTCTAGCATGAGCATTAGTGGCATACGAATCCCGCAAGACAAATTACATATCTAGCGCAGCATAATTGTATAGATGAATCCTGATCAACTTATACCCGCGACAAAGCGTTGACCACAGGCTCACCGCCGACCGCTTTCGTCCAAATTGATAGCGTTTTGTTAATATGGATTGCAAAAGTGTCTGGGTCTGGAAGATTCTGAGACTTGTCATGCACGGTTTGCATGAGCCATGATGTCTGTGATGCATGCCCTAGCATCACAGGTTTTTTGAGGGATTCTTGATGCCTATTCCGCATGACAAATGCCCTCCCCGCGTAGCAAAAACTAGAACCCTTTTGCTGCTCATGCAACACAACTTTTTTAGACATCCAAACGCAGCATGACAAGTTGCATTCTTCCAGACCCAGACATTTTTGCAATACATAGTTAAACTGCTCTGCTGGTATCTTCATCAAATCTGGATTCTTCATGGTGGCGTGCCTAGTTCGCATCATTTTTTTCCACTGAATAATCATCCAGCCTAAATTTGCACGACAAGTTTGTAGTTTCACTTTCATCTTGCATTCTATGCATCACATCAAATCATGAATAAATACTGTGCCATATCCGGCGCGCTTTTCCTGACCGTCGCGACACTACTCGTCCCTCGATTAATCGCATCCGCGAATGTGGACAAAACCGTCCGTATGGATTGCAAAGTGTCTGGGTCTGGAAAGTTGGAACTTGTAATGCTAGCTTTACATTCCTGGGAAATCTGTATTGCATAACCGACAAAAGCCGCAGCCTCTTTGGTCATGCAAAAACGTAATTTCTCATGCGGACTGCCTATGAGAAAGCCCTGCGGAAAGTTGTCATGCTGAGCTGCGTTCGAAAGTGTTTCCATCATGCACATTTTAGCATCACAAGTTTCCAGACCCGGACATATTTGCATTTGATAGTCCGGTTTCTCTTGCAATGCTTGTGCTTGGTCGCGTTGGTGTTCAGCTTCAAGCCGGAAAACGAGTCCGTCTGCGCGATTTCCCCGATCGCCGCTACCCTCCCGGGGAGTTCCTCTAGCAGTTTCACTACCGCGTCCTTCTGGTGCGGTAGTAAGAGCTCCGACTGGACCGCGACCTTTGACAACGGTCTCCCGAGCCGGTCCTTGCATTCCAAATCCGCACCGTCCTCCAGAACCAATGCGTTTATCTGGTCCAAATCCCCGGCTTGCACCGCTTGGACCAGAAACTGGTTGACCTTTCGCTTGTCATTCGCGATGGCCGGGAACTGGAGAGAGGTCCGCTGAAACCGGGTGGAGGACTGGGAAGAGCTGGACTTCTGCATCGTGGACTGCTGGGCCATGGTTGCGCCCGGCCCGCCGCCCGGCGGGGAAGACATTTTCTTTTGTACTTTGGCTATTTATAGTATGATTCAATTCTTCGTCTTCCTGCTTAGCGGCACTTCGTTCATCTTTGAGTGATAGAAAATCACCTCGCCGGCCGCTCTTGAACGTGTTCAACATCATCTTCAAAACACATTTAGAATACACTTCTCAGGAACAACCCGCAAAGGGACTTAACGCACTACAAGTTTTTTTGCTCTCTCTGATCTTAGATAGAAGCTGCACGACATCATGCAGCATATGGTCACATCTCTCAGTTGATTTATCCCCTCATAGGTACAACTATTTGTCAGAAAGCAGCAGCACAGTCGGCACGGCATTGACGAACAGCGCCACGGTCACCACAGTTACCTTTATCGTTTCATCGATCTTTCTACCCCCTACCAGCACAGGCACCAGACAGTCCGAATTTTAATTGAGAAACAGAAGTTCCGATGTGGGACTGGGTTGCATCTTACACACAGATTTGGAAACGCAAGAAGAAATATATGACACGCCCAACGTACCCAGAGGCCTAAATCCCATGGGGGTTAAAAAAAATTTTTTTAGCAAGTGTAATAGAGCATTAAAAGGTGCATGTTTAAGTGAGCTGCTTTTCAATATGCTGACGAATTCAGATAGCCAAGTAGGGCTCTTTTGAATGTTTGAAGGGACCCACATGGACATCTCTTGGACCATGGATTCGCCTGCGAATTCATGGGCCGAGGGAAGTTGATGCCTGGAGGCGACGCGTGTTATGCAAAGCATCGCCAGGCCGGGCGAGCTATTGCTTTTGCATGGGGGTGATATTTTTCTCCAAGACCGACGGGGCGAGGCCTCCGAAACTCTGCAGCTGATGGGGATCGCTTAAGGGGGATCTCCTGTAGGGGGAGCATTTCAAAAAATTGCAAGGCGTCTACTTTGTCAAAAGAGAATCGTAGCAAATCGAATCCGTGGACCAGGAGAGTCCACTTCTGGGCTCCTTTCACCATGCAACCGCGCCTTTTTTAGCTAGCTTTTCAAATGAGTACCTAGCTCAACAAGATCAAGTAGTTACGTCAGAAATAGCGATCTGCTTCTAAGCTGAAATTTTTTTCTTGATCCCCCCTGGGTAAAAGGCCTTTGGGTACGTTGGGCGTGTCATAGAAAAGCAGAAGGCTATATATTTTTCGTCGTCATCAAGCGGCACAAGAACTCGAAAAAACCCAATGTCCAAACACTAGCCCTCCCATTAACCCGCCCGAAAACTCCTCGATTGAAACTTGCTTCCCGCTTTTCCCGCGACACCCCGCCGCAAAACAAGTGACCACGAGGGGCAGTAAGTGCTCTAAACGCGGGTGCGATTCCTTGACAAGCGGCTGGCGGAAAAGCGATTTCCAGTTTTCTTCTTGACAAGCTTCATGTTGCGACCACTTCTCGGTACTTCTTGCTGGATCTAGTTCTGCTTCTGTGGTCAACCTCATATGCTCCCGCACCGCCTTTACCAGCTCTTCCTGCATCTTCTCGCTCGTTTCTTTCCATTTCAATTTCTCCCTCGATGAGGAGAAAAAAGCCTGCATGTTATGAAAACTCATCCCCGAGCCGAGGATCAGAACTCTCTTCTGCTTCTTCTCCAGAAACACGTTTTGCAGCCTACCCAATCGTCTTCCAAGTGACGCGTGGGATTCGAGGGACAGATCTTTCAGAAGAGAAACTTGCACGATGAGGACGTGGTCCTCGTGCTGTTTCTGCTCATTCTGTTTCTGCTCTCCACCATTTTTGGAAAAACGCGAAATCGCTTCGGAAAACTTCATCACTTTGAGGGGCACGAAGACCCCATGGTCGAACCCCCGGCTAGGTGGCGCGACGACGACTTTGAAATTCGGATGATCTCCTGTCGCTTCCTCTTGTTCCAAAATTGCCCGAATCTCCTCCGCCTCCGCAATACTCGCGCCCCGGAATGAACCGGGGAAGGAAACGTTGTATGCTTCGGGAGGAAAGCCGTAGTAGTCGTAGAGGAGGGGAGGTGGATGATGGTTCTTGTCGCTGTCGATAGCTCCAGGTAATGTAGTTTTCTCCACTACCGATCCCCTTCCACTGTCCCCCTGCTCCGCTTGCACCGTGCAAACCGCTTCCTCATGGTGCGCGGAGATGAGAACGACTACGTCGATCGGCTTTATTGGGGGCGGATCATTTGGATTTGCTGTCCTCGCCGTCTGCTCCTCGCGTAGCTTCTCTCCGAGTTTTTCCAGTGTGGCAACAAGTTCGGCGTGGTTTGGGTCGCCGAGGAGCGGGAGCGGCCCACCCCCGTGACTAACAAACAGGGCGTCGATTGGCATAGTGTGATCGTTACTAATTTAACATCAATTCATTTATTCAAAGCGACTCTAGGGTACAGTAGCAGTACTAAACAACTTGCCGCAAACGGCCGGTGGAGAAGCACATGCGGAAAGTACTAGAACCGACGTGAATATAAGCCGTGCTGTAGTGGAGAACAAAGAAGAAAGAGGCGATTTGGGTCCTGGTAGCCAAGTGGAAGAAGTCAGACTCCAGAATATTAAGCACGATCCTCCCTTCACCACACCAGCAACAGATTTTGGGTGCTGTTGCAGAGATAATCAGCACCGAAAAAGTGCCATGAGTTGCGGAACACCACAACAGCCAACGAAAGCGGTCGGCGTTCTGCAGGTTTTTACAGAAGGATGTAGGTCGTGTACAACGACCTCTGATGTCCACTATTTTAGATTGCCTGCACAAAGACACAATCGAATACGTTTTCCAAAACGTATGACAAGTTTCTTTTTTCTGATATGTTGTTCTTTACATTTCGCAATACGTTCTTGCTTTATTATTTCTATTACAAAACCGCGCCCTTGTTGTTGTTCGCTTGTATTCTCGAAAATGAAGTTGTTCTGTTTTTCGCAAACGACTGATTGATTTTCATTTTGGCAAACACACAACGAAAGCCTATATATAAATCCCTAAAAACCTCCACACAACGCAAAAATCTACCTTCTGTTTCCTTTACCCGGATCGACCTCCACTCTGCTGTACCACCCTAAACTCCGGCCCCTCCTCCTCCCCAAAATCGTCTACCGATTTCCAGTCCAACTGCCCACTCTCGGAATTCTTCGAGTGTAAAAATTGCCTGGACAACGGCGGCCACGCGCCTTTGCCCGGGTCGGAGAACCAGGAGGGCGCGAAACTTCCGTAGTCGGAGTGGGGCACGTGAGCTCGCCAATGTGGCGTCCCGTAGTCGTTGTAACAGAAAAAATAACTCGTTCGGAGGTTGAAGGGATTGGGGTTCGGCTGACCGGGCACTTGCGGTTGGTTCGGGGTGAACTTGTAGAAATTGAGTTCCACCGATTTTGTTCTTGAGGACGAGGAGCCCGACGCTGATTTTGCATGAGCATTACCCGAAGATAATTTGCTCACGTTCACTGTTGTACCACCTTCAGCGGCAGAAAGTCGTCCCGACCGTTGCAAAAAAGGTTTTTGCAACGGAGCTGATGTCGTGGTCGCTGCGTTGCTTTTCCAGCTTCTCCTCTTTTCCCCCCACCCCCACGTCCCTAGCTTGTCCGTTACGGCTTTATCAATGGTGATATCCGCCGCGCTATGAATTGCAAAAGTATCGCACTCGTATAAATGCATTAAAAATTTCCTCAGCATGAGACATAACATTTGTAATGCGAATTTACCTTAAGTGAAAGATCTGTAATGCATGACTGCAATGCGAGTACGATACTTTTGCACAGGATACGCACCCGCTGCGGGGAAATCCGACTCGCAAAATTGGGTGCGCAGCCCCCATATGCATTGCAAATATGTCTGGGTCTGGAAATTTGTGATGCTAAAATGTGCATGATTGAAACACTTCCTTATGCAGGAAAGCATGACAAGTTTGCAGAACGCTTTCTCATAGGCACTCTGCATGAGAAACTGCGGTTTTGTATGACAAGAGAGGCTACGCCTTTTGCTAATCATGCAATACAGATTTTGCAGGCATGTAAGGACAGCATTACAAGTTCCAACTTTCCAGACCCAGACATATTTGAATTTTATACCCCACATCCGCGGGAGCACGTAAATCGGGGCGAGGTCGGTGACGTTTCGGAGAAAAGAGGAAAGATCATGATCTTCTGCGGAGGATTGTTGTTCCGGTGTGGTTGCTGTTGTGGTCTTCTGAACCTCTACTACTTCATCCAGCCCCACAACATTTACGTCGTCCATAAACACCGCCTCGGCAGGATCATGCAGCAGCCCGTGGAGGCCGGGAGTTCTTGCAACATCTTCGCCAGATGGGGGTGTGGTAGCGCTGGTTTTCCTGCCGGTCTTGCTCCTAGTACTGCTACTTGATGCAGTAGTTGCAGTTGCTGCTCCAGCTTCTTTCATTTCACGACTTTCAGCGGCCGCAGAGCCAGGCGCTTTCACTTCCCCATCCGCCTCCGCGTCCTTCTCGAGCTTTTTCTGCTTTGCCGCGGCCTCATGCTCGTTCCACAATTTTTCGTTCAACTTTTCCAGTATCTGACCATGGAACGGTACGAAGTCGCGACACACTTTTTCGTAGGAGAGAACTGTGGAGGGTTCTTCTTGCTGGTGTTCTGGAGCTGTTTGTTGAAGCTGAGTTTGACCTCCTTCTTCTTCTTCACCCGGAGGAGGTACTTCTACCACATCCGGCACCCAAATGTCTTCAATCGGGACGGGAATGAGAACCCGGTAGGCATTGTCCTCAAAATTTTCATCCTCCCCACTGCCGTACCGCCCCGCGTCGTTGCTTGGCGCGTCCTCGTGAAAATTCCGCGGCTCGCGGATCTGCACGCGCGCGCAGGTGAAGACCTGGCGGAAAGAGCCGTGATTTTTCTTGTCGTGGTGCAGAAGTTCGAGAAAATGGTGCTCAGACGGCGCTGGTGCTTGCGTACTTTGAGGAGTCGATGAAGACTCTTGACCTCCCACCGAGGACAATGTTGAGTCCCCCTCCCCGCACGATCCGATCCGGCCGAATAGAAATTTCCAGTTGGATTCCACGTCGAACGGAGAAATACCTATCGGGTTCTTTTCTCCATTGATGCTCCCCTGTTTGCTGTTCCACGGTGCCACAAGTTTGACCTCCGAGTCGTCAACCTGCAAAACTGGAATTTTTCCTTGCTCATCGTCCGAACGATGACCCGCAGCACTTGATGTCGTAGAACCACCACGACGTCCAGTCCGATCGAAGAGCCGCACCGGCGCCACCTGCACCGCCATGAAATCTCCGGACTGCTCCAAATACTGCTCGACACTTTCCGGCAGCCCGCTTTTGATTCCGTAGGGCGCCGCGATGTTGAAAAACGACCCGCTGCAATCCGTCGGAATGAGAAACTGCTGTGGTCTTTCTACCTCCACGTTTTCCTTCAACACTTTGATCAGTCCGAAGGGCAGCAGAATGCTGCACCCAAGCACGACCGCCAGGCGTTGGAACACCTTGTCTCTTAAACAAGAAACTGTCTTCTCCCTGCAGGAAAACATTTTCGTGCTGTCTGCGTTTCTCGGCAGGGGCGGGCGCTTCGTCGGAGAATAGGTCGGCTTGTACTTCCTGTGCATGTTGTGCTCCTTGTGTTCTTTGTGCTGGTGTTCCTTTCTTCCGTCGGGCGATATGGATGTGTCAGGTTTGAAATCGTCAGAGTTGAAATAGTTTGTCATGCATAAAATGGATGCCAGTTGGAGCCCAGTTTTCAAGTGGCGCATGACAAGTTTTGGTGGTGCCTAAATCGAGTTTGCAATGCTGTTTGGGTAAGGAAGACGCCTTTTGTCATGCTACTTTAGCAGCTCTACTTCTACCCCTCAACAGGCTTGCAATCTCCTGCCTTTCTTGCCTACTCTGCAAGACAGGCACTCTGTGGGCTGCATTTTATGCATCACAAATTATTTCAACTTTGACGATTTCAATCCTGACGCTTCCATAGGCGAACAGTGGAAGTTATCCGTTCTCGGGACGCAGCGGACATTGGGGAGAAGAAGATGCTGTTGCTGCTGTTCTTCTTTCCTCTCTGGTCTTCCACCTCGACCAGTACCAGAATCATGATCTCCTGTACGGTACAGCCTTTGCGAGTGCAACACCGCCCGGCCCTCGCGGATCACGGGCGGTGGCGCGCTTCTTCTCCCACCGATGGGAAAAGCAGCAGCAGCGGTGGCCGAGGGGCCAACGACAGCGCCCCCCGGAAAGAACAGCGGGGCTCTGTTGACCACTAAATGCGGCGATGGCGAAGCAGAAGGTCTGCGATGGTGATGCTGTTGGGAAGCTGCAACTCGTGCCGCGGCGGCCGCTGCACCTCCTCCTCCTGCACCGGGCAGAAAGTGGTACATTTGCGGGTGGATCAGACGGCGCAGCGGTGATCCGGAGTACCTCTCACGGTTGATGTCTGTACTACCGCCTAGCGCTTGGTGCCGCACTAAAGGGGCCGTCGGGGAGCTCGACCGCGCGGTACGGTCCCGAAAGTCATGTTCTTGCCAGTGCGAGGAACTTCTACGTGCTGATATGATCGAATGCGGGTTTTCAAACGCCCGCGACTTCGACCCGGGAGAACTGCGAGCGGCAGCGGCTGCCGCCCGAGCCAGCGTTTCTGCCTTACTGCCCGGCGGAGCGGAGGACAACGGAGACTGCTCACCCGGAACAACTAAATGGGGTGGCAAAGAGTAGTACTCGTGGCGATTATGATCTCGGTCTTCCTGCTCCCGCGGCCGCAACAGAGGCGAGGCGGTTGCGCCGGTGTGGTAGGTTGTGGAGAACAACTCCAACTGCGCAGAAAGAAAGACGAAAAGCACAGAGAAAAAAGACGATGAAAACGCCGTCGACATCTTTGAAGTAGACATTTTTGGTTTTTTTAGCATCTTCCAACTTCTTTTCGCAAAAGACGTGAAAAACGCACCAAACCTCTCACTGTCGGTATCGCTCCAAGTGCTTATCCCTCTGATTCGTCACTTCTTCTACTCTGCGGCTATTACAGAGAGCCAAGTTGGCTAAGAGAGTTTTTCTGCATGGATAGATTTTCTTCTTGTGACAACAACCGAACATAGGCGGGAAGCGACTCTCTGTCGTTTTGTTTGCGTGAAGCCGGAGCTTTGTAAGCACTTCCGAGCACCCTGTGATATTACTCACCGTCGTAAAAATTCAGGCATTGAACATAAAGTCGTTTGAAGAATCTACGTACTAAACTCGCTTCAACATCTTTCCTCGTCATTATTTTTCTTCAGCATAGTACTTCACTTGTCGCATTTCCCATCCTATTGTTTTTCATCACCCCGACGCTGTGATCGGCGCAGCTGCAGCACTACCACCGATTTCGCCCTCTCTTTTATCGTAACTGGCGGATTTGTGCTTTGGTACGAAACTAAACCCCTTCCCGCACTTCCCGAGGAACATCTCCGAAATCTTCACCCAGTCTTCGCACTGTCCGCTCATCAACAGCGTCTCGAGATCGTCCCGGCCGAAGCAGTTCTTCGGCGGCCGCATGTTGATGGTCATCTTTCCCTGATACTCCCGCTCCAGCAACCCAACCGGGAGATAGCGGTGGAAAAAGGAGAGCCACTCCAGGAGAAATTTCCGCGTCGTGTCCCTGCCCCGCTCGTCCGAACCCCAGTGCTCCAAACCGTATTGGCAGTACTTCTTGACAAGATCCAACCGCTCGGTCGCGTGGAGGTCGATGTGCCGCCGTTCGGTTATCTCTTGGAATATCTGTTTGGTGTTTTGGAATACGTAAATTTTGTGCACGTCACAGAAAGTTGTTCGAAGACGAACAAACACCACTCGTCACGTACATTAATTTAGTGGTTGTACATGAATGGAGATGGATGAGACGAGATGAGCATGGGAACCTCAACCTACCGACAAGCAATAAAGCGCATCATCTTAAAACCACACTTAGATAAAATCCCCACGAGCATAGTACCCATGGCTTGATCAACGCTCCCCGGCCAATCATGACGCTGTCGACGTAGTTTTCCTCCAAGTACCGCTCGTACTGCTCGTACGACAGCACGTCCCCGCAGCCGACCAACGGCAACTCGCAGTTCTGTGATCCCAATTCCGCATGACAAGACTTCAAGTAGTCCCAGTTCGCCAATTTTGTGTACCGCTGTTTCGCGGTTCTCCCGTGCAGAATCGCGGCGTCCGACCCCCACTGGGCCAATTTCGGCAACAATTTCAGCGCGTTGTACCGGTCGCACTTGTCGTAGTGGCTTATCCGGATTTTTGTCGACAACAAAGTGTTCGAATCCTGCAAAACGGTTCTCATTCCGTACACCATCTGCCGCAACGCTTTCTCCCTCACCGTTAAAATCGACCCGCAGCCCTTCGTGTGCAGCTGATCCAACGGACAGGCGGCATTGATATCGATCCAGTCGCAGTCCGTGTTATTTTGCAAAAATTCCGCGCACCTCGTCATCGCCCCCGCCGAGCCGGAGGTGATCTGGATTCCGAACAGCTTCTCGCTGTGGTGTATCAAGTGCAAAAATGTCTGGGTCTGGAAGATTCCGGGATTTGTCATGCTAGTCCAGCATGACTCTGAGCTCTGTCTTGCGTGGCCGCAAAGGGCTTCTCTTGCCTGTCATGCAAAAACGCAGTTTCTAATGCGGACTACGCAACACTGAACTACGGAAAACCTTGTCATGCTTGCAGTGCATGACAGTGTGCGCATTTTTCCCTGACTTGCATCACAAGTTTCCAAACCCAGACTACATTTTCACAGTTGATATGGTGTCGACGGAGCATGGCGAGTTCCGAGTTGTTCCCCTGCAATATATGCATTGCAAAAGTATCGTACTAGTATAAATCGCATGACAAATTTGATCAGGAAGAAAATTGGAATTTGTAATGCAGATTTGGGTAGGAAACCAGATCTGTCATGCATACCTGCAATTCGTACGAGTACGATACTTTTGCACAGGATACAATATCGATTCCGCCAAGGCCATCTCGGACATGGTCACCTCGCAACCCAACTCGACACACAGTCTGCGGAAGGGGAGGTTGCCGACGGTCGTCAGTGGAGCGAGGATTTTCTTCGCGTTGAAAATTTTCTTCTTTTTCTCGATGCGCTCCCGCGGCAAGTCGTGGAGCCGATCCGAAGTCTCGAGACCAGCGCCGAGCCGAGATGTTGGAGAGGTAGGGGTTGTGGTGTTTGCTGTAGAGTCGACGCTTGTGTTTGCGATGATACCTTGTACGCCTTCGCGAATCGCACCTGCTGGTGCTGCTCCACTTTCATTATTCGTGTCAACTTTTTCCTCTATTGTCGCAGTTTCTGATGAATTTTTTGTCTCAACATTGGAGAGCGCCGAGTCGTCCATCGTTTTGCTCAGTAAATGGAATTTCGCCACCACTTCGTCGCTTTTTGGAAATGCGATTTTCTTGCGCCGAAGTTGGTTCCGGATGTCGTCATTTAGCTGGTTGGTTTCGTGAATACCGGACTGGAGGGAGAGACACCCCAAATCATTCCGGATGAAGGAAATCAGATCCTTTTGCTTGTCGAAAATTATGTTGGAGGATGTACTTTTTTCTTCACATTTTTTTGGCATAATTATATCACGGGAAGTTTTTGTTACACCCGTAACTGCAGGATTCGTGGCGTCTTGGTTCTGTTGAACTACATTTTCCTCTCCTGCGTGATGTTCCGGTGAAGAGCAATCTTCTGTTTTTGTCGACGCCGTCGTGGGGGAAGCAGTGCTGGACTCGTCCGGCTGCTTCTGCTTTTGCGACTCGGATATTAAACCCGTTTCTGAGGTACTATCAGAAGTTTTCCCAATAGGTGAAGACGAACTATTTGTCAATGTCATGCCCCTTCCCTTCCCAAACTCCATTTCCGCCTTCTTCGCCGCAATCTTGTCCCAGTCAAAGAGATTTTCCCCGGTGTTGAGATCCACATGGTCTCCGGCCCACAAGCAGTTCACGCCAGCGGGACAAAACCCGTTGGTGCGGTAGACGAGACAAGGGATATTGCCAGTACTGACCATCTCCACGACGTCCTCTTTCTTTTCGCCGGCCATTTCCAGTCCCGAAGATGTGGATTTCGCAGTGAAAGCTATCGGCTCTGTTCCCGCCTCAACCGCTCCCTCAGCTGCGGCTTGTGCCATCTCCGGCAAAGAATACGGCATTCCGCCACACTGTTTGATTTCCAGAAGCTTCTTCGCAATGTCGTGATTGCGCCGGCAGATTTTGGTCGTGTTACAACTGCCCCCTTCTGGTTGGCTCTTTCCGGCTTGCTGTTCCTGTCCATCTTTGCAGGAGCTTCCGGCTGTTGTTCCTGACAGATCAACCTCCGGTGCGGACAAATGGCACCGCGCTGCTCTACTTCCGAGTGTGCATCCGCTGCTTTCGCACCGGTTCCAGAAGGCGAGCTCGAGACAAATCGTCTGCAGCCGGTCCACGTTGTTGAATTTCCGCTCCTCTCTCTGCATCTGCTGCCTCTCCTTATTCTTGTACTGCCCCCGCTTGTCGTTTTTTCTGCGCTTCTTCGTCGGCGGCTCCGCTTCTTGCTGCTGTCCTTCGTCGGGCTTTGCAGATGTAGTCTGTTCTGTACCATCGGTGGCCAGAACGGAGGACTCCACAACTATATTTCCCGCTTGTTGGCTTGCTGCTTCTGTGACCGTGGCAGGTGTCGTGGCAGCGGTGTCGCGATGAGGACACGACTCGGACTGTCCCTTTTGTTCTCCATCATTTGCAGCTGCCGGCTTCATCTCGTGCGTCGTGGGCGAGGAGAGGGCTGCTGCTTCCTTTTCGGTTGCTTGGTCTTTCCCCTGATGTCGCATATATTTCGCCTGGACCGGAGCGTCTCCCTTGTCCAGCATCGCCTGCATGCGGGCGAGGCGCAGCGCCTCGCGAGTTCCTTCTTCTTCCGTCATGGACATTTTGTGCTTGTCGTTATTTGTGAGCAGAACAGACAAGATCTATATCTTGAGTATCCGTGATTTTCGAGTTGGATGTAAACTATCTAAAAACCTACTTAAATCCTGACTAAGTTCACTGCTGTACCAATCGATCATTAAAGGCTCACAACAACACGAAAATAGCTTAAAGCTCTCCTTTCCAAAACATGCGAGAGAGACCACAAATAAAACACCTTTCAGGCGGTGACAAGTGGAGCTTTCGTTTCGTATTTTGATCCTGGGACGAATTTCGGGTCTTTGATCCTGTTTCACTTCTCTGCGGGTCTTATGGATCTCGCTATTTGGATGCTCGCATTTCTGGCTGATCTACTTTTTGACAGAGAGTAAGAGATTTGCGATGTAGTTGCAGCATGCACGAAGTGCAAAATCCTCGGCCAACTCAAAGAAATTTACTTCAAATGCGATCCTGCAGTGAGGTGCGGCATAACTGCGAGCGCGAACCTTGCTGTTTCAAGGAGCGTCAAACTTTCCACCACCTCGAGCACATCAAGAAGCGCCAGATCGTCCAAAAATGGAGCGCAGCGGAGTTTCCTGTTCCTCATTCCAATACTGGAAGCGAAGACTTTTTCTTTTTTCTAATACGCCGCGTATCTTGATGCTCGTCTTCTCTGATTCTACTTCCATGCACAAGTCGAACAAATCCGGAAATTTGCGCCGCAAATTTTTCTAGATCGTTACCGCCCTTCTTAGCGTCCTCGTTTTGCTTTCACACTTAAGCGGAAAAAACAAAAGTCCTGTTCAATTTTTCGAGGAAACAGCTCGTCATGCGCCTTCTGTCTATCTCGGTGTCAAATAGAAATTTTCGTGTGTTGCTTTTTGCGTGGTCGAGAATCAGACAGTGAGGTGCATTTTTCTACTTCGACGTGGGTCAAAATGAGGGTCAAACTCAAAATTGCCATTAATTTTTCTTTGAAGAGCACTACCTCCTGAAAGCATTACTAATAACAGCGCCTCTGAACTGGTAATTCTGTGGAGTGTCTGGTTGTAAAAATCGAGTAATAAACGTCGGGTTGTAACCACTGCTTGTACAGTTGGACTGTTTGATTTGTGATGCTATAATTGAAACTAATACATAGAGTTGTTTGTTTGTTTGTTCATATTGGATACACGGGATCCGGGTGAAGATTTTTTCTTCTCTCGTGTTTTAGCGCTACTTGAAGAAAAAGTCAGTCTGCAAGAGCCGCTTTAGGCCTGCACTTAAGAAAAAATAAAGTGAAGAGCTGTAAAATTAAAAAGTTGGTGTCGAAGTTTAGGTTCCTACTGAAAAGTTGAAAAGTTAAAAAGTGTTTTTGTCGTACAAGAAACTGCTAACGCTACTGGGAAAAGAGATAGAGAAAGAGCACAGAATAAAATATGTTGCTTTTCTCGCTGTGAAGTTGGTGAAGAACTGTTTTTTTTTTTGAGATTGTGTTAGTTTTTTGTCTTTTTTTATACTTCTTCCTTCGTGGTTGTCGTTCGCTGCAGATCTTCGTCTACCTGTCTTACGCTTCTATCTACCGTTCGTAAAGTTTACTTGCTTTGTACAAAACTGAAGAGCTGTCTGTGTAATTCAACATAACTTAAATTTGTCTTGCGATTTTTTGCCTAAAGCGAGTCTCTCGGACCCTTGTTGCTTAGTTTGTATTTGTTCATTCTTCGAATTTTTCAACTAGCATATGCTCATCATAAAGCTTCCAACTGACCCCGCACCTTACTACCACCTCACTCCAATAGATTTGCATTTGGGGACACAGATAAGATAGATACAAGTCATGTTGTTCAACTGAGCCAGAAGAACCTCACGCTGGTGATTCTTCGTTTGTCCGTTGGTGTTGGAGACGTTGTTTTTTAGTGGAAGTCTTGCTTTCTTCGTCGTGTGCTAATTGGCGAGAAAAAACAAACAGAAACGTAAGACGTATATCGTTGGAATAACTGTTGCTACAAACAATAGAAACGAACTTGAAAACTTCTGCCTTGGTCTGACTGCTGCAAAGGCGTAAAAGCTGAAATCCTCATCATCTTCATGACAGCGGTCGGAAATCTATCAATCAGTGTTGTAGTACTAGAAATCATCAGGAAAGCCAACCGGCCATGAGCCAGGGGTCGCTCACGATGTCCCGCTCCTGCTGCCGCCTCCGGGCCTCCGTCGCGGCCTCCTTGTCCCTCGCGGCCTGCTCCTCGCGCTGCCGCTGGCGAAGGGCATGGTCGTCTTCCAACGCCAACACTCCGGGTTGCGTCGGACCCGCGTCTTGCCGCCTTGGGCCACTTTGCGGGGAGATGACGGCGTGGTTGTCAGTCATAACGTCATCGTGGTTGTCAAAAGTGTCCTCGTGGTTGTCAAAAGTGTCCTCGTGGTTGTCAAAAGTGCCCTCGTGGTTGTCAACAGTCGACCCTAGTTTCGAAGTGGAGAGCTTTATTGTAACGCATTCCTACCGAATTCAACCTTGGAACAGGAACTTCAAACACAATTACAAATCCCCAAGTCTCGTCTAGTTTTCCCCCGTTTCAAATGTTATTTTCGCACTCCTAAGCATTCCCGAGCATGACCTACAGTGACCGTAGCCATACAGGTCAGCGGCTTGCCGCCTGTTCAGCCTCCAACTAACCTTGAATCAACAAGAACAAGACTTACAGCTCTCAGAAAAAAGTCCAAACGAGGACTCCCACACACCGTGGGCACGGTGCAATTACTTCAACCGTGTTTATATAAAAGAAAATACCGCTAAAACAGTCGCACAAACCCCAAAACTTTTGTTGCAGAAAAGCAGTCGGTTGGTGCTCAGCTGACACAGCTCCGTCCGCCATGGTGCCTCCACTGGGACCAACGGCGACCACCTGCTGCTCACCCGTCGACTCGACGATCCCCGGGCTATCAGAGTCCACAACTCCCCCTCCACCTCATTCGTCCGTCCGGGAAAAGATCCACAAGCTGCTGCTCTTTGCATGACAAATTCCCAAGTCCGTACAGTATTACAATCAGCCTAAGTAGGTGGAATTTTTCATGCACACGCTCCATCTCCGTTGGCGTTTCTATAATTTCTCGAATGAGGGTGAGGGAGAGTCGTGTACCCTCATACGTGCTGCCGACCCGCTCCAGCAGATTCCGCCGACGAGCGCAGGTGTGTCATGCGGAAAAGTGAATCGACATCGTCACATTCGTCATGTACTTGAAGTGCCATTTAATGCATGTGGGCCTAAGAACACAATAAACTCCAAATGCCAGGTGTACGCAAATGCTTTTCAATCTTCTAGCCATAAGTACACGACAAATATGCTCGCACACACTTTTCAGCATGGTAAGAATTCGCAGAAAACCACTGGCGTCATGCTCGCACCTGGACGGCCGGCAAAACTGGTGGACGCCAGGATGGGGCACTCGGCCGGAACGATATCCCGGAGGAAAAATTCGGAATCAAATTCAAGTCAAGATTCTCACTCACGGCCGCAGAAAGCGAGTGTGACAGACCCACTCCTGCACAACAAAACTACTTCAATTCATACTTGTACTTCCATCAACCACCATGACAAGAAATTAACAAACTTCTTGACTCCACATTTCTGACTCAGTCATTCTCCCCACTCGGATAAGTCAGGACCTTGTCATTGTCGCCATCCCGGAGACTGAACTCGGTGACGAAGCCGCTTTTGTACGCTTCCGCAACACGGGTGGCGTTGCCGTATCATGTGCAAAAACGTACCGAACCGATTATTGCCAAGATGGGAATTCTGCTACATCACAAGCGAAGATATTTTGGTTGTTGCGCATGACAACTTCGAACTCGCAGGGTTGTCTCACTTGGCTCATAGCGCAGACGCGTCAACATGTTGAATTCGCATCATTTATAATATAGAGCATGCCAAATATCCGGATGACATAATGGCCCTCATGGGGAGCCGCAAGAATCATATTCTACACTCAGACGCGTAGATTTGCATGATAAATCGAAATCTTGTTATTTGGTGAGTACGTTTTTACTTAGGATAGGCCAGTTTTGTTCATCATCCACGACATCACGTCGACCTCGCGGTCGCAGTATGCACGAAAAAAACTGTCTTAGTGTAAGCCCGTGTTGCAGAAGATCCAACGCAGTTACACTTGCCATGCTGTACATGAATGACAGGCTACGTACGTGCTTTCGCGTACTTACTCACTGCGCATGACGCTGTCATGCCAAAAAGATTTGTCATGCCGTTTCCTAAAAAGAGTTACAGCAACACAGTTTTTTTCTTGGATACGGAGACTCCGGCTTGCACCAGACCCGTGCGGCCGTCCTGGATTTGGTTCAGTTTGCTCACGAGAAACCCCGTATCCGGTCCGTCGGGGGGGGGGGGGGCAAGAGCGTCGGCCATGCCGGTACTGGTCTCAAGTGCAGAGTTGGCGGCAGCAGCATCTGCAGCAACGTCGTTGCCGGCCTGTGAGTGAAATTATGAGATGTTCAAGTGTAATTAGTACAGTGCTGACAGAGAGCACGACAAAGAGGATCACATCTTACAACATCACGTGGCGCAAAACTCGTCCACTAGATTCAAAAACTTCGATCACAATAATAAGTAAGTACCTCCTCCACCCCGGGCAAATCGACGTCATCTTGGTGACCCAGCGCAGCATCATCGGCCTCACTGGTTTTGGTCTGGAGTGCAGAGTTGGCGCCAGCAGCATCTTCAGCGACGTGGCCACTTTCGTGGTTGCCGGCCTGTGAGTGAAAATATGAGATGTTCCAGTATAATCGCGTAATTCTGACAAACAGCACCAGCATCACAAAAGGGTGAATCACATTCACATCCTACCACATCACGTGGCGAGATACTCATCCACAAGATCAAGATTAAAAAATTGTGATCACAATAATAAGTAAGTACCTCCTCCACCCCGGGCAAATCGACGTCATCTTGGTGACCCAGCGCAGCATCATCGGCCCCATTGGTGGTGGTCTGGAGTGCAGAGTTCGCGCCAGCAGCATCTTCAGCGACGTGGTCACTTTCGTGGTTGCCGGCCTGTGAGTGAAAATATGAGACGTTCCAGTATAATCGCGTAACTCTGACAAACAGCACCAGCATCACAAAGGGGTGAATCACATTCACATCCTACCACATCACGTGGCGAGATACTCATCCACAAGATTAAAAAATTGTGATCACAATAATAAGTAAGTACCTCCTCCACCCCGGGCGAATCGACGTCATCTTGGTGACCCAGCGCAGCATCATCGGCCTCACTGGTTTTGGTCTGGAGTGCAGAGTTGGCGCCAGCAGCATCCTCAGCGACGTGGTCACTTTCGTGGTTGCCGGCCTGTGAGTGAAAATATGAGATGTTCGAGTATAATCGCGTAGTTCTGACAATGAATAAACAGCACCAGCATCACAAAGAGGTGGATCATATTCATATCCTACCACATCACGTGGCGCAATACTTATTTACTACATTAAAAAACTCCGACCACAATAATGAGTACCTCCCCCATCTCGCGCGAATCGACGTCATCTTGTTGACCGAGCGCAGCATCATCGGCCCCACTGGTGGTGCTGGTCTGGAGTGCAGACGTGGCAGGAGCAGCATCTGCAGCAGCGTCATCATCTTCGTGATTGCCGGCCTGTGAGTGAAGTTGCGAAGGGTACACTGTACTTCAGTGCTACTTTGACTACGGACGATAAAGAGGACGACATACCGTCCCGTAAGGAGAATCTACTACTGAGGTAAAATGTCCAATAAGATCTACATACCTTTTCCAGCATGGCCGCAGGAACCGCATCTTCAACCACGTGGTCATCTTCTTGAGTGTAGCCGACCTGTGAGTGAATAGAGAAATGCATTACGTTCTTCAATGCTAATGTGACTCCGGACTACAGCAAACAGGGCAGCATCATACAGGCGACGAGGAAAACCTGTTCTCTTACTAGGCAAAAAAGTGTCCTCCGTTCCTAGAGTTGCCATGCATACCTTCTCCGCTCCTCGCAAATGGTTGGTCTCCTTGGCGCCCTTCAGCTCGGCCAGGGCAAAAACGAAGGAATTGTACCGGCTGCTGGGATATCAAGTGCACAAATGTCTGGGTCTGACTGGAAACTTGTGATGCAAGACAGCCAATAACAAATGCACTGTAGTGCGCCGCCAAGCATGACAAGTTTTTTCGTGCTTCTGTGCTGCGTATTCCGCATGAGAAAGAGAAGCTGTGTTTTTGCATGACAGGCGAGAGAGGCTGTTTGTGGCCACGCAATACAGAAGATTTAAGGGCCATGCCAGATCAGCATGACAAGTTTCGCAGTCTTCCAGACCCAGACACTTTTGCAGTTCTTGATATGGGAGAGAAGAGGTAGAACCACTTGGCGGCGACAGCGGCGAAGGAGAACGCCGTCATCCTCTTGTCTTGTGCTTGTCCCAACGCGGGGTGCACAGAATAAAGCCGTTTTTCGTCGGGGAAATATATGTCAGTCTCCTTAGCAGGCACAAAAAATTTACTCACCACCACGCACACCGTGTGTGCGGATGAATCCAGCTGGTTATTGTCCTTTATTAGCAGTGCCACGAAAATTTGTGGAGACGCAAGGTCAGGGTGGAGGTAGTTTGGCGAATATTAAACGACTCGGCACGACAGATCGCCAAGATGGAGTGTAATTTACTCTATCCCAGATGAATTTTCTCAGCCGTACAACGACCCACGCATCGTATCTTCACGAGATGAAGTCTATCAACGTACAAACGGAAAAATCGAGGCAGCGGTGCGGGTGCCAGGAGTGCAAAATCTAAGTAAGTGTTGCTGTTTTGTCTCTTAATTCTGCAGCTTCACTCGCTTAGATGTTCGCATAGAAATAGCTCCCCTCAATTCATCTCGCGTCTTCACTAGTCTCTCTTTCTTTGTCTTGTACGAAACGTCCCAATAATCTGTTTACCTTTACCTAGCAGAAGCAGTTCCCCAAATCATACAAGAATTTTTCCGTGATCATTCAGTGCTAGTAGATCCTGCCTCACGAACGAACTCCGACGATCACGTTTATTTTGTATAGCACAGTAGATATCCCAACATGTCGCAAAGCGAAAGCAGTCAATGTCCCGCTAATATGCCATGGCGGATTTTTCCTTTTCTGGAAAACAAAATTAGCGGAAAAAATCGTAGAAGAAGATCACTGCTTCACTGCTCTTTCCTTGTAGGCATCATCACTCAACGCCGTGACAGAGGCTGGCACGTCGGCAGAAGCTGGTGTTGTACTTCTGTTCTTACCAAAGCCAAAATCATAGAGGTAAACACCAACCCCGAGAAGCGTGAGCGCAAACCCACAGCCCTGCAAACTCGATACCGAATTGCCGAATACGGCTAGGGTCGTGAATATCACCCCTACGCGACTAATGTTGTTCAAAACTGCCATGTAAAACGCGCCCGCGAAGTGAACGAGAGTGAATTCGGATATGTACCAAACAGTGGTTCCTAAACCTTTAAAAACGAGTAGCATCAGCCCGAAATAAATCGAGTGAAACTTCGTGGAGACTATTATTTTACCGTGCACCTCCGTCCAGGGCTCCGAGCCCTCGACGAAGAGGGAAAGGAGCAGTAACCCGACGACGTTGATGGGCGTCAATCGGTACGCCATACCCCAACTGACCATCATCTTCTCGGAGAGGGTCGGGTCATTTTTCCTGGATGGATTTAACCCTACTGGTTTCGGCGGCTCTTGTAGTCCAGAAGTAGAGGCGCCGGCTGGTGCGGCACCATAGGAACTGTTTTTCTGCAGTTCGCTGTAGTTATTTATTCCTGCGTTTATACTTCCATCGGTCTTGGGAACGATGCCCGGGGTGGAAGAGGACGTTGTTCTAATACCACGTGGTCCCGCCGCCTGCTGCCCGCTTTTCATCACCCCTTCTGCCACCGCCCGACGGAACACCCCGGAGAGCATCGCGCCGAGAACGAGCGCAATCCCACTGACACTGTAGTTCACTTCGCCGAAGGCGCAGAGGACCGACCCGAAGGTGATGGGGATGACGGAGATCAAGGTCAGGGTCGAGATGTCGCGGGAGAGAAATTTGCTGAGCAAGACCTGGGGCACGGTTTGCGTCATCATCATCATTTCCACGAAGCTCGGAAAGAGAAACTCGTGCGCCGAGTAGTGCGTGGCGCCGGATATGATGTTGAGCAAGCCTAGCGGGAGGATTTGGGTCTTGAAATTGTACGTCGGAATTATCGTGGTTCCTAGGCTTTCACCTTGATTTGTTTTGTTTTTGACGGCACTTTGTCCAGCAGCTTCTCCCTTGTTCACCAATGCCGAAAGAACTTCGTCCTGGTCCGCCGCACCAGCTGTGTCCGTGAAGTCCAGCCGCCGGTTGGTTTTCTTCAGTCTCTCCTTCACGTCCGCCACGAACCTTGGCACCACCCTCGGGTCTGGCATAATCTTCACCACGTGCGTCACGAACAAGATCGCGAAAAACGCCACCAGCTGGTCGAGAAACGTGAGGAACAGTGGGTGGGGAAAATCGTAACGGAGAATGAACAACTTCAGAACGCCGATTTGCAATGCGTAGCCGGCAAGATTGATTGCTGAACCGATGGCGACCTGCCACGAGAAACTTGCGGACGAAGTGGCGGGAGTTGCCATTTTGATCTGTGCAAGGTCGTGTTTTGAGAAGACGAGGAATAACACGCTGCGTCAAGCTATAACGACCGAAGATACGATACCAGGAGGGTAGTTTCACTCTGACTTGCCGCTCCATTTTTACAAGAACTGTACATTCCCCAGACTCTGTTACCCTTTCCCCTCGCGTGTGTGAAGCCCTCTCCACTCCTAAGAAGGAACCCAAAGAACTTTACATCTTCCTCGCGTGCTTTTCGTTAGAAGAACACGACCTGCGTTAGTGTTCCTTGCATATCTTCTTCCGAAAAAAACAAAGAGATAGCTTCAACGTAGCATCCGGCTCATCTGTGCAAGACTTCCACCCAAGAGAGCAAAGAGAAGCTCAGTTTGTTGCATCAAAGAATTCAGTTTTTCATCCGACGTAAAGAAAAGATCTCACATTCACTTGTCCGCGTACTAACTTATGCACGATGCTGTTGTAAAGGTTCGTCACATCTTCGTTCGCCCTGCATAGGTCCAATGCTCGACCAAATTCTCAAGCATTGTCCTATGCAAACGCAGCCTGCAAGCTGGCCGCCCGTTTTTGCTCTAACTCCTTGGTCAGTTTCCCGACCGCATCAGAGACTTCCTTCACGTAGTCACTGCCGCTGTCGGATGGAGGTTTCGCGTCCGTCATGGTGTAGGCCCCGGGAACGTGGAACCCACACTTGCTGTACAGCTGCTCGTATCAAATGCAAATATGTGTGGGTCTGGAACATTCTAAACTTGTGATGCTGTCTCTGGATTCTAAAAAAACGTGTATTGCATGACCAGGAAGAGGACTCCAGTTTGTGCTACGCGGAGAGGGCAATTCTCATGCGGTAGAGGTATCACAAAGCCCTCTAAAAATCTGTGATGCTACGGCATGCATCACAGACATCATGGCCCATGGAAAATGTGCATGATAAATCGAGAAATCTTCCAGACCCAGACATATTTGCATTTGATAGCTCCATCAGTTTCGTCTTCGCCGCCTCGTCGCTGGCGGACTTCACGGCGGTCGTCTCTTCGGCGGTGACGTAGAACGTTTTCACGAACTCCTGCTCCTGTTGCTGCTGCATGAAGGCCAGTCGCTCGGACACACTGCCGGACGCGTTCGCCTTCGCTTTGCCCGAGAGGTCAATCTGCTTCAGGCTGTCCGCGAAAAAGTTCAGCACCGGGTCCTGTTTCGAAGTCTCGCCGGAGATGCCTGGGATTTTTTGTTAGGGCGGAGGGGGTTGCGCGCTAAATATGCACGAGGAGGTGATGAAGTGCCAACTTAAACGCAAATACGCCCTTAGTGGGCGACCTGCATCCTGGTCCTTGCTCGACCACTGTTCGGCCCTTCTGCGAGGACGGGAAAACAGAACAAATGCGAAAACGAGCATGTGCCCGCGAATCGTCGGCACTATAGGTCCTACGCACTGCAAGGAAAGGCGGCGCCCTAGGATGGGGGGCCGGAACCCTTCCGGCCGGATCCCGCGCGCAAAACCCAGCCAAACTGCGAGGGTCGGGGCAGGGTCGGGGCAGGGTCGGGGCAGGGTCGGGGCAGGGTCGGGGCAGGGTCGGGGCAGGGTCGGGGCAGGGTCGGGGCAGGGTCGGGGGTTCTGGCGCGCCAGGATGTTCGAAAAGGGTCGCGCGGGCGTTCAGCAATGGCATGAAGCACAGGCAGCTGCAAAGCAAAAAGTGCGTACCTGTCAACGCTGACTCAAATGCCGCGGACTGCATACTCGCATCGGTACCAAACTTCCGGGTGAAGTCGGCTTTTACTTCCTTGACCAAACTATCCTGCAACTTCGCGCCGTTCGAATCCTCAAAGGAGAGAATGGACTGGAGCTGTTTCTTTGCTTTCGCGATAAGCTGCTGCTTTTCCGCTTCGATTAGCGCCTTGCGGTAGCTCGCCATGGTGGGCTGATATGGGGTTATTTTTTACGAAGTGAAAAGGTGGATGGAGTTGATGTTACATTGTCATGCACTACTAACTTCCGAAACAAGAAGCGAATGATTCAATTTGTCAATGTAACCAGCACCATTGAAAAATCCTTCTCAACACCCTCAAATCCGAGCTGAAGCTGGCCAAGCGGTCCAGGCACTTGCTGTCGTTCGCAAATCTCTTCATGGCAGCCATAATCTTGTCCTCGCCCTCCATCACGTCTTGTGCGGTTTTCTGGGCGGCCATAAACTCGTTTCTTTGTATCACGTCGCCGATGTAGCGGGAAAACGCCGTGTAACTCGTCCACAGAAACATGCCCGTACCGAAGCCTTTCAGGGCGAAGTAGTAGTTGAAGAAGGGATATCAAATGTAAAAGTGTCTGGGTCTGGAAGAATGCATGTTTGTCATGCTTGTCTGGCATGACTCTTAAATCTGTCATGCAAGTTACCCAAGAGCTCCATTTTTCTGTGATGCAGAAACGCAGTTTGTAATGCAGAATAGGCAACACCTAGAAGCTCAGAAACTTGTGATGCTGAGCCAGCATTTCTGGCCTCATCATGAGACGCCACCCAGCATCACAAGTTTCCAGACCCAGACATTTTTACATTTCATAAGGGAAAGGTCTTCAGCAAGAAAATCGAGGCCCCGAAAATCAACCTGATTGATACATATTTCGAAGTGGACGTACCATTTTGATGTAAGTAAGTAAGTGTGTGTAGCCTTGTCATGCACCGGGAACAACAAGAGCAAACACTGCCTCGCAAAACACAATCTATTCTATACCAGTGGTCCCTGACCCAGCCCCCGGGCTTCATTTTTTTCGAGTCCAGCTGACCAATGTGGCTGGCTTCTATTCGTTTTCTCATGCAGTACTTGTAGCAATCTTCCTCCGATATGTTGAACAGCACGGCAAGCTCGGGATAGTGGAATTTGTACTCGGCTGGGAATGTGTACTGCACCGCAGTTCGCTCCTGTAGGATTTTTTTCGGTTCACATCAAGTACAGATCAACACGTCGGTAGTCAACATCACCTGAGATCAGTAGCATAATGCAAGAGCAAGAAAAACTTACGAAAAATATCTATCAACATGACTGACAGTCTGCTTTAAGCAACACAAATTTCATCACAAACCTTCTCCGCGAAACCGTTCGCCCACATCGCGCTGAGCAGCTCCTCCGTGGTGATAAACACGTCCGACTCCACCATCAGGCCGTCCTTTGATCTTTTCAAGAAGTCCTTGAAGTCATCGCTTCTCGCTTCGTGGTCAGTCACCACTTTTAGGTACTTCAAGAACAGTTCCATATAACCCTCTCAGGTGTTACAATCTCAAACGTTACAAAAGAGTCTGGAAATCTGTGATGCAAGAGCTGCATGATCTAGCCTACTCCCATAGGATTTCGCATAACAAGTATTTCGGGGGCTCCAAACTGCATTGAGAATTCGGCTCAATTTGTATTGCGAAAAGCTCAATTCTCTATACGTTCCTCATGCTCTTCATGCAATACAAAATCCAGATTCTAATGTAACGTTTGAGATTGCAACGTTTGAGCAGGCCATATTCCACTTGCTTCGTTTCCGACGCCAGCTGATCGCGCTGCGGGAGGGTTATCCTGTGAAAAAACGTCCCCAACCCAGAGTTGTCATGCAGAATTGCCATCACAGGAAAACTTGTATATGCGCATCCCCACGAGAGGTATTTTCAATCGTGTTATGCAATTCGTGATGCTGTAAACACGATACCAGGATGGCTTTGTGATGCGGTTGTCCTTGCTAACCCGCATTGCGGTACAGAGAAAAATTTGTCATGCGTGACTCCCAAAACTTATGGATCTGTCTAGCAGATTTTCCATCTTGGCTATGGGGTGGGGACGTTTTTACACAGGATAAGTGTGAGCAGGAAGTCATCGTAATCGACGCCGGCTTTCCCCTTTTTCGTAATCTGGTACTTTGTCACGTACACACCGCCGCTGCTGGCCTGAAGAGTGAGAATCAGAATGGTTGAGATGTTCATCTGGTGCTGCAAATATGCATGACAGGCTCGAGTACAAAATAAATCAAGATGTTGCACGACACAGAAAATATTGCCACCAACAAGTTGTACTACCTCCACTGGGCTCTTCACTCCGAAAAAGCCTCGTCGCTGCAAAACCCCTCGGCAGCTCGCCGTGGCCTGCCGTCGCGTCGACAGCATGCTGGCGCGGCAAGGTGGAAAGACCACGCAACAATGGCTCAGTCAATGGGTCGTCCCGTGTCGTATTTCCTTCCACGAAAAAATGTGTATCGTGCGGGATTGATGAGAACGGCTTCACATCTTCAAACTACTTTTGATGTTGCGCAAGACACAAGTCATATTTTGATCACGATACGACAGTGCAGCGAAGCGCACGACAAAGTCACCCGGCAAACGAAACCAGAAAAAAAACAAGCACCAGAACAAGGTCCGAGGTAGTAGTAAGAAACCTCCGCATCTACAATGTGACAGGCAAGACGTCGCAAGTGTCTTATTTGCTCCAGGCTCGACGTTTATCGCGTGGCGCAAATGAAAATTTCTTTGGGCAAAAAAATGGCGTCATCCATTATTCATGATGTTCTCACCTCTGCTCCACCCAGGCTGAAGCATCTCTTTTTCTTCCTTCTTGCGAAGAGGAATATTTTCAAAGCTACAGTAAGGAAAATTCTAGGATCAAAACGAACCGCGTCAAAGCAGGTGCTTCAAAAGAAAAAGTGTCGTGTTCTGTCAATTACCAAACGATGTGTAAAAACTAATAGTGTTTTTTTTATATTTTTCTGTTCATTCCACTACATCTTCTTGTTCATTTGTGTTGTCAAAATGAAAGGCGGATCGCGGATTGTCCGGCGGCGACGATCTCAAATCCCCGCTGGTCTGTTCCCAGAAAAATCCGCTCGGCGCAGCGATACAACCCGCAGGAAAAGAATCGCTCTCTTTCTGTTCGTGTTGTTCCTCGTTCACGACCTCTGCACCCCGACTTTGCACTCTCTCTCCACCTGGCCCTGCCTCGCCGCTGTTAATCCCGAAACTTTCCCGGCCATGTTGAACTTGAGGCTGGCAAGAAGTTGTATCAGCAGCATTCTGTCCACCTTCTTCCCTCTCTCGCTCCTCGGATTTCCGCTGGAGGTGCTTTCTGAGGGAGGACGACAACTCCGTCGGCAACCGGTTCGGCGCGGGCGTACTGGGCATCTGGAAATTCGACGCGCTCTGCCGCGGGTTTTCCACCTTCTTCAGCCGCACCTTCCAGCTGGCCGCGAACGAATTCTTGTCGGGAGAGGATTGGGACGTGCTGGTGCTGTAGTTGTTCTCTACTTTATTGGCAAAAGCTGCAGAGTCCTGCTCTTTGGAGGATGTTCTCTCTACTATGCCGACGTGGTCCTGCAGTTGTTCGCTTCCATGGTCTTCTTCCTGGCCATTCTGCTCACTTCCGCTTGACGAACCAGTCAGAAATTGTGCCTGGTTGTACTGCTGCGCCGTCGCTGCACCGAGGAAAGGATTCGTCGACGTCGGCGAGGGCATTTTTTGCAGCTTACTTTTCCCAACTTGAATATGCGGTTGGGAAATAAGCGCTTGGGGCTGTTGCAGACCACTGTTTTTACTTCCTGAATGTTGTCGTTCCCTAGCAGTCGCGGCCGTGTTATAATATTCCGTGTCTTTACTGGGGAACATGGTACTCGCGGTGGGCACGTTGTTCACTTCCTGTTCTCATCAAATGCAAAAATGTCTGGGTCTGGAAACTTGTAATGCGAAAAGTGAATGATAGACGCACTGCAATACGCAGTTATGCATGACAAATTTTTTGGCTGCCATGTCTTGCGTATTCCGCATGGCAAGCTGCGTTCTTGCATGACAGGTAAGAGGGCCTTTTCGTGCCTATGCAACACAGATTCTCGAGTCATGCCAGACAAGCATGACAAACTTGCACTCTTCCAGACCCAGACATTTTTGCATTTGATAGTTCTGACATCAGAGACACCTTCTCCACAGTCGGCGCCCGGTACTGCGAGGATGATCCAGAGGACCCTAGAATTGGCGATCCCATGGCCGCTCCTGGGCATGATCCGGAGGCCGTCGTCGTGCCAGCAGCACCCGTCCCGAACTGCAGGCTAAAATCCCGACCGGAACTGGGTAGCAACGTGGGCATTTGCAGTAACGGGGGAATGTTGAGTTGCTGTCCGGTATTCTGCGAGCCGTCGAGGTTGTTCATCAGTGTTGGTTGCCGCTTCGACGTCGTCGCGTATCAAAAGTAAAAGTGTCTGGGTCTGGAAGATTATGAGACTTGCGATGCAAGTTTTGCATGAGCCATGATGTCTGTGATGCATGCCCTAGCATCACAGATTTTTTGAGGGCTTCGTGATGCCTATTCCGCATGACAAATGCCCTCTTCCCGTAGCAAAAATTATACTCCCTTTGCTGCTCATGCAACACAAATTTTCTAGACATCCAAATGCAGCATCAGAAGTTGCATTCTTCCAGACCCAGACATTTTTGCAATCCATATCGCGTGTTCATTTACCAAACGCGGCGAACTTCTCTGGTCCGGTAAGTCCGGACGAGGACCACGGCCATGACTAGTACTGCTGGGCGCCGGCAGATACACCGCGGACGAACTTGCGTTTTGTCGGATTTTCGTACTACTCATTGGATCCAGTAGTGGACTTCTCTTGTGGTCCACCTCCCGATGAAGATCCTGCTCCGAATCCGCTGGAATAACCGTGCTGTTGCTGAACTCCTGTGGGATGTGGGTTTGGAAATGAAAGTTCGTGTCTAAAAGCGGCGCATCCATCGGCGGGAGCTCGTGACTCACCCGGGTTGGCGGGTGGAAAATCTGCGTGTCGTCAAGGTTATCTGCCGCGTCGGAAGGAAGTGGTGCTGGGCGTGGTAATATCGCCGGTTTCTCTTGCGGAAACGGCATCGGAGCAACCGCATTCTTCCGGTCGAAGATCTGTGTGGTGTCTGGATCGTTCGTGTTCACTTGCAGGTGGTCTGGGAGATGAGGCTCTGCGAAAGAACCTGGTCGTGCATGTTCCTCGTGGTTTTCCACGACAAAGCTTTCCAACGGCGGCTCTACTTTAGGAGCAGCAGTAGAGCCAGCACTCGTCGTCCCATTGTGCAACAACGGATCGAACGCCATGTGCCCGGCCAATAAGCCCATCTGCGTCCCACCAATGGTAACCGCGGTTCCAAGGGCCGCGGGGTAGGAGGTCGCGGTTGCCGCGTTCTGCGTCACCGGAGATCGGAAGGTTGGTTGAGTAAGCCTCGGCTCGTCTTGATGTTGCCCGTTGTCGCGCTTTGTCCTCTCTGCGCTGCCTCCGCCTTGTTCAGCATCTACTACAATTTCCGCGTGGTCAGGCGATTTTGTCACGGACCGCTGCTGGTCCCTCCGCACGAGTTTTTCCGACCCGGCGACTTTGCTGTCCCACAAATCTTCGGTTCTGTTTGCACCGTCAGCACCAGAAGCCATGCCCTCGCGCTGGTTGGTCTGATGTACTACATCAACTACATTAGCGAAAGCAACTTCCTGTCGCACGTTCAGCGGAATCCACGTCATGCTGACCGTCAAATTCTTGATCTCCACTGCAAAATGCGCACCGGACGTGAGGCTAATTTCTTCCCCCGGTCCAAGTTCCACGCCGTAGTTGTACTGCAAAGGCCAAATTACCCGTGCGACAAACCGGCAGTTCTCAGGGTTCGCATTTGGATTTGCTTTGTTCATCTCTAATACAAAATCAACTGAAGAAGGCTGCTCTACTCTTATCTCCAGCAACTCCTCCGGTAGAAGCTCCGCGCTACTCTTTCCCCACAGCGCTTTCTGATAGTTCCGGCCGATCCGGAGTTTTTGCGGAATTTTGTCCGGACCGAGGACGTAATAGAGCTGGCGGCGGAAGGAAGATAATGCGGGCGTATCCTGAGTAAAAACGTCCCCACACCAGAGTTGTAATGCAGATTTGCAAAGACAGAAAGACTTGTAATGTGCATCCCCATGCGAGCCATTTCCAATCGTGTATTGGAATTTGTGATGCTGTGAACAGGATGAGCAGATGAATCTGTGATGCGGCTGCACTTGCTAACCTGCACTACGCTGCGGAGTGCAACTTGTCATGCGTGACTCCCAAAACTCCTAGGCTTGTGTTGCAAAATCCCCATCCTGACTCTGGTGTGGGGACGTTTTTACACAGGATAGGGCACTGCTGACCCAGCACTGGAGCTGCTGTTATTCTCCATAATTTGTTCGAAATTCACGTCCAACAGATACATCGCTTCCCGGCGCAAGGCAGCCTGGGTAGCGTGATCATTGGGCTGGCACCACCGACCGGCCACGCAATTTTTCGGGAGGTCGATGGTGTCATCTGCAGGGGTTAGTAAAAATGCGCTTTCATTTTTTGCATTGCTCTCTTTTTGCATCGGCGGCGGGGTGGGACTCGGAGGCGAATTCGACTTTTTCCGCGGAATAGCCTGCTGGTGTGTCGCAGAAGTAGTGGATTTTTGCTCCTTCCTGTTCTCAGGATCTGTAGTCCCGGCGCTTGGATTTTGCGGCGACGCGAAATCGCGCGACTTTCTCTTGTTCCTTTGGGGGGACGAGGTCGTAGTGGCTTTCAACACGGCCGGCTTGGAAGCATTGTCACTACTGCTTGCAGGCTTGCTCCCCTTCGCGTTATTTCGTTTCGGCTTCATATTCTGCTCTTTCACCAGCACAGAACCACCGACCGCAAGATCCACTTTTGGCTTCGGTTTCTTCGCTATTTCTAGCATTTTTTCCCGGACTTCGAACCGCAAATGCAGAAACGGCGCTTGTTTCAAATGCGCAATGAAGCCGAGAATGTCCCCGTGCTGGATCTTCATAGGCCCTTATCGCAGTGAAAAATGCCCCCACCCCCAAAGTTCCAAAAATTTGTGATGCGAAGTCTCCAAATGAAAACTTTTTGTCATGGATGCAGGAAAGGAGTATGAATCTTTCTGATGCAGAGTCTAGGCGTGTTCGCGTGTGTCGCATCGCTTGCATGACAAGCGCCGCTCTTGCTGGGATCTTTTGCAATGCAAATTCTTGCCATTTACGATTGGAAATCTGTGACGCTGATAGATGCAAGAGGGCGAATGTTTCATTTGGAAAGGTTTGCAATACAAATGGTCCCAAGTTCGGGGGTGGGGGCATTTTTCACTGTAATAGCCCGGACTCCTTCTTGATCAACTCTCCGTTTAGCATCAACCCGTTACTGCTGATACACTGGATCTGCTGATACTGATTCTTTACTTCTCGGCCGCTTGATTCACCACCTCCGGATGAAGTAGGACTCTCCCTGACCTGCAGAATCCGGAAATGCTCGCGGGATATCGTGTGGCGCGTTTCCGCATCTAAAATAACGCAATCCCAGTACCCTATCAACTGTAAAAATGTCTGGGTCTGGAAACTTGTGATGCTGAGTGGCGTAGCATGAGGGGGCCAGAAGTGCTGGCTCAGCATGACAAATTGCTGAGCTTGTAGGTGTTGCCTATTCTGCATGACAGACTGCGTCTCCGCATGACAGAAAAACGCGGCTCTTGGGCAACGTGAATGACAGATTTAAGAGTCATGCCAGACAAGCATGAGAAACATGCATTCTTCCAGACCCAGACATTTTTACATTTGATATACCCGGAGGGTTGCTGCAGCCTACCAACCGAGTTCACGTCGTACAGGACACACGGCGGGTGGTCGAAGAACGGTATGGGCTGTTGGTAATCTGTCTCGTGGTGGAAATGCTGCTGGAAGGGGGACTGCGTCTTGTGGTAGCACTGGACGAATCGGTAGTTCCAACTTTCGTGCTGAAGACCACTTGAAAAACCTGCTGCAGTTAGCTCTTGTTCATGACCGGCACCCCCGACGTACTCCCTCGTATCCGTTTCGACAAAGGGCGCGGAGGAGCTGCTACTGGTTCCCGTTCCTAAATTGGTCAGCATCTGCTGAAACAGCTCGACCGTCCTTGGGCTGACTGGAACACTCGCCGCGAAGGTGTTTTGAATCGTCTGTTGGAACGCGGGTTCGGCGGCTTGCCAGGATCTCGGGTACTGGAGCACGGTACGAAACTCTGCTCGACTATCAAAAGGAAAAATCCCCCACATGTCAAAACGAAGTTTCTGACGCTGGATTTGTGCACACAAATCGAACCTGTCTTGCTGGAGAGGGCTGCAGGCTCATATCAAGCGCGAGTAGAGAGATAGTGGCCTAGGCACCTAGCATGAAAAACGTCCGCGCTGTAGGCCCAACAGCATGACAAACCGCATGCATAATGGTGCGGAAGCTTCTGCTTCTGCCCTTGTCTTCTTGCAAACCAAATGTGATTTGTGACCTCAAATCCGCAACACAAATTTCCGAGAACGTACCTTATCAATATGGGGAGGGGGGATTTTTCCCTGCGATATCGACCGGTGGCGTTGGTGGTGTCGACGAGGTTTTCATTTATTGCTGGTGTTTTTTCATTGGTAGAGTTGTTTCCATCTCCTCCTGGAGGCGTTATTTGCGGGCTACTTTCGTGGTCTACCATGTCGTCGTAGTACTCGTCGTATTTTATTTTTTCCAAGCTATGACTATCAACTTCCACATTGAGGTTCTCGTTCTCCTCCTGCTCCTGACTACTTTCGTGGTCAGGACCAGTTTGATGTGTCCCGCCCTCAGGAGAGGGTAGATTGGCAGAGATCATCATGTCTTTTGGCGTGATGTTGTGCTCGGGGCTACTACTTTGCTGCCTGTCTACCTGTAGTTCCGGTTCAAATGCCTGCGCTTGCTGTGGAAAAGATCCTTCTACTCCAGCTGGTGATTTTTTTCCGGCGTCTCCATCGTCTGGACGATCGTGCTGTTCTTCTCCGCCCGCCGACGCGCTTGATGCACTTTGGCTATTTTTCCCATGGATGAAGTACTCCGCAATGCTGTTCACCTGTTCGCTGTATTGCGCGTAGTCGTAGGAAAACTCACTGGTAAACTTCTCCATCTTATCAACTGTAAAAATGTCTGGGTCTGGAAGATTCTGACACTTGTAGTTGTAATGCGCCTTTTGCATGAGCCATGATGTCTGTGATGCATACCCTAACAATACAGATTTTTTGAGGGCTTCTTGATGCGTATTCCGCATGACAAATGCCTTCTCAGCGTAGCAAAAATTGCATTTCCTTTGGTACTCATGCAATACAGATTTTTTGGAATCCAAATGCAGCGTCACAAGTTGCATTCTTCCAGACCCAGACATTTTTGCATTTGATACATCTGCTTCGTGGCGTTGGCGAAAAAGTCGATCCCCGCTATGCCACCAGTCGGGCTTTTCGGCGGGTGTAAGTCTACCGTTGCGTCGATTTTTTGGTCAACGTAATTGTTTCCGAACTTGTTGTTGGAATTCCTTCTCGACTTCGACTGCTGTCTTATTTCCACCTTCTCCTGTTCTTTCCTTCGTTCTTCCGCAGCCGCCTCCACCTGCTCTCGCTTCTCCTTTTCCAGCATTTCCCTTACCATCGGGTTGGGCTGCTCGTTATTGCGAGCAACAATCCCCCCTCCCCATATCAAAACGAAACTTCTGACGCTGGATTTGCGTACACAAATAAGCCCTGCCTTGCAGTAGAGGACTGCAGGCCCATGCCGAGCCTGTGTGGAGAGGTTTTAGCCTAGGCGCTCAGCATGGCAAAAGTCTATGCTGTAGGCCCAACAGCATCACAAACCGCCGGCATAATACCGGGGGCCTTCTGAATATGTCTCCTTGCAAGACAGACACGATTTGTGACCACAAATCAGCATCACAAATTCCCAAAAGTATACCTTTTCAGTAGGGGGAGGGGGGATTTTTCCTTTTCGTACTCGTCGTGCGGCTCCACCTCGTCTACGCGTTCCTCAAAATCGCCGTCATCGTACTGGATGTCGCAATATGGATTGCAAATATGTCTGGGTCCGGAAGGATCCAAACTTGTCATGCTAGATCTGAATCGTACAAAAATCTGTACTGCGTGACCAGCAAAAGCTACCCGCTTTTTGCCACACTAAACGCGAACTTCTCATGCGGATACAGGTATGAAAAAGCTCTTGCAAAATTTGTGATGCTTGTGAGTGCATTCCAGACTATCTTTTCTTTGTGATCCGCGAGATGCATGACAAACTTCCAGACCCAGACCTACTTGCATTTGATACGCAACTGCCGTCAGTGTGCGCGGACTGAATCGTGCCGTTGCACATCATATCAAATGCAAATATGTCTGGGTCTGGAAACTTGTGACGCAAGAAAGGGAATAGCGGGCGCACTGTAATGCGCTGCCAAGCATGACAAGTTTTTCCGTCGTTCTGAGTTGCGTACTCCGCATGAGGAACTGCGTTTTTGCATGACAAGCAAGATCCGCTCTTCGCGGTGACGCAACACAGAGCTCAGAGGCATGCCAGACTAGCATGACAAATCTCGCAACTTCCCAGACCCAGACATATTTGCTATGCATACATCATCAAATTCTTCCACCGCGCCCGTACCCGCATACCGGAAAGGAGAAGTTGCCCGGTTTGCTTGTGGTAGGCTTTGGAGGGCGAATTCGGCTGGCGATAGTGATGGTTTTGGTTGTAGTTTGGAGCAAGGCTGTTGTTGTTCCCGGGAGGCCGGACTGGGGATGGTGCCGGGAAATATGGCGACGGGGACTGGCTGTAGGAAGAAAAACCGGCAGCTGTTAAGGAAAAAATCATGTGTTTTTATAACATGCGTCAAGAGGCCGAAAGCAGTGCCTCTTCCTACTTACATTACATTTCTGGTGGTTTGTTCTTCATGATCTAGTAGAACACCGTACTAGAAGTCCAATACAGCACGACGCTACTATAATACTCTCATCGTCCACAATCCCCTGGTCCAGCTTCCGCAGTTGTGTCACCAAAAACGGCATTTTCGGCCGTTTCTCCATGTCCGGATCGATGCACTTCAGGGCGTGGTTCGCGATCTGCCGCGCAATCAAGTAGTCCCAAGCGGCCGCGGGGTCGAGCCTGCGCATCACCTCCTCAACGTCGTATTTCAATTCGTTCACGAGAAACTTGAACTCCTTCTCCCGGATTTGAACCGCCGGTGGGGTCGCCGTGAGCAACTCCAGCAGAACCATCCCGAACGCGTACACCTCCGTCGCTTCGGACACGATCCCCGTGCGGATGTAGTGGGGGCAGACGTAGCCGACGGTGCCGGCGGTCTGGTTCACGTTTTTTGTCAGTTCGTCCTGCTTTTCGCACAAATATGCAATGCAAAAGCACCGTACTAGTATAAATTGCATTACAAATTTCCTCAGCATGAGAAATGGCATCTCTAATGCGGATTTAGCTTGAGAAGGAAATTTGTAATGCATGAATGCGATTACTACCAGTACGATACTTTTGCAATGCATAACACACAAGCCAGGCCGAAATCGCCGACCTTCGCGGTGTCTTTTCGGTCCAGGATGATGTTAGGGGTTTTGATATCCCGGTGAAACGCTTTCGGCTTCGAGTAGTGCAGGTGGGACAGCCTGGTGGAGAATTTGTCTTGTTGATACAGTGAAATTTATAATTTCCAGATCACGTTTTTCTCTATTTTCAAATTTCGATCTACAACTTCATGCCGCATCACAAAGTAGAGGAAAAAGACCTACATCGACCCACTACTTTCCTCCTTACCCTTGCGCCGCATCGAGCGCCACGCTGCACCGCTGCTTTCCGCTGAAGCCCTTGATTCCCTCTCGGCTCCATCTTATCCGCTGATGCACGTCGCCGCCGGACAGCAGTTCGTAGACCAAGATCCGCTCCTTCCCAATGGGCCCCTTGCAGAACCCCATCAGAATCACCAAGTTCGGGTGTCGGAACCGGTCTGCGAGTGCACAACTCCCCGTCTCTGTCATTTCTCATGCAAAACACCAAATCCAAGCGCTGCCGTGTGGTCTGTTTGCATGACAGATTCCGGAAGGAGCTGAAACAGTACTACATTATGCGCATGAACTTGTCATGCACAGGCTCCATATCTGCGAGTGTTTGTATTGCTGTCCTTGCAATACGAAGGAGGGGGAGGCGGGGGACAGTTGTGCACTGTCATAACCGGCTGAGCATCTGGACTTCGTCGTCAAACCCGGCTTGGTCCGAGTTGTGCTCGATGACTTTGATCGCGACCTCGTTCCCGTCCTCCAAAGTCCCCTTGTAAACGGAGCCGAACGCGCCAGACCCGAGCTTATTCAGCGGGGAGAAGTTCGAAGTGGCTTTCTCCAGAGTGGCGTATTCCATCTCCAGGTTTGGTGTGTTCCAACGCTGCTGCAGTTTGTCGCGAAGCGAAGGCGGCTGGGAGGTTTTGTTCTGGTCTCCTGGAATTGCAGGCCCAGCATCGACGTCCCGCGCGTCCTCATAATCGTCGGCGTTGGAACTCATGATCTAATTCGAAGAAGAGCTGCAGTCGCGACCTCACCCCTGGATGTAGTGTGCGCGTCGACCTAGATGAAAATCTCCGGGAAATAGGAAAAACGGCCTCGTGCTACCTCTCCGCGTTTGGGTCTGCTCTCGCGGAGGTAGTCACCGTGTGCGACGACGTAGCACCTCCAGAGGAAGTCCGCAAAGCGGCAGAGCTTGCCGATATTACGATGCTCATCTTGACAGCGAGAAACGGTTCTAGTTGTACACACATGAAAATAAAAATGGTTGTAAAAAATGCTTCGCGCACTAGCTGCAGCAAGATTCTTCTGGCTCTGAAAGTTCATCTGCACCACGGAATCTATTTTAGTTTGTGTTGACGCACGGCAAAAGAAATTAAGCCGTATAAGAGGCAGAGTTGTTCTGCGTTAAACCAGCCTTTTTTGACCCGCATTTTTTCTCATCGCAAATACTTAACACAAGAAACAGAAATAACCTTCGCAACCGCTCTCAGCCGCAATCATTTTCCTCCATTAGCGTGGTTCTACTAAACGGTAACACCTAGACCTTGCAAAACAAACAGGAGAACAAACGGAAACAAGCTCCGCCAGTGATTTTTCAATACGGTTCTTGAGACGTTTTCGCATCCCCGAGATTCTAGCAGAATGAGTTTCATGTAGTAGTATGATCCGGCGTCCATTACAACGGCTCTAGGTACAAGGCATTGTTGCAAAGCAATGTCAAAGTCTTTACGTTCTTTTCATGCACGATCACGAAACATTTTCTTTAGTGTACTTTTTTCAAAAAATCAGACTAGGGGGGCACAGTAGTGCGCCCTTGCACGACATATGTCCGTATTCCTACGGATAAGTACTACCGGCGACGTAAAATTTCAAAACAAAATCCGAACTACGCGCTTTGAATTCTTCGAAACCCTGTCCCTGGCGTGATAAAGCGAAACAATAAAAAACCTCCAATATGTAAAAATGTTGTTCCAGGTAAAGTCATTAGATGTGTGTTTATTGTCTAAAGCATCTTCACAGGCTCCCGCATCTAACGCAGGCGACTGTGAATGCTCTTTTTTTTGTCGGATAGAATGAAAATAGAAATTCGGTCCCTAATAAAGTCGGTGTTTTTGAGTATCAGCTGTTCCCTTTTAACGGTTTGTTTTACGGTCCTTTTTTCGTGGCGGGTCTTTCTTGGAAAGGCTTTTCCCTCACAAATCGGGCCAAGTTTTTTGTCTTTAATGGGATGTTTTGAATAAAAGCCTTTACGAAACAGCCTTAAGCTTCAGCTTGTCGAATGAATGGACATAAAGCGACTTTCTTGAAAATTGATTTCTACGAAAAAACTTGTTTGAATACGTATCTAATTGGAAGCAAATTAGACCCGCTTTCACCTCCACAAAAGCTGCACCCAAATCATGTGCTGGTCTCACGGCCTCCTGAACCGCAGCACTTCCTGATCTGGCACTTTCTCTCGAGGCTTTCCTTGCTCATCTTCCCGCGAGTCTATTATGGCCCCGCCCAACTGCTGCTTCATCCTGGCGGCGGCCTTCGGGCTGCTGGGGTCTGGTATCAAATGTAAAAATGTCTGGGTCTGGAAGATTACTAGGTTTGTGATGCATATTTTGCATGACTCCTGATGTCTGTGATGCATGCCCTAGCATCACAGATTTTGTGAGGGCTTCCTGATGCCTATACCGCATGACAAATGCTCTTTGCGTGTAGCAAAACTTGGACTCTCTTTGCTGCTCATGCAATACAGAATTCAGCATCACAAGTTGCATTCTTCCAGACCCAGACATTTTTACATTTGGTATCTGGCGTCTTCGCTTCCTCCCCCCCGGCGATGCGCAGTTGCGTCTGCAGGTTGTCTATGCATTGCAAATATGCCTGGGTCTGGAAACTTGTGATGCAAGGAAGGGATTAGTGGAAGCATTGTAGTGCGCTGCCCAGCATGACAAGTGTTGCCGTGGTTCTGAGTTGCGTACTCCGCATGAGAAACTGCGTTTTTGCATGACAGGCAAGAGGAGCTCTTCGCGGCCACGCAATACAGAGTTCAGAGTCATGCCAGATTAGCATGACAAGTCTCGCAATCTCCCAGACCCAGACATATTTGCATTTGATATGGTCCACAACTTTTCGCAGCGTGCTTTGCTGCTTTTCCAAAGCTTCCAGGTCTACACGGTCGACGCCGGCTGGGGTGTTTGTTTTTATCATGTAAGACGAGAACAGCTAAAATCAAAAGGAATTTTGTCATTACACATGACGACAACCCTGTAGTTGGAGAAAAACTCAAAAATCTATAATCGTGTCCTGTTTCTGCAGAAGTTTAAGTTTTACTTCCGCGACACAAAACTTCTACACAAATCAGCAAAAGTACGCGGCAGTTCGGTCATTTCGAAGACCGAGTTGTGCCAGTCGCCGCCGCAAGTCGTGCCGCTCGGCAGTTTTGTTTCCACCGAGCATTTCATGTTGCAAAATTTCTGCTTTACTTTCAGCTCCGGCATGCAAGGAAAAAACCGTGTCCGTGTAAGTCTGTCATGCAAAGCACGCTACGCAGTTACATTTCTCATGCTGGCTAACCATGCCGTCCTCTTTGCATATGTGTTTCCACGTACTAGCCGTGCATGACAGGTTTTTTCTGTCATGCAGAGCCAATTTGTCATGCTGTCACTCCAAGACAGCTACACTAACGCAGTTTTTTTCTTCGATATCCGGCATGCTATTCCCGCACCAGCACTCCCCGGACTTCTGCAACCCGAAATACTTGTAGTCCGGCCCCTCGTATCAAATGTAAAAATGTCTGGGTCTGGAAGATTGCAACTTGTCATGCTAAATCTGCAGCATGCAAAAATCTGTGTTGCATGATTACCAAAAGTCGTCCAGTTTTGACCAAGTCGGGAGGTAGTTTCTCATGCAGGATAGGCATTAATAAGGTCTCGCAGAATCTGTCACGCTAGGTCCTGCATTCCAGACCTCATGGGTCATGGAAAAGCAGCATGACAAGTCTCGAATTCTTCCAGACCCAGACACTTTTACATTTGATACCTCGTTGACCCCGTGACACTGCACCGCGCATTCTTCGGGGGAAAAGAAGTTCTCGCTGTTCATTGTGTTCATCGCCATCTTCTGCACGGGCAACGTTCTCATCGTCCCCCGCACGTAATCGCGATAGCAGCCGATGGGTCGGAACTTCGGGGACTGGGTCAGCACTTGGAACTTACACACCGGAAACGGTTTCTGCAGGGCGGCGACTTTGCCGGTGGCTGTGGACTTCAGCTCAAAGGACCTCGCTTTCCGGTAGATCGGAATGTACACGCCGTCATCCCCCGCGCCGCGCCACTCGTTCACGATTGACCCGTCGACAAACAGCTTTGTGTTTTTGAGTAGTTCTGGGTTCTCGCCCGGTTTGTTGGCGATGAAAACCCTTGTCACGAACTTACTCCCGTCTTCGACCGACGCCCGCCAGGTGTGCTGCAAGTCTGTTTTCTCATCATTCACTTGTTTGGTTGATTCAAAACAGGCAAGGTCTTGCTTCTCCTTTTCTACAATCTCCTGAACTTCTTTCGGAAGTTGCTTCTTGTTCTGAATCAAAGCGGTTTGGTGCTTGTTGGATGCCGTGTTTTTCGTAGTTATCTTTTTCTGCAGCTTCTTATGCGGGTCTCGGAGGTCTTGCTTGATGACGTGCTGGGACGAGGAGTGTTGTTTTTTGCTTTTTATTGTTTCATCCTCACTACTATCCAGCCCCTCGGCGTTATCGTCGTCCGGTTGTGACCTGACCAGAATTATTAAATGCAAGTATGTCTGGGTCTGGAAGGTTCCAGCTTGTGATGCTGTCCTTGGATCCTGAAAAAAATTGTATTGCATGGCTAGCAAGAGGAGCCCAGTTTCTTCTACACGGAGAGCGCATTTCTCATGCGGATTAGGCATAAGGAAGCCCCCAAAAAATCTGCGATGCTAGGTCATGCATCACAGGCGTCATGGGTCTTACAAAATATGCATGACAAACCTGGGACTCTTCCCGACCCAGACATATTTGCATTTGATAAGAATATTTGGCAGGAAATCTATGGCCTTCTTCATCATCTGCATGAAAATGCCGCCACCGGAGGAAGACGCGGTGCCGGGGGTTTGCGCGCCCCCGGAGGGCGGAGCCTGGTCGTCTATGAACTGCTGCTGGAGGGGGGTATGGACAGAAAATTGGAAGAGTCAAAAAACTTTGTAAACCAAGAATTTCTGTAAATCAAAATGGACAAACTTTTGTCATTGTTCATGAGCTTTTGCGTCGCGCACAACATTGTTGTAACAGTAAGGACTTTATTTGCCGCCCGTTTCTTGGACCTACAAAGCGATTCTCCAGGAGTAGAATTCCTGTAAAAAAAAACGGTATACGTTTCTTGACTGCTCGATGTGTTCTTTTCACTAGGCTACGATACTGGGTTATGACTCTTGAACTTTACTTCCTGGTCTGACAGTACGGAAGCGAGTTGATCACCTATGATGTAGTTGTGGAATTCCCTTCTGTCATGCAGGACTCGCACCATAATTCGTGATTTAATCATTCTGTTGCACGAAATTTTAAAAAACACGTAGAAGTATGGACATCAAACACGTACAAATACCACTCCAGTTCTTGAGCAATTCCGTCAGGTCGGCATCTTCTTCTTCAGATTTATTTTTCTCCCCAGAAGATACTGAAGTACTTCTCTCCATGTTTTCCACCTTCCGACCCTTTTCCAGCAACTGCAAGTCCTCCAACTTCGTCACTTCCGTCTTTGGAATCGCGTCTGTCTTGGGATCTATCTCGTGCTGTCCTGGCATCCAGTCCACGATGGTCGCTTTACCGTTCAGCTCCGGGTCGTCTTTTTCCAAGTAGTGCAGTTCGTCACTGCCCCCCTGCGGCGACCCGGGATACCAGGATTGGGAATTCGGATCCCCTTCTATCCCCGTCCCCTGCGTGTTCAGCTGGGTCTTGGTTGGGTTTTCTTGCGTCTCTAACTCTTGCTGTAGTGTTATTGTGAGGAAAAATCCCCCCTCCCCATATCCAAAACGAAATTTGTGTTGCTGTATTTCAGTACACAAATCGAATTGTATTCCTAGAAGGCCAAGAGACGCAGCTGCTCCCTCGTTTGCAGGCAACTTGTCATGCTGTTTTCCGTTTCCAGTTGCTTTCTGTCATGCTAAAGGCGCAAGGCTTTCCTACGCCAGCCAGCACTACAATTCGCATCTCTTCCCTTCTAGCATGACAACGTGATTTGTGCTCACAAATCATGCTACACAAATCTCCCTTTCGGTATGGGGAGGGGGGATTTTTCATTTTGATAAGTGTCTGCCCGGCATTACTCGCTGGGTCGTACGCGCCGAAGGGTTCTGTGGGCTGCTGTTGCTTATCAACTGCAGAAGTGTCTGGGTCTGGAAGATTCTGACACTTGTCATGCACGTTTTGCATGAGCCATGATGTCTGTGATGCATACCCTAGCAATACAGATTTTTTGAGGGCTTCTTGATGCGTATTCCGCATGACAAATGCCCTCTCAGTGTAGAAAAAATTGCATTTCCTTTGGTACTCATCATGCAATACAGATTTTTTTGGAATCCAAATGCAGCATCACAAGTTGCTTTGTTCCAGACCCAGACACTTTTACATTTGATATTGCTGCACACCCAAGTCCTCCACTGCCGGAAATTCGCCCGCGGAATCGTACGCCGGATCCGTAAAATCGGTCGCACTCGTGCGGATCGCGTTCATTTCTCCCGGAAGTGGGACTGCTGCTCCTGCAGCTCCTGCGAAGTTTGTTCCTCCGGGGGCTTGCACGTTCTGATCTATCTTCACTGGAAGAGGCTCTTGTTGTTCATCTAGTAAAAAGTTGTTCTGCTTATTCACCAGTGTGGCATTGTTAGGGCTCTTCGTCAGTGTGGCGCTGTCCGGCGACGTCTGCGCGCTCCCGTCCGGGTTGGGCGTGGTCGTTGGCCCCGTGTTGGCATCACCGCCACCACCACTATCGCCTCCACCGCCACTGCCCCCCGGCGCTTGTGTAATGTTCACAAACTGATCCGCGGGCGCGTGGGTCGTGGTTATGTTGTGTATGCATTGCAAATATGTCTGGGAACTTGTAATGCTGGGTTGGAAATAGTGAATGCTCTGTAATGCACAGCAAAGCATGAGACGTATCTGCGCTGCTTAGTGTTGCGCCTTCCACATGGCAAGCTGCGTTTTTGCACGACAAGAAAAAGGGTCTCTTCTTGGACACGCATCACAAATTCTTCAGTCATGCCAGACAAGCATGACAAACCTTGCATCCTTCCAGACCCAGACATATTTCCATCTGATATTGTGCGTCGCGTCGTAATTATCGTTATTTGTGCCGGGCACGGTGCTCGCGACAAACTCCGCCTCTTTCTCCGTCGTGGTGCTTGTGGTTGTGGTGTTGTATGGGCTAAGCGTGCCGTCGTATTCGGTCGTGCTGGTTGTCGTGCTTGTACTGGTAGTTGTAGTCGTACTGGTTTCTGCCGCGACCGGAATCGGGGGATGGTCCGTTGTCGTAGTTTCGTGCGTCGGGGAGATCGTCCCCGATTCTTCCGCCGCGGGCGCTTCGGTCGTTGTTTCCGTCGGGAAAACCGCAGGCATAGACTCCGCGAAAACGTGGATCCCGCAAATCGTCAAAAAGTGGTCGGTCAGCCTGATCTCCAAGTTCCCGCCCCAGGCGTTCAGCAACACGACGGTTCCGGCCGCGGGGTTGCTTGTCACTTCACCGAGATTGGCGACAACCTGGTCGTCGATCACCACGTCCGCGTTGTTCAGCCTTTCTTGCGCGTCGTCCGCCCGGTTCCAGATCACGATTTTGGTGACAAACCGCCTGACTTTATCAAATGCAAAATGTCTGGGTCTGGAAGATTGAAAGACTTGTATTGCGGGTTTTCCATGACACACGAGGTCAGCAATGCAGAACTTAGCATGACAGACTGTATGAGATCTCACTCATGCCTATTCCGCATGAGAAACTCCCTCGCAACTTCGTCAAAAGTGCACGGCTTCTGGTAATCACGCAACGGAAATTTTTCCATGATGCAGATTTAGCATCACAAGTTTACACTCTTGCAGACCCCGACATATTTGCATTTATAGACCTCGTCAACGGACAAAACGCTCTGGTCGGTCTCGTTGAAGGTTCTCTCGACAAACGTCACCTTCCAGGACTGCAGCCCGTTGCCGTTCGCGGTGGAGTATGAAACGCAACAATATCTGGGTCTGGAAGAATCCGAAATTTGTTATGCTGTTTTTGCATGACACAGAATGTCTGTCATGGAAGCCCTAGCATCACAGATCTTTAGAGGCCTTCCTGATGCCTATTCCGCATGACAAATGCCCTCCACGCGTAGCACAAACCGGGCTCCTGTTGCTGGTCATGCAATACACAATTTTTTAGAGTCCAAAGTTAGCATCACAAGTTCCAACCTTCCAGACCCAGACATTTTTGCAATCCATATGGAGGTGCAGGAGCCAGTAGCCCACTCCGTACTGTCCCCAACCCGGTACTCCAACGCCTTCGTCCCCTCCGCGCCCTCCAGTTCCGAGGACATGGAGACCTGCAGAGATTCCAGGCCTACGCGCTCCTCCCCACCGAGTTTCTTATACAGTTCGTAGTCCTATGCTGTGCAAAAGTATCGCACTCGTAGTCAGTAATGCATTTTTACAAATCTCAGTTCCAAGGTAAATCAGCATGACAAATTCCATTTCTCACGCTGAGGACTTTTGTCATGCGCTTTCTACTAGAACGATAATTTTGCAATTCATAGGTCGGTGTTGACATCGGTTCCGACCGGGCACTCGCCGGCGTTCTCATCGAACGTAACGCAATTGGTTTTCGCCTTCACGGAGAAGTAGCGGCACGCGTACTCCCGGCGGCAGATCCCGGCACACATCGCTTCCGTCATCTGATCTTTATCGGCCGTTTTCGCTGCGCCATTGTAGGCGCCAAGCTCGCAGTAGCCTTTGCCCATGGACATGAAACCCCCGACGTTGTCGCAAATCAAGCGCTATGCATTGCAAATATGTCTGGGTCTGGAAAGTTGTGATGCTAATGTCCGAATGATGCGCAACCTGTATGGGGGGCCGCGCATGACAAGTTTCTGAGCGGCTATGTCTAGCGTGAACCGCATGACAAATGGCTTTTTTGTATGACAAACAAGTGGCACTGTAGCGCACCAAGCATGACAGACTTTTCTGTCTTGTCGGCAAAGCATGACAGACTCGCACTCTTCCAGACCCAGACTACATATTTGCAGCGGATAAGCGCTCGTACGTGTGGAGGACCCGCTGAACGGAGTCGTCGGTCGCCGCGGAATTGTACTGCCCCGTGACCTGCTTCGACCCGTCGGCCGCGGCGGCGAAGGACGCGTAGCAGAAACTCGGCCCGTCGGCCGCGATGGTGTACTGGGTTCGGTAGGTGGGCAGCACTTGGTTCAGCGCGGTCTCGCAGTGCTGGGTCCAGATGGACTTGCAGACGCCCGGATTGTCGTCGTCCGCGGGGTCGTCGAAGGAAATGGGCACACCGCCGGAGTTATGAAGTGGACATATGTCTGGGCCTGGAAGATGAGCACAAACTTGTCATGCAAAATTTCCATGCCCAATGAGGTCTGGAATGCAGGACCTAGCATGACAGAATTTGTGATGTTGCCTCTATCATGCCTATCCTGCATGAGAAACTCCGTCTCATGTTGGTTAAAAAAGTGCAACTTGTTTTATTGGTGCTGGCGCAAGACAGATTTTTGCATGAAGCGGACTTAGCATGACAAGTTGGAACTCTTCCAGACCCAGACACATTTGCAATGTATACGAGTCGCATGTGGTCTTGCCTTTCGCGTTGAGGTAGTACTGCGAGTTCCCGCACGGCATCGTGTCCTCCGGTGCGCCTGAGTGAATAATTTGTTTTATTTGTTGTCTTTGATTATATGGTTCGCAGTGAGATGAATCTATGGAAACCAGCCGAAAGCGGCCGAGGTACTCCCTAGGCGAAGCACTGAAGCGAGGTACTGGAGGAGCGAGGCACTACTTAAGGGACGCACTATTTAGGGACGGCACTACTTAAGCGCACTACTTAAGCGACGCACTCCTTAAGGGAAGCGCCATTTGAGCGAGGCACTACGTAAGCGAGGCACTGTGTGGGCGCAGCACTACTTAAGCGAGGCACTACTTAAGTGTGGCATTACTTCGGCGCGGCACTACGAGAGCGCAGAACGACTTATGCGACGCACTACTTAAGCCAGGCGCCACTTGAGCGAGGCACTACCTAAGCGAGTGGCACTACTTAAGCGCGGCACTACATGAGCGACGCACTACTTAAGCAAGGCACCACTTAAGCGACGCACTACCTAAGCGAGGCACTACCTAAGCGCGGCACTACCTAAGCGCGGCACTACTCAAGCGCTGCACTACTTAAGCGAGGCGCCACTCAAAAAAGGCACTGCTTAATGGAGGCACTAAATCGCCGGGCCATTTCAGTGCAACGCTGCTCCTTCGGCAAAAAATTACTTGCTTAGCGAGGCACTACGAAGCGCTTTCTTAGCATAAATCAATATCAAATCTGTGAGTGATCACTTAAAACAAATTAAGCAAAGCTTCAACTGTACCTCGGAGGCAGAGTATTCTCGCTTGGCTTTCCATGATAATGGGTCTGTTGTCCGGGTCTAAGCTGCCTCCTTGGTTGAATCCCGCGTAGTTTTCCATCGCGCCCCCCAGCACAAACGTGCAGCCGCCGGGGAGATCGTCGTTGTCCAGGTCCGTCTTAAAATTGTTGTTCAAATGCGGGAACTTTGCCATCAGCGTGAGTTCGCAGTGCGACTTGTAGATCGTCCTGCACTCGTCCTCGTTGAAAGCTGCGTACCGCGCTCCTTCCGGACACTTGTTTTCCATCGGCGGGTATGGATTGCAAATGTGTCTGGGTCTGGAAACTTGTAATGCTCAAAGTGAATGATAGACGCGCCACAATACGCAGCTATGCATGACAAATTTTGTGGCTGCCATGTCTTACGTATTCCGCATGGCAAACTACCTTTTCGCGTGACAGTTAAGAGGGCTCTTTCGTCGCTATGCAACACAGATTCTCGAGTCATGCCAGACAAGCATGACAAACTTGCATTCCTCCAGACCCAGACATTTTTGCATTTGATAGCGGGGGCAGGTAAAAATTCGTGTTCCCGCACTTGATCTCTTCGGCCTCGGCACCTGTGGGTTGTGTCTTGATTTACTTACCACCTCTTGCGTATCACAGTAGAATTAGTTTGTTTTCTGCCAGGCTAGATGCGCATGACAAACAAAGATGCTCAACAAGCATGAAAATCAAGCATAAAAAAATGAAACGCAACCAGAATAGGAAAGTACTTGTGCACAGTAGCCGCTGATACGGGTTTTCTATTTTCGCGGCCCCTTCTTCATACTCCCCGCCCTGGTTGTAGGCCCCGTACTTCTCGTTTGGCCCTAAGGAGAAGAAACACCCCGGCGGGAACTGATCCGAGTTGATTTCGGAAAAGGTTTGAATGTGGTTGGGCGACATTTCTCGGATTATCGGCCCGCATATCAACTGTAAAAATGTCTGGGTCTGGAAGATTCTGACACTTGTCACGCACGTTTGGCATGAGCCATGATGTCTGTGATGCATACCCTAGCAATACAGATTTTTTGAGGGCTTCTTGATGCCTATTCCGCATGACAAATGCCTTCTCAGCGTAGCAAAAATTGCATTCCGTTTGCTACTCATGCAATACAGATTCTTTTGGAATCTAAATACAGCATCACAAGTTGCATTCTTCCAGACCCAGACATTTTTACATTTGATACCGCATTCGTTGTTCCAAATCTCGCCGCACATCGTCCCGTCCGCGGGGTGCGCAAAGCGCGTGCCGTCCGGACACTTTTTCGCACCTTTTGGGGCGATGACGTAGCCGGAGTCGCCACACTCGATCTTCTCGGTCGGGATACCTGGAGGACGTGAGAGAGCACAATGGAGTTTCTCTTGCATCTTAGCGAGAACTACTACGCATGAGAAATTACACCCCTGCAAGTCACTGCTTGCTGCAACACAGATGTTGAGTAGACAAGATGACACATAAAAACTGTAGTCGACGAAATAAATTCATTTCAAAAATACGGCTGCAGAGCAGGTGGTCGTATTTCCCCATCGCACCGGAATCTGGCTGCACGTTGTAGACCCCCCTGGTCTCGCTCTCCATTAACTTCGCAAAGCAGCCGGACGGCTCGTCGAAGGACTTGGCGCCCGCAAAGGTGAACGGGACATTGGTGACCATGTTGATCAGTGTGTCCTTACACAAGTTCTCGTAGATGTCCCGACACTCCTATTACAGTGAAAAGTGCCCCCCACCCCTGAAATTGCAATAGTTTCTGATGCAAAGTTTCCAAATGAAAGGTTTTTGTCATGCATAAAAGGAGTATGAATCTTTGTGATACAGAGTCTAGGTGTGTGTCGCAGCGCTTGCATGACAAGCGCCGCTCTTGCTGGGATCTTTTGCAATACAAATTTTTGCTATTCACGATCGGAAATCTGTGATGCCGATACATGCAAGAGGGCGCATGTTTCATTTGGAAAGGTTAAACCTTTCCAAATGAAACATGCACCCCCGAACTTGGGAGCATTTGTATTGCAAACCGTTTGCAATACAAATGCTCCCAAGAAGTTCGGGGGTGGGGGCATTTTTCATTGCAATAACTCCGCTTCCGAAGCAGATTCGTACCGCACGCCGGTTTATCAAGTGTAAAAATGTCTGGGTCTGGAAGATTGCGAGATTTGTCATGCATATTTCGGATCACGCAAATGGCGTCTGATGCAGGCAAAAGCATCACAGGTTTTGAGCACGCCTCACGATGCTTCTCCCACATGAGAAACTTCCTGCTTGCGTGCCAAGAAGTGGACAGCTTTTGGCGCTCATGCAACACAAATTTTTGTGTGTTCCAGAGTTTGCATCACAAGTTCCAACCCTTCCAGACCCAGACATTTTTACATTTGATGCGGTCGGGCAGTGGTTAAAGCCGGGCGCCGTCAAAAAGTAGTCCGTCTCGCCACAGGTCACATTCGTCCGGGGCCGGAGCTCCTTCCGGTAGATCATCACGCCGCTATCCTGAGTAAAAACGTACCCACGCCAGAGTTGTAATGCAAATCTGCATGCTGAAAATGTTTCTCATGCGGAGCCCCATGAGAAGCGTTTTCTAGTCGTGTTTTGCAATTTGTCATACTCCAATTAGCATGGTATGCTAGATCTGTGACGCTGCTGAGCTAGCTCAAACAGCACTACACTACGAATCCAAATTTGTCATGCAAAACAGCCAAAACTTGTGGATTTGTCTAGCCGATTCCCCATCTTGACTCTGGTGTGGGTACGTTTTTACTCAGGATAGCCGCCGCGCTCGCGGTAGTTCGGGGCCTGAATCATCTCGTCACACCGCTTGTTATGAACTGCAAATATGTCTGGGCCTGGAAGATGGCAACTTGTGATGCTGCCTATGGATTACACGTAAAATCTGTATTGCATGAACCGCAAAAGAGGTCCACTATTTCCTACGCGGAGTAGGCATTTCTCACACAGCATGGGCATCAGAGAGCCGTCACAAAATCTGTGATGCTAGGGCATGCACCACAGACATCATGGATCATGCAAAATGTGCATGACAAACGGCGTACCCTTCCAGACCCAGACACTTTTGCAATGGATACTTGTAGATGTCGCACGACTCGTCGTCGGAATACGCGAAGAACCCGCAGCCCTCCGTGCTGTTGCACACCGCAGAACAGCCATACACTGTGCCCCCGTTTTTCACGTCGGCGATCAAGTTCTGCATGTCTGGGTTGCACGTTAACGACCGGACGAGACTCTCCCCGAACGGTTCGTAGCCATTCGCCGCGCCGTTCACGTCAATAACACCGGTAGAGGCGGTTCGGTAGTCGGTGCCGAGGTCACCCTTGTACCTGGAATTCCGGATTCTTTGCTTTTGAAAACCCGTGTTGAACCTCGCTAGAATCTGGTCTAGTTTCGTCTCCGCCCGTTTTCCCGTCATGTAGCCCATCCGTGCGAGAGCCGTGGTCTTCTGTGCGGAAGAGGAGGACTTGTGGAGTTGCATTTCAGCTTTCCCGAGTTGCCTCCGCCCCTTTTCCGCAAGCATCAGGGCCTCGGCCGGCTCTTCTCGTGTGTGAATCGTGGTGCCGTTCTCCGCTTTTTTGTCTCCTAAGGTGAGGTTCTGGTTGATCTCAGTCGCTTCGTTCTCCAGGTCGACGTCCAATTCTACCTCGACGGGGGGAGCTGGATTTTTAAAGTTTAGGTCTTTCATGCACGACGAGCGTTAAGTATGCGATTATGCTGGTGCACAGAGCGCATGACAAACTTTTGTACGCGGTGTTTTAAGTTTTGCTGGAGGATAAGGATATTGCCAAATTTTTGCGGACAGTAAAAATTACGAACCAATTCTTCACTTCGTAGCTTACGCATACTGTCAAAAACACTCACTTCAAAATACTGTGTTTCTTCTCGTACAGCCACACGACCATGCTATCCGGCGCCTTTTTCTTCTCCGCGCACTCCTCGTAGATTCTGCACTCCAAGCCCCGCATCACCACCAAAACCGAGCACTTTCCGTCCATATCGCACTCCGACGCGCACGCCGCCGGGTCCCCCTCGGTTTCCGGGTCGCCAGTGCGGTAAATCCGCTGCGTCGCCTATTGTGAGGAAAAATCCCCCCTCGCTATATAAAAAAAGAAATCTGTGATGCTGGATCTGCGTACACAAATCAGATTTGTCTTGCAGTAGAGGACTGCACGCAGATCGCAAGCCTAGATAGGGGCCTCAGCCTCATGGTGTAGGCACCTAGCACGGCAGGCGTCTGCCGTGTAGGCCTCGAAGCATCACAAATCGCCTGCATAGCGTGGCAGAGAGCCTGGATCTGCCTTCTAGCAAGACAGACAGGATTTGTGGTCACAAATCTGCATCACAAATTTTCAGAAGATACGTTTTGAATATGGGGAAGGGAGATTTTTCCTCACAATATCGCCGAGTAACAGTCGAAGCCATCACCCGCCATCGTGTAGCCAAGTAATTTCACCTGGTTTATCCTGGTGCAGACGCGGTGCCCCGCTCTGCCTAGCCATCGCATGGTCGCTTTTTGCTCCGCGTTTTCCTCGGATAACGAGTCTTTAAGGACTGCAGATGAGGCTTTACTTTGCTGCAAAACCAAACTGCCCGTCCTGCCGAAGCTGTTCAGATCTCGGGACGCACTGCTAGAAGATGATCCACCTCCAGTCATCACGATTTGCATGAAGTTGACAGTTTTTCCACTACTTGGACTATGTTGGGCCGGCCAAGAAGGTAAGTCATACGGCGGATTTTGGTTGTCGTAAATCGGCTCGACCATGTAGTTCGGATCATACACGTCCGTATGCAGTGCAAACGTGTCTAGGTCTGGAAAGATCTAGTAATGCTGGTCTTACCCTTTTCGTTTTCCTGTGAGATTTGTCTTGCCTAACCATAAAAACTCTTTCGTCATACAAAATAAACGCACCTAGGAATGAGAAAGCGTTCTGCAAAGTTGTCATGTCATAATTTTTGGCTGCAGTCGAAATTGTGTTTTTTCATGATGCAAGTACACTGTACTAGCATCACAAGTTCACAGACCCAGAAACATTTGCATTCGATAGTCCGTCCCGGTGGTCTCAGCACCGCCGTACAACTGTTCCTCGCTCAGCATGTCCGTGTGCCCGTCCAGCTGGTCGGCCCCGTTCAGCCAGACGTCATCGACGTTGGAATCTAACCCGGGGTCCAACTGCTCCTCGTTTCTCTTCAGCAAGGCCGGGGCGGCCTGCGTCACAGGTTGAAACACCTGGGTCGCGTTCTGCGTCGTGGGCTCCTCGGTTGCGGCCGGCGTCGTCGCTTCGATCGTCGCGGCGTCGGTCGTCGGCGCCTCGGTCGTCGTGGGGACTTCCGTCGTGGTTTCCGCGGCTAAGGTCGTGTTCGCCTCCACCGTTGTGATCTCCGGTTCCTGGAACGTGATCGGCGCCTCCGTCGTGGTTGTGGGCACCGCGGTCGTTGTCGTCACGATTGGCGGCAGGGTTGTATTCGGCATCGGAACGTATTTGAGCGTGGTGGTACTCGTTGTCGTGGTCGACGTCGTTGGCACGGGCGCCGGCGCTGTGGTGTTCGGCGCGTGCGTTGTGCTGCTCGTCGTGGTCGTGGTCGGGGGGAGCGGCATATTGGTGTAGATCATTTGCGTGGTCGTGCTGGTCGTGGTAGTGGAGGTTGTGGTGGTTGTCGTCGTTGTTGTCGTGGTGGTGGTTGTCGTGGTCGTGGAGGTCGTCGTCGGCACGTTTTCATCCGGCATGTTGTTGAAATACAGCGTCGTCCTGCTGTTGTCCTTCTCGATCTCCTATGGATTGTAAAAATGTCTGGGTCTGGAAGAATGGAAGATCTGTCATGCTCTGCCAGCATGACCCCAAAGTCTGTCACGTTACCCAAGAGCCCCGTTTTTTTGTCATGCAGAAACGCAGTTTGTCATGCAGAATAGGCAACACTTCGAAGCTGAGAAACTTGTCATGCTGAGCCAGCACTTGTGGCCGCCTCATGATACGCCAACCAGCATCACAAGTTTCCAGACCCAGACATTTTTACACTTGATATCTCCACAATCGCCGTCCCCAGCTCCGCCTCCACCGGAATCACGCAGCCGGACAGGTTATGAAATGCAAAAATGTCTGGGTCGGGAAGAATGCAAGTTTGTCATGCTTGTCTAGCATGACTCGAGAATCTGTGTTGCATAGGCACGAAAAAGCCCTCGCACCTGTCATGCAAAAACGCAGTTTGCCATGCGAAATACGTAAGACATGGCAGCCAAAAAAATTGCCATGCACAGCTGCGTACTGCAGTGCGTAGCGTCTACCATTCATTTTTAGCATTACAAGTTTCCAGACCCAGACATTTTTACTTTTGATACAGGTACTGCGGCAACAAAACTTCGCCGCCCCAGCCGAAACCCTCCCGAATCGCCATCATCTCGCACTCCTGCACCGTCGGGTAGCGGAGTGTGTTGGGGCACACCATCCGGGTCGCCCCGTTGTAGGGGAGAATGTAGAAGTCCGACGCGATGAAGATCGGGTAGATCGTATCAAAATGAAAAATGCCCCCTCCCCATATCAAAACGGAAATCTGTGATGCAGATTTGTGGCCACAAATCAGCTTTGTGATGCTAGAAGGCAAAAAATGCGGACTGTAGTGCTGCCTAGCGTGGGAAAGCCTTGCAGCTCCAGGATGACCGGAGGCAACTGGAAGTGGGAAACAGCATGACAGATTGCCTGCAATTTAGGCTGCAGCGTCGTCTATTGGACTTCTAGCAATACAAGTCGACTTGTGTACTCAAATACAGCATCACAAATTCGCGCATCTTCCGTTTTCGATATGGGGTGGGGGCTTCTTTCACTTTGATAGCTCGCCGAGGGACCGATTCGTTTGTATAAATAGGACGGTCGCAGCCCGGTGATCATCACCTTTTGCCGGCAATCGCTGTACAGCTTGCAGTACCGACCCGGGCTGGAGCTGTACATTTCGCAGTAGAAATCCCGCTCCAGGTCGCACTGCCGCGCGCAGTACCACGGCTGCCCGATCAGGTCCGGACCGCCCTCCACCCACTCGCGAAAGCCCCCATTCGGGATGCACTCCTCCCCCTGCGACACGAACCCGTACCCGGTAACAAACGCCGGCGCGTCCGGGGTGCAAATGCGGTGTCCCTTCGTGGGCGGTTTGTCCGCGGCCACCGGGGGTCGCACATTGAAAAACACCTCGTTGCGCACGTCCACAGCGCCCTCACTGTTGTCCGCGTAGGTGAGCTATGCATTGCAAATATGTCTGGGTCTGGAAAAATGTAATGCTAAAAGTGAATGAGAGTTCATCCACTGCAATACGGAGCCAAGCATGACAAATTTTTTGGGCTCCTTTGTGTTGCGTGTTCCGCATGGCAAGCTGCGTGCTTGCATGACAGAATACAGGACCGCTTCGTGCCCATGCATCACAGATTTTTGTTTCATGCCAGACAAGCATGACAAATCTTGCATTCTTCCTGACTCAGACAGTTTTGCGATACATGCGAGCGTGCAGCCGTCGATGTGCTCGCCACGATTGTAGATGGAACCGCCGAAGTCCATGTCCTCTTTGATCGTATGCAATGTAAATTTCCTGTACATGTACAAAATGCATGACAAATTTCGCTACCTTGCAAAGCCCAGCTTGTCATGCTGCACTAGGATTGAAGGCAAGTTTTGTAATGCAGAAACCACATTTGTACGTGTACGGGAAATTTACTGTGGATAGATCGCCAGAGCGTTGCACTCCGCGTCGTTCGCGGCGTGAAACCCCGCCGGACACTTCATTATAACCTGCTCAGCTGTTACAATCTCAAACGTTTCAATAGAGTCTGAGATTTGTCTTGCATGATGAGCATGACAGACTCGCAGAGCGTTCCACGTTCTGCAATACAAATTTCGCCTGATTGTAGTGGGGGGTGGGGCTCCGGAACTTGTCATGCGCAATCCTATGAGAGTTGGCTAGATCATGCGCTCTTGCATCACAGATTTCCATATTTTATTGTAACGCTTGAGATTGTAACGTTTGAGCAGGTCATATTCATCTCCGACCCTTTCTGAAACTTCAACAGAATCATGTCCGGAGCGATCTCGACGGGAAACTCGGTGGCAGCTGAGAATAAATTGGTATGGTCGTCTCACGGACTCTTGTTATCCATATTGTTTTCCGAAAGAACATTTATTTTCAGACAAACAGAATTGCACTACACGGGCATCATCACAATAGAATAGTGTTCCATGCAAAACCACTCCTAACGAACGCCTCGTCAACCACAAAATCTACTTGGAAAAGACAAGTAAACGATAAGTACCCTTGCTGCAGAATATGAAGCCCTCTACCGCTTGATCGGTGGGAACGTGGCCGTAATTTGGCGCCAAAACTTGCCTGGCCAGGTAAGAGAGTGCCGTGGTGTTTTGGCCAACTTTTTTTCGGCTGACGTGGCCTTTTTTCCTTCCAAGCGCCATGCTATCCTCTTACCTGGCCTCAAAATCTGGAGGCCCAGGTAAGAGCACAGCATGGCGATTGTGCTAAAAAAAGTGTCTCTTTCTCCTGGCCACCTCAGGCCGGGACGTTTTCGCATCCCAAACACCGCGCTGCTCTCTTACCTGGCCTAAAAATTTGCCAGGCCAGGTAAGAGAGTGCCGTGGTGTTTGGGCCAACTTTTTTTCGGCTGACGCGGCCTTTTTTCCTCCCAAGCGCCATGCTATGCTCTTACCTGGCCTCAAAGTCGAGAGGCCCAGGCAAGAGCACAGCGTGCTGCTTGTACTTCAAGATCACCCCCCCTTATCTGGCCACTTTCTCGGGCCAGAACATTTTCGCATCAGAAACACCACGCGCCCCCATCATCGATCTGGCCACTTTCTCGGGCCAGGAGAATTAATTTCGCATCACAAGCGCACCGCTGTGACAGTGCCTGGCCTTAAAACCTGGCAGCCCCGGCAAAAGAATGCCGTGGCGCCTGTGCCAACTTTTGCGGGCCAGAGCAATCTTTTTCCCAGGCGCCAGGGTATGCTCTTACTTGGTCCGAGAGTCTAGGCCCAACTAAAAGCATAGCGCGGCGCTTGCGCTGCAAGATTACCCCCTTCACCTGGCCACTTTCTCGGGCTAGGGCAGGCACCTTGTGGCCACTTCTCATCGGCCCGGGAAATTTTGGTCAGAATTGTTTTCATTTTTCGCCCAGCTCGCGACTTCGGTGACTGTTTTTATTCTCCGTTCGATCGCGTGCTGCAGAACTGCAGACGCTTTTTCGGAAAACAGAAACCATCTATTTCAAATCTATTTGGAATCTATTCCGAATCTATATGGCTGTCGAAGTCTCCCATTGCCAATTTGTTTTTCAAAAAAACACTCACACGACCAGAGCTGCAGCACACGGGCAGCATCATCACAATTTTTTCCCTGCAAGAACTCCAACCCTAATAAGAACTGCCTCTTGTTCAATCCCAAAATCTACTTCTAAAGAAGCAACCCATAGTACCTTTGCTGCAGAATATGAAGCCCTCTACCGCTTGATCGGTGGGAACGTGGCCGTAATTGATCTGGCAGGATTCGTCGTTTTTTATCAGACCGAAAAGAGTGCAGTCTTCTGCGCAGAACGCAATGCATATTGCTATGCCGAAATCATCTTCGCATCATGCCTACCACAGACGAGAAACCTAACTCCCTCTCCACTTAGCAAAGCAACAAGCTTGCCGATTCATCTGCACCCTTTTGTTCTACTCAGCCCCATTTCATACTGCTTTCAAAGGATTGGCACTTCGGCATGGTGTTGCACAGGTCGCCGCACTGAATCAGGGTCCCCGCGCCGCCCAGATCCCCCGGACCCGGAATGCCGCCGTTCCGCTGCACGTAGCCGCTGGGACATACCAGCACCACCTCCTCTTCCTCCTCCTCCGGTGGCGGTGTTAACGGCGACACCGTTGTGGTGATGTTTGCCGGGGGATTCGGCGGCGTCGGGGGCGGCGGCGGCGGGGTGGGCTCCGGTGCTAGGGTTGTGGTGTTGTCCGGGTCTATGGCTGCTTCTGTCGTCGGTTCCTCCGTTGTCGGCTCCTCGGTGGTTGGTTCCTCCGTTGTGGGTTCCTCGGTCGCGTTTGTGTTGTTGGTGTCGTTGTCGGCACCAAAGCCGAAATCGTAGTTGTACCCGTAGTCGTATTCGCTGACCACCTTTTTCTTCGCGACTTTCCTGCGCTTCTTCACCAACAAATCCACGTCCGCGCTGGTAACGATCTGCCCGAAAGTCTTGTGCCCTACATTACGCTGCGGACGACGAGAGGATGGACGGCCACTCGGTTGTCTCTTGTTCGGGTCTGTACTGTACCGGATCTGCGGCTGGACCAAGTACCGCGATCCGGGTCGCTTATGCATTGCAAAAGTATCGTACTAGTAGAAATAGCATTACAAATCTTTCCAGAAGGAACAATAGAATTTGTAATGCTGAATAAGCTAAGGAACCAGATTCGTCATGCATGACTGCAATCACTACGAGTACGATGCTTTTGCACAGCATATCGCTGCAGGTCCGACGACTCGAACTCCCGGGCCCGCGCATTTCTTGTCTCAAACTGGACGAAAGACGTGGTGGGAGTTACCGCCAACCCGTCGTGGTTTGGATCCAGCCCAGACGACGGTGAATCATAGAGCTGCTGCTGGTTGGCTGCACCAGGAGCAGCATTCTCCTGCTCTCCTGTGAGGTAGGAGATGAGGGACGCTTCGACAGCATGCTGGAAAACCAGAAACTTCTGCAGCAACGACAGAATCTGCGGACCCGCACTATCCCGATAGCCAGCGGCCCAGATGCGGCGAGCAGGCATCGCTCTGGTCGGAGCTTTTCATTTATCAATCATAGCATTCAGGTACGGACAGGATGCGTGCGTGCGAACATCCTTTTTTATTAGGTGCCTTCGACAATATTCAGTTCTCGTTTTGTAGTGGCACAGATCGGAAAAAGCTTCGCAGACGTTAGAAAAAAAAACACGTGCTTGCTTTTGCAAAACTCTCTCCGGTATCGCGGTGTAATGAATGCACGGCTCACTCTGAACAAACAAATCTCACGCTCGCCCTCGAGTTGCGTCTTCTCGCACACTCTGTGAAACCCCGGTCTTGCGGCGTGCATCCCCGAGGGAGCGAGCCCCGCGCATGGAGTTAGTGGCGCCACATGGGCCTTGTATTTGGATGGACCGGCCGCCGCCTCTACACGGCTGGGGCTGCGCCGTGGCGCCTCGTCGCTCTGCCCTGGCCTCGTGCGGCGGCCGATGCCGCCGCGCCTCTGCACGTGGGAGCGGCGGCGCGTGCGCGCGGGCTAGGGGGGCGCTACCCTAAGGGGCCGCAAGGCGGGGCCGGGGCCCCCGGCCGCAATGTGGGGCCGGAACCCGCCGCCCGGATGGGGGCCCCGGAAAATTCGCAATACATAGGCCAAAAGAGAAAGCCAGCGGGCCCGCGTTTCCGGTAAGTGTTGTGGAGGTCCAGCCGGGGGGCGCGCGCCCGCCGCCAGGAAAGGCGCTGCCGGTCAGGTTGCTGAGGTTGTTTCGCAGTTCGCTTGGGCGGCAACACGCAACCCCCGGCCCAGCACTCGAAGCGCCGGGCCATTTGGCCGGCGCCAATAGCGGCGCAAGCCGTAGCACGCCCCCCCCCCCCACCGAAGTGGCCCCCTGCGCCCCGGGCCCGGGTGCCTTCCTGCGGCACCAGCCAAACCGGCCAAGCCCTTAAGAGCGGCCCGGCGAAGCTGCGGCCCCCAGTGTAGCGGCCGGCGCCGGCCGATTAATTGCATCCGTGAAGCTTCATACCGCCGGGCGGAGAAGTGCCCCCACCGTCTCTATTGAGCTCCAGCACGGTGCTGCCGCGGTGCATTGAGGCGCCTAATCGCGCCGGGCGGTGGGGAGGCGAAGCACACAACTCGCGCCGGGGCGGGGCCGCTGGTGAACTGCCCCAGGCGCACAGGCTGGCGGGCTCCCCGTGCGCGGCATTGGCGAAGGACTGCCCGCCCCCATTGCCCCGCCAGTCCTTTGCCCTCCGAGGCGCTGCCCGCTGCGCCGGGCAACCTCCGCAAGGGCCGTCGCGGCCTTCCCGTGCTGCTGGGCAGCGCCCCCGCGCGCAGCCCCTGGCTCGCGCCGAAGTGGGCTGCGATGTGTTTCAGGAACTGCGAAGGGAATCGGTTGCCGCTGCACTTTTCACGCGCGCACCTTAGCCGCGGCCGGGCGCTGTCCACGCAGTGGCGCCGCAGTCTGGCCGGATAGCATTCACGCGCAGCCCGCGCATCATACTCCGACCCTGGTGTCTCGGCTCGATTGCGCTTGCACGCATTGAAACCTCGCGTACACCAAAGGAGAAGGCGGGTTGCACCTGAGTGGGCGCAACACCGTGACAAGGCGAACACATACTGATCTTTCCTCCGGCTGCTGCATTTTTGCAGCGTGTTCTCCACACTGAAGCATTTTCAAAGCAGAGAAGCTTGAGTTACATCAACAGCATCTGTAAATCATACAAAAGACATTCTTTGCAGCCACGAGACCGCAGCTGCGGCGCTTAGTCGCCGCATAGCGTTGTTTACTCCAGTTTGACGAAAAGTTCCGGCTTGCAACTTTCAGTTTGATACTAAGCTAATAAAACCGTAAGAAGTAGTAGGCCGAGAGGACATCCGAGTTCTGCCTCGTTCCAGCCTCTAAACGTTGCTAAAATGGATAAACATAAGAGCGAATGATCTATTTCATCTTTTGTCAGGTTACTAACAAGGATACTTAACACGCACTTTTTCCTGCATAAGCGCATCTACAACAGCTACAGCACTATCTGATTGAATCCTAAACTTTTAATTTCGACTGCTAATTTGTGCCGATGTTTGCATAGCGCCGCAGCGCCATCTATTTCGTAAAATACCACTAAACGATTCACATTCTGGACGAGAGGGCCACAATAACAGCCACTGGCTGTACTCTCCGTCCCTGCTATTGGATTTTGATACCTAGTGTTCTGTAATCTGAATAACAACTGATGTGTAAGTAAAATTTTCGCAAAGTGAATCCCACTGCTGGTTCTGCTAACTTATGAAAAGTTCTGCACGACCAACAAAGGAATCGGTCTATTACTCATCTCCCCTCCGACCGCATCCCAGCACCGCAACCCGAAATAATATGATCGGACACGATAAGCGTGAACTAACCCAGCACCTAGTTGTGCCGGTTCGAGGTTACCGTGGTGTAGATATGTCCGCCCTTCTTCCGGAACAGTTGGATTTCCGCCTGCAAGGTCTGGATCTCCGCTTGCTGTGCCGAAATTTGTTCTTGCATCTTCTCCTCCTCTTTTATCCGGAGTTCTAGCGTGACGTCGTCGTTGATCGTGACATTGCTGATTCTGGCGTTCAACGTTTCGTCCAACTCGACCTTCTGGTACCCGAGCTCCACCAACTTTTCGTTCAATTCCGTGTTTCTGTCCGTTTCGCTTTGCAATAATTTCGTCACGTCGTCGAGCTTCTTCATCCAGTGGGCTTTGGTCTTCTTCATTTCCTTTTCCTCGGACCCGATCTTGTTTTCTAACTCAATCATGTAGGGGTCTTCTTCCGTCTCCTTCTCGATTAGGTCCAAATCGATTTGCTGCCCGAATTTCAGCCGCTGCAGGTCCTGAAACTTGATTTCCAGATCTTCAATCTCCGCCGCGACCAGCTTCTTCTGCTTCCCCCGGACGACAAACTCCTTCTTCAAAGCCTTGTACTGCTTGCGCACGTTCGCCTTCTCGTTGTGCAGCTCCGTGATGCGTTGCATCAGTAGTCTCAGTCTCTCGTTCGGGAACACGAGGTAGTCGTTCAGGTTCAAAGCCAGCTGGGCAAAGTCTCCCTCGTTTTCTGGGTCGGTGAGGCATTGGACCTGTTGTTGATAATTTTTCGTTTTCATAAAACGCCTGCGTTGCGTCGTGATGACCTAGTTCTTTCTTTTCATGCATAGATCGAACTACCATGCTGTGGACACAACGAAGCAACCAGAATTGTCTGACAATTCTGGTTGCTTCATTATGTAACATAATTTTTGACTACAGTATACCTGACTCAACCGCAGGGTGAGCGCCAGCACGATTTTGTTCAACATTTTCTGTTTTTCGGACTGGAACCCCTGGATCTCCTTGTCTGCCTGCTCCTGTTCCTTGTCGATCTTTTTCTCGTCGGAGAGCAATTTCTGGTGACTTCTTCTCAACTCCTCGACCGCTTTTTGAATCTCTAACAACGCGTCCTCCATGTCTAATCGTTTGTCTCGGAGTTCTAAGACCGATTCGTAAACGCTCATGTCGCAGCCCTGCGGGCACACATCCTCCTCCTGCTCTTCCTCGTCGCTGTCGTCGTCATCATCATCCTTTTATGCATTCCAAAACTACTAATCGCACTAGTGTAATTATAAATCGCATGAGCAAGTGAACCCAGGAAAAAAATGCAGTTTGTCATGCAGACACAGGCAATAGGGAACAAAGTCTGCTGTAACATGCAAATAACAGCTGCAAATCACCTTACGCGAGTGCGATGGTGTTTTCCCAGAAGATACGTCGTCGTCGTCGCTATCCTCGTCCGAGTCCCCGGATTCGTCGCTGTCTTTTGCCTTCTTCTTCTTCCTCTTAACCTTCTTCTTGTACAGCTTGAGCAGCACGGGCAGAAACGGGCTGGTTTCCCCGACCGTGTCGGTGAATTCGGCCTGTAAGTTTTGTTCTTCGTTCCTCCAGTTTTCGATTTCGTCCCGCTTCTCCTGCAGCTTGTCCTGACACTCCTTGATCTGCGCCATGATGGTCAGCCGGTCCTGCTTGCACTTGGAAGACTTCTGCATCAGTTTCGCGTCCTCCGCTTCCAAGTCGTTCAGCGTTTGAAGCTCCTCGTAGAGCAGTAACAGTTTCGTCTGGGCGTTCTTGAGATCGGACTCAAGTTTTGCTTTTTCCTTCTCTAACTGGCAGACCGCCTCGTCAAATCCGTCGATTTTTTCCCGGATTTGCTGCTCCAGCTGCTGTCGGTTGTAAACCGTTCTTCGCTCGTACTCGTCGATGCACATTTTAGCCAGGGGGTTGCTGGAGGAACTTGACAGCGGGTTCGTGATGGCGCGCTGCCGCATCTGCATCTTCCTAAGCCGACTGGTGTCAGGGGGAAAAAAAGTTGTATCGCATGCTTGCAGTGGAGTAAGTATTTGTGCTTTACTCGTTCACAAATCAAGCGGCGCCTGCTCAGCATGTCAGCCGCGACTGAAAAACATCTGTCAACAAAATTCACTTCCCCACAACAACAGTGCGAAACTTTTTTCCAAATGCATAGACAGACCGAATATCGTATTCCGTTGGAAATTCGTGCGAGGGGGCGGAGTCCTGATTTTTTTTGAATACTTACATTGTGAAAAGCAAAACTTGACCATATTACAACTGAAAATGCGGATCCAAGATAATAAAGCGAAGTGAACTTGTAAAAAGCGCGCCAGGCTTTGGAAAACGAAATCCTACCACTCAGTCAAAAAAAAAAATTACCGCTCCATTCCCCGCCTCGTCCGCGAATAGTCTCCCGGTCTTTGCGAAGTCCGTCAATTCTTCTTCGGTGTAATCAAATCGCTTTTCCGGATATTCGTCCATTTGCGTCGCTTCTTTTCCGACCACCATCGCCTTCAAATTGTCGGCGATGGACCCCCCGATCTGCTCGAGCATGATTAAATCGCGCTTCACGGATTTCTTCACCTCCTCCTTAAAATCCCGCAAAGCCAAAACCTTCTGCGTGAATTCCATCTTGATTGCATGCACCGATTCTTCCAATAAGAACATTTGTCTCCTTTTCTTCTCCGCATTGATTCTTTGGTTTTCTGGAACCTTGTATGAATCGCGAAAGTATTGTATCGTACTCGTAGAAATGCATTACAAATTTTCTCAGCATGACAAATAAAATTTGTAATGCGGATTTACCTTGAGAAAAAGATTTGTAATGCATGATTGCAATACGAGTACGATACTTCTGCACAGGATACCTTGTAGTCTGGGGCGGTTTTCAGCAAGTAATTTCCCAAAGTGTCCTTCGCCAGCTGGATCGCGTCCAGATCTATGCAAGAAAAAAACTGTGTAAGTGTAAATCTGTGATGCAGAAAATGCAAAACTGTTACATTTGATGTCATGCTTGACATGCATGATCGGCTCGCTTCCTAGGCGTTTTCCCTTCGTATCTGCGCATAACAAGTTTTTCCTATCATAGCAGACAAACTTGTGATGCAGTTTTCCCAAAAGAGTTACACTAACACAGTTTTTTTCTTGGATAAAATCCTGCGGATCGTCACTGTTCGGCCCGGGTTTGGTCGCTTCCAACTTTTTCATCTCCTGCTTCCTCGCTAACCGCGCCGCCCGTCTCTCCGCCCGGATCTCCGCGGAGGTGAGGACCTTTTCCTTTTCCAGCGGGTTTGCCACACCCGGCACCGCAACCGCGGCGGAGTCTTGCAAGGACTTCAGCTTGTTCACGCTCGTGCCGTCCTGCAAGTCCAAATCGCTGTCTTCGTCGTCGTCCATCGTTTGCGCACCGGATTTGAAAATCAACGAGTGCAGGCCCGCGAGGTGCGCCTTCAGCGCCGCGGGGAGGCCGCTGACCCGGAAGGTCGTGATTTTTGAGGGGGTCAAAAACGCGCGGACCACGACGCGCTCGCGTATCCTTTGCAAAAACGTCCCCGCCGCAGAGTCAAGTTGGGAATCTAGCAACACAAAACTACAAGCTTTGGGAGCTGTGCATGACAAGTTTCCCTCTGCAGTGTAGTGGTGGTTGGCAAGGAAAGCCGCATGACAAAGTCAATTTCTTATCCTGTTAACAGCATAATACAAATTTTGACGCGACTGGAAACGCCTCTCATGGGGCTGCGCATCACAAATGTTCCTATCATTGCGCATTTGCATGACAGCTCTAGGGTGGGGACGTTTTTGCACAGGATATCGTGGTCCAATTCGTCGAGAAAGCGTTCCTTCAATTTCTTTATCGCCACCTCGTGGTACTCGATGCCCCACGCGAGTTCGGTGTGCACGTTTTCGATTTTCTGTTGCTGCTCTGCCTTCACGATTTCGATGTAACTCGGATCCGCCACCATGTTGGGGATTAATTCGGCCCCGGAGTCGCTGTTAACGGGTTTGCGTTTCATATTAAAGTAAGAAGATGATATCATATCGAACCGACAAGGCTCAGTTGTCCACCACTCGTCTCGTCCTTCTCAGTACAGTATGCCAAACTTTCGCGAACAAGCGTTACTCATCTACTACATCTTTTATTTTTAAGAAAAAAAACTACTTATACGTGACGTTGCTCGCCCTCAGCAGCTCCAGGTCTTTTCTTATGGCCGCGATCTGGCTCCTGACATGGTCCTTCTTCTTTTCCGCTGCGGCTTTTGCGTTTTCCAATTCGGACTTCAATTTTTCCTCCTGCACGGAAAAATGGGCCGGATCGGTGATGTCCCTCACCGCGGAGGGTTTGTCTTCTATCGTCGGTAATTTCCAGTCTGCGACTGCGGTGAAGGTGAGTGGCGTCCGGTAGCTGTCCCACTGCTTCTCATCGAAGCGGGCCGCCGTCCCGTCTGATTTTGTTTTGAATTTTTTTCACGTATTGATTTCCTTTTCATGCACAGACATGCAAAGATTCAATTTTTCAACACGTGAATAGACAGAGTCAGGTTAATATGCTAGAATCTGAAATTTGACCAAAAATAAAGTACTTTTATCCGCTTCTTGGTATAGTTTCAAGCCTTCTCTTGCCAGGCTCGTCGTGTACATCACTCCGTCATTGCCCGCGATCAAAAGCACGCTGTTTCCCATCAGGCTGAGCGAATTCACGGCCCCGCTTCTGCTTGACCCCTGCAGCACCTGCACGTACTTCCTCATGGGCTCGCTGCTGGGGTCCGCCCCGTGCTCGAGTGGCACCAGCCACACCCTGGAATCCTTGAAGCCCAGCATGAGTAGATCCGCCTGGGGGGATAAAGTCATGCAGGTAACGATGGTGGTTTCCGGGAATTTCGTTTTCGGATACGCCATACTGTTGTACAACTTGGCACCGAATTTCGTGCTGGTGGGAATCCACTGGCCTTCTTCGGAACTGGAGGAGGCTACGGACATGCAGTACAGGTACTGCTTGTACCTAGAGAATTTTTTTTTGCATTTAATCTTTTGAATGAACGATCGATCCCGAGCAATTTCAATAATTTTCGAATGGATGCATAGGTAGTTGTTCTATCTTCTTGTATAGACGCGAGGACCCATAAAGCAGAATAAACGATTTGTGATTGCGTTCCAGTCAACGCAAAAATCAGATGTTAAAACTTCACTATACTCTCCCGTCGCTGCGAAGAGCACTGTGTCGTCGTTCCTGTAGACTGCGGCGACAATTTCGATCGCCTCCGCCTCCTCCTCAACTTCCTCGCCCATCGTGTTCTTCTTCGTGGGTTTGGCCTTTTTCGGCTTCGCCACCGCGGCTTCCACAACGGCTTTCGGCTTCTCAGCGGCTCCTTCCTCTCCTTCTATCGCGAGGAAAATCGCCCCCACCCCCAAAGGTGCAAAAATTTGTGATGCGAATTTTCCAAATGAAAACTTTTTGTCATGCATGAAAGGAGTACGAATCTTTCTGATGCAGAGTCTAGGCGTGTTTCGCACCGCTTGCATGACAAACGGAAACGCCGCTCTTGCTGGGATCTTTTGCAATACAAATTGCTATTCACGATCGGAAATCTGTGATGCTGATAGATGCAAGAGGGCGAATGTTTCATTTGGAAAGGTTTGCTATACAGATGCTCTCAAGTTCGGGGCTGGGGGAATTTTTCATCGTAATACCTTCGCCCTCTTCTTCGCCCTCCTTTTTCTCTCCCTCGACCACTTCCTCCTCGGCGCTCGACGGCTCTGCAGGGATGAACCTTTCCGGCATCCTATCCTAAGTAAGAACGTCCTCACCCCATAGTTGTCATGCAGATTTGCCTCCACAGAAACATCTGCAATGCGCATCTGCATGAGAGGACTTGGACTTTGTAGTCGTGTTATGAGATTTGTAATGCTGTAAACAGGACAAGCATGCGTCTTTGTGATGCGGCTGTCCTTGCTAAACACGATTACATTACAACTGGAGACTTGTCATGCATAACTCCCAAAACTTGGAGATTTGTGTTGCAGATTTACCAACTTGACTATGGGGTGGGGACGTTTTGACACAGGATACATCCAGAGTTTGTGTGGTAACTGGATCTCGAAGCTGTCCTGCGTGTCGATCTCACTTGGGTTCTATCAGATGTAAAAATGTCTGGGTCTGGAAGATTGCCAGGCTTGTCATGCACATTTTGCATGACTCCTGATCTCTGTGATGCATGCCCTAGCATCACAGATTTTGTGAGGGCTCCCTGATGGCTATACCGCATGACAAATGCTCTTTCCGTGTAGCAAAACTTGGACTCTCTTTGCTGCTCATGCAATACAGATTTTTTTAGAATCCAAAATCAGCATGACAAGTTGGATTCTTCCAGACCCAGACATTTTTACAGTTGATAGGTTCGGCGTTTGAATCTCCCCGACGGTACCGTCTTGGAAGGAAAGTAGCAGTTTCGCGGAACTCGAATGCCAGGAGAAGGAGAGGCACTTGGAGTGGAAGGAGACAAACCCTAAGGGCAGCAGCAACGATCCGCCGTGACTGCTGTTGTCGGCGTTCACGGTGAAGAAAAACGCGGTCAGATCCTCGCCGATCGAGACGAAGAATTGCGCGTTGGGACTGAATATGCATTGCAAATATTTCTGGGTCTGGAAACTTGTGATGCAAGTCCGTGCACAATAAGTGCTCTGAAATGCGCCGCTAAGCATGACCAGTTTTTTCATTGTGCTTCTGTACTGCCTATTTTGCATGAGAAACTTCTACGCTTTTGCACGACAGGCAAGAGGACCTCTTGGTGACCACGCAATACAGAGGGAGCGCAGAATCATGCCAGACTAGCATGACAAGTCTCGCAACCTTGATCTTCCAGAGGACCCAGACATATTTGCATTTGATACTGAAACCCATGGAGGAAATCTTCGCGTTTGCGTGCGGCTTCAGCGCTTCCCGGAGGACAAACGCGCCGTGGTAGAGCGTGAAGGTTCTTATCACACCGTTGGTGTAACCGACCGTGACCGTGCGGCAACTCGGGTCCACGGCGAGGGGGGGTAACACCAGCTGGCAGATCCCCGTGTTGGGGTAGGGATTGCCCTCCGTCGACTGGAAGACTAGCGAGGAAGACACGGACTGGTCCTCCGTCACGTTGTAGAGCCGAATGGTTTATGGATTGCAAAAATGTCTGGGTCTGGAAGGTTGGAACTTGTCATGCTAGCTTTCCATACCTAGAAAATCTGTATTGCACAACCAACAACGGTCGCAGCCTCTTTTGTCATGCAAAAACGCAGCTTCCCATGCGGATTGCCTATGAGAAAGCGTTTTGGGAAGTTGTCATGCCGGACTGCATTCGGCAGTGTTTTCATCATGCACATTTTAGCATCACAAGTTTCCAGACCCAGACACTTTTACAATCCATATGGTTCCGTCCTCGGCCCCGCCGGTGATGACACCTCCGAAGTACGGCGGTAGCGAGACGACGGAAGAAATCGGGCCCGAGTGCGATTTCAAGAGTTGTTTGAACTCGTTGGTGCCCACGTTGTAGTGCCAGAGAATTCCGTTCTTGTCGTCCTGTATCACCCACCTGGTTTTGTCTTTGCTCACCGCGAGGGACTGAATGGAGGCCGGGTAAGGAGGTATGGAAAGGGAAAAAAACTGGGGTATCTTCCTGTTGATAGTACAATCACTGTGCAGCAAAACTTCACTTTTTGAAAAAACGCATGCATTCTTTTCTCCCTTCGTGCATATTGCAATGATTCGCATCGAAATTTTCCCGACTTAAAATGGCAAGTGAAAACAAAATCGTAGACTACATGCAAGGTCTTTGTGTTCAAAGCGTTTCGATTCCCACCGCGAAAATGAACTAAACCTGATCTGCAAATTTCTTCCCACAAAGAAGAACAACCCGAGCAAATCTTCCTTCTGGATAGGCGAGTGCGGCACTTCGATTTCCTTCACGCAAGGGATTGTGACGTTCAAGGAGCCTGGGGTTTTCACGATTTGTTTCAATTCTTTGATGCAAAAAAAGACTCTTTGCGTGATTGCTGTGAAGGATCGCATAAAAGTAAGCACACCCTCGTGATTCGCGTTTTTTCAACGGAAAGTTTTATTTCACGCAAAGAAACCTGCAATTAAAAAAAAACACTCCCAGCTGTAGTATAAGTATACCTGAATCGTAATCCGCCTCCGCTGCGTCGATTTCCAAAAGCGGCCACCACCTTATGAACCCGTCTTCGCCCGCGGAGACGACGTATTTTGTCTTCAGATTTTTGTTATCACATGCAAATATGTCTGGGTCTGGAAATTTGTAATGCGAACATGTGCATGTTGAAGACACTTCCTTATGCAGGAGAGCATGACAAGTTTGCAGAACGCTTTCTCATGCGCACTCCGCATGACAAACTGCGCTTTCGTATGATCAGAGACGCTGCGACTTTTGCTGGTCATGCATACAGATTTCACAGGAATGTAAGGCCAGCATTACAAGTTCCCAGTTTCCAGACCCAGACATATTTGCAATGCATATTTATCCTCGTCCAGGAACACCACGTTCAGATTGCCCACGTGGGCGTTTTTCCCCTCCGTGTCGACAAACTCGCACTTGACGAAAACTCCCTCCCACAACAGCAGCTTGCCGTATTCGGACCCCGTCACGATTTTTCCGTCGGGCAGCTCCACGTAGCCTTGAATATCGGAGAGCTCCGTTCCACCAAACTTACCCAGGGCGCCCTGAGGGATAATTTTTATTTTAGTCGTGCAAAATAAATTGTAAAAATAGTACTAAAACCAGTTGCGATGTGCAACATCTTTACACACGGAAAAAATAAAAAATGATGGTGCAACAACGAACTTCTCCCAACATCATCAACATGACAAAAAGCTCCACTACTATACCTGCAACTTGAGCCCACTGAAGGTGGTCGCCATTTTCCAGAACCTTATGTGCCCGACACCGGTGGTGACGAGCTGCCCGGGGAACTGGCCCCATCGTACCTGGAAGATGTCCTGCCCGTACGCCTTACACTTCAGCATGATCTTTTCCGCCTTCCAGTTCCACACCGTCAACAAGTAATCTGGAAACGCCCCGAGGGACGCCAGCTGATCCTCGTTGTGCGGGGAAAAGGAAACGCCGACGTAGCCCTTTTCAGAACACTTCCGCAGTACCCGGTGCACCTTCATGGTCTGGAATTGGTAGATAAATATCCTTGGCGGCTGCTCGAGGGGCTCGATACCTGATAGATGTTTGGTACAAAAATCATGCTGATAGATCCTTCTTTGCGTAGTTGCATGGTACAGCATCCGTGCATGCGGCTCAAGAACGATCCTGCTCTTCAGAATTTATGCAACAGCAGAATCGAAACAAAAACCATACTGCTTTCCGCGATGGCCAAGTAGGCGCCGTCAGGCGAGATCTGCACCGCCCCAACGCCACCACTGTCCTTGCCGTGAAGTATTCTCTGCTCCTCGGATACGACGTCGTACAGAATCACGGAGTGGCCGTTGATAAACGCAACTTCAGTGCCGGACACCCAGGTGGAATTCTGTTTTTGTGAAAAAAGTATTTCTATTTCAATAATGCGCTTCCCGCATGACAAAACCTCGTAAGAATGCATACTCTGCAAGACAAGTTGTTGAACACGAAGGATCTACTCGAGAAGCAGTGAAGATAGATACCTTTGCCAGGGTAAAGTCGAAACCATCCACCCGCTCGAAACTGGAGATCTGTATCAAATGCAAATATGTCTGGGTCTGGAAGGTTGGAAGACTTGTCATGCAGGTCTTCCAGGACCTCGGTCTGTCATACATGACCCAGCATGACAGATTCTGTCTGACCTCTATCATGCCTCGTCTGCATGAGAAACTCCCTCTCAGCTACTTGGTCAAAAGTGGACAGCTTTTGGTCGAGATCGTGCAACGCAGATATTTGCACTATCCAAAATTCAGACCCAGACATATTTGCGATGCATAATCTGCATAGGCAGTTGATCCTTGTCGCGCAACACAGTTTTCAACTCACCCTCTCCATCGACGTACGTAATTTCTGCCTCTTTGGCTCTCAGTCGCGCCGCCTCCGCGTCTGGCTGGTCCTGTTTGATGTTTTTTATTTCTTGCATATCATCGTATGTACATCAAGCAGTACAATAGAACTCGCATCACTATGAAATGACTTCCTTCATTCAAACTGCTCCTCTGCAAGTAACTTCCATTTGTGAGCACGATGAAAAACAAGTTCTACTACCTTTGACCCCTGCGCCGAGCTCAAATCTACGCTGACTCGCTGTCCCTTGGTCCACACGCGATTACCCGCACTAGTCCGTCGCATGAGCTTCGACGCCGCTCGCAACGCCCCCAGCCCGCCCGCGAGGGCAACCGAGCCGGTTGCCGGGGCGTCGGTCCCGGGTGTGCCGGCATCTGCCACTGATGTCTCCGCAACCGAGGCTTCCGCGGGTGCAGCTGCGTCACCTGTCGGGGAAGCAGCGGCAGTTTCATCTGCTGCCGGCGCGTCGCCCGCCGGTGCCGCTTCTTCTGGTATAGCAGCCTCAGCCGGTTGTACGGGGGCCTCCGCCGGAGCCTCTTCCGCCGGCGGCGGAGTATGCACTGCAAAAGTATCGTACTAGTAGTAATTGCAATACAGATTCGCTCAGCATTACAAATGGAGTTTGTCATGCTGATTGGCCTTGGGCAGGAGATTTGTCAAGCATGACTGCGATTACTACGAGTACGATACTTTTGCACAGGATACGGAGGCTCGTCGGACATTTTTCTCAAAAATGATCGCCGCTAGTAGTGCGGTCAATAAGCGTAGTTTTGTATAAGATTGTTCCGCAGCGTCATGACCACTTCTCTGCCGAAAAAATGCGCACTGCTCCTGAATCAAACGAAAGCAAGTAATTATAGTAGCAAAACGAACAAGACTGAAAACGAAAAACCAAATCTCCTCATGTAGTACGGCTTCACTCATCACAGCTTCGCTCTCGCTCTTCCCTCGCCTTCCAGCAGCACAATTACCCTCTAATGCTAAAAATCCAAGGTTCTTGCACTCGAGGGCGAGAAATCGAAACGTAAACGGCAGATAAAGCGGAGGATATGAACAGAGTTCTTACATTTCCCGCCTATGCCTGTTGCGGCAGTGAGTTGTTCCCGGTCAGAAGTTCGGCTTTTGTTGATCATGTTGCACTTCACTACAATGAACTGTGATTTAGTTTTTTTATATGCGCTTGCGCTCGCGTTGCGTTTCCTGTCCTATCTGATGCGCTACTTCATCCAGCTATCTGGTATATGAAAACGGTTTCTTACTTCTAGGATTTGATTGATAAGCGCAGTGACTTTTCCCAAACTGGATGCGACAATATCTGTAGAGTTTCAAAGTACAGTTTTGCATTGACAAAAGTGATCTTTATTCCCAACAAGTGTAGCATATCGTCTCGTGGCAACAAGGCGTCCCTATTCCTCCGAAAGCCACGGCCATTCGTCTGTATTCCTTTTCGTTGCCATTCTTCGTTAAATTTCTACGGCTTTTGACGAAAAATACTCTGAAAATTCTGTAATAAATAAAGTTCTGAGTGATATACAATTTCAAAATCATTGAAGTTTCAACCATTGCGTGGCACTGAACAAGATCATGCCCAGTGCAGATAGCGTAGGAAAATGATGTATCTGAGATCAACATTAGCAAAGAAGCTCTAAGCTCTGCAGGATTCGAATTCAAAAAAGAACCCTGAATCGCGCAAGAAAAGGAAGATGAGTCCGTCGGAAAGATTGTTTTTCTTTCTTACCGACACGGACAAAAAGCGCTCATGAAAGTGGTGGCTGATGCAGGTTCTTGTGATAGCGATATTCTTGCCAAAACTGTAAAAAAACTTGCTTCCCCGCCACGACGCCCGGTTGTGCTGATCGTAGAGGGCAAACATTTTGTACTAGTTTTTCCAGGCAATAAGGCGCTGGCTTTGGTTTTAATTCAAATAGCTGGCGGAAAATGTGGTTGCTGTCGACGTTTTCGGTAAAAAGCAGCAGCCTGAAAATTCTTGGAATGCTACTTGTAGTATGCCTTCTTCGGAAGTACGTGACTGACATTCGAAAAAGAAAAAGATAGAGATTTTGCAGTAACCACTCAAAATCACTTATTTCTTGCACCTCATGCAAGAAAACGCCGGCTTCTTTTATTGGTTTCCGCACGTGATGATTTAGATACTTTTTGTCTTCAACCGTGTTTACGTCGAAGTAATTTTCTGTATTCTCAAACAAAAATAGGAAAAAGTTCCTAAATTCCTAAAATTCTTCCCCGATCACCCTCGCAGTCCGAACCTATTCAAGGCGCTACGGACTGCTGCGGACCGGCTCACTGCTTTCGTTCCTCGCACCATTTCCAAACAGCGACCACTGTTCAAACCCACCGAGGAGTTCATCGTACTCTTCCAGGGACGCAACATCCTCCTCGCACATGCCGAAAGCACCGTCCGCCTCGAGCAAAGATCCCGCCTCGCTATCCTTATCAAGTGCAAAAATGTGTGGGTCTGGAAACTTGTGATGCTGGGTGGCGTCTCATGATGAGGCTACAAATGCTGGCTCAGCATGACAAGTTTCTGAGCTCCTCGGGTTGCCTATTCTGCATGACAAACTGCGCTTCTGCATCACAGAAAAACGGAGCTCTCTGGTAACGTGCATGACAGATTTAGGGGTCATGCCGGACAAGCATGACAAACATGAATTTTTCCAGACCCAGACATTTTATATTTGATAGTCCTCCAGCTGGTGCAATTCGATCTCCTCAATCCGCTCAGTCGCGAGTTCCTGGAAAAATTTGCTCCAGATATCCCTGTTAAATTCCTCCGAGGAACTACTACCCCCAGAAGAAGTTGCAGTGGTGGAAGTTGTGCCCAACCGGCGTCTACACTTCACCAGAAAACGCAAGATTCGCTTCTCGTATAACTCCAGTGTTTGTATTGGTTTTTTCAGCACTTCCTGTACCACCACCTCCGTCACCCCCGCTACCCCGGCGAGAAACAAAATTGACGCCGCTGCCTTCACATCGGTGATCGCGTCCAAGCTGAGGGGATTCTCCCCGGTGGCTGCCCCCTGGATCAAAGGTACGACATTCTGCACGAGGTAGAGCGACACCCCCTCGGTGAAAATCTCCACCGTCTGCGACATGGCCTTGCTCGCGTGGCCGGCAATCAGCTATCAAATGCAAATATGTCTAGGTCCTCTGGGAGATTGCGAGATTTGTCATGCTAGTTCGGCACGAATCTGCGCTCTGTATTGCGTGGCCGCGAAGAGCTCCTCTTGTCTGTCATGCAAACACGCAGCTTCTCATGCGGAGTACGCAACTCAGAACCACGGCAAAACTTGTCGTGCTGAGCAGCGCACTGGAGTTGTGCGCTCACTATTTTCTTTCTTGCATCACAAGTTTATTCCAGACCCAGACATATTTGCAATGCATATCAGCATGGGCTTCACGATCCTGGAAAAGATCTGGTCCGCGGCAATTCCCGCCTCTATCGTGCCCCACACGTCGGACATGTCGCAGGTGTCGTGGAGAATGCGGCACAGCTCCGAGTGCCCGGAATTGACGTCTGGCACTTGCTGTAGTTGAAAATCACCTGCATTCTTTGCGAGTTTGTTCGTCAAAGCTGTTGCCAGATCGTCGGAAACGGTGCTGGTACTGGAGGTGATCTTTTCAATCGGGGCAAACTCCGGAGCAGCTGCGGGGTCGGAAGAAATCGAGGAAAACTGTTGCTGTTGCGCCGGGCCTCCGCCGGTCGTCGGTTGTTGCAGACTGGTCGCGAATTTCTTTTTCGCGGTAATAAGGTCCTGGTCCTGCTGCTGGGACGACGACGCGGAAGCTGGCTCGTCCGTGCTTGTTTCATCTTGTTCCGGAGAAGGTCGCGTTTGTGCAGCTTTTGGTTTCATACCGTTTTCTTGTTCGGCGAACGCATCGACGATCGCCGCTCCGTATCGAATGTAAAAATGTCTGGGTCTGGAAGAATGCAAGTTGTCATGCTAAATCTGAAGCATGCAAAAATCTGTGTTGCATGATTACCAAAAGTCGTCCAGTTTTGACCAAGTCGGGAGGGAGTTTCTCATGCAGGATAGGCATGAGAGAGAGTGCACAGAATCTGTCACGTTAGGTCCTGCATTACAGACCTCATGGGTCATGAAAGAGCTACGTGACAAATCGCGCACTCTTCCAGACCCAGACATTTTTACAGTTGATACTCCGGATGATGAACTACTGCTTATAGCTGTTCCCTGCTGCGTGCTCGCGTCATCCAGCGCCTCGAGAGTATGAAAGCGAAATCAAGGAACTTCTCCTCGGGTGGCGTCAGTGTAGCTGGAGTAACCATGCTCGTTGCTGATGACAATATCGTCCTAAGAAACTACAAAGAAGTTTTCGACGAACCTAAGTTCTTGTGATTCAAATTCTGCAAATGCTGTTTCTGATGCAAATGAGTAGAGCTGCGACTCCCACTGAGAAGAGATTTCGATTCTCTCGGTGTGATAGAGAAAGGCCACGAACCACTCGTTCGCAACTGTCCCCGCACCGAAAGAAGCTAACACGCAGGCAGCCTGAAAAAATTTCAGTTGCGGAAAAATCAAACAAGTAGAAATCGCATAACAACGTCCGACTGTCTAGTTTACATAATCCGATAAAACAGCCTGCAATCTAAGTAGTACTCGCCGAAGTAGCCTACTGGTGCAGGAACAATGCATCACAAGGAACTACGGTAACAAAGCCAGTTTCATCTATCTGACAAAATAACAGTACCTGTCGAATCAACCTGCCCGCCAAGACGCCGCTCGTGGCGCGAATCATCAAACCAGTGTCCGAGGTGATGGAGCATTTTGCGTTTTCGCGTTTCAACCGGCTACCGCGCTTGGTCACCGGCCCGCACAGCTTCGTCCGGCACGCCCGGTCTTTCTCTAGCGGTTGCTGCGATACTGGCAGCCCAATTTTGCTCAAGTCGGCCAGTGCAGGCCTGATTTGGTCGGTTTTCTTCCAATATAATATTCACTTCAACTTCTCGTTTATTGATGCTACAATGCATTATCAAGAACCAACATCTTCTGTCATGCATTAGCAAAAATCGTCCGCACGCAGTAGTACAAAACCCTAAAGTACCCTCGCTCCCCCACTGGTCCCAACCCATGGTCGACCTGTTTTTTCGGCACCGCCACGCTTTTCCCGCTGCGTTCTTTTTCTCCTGGAATAGGCACGAAGGCGGAAGCCGAGGCTCTTGCCCCGTCCGAAGTCTTTTGCTGCGGATTCGGTTGCCGGACGCAAGCGCGCGACAGCCCGCCCAACACCGCGGCCGCGCCGACCGCGCAGGCAAACTTTTTGTGGCCGGAGAAGGGGAGGCCGCGGGATGTTGTTGAAACGCCGGAGTTGTGTTGGTGCGGCACGATGGCCGTAGAAGTTGAAGTGCCAGTTCTACTATTTTCTCCTTGTTGCCCCACCACTATGGCAGATGAACCGCTCTGCGAGGTGGAAAGATTGTATCGCCTACTTCTTCCGCACGCTTCCTTCGACGCCTGCCGGCTCCCCTGCCTGCTCACCGGCGCGGACTGTGCTTTTGATTTGGTGGATACCTGACGTTTCGAACAAGCGTTCAGGGCAAAACTGCCGCTCCCACTGCTGGTCTGGCGGGAGAAGGTGGGTTCGCTGTGGCTGGACTGGCGGGTAAACGAAAACTCGCTGGATACGTTGCTCATGCTTTTGTGGAGAAAAGTGGAGGTGTCGCCGGAAATCTCTTCCGCCAACGCGATTGACGGAGTAGTAGCCGACATCGCGGCGGTCGGTAGCACTCCGTCCGTCGTGCCAATAATTTCTCCATGATCGCTTCCCCCGCTCTGCTGCCGTGCCAACACGGGGGAGCTCGGGCCGGAGTAAGACAAACAGCTCCGCATCGAGCCACGGCTGAGTCGCTGCGAAAGCGTTTGCCGGAGCTTCTCGAGTTCTTGGACCTGGTCAGCCTGCTCGTCGGGCTTCGGTGTGTCAAACTCCCCATCTGCACCTCCCGCTGCATCCTCCCCTCTCGCCTGCAACATAGAAGAATCCTCCTCGGCAACATCTTTGACAACTCCATGATCTGACGCAGGACTTGTGTCATTCGCCAACATCATCCTTTCTTCACCACCCGTATCCGCCCCTTCGCGGCAATAGCAGTAGCCATCCCGCCCGCATTCCGGACTGAAGTTGCTGCACAGAAACGATTTGCCGGACTGTTGCAAGCGGGCACGGAGCCGCGCGTCCTCAACGATCGGAGTCGCATCGGATTCGAGTTGACAAATTTGTGGATACGCACCAGTGGCTCCGGGGTGGGGGAAATCCGCGTCTTGTTCCAGTTCCTCCACATCCTCTACAATGCGGTACAGATCCGCGGGGCAAGACTGCACGTGCTTGACCCTACCGAGCAGGCCGGAGCTTGAACTCGAAGATCTTTGGCTTTCCTCCGTCGATTGCCTGGAGAGGGAATAAAACTGGGGCGTGTAGTTGTGAAAAGGCGTGGGCGAGTTAGTGCAAGAATCACCACGGGATGTTGAAGCAGTGCCATTCAGCATTCCAAGCAATTCCTGGTCGAGCAGGAGGTCGTCGTCGGCTGTGTCCTGTTGGAACTCACCGTCGACGGGCCAGCTTTGAAAAACTTGCGTCGGCGACGCGTGTTCATCGTCCCCTCCTGCGAATAAGAATCCCGTTGCACGACCTTGCGGAGGTAGTGCTTCACCAGCTCGGGTCAACTCACATTCATCTTCCTCATCGATCTCTGCTATCCGATTCAGCATGGCTGGGCAACTGTGCGCATGGTGGAGTGGTGAAGACAGTGGCGCCCCCTGCTGCGTTCTTGTACTATTGTTACCAAAAATCGCAGGAGCAGCAGCTTCCACATCCGGGCAAGAAGAATTTGGAGCGGCTTTATTGCCAGTGGAACCAATATCAACCGACTCCACCGTCAGCGCTGCGCCTCGCTTGCTCCGCGTGACTGCACACGCGTCGCGGTAGATCCGGCGCAAAAGTTGCGACGCGAAACCCGTCGGGACAACAGGTTTATTTTCGTTTTCGTGCATCTGTGGTGCTGCTGTGTCTACTGTGGCACCACCCGTTTCCACCATCTTCCCACGTCCGGTCACCTCCGCCGCGAGCCGAGCCTCCTGTTCGAGCTCCCAGGGGGTTTTCTGCTCCTCACTCGCTTCGACGTCTTCCAAAATGCAATTCAGCCCCGCCGGGCAGCTGCTCACGTTCGGCACGCGCAGGTGTGAGGAAGAGGACTTGCTCGACGTCCCCAAAGAACTTGTCCCTTTTCGCCCGTGATAAAAGTGGTCCAGACGCTCCCTGTCGGGTCGCCCGCACACGCCCGGAATAGTCTGGTTTCCGCGAAGATGCGTGTCATGAAGTTGGGCGCGGGAAGTCGTTAACAACGTCTGTTGGTCGACGTTTGCATCTTCAATATCAGGGCCTGATTCAGGTTTGGCAAACGGCATCCGGCCCAAGCTGCTCCAGGGATCCGAGTGAGCACGCTGCCGAGGCGGTCTTCGTTCTTCCTTGTCCTCAAGACCCCCGCACGACGTATTCCTGTGCAGTCCAAGTTCGTCGCTCCCCGAGGACGTTTTTAAAGATGAACAAGAACTTCGACCCGCCCCAAACGCGGGCGTCGACGACCTAGATAGCTGCAACTCTTCCCCCCGCCTAGCCTGCGGGTAGAAAATTGTCGGCGCCGACAGTGGTTTCAGCGTTGGGCTGGAACCGACACTGCTGCTGCGCTTGAACACCAGGACGGGTAGCGTCGCGGGTGATGGAACGTCAGCTGGTGTGGTCGATCGTCCCTCGCTGTTAGTACGGTAAAATCGCCTCTCCTCCACATCATCGATAGTTTCCATGCAATCCAGACCTCCCGGGCAACTAGCGACGCGCTTGTCTTTCAAGCCCGATAGTGTTAGACTGGGCGGCGTCAGAGCGGTTTGTGGGTACGGTGGTGCGAGTTCTCGTGCAGTTCTCTTGCTTCCACCCGTTGATATAGAAGTACCGGACTGGCTATGGCTTGGAGTGGAAAAAGTGTTGCGTAGTTGTTCTCCTGCCGCGGCCCGTCTGATCGTCATCTGTAGGTCTTCCTCGCTGCCATGCGGAAAGGAGGACGTCGAGCTCGCTCGGGACTGCGCACTGGCGGAAGAGGAACCAGAAGTAGAAGTTCCCGACGAGGTATCAATACTACCATGCGCCGGCGGGGGTGTAAAAGTCCTCCACAGCAGCGGCACGATACCGGAATACCGCTGCGGCTGTGGCTGTTCGAGGGGTGTGCTGGGAAAGAAAAATGAGCTTTTGCATCGCGAAAGCGATGCCGCTTGTTCGGTAGTTGTATCTTCCTCACCCCCGGCGCTGGGTTCTTGTCCAGCGGCGTTACACCTTCCGCTGTAGTCGTCTTTTTCTTCCTCCCCCGGACCCACGTCACATCCCGCCTCCAAGCGGAATGCCTGCAGCTCGTCGAACTCCGCAGCGCTGTAGGAGCTCTCGTGCTCCTTGCACCACGGTGGGGAAAGCGACGAGGAACCAGAGAACCGTTGTGGGGGCGAATTCGAAAACTGCTGGGCGGGTGAGCCGAAGGTCGAACCCGGCGGCGACGCGGAATAGTGAGTCTTACTGCCGCGCCGCGATGCACCAGCCGCCAAACTTGGCAGAGACCCTTCCGTGGAGAGAGTCTGTTGCGGCGACGACAAAACGGATCCGGCGGAGGTGGAGAGCGCGCTGAGTTCCCCATCCGACAGGGTTCGCTGGCGCGCCAGCAGCGCCTTCTGCGGAACGACGGAACTGCTGCTCGCGCTCGGAAACACGGCGGCTGCGCCGGTCAACGCGAAAAGGACCCGGAGTTTTGTGGTAGCAGGACCGCCGCGGCGGGGCGCGGCGACATCCGCCGGTGGCGGACTATTTCTTGGTTGCAGTGGTTCTTGCATTTCTGTCATTGTTTTTACGCCGGCGCCGGCTCCTACCGCGTGCTGTGCAGCGGTGAGCAGGTGGCCGTCCTCCAGGTAAGGCCGAGCCGCAGTTTCTATACGATTACTTTCTTGTTGCGCAAAATCTAATTTTGGATAACACATTCACTATAAGAAGTATAAGGTGTAAATTTGCATGGAGATGATCATCAAGTGCAGTTCAGTAAACTGTGAGGCGTTTGCCTTTAACAACAAACAAATGCAGCGTGCACCGCGTCAAGAAACTCACTGGAGGTGCAACAAAAATTTTATGGAGTGTAGGGCGATGTACGCGCCAAATGTGTCAAAGTGAAGATCCGGGGGTACAAAGCGTCAAAATTGAACTTGAGAAGAAAGTCGCCCCGTTTGAAAGAGACCGCGGGCCAGCACTGAGGCTTATCAGCGAGGCTTATTAGTACTAATCGAATACGACACGCCGTACGTGGCTTCTTTCCTTGTTTTTAGATCTTGGTCTTGGCCGTTCGCCTTTTCTAAGTCAAAAGATCTTCGGAGGGCGAGGCGCAAAGTGATGAAAAACAAAAGAGCACGTGCGTATATCATCATCGTCATAGTTGCCATCTAACGAGGACAGGATCACGATCGCAGTGCTTCATCATCATCTGATCCGTTTAAAGATCCGGCGCCGCGTCAAGCGAGAGTTCCACCCAAGCCCATAGGTGCGGGCTTTCGATGCTCCCCGCCCTTGTCAATAATCTGCAAGTGCCGGGCTTGGGGCCGGTGCGTTGCGACATAAGCTTGCGCTCGTACGAAGGCAGTCGACGGTGATCATCGACGGGCGTTGGCTTCCGAGATGGGCCAGTCGTGTCCAGCCCAGGCTGGACTCACCCGACACTGTTGCTAGCGCCTGTGCTCGCCAAGTTCCGGTCGGCAACGGCCCCGGGATCGGCAGTGAGGCTGCGTCGCCTCCTCTGCGGCCGAAAGGCCTCGCTGTCTATTCCGGGTTGCTGGGTGTTGCCGTGACGGCAGCAGATCGCACACCGTCGGCAATCGTGGCTTTGCACCTGCGCTTGCACGTGCGCCAAGAACTTCCACCCGCACGAGCGTAGCGGCGGTGGGGCTGGGCCGCCTCTGTTCTCTGTGCGCATGAGGTCGCCGGCTATAGTGCCCCACCGCCGGCAAGCGCCTCTGTATCCTCCAGGCCTTCGCGTGCTATCGTTCGGGCAGCCGAGACTGCGCGTCGGTGCTGCCTTCCTGCGTTGTGCTCGCTCGGGACAAGGCGGCCCGGCGGACGAGTTTGCCGGGGCCGGACCCAATGAAGCTTCCGCGGCTCTTCTGGCCGGTGGTGATAAGGCGCACGCACAGGGTAGCCCGCCACGCAGTGGGGCGCGTTGCGTAGGGTCTTGTGCCCATCAACACGCGCGGAAGGGCTACAAAAACCGCCAAGGTGCATCCCAAGGGCCCAACTTTAAAAACACCGAGGAAATCGCGCACCTGGCCCGCCGCGGCACGGCCCCCGGGTCGGGTAAAAAAAAAAGCAACCAGCGCCCTTTTAGTAGTGGTCTTGCACCCTGTTGCGATCGCGCGAAGCGGGTGAGAAACGCCTGGAGAGCGGCCCCCCTTCCCGGGTCTTACCACCTCCGACAACCGGCGGCCTGCAAAGACGGCGGCGGCGGTGCCCAGGCCCCCAAAGCTGATAGAGAATAGCACTGATAACCAGCCCAGCACTGGTTTTGCAGTGGTTTTCCACCGCCCAGACGGGCGAAGCTGGTGAGAAACGCCTGAAGCGGCCCCCCAGGTCTTACCACCTCCGAAAACCGACGGCATACACGGACGGCGGCGGCGGTGCCCAGGCCCCAAAAGCTGATAAAAAATATCATTGGCAACCAGCCTAGCACTGGTTTTGCAGTGGTTTTTCATCGCCCAGATTAAGCACAACCATTGAGATGAAAAAGAGGCTGCTTTTGACAAACATCCCAAAACTTTGCCTATAGGTACCTCCCTATGAACGACCAGTATATTTTATTGGCTCCAGCCTTGAGCCAGTCGCAGGACCGTCTGGTCCCAAAAGAGCACAGCGCCCGAAGGCGTCGCCGAAGCGAGATCGCGCTCGCCCGAACGCGAACACCAGAGGCCGGAGCGGCTTCAGCGGCCGCGACCCGGCGGTGGGGAACCATAGCCACCGAGCTCTTCCGAACGGAAGAGGGGGGCGGCCGAGCCCCCGACACCCCACCGCCACCACGCTCTTCCGGGCGGAAGTGCTCGTCAAAAGATCGATCGTGGCAGCGGCTGCCATCAACTGGCAGCCATAGCACCTTCCTAGTGCGACAAGCAAAGTGCGCGCCGCGCGCTTCGCATGCGCGCGCCCAAAGCGATGGCGACGAAGCGTCGCTTCCGAAGCAGGCCACGCGAGGCGTCCTCGCGACCAAGCACCAGCAACCGTGCGGGGTGAGTTCAGCCGGAGCTGAACCCGACCGACCCGCCTCGGAAGCGGAGCTCGTCGCCAACCCAGACAACCTGCGCGCATGCGACGGCGCACCTTGCAATGTCAGCAAACTGGATCCACTCATTCTCGCCGCCGGCGCGGAAAGCGAGTGGCGCAATCGCTATCCGCAGGGGCGCACCAGGCACACCCTACGGACACGTAAACGTCGGGGGGAGAGCAACACTGCATCTCCGAACCCAATCTCCCGCGGACCCGCCGCTGCGGTGCCGCGATATGCAGTGCCATCCGATGCCTGCAGCGCTGCCGCGCAACTACAACAGGCACAGTGCCCTGGCGCCGTACGTACAGCGGGCCCCCACCTTGGGAGCAGTGGCAGCATCAGCAGCAACGCCGGGAGTGCTATCTGCGCCAACCGAGAAGCCCTTCCAAAGCAGGTGGGCGCAGGAGCAAGGCAAGGTGGCGACGAAGTGCCGCTCCCGACGTAGGTCGGTCGCAACAGCTTCGCACCGAAGCGCAAACGCCGCGCGCCCGCGTGGGGTGAGCCCGGCCTGAGCCGAGCCCGACCGACCCACCTCGGGAGCGACGCTCGTCGCCACCAAGCCGCGCCATCCGCATCACGCGGCATGGCCAGAAGCAGAAGCAGTCGCCGGCCAGAGGCGCGACTAAGCTTCATGGCCGTCCCGGGCCGACGAAACCTGAACGCAGCGCCAAGATGCTGCGCAACCACGTAAAGCAGAGCACCGTCGCCGCGCGGGGCGAGCGGGTCGAATAGCCGAGGCCGCACGCGGGCATTCTCGTGCACGCATCCATTGCTCTCATCGCCGGGCGCCGGGCCGCCGTACACAACCTGCCCGCGAGTGGCGCCGGCCTTAGGCCGGAGGCGGAAATCAATGCCAGCCCCGGGCAGACTAGAGTAGCCACGAACCGGATGCGCGAAAAGGGCCCGGTCGCAAATTGGCGGGTGCCTTGCATCCCTCTCATCGGCAGCACCTGTGCGCAACCGTGCAAGCGGACTACAAGCCGCCGCACAAGCCCCGATCCGAAGGCAAAAGCCGACGCACGCCTGTCATAGGCTGTACACATTACCAGCATGCAGGAAGCCGCTCGAGATTCGCACCGGAGCAACGAACCGGCGTCCGCCTACCACACGCTGCAAGCGGCGCAGGCATCGCACAAGCCTCGGCCCGGAGGCAGAAATCACCGCAAGCCTACCACAGGCTGCAAATCATGCGCGCGCGGCGCCGCAAGCAGCGCAAGCTGCATCAGACCGGAGCCCGAAATCGACGCAAGCCTACCTTGGGCTGCGAAGCCTCGAAGCGAGGCGCGTCTACCACAGACGCATAACGCACAAAAATCCCCATCGCACCGGGGGGCTCCAACGCATAGGAGCGATCAGCCGCATCGTCGCGCCGATGCTACAGCCAATCAACCAACGACGGGGGCGCGTTCCTCATGAACGTACCGCCCCTTCCGGTCTTTGCACAATAGACCGGCGCCTGCAGTGGGGGAGGGAGGCGAATCCCTACCAAGAAAACCGTCCTGGGCACAAACCAGTGTCCCAGGAGCAGCTTTCCCTGCTGCCCAAACATACAAAACCGCCGCCAGACCACAGGCCTGGACGGCCGGCGGTCGCGCTTCCGTGTGGCACGGAGCGACCGGATCGCAACAAGATGCCAAGGCCGCACCCTGGCAACCAGGGATGGAGCCTGGCATGCCCCTACAGGCAAATCGGGGCAGCCGCATGCGGCACGCCTGGAACAGGAGGGGCTGCACCCTCCGAACGCCTTCCGCGGACCGCCCCAGCGGCGGCCCTCCGCCCCGGGCAAGTGTGCCCGCCCCTGCGACCCCGCAGGCCCACCCAGCACACCAGACGGCCGCGACCTTGGCCACGCCTGGGCCAATCAAACCCCGCGCATTCGGCAGGCTCACGCGCATGCAGCCAATCTAAAAGGAGTATAAATTGGATCAGTTTGCATATTATTATCCTTTTCTTGTATTACACAAGTGCTCTCTATTGAAATAATCACAAGAAGCTCCAAATACTGGAAAAAATCAAAAAAAAATCTTGAGAGGTGTGGCGTGCTGAGTGGTGGATGTTCGGAGAAAATTTATCAAATCTGAAAGCTCACCTATATTCTTTAAGATCTTTTTGTGATGTTGCTATTGAACATCATAGATTTTGCAAAAATGAGTAAATTCTCTCAAATTGCAAAAAATCAAAAAAAGTACAAAATTTCTTCTGCGTGGAAATCAACCCAGAAAAGATGCAAATTAAGCAAGATGATTTGTCACAATGAAGCCAACTGCTGCATTTTGTTTAATTGTAACATTGAAAGTCATTAAATTTTGCGAATTTTTCCAAACATGGAAAAACTCAAAAAAATCACAAAAAATTGACTTTATTGAAAACTGATAAAAATTCAACGGGCATCAGCTTGAAAATCAATACAATGCAACGGAATACAGTATCGTGGTCAACTGTCATGGCTTGTGCAAATTATGCAACTAATTTTATGAAAAATCTCAGACATGGAAAAAAACGAAAAAAGTCCTATTTTTTTCAATGTGGTGAATATGCATAATGAAGGAGCATAGTCAATCAATTGTAGCGGAGTATATCATAGCTATGCTGTATCTCTCCATCAGCCAACTTCAATTAGACCCAGTGTAGCACAATTTTTCTCAATTCCAGAAAATATGGAAATTGTATGAGCGAAGCTGATACTTGTATGGGTGCTCTAGCTCAGAAGTTTGGCTGATTCTCATTCTGTGGGAAGCTCTGTTAAGGCCTGATCATCCTCTTCCGACCACGGAAAGCCGATGGGAGAAACGCGGGCAGATTTCGGCTGGATTTTTAAGGACTTCCTAAAATATTTTATATTGGACATAGGCGACGGCGACGGCGGGGCCCCGATGCCCGATGGGGAGCCTTCTGGAGGCCCGGGCAGTGGTCATGTGCCTTCCTTCGCCGTCGTTGCGGGCGGATTAGGGCTGCCTGGGCGGTATCCGTTCACCGAAACTCTGCCGCGGGGGCCATAAAGGTCCTCGCGGGGCTGGCTCCGCGACCCGCAGAGACATAGCGCCGGGAAGCGCGCTGCTCATGATTATGCGTCCGGTTTCCGTCGCCCCGCCAAGGGCAGGAAAGAAAATTCCGACGCAACTCCATCGGGGCCAATTGCTTCTGCCGCTCCTGATTCTACTAGGCCTGGGCTGTTGATGAAGGACTCTACCGAAGCCGTTTGCGCCGTGGAGTCGAAGACGGTGCGCTTTTTGGTCACGATGTCGTGCATGAGGACCTTTTCGTGATGCGGTCTGGCAGTTTGTCGTGGCAGAATCAGGATACCCCTCCGCACGTCCCCCCTAGTGCAGGATAAATGATGATGATGATATAGCAGCGCTAGCTTTTTGAAACAGGACGACACTGCAGGCCCCAACTTGTCATGCGCAACGCTTGATGGTACGTGTAGCAAAAGCCACCTCTTGACGATCGGGCGAAGACGACGTTCTGGACGCAACACGCAGTCGAAGACACAAGAAGTCCAACGGGCTCACCGCCGGCCTGCACCGGGGGACAAACCGCCACCGGCCAGGCGAAGGCAAATGACAACGCGCCGCGGCTGACGAAAGGCATCGCTAACGCCCTCCCTCAGCCCGCGGAAATCGGGTGCCCGGGCGAGGAGGCTCTGTGCTGCGTGGAGAAGCCGGGAATCGTGGAGAACGGGTGGAGCGGATACCTGGTGGAGGTGTCGAAGAATGTTATGCACAAGCTTCCGGATTGGTGGCAGATGGTACGACCTTCTGTGGCAAATAGCAGAAGCAGACGCGTGGTGACAGATGACGACTGCACTTGAAAAGTCCTTCTGTGTTGCCGTTGCTCCACAGCACGGGCATGGTGTTCTCGCGGCACTTTTACGCACTGACATCTGCACTTAAGGCGATCGCATGGCCCCTCGTAAGTATTTAAAAGAAACAAGCGCAAAATTATGTTGGTGATTCAGATTAACGCCGCCAGTAGTTGCTACGCGGAAAAAAATCAATTTTCGCCTGAACAGGTCCACGGAGAACCACCGATAGGTCCATGGGCTACAACATTTTTCTATCGGAAGAGAAGGAGAAGTGGCTTCTTGTACTTGGTGCACTACCAAATAAACCGAGGAAAACCATACGCGGAGCAGTAGTTGTCTTCAAGGTCGAGCACTAGTTTCAAATGATTGATATTCGATGTTGCGGTGCTTGTTCGGTTGTACAGTTTGCACAAGCAGAAATCGCAGCAGAAGCTGGACGAAGATCGCAAGTAGTGTTCGACCACAATGGAAGATGTTGAGCAGGTGTAAATCGATGTACATCTGCGCAATGAATAGCGAGTTTTTCTGTGTGCGCGTCGTGCTACCACGGATGAGTGAAGACGCCAATGAGCAGCCTGTTGGAAACGGAGACTGGTTCTTGAGCGCAAATATCGGAACTTTGTTGAGTGAGTTTTCGTTTTCTGCGTTCGTGTGTCTCTTCGTCTTCGTTGCTGTCCGTCGTTTGAGACACTGTCGAACAAAGCAGACTCGTCGGCGCCCGGCCGTTGTCTCTATCGGAACAATCGGAAAGTTATCCTCGACATTGTTGCGCACTATCGAGTTAATGCGTATTCTTGAATCAAAGTTTCTCCAGAAGAAGCAGACTGACTTCTCGTCCCTAAAGAGCGACGAGCCTACTCATGAAATATAATCGCAAGTACGGGCAGAGCAGCATAATGACAGAAGAAAAATACCAGCTGCCAGTCTGTTCATCCTAATTTATTGAAAGCAATGACCGAGTTCGCTTTGTACCCGTCAGCATTTTAGCTGCCCCCGCCCAGAAGCAGCTGCCCGCACGTCCAGCCGGAATTACGAGAACAACCCTGCAGGTTCAAAAACCCAGCAGCTGGAGCTACTTTTGCAACGACCTACTGGTTGACGATTTTTCGCTCCACTAGCACGACAGAGAGGTGTGAGGACAAGGACTGCAAATAAAGAACCGCCACTTCTTTTGAACAAATCCCTCCACCCCCGCCAGAGTCGTCCAAGATGAACAAGTACGAGGTGGTCGGCGTGGTGGGCGAGGGCGCCTACGGTGTCGTGCTGAAGTGCCAAAACATATCCACAGTAAATTTCCCGTACGCGTACAAATGCGGTCTCTGCATGGCAAAACTTGGCGCCGAACCTAGTTTAGCACGACAAGTGCTACGCCCTAAATTGGTAAAATTTGTGATGCATCTTGTACATGTGCGGGAAATTTGTATTGCATAAAACAAGGAGACGGGGGAACTCGTCGCGATTAAGAAGTTCAAAGAGTCCGAAGACGATGACATCGTGCGGAAAACGACGCTGCGGGAGGTGAAGATGCTCCGGATGCTGCGGCAAGAAAACATCGTGCAGCTGAAGGAGGCGTTCAGACGAAAGGGGAAACTGTAGAAGAGTGGTTTTTTGTCATGCATATTTGCTCAACATCAAAATGACGGGAAGTAGAGATCATGCTGGTCTCGAACTTTGTCATGCTCCGGAAGAAGATTCGTAACCGAGTCGCTTCTGCAAAAAACTAAACAGGTATCTGGTTTTCGAGTTCGTAGACAAAAATCTGCTGGAGGTGCTGGAAATGTTTCCCAACGGTATCGAGCCGGAAACCGTCACGCTGATCGTCTGGCAACTGGTAAAGGCAATAGAGTACTGCCACGCGCACGACGTGATACACCGTGACATCAAGCCGGAGAATTTGCTCATGAACATGGAAGACCGGTCTTTGAAGCTGTGCGACTTCGGGTTCGCCCGAACAATGAGCAAGACCAGTAGCAGCGAGTTAACAGATTACGTAGCGACAAGGTACTTGTTGTTTTGTGAGCTGGAGCAGTACCGACTCTTTTGTGATGTTCTAGGACAAACCCAAAGATGATGATGCACAAGTGCGTTTATTACCGAGACCAAGTTATAATTAATTGCAGTTTCTCTTTCTCGTTGCATCCGAAGTTTATCAAGTTTATTGTCAAATGATCAATCGAAGGTGGTACCGCGCCCCCGAGCTGTTGCTGGGGTCGACCCGCTACGGGAAACCCGTGGACATCTGGGCGATCGGGTGCATTATGGGGGAGATTCTCGACGGGCAGCCCTTGTTCCCCGGCGAGACAGAAATAGACCAGTTGTTCATCATCCAGAAGATGCTGGGCGCAATTACACCGGAACAAATGGAAATGTTCATGCGGAATCCACGCTTCATGGGATTGAAGTTCCCGGACATGAGCAAGCCAGAGACCCTGGAAAAGAGGTATACTGATTGTTGATGTGGGGTCGTTTTTGATGCATATTAATGTACGAAAATGCAGAGCATCTTTTTTTGCGTAGGCCAGTTTTTGTCTAGATGCGGTATATTGCTTTGCAAATCTTACAAATTTGGGCCTTTTGAAATTAGGTACGTTGGCAAGATACCAAAACGGTCCTGGATGAACTTTATGAAGTGCGTATTGAAGATGTACGCAGGAAAAAGTCTGGGTTGGAAGTCATCAAAGTGCAAACGCGTGTCGTGTCAGTAGCTCTGTGCATAACAAAGGAGGCTTTTTCAGATGTGGCTTATCCATTCCAGCATGACAAAGGTGGTTTTTCTTTTTTCGACAGATTGTGTTTGTGCATCAGTTTGAACTCCAACTCGGAATTTTTCTGATCCATAGTGTGGAGCCAAGGGACCGACTCGACGGGGCACAGGCGGTTGCGCACCCAATGTAAAAAATAGTCGGTGCTGTTTCATCTCAGCAGAATTTGTTTAGCCACTGTACATAAGTGCGATTCTTACAGCTTCTGTCTGATAGCGAAAGAAATTTGCATGGCAACAGTCTTTTCTCACAACAGGTTCGACGAACTGCGACCGAAATCTTCCAAGATGACGGTAATGGACTCGCCAGAAAGAGAACGAACAAAAACAACATCGGGCTCGAAAAAGAAGTTTCAGTTTCAGGAGCCGGGAATGGCGGCAACCAGCAGTGGCTTCTATCCGCAAGGCAACGCGGCCTCGCATGTACTGTGTTTTCTTGTGCTTTGCTTTGGTCTGTCACGCGGGAGCTGTACATTTACTTTTACAGGGAAGATTTCGTCGTACCGGTTTTGGTAGCGATATAGGAAGAAGAACAAGCCGCGAGCATAACAAGCCTCGATTTTTGGACGAATCAAAAATAATTGTGCAAATGAAATGCCGCAGGGCCACGCCGCGCACAAGGCCGGCGGTGCAAAGGGAAGCGACGCATACTACGGACGAGAAGCCTTTGAAGTCCCATACAGCAGGAGTAACCCAAGCACGAGCCACGGCCATGGCAACGCCCAGAAGTTCGACGGAAGTACTAAAAATTTGCAGAATGCTGGTGATGCTGCGACAAGTTTGTCTTGCATGATTGACACGTATGATTTCGTTGCATTTTGTCAACGTGCAGAAGATGATGATGAAAGTTCCCGAAAAATTTTCCTCAAACACTCCACCCAAAAAACAGCTCCTTTCGAATACCCCTACGGCGGCAGCAACACGGAGGATTTCGACGGGGGCACCGGCGGTGGGCCGATGTTCCCGACCGAGCCGCCCTTCCCCTACGGCACCGGGAACCCCGCAGCACAGCACGACGCGAACGCGAATACCGGCGGCGGCCCGGGGGCGCACGTTGAAACGAGCAGTTCGATGCCGCTGAAGCCCTCGGGGCACCAGCCGATGCACCCACCGAACATTGTGCATCAGCAGATGAGCTCGACCAGCCGCGCCGGGCAAAACGCCTTCGGCCTGCAGAGCAGCAACGCCGACAGCGGCGTTCCGGGGGTGGGCACCGGGTCCAGCGGCCCCTCGCAGTCGCAAACCCAGACCGTCTTGCGGAAATCGAAAAACCCGAAGAAATCGTCGCGAAGAACCACCAATCTGATGGCGGACACCGACAACCTGATGGACAACGACGGCCACGGCGGCGCCCAGCCGTCCTCCAGTTCTAGTCGCGGGAGCAAATCGAAGAAGATTTCGAATCTCTCCAACGCGAATTCACATCTGCGGTCAACCAGGAACCACGATTTCGGGAACATAAACAGCAACTCGAACAGCAACCATCCGAACTCCCATCTCTCCGCTATGAACGTGCAGTCCAGCAACAAGTCGGCCGCGCACTACTTGCAGAAGGAGCAGATGCTCATGCGCGGGGACCCGAATCTGAACAGCAACAATTTCGGGCACCACGATTTGGGCAACCACAACCTGGACTCCAATCCCAACTCCTACCCGCTGCCCTACCGAGTATGCATTGCATCAAAAGAATCGCACATCTAGGAGGGGTTGCATAGCAAGTTCGTTTCTCAACTTATGAGAAGTTGCATTATGCTGGATGAGGTTGAGGAAAGATAAAGAAACGATGTCTGTCATGCCGTGTCTGCAATAATTTCTTGGACGCGTGCGTCGATTTTTTTGCAGTTGATACCGAGACAGCAGTAGCAATCCGGGCAACCGGGTCCTGCCCCACATCGACCAGCATGGGCGAAACCGGATTGGGGGAAACCATCCCGGCATGCTGGGACAAGAATCGGGGAACAGCGGAAACGATTGGGATGATCACTGGTCGAATTTGCAGGCAAATCAGCCACTCTACTCCCTGCCGCCAAGCCTATCCTTTGTAAAAATGTCCCCACGACGACTTTGTAATCAAGATGATGGCAACCAAAAGTCAATAGAAAAATAGATTTTTTGCCCCACACAAATCCAGAAAAATTTACGCGCCCCGCATGACAAATTTGGACACCTATTGTAAGTAGCCGTGTTTGGATATATTTTTCCTGATTAGTGCATGACAAATTGCAGAACTCCACTAGTAGAAAGTGCTTCTCTTGGAACTGCGCACGCGAAAGTTTTTAGGTATTCACTTTTGCATGACGCCGAACTCTGGGATGGGGACTCATTTACACACGATAAACCCGGGATCTGAACCACGCCATTCTGTCCAGCCGGGACGGCGTCACCAGTCGGGATGGACGTATAGATTTATTTTGTCATGCAGGCGAGCATGAAATTGATTCAAGTTTAAGTTTAACCCATACGTCGCGAGCAAATCTTGATGTCATGTGCGTATAAAGAAGTGACACAAACAAAATTTCAGTTGGCGGCGGGCACTACAGTCACAGCAGGGACGGGTACGGTTTGCGCGGTAGACCCTTGAGTCGGGAAATTTTGTCCCACCGACGACCAAGTCGGGACGAGGATCGGTGGGCGACGAGCGACCACTTTTTCGCTCCCCCGATCTAGGGACTGGGAACAGTAAACATGTCTGCTCGATGGATTTTCTACTTCGAGGAGCATTTGGTGAAAGCAACCCAATATTATCCAAATTTTCGTTTTCGTTTACGCAACAATCCAATACTTATCCAAAAGCAAAGTAGTAGGTTTCGAGGACTCTAAGCTAGTACCAGCAGGTTTCGAGGTTTCGCATTGATTTACGCTCAGTTAGAACTCCTAGAACTTTTGCCGGTGAGAAGACACTTATTCTTCCGGCCTTGACCGGCTTGTACCAAGAATTCATCTAAAGATAGAGCCGAAATTCATCTAGCACTACTCCGCGCGGGGCCGGCCACCCCGCGCAAAAAGAGGAGCAGCGGGAGGCAGATTGGCAGTCTGATGATTACGTAGATTGATATCTTCGAGATTGCTGCGCCTCTCCGCTTGCTTCTCGCCAGAACTAGCAATCCCAGCAATTCTTTTACCTGTAATTTTCAAAAATACGTTTCCGCTAGATCGCTCAGCTTTCCTCACTTTGTCAAAGCAAAGTTGTTTACAATTGGTGATAAGTTGACAAAATCCTAGAATTCGTGACTAAGTTGTTTCCCAGTATGTAGAAAGACGCGTGTAGCTGTCGGGAGAAGAAAAACGTGGAGCGGGATAAGCATCGGGAAAAAAAAACAGGAGCAGCACGCCTACAAATAATGCTTTTGTAATGAAAATAGAAATCCCCCGAACTGTATTTCTATCGCTGTTTGCTGGATGAACTTTCTACAAACCAATTTTCCGATAGCTACCTCTTGCTTCTACAAAGTGCTTACGGGGGCGGCGACTTCTGAGCAGCAGAATGCATTGTGGTCGTCTGCCGCCGTCTGAACTGTAAAAGGACTACTTCTATTTCAAGCTTTGATATCCCTTGTTTCCCTTCCAGAATGACCACTCTGAAGAGCAAGAATGTGAATTGATTCTACCCTTGTACGAAAACTCTGCCGGTCGAGCAGAACTGGAACTGAAAAGAAAAGTCGCGACTTGATGAAACTCGACAAGATTCATAAGGCAGGAGCTGCGGACTTTGGTTCAACTTATGTGGGCCGTTTGGCGTTTGTGGATGTTCTACTGAGCGGCGGGCCGCTTTTTGGTTCAAAAGTGCTACTGAGAGGCCAGAGTTTATGCCGGTCCGATGCCGTACGCAGTAAGAAAACGCGTGCCCGAACGGGCCGCCGCTGCCGGGTGACGCGAGGTTGCGCAGGGAATAGCGGCAGCGGCGCGAATGGATCCGCGCCCGAAGCAGCTGGAGGCGCTCGAGCAGTTGCGCCGCTTGCGGGCCCTGCTGGTGCCCAGCCTCTCCAAGAAGCTTGGCGCGCCCTCGTGGCGTGGGCTTCTCCGCTGGGCCACTCAGCGCGCGCGGTCCACCGAGCTGGAAAAGAGGAGCTCGCCGAGCCCCGCGCCCCTTTGGAGGCCGCCGGCCTAGCCGGCAAGGCCCCCGCGCCAGGCCGGCCCTCCGCCGGCCGCCCCCGTCAAAAGGCCCGCAGGCCAGAGTCAGGGGCCTCGGCGGCCCGCCCGGTGTTTTCTGCTAGCGCGGGAGGCGCCGCGGGGCTGTTTCACGGCCGGGCCAGCAGGGGGGCCCCGGGCGGTTAGGCCAAGGCGCGGCACATAGCGGGCCCGCCTGCCGCCCGCCTGCCGCTTCATTAGTTCGGGCGGGCGCGCGCTTTGTCCGTTTTGCTCGTCTGCGGACGGCAAGGAAGCGCGCCCGTCGGGGCGGCCGCAAAGGCGGACCAAAGCGGCGCACGTTGCGCGGTTTCACCGCAAGCGCCGCCGCGTCTTGATGAAGTGACCAGCGAAGGAGGACGCGGAGCGGCCGGCCGAATCCGAAGCATGCACGCGGGCCGCGCGCCTCGGCGCGCCGCCGAAGCAGTGCGGCGGTGGCGCCGTGCTGTCACAACCCCGGCCCCCCTGGCAAAAAGGGCGGCCCTCTCGTTGCGCCGTTACGCCTCCGCCTTTTGGATTCCCGCGGCCTGGCCCCCAGGGCGTGGGCCCACCCGGCGCTTGCGCGGTCGCAAGCGCGTTCGCCAGCGGAGCGCCACTCCGCCGGCTTGACCTTTCTTGGCGCTTTTCTCCAGCGGCCCTGTTGCTCCATCATGACAGACAACTGACACTGCATGCGCGCGATGTTTCTCACGGCAGCGTTTTGCGCATGCACCTTTTTGCGCCTTTGTTTTTAGTGTTTTAATCCCCAGCAGGTGCTGGCTTGCACAGGCTGGACTGGCACGTGGCACACACAGTGGTGCATGAGAGTTTTTTTTTTCGGAGAGCACTTCAAACGCCGGCAGCGTGATCCCCTCCAGATGCAGCGTTTTACTTTTGAGACTGAGTTGGCTGAAGAAGTAGATCAATTGCGAGCATGAACTGCGGCGCGATCAATACTCCGGAAGCAAGTCGAGGCAAAGCAAGAGAGCTGTCCGCTAGCGTACCCTGTAGCTATTTCGTGGAGCACCACTGTTCCGTGCACTTTCTTATCCGCAGAAGAGTATAGCAAATAAAAACGGCTAGGAAGGAAAAAATTGCTCCAGCATCACCGTGCATCGACGGAGTCGCGTCTTGACCGACGGACCGGGCAGAATCTGTGAGTGTTTCTCAGCCGCAAGCGCTGCACACCCTGTTGGAGTACTCGTACACGGACCGGCGTGCAAGTTGCCTCCAGCGTGCAAGTTGCCTCCAGCAAGAGAAGTGGGAAAGAAGGACTCGCTCGGCCGACACCGGCGAGGGCGACTTGCCGTTCGCTGCCGGAAGCAAGAGAGCCGCGTGACAGTGGCGAAGAGCAGCGATCCGAGCGTGCGGTAGGTACGAATACCAAGCTCCTGCAAAACTACCTGTCCAGCAGGCGGACAGGCACACGCGGGGATCGGTCAGTGTTCGTGCGGAATAAAAAGTACTACAGCCCAACAAGTTTCCACCCGGACACGACCGGAAATTCTGCCGGTTCATCAGAACAAGCGATTGCAAAGGAAACTCATCGCGACACTGTTAGCGATTTCAGACACGACCGGGAGAACGGAAGAGCTGGGTCTTTCTGCAAGACGTCGTAGCCGATTTCACCTGCTTCGCACAGCACCACGGAACAAGTTTGTTCAACCGGGCGTGGCATACACGACTCCTGCCGCGGTGCTTCTTTCGCAGCGTCAAACGTCGTGTGAAGTAGGAACTCTACTTCCAAGGCATTTCTGTTCAACATCCAGACTATTGGAATACCAAGCCCGCACCAGCGACGACGCAGGAAGTTCTCGAACAGCTCTCCGTGCGCTGACGCGGCTGCACCGCCAGGAAACGGTGGACGAGCGCAGGGACGCTTAATACTATATTGAAACCAAACCTGATCATCCTCTGCACGTGAACAAACAACCAAAAATCACAACACTATGTACACGTTCTGGACCACTCCCACGACCCAGTCCTGCCCGGGTCCCCGGGCGGCGCACAGCTGCGATGTGATCGACATGAAGTTGTACGTGTTTGGCGGTTGGAACGGGAAAAAAGCGCTCAACGATCTGAACATCCTGTCCGTCTCCAGTAACCTCTGGACGGAGGTTCTCCCAAACGCCGATGCGCCGTCCGCGAGAAATAACCACTCAACATATCCTGTGTAAAAATGTCCCCACCCCAATCCCCGAGCCTGCGGGACCCCGAGGGCAGAAGTCCTCAGCCCCCACAATACGCGCATCGCAGTAGTCTAGATTGATATGTGGCCACATTATTCATATTTACGTATTTCACCTACGTCATTCTCTCTCTTTTAACTTCAACAAAGTTCAAAACTTCTCTGTGCTTTAATTTTGGTCTTTTCCAGTACATAAAACACCCCATAGTTAAGTTGGGATCTCTGCAACACAGATCCAGGAGTTTTGGACGCCACGCATGACAAGTTGCAGCCCGTAGTGTAGTGCAGGTTAGCAAGGACAGCCGTATTACAAATCGAGATGCGTATCCTGTTTACAGCATTACAAATTCCACCAAGACACGACTGGAAATGCCCATCATCGGGATGCGCATCACAAATGTTCTTGTCATTGCAAATCTGCATGACAACTCCGGGGTGGGGATGTTTTTACATAGGATACAACAGCGGTTGTAGACCAGAAATTGATGGTGCACGGAGGGCACGACGGCAACAAGTGGCTGGCAGACATGTACGATTTAGCAATAGTGGATTTATTGTTTCGATTTGCTGCGATGTTGGCGTGTGGATTTTTTCGGAGGTGCGTTTAGGTGTCATCATGCGCGTCGTAGCTACTGAAAGAAAAAGAAATGCATCATGCACCCATTTCTATCAGGTACGTTCTGGACACGAATGTAGACGGCATGTACGAGAAGCTCAGGTGGCAAAAAGCGAACACCAGCGGGCAACCACCGGCAGCGCGCGCTTGTCACACTTTGACAAGACTAGGCTGGAAGCTTTACATGTTTGGCGGGTAATTGATGTGATTTTTGCAAGTACCGTTTTATTTTTACTGCAGTTCGATAATGTATTGACAGAACGAGAAAGATCAGGCTGTGATCATTCCCGTTTTGCAATACGATAATAAAATGAAATCTAATCAGGTACGACGGGAGCAAGTGTTTCAATGACATGGACATTTTGGATCTAGAAACCATGACCTGGATGCACCCAACACTAGCTGGAACCCTCCCGCAAGCAAGGAACGCGCACACGATGACAGTAATGTGCAGGCTTTTCTAGACCTCAAATCCGAGTACCACTTGAAGTTTTGCCATGCAGTATAGAATGCGCCAAAATATTTTGCATGATATTCGCTTTTTTTCCCATGACGCGGCGAGAAAAGCAGAACGACATGCAAATGAAACCGCTCCCTTGTCGCAACATACAGGTAATCGGCGTGCACCTGTACCTGTTTGGTGGTCACTCCGGTAACAAGCATCTAACCGATCTCCACATCTTCGACACCACCAAGCTCCAGTGGTCGCAGCCCGAAATCTATCAAGAAGAAAAATCTCCCCTCCCCATATCGAAATGGAAATTTGTGATGCGGAATTTGTGTATACAAACTTGCAGTAGAGGACTGCAGCCAGATACAGAACCTGAGTCGGAGCGTTTTGGTGTAGGCACCTAGCAAGGCAGGCGCATTCGCTGCAGGCCATACAGCATTACAAATTGCCTGCATAACGCGGCGGGGTTTTTTGGTTTGCCGTCTTGCAATACAGAGACGATTTGTGGCCACAAATCAGCATCACAAATCTCCACAAGTGTCCCGCTTTGGTATGGGGAGGGGGGATTTTTCCTCACAATAAAATCCTGGGCACCCCGCCCCCGGGCCTGCGGGGCCACACCGCCACGCTGATTGGGCACAAGATCTTGCTCTTCGGCGGCTACGACGGGAAGGTATCAAATGCAAAAATGTCTGGGTCTGGAAGGTTGGAACTTGTCATGCTAACTTTGTACTCTAAAAAGCTTTGTATTGCATGACCAGCAAGAGGAGTCGAGTTTGTGCTACGCGCGGAGGGCATTTGTCATGCGGAGCAGGCATCAGGAAACCCTCTAAAAATCTGTGATGCTAGGTCGTGCATTGCAGACATCATGGGTCGTGCAAAATATGCATGACAAACCCTGCAACATTCCAGACCCAGACACTTTTGCATTTGATAGAAGGGCAGGACAAACGAACTCTACATCCTCGACGCCCAGGAGCGGAAATGGCTGCGGCCCACCTGGCCGTCCGAATCGCCGCAGACCCCACCGTATCCATAATTGCACAAGTACCGTACATCAACTTCTCGTGGTGGTAGCAATTTTCATGCAAGTTGTGACAGATTTTCCATTTCCAAAGCTGAATCCGCATGACAAAGAACTTCATTTGGTGTCAACATGCTGAGCCAACTTGTATTGCATGCAATTACTACTAGTAGTCGTGCGCTACTTCTGCAATCCATACGCCGGGCCGACAGCGACACAGCGCGAGTTTGATCGGATCGAAGCGGATTTACATCTTTGGTGGGTTCGACGGAAACAGGTGGCTTCAGGATCATATGGATTGCAAAAGTATGTTGCATTTGGTAGTCATTGCATGATCTTCACAGAGCTGCTCAGCGTGACTAATGAGAAGTTTCTCATGCCAGTCTGGCCTGAAATGGACTACACTTGTCATGCATGGTTCCCATTGGTACTCGACGAGTGCGATACTTTTGCACGGGATAAACCTGCACGTTTTGGACGTTGGCAGAATGGAGGAGAACGATTTGGAAACAACCAGCGTGCACACCCTGATACAAAATCTGAAAGGGGTACTGAATAATATAGGCGGTTGAGTACTATGTTTGTCAGAAAATCATTATTGTCATGCGCGCACATCATGTGGCAAGAAATGCGGGAATGCAAAAAATATGCGAAACTCGAGAAAAAAATGAAAATTCCACAGCTTCTCAACAATCCGGAGTTTTCTGACGTGACTTTCACGGTGCAGGGAAGAAAAATCTACGCGCACCGAGCCATCTTGATCGCACAGTGTCCGCACTTCAAGGCGCTATTCAGTGCAGGGATGAAAGAAAGTACTTCAAGTACTTTTTCTCTTGGCTTTACGTGCAAGAACCTCATGTGCAAGTAGAAAGAAGAAACAAATGAACACTGGAAATGCAGGTTTTTGTCATGCATTGCTCGCTTTTTGTCTTTTCTTTGCAAATTGAAAAGACAGCTGCCAACATCAATTCCCAAGGTATCGAGAAGGAGATAATAATAGAAGGCTGGGGCGAAGTGGCGTTTCTAGCTTTGTTGGAGTGGATTTACACGGGCAGAGTACCGCAAGACCTCCCAGTGCACCACATGACAGAAGTGCTCGGATTGGCAGATCAGTATTGCTATATTGATTTTTTTATCCTAAGCATTTGGTGTAAAATTTCAATTTGTACATGATGGAAGTACTGCTGATGATTCGAAGCGAAAGATAGATGTTCCGATTTTATCGCGCAATCGCCTGTCACCGGTGACCGGTAGGAGAAGTTCTCCTACTGCCTCAAATTTCTTTCCATGACAGGGGGTCACACGTTTTATTGCCCCAAACCAAGAGTACGTGGGAGACCAGAAAGATTGACAGCGTAGAACAAACTCAAAAAAGCGGCCGGTTCTACTGCAGTTACCACTTTTTACACATAATTACGCGGGTGTAAACTGAGTCGGTCGAGGCTCGCGTGATTGTTTCGTAGTGGCTCTCTGTTGCGCTGTCGTGCCGACAGTATCTTTTTGTAAAGATGTGCCACTTCTTGATTGAATGCACGTGGCAAGAAATTAGAACCGAGATGATCCTGTTGCTGGATGGATGTTCTGATACGTCCACAATGATTTTTGATCCCAGGTACACCCTGGATTCGTTGCAGCACGTGTGCTATGCATTGCAAATATGTCTGGGTCTGGAAAGATGCAACTTGTGACGCTACCTCTGGACTCTACATGAAATCTGTATTGCATGAACAACAAAAGAGGCGCAATTTGTGCCACGCGGAGAGGGCATTTCTCATGCGGCATGAGCATTAGACAGCTCGCGCAGAATCTCTGATGCTAGGGCATGCATCACAGACCTCATGGGTCACGCAAAATCTGCATGACAAACTCCTGCATTCTTCCCGGCCCAGACATATTTGCATTTGATATGTGCGAGAACATTTTGATCCACGATGTCGAGATCGACAATTGCTGCCACTTGCTGAAGATTGCCGACCGCCACATGGCGCGAAATTTGAAGAAGCACTGCATGAGCTATCTACTGAAGCACTTTGAAGCGGTCGCGAAAACCAGCACGTTTGAAGAGTTGTCCAGCGTGCCCTCCTTGCTCTTAGAAGTGACCCGAGCCGCGGCGCAGCAGCAGGGACCAAGGAGCACGCTGAACATGGCCGGCGGGGAGAGCGGAAACTCGTAGGGAGTTGTTACTCATTCCTGCAGCGGTGCAGGATTACAAGAAGAACTCCCTCGCGCACCGTGTGCGCCGTGTAGTTGTGTGTGTGTGGAGAGGAGAAGTTGTTTGTGGAATTATTCCAACTCTGGAGACGAGGGAGGATACCGGCTCCTTCGATTTGGAAATCACCATAAGACAACGAGCGTCCGAATTGTACGAAAAACTGATTCGACGCCAGTACTAGCCAGTATGTAAATTTGCAACATGAGGATTTCAGCACCAAGCACCTCCTGTGTGAAGACAGGTAGAAGATCTTCTGGATTTGCACGAGGAAAGTACTACTCCAGTAATCTTTCAGCTACGAAATTTATCTTATACGAGCATCTCTTGATTGCATTTTTAGCGATTTGTTTAACGAAAGGTCCGTTTCATCACGACGGCGGCCCGAAGTAGAGCCGCGAACGGATAATTTTTGAAATGTTGTTGATAAGTAGTACACGACCTACTATGTACCAACGCCCGCACAGAACGCCTTGAATTAAAACTGTACGAAAACCTCCATTTGTGTGCTGCATCCTTGTTGATATTACACTGCAGATTTGTCTGTTGTGCTTCTTTTGAGAATGCAAACGTCGTGCGAAATGTAGAAAATGGAAATGTAGAATCCGCAAATGCAGCATCGTCAACTAGTAGGTCTCAATAAACGAGGACCGCACGACGCGCCAGTCTTTCGTGCTCCTTGTTCCTGTGTAGTAATCTTATGGCCGCATGAAGTTCTGGTATGGGGGTTCGTTGGAATGGCTTTCGCAGCAGAGAGTCGCGGGGTTTCTCCGTTTTGCTGCTTTCGGCACAAAGGAGAGAAAGGAGCAGAGAGGGTTGCGTGTCTTGGTGTTTAGCTACGTTCTGGAGCATAATTTCTGTTTACTACAGGGAGCAGACTACCGAAATCATTTCTACGTTGTGCCTGCGTGTTGTGAGCGTGTGTTGAGCTGTGAGTGGGACTGCGGCTTTTCTGTTGCTTAATATAGACGACGAGAAAAAGTTGGCCAGTGTTGACAGCAGTCATGCGACTGCCGCAGCACCACTGAAAGGGCACCGTGTGCGCACCCAGTAGAGATCGATTGTAACTGGACACCTTGTATTAATAAAGATGGCGCCGGATGATTCGTCGGCAGCGAAAGTGCTGGAGGGCATCAGGCGGGTCGCCGGAGTGGATGGATCGTGTGCTGTACCTGCGCAGCGAGCCGCTTGGCTCCGAACCCCCGCGGAGCTACCATGGGGACCGCCCGGCCAGCTCCGCTCCAGGAAGCCACCGCAATAGGGGGCCACCGCCGCGGCGCGCGCGGGCGAAGGGGCCCGCCAGCAGTTTCAGTTCATGGCCATGGCGACCGGGGCGGCCGACATTTGCAAGGGGTCTGGAGGCGGCCAAAGCGTTCCGTAACGCGGGAAGCGCGGCGCGCGGGGGTCCTCTGGTGTGGCATCCTTCACCGGAGCGGCCCTGCTGCGGCCATAGCACTGCACAGCGACGCCTTGGCGAGGACGTGCGCCCTAATGAGTTACGTGCGCAACATGGGGGACGTGGGTGACGGCAAATCCGCCTCAATCCGCCCGAGACGGCCCCGCTTTGCCGGGCCTCCCAGAGAGCGCGCGGCGCGAGCTTGCCGCGAAGTTTCAAGTCAGAGGGGCCCGGCCTGCGGGGTGCTTTACTTTGCGAGGCAGCGCCCCCGAGGCAGCGTCGCCATTTGGGGAGGGCGCGGGGCAACGCGCCTGCCTACCGGGCCAACCGGCCCGGTGGCGGCTTCATTCGCTGGCGCGCCCGCAGTGGCGCCTTCAGCTGCAGCCCTGGCCCTTGCCGCGCCAAGGCCTTGCGCCGAGACGCAAAGCCCCTCAAGGAGGCGGCACGATTGCGCCTTTTTGCCCTGCGCGGCCGCGCTGCTCCGCCCGCTGCAATGTTACAGGCCCCACCCTCCGTCGTAGGGCCGGCCCATTGGCCGAGTTTGCCCTTGGTGCGTGTCGCGTGAAGTGGAATTCGCGGAGAAAGTAGTCAGATGAAGCGGCACCAGTCCGGCAAGTGTCCCTTTCACTCGAGGCTTAGTAGAGCAGGCTAGCGTTCTTCTTGCCGACGTGAGGGCATGAGGTCGGGAGGAAGAGTTGAACAAACGCGAGCGCAACAAGCCGTCTGGTGCGACGGGGGTCAAGAGTGCGTTGAGATGGCTGAGAATATGGTCATTGATGAACATGAGAGATAGTAACGAGAGGCGTTTAATCGCGCCATATCATGAGACTCTCGCGCAGGAGAGGGAGTGTTCGCGCCAGAGAGTCCTCTTGCAAAGCAAAAAAACCGCCGTACTGCAAGAAAGTATTGAGTTCCCAAATCGACAAGATGCCGCCCCCCTGGTTAAAAGCTGAAGGTGACGCCATGTAGCACCTGGACACCCTCTCGTCTCGCACAGGGAACGAAACCCCGCGGCCGGTTCAACAGCCGAAGTAGTTGCAGTGCCAATTTTCCCGGCGCCGGTTGGAAGCCAGAGGCAGTCCGCCCTTGGATCGCAGCCGTGGGGGTAAAAAGAAGCGCGTTTCCTATTGCAACTAGTCGCCGCGGTCGTGAGAACGACGTGCTTGCAGCTGAGCACCTGGCACCATCCCTTTCCATCTACCAAAAATCAACGTCGGACGACCAGGCGATTTCTACAACCACTCGCGGCAAACAACAATATGAAGGTCCTTACAACTACTGGTGCGGCTCTAGTTCTCGTCGGGCTCTTCAACCCCGGCACGGCACCGACGTCGGTTTACGGGAAGAAGAGGCGCGCGGGCATGGCGATGTCGCAGAACAGTCTGCTGTTCACCACGAAGCGGTACATGTCCGGGGTGACCACTGTCCACAAGACCGCGTACTGGGGCCAGATCGCACTGGGATCGCACCCGGATAAACAACAGTTTTTCAACGTGATTTTTGACACTGGGAGCGGCAACATGATCCTCCCGTCTTCGCTGTGCCACGGCGCCGGGTGCGACCGGCACCGGAAGTACGATCTGAACCAGCAAACCAACCCGGACGCCCAGTTCGTGACCAACGACCAGGGGCAAAGCGAGGCGCAGATCAGCTTCGGCACAGGGGACATAGAGGGCCGGTTTGTCCGGGACAAGCTGTGTCTCGGTATTACAATGAAAAATGCCCCCACGACCCCATTTGTATTGCAAACCTTTCCAAACGAAACATTCGCTCTCTTGCATCTATCACAATCACAGGTTTCCAGTCGTGAATAGCAAAAATTTGTATTGCAAAAGACCCCAGCAAGAGCGGCGCTTGTTATGCAAGCGATGCGATACACGCCTAGACTCTGCATCAGAAAGATTCATACTGCTTTCATGCATGACAAAAAGTTTTCATTTGGAAACCTCGCATCACAAATTTTTGCAATTTCAGGGGTGGGGGGCACTTTTCTCTGTAATACTCGGTCGCATCTGTTCGGACGTGAACTTCATTGCGTCAGTCTCCCAGTCGGCGGAGCCCTTCGCCGCGACCCCGTTCGACGGCATCCTGGGCCTGGGGTTTCGAGATTTGTCGATGGGCGACGGGTTTAACATACTGGACGACCTGCAGAGAACGGTGCCCAACGGGATTATTTCCTTCGCGCTCACCGACGAAGGGCCGAGCTCCTTGACATTTGGTAGTGTGATTTTTTGACACGGAGTTGTTGGAAGTTCAAGTTTTTTTCCTTGAAAGGATGGTGGTGCATAAAAAGAAAAACCGAGGGACAGCTTGTGCAGCGGACGGCTGTCGTCCTTCGTGTCCTCTTCGAGACTGATGAAAAATCTCGCCGCACGTGGTCCAAAAAATTGTTCACAGCTTTAATCCCTCTTGCCTTTATTCCCAACAGGTGGCTACCGCCGTGAGCTGTGCGCATCCCCGATGGTGTGGGCACCGGTGACGTACCCGAGTTACTGGCAGATCCGCGTTGGTGACATTACGCTGAATATGCATTGCAAATATGTCTGGGTCTGGAAACTTGTAATGCTGAGTTGTGAATAGTGAATTTCCTGCAATGCACAGCCAAGCATGAGAAATATTTGCGGGGCTTCGTGTTGCGTTTTCCGCATGACAAACTGCGTTTTTGAATGACAACCAAAAGGGTCATTTCTTGGACACGCATCACAGACTTTTCAGTCATGCCAGACAAGCATGACAAACCTTGCACCCTTCCAGACCCAGACATATGTGCATTTGATACTGAACAACCGAAAAACGCAGCTCTGTCCGAACGAGGGCTGCCAAGTCGCGGTGGACACCGGAACCAGCATGCTGGCTGGACCCTATCCAAGAAAAAAACCTTGTTAGCGCAAGATGCAAGACAATTGCGTCTGTCATGCTTGGCATGCATTTTAGGGCTCATTGAAGGGCGTTTTCACGTACTAGCTGCACATGACAGTTTTTTGCTGTCATGCCCGACAGATTTGTAATGCTGTTCCTCCAGCAAAAAAGGTACACCTACAATGTTTTTTTCTTGGATAGACCCCTATGGGAGTGCACAAATACAACTCCCCCTCGCCCACCTCATTAGTAGAGCATGTCTACTAGCATCACAAACAACCTAGCTGCAAAATGGCGCCTTGAGTACGTGACAAATCTAGGCCCGGACCGGTGCAGCAGCTTCGGCTTACAGACCGTGTCATGTAAACACGGCGAGAAGGCCAAGATAGGATGTTGAAAAAATTCGAACATGACAAATGGGGATGAAGGGGAGTAGCTGTGCACTATCATGACCAACGAGCTTGATCCAGGAGCTGTCGAGGAGAGTGAATGTGGCCAGCGACTGTTCCAATTACGCGAACTTGCCGAACATTGGGTTCTATGGAGTGCAAACAATTTTTAGAGCAAAAGTAGTTCCAAGTCGTGCAGATTCTTCGTGTTCCAGGAATGTTTCTTTTAGCATTGGGAAAAATTTGCGGTCTCTCTGAGCATGATTCGCAAATAAGTGCAGGTCGTGCTATGCAAATTCCTCCCACAAGCCGAAATGGTGCAGCACGGTAGCGGCAGGTTCTTTCGTTTTTGCCATGCATATCCTCGCAGTAGGGGACAAAGTGCTGAACTTGCGGCCAGAGGAATACGTGGACAACGATAAGGGAGTATCACGTTGAGAAAACACACGGCGCATCAGAGTAAGTACTTATCTCCCATGCAGAAGGAACAGTGTATAAAGGAAAAGGACGATAGGATTAGGATGCGCGAAAGCATCATCTTTACAAACCCTAATTTTCTGATGAACTGATGGCAATTCGGTTGAGAAAAAAAAGTATAATGATGGGCCACGTTTTTTTCACGTGATAGAAAGAGTACTGCACCATGAGCATCATGACCCTGGATGTGTTATCAAGACAAAAGGCGTTTTTAGAGAAAAAAGAAAATTATTGTTTGTGATGCAGCAGTGATATTAGTATTACGAAAAGCAGAATCCAAAAGTAGAACGAATTGTTGAAGAGGGGCAAAAATGCAGCAACCATGCCAAAGCGAGACTTAAAGAAGACGAAACCGAAAGTCCAATGGACGACGTGCTTGACTTAAACGCCGTTTGGCTTGATAAGTGCCACCGCCAAAAGGCCCGCTGTTTATTTTCGGGGATCCGTTTTTGAGAAGGTATAATTTATCACGCAAGTTGGCGCATTGATTCTTTGACTTTGGACACAAAACCCGAAGAAGTGCTTCTATGTAGGATGAAATGCAAGTCATAATTCCACGCCGAAAACAATGACAGGTTCGTCACGGCCTTCGACAAGAGGAAAATGCGGGTGGGATTCGCCATAGCCCAGGGTGAAATGTCGAAAAACGCCATCTCTGCGCTGCTGACCGACGAGCCCGCCCCGATGGGGTATCAAATGCAAATATGTCTGGGTCTGGAAGGTTGCAACTTGTCATGCAGATTTTACACGACCCGCGACATCTGTGATGTATTCCCTAGCAACACAGATTTTATGAGCGCTTCTTGATGCCTATTCCGCATGGCAAATGCCCTCCCCCCGTAGCACAAACTGGACTTGACTTGCTGGTCATGCAATACAGATTTTTTTGAATTCAAAGTTAGCATCACCCAGACATATTTGCTTTTGATATGGGGCCCAGTCCGCTGATTCCGCGACAAACGACGCTTATCAAAAGGAAAAGTCCCCTCTCCCCATATTGAAAAGGTATGTTTCCGAAAATTTGTATTGCTGGCTTGAGGTCACAAATCGCATTTGTCTTGCAAGAAGACAAGGGCAGAAGCTTCCGCCCCATTATGGAAGCAATTTGCCATGCTGTTGGGCCCAAAAAGGAGCCGCTTGCCATGCTGAACAACTACACCCATACGCCCCTACCTAGCCTTGGGATCTGGCCGCAGTGCCTTCCTGCAATACAGCGCTGACGTGTGTACACAAATCCAGCATCAGCGATTCCGCTTTGATATGGGGAGGGGGGATTTTTTCTGTCGATAATGCTCGGGGACGGGACCTACACCCGAGGAGAAGATTTTCGCGCACCCACGCTGCTGTCGAGCTCTGACTCCGCTTCATCGTCGAATATGCTACGTAAAAACTCATCTACCCATGATAGAAGTCAAGACGCGACTTCTTGTTGAGAGATTTCTACTGAACACGAGTACAAATATGACCTGCATTATGTTGGCGGAGACGATGCGCCTGATATTAAATTTTCTTTAAGTATGCAACTCTGTGACTGTGTCATGAGAACTCTGGCGACATGGGAGGTGCGTTTTTACACTGGAGATCGAAAAAGGCTTCCAACGATCCGATCGAGGTCGTCCCACTGATGGCCGGGATGATGCGCTCCCCGATATCAAATGCAAAGATGCTGAGGTCTGGAAAGTTGTCATGCAAGTTTGGAAAGATCCTGAACCACAAGCGCTTCTTATGCACAGCCAAGCATGGCAAATTTTAGTCACGCCTGTGCGGTGCGTATAATTCATGACAAAGTTGTGCTACTGCGTTTTTCCACGACAAGCATACAAGCGGAGCCATGCGCTACCTCGCATGACAGAGCTCAGATTCATAGCACCCAAGCATGACAGAGTTCTTTGCAGCAACCTTCCAGACCCAGACACATTTGCAATGCATACGCGAGCGGTTTGGCCGATACTAGCACCGGCGGGGCCGATGCGGGTGGACAGCAACATATGGATGTGTCAGAGTTGAAATCGACCAAGTTGAAATAATTTGTCGTGCATAAAATGGATGCTAGTTGGAACCCAGTTTCCAAGTGGCGCATGACAAATTTCGGCGGTTCCTAAATCCAGTTTCTCATGCTGTTTAGGCAAAGAAGAGTGATTTTCTCATGCTACTTTAGCAGCTCGAGCTGTAACCCCAAACAGGCTTACAATCGGCCTCACTTGCCTGCTCTGTAACACACGCGCCTCGGGTCATGTACTTTTATGCATTACAAATTATTTCAACTTTGACGATTTCAAACCTGACGCTTCCATACAACACCAGCTGGTTGACGGCAATACGGACAGCTTGTCTATATGCATTGCAAATATGTCTGGGTCTGGAAGTTTGGAACTTGTGGTGCTAACTTTGAAACTCTAAAAAAATCTGTATTGCATGACCAGCAAGACGAGCCCAGTTTGTGCTACGCGGGGAGGTCATTTGTCATGCGGGATAGGCATCAGGAAGGCCTCTAAAAATATGTGATGCTAGAGCATGCATCACAGACATCATGGGTCATGCAAAATATGCATGACAAACCTTGCATCCTTCCAGACCCAGACATTTTTGCAGTTGATAGTCTACTTCCACCGACGATATCGCCGCCGAGAAATTTGGAACCAGCGATCTATCCAAGAAAAAACCTCTCGCTGATACTGTGCTTATGCTGTTTCTTGCAATAGTACACATGCGAAGATGAATAACTAGATGGATCTGACCATTCGTGACCCGCATGACAACTACAATTTTCTGCGTGACAGGTTATTTCTCTTGGATACAAGCTAGATCACCAGTACTACCGAGACGAGTTTGGGTTCGCGGCTTTCGCACAGAGTATGCCGTGGAGTTACACCATTGCAGTCGCACACGCTGTTCGCCGGTATCCTGCATGAAAAACTTACAGCTGAGAACCTTTTTCCAAGGAGAATGAGTAATAGTAATTGGCTCCGGAATAGCGAATACAATGAAACCTCTCATGCCAGCTGAGCAAAGCAGTCTGGGTTGTCATGCAATGTCCGGTATCACTATGGTACCAACAGCGTCTTGTATTGCGATTTCGAATTCTCGTGCATAAAGCGGTCTGCGCGGGGTTTCAAAGCCGGAAGCACGAGCGGAAGGCGGAGTTTTCTGGAGAAGGGATCCAGCACGGAGAGACGGCCGAGCGCGGGGTTGCAGATATGAACTGCAAATATGTCTGGGCCTTTGGGAGATTGCGGGATTTGTCATGCTAGTCTGGCTTGACGTTGACTCTGAGCTCTGTATTGCGTGCCCGCGAAGAGCTCCTCTTGTCTGTCATCGAAAAACGCAGTTTCTCATGCGGAGTACGCAACTCTGAACCAGGGAAAAACTTGTCACGCTGGGGAGCGCATAACGGTGTGGTGATTATTCCCTTCCTTGCATCACAAGTTTCCAGACCACCCAGACAGATTTGCAATGCATACCAGATGAGCTGGAACGAAGACGGGGAGGACTTTTCGGACTCGGACGTGGTAACAATCGAGTTGCACAAGATTCCCGGCAAGGACCTGCCCAAGGGGATCATATGATGTTAGATACCATTACAACTACCGAGGAGGTCTGCTGGGAGGTGCAGCAAGCACGCTACTCAATATCATGCGCGCAGCTACTTACAACGAGCACATAACTTTGGATTAAAACCAGAAATCTTGAACAAATACCGTTTTATTTTATCTAGATCAACATTATTGCAAGACGTCCAGAGACGACGGACAGGACGCTTTACTACAATCTTGGAACAAACTACGAAAAGTAGGGTCCGGCAATTGATACTGAAAGCGTTTTACTATGCGTGAAAAATGCGAAGCAATACAGAGTAGATCAGCTTGGACCATTTTTTTTCGAACTTGAGACAACAAGCTGTAAGAACAGCCCCAGTGCAAAAATTCTGACCCCCAAGCCGCACAGTTTTTCAAATAAAGGCCGCAAGAAGTGTTAATAAAACTCTGACGCCTCCACAGAGGAGGCAAGCTGCGCGGTGGGCGAAACAGCTGGACGGAGAGGGGTGAGAAGTAGAACGGCGGTGGGGTTGGCGTGCTGCGCGGGGAGTAAACTTACTTTGTAGTCGCACTTTTTTTCAGAATCCTAACTTTTTTTCATCACTCAGTAATAGTACATGTGTTGATCTGGTAACCAAATGCGTGCGCGCGCGCGCGCAGAGCGCGCGCCGGCCCACGAAGCCGGCGCGCGCGCTCTGCGCGCTTGCGATATTGCTTAGCAAACGCAGCGCGAAGGCAGTTGCCGTTACCATATAGGGCAACCGCCGGGAGGCGTGAAGGTCAGGGAAATGGCCAGAAATGAAGCGGGAGAAGGGAAAAAAAGCGGACCAGATAGGAAAATGTCCAGGAGGGCAAAAATGTCGCAAAAACGGCAGAAACCAAGCGGGAGAAGGTGAAAAAAGAGCATTTTTGCGGTTTGGCCCACTTGATAGCTGAAAAAGAGACGGACTGTTTTTTGCTCCGCCCGCTGGGCAGCTGCGTTGGAGAAGCAGGCCCGCGACCTGTCCGGAAGCCTTGGGCCGCTTCGTAACTGGAAAAAGTTGGAAAAAAATGGCAAAAATTTGCTTCATAACGTGGGCGGAAGCAATCGTCGGATTTTGTCCAGATCACCCGGGCCACTTGGAAAATGAGAAAAGATGAGAAATTGCGCAAAAGCGCAACCCTTCCGCAGGCTTCAAAACTGCCAGGCAGATGCGGGCGGTAAAAATGTGCAGGTCGCTGGGGCCACTTGGAAAATGAAAAAAGATGAAAAATTGCGCAAAAGCGCAATCCCTCCGCAGGCTTCAAAACTGCCAGGGAGATGCGGGCGGTAAAAATGTCCAGGTCGCCCGGGCCACTTGGAAACCAGAAAAAGAGAAAAAAATGCGCAAAAGCGCAATCCCTCCGCAGGCTCCGAAACTGCCAGGCAGCTGCGGTCGGTGAAAATGTCCGGAGCCCTTCGGCCACCTAAGAACCACAAAAAAGAGCGAAAATTGAAAAAAACCGAGAACCCTCGGCAGGCTTACAAACTGGCCGCCAAGGGCGGTCCGGCGGGCGCGTGGTCGCGCCATACCATCGGGATTGTGAAAAAAAAAACGCATTAGAAGCGGGCGGAGGGATGTCACAAAATCCCTATTTGCCCTGGTTTGTGGGCACAAATCCTGCACCTCCGCCGCGTCTGAAATGCCCGATTTTGGTGGCCCGGAAGGGTCCGCGGAGATTCGGCTTTCCGCATACCTTCTTGGCCAGGAGGCCAGTTTGTCATGCAGGGGGCTAGAAAGGATGCCCCGCTGCGAAATAGCAGACCGGATTTCGCCTTCAAAGCTTATCGCAGGAGCCTGCGGGCCGCCGCGGGCGACAGTAGTTGTCCGCGGCCCTTTGTGCTCGCGGCCCTTTAGGGCCGCGACCGCAAACTGCGGCCCGCGGCTCAAGAAGAAGAAGTGGGATTCTAGATTAGAAGAAGAAGAAGAAATGGTGGTGGCAGCCGCGCGGCGAAAGCGCGGCCCGCAGGGCCGCGCTTTCGCCGCGCGGCTGGTTTGCCTTTCGCGCTGGTTAGATTTTCGCGCACGCATTTGGTTACCAATATCGCCCTCCGGGCGCGATCTTCATAATATCTCATGAGCAAAAATCATGAATGTCTTGTACAATTTTTTTCTCCGATGCGAAGCGGAATTTGATGAACTGAAAAAGTATATTCTTAAAGAATGAAAAATCAGAAAAAATGAAACTCACGCCTGAGGGCGGCAATATCCTAGCACGAAAGCGAAGAAGTTTTGGAAAGTCGTTTCAGCTGTCCGGAGTTTTTAGTCTTACACCCCACCAGCGCTAAGTAGTGGCCGACTCACAGTTGTTTCGCAAATGCGCAAAAAAAAAGCGAGCGATGGCTTCGATGAGCGTTTTCTGTTTTGGAAGAGAAGGAAGTACTTTTCGTGCGGATCAAGGAAAAAGTTTTGCTACTGTGCCTTCTTTTTTCATCCCACTGTCCAAAATCGGCCGAAGCAGCTGACCGCGACTGGAGATGTAATTGTAACCCACAAATTGCAACAGGACCTCTTTTGCTTTTTTTCTTGCAATAAAAAATCACTCCCTTTGTTTTGTAAAGATAGCTTTTAAAAAAAGAAAAGAATTTCGATTGTCTGATCACTTGCCGATCAGGGTTACTGTTTTTTTTTTTGCTCAGACAAAAGAAGATGCACACAGATCATTTCTTGAGGTGGCAGCCTCGCTGCGCCTTTTGCTTTTTCGTGCTACGATATTGTTCAGAAGATAAACTGCGATTTCACTTTTGTTGTAACTAAAGTTTCCATGATATTGTTGGCGACCCATTTCTTTTGAATTCTATTTCAGGCAGTAAAAAATTGCCGACTAAAATGTTGACCGAGGTGGATACCAAAAACTTCGAGAAGAGCGAAATCGAAACATGATCGAGATTCTGAATGAGTTCGACCCTCCCGTGCAACCTCGCACCAGCGACGAGGAACAAGAGGCGGCGCTTTTCTGCAAGCCCGTGCTACAAAGTGCCACTGCTAAAACGGCGGTGGTAAAACAGCTCCCACCCAGAACTTCTACTGCGCCGGGTGGGCCGCACAACAACGGGAGATCGACGACGCCCCAAAATTGTACCTTGCTGACAACTAGTACGACCACCTCCGCGGCCACGCGCGGCAAAGACGGTCGAGATGAAGTCACTTTTCACCCGTCGAGTCCGACCCCTGTGACGACCGTCACATCAGACGAGAAGAAAGCGCGGATTGCGGCACTGACCAAGGAGCTGCTGCACCTGCTTGGGGAAGACCCCGACCGCGAGGGGCTGCAAAAGACCCCGGAGCGGGTGGCGAAGGCCTGGTTGGAGATGACGAGCGGGTACCGGGAGAATTTGGCCGAAATTGTCAACGACGCGGTGCTACGCTTTGGGAAAGCTCTAAAGTGTAGTGGCGTTTTGACTCGTGACCGGACGTTGTGAGTTGTAATTTTTGCATACAGAAAGTTTGTATGATTTTGAACTACTTACTCGTTTATTTGCTGCTATAGCGGCCCGTCATCGTCAAAAAAAATGTTTTTTGTCGACGTGGACCGAAGAGCAGCGCCAGTTCTGGCTATAAAGTTCGCTTCCTGTTTTATGCTTTTTTTGTTTTCCACACGAGTTTACGCTCCCGAAGAAACTAGTACCTTCCAGACACTCAGAATGCAAAGTGCTTTCCACTGCATAGTCTTTCGATCTCGAAGACCGTGTGGACGAAGAAGAAAAGCGAGGAGTTGTCCAGCAGAAGTACGACGGAAACGATGACAACCAAGATTTGCAGAACAAACTCCGCGACCAAAAAGTCATCCAGGGGCGGAGGTGGTCTTCTGCGATTGAGGAGGACCCAATCATGAAAGACGAGAGAGGAACCTTCAACCATGCAGCCCGGAACTACCGGAGGTATGATCACGACAGAAGTCCTAGCCGAGACCAACTACCTGATTCTTCTTTTTCAGCGCCGTCGGGCGGGATGAACTACGGCGTCGCAACAAACAACTCCTGCTCCTCAAGAGTACTCTCCACCTCCGCCTCCTCGTCCGGCGGACCTTTCTCCGAGCAGAAAAGTCAACACAACATGGTGGTCTTGACCGACATCGCGGTGTCCTCCATCTGCGAGCATCATCTTCTGCCCTTCACCGGGCGGGTCCACGTTGGGATTCTGGTCCACGACAAGGTGTTGGGGTTGTCCAAGGTGCCCAAGATCTGCGAGATGTATGCCAAGCGGCTACAGGTGCAGGAACGACTGACGAAAGACATTGGCCTCGCGGTGGCCGAAGCGGTGGGTAGTCGCGGCGTTTTGAGAAAGCGCGCTCGTGCTGAAGCAGGAGCTGCAGTGGGTTCATCTTCTTCCATCATCACGGGCACGGCCAATGCTCTTTCCGACGCTTCAACAAATAAAACGGGGGCGAAACTGACTGCACAGAGGGGAGGTGAAGCAGCCCAACAGCAGGCGCCACTTGACAACTTTGCTTTCATCAAAAAGCAGGCGCTACAACATCAGACTGCATTTAGTCGCGAAACGGAGGAGAAAGAAAAGGACAAGGACGCCCGCAGTGAGCTTTCCGCAACTAGTGTGACATCGAGCGTAGACTCGACCCGACCGCCGTCGACTATGAAAGAAATCATTCCCCCGCTGGGAAGTCCTTAGTGAGGTGGGAACAGGACGAAGAATGACTTGCATATGCATGATGAAAATTCATTAGAAATGATCGTCCCAGCTGCTTAAACGTAGCAGCATAAGGATTTGTTGCGAACTGGCTTTTTAGTTTTACACCTACCCTGGTGTCGAACTCGAACAGCATGCAATGAAGACGTTCTTGATGATGTTGCAAGAACAACAGCGCAATACTAGAACGAAGTAGTCTTTCCACCTGTAGTCACAGTGAGGATCTCCCTTCGCACCTCTCACTTCTATATCGACGAGTTGTGACGGAAGCGACCAGTTTTCCACGAAAGCCTCGCCCTCAGCTACGAGCCCGGAGGTGTTGAACGGATCGCCCACAGTAGAAAGCGAAGAGGTGGAGTCCTCTTCTGCAGACAAGACTTCTATCACAGAGGACAAGCGAGGTTTTGCTAAAGCGTATCAGATGACATTTACTCGTGTCATACACGAAAAACGCTCCATAGCCCATAGCATTGCCGCTCCCCCAATGCTAGCCCCCTCCCTCGATGCTAGCAAGCTCATGATGATGTACTGAACAAGGAGTGACTTTTCAGAATTTTGCAGCAGGCGGGGGATACTTAAAGGCTCCACCTTTTTGAAGAGCGGTTGTTCATTGCACACGTTTTTGCATGTTTCCCGTACTGCAGGGCAGATGAGTCTACTTCGTTGGTAGTACGTTAGTGAAAACCTGGTGCGTATTGACTGTGATAATTTCCTCCAACACGGGCGTCGCGGTCTTGTTCACGCATGCGCTGCACACGTGCATGTGCGCCCGAGGAGCAAAGGCGGTCACCTGTATCAAAGTTGAGAACCTCCGTGCAAAAAGCCCGTCTCATGGTCATGTCGATTCCGAACTAGGATTAGGAAATCGAATGCAACTTCCCCTCCTTCGACCCGCGCTGCTTTGTTGCGAAACAACAGGTATTGAACGAACGTAGTGCAGAACTTACTACCACAACAGAAATGAGGAGTCAAAATTGATAAAATCAAATTCAAAGAAGTACAAGAAGGTTTTATTTCGTTGGGTTTTCACTTTGATAGGGTGCCGCACGTCAACCAGTTTTTACACCGGGCTCTTCGAAACCGACGCGAGCTTGCGATATCGAGATTTGAAAAATCCAAGAACCCCAGAGTGAGTACTGACATTGCAGTCATGCATTACAAATCTTTATCTGAAGGCAAATCCGCATTACAAATTGAGACCGGTACGTGCTGAGGCCCAGACTTTGAAACACGACGGCACGGTGAAGGTTATATTTTTAGCGTCGAGCATACCCTCGGGGAAAACAGGGGGCCCCCGCCCTCCCGCCTCTCGCCCGCTCGGTAGCCTCCCCACAAGGGGGCCCCCGTCCCCGACTCCCGCCCTCCCGCCCGCAGGGGGGCCCCGCCTCCGTCTTTCACTGCCCACTTACAGGGGGCCCCCGCCTCCTTGATCGCCCCCCCACACAACCTTTCGCCAGCTGGGCATCGCGGGGCGCCGACCGCTGGTACCGCGCCTGCAGGGGGGCCCATGCCTCCTTCTTTCACTTCCCGCGCCCCTGCAGGGGGGCCCCCGTCCCCGGCTCCCGCCCGCAGGGGGTATCCTGCCTACAGGGGGCCCCCGCTTCCTTCTTTCACCGCTCACGCGCAGGGGGCCGACGCCCCCTTGCCCGTCCCCCCTCACACCCTTTCGCCCGTTGGGGGCCCGCCTGCAGGGGGGCCCCCCGGCTCCCGCCCTTCCGGCCGCTGGGTACCGCTCGTGCAGGGGGGCCCCCGCCTCCTTGCTTGCGCGCAGGAGGCCCCCCCGCCTCCTGCGGGCTGCCGGCCAAAAGCGGTCTCCTGCCCTCCCGCGGGGGGCCCCCGCGGCCCTTCTTGCCCACACGGGGGCTCCGCCTCCCTGCCGCCCCCGCCCGAAGGGGGCCCCCACTTCCGCCGTATCAGGTCCGGAACGGGCCTCCGCCTTCTTAGTTACCTGCCTGAAAGGGGAAAGTTTGGTGGGGGCCCATTGTCCTGCTCGTTTGGATGTCCTGTTCGTTTGGATGGTTGCTGCCTTGCTGGCCGACTCCGCCCGTTTTTCGCCGCGGGCACGCAAGGGGCCGCCCACTTGCGGCGCGCCCGGCTCTCGGGCCCCGCCCGCATGGGTGGTTGGGGGGGGGGGAGTGTTGTGGGTTGCCCGCTGGTCCGCTATGTATCGCGAGGGGGTGGCGGAACTGGAGCTATTGTGCCCGCGGGCCTCAACACGGACCTAACCAGTGCGGGGCTTGTGTGTGTTGGGCACAGCTATTGCGCCCGCGGGCCTCACCACGGACCTAACCACTGCGCTGCCTGCTTCTGTTGGGCGGCTGGCCGGTCCCCTCGTTGGTGACTGTTCTGGAAGTGGTCCGCTCGTCCTCCCGGGGGGCCGCAACCGCACTGGGCGGGGCGCCCGCGCGCGGCGCCGACGGGCGTGAAAGCGTGCCCAGCAGTAGGGTTGTTGCGCAGGCTGAAGGGAAAGAGTGGGGCGTTGGCAATATTGTATTGCGAAGGCGGGCTGGGTGATTGGTTGCCAATACGGCAGTTGTCAAGATGGTTTGGTTGGTTGTCAATACGCCAGAACGACAACTCCTTCGCGTGGCGTCAACAACGGGCGCGGGGCAAATCCAAACCCCACCCGAAACAAGGAGCCGCCCGCGTGGAGGACACGCATGCAGGATTTTAGCTCCCTAGCTACCACAAACTGTAGCCACCGCTCTTGTAGCGTATCGCAATTCCCAGCGCCATACGATTTTACGCACAGGGCTTGTCTTGTTTCGGGTGGGGTTTGGATTTGCCCCGCGCCCGTTGTTGGCGCCACGCGAAGGAGTTGTCGTTCTGGCGTATTGACAACCAACCACGACAGTATGTATATGGCGCACAGTGACAACCACAAGAACCCGAGAGACATTCCGCGCGACAGGCAAAGACCAGCAGTGCGGTGGGGAATACTGCCCGCATGCGCCGCCGCGCGCACTACGCGCGCGGGAAGATATTGACTGCAGACGCTGGCGCCACCATGTGCCAGGGCACGCAGTGCGCTGAGCAGTCGGCGCCGTGCTGTTAGGACGTGCGGACTCCGACCCGCGTCGGCGAGGGCAGCCAAGGTAAAAGTAGACACGCGCGCGGGCGATAAGCGGAAACACTGCCCACATGTGCCGCGGTGCGGGTCGCGATTCCCAAACGTTGCGGTCGCGACCGACAAACCACGGAAACCGACTCCGGTCGAAAGCCGGCGCGTACCATCGCGATTCGAGATAAAACCGCAGCGCTTGTTCCGATTTGTGTCACGGCGAGACACATCGTGAAAAAAAGGCCGTGCCGTCGTGATTCGGCTGCGCGACTTGTGCGAAATATCGCGGAAAACCAGGAAAAAGCAACTCCGCAAACAGGGCCCGTAGTAGCGCGATTCGCGACACAAGTGTTAGGCTTTTGCGCGATTTTTTGCACGGTGCAAAAACTCGTGCAAAAGAGGTCCTACCATCGCGATTAGCATAGAAAACAAAGCAACTTTTGCACGATTTTCACCAGTTTCACGACAAATCCCGGGATTCGGGAAATCCCGGGATTCCGGAAAGGCGTGAGTAAAAGACAAAAGCAAAAACCAGAAGACTTTGAAGGGCCAACCCGCATGGTATGGCGCGCGTAGGCTACTGAGATCCTTATAATTTCGCAGTGTAACAAAAGCCGTTCCACGAGGGCACCGCGCCCGGGTATATACGCAAGGTTTGACCCCAATCACGATGGTAGTGCAAATAATTCTGGGCCTCAGCGCGTACCGTTCTGTACAAATTTTATTTTTCATGTTGAGGAAATTTGTCATCACAAATCCATTGCAGCGTCGCAGCAGGACCTGTCGGGACAAATTATTTTGCAGAAATATATACAATCAACAGATCTACTTCCTTTCATTGAGTCTGGGGGACTGGGTTTTTTCCTCATGATACGCGAGCCGAGTTTCTCTGGATGGTGCAGTTGCAGCTGCTGCGCTGAAAATCATGTGTCACGAGACAATATTGCTGCTATACAGCAGGTGGCACTGCAGCTGTGGTGGAGTCCCGGCTACAATAAAAATGGTCGTGCCATAGCCATCAAACCAAAGTTTTGAAAAGCGACACGGAAAGAAAAAGGAGCAGCACGACGTGCAGAAATGACTTAAGTAGCTTGGTCAAGATTCACCATTTGGCAAAAAAAGTGTTCAAGATACGAGTGGCAACCTCGTTCATTCTTGCCGTTTAGAAAATAAACAGTTTATCATGCTGTTGCAGAAGATCAAGAGGCATTGTTTCGCACGTCCGCGCCCTGTCTCGTCGTATGTCGTTCAACATTCATTCGCACTTGGCGTCCATTTCCTTCGTGCAATCAGAAATCTGAGTCGTTCGTCCTGAAGAAAAATATTCAGACGTCGTCGTGTCGCATAGATATTCAATGACCAGCGCAACTACCTCGCGCCCGAAGAGTTTATCCGTCATTTCGCACGGGAAAGTGCAAGTCGTACACCTATTCCATTCTCAGCCACCTGGTCTCAGTTTGTCTCTACTTCCAGTTCCACCTCACTGGGAGTGTGCCTTCCCTTCCCCTAAATACGTAATAAATACGTACGTTGTCTCAATTTACTTATTTGTTCACGCGTAGTCAGAAAGTAGAAGTACGTAATAATCACCAGCCATCACTAGGAGCAAAGATCCCACAGCGAAGGACGACGACGACGACTGATGTAAACTTACTAGAAGATCTCCTTCGCGACGCGCTTCTTTTTTAAAGCTTTTTTTGTCTTCGTTCCCACTGTTCATCGGGAGATCTATTTGACAGCAGAAGTTGAAGTGCTGTACTTCTTTACTTCTTGCGCGCCACAGACGTGTGGAACGAATCCGCTGGGGGCAGCATTAGAGCGGTAGAAAAAACCCCTGCGTACGTTGTTTTCTCTGTTCGCTTTTTGGAAAGCGAGTAGACAGTGGTAAGGAAACACGCAAAAGACCGGAGGTTCTGTCATGTTGTCTGCAACACCCGACAAGAGCAAGCGAGCCGGCAATTTTCGCCGCGCCGTTCTTGCGGCACGGTTGGGGTGCCTCCTGCAGCCGAGCGTGATTGTTTCGGATCTCGATGGCATATTGAACCAGCAGAATGGGGTCTTGGTGCGGGCACTGCAGCTGCAGCAGAAAAGCAGACGAGCGGAAACGATGGCGCGCACCGGCGCGCAACGGACTCAAGCCGCCCTAGGACACTGCGCAACGGGAAGGTTGTTGGCGCATAGCAAGGGTAGCTGCGCAGGCAACGGGGAATTTCTGCGACGCGGAAGCTCCGGAGGTTACAATTGGTGCCGGAGGCAATGCGATATAAAACGCAAAAAAGATGATCATGTCGTCTGCCATTTGTCAGGCGGGTTTCAGAAAACGCGGGAAGCTTGTTTTGCCGTTCTGTGGCTTTTCCAAGGGCCAATCTTGATGAGGCCACTCCACAATGCATGAATATAACTACGTTGCTCGAGTTGAGAAATGGATGCGGCGCCGCGGCTAACAAGTAGTCGTCACTTGGTAAGTCGATGCATAGTCTATCGTGCCGCTTGGCTAACAAGTACGTACGCCGAGCATCCCGTATTTTCTGTTCTTCCCGATCCGGACATTTTTGCAGAGGATATGAAATCAAGACAGCGAGTGCAAGTTTTTTTGGGTTTCGAAGTACGACGATGAAGCGGACAGCCGGTGCACGCTCTACAAGGCGTGCACTGTAATGGAAGATTCCGCTGATTATCAAAAGTGCCAAAATGTTGCTGCAGACGAAGCCAAGCTCCAGCAAATAGCACAGCAAGACAGAGGCATTTCCCCCTGCGACGCGATATACGAGTGCATCGAGCCATGCGTTGCAAACAGCAACGGCTGGCTGCCGAGCTGCGGCGGGTCCGACGTCGACTGCGGCACGTTCATGGATATGAGTGACCTGGGAGAGAGCAACCAATGCATGGTTGACGTGACCCAAAGCGGACTGACTGTGCCTCCCGCGGCGACCGCTACAGGATGGTCCCAGCACTCTCGCGAAGGCTGCGAGGCCGCCTGCGTCGAGCTGGGCGACGAGTGCGCCGGCATCGTGCAGTACGGTGCGGACCTGTGCGGCGTGCTGAGGACCAATGATGCGAACAATGCAATCACATCGGGGAACGACCTCCAACTGGTACCCTCCGCTACGTCCCCGTACGAGTGGAAGGGCATCAGTCGGTACTGCGGGACCTGTTCGGCGGCGGAGGACACGTGCGCAGAAAAAAGCAGCGTCTGGCTGCCGGAGTGCGGGGCAGGAGGTGTTGAGGACTGCGGGACATTTAAGACGTTGCTGGCCGACGGCGAAGACCAGAACTGCTGGGTGAAAATCAGTCCCGCGTTCGCCGATTTGGTTCTGCTCAGCCCTCAATACGCTCCAGACAAAGCGCACGATGAATGCAAAGCTTTGTGCACAGGGGCGCCAAACTGTGTCGGGTTTGCGGAGTACGAACCCCGGGAAAACAATCCAGCCGGGAAGCGCTCCTGCGCCCTGTACAGCTCCGCGGCTGGTGAAGCTGACGACTTCGCAAACGGGAACAGCCTGACTCTTTCGAAAAAGGTCGGCCATGCGGGGGACTGGAAGGGCATCAGCCGCTACTGTGGGGCCTGTCCAACTATGCATTGCAAATGTGCAGCTGTCTGGGTTTTGAAAGGTGCAAACTTGTGGTGCTCTCTGCCGATGACAGAAAAATACAGATCTGTCAACATGCATGACGAAGACGAGCAAAAGGCCGGAATTTTTGGCCACGCTGCGAGCGGAATGCTCATGCGGCGTAAAATCGTACAGCTCTTGCAGAGGTAGAGCGAACTGTGGCACTAGTGCTTGCATACCAGACTTTTTTGGGCATGCAAAAGCGGCATTACAAACAGCTGCAATCTTTCAGACCCAGACGCATTTGCATTTGATATCAACTTCTACGGCCGCGCCTCCTGCGACCCCGGAGCCAAGCGACGGAACCGTATCCCCCATGAAATAAACGTCCCCGCCAGTCTATTTCCTAGTATAGGTTGTTCATCGTTCTCGTTGGTATTGCGTCACGCGGCCCACCAGAACTTACTGCTCCTTTCATGCGGAACTTAGAATAGTACTAGATCCTCACGAGACGAGGCCAGCTGGGGTGTCGTTTGCCCAGAGAAGTACTTCAACTTCTAGGGGTCGTATGTTGTCCCAAAATAAATCAAGTCAAAAACGAGGACGCAAGGTAGTGCTGCGGCCGCGCGAGCGAGGCGCTGCCACGCTGCGGACCCAGACTTGCTCTGCGTACTGACCTTCTTGATTCCACTTGATAAATTGTGTGTAGCAGAAGAACGTACAAGAGAAATAGGGTGGGGACGATGTTTTGAATCAGGATACACGACTGGGACGAACACGACTGGGAACAACACAACCGACACCTCAAGCACCACTGTTGATTATGCAATGCAAATAGGAGATTAGGGCCATTGGGATAAATTATAAATACTTAAATAGACGCATCATCTACAGATTGTTCCCGCTAGTAATGATCCCGTCAGTTGGTGGATAAGTCATTCTCTCACTGCTCACTCCTCTCCGCCGATCTACTTGTCGGGACGATTTTCAGATTTGTTGAAAATCTACATGAAGTTGTACTAGATTATGTACAAGCAGCGATCTTCAAATAAATTCGAATCCGCTTCGAGAGTCCTGATCGGTATTTGAACTGCATACTGTTGTGAGCACCGTGACGCCCGAGTGCCCGTCTGCGCCATATCAAATGCAAATATGTCTGGGTCTGGAAGAAGGCAACTTGTGATGCAGCGTTCGGATTCCAAAAAAATCTGTATTGCATGAGCAGCAATAAGGGAGTGTAATTTTTGCTATGTGGAGAGGGCATTTGTCATGCGGAATAGGCATCAAGAAGCCCTCAAAAAATCTGTGATGCTAGGGCGTGCATCACTGACACCATGGCTAATGCAAAACGTGCATGACATGTTTCAGAACCTTCCAGACCCAGACAGATTTGCAGTGCATACGCCAACCGAGGTTGCTACCGGCACCGTGACCTACGAGAAAATCGTGGAGGCGAAATATTCATTGCAAATTACTTGTCCTCTGGGTCTGAAAAAATGTTGTTATGAGGCTAATCCTAATTCGTCACTTCAACTTCAACATTAATACACCGGCAAGCGTGATGAATTGTGGCGTGTTTGACAAGCTGCATGATAAAAAAAAAACAGGATTGCGCTTTTCGGAAGCAGGCATGCAGGCATGACAGATGCATCTAGAAGAGACCACGTGCCCGCCAGGCATGCCAAATCCTTCCCTATTCACAGACCCAATAGACATCCTTATTTGCAGTGGATACGAGAAGCCCGAGTGAGCACATGGCGGCAAGCCCAGACGGCCAGGTGAACCTCGACTCGTGCGCGACTGTTTGCGGCGCAAAGCGCCCGGAGTGTGCGGTTTTTTCGTACTCGGCGGAGGACGAGAAATGCAAACTTCACACGCAAGCCCAGTACGACAGCGCGCCCACCGCTGCCGGCAACGAAACGCTGAGCGTACTTTTTTGCAAAGAAGCAAAATTTACACCGGCGGCGAAAGTGGTCGACGGAGGAGGAGGAGGAGGGGAACAACCTGGCCCTGGTGCTGGTGGGGAGCAGAATCTCGGTGCAGTAACCAAGAAAAAAAAACTGTGTGTAGTCCAGCTTTGTATGGATCGTCACGTCGGTGCAGCACTTTTATATTAACTCGCAGCACCTTGTGCTTGTTCCTCAATAGCCGCACACTTGGCATGTGAGGTGTAGCTACCACTTTTGTAATCGTAGCCTTTTCGCGCGCCACCTGACCGTGATGAATATTCATTCACTTCTAAAGATGCGCGCTCGTGCGCACCATCGCTTGCAACATCAACTCCGATGACGGAAGAAACAGAAAAATAGCACTTTTGGGACCCTTTTTTGTGCCCTTTTTAAGTCACCAGGGCCATCATAGCATGCGAGCTAGGCAATTCATAAGGTCAAACAAAGATCCAGAAAAATGGAGCAACGCGCCCTGGTGGCCGTTCTGTCTAAAATTTATCTTGGTTGCTTCGAGGTGAGCAAGGCCGTGCGTTCGCGCCTCGGGTTAAAGCCTTCAACTACACTTCGCAAAAGCTCCGCAATTGCGCAGCAGTTCGTGCTCATGCAAATTTACATATTCTCTTGCAGTGTCGCATTAGCTTGTCTCTACACCAATCAAGAGCGCTACCCATGACATCATATCATACGCTGACCGGATGCGGTTTGCTGCAGGTCCTCCACCTGCCTAGCGGTATCGTCCATCCGTGCCCTGCGCGCACTAGCAACCTCCCCTCGTTCACGCGCAGATCTCGGCGCGCCACCGCGCGCGCGACACAAAGAGGGCATCCAGTTACCGAACTGACGCTCCCACCCCGCACAACCTGCCCGCCAGCGTGTCGTGCAGAATATTGTCAAACCGGCAGTAGGGGGAGAAACCCCTACTGTTACATCTTGTTTTTCCCTTTCTTACAATCTAGGGCGCAGCCGGCTGCACCCGGCTGCCTACACATACTCTCCAGGGGCCCCGTGCAGAGGGCCCCGCTCTCGACGGGTTTCTACTAAGTTGGCTCCTTGAGCCAAAATGGCTACGGCTCGTGCTCGTGCTCACCACAGCTTGCAACATCAACTCCGAAGACGCAGGACATCAACTCCTATTTCTCATGATGATTTTATTGGTGATTCCCTTGTCAAGGGACAGGACATCAACTCCGAAGACGCAGGACATCAACTCCTATTTCTCATGATGATTTTATTGGTGATTCCCTTGTCAAGGGACAGGACATCAACTCCGAAGACGCAGGACATCAACTCCTATTTCTCATGATGATTTTATTGGTGATTCCCTTGTGGGCGCGCAACTTAGCAAAGCTCACAGCTGCAGCAATTCAAAAACACCAGCAGCGCGGCTCCACCAAGGTGCTAGCACTCGCCAGCGTTTGCGCCCTCTTTTTTTTTCCCGGAAAATTCCTAGCAGGAGCGGACGCGGCCTCTCGGGCGCGCCTTTTCGAGCGCGCCAGGCGGCCACGGCCGGGCCCCCTTTTGGCCCCCTTTTGGATTTTCCCGGAAAATTCGAAGCACGAGCTAAAGAACCCCATTCGACCCCACTTTTTCGCATGGAAAGTGGCCCACTTTCTGGGCCGGAGGCCTCCGGGGGGGGGGCGTCCCAGACCCTCCCGCGGGGGGGGCTTCTCGGAGTTTTCCCGGAAAATTGGAAGCACGACGGCACGGACACGATTTGGAGCCCCCCAACCGCCCCCCCATTCAGGGCCCCTCCGGACCCCCCCTCCGCCCCCCCCTCCCGAGTTTTCCCGGAAAATTGAAAACGCGCAGAGCCATCGTGATTGGTGGTGTGAATCATCTGAAACCGCACCTGAGGCGGCAAACCAAGTGCCTGAGTTGAGGTCGGCTGTGGCATCTTCGCTAGGGTGCTCCTTCGGCAATTCGTCGAAATATTGGAAGGCGCAGGGGCCGGGCGTGGGGCCCCTAGGTAAAAGCGACCCCTAGCCATTGCAAGGGCTAAATCTGGGACGCCCCGCCGCATGCTGCCCGGGCTTTTAGTCGTATAACATTGGCTTGGTGCAACACGCCTACAGGGCGGCGGCCTTCCCAGGAAGGACATCCAGACGCCCTCCCTGCAGCGCGAACAGATCCGGCCGGGGCAGCGTGTGTCAACGGTGCTTCTTGATATAGTGAGGCAGCGATGGAGGGACGATTTTTTTTCAATTTTCCCAATTCCCAGAAAATTCCACTTAGTATCGTGCTCACCACAGCTTGCAACATCAACTCCGATGACGCAGGACACTGAATTGGTATGCTCGTGGGCCCGAACAGGACCCCGAAGGAACCACCCCCTACCCCATTCATGCCTCGCGAAACGTCCTCGCGTCGAAGAGGAACTTCTTATTGTCGTGCAGCGATCTTGGGCATCAGCATCACAACAGCACAGGCACATCTTGTAGCAATTTTCATTCCACGCTACCGATCGCTTTCGTTGCTAGCATCGGTTTGCTCACTCTGCCTTGCCCTTGTTGATGCAGCTGCATCTACTTCTTGCAGCGCGGCAGGCCGCTCTTTGTGCACCACTGGCACCCAGGGCCACTCGGCCTTTGTATCACTATCTTTTCTGATCTGTGGTTCCTTCTTCATCGGAATTCCGCTGCGCAGCCGGCGGGTTTTCGCAACCCATATGCCACCTCCGCCGAGCCTATTAGTTCGCTAATGTAGACGGTAAGCGTACTGCTTTCTGGGGTTTATCCAGGTGTCGCCTGCCCGGGTCCTGGATTACGTCCACTCGGTGGGTGCCCTACCGGCACAGTGTTCCTCTTCAGACAGCACGGCATGGTCGATTTCGCCTCCGTTTTCATCTGTGATCCCGCCGCAGCATTCATCACTCCGTCATGCCTGGGAGTCACCCGGATGACCGGCCCCTGGGCTTGTCCGGTCAGTCATATGCTTCCTTTCCGGTCAATCATAGGCTTGACATGTCAATCAACTCGGAATTCTTTGACCGTACATGCTCCTCGCAAAAAAATCGGTCCTCGTTGGCGTGGAACCCAGGTCGCGCTCGTATAGAAGTGCGCGCTCGTGCGCACCATCGCTTGCAACATCAACTCCGATGACGCAGGACAGCGCCAGTACCTTGCCGAGCAACATCAACTTCGCCGACGCCAGCGCCTTGTACTCCTCCGGCCCCAGGCCGATCAGACCGGCGATGGAGTGCCCTAGAAAAAAGCAGAAACGGGACCAAGTCCTGTCATTCCATACTGCCGCGCACAGCGGCATGAAATATGAAGAAGCTGATAAAAAACTCCAGAGAATCAGCAACCGCAGCTCCGGCCCCGTTAGGCGGCGCAAAGCCGCCCACGCTTGCAGCTCGGCTTTGATTCTACTCCACCCGATGCGCGCCCCGATGGAGTTCCAGAGCGCGTTTGACATAGACATATCCGTTGCCAGGGTGTAGCCGACCATAATTACCGACGGCTTGACGGTTGGCGCGTTGCCGAACGGCGCAAAATGCTGAGCCAGGAGCTCGGAGAGCCTGGCCAGGTGTTTTCTTCCTTCCACGGTAGGCGTCTGGCTCACGCGCCAGGATGGGTTTCCAGCCATCGCTTCAAATTTTGCCTTCGACGAATATTGTCGCATGCGGGATCTGAAGATGTGCTCTTCGTACTTTTTGAGCGCATCCAACATGCGCGCCAGGTTGTCGCTGCCGTGCACGTCCCGAGCCATGTCGACTTTGAAGGCCTGGCCCCGGTCGTCAATGCACGTCGCGATGACGTGCGCGGGCTTGTGCAAGAGATTGTCCACGCTAGCGACAAGGCCGCGCAGACCAGTTATTCTTTCTTCAGGTCCTAGTTTGTTAGTCTGCACCGGGGGCGTCACCGCGTTAGCGAAATACGCGGGGTGGACGTCCGTCGCAATGTTGTAGTCGCGCCTCGTCTCGTTACAATAAAACTCTCTGAGACAAATTCGATAAGTCGTGGATTGTGCGTGTGTTGTTCCCTTGTTCTGGGGAAGTAGGAGATGCGCTGGGGTTAACCTCCCCTGACAACCTCCCACGTCCCATCAGCCTGCTTCGCAAACCAGGCTCCCTCTCCTTTCCATTCTTCCTTGCCCGTATTCTCACAGAAGGAGGTGCTGTCCGCCACAAAGTCGATCGCTTCTGCGCTGTTATCGCCTAACACCCGCCACGACGACCCGTTCCTGCCGTTCTGCTCCCACTTTTTCCCGGATATTTTCTCTATTACCGCCCGGCGCGCCGCTTCCTGTTCTCACTCGTGCTCACCACAGCTTGCAACATCAACTCCGATGACGCAGGACACTGAATCGGTACTGCTATGCTGGACGTTGTTTCAGGAGTCCAAGCGTTGACCTAACGTGTGCATCAACCTGAGGCATGTACTACGCAATAGTTTTTTTCATGGATACCGAGCCCCGGAATTTCAATGCTGCTAACGCTGAGATGCTCGTCGTTGTCGGAGAGGGATGAAAGAAGAAAGTAGAAGAGAACAAAATTTTTTTGCTTCATGCTTTAGGCATGAAGCAAAAAGCAAAAGCAGAACAGACAAAAACTAGCTGCTCTCTCTAGAGCTTCACGCTTTAGTCCGTTTATAACTTCTTTCGAAAGAAAAAGTTTTTTCAACTCGAACAAACGAAAGCTGTACAGTTAAGCATTTTTACATGCCGCACAAACGTAAGAAAACTCGCACTATGACTCTTCGCATTTTTTTCAGTGTCACTTTTCAATATAGTACGTTGGCTTTTTTCTCTTTCAAATTTTTTTCACAGTTGCAACTGCTTTTTCAACAGCACGTTCACAATTACAACAAGACTTCGCATGCACTGCTTTCTGAAAAGACTTACTAAGATCCACATTTTTTACAGTAACAATTTTTTTTCGCGCATTTAGGTGAAAGAAGAGGAGAATGTAAATCAACCGTTGTTATGTGCCTTGTTCCCTCTGTGATTAATATCTTTCGTAAACGTAATCGTAGTTTCACCCCCATAATATTCCCGAGCAACCTCAGACATCCCGCCGCACCCGCTAGTACATTATGAACCCCCCCCCTTTCCCACAGAGAATACCGCGCGAACAGCTCGTGAGTTTCATGCAACATTTATTTCCACGCTTCCGCTTGAAGACAACGTAGAACTTTTTGTCCCCTACGTTGCTTCTTGCTGATCCACGTTGCATGAAAAAACAGTCCGTGTGGAGGATGAAACAGAAGCGGAATCCGAAGAACTACATCTGCCTTATGCAGGAGAATGACAAGAAAGGATTTCGTACTCTGTAGTCCCCCCGACGACCCAAGAATTCAGATCGGAGCCCGATGAAAGACGGATGAAGACGACGCTGGTATTCCGCAACCCGGTATGCCGTCGCTTCACATGACCAGTTCCCCATGCAAATTATTCTGAAACAAACACAGTTGCTGCTTCGGGCGAGCGCGTTGGTGGTGTTGCTGTTTTCGTCGTCTTGTACTTCTTCTAGAGTTCTTGTTTGTATTATCTACCATCTCTCGTTGTCGTTCTATGCTATGCAAGAAAGCTGCGGCTTCATCATCGTATCTTCTTTCCACGCCAGTGCGCAAAGCAGTTTGCTCTTGCCGTTCTCTCTCGCTTGGTACGCCGTTTCGCTCGTTCCGTGACCTTCGTCCGTGTCAGTTGTCTTTGTTGAAGCCTTCTAGTCGGCGACTGTTCGTCCTTTATCGTGCCTGCAGATGCGACTACAGAGCCCCTGCGTTGTATCGTCTAATTCACGTCTTCAGCCGTAGTTCCCGTTTTACTTCATCGTTTTATGGGTCGACTAAAAAGAATTACCTATGAATGAGAGCAGCAGGTTTTGAAAATAGATGCTTACCCGGTCTGTAAGTGTGTATTAAGTACTTGCTTCTTATCTCTCCACCGGCATGGCTAGATGCACTCCTGCTCTTGTTACTGCCGGTAGGTGGCATCGTGTGAAATAATCACTTGTTTGTGTCGCAGCTTCTTGATAGCCGCCCATCTAGCAAGACAACTCACCTCCTGGGTAGAACTTGCAAAATGCGAGTCGAGGCCGCACAGAGAAAGCCCGCCATCTCAGTTTGGCGGCAAACTACGATTGCGAGACCGCTAGTGGCAGTACGTAGTGCGCAGGAGTCGAGGGCGACTTGTCTTCAAGGCCGGCACGATACTGACATACAGCGAGGTGGTCTACTTCGTGTGCAAGAAGAAACTGGGCCACCTGCCGACTACACTAAAAACGCCACTTCATCTTTATCCAAAAGCGGAGCAAGGAAACAAACTCGCGCAGAAATGACGAGAACCACACCACGAAGACAAGGCTGCGGGGAGGAGCAGAAAGGAAAAGATGGCATGATCAAGCGAGAGCACCATGCGGTCCTGTTGAAGAAGCTGCGTGCGTCGCCGAAAACCTGGCGAGAAGAGCTATTGCAGGAACTCGGGTTGAGGCGGAAGAAAAAGAATCTCCAGAACGGGAAGACGAACAGCCCCGGCGGCGGGGAGTACAGCAATAAAACGACACTGCTGCTGGAGAGCCCGTCTCCTGCTTGTGCTTTAAAGATTCCCACACGCCGTAGTTCTTCGGGGGATGAAGCTCCTACCGAGCGACTGTATACAAAAGCAAAAGGTCTTCACGAAGACGAAGAGGAAAACTCAATCGGCTCCACCGGTCGTATTGAGGCTGTTGTAGTACAACAAGTGGTCGACAGGCCGCTCTCTGTGGACAGAGCCGAGGCGGATCAACGACCAGAGGCGGCTCAGGTGATGCCAAAACAAGCAGGCAATAGCACCTTCGGGCTGGATCTGCACGACGAGACTCAAGGAAGCGATGGACCTCCGCAGCAGGGCCAATCGGAAGCAGTAGATATCGCTGGGAGAAGAAGTGCGTCTTTGGAACAGGACGAAATGCATCGCGAACGAACTAGTATTGTTCCAACTGCAGATGAAAATTCGAATGAAAGCCGTAGTGGTTATTTTGCGAGCGAAAATTCTTGCGCCACACTTGATGTTCTCGCGGACCTGGTGGCGCCGGTAACTGCAAGCACAGTGCCGGGCGGGATGGTGGTGTGCAATAATGGCTACAAAAAACTGCGATTCGCTTTTGGCGACGACCAAAACCGGTGGGACGACACAAGCAACGAACAGAAGTCTACTGGCCCCGAGCACCCGCCTTCAGAAAATGCAAATGGCGATGGAGGACAAGTAGCAGCAGCACCTGCTAAAAATGGGGTTGACAGAACATCAAGTAGAACCGAAACCACTAGTACCGCGCGTCAGTTCTTGTTTTCGTCGGAGGCGGCCGGGAGTGCAGCAGCAGATCAGGATGATCATACTGATTCTGGCGGCCTTTGTCAGGATGAACTTGCTGATCCGAGAAGGCTTTCTTTGGTAGCACGCACCGATCTACTGGTGACGAAAGCAGGAAATCCTAGTGGTTCCGACCTTGAAGATGTTTTCTACACGCCGCGGGAACATCAAGGGGAGGATCTCGTCGAGCCAGTAGAAGACCTCGCCTTCTTCTCCCCCCGTCAGTTTATCGGCGATTTGGTCGGGGAGCGGGAGCTGTTTCCGAACAGCATCCACCTGCGGTTCCGTGCAGTTGGGTCCACAAATAATAGAATTTCATCTCCGCTGGTCGTGAGAGCTGGTCGTCCATTGCCGAAGCAGAAGACGTCCGTGTTTCCAGAAGTGGCCAAGGCGCAGCTATTGGCATTGGGTTCAGCTGTTGCAGATGATGGGGAATTCGACGCGGCGCGGGAGACGAGTGCAGCGCTCGAAAACCCCTCTCGGCCACAAAGATTCATGAGCAACGACCCACAGCCACTGCTTTTTCAGCGCGCCGGCGGGTCGTTTTACAGTCAGATGCACATGAACACTAGCGGCCGCCGGCACGGCTTTACCCCCCTCACGCCTTTTCAGCGGACTGCTGCCCCGGTGTTACCGATGAGCGCCAAGAAACACACTACGCCGGCGGTAACGGGACAAGCAGGTCAGAATCCAAGTTCGCCGGTATCATTTTCTACGACGGGGACAAGTGGTCTCTCGGATCTCAAAGCAAAAGAAAAAGCCATACCTCCGTCGCAAGTAGTAGTAGGTCATGCGCAGGTGGATGAACAAGAACAACACGCCCTGCACATCCCGGAGATTGTCACGCTCCCAACGGACGGGGCGGAGAGGATTTACCGAAAAGAGATTGAAATGGTGGATACGCCACCGAGATACCGGTACCGGGAGGTGCAGAAGTGCCAGAATGTGTTTGAAACGCTGAAAATCAGCGCCGCCCAGGAGGCGGAATGAACGCAGAGGGACGGAGGTTCATTCGTAGGTGGAACTACGGTTCGTGACCGTGTGGTTTAAAGCAGGCTCTACTTCTGTGCAGCTTTGTATGCTTTGCGGGAAAGCTTTTTCTATACTTCAACTTTTGCTTCTCCGTCTCCGTGCATGCGATTCGCCTTTTTAAGTAGAGCGCCATGCCTATTCGTAGAAATTTTGGTACATTACTTCACCATATGCATATCGCATTGCTCAGGTCGAAGATTTTGGGTACATTAGAAATTGTGAAATAATCATTAGCTCGGCTAGGGTGGGCGCGAAGCAGCAAAAGGGGGAAAACCTCGCTCCGCAAAATACAACAAACGAACCTGTTCTGAAGAAAAGAAGCGCCTTATCCATCGGTTGCACAGCTGGCACGCGCGGCAGTGAGGAGACGTTACCCAGACTTCGGTTGTGTGAGTCAAGCGTGACAGCCTTCGTCGGTTGTCTTCGTACAGACGCTTGTAGTGTCGAGGCTGGCACAAAGGCAGCACGTAGACCCAGGCTCGCGTTCTGAACTGACTCGCCAAGGCGGAAGGTTCACATTAGTCGTGCGTGACTTCCTCAGCTCCTTCGGACAATCGCAGCTCGCAGCGTGTTTCGGTATTGAAGAATCAAATCGTCCATTAGAGGCAAGGTATTTGTGCGCAGCACGTGCACTACGTCCTCGTTCAGTTCTCTACTCTGGCATCGGTCTTCTACGATCGTACAGGATAAGGATTGGTTTGTCGGTTTTTCTCGTGAGAAAAGAAGCATCATGTAGCGAAGCCATGACCAAAATTTTGCCTTCATCAACCAGGAACCCATTTTTACCACTGTCCCTCCAAGACGAGCAAATATCGGTGTAGTTGTAGTTTTGTCACAGTTGCTGTGGTAGCAGTCTCCACTGTAGCGAGCCTCGCGACAAACATTTTCTACCGTCATTCTGGTGCTTGTTACGCCGTAGTACTCGTCTTCATTCGCGTAGTCACACAAATTTGTTGAACATTCCTTTTCGATACCCCCTCAAATAAACTCACGTGGAGCACCTGAAATAGAAGATGTCGTCTACTCCGTCCTCTTCCCCCCCACCCTCAAATGCCGGCAACACCTCGGGCAACGGCTCCCAGGAACTCTACCCCTACACCACCCCGAGTCTGCAGGCGCGGGCCAAGCAGGAAGTGCAACAACAGCAGCAGCTCGGGATCCGCCCGATCGTGTTAAGTGGTATCCGAACCCCGCAACAGCCCGGAATGGGAACGAACAAATGCAATAGCGCAACACCTTCAGCGTTAAATGGCGCGCCGACAAACACGCTCGGCGTGGGGCAATTGCAGCAGCCATTCGGACTCCCATCCTTGCGCACGATTTATTTAGGGCAGCAAAGTAGTACTAGCGGCACGGCGTCCGTGCCGGCGCTTGGCAGTGCTACTGTAATTACTGCGGGTAGTACGAGTAGTAATTATCCAGCGCCTGTGAATAAAGCGCTGGTTCCGCCGAGTCTAACCGTGCCCACCGTCAAAGTTGGTTCATCTCCACCAACTGCTTCCCCAGGAGTGGTTCAAAAACTGCAAATTCGCAATATCCAAGCGATCGGGGAGAATAAGCTGCTCACACCGGACAGCTCGCAGCCGAACACGCCACTGTCGACACCCATGTCATCCTCCACAGCGCAGCAAGGCAGCACCAGGAGTCCTACTCACAACATGATGAGACACCAGCCCCCGACCACTCTAGGCAACAACAACAGCATGATCAACAATCCGCAGCAAAAGCGGATCAAGCAGAAAGAGATTGCGGTCAAGGTGCTGGGGCGGGATTTGATCGGGAAAGCTTATGATGAAACGGGCAAACTCCTCGACGTCTCTGGCCTGCAGATCAAGGGCCGGTCCCGCGGGAAGCGCGTGGCGAAGAACCCGGAGCGGATCGCGCAGCTGAATCGGAGCCAAAACATCCGGGGCTCCATGCCCACGCCAACTTCGTCGGCGCCGAGCGGGAAGGACCCGTTACTGGAGGTGGAAATATCGCAACTTTTCCCCGACCGGGACGCGCGGAGTGAGTACCAGAACCAGTCGGAACTGGTTCGGCACGAGTTGGTGCACACGGTGTTACCAGATTTGGTTGGCGAGGCCTATGATGACGACGGGAAACCCATCGGATCGCCACAGCTCGTGGGGAAACGCAGTCGCGGCAAGAGGATTGCGTCGGGCACGGGTTTGAATGCGGATGGCGGGGCGGGAGGACATGTGCGTGATGAAATCAGCGGGGTATTGTTTAGTTTGGTTTAGGGCTACTTCGGGTTGGCGTTCTTTTTCTCCGTATCAGATTCGACATGGTGCTATGATCGATTTTAATTTGTGTGCAAATTTAGATTCTCATTTTTCTTGTCGCCTTGCATGAAAAAATGCAAAAGAGCCAACATCTGAAAACTATCACTCTCAGGACGCGGCCGCTCAAGTAGATTCGGAGCTTGACGCAAAGATTGACCAAGTTTTTCAGGATCGGGATCAGCGACCCGGGGTTGCGAAGCCGAAAGCGATGGGTGGGGATCAGCAGGCGCAGCTGGTGCCGGATTGGCGGCTGAAATACCTCGGCCGGATGTGCGAGGGGGTCTGCAAAATTTGCCCCGGATTGGATTGAGCTTTTCAATCGCTTTATTTTGCTCGAGTGGTGATGTTTTGTTTTCCCGAGCGAGCAGCGGGTTTCTGCTCTTTCCACGCATAGGATTTGAAGCTGTAGTAACGGTTCGATCGTTTCCATGAAGAGGTGTAGTCGGTTCGCCACAGCGCTATCTCTGTGTTTCCAAAGACAACCCGAGTGACCATTTCATCTGTTGAACTCTTCTCAGGATCTCAAATTTAGATTTTTCCGAGATGCGATATATTGGCGCTGGCGCCTTCAGCGTCACGCAATTGTCCCTACGGAGATGAAGATCAGATGAAAAGTGCGCTGGAGCAAGGACGCGCGTGCTGTTTCGTTTACAATTTGTGAGTACTGTTCGCGGGACCCCAGGTATTCAGTGCATGTGATCGTAACTATCATCTTTGATTTCGACGCAAAAGAAGCCGAAGTGCGGTGTAGTGCTACGCAAAAATCCTACAGAATTCATTCCCGTGCTGCTTAGCATGGCTTCGATTGAGTGGCTGGTGATCAAGATCATATGCGCGAAGATGAGAAAAGATTTAGATCTCAGAGGGAACTTTGGATCCACCTGTTTGATCACAAGGAGCACTGTCAACAGATCGCAAAATCACTAGACGATCAATATTGCGCTCCAAATTTATCCGCGATCAAGTTGTCCCGTGAGTTGTAGAAAGAACGATCCTTAAAATGTAAAAACCTGCTCACACCGTGAGAAAGAGGATCTCTGTAGTCCGTGGCAATACATCTTGAGAAAGGAAACCTAAAAAGTAAGAAGAATCTAAATTCGCGGGTTCTTAACTTTTCGCACTAACTTGGAAAAACATATGACTTCGCTTTACGATGATATTTTACCATCATTTTTCACTCACCCACAGGGAAACGTGTAAGTTGTGAAAAAGACAACTTGTAGAGCTATCGACTTTCGCAACAGAAAATGGAAAACAAGGCTGCCTTCGAGAATGCCGTGGAGCCCAAGCTCTTCGGAAAGTGGGAGTTCACCGACCTGATGTGTACTGAAATTTTGTTTAAAACGATGTTTACAATTCGTGATGTTGTCTCGCATGACAGACAGGTTTTCGTATGCGCGACTCCGCATGACAAAGACATGACAAAATTTTTTTCTAAATTTCTCCTTCTAAAAATCACTCCAGGCTCCGAGATTTCCCTCGTGGATTACATCAAGACTTCTTCCGGCCGCTTCTCCAGCTCTTCCGGAATCTACGTGCCGCACACGGCCGGTCGCTACCAGACCAAGCGGTTCCGCAAGGCTCTGTGCCCGATCGTCGAGCGCATGGCCTGCTCCCTGATGATGCACGGACGCAACAACGGAAAGAAGCTGAAGGCGGTCCGCATCGTCAAGCAGGCTCTGGAGATCATCCACCTGTTGAACCCGGAAATGAACCCGATCCAGGTATTTATTATGGGCGGAGTTTAGTGATGATTAGGTCTGGTGAATAAACTTGGTGAATTTCTGTCTCGCTACAGAGTGATGATTCTGTGTAGTTTTTCTTTGAAAAAATTTGTATCTCCACGTTTGAGTCGTGCCATCTTTTGAGAGGTGTGCTGGCACGAAATGAGAGTATAGGATTTAGGAGTTTGTGTTTTCCTTCATCGCATGCATCTTCCGCAGGAGTTCCTGAGGAGAGCGTTTGCCAGACTGTAGGTCTGGTCCATGAGAACTTCGCCTTTGAATCAATTTAAAGGCCACATCCCCTTTTAAAAATCCCATCCAGGTCTTGATCGATGCCGTGAAGAACGGTGGTCCGCGTGAGGACTCCTGTAAGGTCGGTTCCTCTGGTACCGTCCGTCGCCAGGCCGTCGATGTGTCCCCGATCCGCCGTGTCAATGAGGCCATCCACCTGATCACCACGGGAGCCCGCCTGTCCGCCTTCCGTAACATCAAGTCGATTGCCGAGTGCTTGGCGGACGAGTTGGTCAACTGCGCCAAGGAATCCTCCAACAGCTACGCCATCAAGAAGAAGGACGAGATCGAACGTGTTGCCAAGGCCAACCGTTAAGAGGGGAGAATCTGTGTGTGGTTTTTCGAAACACTTGGTCTTTTTTACACAACTACTACTTCCATCTACAACGAACACACGTTGCTTGTCTAGTTTTAGGAACGAGGACAACCTTCTTCGTGAAAATCTGGCAAGCGGGAACAATGTAATGATGATGGTGAGGAAGTGAACCTTGTTTGGTAGCTCTACAAGTCTGATTCACTATACGAACGAAGCGCGCTACTGGTTGTGCGCGAGACTGCGCTGTCGGCAGCTGTGCAGATTGCGAAGCGACGGTACGTACAGGGGGAGGTGCGTGTTTCTCTCTTCCGAATAAGGAGAGTCGGTTCTTTCTGCAGATACAACACTGATCGAGCAAAAACTCTCGTGAAACTATGCAGTGCGATCTAAAGATCTTGATCTATCGGTTGGTCAGCAGTTTATCGCGAGATCGAAATCCTCGTGTCGAGCTCAATGGAACAATCTTTGGCAAGGTTGCTAAAATCCGATCACACGATCTAAATCCGCAACAGCAGATTGCGATCCTGGTTCACTGTCAAAACGATCTAAAGATCCAATGCAAATCTGGACGCGAACGTAAACCGTTCCTTCTTTCCGAATTTAGAAGTTGGAAGTCCAACGTGAAATCGTAGCTCTAACTTTAGATATTACGGCAAACACGGGTAGTGATACTCTTCTTCAAATCTAAATCCTAAACTACAAAACCAATCTTTCTACACCTCTCTTTCCACCACAGGGACCCTAGAAGAGTTCTAAGTTCTAGATTCTTCTGAGTAGTAGTTTCTCCCATTCTTTTCGGAAAATGGGTATCGACATCAAGGCCGGCGGTCGCAAGACCGTGAACAAGCGCACGGAGGTGAAGGGCGACAACCCGTACCTGAAGCTCTTGGTCAAGACCTACAAGTTTCTGGCCCGCCGCACGGAATCCAACTTCAACAAGGTCATTGCCAACCGTCTCTGCATGACCCGCGTCCAGAAGGCCCCAATGAGCATCTCCAAGCTCGCCGACCACATGAAGGTATGTGCTTGGATTTTTTGCTCATCGAGTTCGTTTTGCCTCAAGATTGTGATAGATGTTTCGCAAGTTTTGATTTTGCCTAGAAACCCATGGCATTATCTCTGTTTAAAAATCTAAATTATCCACTCTCAAATTTAAAAAACAGGGTAAGGAAGACAAGATCGCCGTCGTCGTCGGAACTATCACCAACGACGTCCGCCTCCTGGATGCCCCGGAAAACCTGAAGGTGTGCGCCCTGCGCTTCTCCGAAGTCGCCCGCAAGCGCATCGAGAAGGCCGGCGGACAGTGCATGACCTTTGACCAGCTCGCCATGACAACCCCGCTCGGTATTTGCTGTTTGTGGTTTTTTGCATTTTTACACTCGCGGTTTGCCTGTTGTGTAGACGAGCATGAAAAATTTAGAGTTTCAGATTTCTATAGTTTGATGAGCAGACGATGATTCTTGTTTCACATGACAAACTCTTATCCTACCTCTACAATTATAACAGGCAAGGGCTGCGTGCTCCTCCGTGGCGCCGTGAAGGCTCGCGTCGTGAACCGGTACTTCGGAAAGGCTCCGGGTGTCCCGAACTCCACTACCCGCCCGTACGTCCGCAAGGCCACCAACCTCAAGCGCAAGGGACGCAAGTTCGAGCAGGCCCGCGGCCGCCGAAAGTCCCGTGGCTTCAAGGTGTAAGTGGTGCTGGGATGATACTCTCATTTCTCCACAACATGAGCTGCTTTTCGTTTTCCACAGCATCTGGAAGAGGCTGTGGTACAACCCTGTTGGAAGATCTGTACTTGGAAGTTGTGTTTCTCGATTCCAGCATACACGAGTAATCATCTGAATTTTAGAAGTCGTCGTCGTGAGCAGGTCTACTGCGAAGAGAATCTGTGAAGAAGACGATGAATAGAATTTGGATGCAACAAGCCGGATCGACGTTTTGAGAAGGCTCTATGGAAAATATGTTGGGAAGGAAACACCGAATCATGAAGAGGAAAACTACTCAGAATTCAAGAATCTAAAGAATTATCACTCGGCGATGACTAATGAATCGTGGCGATGTTCCGAGACCAGGAGATCTGTAGGTCGTCGTGACTCCCGGATCATGTGATCCATAGAAATCTATTGTGGGGTCGACTACCTCGTGAAGCTGGACCACAAGAAAGATAATCCACACGAGACCAATCGCAACCACTTTTATTTGATTCTCGCATTTCTAGGCGAAATCGAGTTGCAATGTATGGACCTTTCGCGCGATCAACACATAGAGCAGGAAACAAACGAACAAAGTGAAAATATGTTGCATCCTTGAATTTGTTGTGTGTTAGCCAAGACTAAGCAAGAACCAGAAGAACTTTAGAAGTCCTCGTAATTTTTATTTTATTGACAATCTTAAGTACGTCTCAGTACGTGTGATCCTGCGTGTGATCCTGCGTTTGTTTGAGAACGGATACTACCCCTTTCCAAATCAAAACACATTAGGACCCGGGGGGACAGGAAGAGCCCCCCGGTAGCGCTAGTCTCACATGGGTGCACACATAAGGACGTTGACGAAGAAACACACACACACACGGCGGTCAAAAAACACAAACAATATGCGTCCAGCACAAACTGCCCTGACTCGCTCACCGGATGGATGCGCCGCCGAGGTCCGTCGCTGCAGTAGCTTAAATAATAATAGCTATAATAGAAAGAAAAATATAGAAATAGTAGCGGCAAAGCTATCTGTAGTGCTTTCCTGGTAGAACAGCCGCGCCACGCCGCTGAGCGGGAGACGGCCTGTCCAGTGAGTGAGTGCCCCGTCAACTGCTCGCCGGGGCGCTGCGTGGAAGAGCAGCGTCGCCGCATGTCGAGCCGGGGAACTAGTTTGCTTTCGATTGCCTTTTATTTTTTTTTTAAGTTCCCCGTCATCTCAATTCCCCCTTAACATGCCGCCTTACTCTTCACGGACATGGAGGATGACATCAGCGCGTAGAACGGTTTGAATCAGACTCGGGCTACAAGGCCACAGGTAAACTATCCCAGTGTCTTCCGGCCGGCCTTGACGCAATCTGACTACTAAAAACCTCGCGGTAGCGGGGGGGCGTTCTAGTCTTCGGTCTAGTTCGTCGCCCTCTACCAGGCCTGTACGACCTGAAAGCAGAACCTCGGCTAGGGCAACAGGATCACATCAAGCAGCATCCGCGAGCAGCATCCGACCCGAGAGTAGTCAGCCGGGCCATTTCTGAAGGCGCTGCGAGGTGGGCGGAGAGGCATCACGCTAGCAGTTGGACGGGAGCAAGGCCAGCGTTCTTCTGTGTGATGTTCGTCGTATACTGTCCTGCCTAGTTCAACTATGTAGGTTATCTCTCTCTCTCTCTAAAGAATTATCACTCGAAAAAGGAACAAAGCGAGCGGGGTCTTTGCCGCACCGCCCGGGGCCACAAAAGGGGGTCTAACCGTTTCCAATCAGCGGTGGTCTGTGTCTGTTCGACTTTGTCAATATCACGCACGTCTTATTTCCAAGAGAGTAGCGCGTGGTAGTGAAAAAATGCGTCAATAAAGTTTAGCACGCTTTCAAAAGTCAAAAATGATCGTTCTTTCATCCCATCGTTGTGGATATGTAGTTACTTGGAAGTCGTACTTGTCGTCCTAGCGTCAGTTGCAAGAGGTACTCTGCTTTGGATTTCGCTTTGCTTGCGCCCCTGATACAGGGTTTCGTCCTTCGCTCCAGAGTATTGTTAGATAGAAATAAACCGCGGAAGTGCTGGTGTACTTATCTCAACAAGTTTTCAAGTCCTGGACTTCAAAATGTTGTACGTGCGGCAGGAGATAATCGAGCACGGCGTGTGCAACTTCAGTGAGCCGTCGTGGCGGGGCACGAGCAAGTATATGGAGAAAGTGATTGCGTTTGTCGAGCACATGGTGAATTCCGTCCCCGACGTGAAAAAAACCGGCCGGATTTCCAAGGAAAAGTGGTACGAGTATTGCCAGTCCCCGAAGGTAGCGCAGCTGGTCCAAAAATTCCCCCAGAACGTGGCCATGAGCTACTGGGTGCTGTTTTCCACCCTGGGGACGTTGAACTGCTTCAAGAATTCCGGAGCTGCGGGACAGGCGGGACTTTTGGGTTCTGGTTCTGGTGGCAGTTCAAGCTCCTGCTCTTCTCCTACGCAAGAGCAACAACAGAGCATCAACTTCGGCAGTAGCGATTTGATTCCGGAGTCGCAGCACCACATTGACATCCGCGTGATTGCGCTGTTTCTCATGGTGCAGGTGTTCCCCAAGTACAAGCACGATTTCAACAAACAAATGGGCAAGGAAAACAACGGGTTGAACAACCTGTACAATGAGGGCACCAAATCCCCACGGGGGTCGATGAACCCCTCGCAATCGCTATCCCGTGTAAAGACGTCCCCACCCCATAGTTGTCATGCAATTCTGCATGCCAAAAAAGTTTCTCACGCGGAGCCCTCTGAGAAGCATGCTCTATTCGTGTTTTGGAATTTGTCATGCTCCTATCAGCACGATGTGCTAGATCTGTGATGCTTCTGAACTAGCTAAACATAACAGGATTACACCACGAGGGCAGACTTGTCATGCCAAACAACCAAAGCTGGCTGATTTGTCTAGCAGATTTCCCATCTGGACTCTGGTGTGGCGACGTTTTTAATCAGGATAGTCGCCGCGCTACCAGCAAGCGTCCCCCCGGTCCGCACGGGGTGCGGACCAATTATTTGGGCAGAGCCTCTCCGGGTTCGGGAACAACATGCAGAATAATCACGCACCGCCGAAGGCCGTGCTCGCGTTCATCCAGCACGAGATTCTACCGAAACTCATTTGCGAAATCTTCCCGTTGCACCCGGACATCGGAAACAGTCCGAGACACCGCGACGCGAATTTCTTCACGTTGACCTCCATGCAGACGCAGGTGCTCGCGATAATTCTGGATTTCAGGAGGCTGGACGGTGAACAGCTGGCACTATCGGAACAGCACCAAGTGGCTGCAAACAAGCTCAACGCCCCACCGCTTCATTTATTTTTCGACAAGCTGCAAAACGATATCGCCCGAAAGTGCCAGAAGCAGAACTACCGGCAATTCACGGACGAATTGAAGAAACAGGTGCAGACGTGCGAAAAATCGTACCCGAGTCACCTCGGTAAGTCGCTGACGAGCGACCCGTTGATGCACAGCATCTACAGTCAGCTAACGTCCTCGAGCGCCAGTTTACACCAGTCGATGGGCCAGTTGCAATTCCGCAATGAACGAGACCGAACCGCGGGTGGGGCGGACTCAGGGACGCCGGTAATCACGCGGGAGACCGCGGTGGTGGCCAATCAAACCCGGTCAACGGTGATCGAAACCAAATGCTACGAGAGGGTGTATGTGGTACGATTTTCTTAAGAAGGAATAAATGTCTGTTCTTGCAGCGATGCATGAAATTTATGATGTTACCCTGCGAGAAAATAAATCCGAAAAATATCGAGACTCGTGCCTATTTGCGTAAAAGAGGATGGAGGTCGTTCGTAGGATGAGTTTTGAAAATGATTTCCCAACACAGGTAAACTGTAGGAATTGCCACGTGTATCTTTCCGGCGGCGTTATCGGATCCGTTTACATCGCCGGCTGCCAGGACTGTCAAATTGTCGTGTCCAGTGCAGATTTGGTCACCGCTTGCGACGGCGAAAAGCTGTCCCTGCACGTGAGCGCAGATTTGCTGAAACTCGACAACTGCATTTCCTGCACCTGCTACCTCGCAACGACGCACCCAGCTATTATGTGCGGCGACACGAGAGGGATTAAGCTCGGGCCCTACAACGTGCTGTCGCACGACAATGTAGCGACTGCACTAGATCCGGCCGTGCACCAGCACAGCAGGAATATTAACGGCAGTGACCCGGACCAGAGCTTCCGGGCTGCCACTAGCTGGAGCAACCCCTTGGTTTCGGGGACCAGCTCGCCGGAGGAGGTTTTTAGCTACGTCCATCCCAAGGACTTCACGCCGGTGGTAATTCCCGGAATCAGTCCGACGCAGGACCTCGCGACGCAGATGAAGTGCTTTGCTGCACAGGCTAGTGGGGGCGGAGGCGGGGAAGGTATAGTAAAATCACTTGAAGACGACCAGCAGATGAAATTGTGCTCGCACGCTTTGTTTCGTTGTCCTGTCAATTTGCTCTTCCTTCAACTCGTGAAATAGAAATTTACTTTTCTCTTCCATGCTTTTTTTGCAATTCATCTACATAATTCTTTCAAAAACAGACCCTGTCCGCTGGGTGAAGCAGCTGCACCTGCCCGAAACCTACAGCCGCCAGCTGCAGGCGAAGCTCCAGGATGTGAGCCAAGCGAAGCAGGGCTTTGATAAGTTCAAGATTGAGAAACTAAGTGAGAATTTTCAGCAATTCCTGAACGACAAAAATCGAAAGAAGCAGCTGCAAGACCTCGCGAAGCTGCAGTCTTTCGCGCAGAAACAAGCGATGAAGGGGAGCTGAGTTTTTACTGAATTTTTACGCTGGGTGATAGTTTTTAGCAACAACATATCGATGTCATTGAAATGCGAGGAGAACAGGGTGCGACGTCCCTTCCTTGTGCCACCGTCTATTTGTATCTGTATGTATCGTCGTGCTGTGTTCTGTGCAGCAATCATTTCGTCGTGCGGGGAAAGGTTCAAAACTTTTTCATTACGTCAGCGGGCCGTTGCGACGCGCTTGGTACTGGTATTAATTCGTAACCTCCACGACGCTACATATCGACAAGGCTACATTCTCTTCTTCCGTAATTCTAGATGCTAAGTCGTATGGTTGCGGCGCTGCACTGTGCTTTTCGTTTTGTCGCCGTTCATCGTTGCAGGGTCGTATTTGTGATCTTTCGCTTCGGCAGCAAGTTTGCACGAAGGAAATTTTGCTGAAGCAATAAGTTCTGTCGTCTTCCACGATCGTTTTGCTGTCGTATGCGGGAGATCCATTGTGTACGCTTCTACTGCTGCTGTTAGTTACTCGGCTTGAAATAATCGATCATCACGCTAAAGCGGCCTGGAACTGATGGTAATCCGAATCGACTTTGCGAAAAGGAAAAGAAGTCCGGTGGACCTCGTCAACTAGGTTGGCTACAACGATGGGCTTTTTAAGCTTAGTTTTTGACTCTAGCAGCTGCTCTTCTACACGGGTTCACTAAAGTTTCGGTTTTTTTTTGAAGAACGAGCAAACAAGAAAAGGTACCAGCACCGGGTATTCATCAACTACATTACGTCCTCCTTACTTTCTTCAACATGGCCGCCGAGGCTCGAATCATTTGCGACCGGCCGAAGCAGATGCGGCACAACGGCATGACATCGGAACCAAGGCTGCAGCTGATTCAATCCTTACAACTGAGAAATCTCGACGACATACAAACTCGGGGGGCGCGGTACACCGGCAGGGTACACTTGCCAAAGGCAGCGAATGATGTCGATTATGTGCGGAGTACACCTAGCAGCAGAGGAATCATCGCGAAGGCAGGGGAGAGTCAGGTAGAAATGAAGGCATTTGCATTTTTTTTTCGATATTGTCTTCACGCGGGGGCGGTGCTAGGTGAGAGCAGTAGAAAACGGCTCTAGAAAATTTTTCTGAATGAGTTTGTCATGCACCCGAGGAGTCCAGAATCAGAATCTGCGATCGAAATAAGTTTGTACTGGAAAAAAAACAGCTTTCCGCCCGAGTGAACCAGCAAACGAAGCCCCGCGAGCTGTGGTCGCCACGGAAAAAGGAGCCACTGCTGGTGCAATTTTTAAGCCCCGAATTGACACCCGTTTCCAGCACGAGAAAAGGGCCAAAATTCCAGAATTTGCGAGTCCCACCGGACCCGGCGTCCACGGTGACAGGACTGAAATTTACGGGCCGACCGAAGGTCCAGTTCGACTTCAAGAATATTCTGGACGAAGTGATCCTAGAACCGAAGCGGGGAAAGGTAAAACGTTCGTAGTAGATGTGTTTTTGCTCTAGTTTTCAGGGTCAGTTCTGTTCTGTAATTGTCGCGGGACGGGATTCGACGAAGCCGGAAGTTAAAGTTTCATTTCTCATGCAGATTTATTTCCTCGCTCCTGAAGTTGAAATGAAAAGTTGTCAAATCGAAAAACTCCACTCTCGCCCATAAATACCAAATCAGCGCATCCAGTGGCACGACGACATTCTGTCCGCCGGACACGGGGGCATCGCCTACAACGGACTTTGCCAGTTTCATCCCTACTGCTTCTCTTCGTAGGGTCCCGCGACAGGGGGGCGCACATGGCAGGTTTTTTTCGACGCAGCTGTCTCAAGATCGAAGATCCTTTTTTGTAGTAAATTAAAGACCTACGTGTTGTGTTAAGATCGCACTTGGCGGTTTTTTTTTTGTGTCCTTGCTCCTCTTTCATAATTTTCTTTTTCATTCAACCGATTTGACGATCATTCTCATATTGTGACACTTGCACTTTTGTGTACGAGGACTTGTTCCTTGACGTTATTCGGGTTTGAGTTTGAGGACTCAAATTCTGCAAGCTTGAAAAGTTTTACAACTTACCCTGTAGAATTTTTGTACCGAGGAAGTCACCACGCAGTCATCTGTATCTCTCTTGGATTTTTGGCATATCATATGACAAATTTGATTCAAGGTCGCTGTCAAATTCAATTGTATCCACCTTGCTTTTGATGTAATCCATCACAGAAAAAACAAGGACGCGGGCCGTTTATGTCCGTGTGACTCTTGGAGATGGTCGGCTATGCCTTCTTCGTGTTGATTGCCAATTTCTGTTTGTGCATGCAGTGCGGCTGGGATCGATGGTTTTCTTCTGAAGGATTATGTCGTTTATGCATTGCGCTGGCGCGGCTGAGGATCTATTTTATGAGTGAAAAACGATCCCCTCTGGCTCTGCGTCTGCTTCTTTTTGTGAAGGTAGTAAGCAAAAGATCAATTATTTCAGTGGTTGATCGTCGTGATTGTGATGTTGAGCTATTTGGCTTCATGCGCGTTCCGCGCGTGGATCTGTTGTTGCTATTTCCCGTATCAAGCATAACCACGGCCATCAGCGGCTCGAGGGATGGCATTTTTCTTGATTCGGTGCAAGCTTCGTGAACGAAGGCCCTACTGTAAGTGTGACTCCGATTTCAATTTATTCATTTTTCGCTTACGGTGACGCGACGCGGCTGAAGAAGGAAAGAAAGAAAGAAGGAAAAATGTAGCTTTAGTGTCTTCTCTTTGACCAAGATGGCACCCTCCAGATCACGCAAGTTCGCGCAATGGGTTGCGGCTTTTTATTTCCTGGCACTACTACAGGCGCTCGCGGTCACGGGTTCCTAATGCTGGCAACTGTGGTGGGCGTACTATGGGGAGGTCTTCTAAGTATGTTGGGCTGTAAGAACAAGAAGTGAAGAACAGCACCGCAGGAGCACTACAGTAGAAATTCATCTCTTCTTGTTGAAGAAATCCGTCTAAGTCTTCATTTTACTGTAACATCATTGCGAAGAAGATGTTGAAACACGCTTTGTCATCAGACGCCGCTGGCTCCTGCGAGAGAACAGTACGTATGTCGTTTTGTAGCAGCAGAAATACTCATGCTCATCTTACTCTTCCCCAAACTGCAAGCACAGTTTTTGCTTCAATAATCCCCCCGGAGGTCCGCCAATCACCTGCTTCGATCGCGTTTTCACCTACGCACGATGCTGTCTGCAGAGGGACCCCGAGTGCCGCGCTGGCTTCGAGGATGTTGTCTCGGATTCAGCTGCGATCTCCGGCGAAAGCCCCGCCGAAGAGCGGGAGAAGGAGTCGTACCACTATCACCTGTACTGCTGCAGCCCGATGCACCGACCCCTTCTCATCCACGACTGGCCGGCGCATCTGGGCAACGGGCTGATCGTGCTGGCGGAAGCGAGTCTGCTCTCTCTGGCGCTACGCCGCGTGCTCCTCCTGCCCTTGCAGGCCCAGCTGTTCGGCGAAACGCTGGCGGACCTGCAGAAGTTCTATGCGGACAAGTTAGAAGGAAGTGCGGGGTCCGACGGGGCAACGGAACAAGAAGTCACGGGCTTGGCGGGGCAAGCCAAAGATGAAGATAGTGCAAAGGAACACCGGTTCTTGGACATGCTGACCTTCTGGAAGAAGCCTATCCACCGCATTTCGCTTTCCGAAGCGAAGGCCGTATTGCAGGACGGGAGAGAAGTGCCTGCTTTGTCGCAGACGAGCCACGACATGGAAACAGCTAACGCCAACTACAATCCGATCACCGACCGGTTTCCGTTTCATTCCTTCGGAACTTCCTTTTTCCACCTGAACTGCCCCTTCATGCACTTGTCGGACACCCCGGGCGGCAGCGGGCGCGACGGTCCGTTTCGATTCACCCTGCCGACTATGGATTGCAAAAATGTCTGGGTCTGGAAGATTGCAATCTGTCATGGTAAATCCGAATCATGCAGAAATCTGCGTTGCATTAGTGCCAAAAGCTGTCCACTTTGGACCAAGTTTGGAGGGAGTTTCTCATGCAGGATAAGCATGGCAGGGACCTCACAGAGTCTGTCACGCTATGTCCCGCATTCCAGACCTCATGGGTCATGAAAAACCTGCATGACAAGTTTACACTCTTCCAGAGCCAGACATTTTTGCACTTGATACCGACGGACGGCGACGAGGGGCTGTTTACCGTGTTCTCCGAGTACTTCCTCGGGCTGTACCACTCCGACGGGCTGGACACCATCGAGGACTTGGTGAACAACGGGAAATTGTTGGAAGAGGAGCCCGACATTGCGGGACCCAGACAGGAGAACACGCGACTGCGACCTCCCACTGGCGAGGACGGGTTCGAGAGCGAAAATAACGCAGAACTTCTGCAGACTGACAGCGACAAGGACAACCCCGCCGAGTCCGAGAACACGACTCAAGAGCGAGACAAAGAAACTGACGACACTACAACAACTCCTGCATCTACTTCGGATGTTGAACAAAAACCTCTCCGTTCGAAAGACTTGCAGCACCTGGAGGTGTATCAAATGCAAAAATGTCTGGGTCTGGAAACTTGTGATGCTGGGTGGCGTATCATGAGGAGGCCACAAGTGCTGGCTCAGCATGACAAGTTTCTGAGCTTCTAGGTGTTGCCTACTCTGCATGACAAACTGCGTTTCTGCATGACAGAAGAATGGCGCTCTTGGGTAACGTGCATGACAGATTTGAGAGTCATGCCAGACAAGCATGACAAACATGCACTCTTCCCGACCCAGACACTTTTACATTTGATAAGGTGCACTATTCGTTGCTGCAGGATAGGTATGTCGGGCGTTATATCCTGAGTAAAAACGTCTCCACACCAGAGTTGTCATGCAAATCGGCACGCTTCAAATGTTTCTCATGCGGAGCCCCATGAGGAGCATTTTGTAATGGTGTTTTGAAATTTGTCATGCTCCAATCAGCATGAGAGACTAGTTCTGCAATGCTGCTGAACTAGCTCAAACAGCACTACACTACGCGTCCAAATTTGTCATGCGAAACAGCCAAAGCTTGTGGATTTGTCTAGCCGATTCCCCATCTTGACTATGGGGTGGGTACGTTTTTAGATAGGATACGTTACCAGATGTCCCTGGCTGCGCTAGGGGAGGATCATCTGCGACAGATGGATGCGGCGACCCTGCGACAGCTTTGGGAACGAGATCATGTTGACCGCCCGTCGCAGGAGCCCGGTGGCTGTACCCATGCACAGGTTGTGGGAGACCGCTTGGTAGGCGAGAGGTGGTCTGAACATCAAGCGGACACGGAAATAAAATCGTCTTTGCGCGACCACGACGCGCCTTTGGAAGCAGATTTTGATACTGTTGAGAGAACTGGAGCACAGCGAGATGAACTTCCAGCTGAAATAAAGAACGAAATGGAGCTGCAGGATATCCTATGTAAAAACGTCCCCACCCCATAGTTAAGATGGGGAATTGGCTAGACAAATCCAGAAGTTTTGGTTGTTCTGCATGAGAAATTTGGACTCGTAGCGCAGTGCTGTTTGAGGTAGCTAAGCAGCATCACAGATCTAGTGCATCACGCTGATTGGAGCATGACAAATTCCAAAACACGACTAGGCTCGGCCTCTCATGGGGCTCCGCATGAGAAACATACTCAGCATGCAGATTTGCACTGCAAGAACTCTGGGGTGGGGACGTTTTTAAATACGATGCATGACAACATGAAAGCGGCGATTCTCGCGTACAGTAAAAGCCGGAAAATTATCTCGGCACCAGACAAAACCACGCTCGACACGGTGTCTGGGAAACAGATCAAAGAGCTGTACGAGTTTCTCCTGCTTGGCGCGCCGCCGGGGCGCAAGCTTTTACCGAGACTGGTCAAGCCGTTTTTGCAACACCGGTGCCGGGTCGCGAAAGACTTCTCCACGGTCGAGGAATTTGTCCGGTCGCGGCCGCATTTGACAACCGAGATCGGGCTCGACGCTGTGAAACACCGAAGCACGCTCACGGATTTGGCAACCCACATCCGGCCCTGCGCTTTCGACTACTTGGAGTCACTTCTGCTGCAGAACCAGAAATGCGTAAACTTTCGGCAGCTGTTCCACACGGTGGATTGGTCGACGGGGCGGGTGGGAGAGGTTGAGAATGGCAATGCAAGGGACGTCGATCATTCTCCTGCCACTTCGTCAGATAAAAAACGGGGTCTACTTCTCAATTTTGATTTCAGCGAGTTTCAAGCGATGCTGCACCGATTTTTCTGGAAGAACATTCTGGAGCGATTCGTCATCTTTCCACTGTTGAAAGACGGGGATAAAGATCATGGAACTCCCAGTGCAGCTACCGCGGAAATGTTAGAATCAGCACCAACAGGATCTTCTTCACAAGTAAAAAATGAGAACCAACCCTCTACTTTACCCACGACGCCTCTGACGCACGTCAAAAACGGCAGGGATTTCTTGCTGCAGCTGCAAAAACACCGGGTCACCGCGGTCCACATTCGCATCGCGTTTGGGGTCAAGCCGTGGGAGCAGGTGGCGGACCTCGCGCGGGCGGAGCGGTCGCGCACCGTGTTTATTTCCACCGACAACGCAGACGACCCCGGAGTGAGGGACTTTCGGGACCGGCTGGAGGAAATGAAATGTAAAAATGTCTGGGTCTGGAAGAAGTCACGTTTGTCATGCTTGTCTGGCATGACTCTTAAATCTGTCATGCACGTTACCCAAGAGCTCCGCGTTTCTGTGATGCAGCAGCGCAGTTTGTCATGCAGAATAGGCAACACCTAGGAGCTCAGAAACTTGTCATGCTGAGCCAGCATTTGTGGCCGCCTCATGATACGCCAACCAGCATCACAAGTTTCCAGACCCAGACATTTTTACATTTGATAGAGGAAAACGGATTCGCGGTGTTCTCCTCCAAGGACGCTGCGGAATTGTATCAAATGTAAAAATGTCTGGGTCTGGAAGAATGAGCGATTTGTCAGGCAGCTTTTCCATGACCCATGAGGTCTGGAATGCAGGACCTAGCATGACAGATTCTGTGCGACCTCTCTCATGCCTATCCTGCATGAGAAACTCCCTCCCGACTTGGTCAAAACTGGACGACTTCTGGTAATCATGCAACACAGATTCTTGCTTGTTTCAGATTTAGCATGACAAGTTGCATTCTTCCAGACCCAGATATTTTTGCATTTAATAAATTGCTACTAGGAAGAACTACAGGTGAAGAAGAGGACAATGTTAACAGCATGCACGAAGCAGGAGCAACCGAGCAGAAAGCCGGCGCAGATGAACAACACGTCGACCGAGGAGATCCGGCGCAGCCGAGTCGTGAGGAGGAAAACGAAGTAAATCGTGGTGCAAAAAGCAGAAATCCAGCTGTAGTCGTGAAAAAACTACACGGCGAGAAGTACCGGTCTACTTTCGATGCCCGGGGAAAGCTCGCGGACATGGCGCTCCTGCTCGATATCGTGATTTGCGTTCTGGCCTGGCAGTTTATCGGGTCGCCCTACTCCAGTCTGTCACAGCTGATCGGAAAATTTCGGTTGCAGGTCGGGATAATGTACCATCAGGGGACGAGAAATTCTAAGGATGAAGAGCGACAGGACGACTCGGCAGTCGCGCAAAGTATAATGGGAAACGAAGCAGGAGCAGGTATAGGAAGTCCTGCTGCTGGTGCACTAGATGTTGAGCAAGCTGCCTCTAGCACCCTCCGAAGAAGCATTTTTAGTGAGAGCAACAAGAAAAGCAGCTACGACTACTTCGGGAAAAATACGGCAGAAGAAACGCGGCTGTTGCGAGAGCTTTACAGAAGCGTTGGTGACGAGCAGCTGCTAGATGAGGAGCTTGAAAATCAGGTAGTACAACGTCCGACCAAGACGACCCATTACTTCCATGACGGTCCTGCGACGGTAACGGACGTGTTCCCCCTGGATTTCTACCCGCATGACGTCTGGAGCTGGTTGAGAAATTTCGCGCTCCAGATGGTGCGGGCACAAAGCATTATGTCGGAAGAATCTGAGGATAGCGATAGCGCAAGAAGAAGTAGAGAAGTCGAAGCATCTTCACAGCAGCCAGGATCGTCGTCCTTCGCAAGTGGCCAGAACACGAAACGCGGGTCGCAGCCTCAGTGGCACTATGGATTGGAAATGTGTCTGGGTCCTCTGGATGAAACTTGCGATGCTAATGTGTTGTAGATGATACGCACGAGAAGTACAACCCTCGTCTTCATCTTTCGAGCCGCGCACGATAAGTTTGTGAAGAGCTGCTATGTGTTCGTCCGCATCCATTAAGTCGCGTGAGACTGTTGAGACCTTGTCTTCACTGCATGACAAAGATAAAAGCCGGGCGTTGTATCGCAACAGGAGTCACACTCACAGCATGCCTTTCTTCTCCCCCACCCATGTACTTATCAAAGCATGACAAGCTTTGCCTTCTTCAAGAGGACCTCCCAGACAGTTTTGCATTGGAGAGGCACCGGGACGCGCAGATTCTCTCGAGCACGCTGGACCGGTCGAGATTGCAAGAGAAGCACTACACGAACATCGTTGCGGGCGTTTGGAACAGGAACGATGAGAACGAGAAGCGAATTTTCGACATTGCCGACGAGGCAAAGTTGTACCCGTGCGATAGCGACCTGCCGCACAATATCAAAGTGAAAAAAGCCCCCACCCCATATCGGAAACGGAAGATGCGCGAATTTGTGATGCTGTATTTGAGTACACAAATCAACTGCTAGAAGGCCAAGCGACGAAGCTGCGGCCTAAATTGCAGGTAATCTGTCATGGTGTTTCCCACTTGTCTAGTTGTCTCCTGTCATGCTGGAGACGCATAGGTTTATTCCCATGCTAGAGACAGCACTACGGTCCGCATCTCTTGCCTTCTAGCATCACAAAGCTGATTTGTGGCCACAAATCTGCATCACAGATTTCCGCTTTGATATAGGGAGGGGGCATTTTTCACTGTAATACACAACAACCTGCCCCCGTGCCGCCTGGCCCGGTGGGACGAGTTCTCGCGCGGGGAAGTGCTGCTGGCCACGCAGTTCTTCGACTACGGGAGCCGAATCAAACCCTGCGTGAGTGCGAGCTGGGCGTTGCGCTTGAAGTTTCTGCTGATTTTCTTCCTGCAAGGCAACTACAAGGAGGAAGAGTGCCGGCACAACGCTGGAGCCTTCGGGTATTTGACGCACAAGTTTTTTCTTTCCATGCACGAGGAGGCCTTGTACCGTATCGCGAACCTCGCCCCCAGACGCGTGGTGTTGCCGATGTTGAACTTTTTGTACCAGTTTCTCGCGAAGACACAGTGTCGGGGACAGATGGTTGGCTTGTTTCTGGGTAGAAGAAGGAAGACTGGTGCTGCTCCATCTGGCGACGATTTTGAAATAGTAGACCAGCACCGCGTTGAAGAAGAGATGACTACCAATCGTGGACATCAAGAGCAAGGTCCTCACGAGGATCATGCAGAAACATCGACCACCGAAAATGATCTCGACGCGCTTGCTGCCAACACCCGGCCGCGTTCGGGCGTGAACAAAGGACGACCCAGACTGATGGAGGAAGACAAAACGCACGAGCTGAGCTCGCGGGAGTTCGTTTCGTCTGGTCCGGGCGGAGCGGAGTTGCGAAAGTTGCTGTTCGTATCCCCAGCAGCGGATTATGGTTCAGGAAAAATGTAAAAACTCTCTCAGTTTGCTACTTAAACTTAAAGCGTTAGTTATTTGGACCTTCAGATCATGAATGAAAGAATAAGATGATGAGGCTGTGTCAGAGTTTATTTTCTTTGCGATACGTATGTGTGGGGGTTTAATCGGACGGCGAGACTGCAGTTTGTACATACAGGAGTTGTACACCAGGACAAGGAACATGAGAATGAGGTTCACGTAGACGACTCCGTTGATCCACCGAGTAGAAATGTATTGAAGGGTGGCCAGGAAAACAACTACGGGTACGCGCTAAAATTGCTGGAATTCCTCACGCAGCGATCCATCGCTAAAACTACGTTGCGGGAAAGCAGAGGAAAGAGAGGGAACAAGTTCAAGAAGAACTACAACGCAGCACGAGGTGGCATTGGCAGTGAAGCAACTAACTCGTCGTCCAGGTTCTTCCGCGTCAAGTTCGAGTTCGCGTGGGTGGAAATTTTTTTCAGCATTCTCATACTCGACGAACGGCCTCCGCTTGTGATTGCGCAAGAAACGGACCAGGCGCTGGCCTTCCGCGGCGGCCCAATTCTGGAGCACCTCGCTCGTAGTTCTGGAGCGGATCATATCAAAATGAAAAATCCCCCCTCTCCCTACTGAAAAGGTATCTTTTTGGAAATTTGCGATGCTGATTTGTGGCCACAAACCGTGTCTGTCTTGCAAGAAGGCAACTCCGCAGGCTCGGCCGCATTGCGCAGGCGGTCCGTCATGCTGCCGGGCCTACAGTGCTGACGTTTTTCATGCTAAATGCCCAGGCCAAAACCTCTCTACTCACACTTAGTATGGGCCTGCAGTGCTCCCCAGTAAGACAGCGCGGATTTGTGTACTCAAATCCAGCATCAGAAGTTTCGTCTTGGTTGTTTTTGGTCATGACGTTTTGAGCATGACATTTCGCGCTACCACATGTGTGTAGTTCGCGATACCGACGGGTGTCCATGTCGGTTACTCCGTTTTTTGGCCGTTTGCATGCGTCCCCACGTGGGTTTGTCTTGCGCGACTCCCCTTTTCTAGTGGTGGTTTTTCTGTTGTACCAGTGTGATGGTGCCAGCTTTAGGGCGTTTTTATGTAAAGTAGAGTTAGAGATTGTTTTTTCTTTTTGGTAGTACTCCTTTCTATACTGTTTTTGATCCCTCGGTGCTAGTGGGCACATTTGTACGAAGTTATTTCTACTCAGATAACAACACAGCTCACTACGCCGCCTTCCCAGGAGCTGTTGTTGCTGTCTTTCGGTAGAAATCACATCGTCCAAATAATCCTACTAGAGTTTACCGGGTATGTGGTTTAAGTTTTTTAGGTATAGTCTAAACAGGGACACCCAGCCCTTAGCCATCCAAAATCAGAAGTTTCGTCTTGATATGGGGCAGGGGGATTTTTCCTCTCAATAGATCATGGCGCGCCGCACACAGGTAGACACCGTTCGTTTCAAAACGAGGGCGACTACCTGGGCGCCGCTCTCTACCGGAAAATCCTGCATGCGGCGCCGCATGACAAGTTCCAGAAATTCGTTTTGACCGCGGAGGAACACGTATGGAAAGAGTATCAAATGCAAAAATGTCTGGGTCTGGAAGAATGCAACTTGTCATGCTAAATCTGAAGCATGCAAAAATCTGTGTTCTACAAGTTTGAGAAATGCACTTCGTTGACCGTTTGAAAAACACATCACTGCAAGACTTCGAAGGCTGCTGAAAAGTACAGCAGTCCAGTCCAGTAAAGTTCTAAGTCTGAAACGGAAACAATAGGGAGTTAAAAAAAAAAAAAAGAAGAAGAAGCCTGCGAGAAGATTCGCGAGACTTGGCGCGTTCGTCCCAACGCCCCGCTATCGCTCTCAGAGCCTTCCAACTCTGCCCAGCCAGTGGATCCATTACGCGGCCGATGAAATTGATACAACCAAGATCAGCACGGGAGCACTCAGGCAGATCACGAAGCAGGGCGAGGAACTTACAGGATCCCAAAAATATGCGAAACAGGTAAAGACAAGAGGCGGAGAAGATCGAGCCCATTCAGATAGATGAGGCCGGAGACGATCCAGACCCAAAAAAAAAAAAAAAAAAAACGTCACTACGCCGGTAGCGAGGCCAGGCGAGCGTAACGCAGAGGGTTCGACTCGAATGGGCGAAGATAAAGATTCTGAACCGCGAGCCGGGAGCAGCTTGCTAGATGGGAAAGGGGGCGAGTTAAAGTGGAGAAGAGGCAAGAGAGGAAAAGGAAGGAGGCGAGTTAAATGGCGGCGAGTTAAATTGAAACGGAGGCGAGTTGAAGGGGAAGAGGGGGGCGAATTTAATTAAAGCGAAAGAAATGAGGAGGGAGGGAGATGAAGCATTAAACAGGAGGCCATCAGCTAGTAGCTATAAGCTCCGCCAATTGTATACGTAAGGCTTTTTCTTTTATAGTAGATCACGAATGGCGCGAGCCCTTTTTAAACCCCCCCAGCCGTCCCATATTTGCATGTGCGGGGAGTCTAAGTAACATGGCTCGCCCGAGTCATTGACGAACCGGGAAGATGGGAGGTGGGGTTTACAGTCTTCAGACAGGCCAGCCGCCGTGAGGGACTACCGCCTCTGTTATTGAGGATAGCGCGCGTCCTCCTCGACTGAGTTGCGTGCGCGGCCCATCCGTGTTCCGCGTAAATCTCTACAGGAGAGTGTGCGCCGCGTCGAAAGGCTCCCTTCCGTACGGAGCGCCCTGAGCCCGTTTTAGCGCACATTTAGGATGGCCTTACTGTTTAAAGGATGGGGGGAGTTAGATCACTTTGTAGAACCCAATCTGTTTATGCTAGCAAAGGGCTAGTGCGCTGTGGACCCCCAGGATCAGGTAGACGAGGTCCCAGACCGAAGTGGTAGGCGCTTAGGGTGAACTATGTATGTAGCGCTTAGGGCCCTTCCGTACGGCCAATTTGTATGTCCCGCAACGGGGTTCGCCTAAGTCGGTCATTTGTATGCAAGGCGTTGGGTTACCCGGTCGGCAGAGCCGATCCACAACGAACGAACGATGATTACCAAGAGTCGTTCAGTTTTGACCAAGTCGGGAGGGAGTCTCTCATGCAGGATAGGCATCAGAGAGATCGCACAGAATCTGTCATGCTAGGTCCTGCATTCCAGACCTCATGGGTCATGGAGAAACTGCATGACAAGTCTTGCATTCTTCCAGACCCAGACACTTTTGCATTTGATAAAGAGTGCGTAACTTCGATTCCAGCTTGACGGTTGTCATGGAAGTAGACACGAAGTGCAAGGATCAAAAGATCGTAGTATCCCTTTATGCAGCCTTGAAGCAAGCACTCGTTGCATCATGAAAGGTCGGTTTAGAGCGGCCCCCCACGACACCAGTGCCCACTTACGACAATCTTTCTGTGCAGATTCGATGTCGCGCGGAAAACTTCCAAGTGCATCTGTGGCATAATTGCTTGTGTTGCTGTTCTTTCGCCACTGAACATCAGGGGGTTTCGAAGTCGTGCACTCTCATAACACGGAAATCTTTTCGACTCTCCGACTGCATCACAATCAACAAATTCTACTTCTGCCGTCAGGGACGAAAACGAGAACAACTTTCTGGACCGCGTAGAGCTTTTGTACATCCGGCTCGTGCAAAGAGTCATTCTCGCCACTTTCCACCACAAGTTCATTGACACAGGGAACGAAATTTGGCGAGGGCTTTTGCAAATAAAGCTGGAGGAAAAAAACGAGGCGGTCGCTAGTACAAAGTTCGGGCTGCACTGCGCGACGGTGTAGCAGCTGTGCAAGGAACTACCTCAGCGCACGAAGTAGAGTTTCTGGCTTGACGAGTGATAATATAATCACTAGAGAACTTTTGCTGGCACTGGGTGGACCAAGAGTCCGTTTATCAACAAAAAGTACTGCGTTCGTAGGGATGGCATCATGCACGATACGCAGACAACAAGAAGTCGCCACACTGTAGCAGTAGCGGAAATCGAAATAAAAGTAGAAAATGAAATGTCAATGTCTGTCGTGGCATAGTGAGTCGGTGGCACGGTAAATGAAATTTCTTTCAGCCAAGATCTTCAGACAGGAGCAGGAACAAGGTTGATCCCCGAGTTCCATGAATGTGTTTCGTAGAAGATCCACGACTCGCGCTTCTCTCGAACTGTGACAGAAATATTTTCCTTCGGTCGAAGTACTTTCAACATGTGATTGTGATATTCAAAATGCTCCGATCCCGACGGAATTCGCAGTGGAAGTGGTCTGACAGCTCGGTTGAAATTTTCGTGATAGTGAAACGCCGGTGAAAAAACGATCTCCACGGGGAAATTTTGTCATAATGATCATGCGATCTATCGGTAAGAAGAGCTGGCTTGTTTGGTGTATAGTGATCGAAGTTCTGTGCGAATCGCATAATAATTCACCCACGACTGCAATCGAACGAGGCAAACACAAAGTTCTAAACTAACAACATTTTTGGCGGCCCGAAGATTATTTCCAGAGATTTCTAATTCACTAGGTGTCTACTAGTATTTTACTAGTGAGCTTATCTTCAATTTGAAGGAGTGAATTCATCAGTAGTTCAGCGCCGTCGACTGACGTTGTACAAGCTCGATGAAGTAAAGTAGCTTGTTTGCAAAACAAGTAGCTATCTGCAGTTGCAATAATTTATTTCTATTTTCTGCGTCCTCTCGCAATATTCATTGAAGATGACGCGCGTCGCTCGACTTCAGTATGCAGCTTTTACGGTTGCTGCCGTCTTCACGGTTTTTTTGCCGTCGCGTTGCCGCGCGGCCGGCTCCACCAGCCCTAATGAGTTTATGCAAAATAACGTTGCCGCGTCTCTACTAGGAGACGAGCGTTCCACGGGCCCACTGGCCGCGACCAGTGTCGGGTGGAATAACGCCGTCAAGGAGCAGTTGCGCCCTGCGTTTTTCCGGGGTAGGGCCAGGTTTCGGGAGTTGCTCCGCCATGTGCAGGAGGGTGACAAGAGCTACATTGTAGAACTTCAAGGCTTGACGCGGAAGAAAAAACCGGCACAGCCTTCCGGGGTTTTATTTTCGCAGTCTCTTCTATCGGACTGGTACGCGTTTCGGTCCGCGCTCAAGTTTCTGCACAAAAATGTCGGGCCAAGCACTGGACTACGCCTTCAAGACGCAGAAGACATCGAGGACGCGCCCTCGGCGAGTCTGATTGCCACACTGTGGCAGGAGGTGACGGGCGCCGACCCCTGGACGAAGACCGCCTACCCCAAGAGCCTCACCGCCGCGCTGTTGGCCTTGGAAAACGGACTCGGGGGAGGCCGCCTGGTAGGAGGTGTGCCGAAGGCTAGTGAAGAGCCAGGTACTAGGTCAACAGCATCCGATTTCTCACACGACGAAGACACACAGCTGCGTCGGCGCAACCCCCGCTCGCGCTCGTCTTCTTCCCGCAGCAGCACTCCTCGCACGGGAGGAACACAAGGCAGAGCATCGGGTCTTCGTCGGGAACGTGTCCGTTCTCGTGATGGAGGTGCAAGAGTTGCCGGGGAAGATGAATCTCCGGCAGGAAGCACCTCGACCGCGGCGTCGGCTCTGGAACGGCGGCCGCCCACTGCTACGGTCTGCGAACAGTATGTGGATTCAAGCACGTGGTCGGCCCCAGAACGGGGTTCGAGAATCAAAGCACGGTGCCCAGATATCGACCCCGGGAGCAGCCCGACTGACGAGGCACACATGGTTTACTGGGGCGATGATGCTGGCGCCAGGACGAGTGTACTGCAATTGTACTCGGCACTGAAGGCAAGAGAAACATACCAGGCAGTGGTAAAAAACGCCGGTGAGCTCGTCGTTCCGGATATTGAAAGCCTTCACTCTCCTAGCCAAACCTTCCCACTCGTTTGCTCCGAGTGGTATGCCGGCGGCCTGGAGCTGCGGTTGAACGTCCATCTCTTCCGTCTGCCTGTGAGGGCCCGAATGGGCAAGCCAACGCAAGACAAGAGCTCGGTAAGAATTTTATAGTAACTTCTGACGGTCGGATGATTGGTAGCTAAACCTAAGGATGATCAGGGGAGCAAGAAGGCATAACTTTTATTTACACAAGGACTTTCTTGGACCACAAGAACACCAAATTAAGTACAAACAGCAGCTCGTCCGTCAAAACAAGTAAGTAGTCCGCTTCGAGAAGTTCTGATGAACCTCAACCAAGAATAAAATGTAAACAATTGCAAAAAGAATTCCTTTACCACAGCGGCGGCCTTCAGATCTTGGGTCCACCTCGGTATCCGGTGAGGGCGAAGCGCGGGGCCTCATTGAGGAGGAAGATGCCGTGGCTTCTCCAAATGGCGAAGGCGATTTAACGCATGAAGAAGATGACTCCGGTACCCATGATGCCCCGATGGGGGCAGCTGTGCGCGTTCAGATCGTCAAAGCTACATGGGAACATGATTAAGAAGATGATGATACTAGAGGAACTACCGGGAGGACCGTAGATTGATGGAGTTCCGTGGCTTTTCAACAAGTCATTTTGCGCAATTTTCAGAAACGCTCGGGCTCCTTACGCGGTTCCGTTGTTTCTCCTTTTCAAAGTCGCGTTTAGAGTCACCTTCCTAATAAGTATTTTTTTCTCACAACAAAACAAAGCGAAAGCTTCGCGCTCTTGACTCCCAACCTTGAAAAATAGCATCTATGTATGATTGCGCTTTATTTTGTTCAACAGTCACGACGCCAGCGAGCTTGACCTTGAGAAATACACGACGTGCGTTGATGTCGAAAGTGTTGACTCTGAATCTGTCACCATCTCTCTCACCGCCTCTCTACTTGAGAACTCCGTACTCCGGGCGGGGTGTGGCTGGATGGGAATTCGGGTCTTCAACGTGGTTGCGCATGTCAAAAGGAAGTTTTCTCGACGTCAAAAGTGTGTAGTTGTGCATCTGCATGTTAGTTTTGCGGCGAAGCAAGGACACGACGCGGCAGAAGGTCGTGTATACACAATTTCTAAAGAAATAGGACGCAACCTCCGAAGAAGAACGAGGCACGAAAGTGAAACAGGACCTAGTAACCCACTTCACACTCCCCTCCACGTGATAGGAACAATTTATACCCCGCAGTGAAAGAAGATGCGAAATTCCTCTTGCGTCGGCTTCACGATTTTCGCAGGAGAGGAAAGACCTGAATACCTGTGTTCCCTTTTTTCCCAAAAACGGAGCTATCTTATTGGTCAGACTGTTTTTTCAGGCTGGAGTACTTCTAGTTCATCCCTGATGTAGTTTTGAGATTTGCTCTCCAACGGCGGTTCAATACTGGTCGAGCAATAAATGTCGGTTCCTTTTTACAAAAATGCACGGGCCGACGAGCGTGCTATTGTCTCTCCCATTAAATAAGGATTTGCAGATGAGATTTTAATCGTGTCCCCTTGGGCCCACCACGAGAAACATAAAGCGAAGCGTGAAAGAGCAAGATGAGAAACGCTTCGCTTGGCATAGAACAGCAGCTCTGCTTTTTTGGCTCAGTGCCTCCTACCAGTGACTCCTCCTCCTACTTGCCGACCCCACAGATCGCGCGTCGCAGAGATCACATGATAATGGGGATCGTGCCAAATTATTTTCTTTCCTGAGTAGGAGTACAACAGTACAAGTGCCTCCTTCTGCTGGAGTTAAGTTTTCTACAGGACGATATAGACGACCTACCGTCACAAGATCAAGGCTCGACGGCTGATTGAATTTTCTTTCCGCATGAGATCAAGACAGTTCCCGGTTCCTTCTTACCTTCGCAGAGCTACCGGATACGAGTATGCAGACGAACTTGACTACACTTCTGCTGGTCGTTCATCTAGAAGCGGATTAATTCTTATCGCGTTGGCTAATTACGACAAAGCGTTGCCTCTTGCTTCTTCTCTTTCTACTTCTGCGTGTCCGCACGAAAGATTTTTTGATCTCTACTTTGATTTCATTCCATGATGTTTTCTGGGCGCATCCGCGAGAACACGGGCCGCTACCCTGTTGGGGTAGAGGAGGGAATGACAGACCAGGGGGTTCCCTACCGATTTTTCTTTCCCCTCCCGGCGCGGGCCGCGAGGCTGCAGACGCACCGGGCGAAACACGTGCGGGACTGGTGTACCATGTTGGACGGGCAGTATTGGATCGTGAGCTTTGGTGCCGGACGCATAAGTTTGCGAGCGACTAAAGACGACGCACAGTGGAAAAAATTCTTGAAGCGCATTTTGTTTCACGACGTCATCCGGATGTGTCTCTTTTCCGTCGCTCTCGTTTGCAACTTAGTAAGTGACTTCCTTTCCGCCGAATGCAGGCGAAAATGCTGTTCCTTCTTTGATGGCGGCGCATTATCCTTCCTGTCGTTCACGCTTCCAGCTTTTAACCTCCTACCCGCTTGGCAGGCACGGTATTTCAAGTCCGAGTGTCCCGCTAGTGGCTCTTCGGACAAGTGGATTCTCTACTCGCACGGCCTCACCTATGGAGCTGTCAGGATCGAAATCAACAAAATCGAAATAATTTGTGATGCGTAAAATTTATACGAGCTGGAGGCTCAGCTGTCAAGTGGCGCATGACAAATTTCGGGAGCACCAACATCCAGTCTGTCATGCTGTTTGGTCAAAGATGACTGCTCCTGTCATGCTACTCTGGCAGCGCATCGCCTTCCCCTAAACAGGCGCACAACCGGTCTCATTTGCCTGCTCCCCAACACAGGCCTTGCGTGCGCTACATTTTATGCATTACAAATTTTTCGACTTTATCGATTTCGATCCTGACACTTCCATATCACCGCCTCCACCGACGAGCACGCTTTGCTCCATGCGGAGTGGTATCAACTGTAAAAATGTCTGGGTCTGGAAGATTCTGACACTTGTCATGCACGTTTTGAATGAGCCGCGATGTCCGTGATGCATACCCAAGCAATACAAATTTTTTCACGGCTTCTTGATGCCTATTCTGCATGACAAATGCCTTCTCAGTGTCGCAGAAATTGCATTTCCTTTGCTACTCGTGCAATACAGATTTTTTTTGAATCCAAATGCAGCATGACAAACTTGTATTCTTCCAGACTCAGACATATTTGCACTGGATAAGTGGGTATGATACAGAAAAACACAATCGCGCCGGATAGACGGAAGACAAGTATAAAAACAAGGATTGACTTGTTATGTCATTTTTCAGAAAAAAATTATTCTCAAGATGTTTGGTTCTGATACCACATTCTAATACGCACGTGGACGTCGTGGTCGTGACATAAGTAGCACACAAAGTCCTGTGGCATCCTGTTGAATAGCGTAAAGACCACGTCAGCAGTTGTCCAGAAGCCCTGCTCACATGATGCATTTATGGCAACATATTCATTTCAGACAGCGTTTTTCTGTGTGATACCAAGCGAGCCACGGTTACAGAGTGTTCGCACTGCACCACACCGAGGGGTCTGCGTGCCAAGTCTGGACCGTAGACGGAGGGAGTGGAAAGTTATCCAGCGCAAATGCGACGTCTGGGTCTGGAAACTTTTGATGCGAAATTGTGGATGTTCCGTGGAGCAAGTGGAAGTGCACCTAGTATGGCAGGTTTTATTTGAAACGCCCCCTTATGGTGCTTATTGCGGATTTGAGGCCGCGGCGCTTTTCCTGCATGACGCAAATGAAGTATTTTGGTCAACTTGCACTAATTTCCTCTAAAAATAAACGCAACCAAAAGAAGCACCAAAAATCATTCCAGAACCACACAATGTTGATCATTTTTGCGCTGTATAAAGGCGGAAAAGGATTGATTTCGAGCTCGCCCCCTTCACCCGGTGCGACAGCGAGATAGATGAGGAAGTGGAAAGGCGGTGCACGACCAGCGCGGAAGATGAAAAAATAGCCCCCAAAGAAGCGAAGTCGCGGATTTTTCACGAAGTTTGTGTCGACTGGCGGGAAAAACGGTGCGAGCAACGGGCGCAGCAAATGTTTGAGGCCTGGAAGTTTCTGGTATCAAATGTAAAAATGTCTGGGTCTGGAAGAATGCGCGATTTGTCATGCAGCTTGTCCATGACCCATGAGGTCTGGAATGCAGGACATAGCATGACAGATTCTGTGCGATCTTTCTCATGCCTATCCTGCATGAGAAACTCCCTCCCGACTTGGTCAAAACTGGACGACTTTTGGTAATCATGCAACACAGATTTTTGCATGCTTCAGATTTAGCATGACAAGTTGCAATCTTCCAGACCCAGACACTTTTGCAGTTGATATCTGGAAAAGCGGTACGAAATTTTTCACTGTGGTAGTGCACGTCAAGAGGAGGAGGTGGCTGTTGGCGATGAAAATGGGAATCTCAAAAATGCGCCGGGGAAAGAATCCCAAATAAAGCAAAGACAGCCCGTGAAACCCATCCTCGCGGGCTTCAGCTACGGGGCCACCACAGCGCAGGTTTGCCTGCAAAAGTTCTTCTCGCAGCGGCCGGAGAGCGACCCTTTAACATCACCTGCGCCACCATTTTCGACGAATGCAGTAGTACCAGCACAACTTCCTCCTGGTCCCTCCGGAACAGCTGCTTCACGCCGGGAAGAACAAGGTGAAAAACAACTACACACCGGGGCCGCGCCGTGCTCCTGTGCAAGAGCCTTGATCTCGATTGACGGCTGGTACTCTATTCCGCTGGGGGAGACAGGATTCGACTTTCCGCGCGTGCTGACTTCCGCGGTTGCGGAAGCGAAAACTGACCAGCAAGTCTCCATCCAGCGCGTGCCGCAATTCTGGAACCTCTCGGAGGAATTTGCGAGGCGAACGCCGGAGAAAGAGAACCAGGAGCGGATTCTATCCTGTGTGAAATAAACGGGTCTATTTCATCATCGCTTTTTTATTGCAGAATTCACCATCAGTTGACTATTTCTTTTGAAGTGGATACGTTTTGATATTTTACACAGGATAGATGGCGAAAGGGCTGTTTGGTGTCGCGGGAAAAAAATTTCCCTTGTACAAAGGGGTGCTGCACATGGAGATGTGCGAACTATATCCTAGGTAAAAGCATACCCACACCATGGATGGAATGAATTTTGCAGCACATCAAGCTAACAAGTTTTGGGTGCTGCGCAGAGCACAATGCGATTCTCAGTATAATTGTTCTCGTGGTTCTTAGGAGCTAGTGGCAGCCGCATCTTGATGTTGATGAATCCATTTTCTAGTCCTGATTAGGGAATGATAAACAAGTTTCTAAATAAATGATCCCCAGAAAGTAAGCCCCAGGGGAAGCAGCAGCCGCACGAGACTGACACCTTCTGCACATGCCGCATTTCTGCATGAAAAATGTCGAGGGTGGGTACGTTTTTGAAGACGACAAACTCCCCAATTTTATTTTCGTCGGTGCGTTTGCCCGGTGTGTGGCCCTCGTGCGGATACTGTTCGTGCACTACCTGCTTCCCTTTCGCGACAAATACTTTGCCACCTCGAAGGCTAGTACAACGGCGACATCTAGTTCGGAGTTGACACGATCAAAGACAGCAACAGCAGGCCACGGAGGTGATACGAGCAAAAGCCAGACAGAAACAGTGCAACAGGAGTGGGACATTACTGCGCCACTGTTCCAGCTATCACCCGCAAATAGTGAAGATGTCTGGGGCGGACGGGGAAATTTTCATTTTGAATAATGAGATGCAAAAGGACTTTTTCGCCAGGATGCATGGTTTTTTATTTTCCTTTGATAGTCGTCCGAGGAAAGAACCAGAACTCCTTCACGAAGAAGCATGCCGGGGCAAGTGCTGCCCCGCGTTTTTGCAGCCTGCGCCGCGTATACAACAAACCTTACTCCTCGCATCAAGGGCCGCAAAGCATGTCCCACGCGGCATGATAATTGCAGGTGGTTTTGACTCTTTTCCATGTAGTATTTTTACCCCGCAACCACAGCCATCCATTCTGTTTGCGCTTCATACCCTCACCACAAATACAACTGGTGGCTCGAGTCTCGGGTGGACGCAGTCGGCGTTTATTATTCGATGGTAGACCGAATTGTCGAGTTTTTGCAAGACCTCGACGGTCATGAAGACGACGACTCTGGCGCTGGCAAGGATGGCAAAAATGCAGCAGCACTACAGGAACAACAACAATCCGCTGGTCGGCCGGACACGGTGACAGATTCTGAAGTTTTTTCGCCCGTTCTTGCAGTTCCCCACGATGAGATGGATCTGAAGAAAACGAAATGACGTGGACGTCGCAACAAAATTGTGTTTCCACTGAAGATGATTGATATGATACTTCTGGTCCGCAGAAGTCCTTGCGCATAGTTCGTATCTCGTACCTCGCACATGCACGGAACCTTACACGCAGTTTTGCTTTGGGAAAAAACAAGACAGAAGCACGACCGGCGCTTCCTTTTCTGCGGGGCATTCGTGTTGGTGTTCCTGCGTGCTGGTAAGAATAAGTAGCAACATCGATTCGGTAATGATACCTCGTGTCTGATGTTTTCTGACAACCTACTGTAGATGTAGCTCCTACCGCTCGAGAACCTTCATGAGCATTGATTTAAGTATTAGCAGAGACTTGAAGTAGCTTTTTGTCGCTCAATTCAAAGCTTTTTTTCGCTGTCGCTGAACCCTGTTCATCCGCTTCTAGATGACTCACGGCGGTGTGATGTAAAAATGAGGTGTCGTGGCTTGCCTTCTTATTTTCTCATTTCTTCCGCAGCGTGGTTTTATTGTTGATAGATTTGTCTAGTAGCGCCGTTGTAGTATTCAAAAATGTCGTCGCTTTTCAAGAACACCATTGCGGCGGGTCACGCTGGCTCGGTAGCTGTGGGATCATCCGGCGAAAGCGTGCTGGTTGATGAGACTCGGAACGTTGTGCCAGAAGGAAGTCATGCAGGCACTCCTGGAATGGCGTCTCCGTCTGGCGAGACGAATGTGCGGGCACCAGACGAGGCGAGAAGAATAACGCAGGGCACTGCTAGTGCTACCACGACGAGCTTCTACTACGAGCACGAAGCTGTAGACGACGACCCGGAGAATGCGTTGGGCGTTCCCCCGCGCGAGCCGGAATTGCACTTCCTGAGTCCGTTCGACCTGCTCAACATGAACCGCGCTGTGCCAATATTGTGAGGAAAAATCCCCCCTCCCCATAGCAGACCGGGATACTTCTGAAAATTTGTGATGCTGATTTGACACCACAAATCGTCGCTGTATTGCAAGAAGGCAAATCCAAAAACCTCGGCGCGTCCTGCAGTCAATTTGCAATGCTGTATGGCCTACGGAGGATATGCCTGCCTTGCTAGGCGCCTACACCAAAACGCCCCTGCTCCGGCTTAGTATCTGCCTGCAGTCCTCTACCGCAAGACCAAGCCGATTTGTGTACACAAATGCCGCATCACAGATTTCCAGTTCGATATGGGGAGGGGGGGTTTTTCCTTTCAATAGCCGATGGTGTGGTTCTACGAGCAGACAGGGCGCCGGGCTTCATCAGGTCACTTCCCCTGCTCCAATGACCTTTTCTGCAAGAGTCTTGCGAAAGTCCTCGCGATCCCAAAGTACAGCGTGTTGGCTATGGCGTTCTCAATCGTTACATTCTCAACTGTTACATGATTTGTCATGCAAAAACACTATCACTATTCACAATCACGCGATCAAGCCTTCTTCGCATGGCAACTTCTCGACGCGCTAAATAGCACTAGAATCCATTCCAAATCTGTAATGCAAAAGGCGTAATCTGCCTCCTTTCACTTTTGCCCTTCTTGCATATATAAATTCGTGTAACAGTTGAGAGTGTAACGTTTGAGAACGCCATATTGGCGGGCCGCTACAGCTACCGAGACTTGGAAATCTATGATGTCGAGGGCGAGGACGCCGAAAAACAAAATGTAGTAGAGAATGGCACTACAGAAGGTAAGGACGAGGATAATGAAAATGAAAACTTAAAAGTGTCTCAACACGATCTTAAGCTTCTCACCACTTCAAAAATTGTGGACGCTGAAGAGCAAGACGATGCTCCTCTAGACGACGAATCGGCAGCGCAAGCCGGCGAAGCAGCTGCAAAGGAACTTACGGAAGTCAAGAACATTGGCGTTATTGAGGACATCGCACCGCCGGAGGAGACACTAGACCACGACGCGGGTCTTGATCGCGCCGAGGACCAAGTCTGCGTGGCAGAAGGTGAGGAAGCCGCCCAGGAGAGGTGTAAAAATGATGATCCTGGAAAATCAAACCCTGCTAAAGATAGTTCTTTACACGACGAGGTTCTTGTCGAGCAGGAGAAGAAGCCAGAACCTGTTGTCTCCACCTCCGATGCGGAAAAGGAAAAGAAACTGCGGCCGCAGCCCAGGCTCGTGGAGCTGTGCAACGCGGGTGTACCAGTGGAGTTCTGCACTTTAGCCAACGGCTTTGGAGGTGCAGGCGCAAGCGCGGAAATGGAAGGCCGAAAGTCGCTTGTTGATGCAGTGACCTTGCCGAAAGAGACTGAAGGGGTTGACAACTCCAACACTACTCCCCTACGTGGAAGAAGACCTGCCGTCCTCCGGCCGCTGACGCAATTTGAGCAAGTGACCCAGCATCTGACCATGAATGTTGGTAGCAGCACTTATGACCTTGACCACGACGTCGTGCATTACCAATTCTTCGAGCGCGATCGGCACGACCAGTTTTTACCGCAAGCCGCAGGGAAGCAAGTGATGGATCCGGATGCGGGGCACACCGACGCGCCGCTCACTGCGATCAGGGTGACACGCTTTGCGGATAAATCGGGGTTTGCGATCGGAATTCTGACTCAGCACTATGGGATTGCGTAACGCGTCCAACCCTTCTTGTTTCCCCTTGTTTAAAGGACAAGATGCTTAAGCAGTAACAGCAGCTGCAGCAACACTTGAGCTTGTTTCATCGCACTTATTTATTACAACAAGTGAAGCACATCATGTGGACTCGAGTTGTACTCTTACGTTGACTAGGTCGTCCCAAATCTTGCTCTGTCACACGAGCAGTGCCCTCAAATAACAGCCCCAGTAGAGAGCAAACTTGGCATTTTGCATGAGAAATGAGGGACTTTATGCGCATTTTGCATGACAAATGAGGGGGTTCGTTTTGCGGGTTCATAAGCACGGCGTTTTCGACGGGGACTCCATGGTCATGTTTGCGACTGACTGGGCCCGGATGCACAGAGAAATGTTTTCTGCGCCGGATGTCCCTTCTGACGTAAAACAAGACGTTTCAACATCCCACCCAAGCTCTGGTGCTTCCGCCCCAATCACAGTAGATGTAGATCAACATCAGCAGGAAGACACCGCGGGCGGTCCTCCCGTGATAAAAACTCTTCCCAAGAAGGAGCGCCTGTGGCCGTGGCTGTCCCGCCGTACCTCAACACTGTCGTCGAGTTCGGAGGAGGAGCGGAGGGACGTGGGAACTGGCGCGATGCTTACTGGCGATGGAGCGCAGAGCAGTGCTACGGCGGGGGAAGAGCAGCAGCTAGGAGGAGGTCATCGAGCGAGCAGTAGCAGTTCTCAAGAGGTGCCGACGCCGGATCATTATAGCACCACTGGCACAGCGCGAGACCCAGACGCGGAACAAGTAGATCCAAAGCCGCTCGCGACCACCGTCGTTCCACCTTGTTCAATACCGTCCGCACCTTTGATCTTCAAAAACCGTTTGCGCGCGGTTCCCCTCGGCACTCCGGCGATTCCGGAATTCCTCCCGGTTTTTCCAAAGATCAACGGAACGGCGTGCTGCGTGGTGGGTTTTCCGAAGAAACTGCTGGCGAAGATGAAGCAAACAGTGATTGCCGCGGGTTTGGAGAAAGATTATGAAGCGACTAGTGATTATGAAGCAACTAGAACAACAAACGCGGCATGTAGTACAACAACGTCGATTATCAACTGTAAAAATGTCTGGGTCTGGAAGAATCCAACTTGTCACGCTGATTTTAGATTCTAAAAAAATCTGTATTGCATGAGCAGCAAAGAGAGTCCAAGTTTTGCTACACGGAGCGAGCATTTGTCATGCGGTATAGGCATCAGGAAGCCCTCTAAAAATCTGTGATGCTAGGGCATGCATCACAGACATCAGGAGTCATGCAAAATGTGCATGACAAACCCCTCCCCGGGGGGTTTGTCATGCACTGACAAAAAAAGGCGGAACGCAGCGAGGAGAGTTGCCTCGCTGTCGTTACCGACCCGAGAAAGATCCGCATCGTAGATGTACGCACGCAGTGCGAAAGATCCTGTAGCTTTTTTTTTTTGGCTGTCCCCCACTTATTAGATTGCCGCCAAAGATTAGAGATAGCGTTACTCCCTTGCCGCCTTCGCGATATTTTTTTTAGCGGACCCCGCACGATATCCCTGATGCGTTTCCCGCTTAGTATTGCACAGCTTGGACACATAGACACCCCTCGCTATGGCACACCTTATCTGCCTAGTCGCCCCTAGGTAGGTGCAGGAATTTTCTGTGTGGGCTCTTTGTGCTTAATTATTCCAACAGGGGCTGAGTCTTTTTTTTCTGCCTTTCCAGCAGAGTTGTACAGATGGGGGGGAATTGACGGAACTGGCGCGAGACCTTGGTGACGGAGCAGGCGACAAGGGCGGAAATGGTACAAATCAAAAAAAAAGATGGTGTACACGCGCACTGCTTAACTGTGTGAAAGGTGTCGGCCCTGATTGACCTGCTGCGGCAGGCAGGTGAATTCGTAGAACTGCTTCACATGTTAAGTAACGCCCACCGGCCTCCTAGATTAGTGATGAATTTATATGCGTTTTCAGAGTGGGGCCCAATGAAAAAAAAAAAAAAAAATGTGCATGACAAACCTGGCAATCTTCCAGACCCAGACATTTTTACATTTGATATCGATCACCACCGATGACATTCTCACGGCGATCGTGTGGCGCGCCCTGGTCTACGCCCGGGTGAAGCAACTCGCGCTCGACTTCACGAACAACGATGTCGTTACCACCGTCGCGCGGGCCTGCAACTTTCGCGGCCGGAGGTTGCAGAACGCCGTTCCCAAGGATTACTGCGGCAACGCGGTGTATCAGAAGGAAAAATCCCCCCTCCCCATATCGCGACGAAGTTTCTGATGCTGGATCTGCGTACGCAAAGCAGATGTGTCTTGCTGGCGAGGACTGCAGGCCTATGTCAGGCCTCAGTAGACAGGTTTTGGCCTAGGCGCTTAGCATGACAGACGTCCACGCTGTAGGAGCAACAGCATGACAAACCGCCTGTAGAATGTGGCGGCTGTGACGATTTGTGGTCACAAATCAGCAACGCAAATTTTCGAAAACGTACCTTGTCAATATGGGGAGGGGGGATTTTTCCTCTCAATACGGTGGCGTCTGTGTTCACGAGGCTGAAAGTGAAGGAGCTGCTACTGCAAAACGACCGCGAGCACGAGGTCGGGAGCATCGTGCCGTCCACAATTATTGCGGACATAGCGTTGCGACTCAGGCGCGACTTGCAAGCGCAGGGACAGAGGGACCAGGTCGAGGCTTTAGGACAGTGGCTAGAAGAAAGGCAAGCCAAGCACGAGAAAGTGGTGCATGTCTTCGACGAACACGCGCTGACTTTCATCATTTCTTCCTGGAACTTCGAGTGGGAAGAGGCGGGATTTAGTACCAGTGGAACTTCTACCGAGGGTCGCGAAGAAGGCCAAATGCAGCTATACAACCTGGTCGATAAAAACAAAGTTTCAGATGTTCCTCGTGACAATTATGTCATCAACTACCCAAAATTTTACGACCACGGAGCGCTCGTTCCGATAGTCTCCGTCTTCACAAGAAGGCCGGACTGGCAAGGTGGTGGACTGAATGTGTACGCCACGGGCACGAGTGAATTCGTAAAGACGTTTGCTGAGTACCTGGACAAAGTGAGTAAGTATTGCGTATTTTTCTCTACTCTCCTGGAGAACAAAGGAGGCCTTTGTGGTGGTGCCTTTTTTTTTGGAGGTCCTTCGGCCCAACGGATGTTCATCAGAATCCTGGTTCCTCGGAGTCGACGTCCGCTGTGCTACTCCACTTTTGTTAGAGAAATAAAATGGCGTCAGTACTTGTCGCGATCTTGGACGAATGCTCGGCTGAAGTACAAGGTAGGTACTACCCCTGGATCCCTAGGTGGACCTAGGATTTTAAAAAAAGATTGCATGGACCACCTTGTCATTGACAGAAACTAGTTTGTTGTACGCAGGTTCTTCTGTTTTTCTTTATGTTCCGAGTACAGCCACAGAGTGGGACACGAGCTCCGCGTTTTTGTTTCAAAATGAATATGTTGTTTTGAATTTGACTGATCCGTCCTCGATCGAATCGGGGCCAGGCCCAGGGAGTGGCCCCTGCAACTGGTGCTTTCAGGACGTTACAATGGAAACGATCGCGCGAGGGCTGATTTTCAGTTCCCGCAGCGCCAACACTCTTCATTCGCGCAGGCACACAATGATCCAAAAGATCCACAAGTTTTGTAGTGTTCGGTAGTCAGGATCAGAAAGATCTTTAGTGTTTCCGCGAGCGCTACTTTCACTTTTCCGTATTGTCGAACCCCCCCCGACGACCTGTTTTTGTGACATATTTTGAAAGAGCAATAGGAAGCTGGGCATCTTGTCCCAACATGACGAACAGGGCCAAATTTACGAAACTAGATGTAGAGCAGTTGAACAAGCTACAATTGGTAAAAGTAGAGTCGCGGATCTTTTTTTTCGCAAGCGAGTAAGTAGGGCTCCCTTTAGATGACATCTGTCACGACTGTTTCAGTAGTAAGTAGCAAGTAGAACTAGTATTCCTCGGGTACGCACGAGTAGCACCGACTCTGACAAACCATGGGATTCAGCAGAAGTTTAGTTTTACTCATACGCCCTGGAAAATTTTACTTGAGCTACGAAAGCGGTGCCGTGCGTTATTTTTGTTTTCGCGCAATTGTTTGATTATCATTCGAGTTCTGCCGCTGGGCGGAAGACACGAGATAGAGCTGCGTGGAGTCTATTTTCTATGATAGAAGAACGTCATTGTTCATTTGTGCTGTCGTATTTTTGTGGAAACAAGTACAAATTTTGTCTTGCCGTTGCCTAGTAGGTGAGTATTTTCAACACATTTTGCCGAAGCAATTTCGACTTTCACTAGGTCGAAGCTTATTTTTTATCGCGCTGATTCAAGAACCACCTTGACCTTCCACAATGCCCAAGAAGCCATCCAAAGAGAAAGGCGGTACGAAGAATAAGAGAAGTGGAGGTCGTGGGGTTATTACCGGTCATATCGTGGATGATAACGAGACGGAAGCAATAATATCAAGGCCGCAAGAACAGATCGATGCAGCAGCAGCTCTAGATGAGGAACCACAAAATTTTGATGTGGGGAGGTCTTCCCCAGTAGTGGAACGAAAAGCCACGAGTGTCCAAGGCGACACGGCAAGGACGAACGAGCTTGGAGCCAAGGCTCTTGTGGGCGGTGGAAACGATGACGCTTTTCCAAGAGGAAGAGGTGTTGGTGTTGGTGAAGACAAAAAGCAAGTAAACCACGACGACCCTGGCAGGCCGTCGTCGTCCGCGAATCATCTCGGTGAAGAAGATAACACTCATGTAGACAAGTCGAACTCGTCCTCCCCACGCGGCGACGAAAACGGCGGAGAGATGCGAGGAAAGTCCTCCAGCATGCTGCATTCGCCATCGCCGGAGCGGGAGGCAAAAGCAGCAAGGATCATAGAGGACCTGCGTGACAATTTCCAAGATAGTCGCCAACGTTATGCTGAGACCTCGAGGGGCTATGATGCGACGAGTGCTAGTTCGTCTTCGTCACCAGCGGGTATGATGGTAGAAACAGGGGCTGCAGCAAGTAGGTCGTCTGGACAGCAGCAAATGATACAACATCAACCCCCCGCTCGCACCGCGGAGGTTTCGTCTCCGGCACGAACGTCTTCCAGCAAGGAGCAGACTATCCTGGACAAGGAGCGAGAGCTGGTTCTGCTGATTCATCAACACCTGCAGGCGGGAAACTCCGTGACTTTATCGGACCTGAACGGCAACAAGAACTGGAAGCGCCTGTTGAAGTTTCCGCTGAAGGAAAACAAGCTGAAGGCGGTCCGCGCGAAGCTGTTCCAGAAACACCCGGATTTGTTCTTCGTCAAAGACAACGAGGAGGTCTGCGCGCTGTTTCCTGGCGGGTTGGGAGGGCGGGGTGATACGGGACCACACTCCCTTTCTGCTAGTTCTGCTTCTCTCGTAGCTGGGACAGTGGGGGAAGCCGGCGTCCGGGGAAATGTTGCTGAAACAGCTTCAATAAAACAGTCCGCTGGAGGAGGCGTTCTTGCGGGTGATCTTCACGTCCTGCAGGCACCACCAGCCGGTGGTCTTTCCAGCCAGACGGGCGGCGGTGTGGATGCCAGCAGTAGTAGCACGAATTTTACTGTTGCGAGGCGGGCTCCAAAGTCCATTTTGAAAAAGGTGTCGGCACCGCACGACATCACGGCAAGTAGTAGCAGTAGTGGTAGTGCGAAGCACCATCATATACTTGATCATTACGCTCCCCACCACCACACGAGCACGAGCACGACGCCGGCGTGTAGTACTCTTAACGTCGAGCAGGAGGACTCGAGCTCGCACACGTCCAGCGATTGCGACGGAGATGTCTCGGATTGGTCTTCCGTGGACTTGTATGCGTTGCAAATATGTCTGGGTCTGGAGGGATGCGAACTTGTGATGCGCATAGCACGACGCCCACAAATCTCTCATGCATAGGCAGCAAAAGATCGCCACTTGCTGTCTCCAAAAGTGGGGATCTGTCATGCGGATTAGGCATTGCATAAGCTACTTCTCGAAATCTGTGATGGTAGGAGCTTCCACAGATAGAATTTCTGTGCCATGCAAAGACAGCATGGCAAACTCGTGCACTCATCCAGACCCAGACACATTTGCATTTGATAACTTGGATTTTTTCCTGCCTCGGAAACATGTAGTCGGGAGAGACCACGACAGGAAGAACTGCAAAGGCGGGCTGATGACGAGTAACGCAACTGTATTCACTTCACAACCGATGAAAAGCTGCAGTGGCAGCAGCAACAGCAGCCACGACGGCCGTACTGAAACTGAGTCAACGGAGCCGGAGGGCACAGAAGAAGCAACAGACGCGCCGGATAGCCAAAATTACAAGACATCGGCTGTTGCGGAGATCGAGAGGCCGTTGAGGAACACTACAGAGGCGGACAATAAATCGTCTTCAGAAACAGAGGAGGAAAAGGAGGAGGAGAACTCAAAAAGGACCATTCAGGAGCCTGACCAGGAGGACGGAGATGAAGGTGGTGGTATTTCTACAAATGCAGTCGTTCGGCGTCCCGGGCCAGTAGGAAAAATTCTTCTCGAACCAGAGAACAAGAACGGAGCCTCGGCGGCCGTCATCGCCCAGGATACCGCCGCGGCGATGCTGTTTTCGCTGCAGCTTCCGATACCCAGTCTGACCACCAACTTGATCCACCAGCTCGCGCGGGACAGTATCAACGATAAGGCTTGCCATAGCCTGCGCAAAAGTATCGTACTCGTAGTAATTGCAGTCATGCATTACAAATCTCTTTCATGAGGAAAATCCGCATTACAAATTTTATTTCTCATGCTGAGAAAATATGCATTTTCTTACGAATACGGAGACGATACTTTTGCAATTCATATGCCACCGCTTCGTCAACGAGCACTGGAATTCCGACGACGAGCAAGGGGGACGAGGAACACTCTCATCTTCATCAGCTTTGTCTTCGAGCCCCGCAGCAGCTGCAGCTTCTGCGGATCGAAAACTACAGCTTCACCTAGGAGAAAATGCGGCGAAAGATGATCTGCAAGATCACGACTTGGCAGACGAGTCTGCACCTGCTCACTCCACTTCTCGTTCTTTTCGTACTAGCGCTACCCGACCATCCACGACCGACGTGGTTTTTTTCGAACCTACCAGCACCGGTGTGATGACAGGCGATACCGTATTGCTGGAGGAGCCGCTGCACGAAACGCCACGGGGGGAGAGGGATCATGCTGGAAGTGACCATCCGTGTCGGAGAGGAGCAGGGGAAGAGGAATTTTTACATCAGCGGCCTGGTGATGACAAGGACACTCCTTCTTTATCGTCTGCTGCTAGTACGGCAAGCAAGGAGATCACGAACAATTCTGTGGAGCTGCAGATGAGGCTGGAAGCGCTTTCACCCGGCGAAGATGGGACTGGGAAAGGGCGGGAAGATGAAGTTGGTACTACGTCTATGGCAATAAAGAATCATGAGGTCGACGACGACGAAGCCTCGACAAGTTCGACGTCGCCCACGAGCCCCGGGCCGGCGCACGGGAAGATCTACGACCGCCAGCGACGCATCGCCGCCGCGGCGGTGAAGAACGGCCACAAAATCACGCGAGGGCCCGGTGGAGCTGGTCCTGGGGGCCCGCTCGCGGGGGGCGGTGTTGACGCAGCGGCCACCGCAAAAAACCTGGAGCTGGGGTATCCTATGTAAAAACGTCCCCACCCCATAGTCAAGATGGGAAATCGGCTAGACAAATCCACAAGTTTTGGCTGTTTTGCATGACAAATTCGGACTCGTAGTGTAGTGCTGTTTGAGGTAGCTCAGCAGCAGCACAGATCCAGCGCACCATGCTGATTGGAGCATGACAAATTTCAAAAAGTGACTAGAAAATGCTTCCCATGGGGCTCCGCATGAGAGACATGCATAGCATGCAGATTTGCATTACAACTATGGGGTGGGCATGTTTTTAAATACGATGTGGGGCTGCCTTTTATCAAGAACCGGGTCCGCTTTAACTTGAAGCCGGAATTCCAAAGTATCGAGCGGCGGGGAAGGAAAGCGAAGGGGGCCGGGAAAATGGCTACCAGCGCTGGACGGGGCGCGGCGGGAGTTGGAGGAGCAGCTGCAGGTTCTTCTTCGTCTTTCCTTCCGAACGAGAGGCAGCGAAGCGCTTTGCTAGCCACCGGGAATAGTAAAGGTGAATCAACTACCGCTACTAGCACAGGGAAAGGAAGTAGTTCTTCATCTTCCAAAAGCAACGCAAAAATCTCACCCGCGAAGGTCGCCAGCAATGAAAATGAGTTGCCAGTACCACAAGGCGAGATCACGAATGCGGGTGAGGTGGATGAAAGTGAAATATCTCACGATAAACATGGTGCGAGCTGCCAGGGCGCAATTATAGATGGGAACGTCAGTCGTGACACTGTTCCTACAGAGAAGGAGAATAACATGGCTCTTTCTACTCCTCCTTCCGCCGAACGACCCGCAGCAACAGACGTTAGCCTAGCAGCAGAACTTGCTTTACCGACTACTTATCTTCAAAACGGGGAAAGCAGGATACCCCCCTCGGCGATTTGTTCGGAGACAACAAATCCTCAAGAAGCAGGTGAGCAACAGTGTTTGTCTCCGCGAGAAGGCGAGGATCCAGCAACCGCCGACGAAGCAGTTTTATCGGTTCAGCCAAAAGATGTTGACACAGGCTTCCCGATCCCGACAAACGCTGACGCAAATAATGGCATGACTGTGCCCGCGCCTGGAATTGCCGACACTGCGGCCGATGAAAGCTTTGAGACGGAAAAACAAGAACCCGCACAACTCGACCCGAAGCCGGACGATGCAGCGGCAGGGGAGGAGGAGCCGGGAGTGCTTTTTCCGAGTCGTGAAAAAGACCACGACCGGGGCATATCTTCAGAAGGGCTTGTTGGTCATTCGCGTCAACGTTCTGGGTCTGACAGCAACCACGCACAAGACCTGAACCACGAAGATTTTAAATTCGTTGGCTCAGCCAGTGCATTAATATTCGAGCCGGCCGAGCAACGGGAGGTGAGCCTATCGCAGCTCGCGGGGGAAGACAGCGCCCGCAGTCTTCCGCCACCATCTTCCTCGAACAGGGAAGCACGAAGCGCCGCAAAATCGATCGCGAGGTTGGAGACGACCACCGGGTGTGAGCGGACGCAGCCGGTCTGGAATTTGAGCCTGAGTAACGACGACGAGGACGATGATGATGATGGTGATCATGCTATACAGGATGCGGCACTCCCTCCGGATACTCGCTCAGGAGAACGAAGTAAACAAGAACGTGATGGAATAGCTTCCTCAACTGTTCCTCAGCCACCTATATCTACAGTCGACACTACTGAGGTGCTTAATGCGCCGTCCAAACGCCAAGAGGAAAACGACAAGCCTGTTCGCGACCACGTAGCTCTGGCGCAAACTTGCATCGACCCGGACCTCCTCGTTCAGATTCACACGACGTTGAACCAAGACCAGGGCGACGACCAATCGTATCTGATGAGAAAGCTGCGACGCCAGGTGGTGGACTACCCCGTGGAGCAACAACTGCTGGTGTGGAAATACCTACGGAAAGAAAAGTTGGTGTTGAAGAAGTGCAACGACCCCACGGAATTGTCCGATATGACCAAAGTGGGGTCGAAAAGCAGTTTGAAAATCCAGCTCTTCTTGTCGCAACTGATCGAACGGTTGGCAGAAATTTTGGAGCGGGGAAACGAAAGGAAGAGGTGAAGCAGAACAAGTGGCGTCGTCTTGCTGCAGGTGACTGGCGCGACCATGGGTAGAAGTTGTAGCATTGTCATTCACGAGAAGGAAGCACTGATCATCTGAACTATAATCTCGGGTAGAACAAGTTGTTGAAACTTCCTGGCTACCATGTGCGACGACAAGTTTCGGCGATTTTTTCAATTGCACAGTGGCAGGAGGTTTCTTCCCTGGACGAGAAAGCAAGAATTTCCCGACTTTTTCTGGCTTGGCCGGGTCAGTGAGTCAAAGAGTCTCTCGAGCACCTACTTCGGCTCCTTTGCTTCGTACTTTCCGCAACGCCGGCGACAAGCTGTCTGCACGAGGTATTTGCTCCAGGGCTTGATGAGCATATCAAGATCAACCTCAACGCGCAGTTTTCTTCAGATCGGGCCTTGCTTTCGTTTTCAGATCGGACGACGCAACACCAGAAAGGAAAACACAACTCAGGACATAAAAGACGCGCGTTCCGGAACGAGAAAATGTAGTGATAATTCAGTGAGTTATCACTTTTTGAAAAATATCACTCCGGGATTTCGTACGCGGTGGATTTGAAAATGGAAACTAGCACCGGGGACGCTCGCAGCAACGCGCTCTGATTCTTTTTTTTTTTTGTACAGTGATTATTTACATGGACCCAGAAGTGCGTGGTAAAAGTGCGCATGTTTGGTTTCGTTCTGTTCTATGCCTCACCCGTGCGATCGTTAGACGAGGCCTCAACAACAAATACAAATCATTTCGGTAGTAATCGTGCCTGTAGTGACGATCACGAGTTGCGTCCTGCAATTCTTCGGTGTTTGCAAGCACCTTTTGCTAGCGTTATGTTGAAATTTCAAATTTGCAAATAAAACTCGGCGCAGAGGGAACTACCATCCGGAGCCGGGTAAGTGGATCGCGCACTGCTCAGAGCGACTGGGTTCTATTGTGACGATCGTTCATGATTAATATGGGTTCCATTCTTGCGACGTCAACAGCATGATGGCACCGGCCTCGGGAGAGCTGTGTGACCAGAGCAGTCTCCGTTTTGATGCGTGTCAAAGGATCCGAAAATAAGATTCACCAATGTTGATGACTTGCGTGATTTGATGAGGAATGTACTCATGTAGCGTAGCTGTAAATATAGTGGTATATTTTTTGCAGTCGTGGTGTCACCGCCGCCCTTTGAGAAGATACTTACCTGCCGCGGAAGCAGGTCGTGGACGAGATGAAGCAGCAAGAAAAATGAAGCGAGTCCCTGTTGCGGTTGCAGCAACTCTTGAGAGTCGTGGACTGAGAAGCGTTGATGGAGGAACAGTTTAGAGTTCAGATTCAGTATTACGCAAGTAGATTTAATACTTCCATACAATTTATTAGACGAGTACAAGCCGAAACTCAATTCTTCTATAATGATAACTACGGAGTATGTCAAACTCAAATTCACCGCAACGACTTCAAAAACCCACACAGCTACGGAGTTTTAGTTTTTAGTAGAAATTTTTTGAAAGTAGAGCAGAAATGATGACAACGCAGAGCCCACGATGCTGTGAAGAGGAGTAACATTACTAATACGTTGTCTTCGACATCATCTTCTTCATCTGACGACAGCTGTATAAGTACAAACACCATGCCACCGCCTGCGGCCGCGGCGCAAAACATCCTCCCGATGGAGGTGGAGGCCGACGAGGAGAACCCCGGGCGTTTGTTCATCAAACAGGTGATTATCGAGGGCTTTAAAACGTACAAGCAGCAAACCCCCCTGCCGATCAACTTCCACCCGGGGAGCAACATCGTCGTTGGTAAGAAGGAGAATCATAAGTACCTTGTAATCTTCATGCGCGATCTGCTTCGATGGCGTCTTCTTTCATGCTTGAGTTAGTGTTTTCCATGCTGAGGCTGATCTGGAAGACCGTGCTACCTTGGGTTGTTCATGGTGTTAAACCTAAATGAAAACTCCTTAACACAAATCGTAGTAGAGAACAGCAAAATCGTCTCCATTCAGGCTTCAACGGTTCCGGAAAGTCGAATTTTTTCAACGCGATTTTGTTCGTGATCTCGGACGAATTTGGGCAACTGCGGCCGGAGATGAAGAAAACGCTTTTGCACGAGGGCGCGGGCTATCAACTGCAAACATGTCTGGGTCTGGAAGAATGCAGAGATTTTTCATGCATTTTTTGGAGGACCTCGACCTGCACCTGCAAGAAAGTCTGGATCTGGAACGCACACCGAGTATGTATGACTAGAAGATCCCATCCATGCTTACCCCGCATGAGAACAAATGATCCCCTCCTGTCCAGGGGGCAAAAACAAAAAGCGCACGATGCACGAAAGAATTGTTTTATCAATCTACTCCAGCCTGGTCAGCACCACCACAATGTTGATGTTTCAGACCCCCAGCGATTTTTGCAATGCATACGGGCCAGCAGGTTCTGACCGCATACGTGGAATTGGTGTTCTGTAACAAGACATCAAAGTGAAAAATCCCCTCTCCCCATATCAAAATGGAAGTTTGCGATTCTGATTTGTGGTCACAAATCACCTTCGTCTTGCCTATAGGGTCATAGGAGCCCGGTGGCGTATTCTACAGCCAGTCTGTAATGCGCTTTCGACTACTGCAAACCTGTTGGCCATGCCTCATTGCTAGCCTTCTGCACGCCCGAACAGGCTTAGAAAATACCGCCAAGCACTTACTGCAAGACCAGTCTGATTTGTGGCCACAAATCAGCATCAGCATCACAAAAAATCACCATTAATTACAAATTTCCGTTTTGATGATCTGGGGAGAGGGGATAATTTTTCCTCACAATACAAGAGCGGCAAGCTGCCCATCCCGAAGGAGGAAGTGAAACTGCGGCGAGTGATCGGGCTGACCAAAGACCAGTACATTTTAGACGGGAAGTATCGCATGAAAAGATGAAAACTGTGTGATTGTACCTCTGTGCTTGTGTTGTAATTGACCACGATAGAAGTCGTGCAAGACTGCAGCTATACTTGTCACACTGGATAAGGATATGCATCATAGGCCAGTTCTTTCATACGTGTTTATTTCACATACTAGCTCCTACATATGAGAGGCGTTTTTTGATGCAAAACAAGTTTGTGATTTCTTTTGGTTTAGGCAAGATAGTTACATTCCTCACGCGGCAGTTTTTTTCTTGGATAGGAGGCAGATCACCAAGTCTGAGGTTTTCAACCTGCTCGAGTCCGCGGGGTTTGCTAAAAACAATCCGTACTACATCGTGAAGCAGGGCAAAGTGCAGGAAATGACGGTGATGTCGGACGAAAAGCGGCTGTCGCTAATGCAGGAGATCTATCCAATGATAATGCATAAGCACCATCGCTGCACTCTCAGTTGTACTTGGTAGCATGCATGATACAAATCTTTGATATGGTAAGTCCGTCTCCGAATTAAGTATACACATTAACATTTTTTGCCACGCGGTCGGAGCCAATTCCTAATCCGATTTATGCTAGAACTACAAGTAGATGAAATAGTACGATGGGTGTGGTGGATGCTTTGGCTTTTGCGATGCATAAAATCGCCGGCGTAACTATTTTCGACGAGCGCAAGGAGCAGTCGCTCACGAAGAAGGCGGACATCGATATGGAGGCATCTGGTTGGAAATTCACAAAAGTGAAAGACAAAGAATTTGTCATGCATAAAATAATCGGTAACCGTAGAACGCGCCGTTAGACTAAGAGGCGCATGACAAATTTCGGAAGCGTCGACATTCAATCTGTCAACCTGTTTGGAGCGAACAAGAAGCCTTTTTGCTTTGTCGTGCTAATTCGCAGCTCTATATTTGTATTCTGTGTGCCTGTTCTCCGCAAGACAGGCGCTGCGTGCCTCGCATATTATGCATCGCAAACTACTTCGATATATCATTTTCCACTTTGTCGATTTCCGACGTGCCACTCCGATAACCCAGAAGCGCAAGGATGAAAACCAGCGGAAGATTGACACCATGCAGGAACGGGTGAACGAGCTGGCAAAGGACCAGAAGGAGCTGCTTGAATTCCAAAAACTGGACCGCATGGAGCGGGCTCTGGAGTTTGTGGACGCCGTGGAGACTTTCAAGCAGGCGGAGAGGAGAATCACCGAGATCGAGCAGGAACTTGCCGCCCTCGGTTCGTCCGCCAGTGAGGCGAAGTTGGCGGACCTGTCCGCGTATCAAATGTAAAAATGTCTGGGTCTGGAAGAATGCAACTTGTGATGCTGCGTTTCGATGTCTAAAAAATTTGTGTTGCATGAGCAGCAAAAGGAATCTAATTTTTGCTACGCGGAGAGGGCATTTGTCATGCGGAATGGGCATCAAGAATCCCTCAAAAAACCTGTGATGCTAGGGCATGCATTACGGGCATCATGGGTCATGAGAAATATGCATGACAAATCTTGCATTCTTCCAGACCCAGACATTTTTGCATTTGATACCGCGCAGAGGGACGAGCTCGTGGGGGAACGGCAAAAGTGGAACGACGCTTTGGTGAACACAAGGGGGATATCAAATGCAAATATGTCTGGGTCTGGAAAGTTGGAACTTGTAATGCTAGCTTTACATTCCTGGGGAATCTGTATTGCATGACCGACAAATAAAGCCGTGCCCATTTCTGTCATGCAAATAAAACGCAGTTTCTCATGCGGGGTGCCTATGAGAAAATGCTCCGGAAAGTTGTGATGCTGGTCTGCATTCGGAAGTGTTTCCATCATGCACATTTTAGCATCACAAGTTTCCAGACCCAGACATATTTGCAATGCATAGGCGAGTAAAGACGATTACGAAAAGCAGCTCGCCAACGCGGACTCATTCCTGGACAACGTTATGCTTTGGAAAGAGTTCTTGTACTAACTAATATCCTCGACCTCGTACTGGTAGTATGAATTCGATTTTATTTGCAAACAATAAATTGGCGGCCCTACCAGCTCCAGCATGATGTTGATGACTATGAGAAAGGGAATTAGTGCGGATAATGTACCTGCTTAGGAAAGTCTTTGTCACGCAGGATTGCAGGTAGAAGCATAGTACGAGTGCGATGTAGATACTTTTGCAAAAATGCATAACCGTGGAGAAAGAACTAAAAGCCGCGGAAGAGACGAAAAAGTTGGAAGAGAGCAATCTGAAGCAGTTCAGCGACAACATCCTCGAGTATGAAGAAAAGATCAAGGATATCGTAAGGAAAAATCCCTTCTCCCCATATCGAGACGAAGTTTCTGATGCTGAATTTCCGTACACAAATGCGCTCTGTCTTGCAGTAAGGCATCGCAGCCAGATCTTCAGCCTAGGTAAGGCGGTTTGGGTCTAGTTGTTTAGCATTGCAAACGGCTGCCCCCTAGGCCAAACAGCATGCCGAATCGCTTCCATAGTGGCGCGGAGCCCTCTGCTCTTGTCTTCTAGCAAGACAGACGCGATTTGTGGTGTCAAATCAGCAGCGCAAATTTTCGGAAGCATACCTTTTCGATATGGGGAGGGGGGACTTTTCCTCTCGATAAAGGAGTGCAGGAAGAAGCTTGCCGAGGAGGTCCGGCCCAACAGCGAAGCGCTCGAAGGCCAGCTGGACAAGATCGGCGTGCGGTACACCATCCTAAATACAAAGTTGCGGATGCTGCAGTCCAAGCAGAACAACCGGAAGCAGTACAGCAGCATTGCGGAAAGAAACAAGGATTTGAAGGAAGAGATAAAAAACGCCGAGAAAAGCCGGCATATGGAACAGCGCAAAAGTGGTATCGTACTTACTTCTCAGTTGTTGTACCATTTGCATATACTTACCATGTTTTCCAAATTATACAGGAAAAGTAGATATTGTTAGTTTACCTCGTCAGAGAAGCGAGATTTGTCATGCGTCACTGCCAGAACTACTGCGAGTGCGACACAACTTTTGCGGCGGATAAAGCAGGACAACCAGCAAAAGTTGGACAAGGCAGGCCGGTACGCATTGCGAATATGTCTGAGTCTGGATTTGCGATGCGAAATTGGTATGACGCGACCCTCTAGAGGATACTTGCTATGCGTTTGTCTTGTAGTACAGCGGATCGGTTTCTCATGCAACATTCAGCTACCTGTACCAGTACCTCTACCTAATGCCAAAAAAATTGTCGGCCTCGACTTTCATTCCCGACACAGACATGTTTTCAATTGATATTCGCGAGGAAAAGGAGGTGGTGAAAAGCCTAGAAAAGGCACAGAAGGAGCTTATGCCGTGTGAAAACTACGTACCTACCCGAATTTTATGCTAGCGATGGATCATGCAAGTAGTTATTTTAATTTTGTACGCACGACTCGTCACGTAGCCCAACCAAAGTAGGAATAATTTGTCAAGCGGAAGAAGATGATTTGGCAGAGCAGCTCTTGCAAGCTGCGCAATAAAAGATCCACATCGCGAGTTGATTCCGCTCTCGCGGGTACTAGTTCGGAACGTTGTTTTGCCACAGGATAGACCAGAAAGAGTGCGAGGACGCACGGACGAAGCTTGTCCACGAGCGACAGAACCCGAAAAAGGACGAAAGAAGAAAGATACAAGCGCACTTGCAGGAACTGTATGCAAGGCAAAGCTACTGTCGTGTCTGGGTCCAGAAAATTGGGCTATTGGTCGGGGAATAAATTATATCACGAGGGCTGCTCCTCAATCGACGGCTATTAGCATGACAAGGAGTGCTAGGACGACTTGGCTACTATAATTCTGCATGACAAACTGCGACTTTGGCTGACAGAAAAGGGGAGTTTGCTGCTGGGTATAATGCGCATGACAGACTTGACACTCATGCTAGCCAAGCCTGACAGACCCAGAGGACATATAATTTGCAATCCATAACCTGGACGAGCAGGGCGCCGAGCTGAAACGAAATCTCACGAAGATATGGAAGCGTCAGGTTTGAAATCGTCAAAGTTGAAATGATTTGTCATGCATAAATTGGATGCCAGTGGGAGCCCAGTTCCCCAGTGGCGCATGACAAATTTCGGTGGCGCCTAAATCCAGTTTGTCACGCTGTTTGGGTAAGGAAGACGCCTTTTGTCATGCTACTTTAGCAGCTCTATTGCTACCCCGCAACAGGCTCACAATCTGCCTCACTTGCCTACTCTGCAAGACAGGCACTCTGTGGGCTGCATTTTATGCATGACAAATCATTTCAACTTTGTCGATTTCGATTCTGACACATCCATAGAAGAGAGACATCGCCGTGAAGAAGCATCAGGAAGATCTGCAGGGAATCGATCGTTATCCACGTGTGCAAAAGTATAGTGCTATCGCAGGTCTCGTACTACTTGCAAGCTGTGCAGCCACTTCTTTCCGCGTGGTGACAATTTATCCTGCTCGCCTCCTATAGATACGATTACGATAGTAAATCTAAAGCTAAATGATCTAAATCTAAATAGTCTATCAGCACCAACACGAGGAAAGAATGCTGTGTGTTTGTCCTGCTGAAAAAAATGCAAATGAAGATAGAAGTACTTCAAGCGCGGTCTAAACTTTTGCAAAGGATAATTGGGCAATTTACAACAAAATGGGTTGGAACAACGCCGGGAAATGCATGATACCAACTGCAAACATGTCATCTCAGTCGTCTGGAAATCGGCTTTGCCGCAGCTTGTCGACGTGAAGAGTGTAGAATGCACGGTCTCGCATGTCGACGACAATTGTAGTTGCGTAATGTGCAACATGAGAAATAACTGCCGTTTTCCATTTTCTCAAGCGAACAGAGCTTGAAAATGTTTTCGGCAAAAGTCGTCTTGTCCTTACAAACCAGATGAACGTCAGAGGATTCTTCATTTAAAAACGCGTCCTCTTGCTACAGACAAATGTCCTTCCAGACGACCGAAATCCTCGATCTTTTCCATGCATAAATGAGAATTCTGGAGGAAAAACTTCGCGGGGAGAACACGAAAGGCGTAAACCTCACGCACCTACGGGACAAGATCTACGGAAAAATTCTCGATCATGTCGAGGTGCCAGAGGCCTACAAGTACTTACTTGCTTCTATAATATTGTACAAAATTCTTCAGTACACGAACTCATAGATGCGGGAAGTTTTCACCTTTCTTCCCTCGAGTTGGTTTTTTGTTTTGACGGTAAAAAATTTAAATTTTGCAAAGGTGCGTTGCAGCTCGTGCATTGTGAAAATGGGAAAATGGAACTATTCAGGTTGTGCGTGGAGCTCCAGTTCAGAAGTGTACTGATGTGCGTCCTGTGCGAAACTTATCCCGTGTGAGAACCACCTCAACCGCAACAAGGTCTCGACGACTCTCATGCCGTGAATCTCTTGATGCGGCAACTCAGTCGGTTTCTCGAGGCATGATAGATGAGGCAGTACTAGCTGTCGCAGGGGCGTCACTTTTGGTTTTGCTATGATGGATGTCATGCATTATCCTGTTCCCAACGCCAACACTTAGCATGAAATGAAGTATTCTTGCGCAAGATGTTGAAATGACCATCATGTCGAGCAGCGAAACACGTGCGAGTTGGTACTTCAACCTGTGATAAGTTCGACGCGGTGGCGCACGAGATTAGCGAGGCTTGCCGCGTCGAGGAGTGGGGGCGGCTGGAAGCCATTTCCATGAACCAAGAAGACCCTCCCAAGCCAATAAAATACCCCAAAGGCAAGATGCCGGACGGATCGGACCTGGAGGCCGTGCCCGCACTGGACGTGGTCAAGTATCCGGATTGGTTGTCGCGGGTAATCTATCCTGAGGAAAAACAACATCAGTACTTCTACCGTACCCATAGCCGGCTATCTGAGCCAAGAAGTACTTAGTCAAATGCTGCGCATGACCATGATGATAGATGACAAAGGGCTGGCACCTTCGCAGTGTTGTCTATACGCACTTGCCTTCTAGTACAGAGGAAAAAGCAAGTTTTTGGTCCTAACATTGGTATGAGAAACGCTTAAACCTGATAGTTGTACATTAGAAATCTATTTCTTGCCTGTCATGTGCCTGTGCTGACGGATCAGAGATTTCCTGGACATCATGCAGGGCGGCATTACAAATACAAGAGGTGCGCGTGGTGAATGCGTTTTTGCCCAGGATATACCGGGAAACCGGCTTCGAGGCTGGATGATCTGCAAAGACATGATATCAACCAAAAATATCCATTGCAGATGTGTCTGGGTCTGGAAAAATGCGTCAAACTTGTGATGCCAATTCTGCAGAACAAAAAAAACTATGCGCCCAGAATTGCCACTTTGCGAAATAAACGATGAACTTCCCACGTCGGTAGGCATCGGATGCGGAAAGCATTCGTCAGACTTGCAATACTTTTTTGCGCGTGCGCATTCCAGCCCATTTTTTTGGTAGAGAACACGCATGGCAAACAGTCGCATTCTTGCAGGCCGAGACATTTTTGCAGTTGATAAAAAAAGTCGACTAGCGTGATTTGGATTGTGACGCACCACCGCATAATTCTTGCATAGGACAGGAGGCAGAAATCGCGACCACCAGCATGCATGCTGAGCAACGCAGTAAGGTCGAAGTGATCGTCCGGCCGCAAAAATTGCAGCCTTGCCGAACAGCAACACAAATTTCGCTCTGACACTTTTTCGTGTGATACACCAAGGTCGCAACCTACATCGCAGAAAATTACAGGATGTATCAACTGTAAAAATGTCTGGGTCTCTAAACTTGTAATGCTAAAATTGAATGATAGACGCACTGCAATGCGCAGCTATGCATCACAAATTTTTTGGCTGCCATGTCTTACGTATTCCACGTGGCAAACTGCGTTTTTGCATGACAGGTCAGAGGGCCTTTTCGTGCCTATGCAACACAGATTCTCGAATCATGCCAGACAAGCATGATAAACTTGCACTCTTCATCCAGACCCAGACATTTTTACATTTGATACGATGAACGCAATTACGCTCCAGGGTATTTTTTTCTCCAACAAAAAAATGACTTTACATCCTTGCTTTTCTTTTTTTATTTTTTCATGCAGAAAACGAAAGACGAAGACCGGATCCAATTCCAATGTGACACCAGTTGTCGAGTGATAATGTCACAGTCAGATCACCCGATACGCACATTGGTATAAATATGTTGTCATATTAACATTAACAACACTCCACGACAGGCGACAAAGAATTTGCTTCGGGGGAGATGACCGGGGGTTGCGTTCCCGCACACGTCGGCGACATGTTGCGAAAACAAGAGGAGAAGGTGAAGCAGACAGAAGCGCTGCAGATCGAGCGCGACGCTGCGAAGCACTTGCAGAGCAAACTCCAGGAGAATGCAAAGGAGCGGGAGAAAACGAAGGCAAGCTTGCAAGCGCTCTCGGCCGCCGAGGAGCTCGACGGCATGGAGTGGCAGCAACTGACGGACAGTATGCACTGCAAGTTATCCTCGGTCTGGGTCGTGAAACTTGTGTTGCTGATACTTGCATTGCAGGGTGTCTGCTTGCGCCACGGCATAACAGCATGGGAAGCTTTCCTCAGCTTCTTGCGGATCCATTCGATATAAAGCACGACAAAAAATTGGCCAATCGTGTTCATGCGTTACATACAGATCTTGTTGTCCGTGAAGCTCCGCATCACAAGTCTAGACCCAGACGTATCCTTGCAATGCATAGACAAAAAACGCGATCTGAGCAACACGATCGGAAACTTGTCGAACCAGAAGCACGCGCTGCACCGCGACAGACAGCTTTTTGAGCAGAAGGAGCAGGAGTTGCAGCAGGCCATCGAGATGCGGGAGAAGGACATGAAATCCAAAGAGATCAACGGTCTCACTGAGGAGGAGCTCGAGGAACTGAAGGTAAAGGAGAAGGAGTTTGAGGAAGTGCAAGAAGAGGAGCGGCAGCTAAAGGAGAAAAAGGAGGAGGCGCAGACCGCACTGAAGAAGCTGGAAGTGGAACTGAAGGAGACGGAAAAACAGCTGACAATGACCGAGGAAAGCAAAGCTCGGATCGAGACGGACCGAGACCACGATAACCGAATACGGGACTGCAAGCAAAGGTTAGAGGACAAAACCATAGAGCGGCAACAGGTCGCGCAGCAAGCGGAAGACACCTTCAAAAAGGAACAAGGCTTAAACGAGCTCTTCAACCTATGAAACGATGAAAATATGATCAAACTGTCTCTAGTTTTTGGTTCCGAAGACTTGTATTTGTTCATCTTCTGGAAGTTGATTTTCTTTCATGCAGTTCGTTGCTTCATCTTGTAATGGTCGATAGAATCGAAAATAATTAATAGGACCCCTGTAATCTACTACTTCATTTTTGTTTCTCTTGCTCGTTAAGGATGCACCTGCATCCAAAATTGAAATTTTGCGAATCGTGTGATGTCCAGAAGACTAGAAACGGAGAGAAATTTTTTTCATCCTGGATACCACGCTACCACGAACAAGCTGAACGACCTTCTGGAGGAAATTGAGACCATTCGCCACGATGCCGAAAACGCCATCGGCAAGCGAAACGAACTGGAGGACGAACGCAGAGACAGCTTCTTGAAACTGCAGCAGGCCGACGAGAAGCGGCGGAATTTCACCGCCACCGGTAAGGAGGTGGAGCATATCAAACTGAAAAAAGCCCCCTATCCCATATTCAAGAGACAACTTGTGTTGCTGGATTTGTGTATAGTACAAACACAAATGAACTTTATATTGCAGCAAGAGCTTGTCGGCATATTCGAAGCCCATTTGGGCACACATCCGGCCAGCGGCTGAAACAAGTCTGACATAGGCAAAAACGCATGACAGACTTGCTGTGTAATGCGCCGCAACCACATGGATGCCGTTAGCCTCGTACGCAAGACAGAGCTGATTCGTGGTCACAAATCAGCGTCACAGATGTGCTTTTGTATGGGGAGGTGGGATTTTTCCTTACGATAGAGGAGTTTGAGAAGATGGACCGCAAGCAACGGATGCGGAAGCAGGTCGACATCAAACGGCGGATGAAGCACTTCGAGGGGGTGAACCGGAAGGCGCTGGATCAGTACCGAAAGTACTACGATATGGTGGCGCAGATGACCAAAGACATGGTACAGATCAACAAGGAACACAAAGCGATCGAAGACTGGATCGCGAAGATAGATCAGGAGAAACACGTCACCCTGGCAAAAACCATCGACAAGGTGGACAAGCATTTCCAAGAGTGCTTCCGAACCCTGGTGCGCAGCGGCGACAGCCGGTTCCGGGTCATCAAAAAGGACAGCGAGGCGGGTATGATGTAGGACGGATTTTTATTTGTTCTTGTTTGATGATGCAATGTTGACTACAACTGCCGGTTGAGAAGGAAAGCGAATGATTTGGATATTCAAGTTTGGATATTTTCATGCTACAAATCAGCCTCTACCGGATATTCATTTTCAACAGGTCCTGATCCAAAGTAAGCAGTGTACAACCTGGAACTGCAAAGTTGCAGCTCCGATACAACATACCAAAACACTCAAAATCAACAGTTACTGGCGTTCGCGTGGAGGTCGCTTTTACGGGGAAGAAAGCGAACTACCTGCCCATGAACCAGCTTTCCGGTGGCCAGAAGACGGTTGTGGCGCTCGCCCTGATCTTTGCGATCCAACGGCTCGAGCCCGCCCCGTTTTACTTGTTCGATGAGATTGACGCAAATCTGGACACCATGTACCGTTCCTCAGTCGCCTCCCTGATAAACAAAGAAGCGGAAAATTGCCAGATGATCCTCACTATGCATTGCCAAAGTTAATAATAGTACTCGATGTCGCACAATTGCACTACGAAAAAGAAAAGAAATACCATGCTAAATCAGTGTGCTGAAGCAGGTAATTCCTGTTCTGTAACAATGCGTTCCAACGAAGCACATGTGTTGCATATTTTGCTATAGAAATCCAGTTCGTTGTGCGACATACTACGTTTACGTACAGCGAAGTTTTGCAGAGGATCCCGACCACCTTCCGCCCCGAACTGATCGAAGGCGTATGACACTGCACAACTTCCCCTCCTCCTCATTTGTATTGCATGAACAGCAATAGAAACGCCAGCGACCCTGGAGTCTGTGCGTGACAAATTTATGTGCAGCCGACTGTAGTACTGTTTGGGCTTTCGAAATTTGTGATGCAAACATTGCCACAGGGAGGCGACCGGATTTCGCATTTTGCATGACAAATGAGGGGGCGGGGGAGAAGTTGTGCACTGTCATAAGGCGCAAACCGCTTCTACCGGGTCTACATGAAAAACCGCACGAGTCGGATCGATTGCGTCACGAAAAAAGCGGCCAAGGACGCTATTGCAGCGCAGACAAGAGCGGAGGGGCTGGACAATTAGAGATAGAAGTTCTTGCTGGTTGGAAGTCCTTTTTTGAATATCAAACGGGGAAAGACGCTGCGGTTTTTCTTGAACGCCAAAGGCGCGTTTTCCCGTAGAAAAGAAGCAGTAGAAGTAAGTACTCAGTCACCCATTCGCTGGCTGACGCCCCAAATAGAGTGAAAAGTACGTATCATGATTCAAGCGACATATACAAAAAGCGACTACGAACCGAGAACGAATAAAAAGCAACGCAAACTACGCAAACAGTATACAAAAAGCGAATTCGCAGAAGCTGCCTGCTCATGACAGTACAGAATACAAAGCGAGAAGAACTTTAATAACTGTGATTGTCCAGTGTGATATTTCATTTCGTGGCACCGCAAAGCCGGTGGCCGAGACGAAACTAGAAGGAAGGCGGCAGAAGAGAACTAGGTCTTGCTGCGACCACTAGTTCTTCCACTTGCCCGGGTCCGATTGACGACGAGGTTTGTGCTCCTGCTACTTGTGATCTCCCTTAAGGACCAAGACAGATACTTGTACGTCGAAAGTCGGTTTTTTTGATCGGTTTTGCAGGTCACTTCTAGTCGCTGAAGCTGCATTAGCTGCAGCATTCCTAGCTCCGACTAAGAAATACACTTTCTATCCTCGGTCTAAGAAGAATCAAGTCTTCATATAAAAGAAAAATCGGTTAACAAAATTCAACACTGTGCGAGGTTAACTTTTTCTCACCTATGGTTCATTCGGTCCTCAACAAGCCGCAGTTTCGGTCTTCTCGGTTTGGTGTAGCTGTCACGACTTCAGTCCTTTGCCTTTCTGGCACGAAGGCCAACGCGTGGCAACTCGACCTTGGCGTCGTCGGTACTAGCACGATACGGCTAAGTAAGTACGGGAAATCTAGCTTGTCCTGTTGGCTATAGCAACTTCTTCTAAGGAAGAGAAACACGATGTAGGTGGTGTTGTAGGTAGATGAAAAAATAATATCGCGGTTGCAGTAGAAGATAAAGCACACTCCAATTGATGGCTCTAGCTAGATGGACAATCAAGCATTCCGGTATGTGATGCGGGATTATCCTATCGGTAGTACGAAATCATCAGTGTGATGCGCACTGACCACTGACTTTAAGGTTTTCTCCTTTCCCACTTACGATTTCAGGCCTGTTGCTCAATCCACTATTGTAGCCACCGTTCTGACGGCTCAGGCCCATTTTGGTAAGTAAGTACATTTCATCTACGACGAGCTATTTTTTCGCACGAACTACTGGCGTTTTTTCCTCGAGATGATTTTTTACTAAACCTCTGTAGAAGCATGACCACTGTACTTTCATTGTTTTCTACCTCGCACGCAGTCTACTTCGAGTAATGCCGTTCTCCTAAGCATCGCGGCCGTGCGGGCCATACCATCACCTGATCGGCAGTAAAGGCCAGGAAAAGGTAGGATGCGGGATGAAAGCCCGGTCGCCATCACGGCCCTCGTGCTCTCCTCCATCACGTTTGCGTTCGCAGTCTTATGCATGATCTGCTGTTGCTGCGCGCTGATGCGAGATCGAAGTGCGGGGAATGTGGAGCAAAATACCTACGACCTAGAGGCGGCTGCGCGTACTTTGTTTTTTTTTGTGTTTTTTCTTTCATCTCTTCTGCTCTTTTATTCTCTAGAAAAGCAACGCTCATGCATGATAAATATTGTTCTTACGTGGACGTGCCGCGCCAGTAGTGTAAAAATTGTATGCTTGTCTTGCAGGAGGACGATGAAATCAAAAACGAAATCAAAAACGCATATGCAGGTTTGTTCCGGCCACAGGCACCAACAAATCCGACAGAAGACTACGGCGGCGCGACACCGGCCGAGCGGGTCCGCCCGTTTGAGGGTGGCGGACAACGTCTAGGGTCGATGGACGACGCCAGCTCCAAAAAATCTCTGGAAAGTACAAGGATGTAAGAGCGGTTCATCGTGATTGTTCATTAATTCGTTTTTACCTTTAGTTTTACCGATTCGTTGTGATAGACCCGCAAGCGAGGCATCTATCTGGAACGACGTCGCTGCTGCTCTGCAGTGGCCGCACTTTTTCAAAGCGACAACAAGGGTCGCTGTTCTGGCGCCCTGGTAGCTCCCATGTAGTTTATTTTTCTTGGAAACGGCGGGATCGGGGATCGGGTTCCAAGGCAACATCACATGACGTGATGTTCTAGTTTATCTATGCAAGTGTACTACTTGAGCGTTGATACATTTTCATTTTTGTTTTCTGAGAAATCTCATCCGCAACAAGGACAGCACCGGCTGTACCTCACAAGTTTTACATAAATCTAGTGTAGCACCATGTCGTGCGATATTGTCTCGGCTGCAGTACAATTTACAAAGCATGTCAATCCGTTGATTAGCTGCGAACTTGAACTTTTCCAGATGCCAGTCTCGCAAGTGGCTGATATGAAAAAAACATTCATGGAGCAGGTTTTTTTCGAGCAAATTGTAGCTGAAACGCAATGCGCGACATCGACATGTACGCAACAACTTGAACACCAAAACTAACGGACTAAAAGCGAAAGTCAGCGAGACATTTGCGTGCTCTTGCTCAAGATACTTCCTGTACATGCAACTGCAGTATCAGTATCTTGTGTTCTGGGTCAAAGCTGCCTCTGCGGTGTTCTGAAGTTGAAGGTATTTGTCGGAACTACCAGTACGACCTGCCTGCTGTGGTTGAAAAATAAAGAAAGACATCCTTCGTTTGTTTCGAAGACATACGAGCACGTCGCGAAGATCCTAGATCGATGGTGGATCTGTTCGTGCTGGAAGGTGGATCATATTTGGCCGCAAGTTTTTTTCCTAGTTCCGCTAAAAGCAGCCACCGTGTGCTGCAGGATCAAATTGATCTCATCTTCTTGGTGGCTTAAGTACGGCCGTTGAACGAACAGGCCGCTGTCGCTACCGGAACAACGATCCCTGTGTTGGTGCTTATATGATGAAGCCGCTCTCGATCTCGTTCTTTTCGAATGGTTGGTAATAAGTACTTCTTACCAGGAAAAAATGCACAAACACCTGGTCTTCTTTCAGTCAAACAAGGGTGGATGAGTTTTGACCAAAAATGAAATGATGGTGCAACAGTAAAAATACCGTCTTTATTACTTTTGAGTTTTGGCATGCTACACTGAGAAACAAAAAGATAAAAAAGCGAAGACTAAATAAAACTATACCCATCCTACGCCGAGCTGTGTGGAAAAAAAATAAAACAGGAAAAATGACAGATAACCTCCAGTTTGAGTTGAAAGACTTGGACCAATCCAAGTGCCAGATTGCAGACCGGAACGGGGTGCTATTTATCATGTGCCACAACCACACTGTCCTGCCCTGGTGACGTAAGTACCTGGATTTTTCAGATCGTTGCTGGACTCGAAGCTTGAACTTTAGACACGCAGCCTACACATGTCGAGAAGTTCTGCAGCTGTTTGTATAGCTGCAATTATAGAGTGATTTTGCATTATAGAGTGATTTTGCATTATGAACAATCACGGGCGAGGGGGAGGTGGTTTTCGTTTTTCCAGCTGACATTTATCGACACCAAACCGGAATCCTACGTACCTGAAAAATGGCGGATTTGTATGGGAGGGAAGAAACACTTTGTCGTGAAGGGCTTTTTGTTTCCGAATCCGATCGTATGCACGACTTTTGTTTTCATAATTGCATGGTAAGTAATGCAGACTCGGAGACGAGCACGAACTGCAGCTGCTGTTCCTCAGATGATCTGACGAAGTTTTATCTGTGCACGGAAACAAAAACAGCTCTAAGTAGTCTTTTCTTTTCCATAAGCTTATGCGAGCCGTGGGCCTACGAAGTGCGTTACACGACCGCGTGGGGGAAGCACGTAAGAAGTGATGTCGAGTAGAATTCTGCGTATTATAGCTACGAAAGCGAATGAGATTAAATCACAATTATCAGGCGTCGTCATGAACAGCAGGAAAAACCTCACAACCAATAACAGGATTACTGCCTTGCCTGCGAGAAGCAGGCGGGTAATGATCACATCGCGGGACCTAAGCACAGGAAGCAGGTGGAGGCAAAAATGTCGGACTTGCGGGGGTACTACTTTACCGAGCTCAGTACGAAAAAAATCCCCTTTCCCACCGACGGCGTCAACATGCGGGACAAGTTATCGGGGGGGCAAATTTCTTGCGTCAATGACAAAACTTGTTTTGCATCGCCTGAGTATACTGGGTACGTACGACGAGCATCTTGGCAGTTGCAAATAAAGACCGTGCCTGTACTAGTTCGCCGCTCTCATCGCCCGGCGTTCAAGCGCAGTGCGCGATCTTCTATGGTCGTTTCCTAGAGTCAGTGTCTATAGTAGATACGCGAAGCAAAGTTTTGAGTTGACTCAAGATTTTGCCATCATACAAATTCGGAACGGTCGTTCACCCGCGGGATGTGGAATGTACGTAGATTTGTTTTACCTGCTCTCTAGAGTCCTTTTTGATGTTGTTTCGCATGACAAAGGAAGCTCCTCATTGTGAATCTGCATTATGCATCACATGAAACCGCCCGGAAAATACTTTTCACAGATGGTTGCGTTCAAGCCTTTCCGCCGACCGACGTAGATGCTGGCTTCGTGTTATCGAGTTGAAAACGAGCTTCCCAGCCGCCTTTCCGTACCCAGAGCAAGCAACATCATTCGTAACATTTTCAGACTCATCTCCACCAACTGTCGCAGGGGGGTTTTTTCGATTTATTTTTTTTTGGAGATTTGGATTTTTATCGTGTGATACTATTTGCATGTAGACCAGTGCGGTGTCTTCAGGGCTGCGCTCCGTTTTCTCCGCCATATCCTCCCAACGACGTAGGTCCAGCTGCAAAGAAGAAAGTGAGTCCGCCGCCAGGATCTACCTTTGCGTCTGGTGGCGGTGGCAATGGCAATGCCGGGAACTACTACGGTCGGAATGTCAACCGCGAGATCGATTTTTCCGGGTCGGATCTGGATGTGGCAGACCAGGGCGGTGGCGGTCAAAATGTGGATGTGCGGAGCATGCAGCCGATGGACTGCTATCCTGTGCAAAAGTATCGCACTCGTCTTCTTGCAATCATGCTTTACAATTTTTTTTCTCAAGCTAAAGCCGCATTACAAATTTTATTTTTCATGCTAAGGGAATTTGTCATGCATTTATACGAGTGCGATACTTTTGCAGTTCATACCTGCTACGGTCGGTTGATTCCGGCAGACGATCATTGGGTGTGGAAAGGGGACGTGGACGAGGAATATTGTGAGGAGCTGTTCATTATCTCATAGTAAAAGAGTGCTATCATTGTCGTTGCGTCACTGGGAGCAAAGTAGCAAAAATCTTACCGGGCCTGGCCCGCGGCATGAGGTAGACCGTGCAATTTTTGTCAAGCCGCTTCTGCTGCATAACCATGCATAAGGGTTTCATGTGTGTAGTTCTTCCATTCTGCTTCTGCTTCCAGGACGACTACATCTACTTCATAGCACTACTCTTTCCCCCTGCACACTCTCCAATCCGCACCTTTACGAAATGCACGCGAAAGACGGCTACACGATCCTCCGCTGCCGCATCTGCCCGGCCATTGCGCAGATCAACAGCAGCCACACCCCGAACAGCAACACACACCGGAAGAACTTGCACCTGGCCGGCACGATGCAAATGGAATGCATGACGGAGGAACAGATCGCGGAGTCCCGGAAAAAAAACCCAAACATGCCACTCCCCATGGCGTTCGAGGATATTAAGCCCGGCGTGAACTGCCCGGCGGGCTACAAAAAGTTCGGGACGTTTCGGGACTCGAAGGCACTGGGTTTTTGTTGTTAATCTTAATGCTCTACTTGTTGTTTAGTAGTGTTGTTGTGCGGAGGTGCGCCTCCAGCGGGGTCTTCTAAGAAGTGTGGCATAAACTACAGTAATTTATGGCAATATACTCAACGAAACCATAATATTATCACAGGGCTGTCCCGGGGGACCAAAGCCAGCACCGGCCGCCTCGCCTTCGCGACCACCGTACAACCTGCTCAAACGTTACAATCTCAAACGTTGCAATAGAATTTGGAAATCTGTGATGCAAGAAGTGCATGATCTAGCCAAGTCTCATAGGACTGCGCGTGACAAGTTCAGGAGTCCCAAACCGCCCTACAATGTTCCGAAATTTGTGTTGCAGAAAGTGGAATGGTCTGCGAGTCTGTCATGCTCATTATCAAAGACAAGTCCCAGACTCTATTGCAGCGTTTGAGATTGTAACGTTTGAGCGGGTCATACACCGAATCCTGCGTTTCTCCCGCCCGGGTTTGATGCGTCCAAGCGACCAGCCCCGACCCCGTCTCCAGTGCGTATAAAATTCCTGTTTGATCATGATCATGGCCCTCACCCTCCTACTAGTCGACTTAAGATTTTTCAAGTTTTCTACTATGGTTATTTTTGTACTACGAAGGCGAAGCAGCAGAAGAACTGCAAGGTCTTCGAAAAAGTTTTACTTCCCCGACGTGCTAAACTCCTCAGGTCCATCTCCCGGTCCAACTGCTGCGGCACCTCCAGCCAGCAACACCAATTATGCCAATACCGCCCCCGCCGGCACGAACAATCCCGGCCAACAGCAAGCAGTGTCGAATTACAGCAGTTACCCGGCGCCGCCGCAGGGGCAGTCGATTCTTTCCGCCGCCGTCATTACGGATATTGCTGCGCTGAAGACGCAGATGTCGGAGCTGCAGCGGGACAGCGTTCAGAAAGAGGAGAAGATGAAGGTGCTGAAGCAGGAGAACTTGGATATGGAGTGCAAATATGTCTGGGTCTGGAAGAGTGGAACTTGTAATGCTGTCTGCGGATTCTAAAAATATCTGTGTTGCATGAGCAGCAAGAGGACTCAGTTCTTGGCACGCGGAAAAGGCGTTTCTCATGCGTAATTAGCATCAAGAGGCTCTCAAAAAATCTGTGTTGCTAGCACCAGCATCACAGACCTCACGGGTCATGCAAAATGTGCATGACAAGCCCCGACTCTTCCAGACCCAGACACTTTTGCAGTTGATATTGGAGAAAACGGAGCAAATTCGGACGCTGAAGCAAGAGGGACTGGAGTTGCGGGAACGAATGTACTATATAGGATTTTGAAAAAAATAGGTTTTGTTCTTCTCTGAGTGATGATGCATGCAGATGAACTGGAGGGTATTCCAACTCGATTGTTGCAGCGCACCTAACATAATTATTGTCCCAAGGACAGGCCTCCTCGTTCGCTTGCCGCGAGGACTACATGATGAAGCAAACATCACAACAGCTCTGCCCTCGAGAGGGCCAGGTCGTCCTCCGGCGGAGCACAAGTCCAGCTACCAGACGGGTCAGCGAGTCTGCAAGACGTACCATGCGGAAAAGGCGACTGACTCCTATCAAGCTGCATGTCAAATGTTACTTGTCATGCGAGAACCGAAGGAACCCTGTACTGTCTCTGCCATGGGCGGGGTAGCCCTCAGCATCCTGGTCGCTTAGACCGGATATGTGCAAGAGGACAGCCTTTGGTGATGTTGATGTTAGAAGAAGATGAAGGGAGGTTATATGCTACAACCCGTGCTGTAGTCAGTTCAAAACTTTTTCCACCTGATACCCCGCCGAGGAAAGCATGGTTCGTTCCTACCTGCAGCAGCACAGCGCCAACCTGCTTGAGAAAACCAGGCAGACACGGAAATTGCTCCTCCGGGAACTGAAACGGCAGCGGAACAGCCACCTCGAGACGTTCGAGGCGGACATGGCGCGGATTTGCGGGATCGTCCAGCACAGCTTTGACAAGGGCGACATCGGGCAGAAGTTGCTGGCCGATTTGGAGAACCTAGAAGCTCCTGCCGGGGAGAACAAGAGGAATGACAGTGCCAGTCCGAATCATGTGAAGATGAACAGTGTGGTCTTCAAAAATGGCATGAACAGTCGTAATGCAGCCACCGTACCACCAGCGAAGGAAGACCGTCGTTGGGAGGACGAAGACCGTCACGGTAACGATGAGGAACTGCTGCAAAGAACCAGTCAAGTGGAGGTTGAGCAAGAGTCGTACAACATTCACATCCGAGAACGGGACGGGAGGAAGAGCAAGAACTCCGCTACTGTAGACCACAACTCCTCGTACAACGCAAACTCGTCCCTAGTACTGAGCGACCGCGACGGGGGCAAGAACCACAACAACTACTGTGACAAAAAAGACAAAAAGTCGAAGAAAAAGGAGAAAAAGGAACGGTCTAGCTCGAAGCTTTCCGCCAGGGATGAACACGACGAGGAGGATGAGAGTTATTTCTTCGACGAAAATAGTAAATCTGGTTCTACAACTGCAGCCGGGGTCGTTAGTAGCAGTGCGGCGAAGATGAAGAAAAATGATATGAAGGTCGTGTCCGCGAAAGAAACTGCATTTTCTGCAGACGGTAACAATGGTGAGCAGGATGTTTTGATGTCGTCAAGTACTAGTACGAATACGAAATTGTATTCTTTGAATCCGAACGCCAAGCCTTTCGAGCCGACGGGAAGAACGCCCACAATTGGAGCAGGAGCAACTTCTACCGCAACCACAAGTTCCAAAACCTCTGGCTATTACTTCGACGACCCCAACGTCCTCGAGAATTTATCGGCGATCGTATTGCGAGGAAAAATCCCCCCTCCCCATATCGAAAAGTAAACTTGTGATGCTGGATTTGCGTACACAAATCGACTTGTATTGCTAGAATGCCAAGAGACGCAGCTGTGGCCTGAACTGCAGGCAGTTTGTCATGCTGTTTTCCACTTCCAGTTGCCTGCTCTCTTGCTGAAAGTGCAAGGCTTTCCCACGCCAGCCAGCACTACAGTCCGCATCTTTTGCCTTCTAGCATGACAACGTGACTTGTGGCAGCAAATCATGGTACACAAATCTCCGTTTTGGTATGGGGTGGAGGCTTTTTTCACTTTGATAGATCGAAGAGTCTCCGTCGGAAGTGGTGCAGAAGAACGTTGGGAACCGTTTGCATAAACTGAATAAACACGACGTTGCAGCACCACCTCCACCTCTAGAAGACGATGAAAGCGCGACGGTCCTCTCGAGCACCCCGGACCTGCTGGAAGTGGGGTCGGCAAGCGCGTCGCCGTCCCCGGAAATGGTGGAAACCGGAAAGATCAAATACGACGACTGGGGGGCCGATTACAACTGGGATAAAAACAGCTCGTACAACAATAACAATTACGACGACTGGAACAGCAGTAAGGCGACCACAAAGCAGGTGGACAAAGCCGACGACTGGGGTAATAGTGGTTCTTACCAGAAAGATCAGCATGATTCCGCCGGTGGCAGTACGACGTGTAAAGAGGGAAACGATTTTTATAAAGACCCGACGGGCACCAGAAGTGATGAGAACAATAAAGATGCAGGGCATGATCAAGCGGAGGGTGCTTCCTATACTAAATATTCCTGGTCCAACTACGATGATGCAAATATTGGTGACGACGGAAATGATAAATCTTGGTCCAGCTGGGGTGCCTGGAAATAGTAAGACAGGGGCAAGCATCAACAGCAAGGTAAGAACAGAACCTGGATGAACAGAAATGACGCGTGACGAAGAGGAGTGGATAGAGGGTCTCCAATTTAAGGATTGATTGTCCAGGTAAGTCTATAAAAAAACCCTCTGTACGACAATGAGACCACGACTTCTCAGGTTTAGAAACTCGCCGCGACCACTTCATGTCAAGAAAAAAAGAACGGCTTTATCGCATCACGGGACTTCATCTGACGACCGCTGCTTCCGTGCGATCAGCAAGACGATACACCAGTAGTGAACAAAGAGATGTTGAAAGAACCTATTCCACGCAATTCAGTTTCACGACCAGTCAGTAAAAGTACTATATATGTAGTTCGTTACATCTCTTTGAATACATTTTCACATTATTTCTGTAGTGTGCGCGGACGAATATCTCGTTGTGGCCTCTCTTCACGTAGTCGTCCGGCAGGAGCATAACGCAAACCCGAATCGATTGTGTGCAAAAGCCTTTTGTTCTCAGACCGCCACTTCTACCCGTTTTTTCTGTTGTCTCTACAGCTTTTCTTCTTTGTGAAATGTTCTATCGGTGCCTGTCTCTTCCTCGGAAGTACTGCGAAGCGTGTCTTCTTCGTTGTAGTGCTTAAGTTCGTCTTCCTCGAGCGATCTGTTGGTCCAGACGAACTGATTGTGGCCTACTCAGCTTGTTTTCCACTAGGAAGTTGTAAGTACAGGTATATATACGTCTCGTCGTGACGAAGCTCTCTTTCACGTACCTGCACTCAATCTGAGTAGAAGTAGGCGGATCACTTTCTTAAATTGATACCCAGAAGTTGCAGATCCACGACCTCCCTCCTGACCACAGCATGGCGGCAGCCGCCGGCGGGCGCTATGCTTGGAGTTTTCTCACCGAGGGCATGACGTTCCGGGCGTCCAGACTGTATGAAACCTTTTGGAACTCGCAGAGCAATTTGAAGTGGGGGCTGGTGGTGGTCTACCCGAGTTACCTCTTCTACATCCGCTGGAGGGCAGAAACGCAATACAAGTATTAATAGTACTAGCACTGATGTAGTTGTCAATCTTTTTTGATGGGGTCCTCGGATCTTCGTCCTCCCGGTCCTCTCGGACAGTAAGTATAACTGAAGGCATCGGGAAAGTTCAATTGAAAATAAATGAATTTGGTGCACACACTATCAACAGGTACAATGTGTACCTGGACAGCCCGGAGATTTACCCGCAGTACAAGGGCGAACGCGGCCTCCTGCACATTTTTAATTCGCTTCTTTTTGGGAGCGGCACGGCTAGCGGCGGCGGGGGGTACTGGTCGAATGGCAAGACGGTGTACACACCGAGTGTCAACAGCACCGTGGGCGATTTGAAAAAACTCGTGTACAAATCGGACGAAATCCCCGCCAGTCTGAAAGTCGGGTGCCGCGGGCGAATGATGGAGGACTCGGATAATCTTGCTCTCGCGGTCAAGAGCTTTTGCCGTCGGGACCCGCGGATCTTGATGTGGACGGAGGATTGAGTTGGAAGACGAGGATCTTGTGTCTGCAACTTGTGACAACTTTGACCATCCAACAAGATGAATAAGATTCATTTTCGAACGACCTTGGGTGAAGTAGAAGAAGAAGTTAGCGGACGTCATGATAAAGATCACGAATAGACGGCTTGTTAACTGCAACTCAGTCGAATTGTGAAGCCAATACATCAAAGCATCCATCTCCTACTGCTCAGGACTTAACCCCGGGTCCGATCATTCCGTTATCTGCGGAAGGCGAAGAAAACGATGATGTTCTAGTTGTAAGTATCTATGGCTCCCGTTTCAGAACTAGCCTGCCTAAGGAATCGAGTAAAAAGGAAATGTTCGATCACATGCGTTGCTGCTGCTTTCCACTGATTTATTCGTGCAACGAATCTACTTCTTCTATCGCTTCAGCTTCAGGACGATCAGTCGCAGTCATGTCTTTTTTTTTTGTGATTCAGCATCGGTGTGGAACCACGCAGTAGATGAACAGTCGTCAACTACGACTAGCTTGCTTACACGAAGATCCTCTATTAGCAAATTGGGTAGAGTGAAAAAATCCATACATAAAAACATTCTTCATTAATTTGGCCACTAAGTATTAGGCTACACACTCGCAAAGTTGTGTACATACAAACGTAATATTGAAACTCACAATTTTCTTGTTGATTATTGTCCGTGTTGGCGTTGTCAACATATCCATTACTTCGTCCCGGCTCTCTCGCCACCTCTATTGGGGTGGGAGATTCTATTACGGGCGCCAGCATCAATTGACCACTTTTGATGAAAATGCAGACTGCACCCCCTCCTGCTCCTTTCGTAGCTGGGGCAAGATGACACTGCCACATGCTTTGAGAAGTTGCTCTCAGCGCGGTCTCTGCGACGCAGCGACGTCGCGTAATCGGCTGCTAGTAACAAGGACGAGGCACCAAGAACACCTACTCCTGCGCAGTCGCAGCTGCAACCCGCCTGGCTGACAAGGAACAACATCAGAGCCCGCGAGATTATACAGGTGACTCTGGGTCGCGGCGGCTTCGGGATCTAGAAGCAGAGTTGTCTCGCTTCCTACACGACCTGGTGCATCGTCAATACTAGCCGTAGCTTCGTGGGGAGGACCGGAAAACAACAGCACGCCCAAGATGCACACGTATTTGTTGCTGTTTGTTCTACTTTGCTCCGCAATCACCGTTCATGAGGATCATAAAGAAACTACGTGTATGAAAACAAAGAGAGGCTCCTCGGTGGAAGCGAATCGATATAGAAAAAAAAAATATCTTCAGGGGCGGCCACCTCTCGAAGGAGTTCTTTGAACTCGTGAAGCAAATCGGGGAAAGCAGAAGCAAGCAAGAGGAGGACAAAATCATCCTGAATGAGGTTGCTGCCCTGAAAGCATCAGTGAACCTGCCCGGTGTTTCGCTCAAAAGGATGAAAGAGTACTTGATTTTTATGACTGTGATTTGTGATGCGTAGCGGGCAATTGAATTGACTCTTTCTTTTCTGGTGCGGTACTTGTGCATGACAGAACTTCATCATCTCACTATTTCCCATCAGGTTCCTGATCCGCGCCATCTACGTGGAGATGCTGGGGCACGACTGCAGTCTGGCCTACATCCACGCGGTGAAGCTGTGTAACGAGAAGCAGATCATGGCGAAGCGGATCGGTTACTTAGCCTGTAACATTTTCCTGCACAAGGACCACGAATTCATGCTGCTGCTAATCAACACGCTCCAGCGAGACCTGAAGTCGTCCAACCATCTCGAGGTCGCGGGAGCCTTGATCAGCATCTGCAGATTGGTCAACCAAGAGATGGTATCCAGCAAAGAAAGATTGTAGTTGTAACTTTGGGTAGGTGCGCAACATGCAAGATGACTGCGTCTGTCATGCGGGTCACGCATTGTAATTCTAATTGTAGCTGTAAGGTCTAGTCAAGCGCGTTTTCACGTAGTATCTACTACGCATGACAGGTTTATGATTTTGCTGTCATGCCAGACAGATTTGCATTGCTGTTCCGCCACAAAAGTTACACCGACAAGAATCTTTTTTTCTTGGATAGATGGTCCCAGCGATCCTGCCAGAGGTGATAAAATGCTTGACGCACAACCATATCAAATGCAAATATGTCTGGGTCTGGAAGGTGGCAACTTGTCATGGTAAATCTGAAGCATGCAAAAATCTGTGTTGCATGAGTGCCAAGTAGACCTGTCCACTTTTGACCAAGTCGGAAGGGGGTTTGTCATGCGGGATAGGCATGGCAGAGACCTCGCGGAGTCTGTCATGCTAAGTCCTGGATTCCAGACCTCATGGGTCATGGAAAATCTGCATGACAAGTTCACACTTTTCCAGACCCACTTATTTTTGCACTTGATAAACCACGAATCCGTACGGAAGAAAGCGATTGTGGCGCTATGCAAGAAAAAAACTGTGTAAGTGTAACTCTGTAATGCAAAACATGCAACAGAGTTACACCTGTCATGCCACACAGCCATGAAGTCCTTTTTTCATGTGCATTTCCCCTTACAAACCACGCATCACAGGTTTTCTCTGTCATGTAGAGCAAATTTGTGATGCTGTCGGCCAAAGAAAGTTACACTGACACACTTTTTTTCTTGGATAGGCTCTGCACAAAATTTACAAGCTCGACAGCAACATTGCAACCAGCTGTAACGACAATGTCAGGAAGGTATATGATACATGCATGGCAAATCATGTCTTCGCTCCTACTGCAGATCAACAACATGATATTATTTGTGATCGCTATGCGAAGTAAATTATGAAAGAAGAAGAACAAATCCCTGCCGCCAGTAAACACAAAAATAACTTCTCCCCCATCCCCAGGTTCTCTGCGACCAGGACCCGTCTGTGATGGGTGCCAGTCTGTACATGCTCCACGACTTGGCCAAGCAGAACACGATCGCGAACAAGGACCTGGTGCCGAGCTTTTTGTCCATCCTGAAGCAAATCATCGACCACCGGCTGCCGCGGGAATTCGACTACCACCGGGTGCCGGCCCCCTGGATCCAGATCAAGCTATTGTCCATCCTGGGCACGCTGGGGCACGCGGACCCCAAGGCCAGCGAGTTGATGTACCCGCTTTTGGGGGAAATGATGAAGAAATCCGACATGGGCGTCAACGTCGGTTACGCGATTTTGTACGAGTGCGTCAACACCATCACCAAAATCTACCCGCATCCGCCCCTGTTGGAGCAGGCCGCGCAGTCCATCTCGCGCTTCATCTCCAGTGACAACCACAATTTGAAGTACTTTATACTGAAAGTGAAAACTTGTATTGCTGATGATGGATGGCATGCTTCTGTCTTCTGTTTTCTCTCTACTTGTTTGTTATGACAACGTCGCGATGAAGCCGCCGGGCAAGTTGATACATAAGTACGTACATCATAGGAAAGGATAAGTACGTACATCATAGTCGTCGCGCGTGTGATGAATGTTGGCATCAAACTTCACTCATCATCTACCACAAATCAAGGTACCTGGGCGTCACCGGCCTCGCAGCGATTGTGCAGATGAATCCGAAATACGCTGCTGAGCATCAGATGGTCGTAGTAGATTGCCTGGAGGATCCGGATGAAACGCTCAAGCGAAAGACGCTGGATTTGCTGTATAATATGCTATCAAGAGGTTTTCGTCCATGCGTATCATGACACAGAGTTCTTCTCATCACATGACCTTCGCATGACAAGACATGAAGAACAAAAGGTACGACCGCCCCCATACACTGTCAGGTATAAGATGACGAACCCGCAGAATTGCACGGTCGTCGCCGATATAAATTGCAAAAGTATAATCGTACTCGTATAAATGCATTACAAACTTTCTCAGCATGAGAAATAAAATCTGTGATGCGGATTTACCTTGAGAAAAAAATTTGTGATGCATGATTGCAATTACTACGAGTGCGATACTTTTGCACAGGATAGCCGAGAAGCTTCTTTTCCACCTGCAAACCACCCAGGACAACCACCTGCGCAAGGAGCTCACGAGTAGGATTTGCACCCTCGCTATCCCACGAAAAAACTGCTTCACTGTGATGATTTTGCAACTTCTGCATCACAAGTTTGCTTTGCATCACAAAGGAAGTTTGCCATGCGAGCCACCCAAGGAAAGACACGCCTAAAAACGCACTTTCTTGCATATGTAGCAAGACAAAGACGTCTGCGATACACTTTCTGCATCACAAGTCCACAGTGAAACAGTTTTTCCTTGCGATACTCGCCGAGCGGTACGCGCCGTCCAACGACTGGTATTTGGACACCATGACCAACGTATCAAATGCAAAGATGTCTGGGTCTGGAGAAATGCAACTTGTGACGCTGCCTTTAGATTCCAAAAAAATCTGTATTGCATGAGCAGCAAAGAGAACGCAATTTTTGCTACGCGGAGAGCAGGGCATTTGTCATGCGGACTAGGCATCAAGAAGCCCTCAAAAAATCTGCGACGCTAGGACATGCATCACAGACATCATGGCTCATGTAAAACGTGCATGACAAGTCATCTCAGAATTTCCCAGACCCAGACATATTTGCAATTGATACAACGTGTTCCAGCTGGGGGGCGACTTGCTGCCGCAAACCGTGTCGCACAATCTGATGCGCTATCAAGTGTAAAAATGTCTGGGTCTGGAAGAATCCAACCTGTCATGCTGATTTTGGATTCGAAAAAAAACTGTATCGCATGAGCAGCAAAGAGAGCCCAAGTTTTGCTACACGGAAAGAGCATTTGTCATGCGGTATAGGCATCAGGAAGCCCGCACAAAATCTGTGATGCTAGGGCATGCATCACAGACATCAGGAGTCAGGCAAAATGTGCATGACAAACCTGGCAATCTTCCAGACCCAGACACTTTTACATTTGATATGCGTTTCGTCGCCGAGGGCACGGGCACGTCGGACGAAGAGGACGAAAAATTCCGGGTGTACACGGTCAACACGTTTGTGAAACTGCTGGAGAAGTACGGCAATGGGACGGACAAGGGGTCCCGCTTCCCCGACGTGTTGATCCAGGTGATCGCGTGGGTGCTCGGCGAGTACGGGTCTTTGTGTACGTTGGACGGCTTATGGACTGCAAATATGTCTGGGTCTGGAAAGATGCAACCTGTGATGCTACCTTTGGACTCGACATAAAATCTGTATTGCATGATGAACAGCAAAAAAGGTCCAGCTTTTTGATACGCGGAGAGGGCATTTCTCATGCGGTAAGGGCATCAGAAAGTCTACGGCATGCATCACAGACATCATGCGTCATACAAAATCTGCATGACATTGTTCTTCCAGACCCAGACTTACTTGCATTTGATACGGCTACCGCGGGAACGTGAATGAGATCACGGATCTGCTCTGCGACTGCCTGTCCAAGTGGACCAGCAGCACGACGACAGAGATCATCTCCACCGGTATTGCGCAGTCCGGCGGGACGAGCAGCGGCGCCACGGCGACAGATATGACCTGCTCAAAAGTTACAATCTCAAACGGTACAATAAAATCTAGAATTTGTGTTGCATGATGAGCATGACAGACTCGCAGAGCGTTCCACTTTCTGCAATACAAATTTCGGCAGATTCTAGTGCGGTTTGGGGCTCCGAAACTTGTCATGCGCAATCCTGTGAGAGTAGGTTAGCTCATGCACTTCTTGCATCACAGATTTCCATATTCTATTGTAACGTTTGAGACTGTAACACCTGAGCGGGTTATAACAGAAACGAGATGCTTTTTGATCTCGGCGCTGACCAAGCTGACCGCGCAGAACGACATTCTGCTGCGCAACGACGCGGCAATTTTGGAGGTGGTCGAAAAGTACCGGGAGTCGAGGTCCACGGATTTGCAGCAGCGGTGCTACGAGCTCAAACGCATGGTCGAGCAAAGCAGTACCAAGGTGATGCAGATCGTCTTGCCCTTCGACGGATCTTGCGAGGACGTCGCGGTCGACAAAAATTTGTCTTTTCTGAACAATTACGTTTCCCGGAACGCGGACGCAAGTAGTCGGTATTTGACGAAAGAGGAGCGGAGGAAGATGAAAATGTCCGGGGGTGGGGTGGGTGGAGACAGCGGCAACAGTGCAAATCCTTCGGGAACATCAAGTACCAAGCCGTTGCACAAAGCCGCGATCAATTTCACCCCCTACGAAGCGCCAAAGGTCGGCCCGAAGATGCACACGCCCTCCGGCCTGATGGCAGGCGCCGGCTCGGGGGATTTGTTGGGAGGGGCGGGCAGTGTTTCCGGAGCATTAGCACAAGGCGGGTCAAGTGGGTCCTCCGCTGCGGAACCTGGGATGCAGGGCAAGCTGCAGAATGCGGGGCTCGGCGGCTTATTCGACGTGAACAGCGAGAAAGCAGGGGGGCTGAGCTTGCAAACGACCGGGAAAAATGCGGCGAGAAAATGGGGGCCGGCAGGGTAAGTGTTTTTGCACGCCAGAGATCGATGAACGATGAAAATGATGGTCGTATACATGTCTATGATATGTAATTCTCGTCGTCGTCGTCCTATTTTGCCGGTAGTTGGAGTGAGAAAACACCATTTCTCCTGCAGAGCTGTATTCTCCTAGAACCAAGAGAAGGGACGAGATGCCAGCACCTACTCGCACGCAGTGTTTACTCACTTTCCAAACTTGCTACCCGTAATATACAATTAAAGTTCACTTTGCAAAATTACCAGGTACAACGAGCCTGCCGCACTGCAGCCGCAGCAACTGCCCAACAATGTGGCCGGGGGGTCGGCAAGTTCTACCGGGACGGCCACCACAGCGGCAGGCGTAGCATCAGGTTCTCAATCAACTGGAGCCACGACGACTAATTCCCAGCCCCAAACAGCGCCCAGGCCCGCGCCGATGGAGAATAAGCGACAGACCGAAAGTATCAAATGTAAAAATGTCTGGGTCTTGAAGAATTCATGTTTGTCATGCTTGTCTGGCATGACTCTTAAATCTGTCATGCACATTACCCAAGATCTCCGTTTTTCTGTGATGCGGAAGCGCAGTTTGTCATGCGGAATAGGCAACACCTAGAAGCTCAGAAACTTGTCATGCTGAGCCAGCATCTGTAGCCTCGTCATGAGACGCCACCCAGCGTCACAAGTTTCCAGACCCAGACGTTTTTTCTTTTGATAGAAAGAGAAAAAATGGCCGCAGCGCTCTTTTCCGGTATGACGGCGACGCCCGCGCAGCCGGTTACCGTGCAACCTGAGCCGCTATGAAGTGTAAAAATGTCTGGGTCTGGAAAGTTGGAACTTGTGATGCTAACTTTGGACTCTAGAAAAATCTGTAGTGCATGCTCAGCAAGAGGAGTCCAGTTTGTGTTACGCGGGGAGGCCATTTGTCATGCGGAATAGGCATCAAGAAGCACTCAGAAAATCTGTAATGCTAGGGAGTACATCATAGACGTCATGGGCCATGTAAAATGTGCATGACAAGTTGCAGCCTTCCAGACCCAGACATTTTTACATTTGATAGCCGCCACCCGGAGCGGGCACGGCACACCAACAGAAGGTCGCAGCGAGCCTGTCTCTTTCCTCGAACGCAACGAGCTCTACGACAACAACGCACACCAGCCCGGCGGACGACGCGCAGCAGAAGCAGGTGGACTTACTTGGGGATCCAAACGGGGCATCAAATCTACTTGATTCAGGAGCCGGTGGTGGTAGTGGCACTACCAAAAATCCTAATTACCCTGCGCAGGGATCCAGCAGCGATCTGCTAGGTGGCGCGGAGGAAGATTTGCTGAGTCTTGGACCACCAGCAGCCTCAACTGGACAAACCTCATCTGCTGCAGACCTGCTCATATCTACCTCTCCCGGGGGTCCGACTGCGAGAACAGGAACGGAAGCTCCCCCCACCGGAAACGATCTCTTGTCCCTCGACTTTTCATCATCGGCCTCCCCAGGACTTGCGACAGCGACACCCGTCGTTGGAAATAACACCTTCTCCCCCCTCCCCCGGTCTCCGGTAAAAACGCTTGATCAACGACCCCACGTCTTGACGCCTTTCGCGATAAAAATCGACCAACTCGGAGCGGAGTGGGGCACGCTACCCGCGGAAAGAAGCGTCGCTGTCAGGCTGGGGCCATCGGTACTAGGAATTTTGAGCGGTGGGTGAAGATGTTAATAACGGCCTTTTTTTTCATTCTGTGTGCTGGAAGGGTCTTCATCCTTTGCATTTTTTTGGGAATCAACATGTTGATGTCCATCAACCTTGAGAAGGTCCAAATAGGATTCATTGTTCTCCCCCTGAAGCTGCAGATACATAGACTATTGCAAGCATTTACTTACATCTATCGACAATCAGGTCCCCACTTGCGACGTCCTGGTGCAGAAATTGGAACAAACCCTCGGGGTCGGTCGTGTCGAGATCATCGGGCAGGAAGCGATGCTTGCTGGGCAAACCATAAGCGGAAACGCAAAGGTCTTTCTCCACGCCCAATTCACGCCTGGTCACCCGACCGCAAACATCGCCATCAAGGGCGCCACCGACGCAGCGGTCGACACAGTGGCCGGGGCCCTGCAGAGCGTCGGGACGCTGGGGTGATAAAAGCAGCCGCGTGGGGAGGGGACTGTGGTCGGGCGGAAGATGAAAGATTCTTGGGAACAGACACCGACAACGATGGAAGATTTTTTGAACCCATGAAATACACGACACATGCTGACCATGATTTTTACAAAAGTGCGACATGATCATCATCACGGTGATACTTGGTATCTATCTGAAAATAAGAAACACGAAAGCGACAAAAGGACAAGCTATAGCATATAGAATTGACGTCTTTGATACTTTGAAGTTGAACGGCGAATCGAAAGGAAAACTAGGGCCCCCGCCAGGAGTCGTAACAACTGCACTTCTTTTCCGGGGACACTTAGGCTTTTCGAAACAGCAAGAACATCAAGACACCAGATCTGGTGGCGCAAGAGGTTGTACTTACCTCTCAATACCGCTCGGCCTTCATGAGGGATGCCTGGTCACCATAGTCGGATTACTTATCACGTTGGGCAGAACGCACTGCCACTTGTTCATCCGCGCAAGAAAAACTTGTTGCTACACTGAACTACACTTTCAGTACGTATTATTTCCAAAAGATCAAGATCATCAGCTTCGCACTGGAACGGGATCTCAACGCTTACCGAGAAAGAACAGAAAAGATCCCTAAAGGTGAACGGAAGGTGCACATCGCTATCAGTTGTTCATCACCTTCTCTTTCATTTATTTCTAGTTTTAGTTCAACAGCCTGGTTTACTATACAAGAACAGCGACACTACAACCACACGGAAACAGCATTGTACTACCTAGAGGCTATTCTTCATCATTGATTCCCTACTCAAAAAATTTTTCCAATCGATAGTAGCGGACCACAGAAGCACAAGCAGCTGTTGACAGACTCTTTGTAGAAAAGAGACCGATCGTTATCCGTATACTTTTTCACTCAACGACTGCCACTCATCAACTTGAAAACGTGGCGAAGGTTGGTGCGCTTTTGCCGCTCATCTTGAAGCTGCGATACTAGCGACAACGGTCCAGAAATTGATACGGTAAAAACGACCGCCGAAAAAGTCTGTGGACCATGGCAGCAGCGGCTGTGGAAACGACGCGGCAGGAAAAGGCCGACAAATTCGACTACTTGAAAGAGCTGGACCGAGGAGGTTTCGACTTCAGCAATTGTGCCAGGAACACACGACTGGTATTGGAAATAAATTGGTTTCTACTTGCCATGCGGAAACGCAATTTAACGCTGCAAGAAATTCCGATCGCTGTTTGTCATGCATAGCTTCACTCTTGTTTATCTATGTTTTTGTATGTGTTCAACAGCTAAAACATGAATCAAGAACCACAAAACCACACACAGGCAAGAGCGCTGACCGGCAAGGCTGCTTTCCCGCAGGCAAAGAAGACCGGGACGACAATTTGCGGCATCGTTTGCGGCAGTATATTTTTGTGATTATCATTTTTCACAAGTGGAGTTTGTACCATGTTCCTTTTCCTTTGCGTCAGAGGTAGTTCCTTACGCTTAACGCAAACGCATGCGAGTTCATCTTCTGTAGTAAGTGAAACAAAATAAATCCACCTCCAAAATAAATCAACAGATGCCGTTATTCTTGGGGCGGACACGCGAGCGACTGCTGGCGCGATAGTAGCCGACAAAAACGCGGACAAGCTCCACCCCATCGCGGATAACATCCAGTGCGCGGGGGCGGGAACGAGCGCCGACTTGACCGCGACAACGGAACTGATGCAGCGACAAATGGAAATCCACTCCTTGAATGTGGGAACCGAAGTAAGGGTCTGCACCGTGGTCAGAAGGCTCAGCCAGATGCTGTTCAGATATCAGGTAAGAAAGTACTAGTATAGATACATGATAATTCTGAGCGCATGCATGAGCATGACCAGTGAAGAAGCACTGGTGACAACTGCTGGTGGTTTTTTCCTTTTTCTGTTTCGAAGATGTGCTTCACCTTGTCGTGAAGGACAGAAGATGGCACTGCTTGTCATGATGCTGGATTATAGCGGAACTCCATGGACGAGGATTGTAGGACTCACGACGCTGAAAAGGAAACCAAGAATGAAATAAAACCCAAATGCATCTTACACCAGGGCCACATCGGGTGCCATTTGGTCCTCGGAGGGTATGATGTGAAAGGGCCGCATCTGTACCAAATTCACGCACACGGGTCAACAGACAAGCTACCATACACCACCATGGGATCAGGTATGTTTGCTTTTTTTACTTGTCATGCTAAATGTAAATGCATCGCTGCAACAAGCAGGAGGTTTAGGGACAGTAACCAGGCGTATCTTTACTTCGCACTCCTTTCCTGTGTCGCGTATCAGCAACGATGAAAATCAAAATCAATAAATGAAAACAGGTTCCCTGGCAGCAATGGCCGTTATGGAAATGAGGTACCGAGAAAACATGACCATTGAGGAGGGAAAGGAGCTTGTAGCCGACGCAATATCAGCCGGTATCGTCAGCGATTATTTAGCATGACGAGAAACAATACGAATACTCTATGTTGTTTTCATCTTCAAGTGCGACCGTTTTCAATTTCTCATGTGATTTCGTGAAACATCGTATCCAGCCTAGTACGAACATGAGAACAAAGATAACACCGGTGAATCTATGAAAAAAGGTATCTTCAACGACCTTGGATCCGGTGGCAACTGCGACATTTGCGTTATCACGAAGGATATGGATTGCAAAAGTGTCTGGGTCTGGAAGGTTGGAACTTGTGATGCTAACTTTGGACTGTAAAAAATTCTGTATTGCATGACCAGCAAGAGGAGTCCGGTTTGTGCTACGCGTGGAGGGCATTTGTCATGCGGAATACGCATCAGGAAGGCCTCTAAAAATCTGTGATGCTAGGGCTTCCCTGACAGACATTCTGTGTCATCCAAAAACAGCATAACAAATTTCGGATTCTTCCAGACCCAGACATTTTTGCATTTGAAAGAGGAAGGCAAGAAGCACATCCGAGCCTACAGAAGCGAAAACCAGAAGGCCTACAAGGCGGAGTTCGCACCCTTCCCCATGGTAAGGAAAACAGTGCGTCTTTTTTTTTGTAAGTACTCGTATTGCAGTCATGCATTACAAATTTTTTTCTGAAGGTAAATCCGCATGACAAATTTTACTTCTCATGCTGGGGAAATTTGTAATGCATTTATACGAGTGCGATACTTTTGCAATTCATAAGGAGCACATCTATCATGCATTGGATTTATTTTCCATGCCTGAGCATGCATGAAAATTTCCTTATTTGCATGTGAGGTGAAACTGTTATGCATAATTCACAACACCTAAACATCGACATCCTCACAGGGCTGCACGCCAGTGGTTGCCGGGTCAGATTTGTTCAAGAAGAGAATAATCGTCGAAGAAGGGAACACTCTGGACAAGGACGGCGATGTCGTGATGGGTTAAGAAACAAGTTTGTCCTCGTGCGGGTAAGTAGCAAACGCGATCAATCGTGGATCATCGGCGTGAGGAACAATCTATCTACTTCTCACGACAACTCCCACTCCTAGTCTTGCTTCTGACCAGCGCTACACAAAAACTACCCGCGACTGCTCCTGTCGACCTCCGGCTGTGTTATGGTACCCCCAGACACAATTTTCTCGTCGGGCCTGTGAAAGGACAATAGGTATCTTCTTCGGGTCCCGACAGAAAAAATCTGCTAAGTACGACTACATCCTGAGTCACAGCACGGAAAGTTTGGAATAAGTACTCCATTTGGCGGCCTATCGACTCATGTCAAGAACGCAGACAGCGAAGTATACAGAATTTTTCAAGGAACCTCAAAACGACAAGAAAGCAGCACGGTATGATACAGTCATTTGAAACTGAGTAAACCGTGTTTGGAACCGGATGCGGAAGTCTTGGTCTGATCGTACGGGTTTTCTGTTCTAGTTGTACGTGCCTGTATTAAGTACTTGTTTTTTTTTCTGCCTGTTGTGGAGCTTTGAGGAATGAGCGACAACACAGAGCCGAAGTACGCGAGAGTAGAGTAGTAGCACTTTTTTCATCCGTCTGCTTCACTCTCAGGAGATGTTTGCTGCCTTAGAACCGACTTAGATACAGTTGCTGCTTTTCATCTGCGACGAGACATGGCTCTTTCTTGCGCTGCTTGTTCTTTGGATAATACAGGAGAGTTACGCATGTATAAGCGGTGCACGCTCGGGCTAGGCAAGCCAGGGCATTGTTTCTGATACCGTGAAATTTTATCTGGTCAGTTCTTTTCTACTGTGTGTAGTGGTTTGCTGGATTGCACGAAGTTTCGTGTTGGGCTGGAGTACTTGATTTGCTTGGTACCTGACGAGGACAAAAAACCTGACAAGATGGAAGCTTTGGGCGGAATCCTGAAAACGGCGCACACTGCGTTTATCACCCCAAGAATGACCGCCTGGGGCAGGGTCAGGGTGATTAAAGCGGGAACTTTTTGCCGTATTTGTTGTGGGATTACTTTTGTATGTTTTTTAGAAGCTCAGTCAGCGGTTTGCAGATGAAGCAACTACACAGCGTCGCATGATGTTTGGCATGACCACGTTTTCATTATTGTGTACAACTATCACTGATGATGTTGCAGTCTATGCTATAGCATGACAAATACATTGCCCCAGGTACCGTCGTGTGGCCATGCACCGTGCCATTACTGCTGCACCAGTACATCCGTGGCCGAGAATATCCAAGGAAAGCAGCAAATTTGTATTGCAGGATCAGGACGACGAAGATGATGATGAAGATAAAAAAGAAATTCACGAGCAGACTTACATTCTGCAAAATTTTTTGTTGTCCAGGTGTACACTGACCATCTTCGTGATCATTTGTTGCGAAAGTAGATCAACACTATCAGTGTAGTAGTACTGATGATCTTATATGTTCCTGGCATGGCACGTATCGTACTGCATTCTGTTTAATATCCGTTCGTGACACTGCAAAAATTTCGATCCATAACCGCCGGGATTTTTATGCCCTCGAGCTGCTGGCGTACAAAGCGAAGACGGAGAACGTCTCGGACTTCTACGACAAGACGAAGGGACGTATCAATTTATTTTATGCTGCCTTGTAGTTGTTTTTACTTTTTGCGTCTTTTGTTTTTACGGATGTCTCTTATGCACAAGAAAGGCACTCGCAATCACTTCTTCAACTGAAAGTGAAAACACATCCATACACCAGCCGTCGGCGGGCACTGGCGCATGCGAAAGGACATGGAGACAATTTTTAAAGGAGTGAACGGGGCTAAATGAAGCTTTTTTCTTTATCACAGTCAGTTTTATCAAGAAGTATTAGCGTGCTAATTTTCCTTGAACAATTGCAGTTCGACATTAACAAACTCGTGGATGTCGTGCCAAAAAACAGCACAGACCTGTCAGTCACTTCCACCGAGGAAAGAGCAACTTTTACGAAACACAGAATTGCTACTGCTAGACGCCGTTGTAGCTCATCATCCTTTTTCTCAATTTTTGTACCTCGCAGACCTGCAGCAGGTGTAGATGGAGTTGCGGACCACGATGCTGTACTTGTCTTAGATCTCGTTCTTGAAAGTGACAACGCATCAAGCCTCGCATCCGCAACGCAGAAAAATGACGCGAACAGAAGTACCGAATGTAAGGCGGTAGACGAACAGAACGCGGTTGCGGTGAGACGTTGCAACAAAAACTATATCTACAAGCTGGGGATGAAGATGATTAATACAACAACTTCTAATGCGGTTTTAGCCACAAGAAGAATTTTTGTCTCCACAGCTTTTTAACGCAGAACAGGAGAAGGGCGATGGACAGTTCAGACGAAAATTGTTCTCCTTCGAAGGCACTATCTAAGTACTCGTAAGAATAAGAAAGTACTATTTGCTCCTGCTATGCCTGTAATAAGAGAAAATATTGCCGGTAAAAGTCGTTCGCTGTCAGATGTAGCGTTCATCGGTTTATTTCGCCTACAGAACAGAAAGCGTCATTGTCATTTTTCCACTTTCGGTGCCGTGATTCGTTAACGACAGATGCTCTATTGATGTTTGCAATTTTCCTCGGTTTGTCTTTTCGTCCCTAGGGACCGGTCTCTGTCGTCGGATTATAATTGCTGACTTACTCACCTGCCTGTAATCATCTGAATTTTCGTGCAAAAGAGTTTTGTTGTAGAGGCGTGAACACAAAAAACACTGACACTCCGGAAATATTCGGTCCCTTCGTGCTGCAACAAGAAAGCTCTCGTCCAAGAACGTGGTCTTATTCTGGCACAGCTCGGTCGTTCTCTATTCCTTCGTACCACATTCCGGTCGTACCGTTGGAAATGACATCGTTGGATAATTTCTGTAAAAAAAAATTATGCGTGCTCGAAAGACCACATGATTCTCGTCCTCGAGCTCGCTTGTTCATACATCATGAGAAAAAACCGATGATTTTCATAGCAACTTCCCTGGATTTTTCTTGACCCACTAGTCTCAGAGGTGAAGGTGACACGCTCAAAACCATTTTCGCCCCCATTTCCTTCGTACTTCTTTATACGTAGAATTTCCCCTCTTATTGCGCTCGCTTAGAATGTTTTGCTCATCATTTTAATTTCCCAGTACATTAAGAAGGAAGGAAGAAGAGGATAGAAGAGGAAGAAGAGGATAATAAATTGTGATCACAACATTTTATTTGGTCGCCGCACCTATACGTAATTAAGCTAGTTGTACCCCTTAATCAGGAAAAACAAGGAGCGCTGTTTCAACAACTACATCCGGAGCAGGATGCTCGGACGAGGGGCGGATTTACAAGTTCTGGCCGGACGAGAAAAAATGAAGAAGAACTACGAGGACTACCACGCCTGGCACCGCCTGCGCCTCGCACTATTTTCCAACATCAACGTGGGCTGTCATACGAGGAAACGGAGAAAGAATGCCGAGGAGCCACAAGAAACAACATCTTCATGCGCTGCTCAACAAGGCAGAGATACGGCAAGAAATAGAAGTGGCCGCGACGAAGATTTTGAGCACGGAAGTAGACACAGCGAGGTGGTCGTCAGGACAAAAAGTAGATCTACTTCCGACCAGTCGTACCGCTTCAACTGCCACTACCGCTACTTCTATGCCTTGCTTTTGCTGTGTGCAACGCGGGACCATGTAGGATTTCTCCAATGGAGCGGCTGGGAAACAAGAACAACAAATTCTTCTGGTGATAGAAGAACTGCAACCGGCCCCCTGTCGCATCTGTTTACTACTAGCATGATTTTTCCTGTCGTTTCGGCGCGGAAGCTATCGGAAGTCCTCGACGAGCCCATTGATAGGACCAAAGCTAGCAGCATCAACAAGAGCAAGAACGTCCGTCAAGGCATTAAAACTCAGCAAGAACAACCTCCCAGCACGCAGAGAATCGAAAGAACCGAGGATCTTCTAGGACAACTCAGGTCCGATAGGAATTCCTTCGAGGATTCGACTGACAGTGGCCAGACTACGGGTGAAGCCCGAGGAGCAGCCGGCGCCGCACCAGTTCCAACTTCCTCGTTCGAGGAGGCTTTGCGAAACAGCAACCAGGACAGTTTTGATCAACAGGAGGACGAGTCTTCCTCGTCGTTTTCCGATGTGGATCACTCCGGCGAAGTTTCGGACGAGGGATCGCCTTCACAGCATGACAGCAGTCACAGTGACCACGACCTCCGACCTGACGACGACTACGACTTCTTTCCGGAGCACGAGCTGCTCCCAGATCCCGACGACGTATCAAGTGCAAAAATGTCTGGGTCTGGAAGAATGCAAGTTTGTCATGCTTGTCTCACATGACTCTTAAATTTGTCATGCCCATTACCCAAGACCCCCCTTTTTCTGTCATGCAGAAACGCAGTTTGTCATGCAGAATAGGCAACACCAAGGAGCTCAGAAACTTGCCATACTGAGCCAGCACTTGTGGCCTCCTCATGAGACGCCACCCAGCATCACAAGTTTCCAGACCCAGACATTTTTGCTTTTGATACGACGTTGCGGATGACGAATTCTGGGACTCGATGTTGCAACAGAAGGAAAGAACAACTCCGCTGCGGACCAGGGAACAAGAACAGGAAGCAGAAACAACTTCTGCAGCACACCAGGCTGCTTCTTCTGGAGGGGAGGCTGCTTCTTCTGGAGAAGAAGCAGGAATAGCACTGGGAAAGGCCGACGACGCAGGATCGGCACTAGTACCGGACGCAGAAACTGGTGCTGCAGCTCTAAAAACATCATCACGGCGAACAAATACACGGAAGATGCAGCAAAGTGACGATGCACGAGAAGATCGACCCCTAGCAGGCGCGGCACTTCGTCCACGGGGACTTGCCGCTTCTGCGCCAGAGGTTGTTTTGGATGATGAAATGGCTCCACGACCGCCAGGTGGATCACTAGAGCAGCCGACGTCGTTTGCAGGAGCAGGTGCAGCTCTATCTTCTGCTGGTGGCGGCGGGGTAGGGGGGCCAACATCGCCAGACCAGCAAGCATCGCGAAGGAGCAGTATGCCTCCGCACCCAGAGGTCACAAAAACGGAGGTGGCCATTGACCTGCTGGGGAGCCTGACGAAGAAGGGTTGCGGACGCCCTTTGCAGGACTACGTTGAGACGTTTCTCGCGAAAGACGGTGGGCATGACGGCCTCGAAGTACACATGCCGCATGTACCGGATTTTATCGCCTGGAGAATTCATAATGCTACACTAGCAAGAGCACGAAGTTTGACTTGTCAGTGGTCATGCAAAGACACAGTATATAACCACCGGTGAAAATAACTGAACATTTGTCATGGACAGAGAGATGGCGCTGCAGCACACAGCGGCGGCTGAACTTCGCCGGCATGTAGTAAGTAATATGCAAGAAACGAGTTCTGCTTCTGCGTTTTTTGGTTTCATCTTTCCTATACGTCGCATTTCCACCCTTAATGGAAAGATACATCTTCAAAAATCTCCACCTCATATTACATAGGAAACCAAATAACGGTGCTTCTAGTGTATGACATGAAAAACAAAAATCGATGTTCTGTGCTAGGAGTAGCTCCCTTTTCATCTCGAGGATACCGTCCCGCGGAGGGCAGCCGGGAACGAACTTGCGGTTGAAGAGTATCATGAAGGAGCGACTCTACGCAGAGCACCAGGACTTTCTCCTTTCGCCGGACATGCGAAGACTCACAGTGGGAATCGATTTGGAATTCCAAAACGCAGACGCAAACGGGCAACCGACAGGAGAGTCCTTCTGGGCGCTCAGTTTCCGGTGTCCGTCCCGCACGAGAAGTTATGAGAGTGCACAACTCTCCCTCCCCCTCATTTGTCATGCAAAATACCAAACTCACCCTCTGCCTCTTCGCACTGTTTGCATGACAAGTTCTGGCAGCCCAAATAGCGCTACACTCCTGTCCAAATTTGTCATGCAAAACCTGTATTCTTGCTGACGCTTGTCTTGCTGTTCATGCAATACAAATGAGGGGGAGGGGGAGTTGTGCACTCTCATAGAAGTCGCGGCGAGACAACAGGCGGCAGGGTCCGAGGAGGATCCTGAGGAAGGAGCGGAGGAGAGCCCTTCCAGCCCTCGTAGAGTCGTAATTATACAGATTCAGATTTTTGTAGATAGGTTTATTTTTCACTGCATGTTAACCCAGGCAGGGCTACACTAGTAGCCGCGTTTTTTTAGTTTGATTTTTGATTTCATTTTTCGTAAACTGACTTTCACTGCCAACCCCCATGAAAAATTCATATAATCTATACAAATTCGAAAGCAGTACTATGAGTTATTTCCGGTTACGTTAGTTGTAAATGAAGTCGAAGGTGGTTTGGTTTCTTCGCCCTGCTACTTTCATGCCACACTTGCAGCTTCGTGTGGTTTGACTCAAAGTGCGACATGTGTTCAACGTTGTACAAACACAGAGACCTGCGCGTCGAATCTGTGCCATTCTGGTAGTGGTACAGCATTCTATACTAGCTCCCGACGTGTCAACGATGTCAGCAACATCTTCCGCGTCCGTTCCTTTGTGTGAATAAACTACCTTGACCTTTCTTTTCATCCGCCGCTAAGGCTAGCATTGTTTTCCTTTCAAGGAGGAAGATCCTAAACTACTTGTACATGCTGATGTGACCACAAGCAATAAAAAACTGAAATCTTCTCTTGTGATCCAATTCCTTCGTGCCCTTGCAAGAGAATAAAGTTCTTGTGATCCAATCCTTTCCTTTGTGATTTGCAACGCCCGTTAAGAAGGTGAATGACCTATCGGAGGAGGTGTAAGTAGAGACATTTATCTATCAATATGACCAGGAGCGAGCAATTGAGATTGACCAAACGAAAATAATGCCGGCGGCGACGAAAGGGAATTATCGGCCAAAACATGCCCAGGCTCCTTCGTGTGGCAGCACGAGCATGTTGACATCGAAACCACCAACCGGGGCAGTCGTGCCAGCCACAGCTACTATTGCGTCGTCAAACACCAGCACGAGGACAAAAAAGGAACCGTGCCAGGCTACAGGTCTTCGCGACAGGCAGAAACTAACTCATCACGAGACGGAGACCATTATGAAACCGCTTACCACCTGTACCGGGGCCGGGACTCCATGGACGGGCCTTAGAAATGCTATAAATTGTCCACCTTCATCAACATCATCATCTACTACAGAGCGCAATAAACCAAGCCACCATGATAACTACTTCCCTGGGTTGCTGTTCCGCTGGCGTTTACTCGCAGCGGGTTCCGTCGTGCTGGTCGGGTACCTGCACCAGACGAGTTTTCTCCCTGTCCCTTCGGAGGCCGAGGACGAGCAGCCAAAAGGAGCTTCAACTTATTTCCTGAAGAGGACGTGGGACAGCTTTTTTGAGTTCTCAATTGCGAGTTCAGTTCTCGCTTCTTTTCACTCCAGCTCTGGAAGAACACGAACAGATGAACAACTACCTGCAGGAAGAGGTGCTTCTACTTTATTTCCCCCCGGAGAATCTTTTTCAGGATCTGGTTTTTCCTTCTTCTCCTCGTTTCCAACTTCTCGTGTTGAGGTTGACGCTACAAGAACCTCATCTGGGGGGCAGTACTACCAGCAGACGGAGGCACCATGCGGAACGGCGAGCCGGTTCGCGTCGAGCGGTGAAACGACCTACTCAGATGGGGGCGGTAGAGCAGCTTGGGAACAAATGCCAAATGGATCTCCGTCTGATATCGGGATGAACACAAACGATCATGTTCACGCAACATATGAAGATTATTTTTACAACGTGAAGAACCCCTATGGTAATCATAATCTGCAAGTGCCATCCTCTTCATCTATCCCTGCAAGGCGTGGTGTGTCGGGCGGTGGAGATGACAAGGACTACTGCGGCGACGGTCAACAACATCAGCTTTCTCGCCAGCTTCACGGGCGGCCGCGACCAGTGCAGCTGGAAGGAGGAGGAGGCACGATGAGGAAAATGGAAAAATTGAAAAATCAAGAGATGAATCATATTACTACTAACCCTGCACGACGAGAGAAGGAAGCAGGTGGACACAAAAACAAGAGAGCACGACATCACGTAGATCGTCTACCTTCTCATGCTCGCGTGGTTGAAGATGTTGTGGTACCGAGGAAATCTGGTACTGCTAGCACTGCTGCTCCCGACGATGACGAGGAGGAGGACAGCGCAAGCGCCAGTACGGACGACAAAAATTATGGCAGCACGCCGGCGTCGAAAAGTTACGCTCGCCGCAGCGTTTATGGATGTGTCAGGATTGAAATCGACAAAGTTGAAATAACTTCGTAATGCATAAAATGGATGCAAGTGGTGACGCAGTTTCCAAGTGGCGCATGACAAATTTGGGTAGAGCCGAAATGCAGTTTGTCATGCCGTTTAGGCAAAGATGACTGATTTTCTCATGCTACTTTAGCAGCTCAGTTTCTACCCCTCAACAGGCTCACAATCTGCCTCACTTGCCTGCTCTGCAACACACGTATTTCGCGGTATGCATTTTATGCATGACAAACTATTATTTTAACTTTGACGATTTCAAACCTGACGCTTCCATAGCGTTGACAGTAGTAGTGAAGAACAAGAGCGCGGCGAAGGGGGAAGTAGTTCTTCTGCTGACGATATCGTCCACAAAAAAACAACCATCCTCATCCAATTTGTCATGCAAAACATGCATAAAGCTCATTATAACAAACTAGAATTTGTCATGCAAAAAATGGATGGGAATGGTCATTTTTTTATGGATAGGCGACAGTGAGGAAGAAGAGAGTGCTATCATTTGTAAAAACGTCCCCACTCCATAGTTGTCATGCAGATTTGCGATTACAGGAAGATTTGTAATGCGCATCTCCATGAGAGGCATTTCCAATCGCGTTTTGGAATTTGTAATGCTGTAAACAGGATAAACAGATGGATTTGTGATGCGGCTGTCCTTGCTAACATGCACAACACTACGGACTGCAACTTCTCATGCGTGGCTTCCAAAACTTGTGGATTTGTCTTGCTATGTTCCCAACTTGACTATGGGGTGGGGACGTTTTTACATAGGATAAGTGCTAGCAGCGAAAGTGGTGTCAGTAGAACCCCAAGAAGACGAACTAGAGCGAAGATGAAACACCGAATAAATAGTCCCTCTTCCAAGTATGACTTGCTCAAACGTTACAATCTCAAACGTTACAATAGAATCTGAGATTTGTCTTGCATGATGAGCATGACAGACTCGCAGAGCGTTCCACTTTCTGCAATACAAATTTCGCCAGATTGTAGTGGGGTTTGATGCTCCGGAACCTGTCATGCGCAATCCTATGAGAATTGGCTAGATCATGCATTCTGGCATCACAGATTTCCAAATTCTATTGTAACGCTTGAGATTGTAACACCTGAGCGGGTTATACCAAGCACGGCCAACCAGCGCGTCCAGAGCGCACGACGCCGGTTGAGCTTGGGCGGACAATAGAACTATCCTGAGTAAAAACGTACCCACACCAGAGTTGTAATGCAGATTTGCAAAGACAGGAAGACTTGTAATGCGCATCCCCATGAGAGCCATTTCCAATCGTGTTTTGGAATTTGTGATGCTGTGAACAGGATGAGCAGATGAATCTGCGACGCGGCTGCACTTTCTAACCTGCACTACACTGCAGAGTGCAACTTGTCATGCGTGACTCACAAAGCTCCTAGGTTTGTGTTGCAAAATCCCCATCCTGACTCTGGTGTGGGTACGTTTTTACTCAGGATAAGAGCAAGAAGGTCATGGAGCGAAGAAACTTAAGCAACACAACGACGCGGCGTCGGACACACGAAAAGCGCCACTTGGTCGTAAGCAAGAACGCGCCGGACTACAGCAAACCGCCCCTCCTGCATCCTTTCAAATGTCTTCCGTGCGGACCTTGAACTTTGCGCGCTTCAACAAGGGATGGAAAAACCGCAAGCTGCTGCGCATCTTAGCGAACCACGTTACAATATCAAATGTAAAAATGTCTGGGTCTGGAAACTTGTGATGCTGGGTGGCGTCTCATGATGAGGCCACAAATGCTCGCTCAGCATGACAAGTTTCTGAGCTTCTAGGTGTTGCCTATTCTGCATGACAAACTGCATTCCTGCATCACAGAAAAATGGAGCTCTTGGGTAACGTGCATGACAGATTTAAGAGTCATGCCAGACAAGCATGACAAACATGCATTCTTCCAGACCCAGACATTTTTACATTTGATATACAACCCGAAAGCCGTTGATCCTCCGCAACGTCGGGGTTCCGGAGGGGACGCGGAGCATTGCGGAAGTATTGGAGGGCATCAGAAGGTATCAAATGTAAAAATGTCTGGGTCTGGAAACGTGTGATGCTGTGTGGCGTATCATGAGGAGGCCACAATTGCTGGCTCAGCATGACAAGTTTCTGAGCTTCTAGGTGTTGCCTATTCTGCATGACAAACTACGTTTCTGCATGACAGCAAAGTGGGGCTCTTTGGTAATGTGCATGACAGATTTAAGAGTCATGCCAAACGAGCATGACAAATTTGCATTCTTCCAGACCCAGACATTTTTACATTTGATAGAAGGGCGGAAAAGGCGGAAGAGGAGGGGCAAAAAACCGCACAGCAAAAAGCCGCGAAAGACAAGCAAGGAGTAAACAAGAAGAACCCGCCCTCTGGTTTTGGTGTTCCCGCGAAAGGACAAGCAGGCTCTGGACCTGCAGTTGTTGTTCAGGGCGGACCTTCAAATGGTGAAGGCCCAGGCGCCGGCCGTTTCCACCAGCAAACGCCTCCCGCCGGCAGCGCGCAACCACGACAACAGACTGTGGTTACCACGAAGTACGACATTGCTGTTGGGCCACCACGAAGCACAACTACTTCTGCCCGGAGTAGGCCCCCTCAGACCAAAGCCAGCCCCTACCCGCTACCGCATGCGCGCGAAGATGCCGATGTTCTCCGCGCGGACCTAATCCGACAGGCGCAAATGAAGCGGAACCTGGTCGCGCTGCACGCCGCGCCGCGTAGCTTTTTTCAGTCTCGTTTTGGGCGGTTCGGAACCCGGAAGCGGTGGAAGACGATGTGCAACGACTTTCGAAGCTTTGGCAGGTTCGAGGTGCCGGTGCACGTGTCGCAGGCCTTTCACGCCCTGAATGGGACCGCTTCGCTTGAGGATTGGGGGCCGGCGGCGAACCAGTTTTACTGCGCCGCGTGGCACCTGGGCGCCATCGAAACTTGGGTCGACCGCCCGGTGGACTTCGTCTGCTCGATGGAGCAAATGCGGAAACTGCTTCTACCGTGGCCGCCCGAGGCCGGGGTCATGGGGTCGTCAACAGATGCCGCAGCACCCGTGGAAGATTTTCCGCACATGCAGGCACGACCAGCACAGGGGCTTGATGTTAACTATGCGACCACTGCGAGCAGCGGCAGTACAGAAACGAAGGGCCTCTCTACGTCGAATGGTGCTAGTTTAATCCCGTACCAGCTCTACCTTCAGGAGGATATGCCAGAACGTGTCGAAGACATTCACCCAGCGTCCGCGCCCGTTTTGGTATCAGACTGCAACAAGAAGACTCTCCCTTAATCTTTCCCTCACTTGCAGCATGGGATGTCGGACAGCAACCTGTCATGCGAAAACAGCAGTGTTGAAGCTCGCGCAGGATAAAACTACTTACGCCTAGAGTGATGTAGTTATGTTTGGGATCATCCCGAAACTTGTCATGCAAAAAGTGCGAAATAACAATCAAAACAAAGAGTGAGTAGGTTTGTACTCTCCATTGATTTGTATTAAGGAGGAACACCACGACCAGGGGGAGTCACTTGTCCGCATTCACATTTGCCATACCTGCACCGGAAGATCCTCTCCGCGCCGCAGAGCCCACCGACCGAGCTGGCGATTGATCCCGATATCGGGATGCATCTGCTTTTCGAATCGAGGCATTTGACCGGCGGCTCCGCGGGGACGGTTGTGAACGCGCATACTGACGTATTCACTGTAAATTTATTCCCGTACACGGCCAAATGCTGTCTCTGCATGACGAAACTCGTGTTTAATCTTTAGTTGTCAGCATGACAAGTTTGACGCTCCAAGTATAGCGAGAATTGTACATGCATTTTGTACATGTACGGGAATGAATTTGTATTGCATATGACTGCAACGCAAAGCTACTGGTGAACTACTGGGGGCGGCGCAAAATGCACCTGTTTGACGGTCTCCCACTCATTGCAGCGAACGAGCAAGACGACAATTTCCGCAGCACGTCGCACTTGTCTCCAACTTCACAGGAAGGGGATTTCTTGCGAGCGGACTTGGGGAGAAAAACATCAGAGTTTTCCTCTTCCCCAGGGCAAGATTTGATGTACTCCGGGGAGGCTTTTGATACTTTGTGGAAGCTGCGACGCATTAGTGAGGATCTCATGCTGGTGCAGGAGGACAAGGAAAACCACGGGAGGAGGAAGACCACAGCTACCACCGGCTTATCTCAAGAACGAGGCACTATTTTTAACCGGGAAAGTAGTAAAGATGAAGTGACAGACACGGAAAATGAGCAGGAACAGCTCGCAGCGGTTCGCCGGCTTCGGACGCAGTTCCAAACGCACAACGTGACCATCTCGGAGGTGGAAATCGGTCCGGGCGACGCAATATCAAGTGCAAAAATGTCTGGGTCTGGAAGATTGCAATTTGTCATGCTGTTTTTGGACTCAAAAAAAATTGGTTGACAAACCAAAATCTCAACCACGCCAATTTGTCTCAACGTTGAGACAAAACGCCCCAACGTTGACACCGACGCCTCAACTTCGGCACCGTTTAGGGATTAGGGTCTAGGGTTTGGGGTTCTGGTCGTCGGCCAGGGCAGCCGCCGCCGGCCGGCCGGCCGGCGGCGGCTGCCCTGGCCGACGACTCTCCCCTTTCCTTGTGTTGTGTTCCACACCCGCACCCCTGCCCGTGTGTGTTGCCGCGTCCTTGCCCTCCTTGTGTCTCATCGACCCCGCCTCGCGTCAATGGCGGCGGGCGTACCTCTCCGCCGCTACCGACGAGCGTTGTTTGGGGCCGCCGGGCAATCGTTGAGACGATTGCCCATCGGCCTCATGAACGTTGAGACAAGAACGTTGAGATTCTGGTCTGTTAACCAAAAAAATTTGTATTGCATGACCAGCAAGAGGGGTACAATTTGTGCTACACGGGCAGGGTTTTTCTCATGCGGAAGATGCATCAGGAAGCCCTCTAAAAGTCTGCGATGCTAGGTCATGCATTACAGGCATCATGGGTCATGAGAAATACGCATGACAAATCTTGCATTCTTCCAGACCCAGACATTTTTGCACGTGATACGCAATTTTTTTGCCGGAAATGTTTTTTTCGGATGCCACCATGCTGGAAGCAAGTCTGGGAGTGAACATGCTCTACCAGATATCCTATGTAAAAACGTACCCACACCATAGTCAAGATGTGAAGTCTGCAACACAAATCCCCAAGTTTTGGGAGGTCTGCATGACAAGTTTCCATCTGCAGCGTAGTGCTGGCTAGCAAGGAAAGCCGCATGAGAAAGCCATTTTCTCATCCTGTTTACAGCACTACAAATGCCAAAACACGACTGGCAATCCCTCTCATGGAGTTTCGCACTACAAATGTTCCTGTCATTGCGCATTTGCATGACAACTCTGGGGTTTGCAGCATGGGCATGCGCGCATCTTAGGCATGCGCGCGTCGCTATCTGCCTCTGGTGTTTGCAGCCTTCTGAATAGTAACGCAATGGAGATGTTGCCGCAGGTATCAGTATGGTAATTATTACTGAAGACCTGGACTTCTCCACTCATAGTGTTAGCGTGTTGGATGTGGGCGTGAAACTGTTGGCAAAAGGACTAAGTGTTGGCTCGAAAAGTTAGGCTGGTTGTGAGACAAGTAAGGCTGGTTGCGAAAAAGTGAGGAGTATGGCAGGTTGCGTAAGAGTATGGCAAGTGGCCGGGAGATGATGGCGATGGCACTTCGGTGTCCGCCTGACCTACCCCCCCTGCGTGTCAAGCCATCTGCGGCCTGGGGCAGAGGGGAGGGCAAAGTGTGCTGCAATTCCTTTAGCATGACAACTCTGGGGTGGGGACGTTTTTACTCAGGATACCAAAGTCAGCGAAACGGCGCGGAGACCTTCTGTCTTTTCCTGCGCGACTTCGGTCCCAAGGCGTGCGGTGGCCGCATCACAAGCCGCGGGGCGGGGAAGGCGGCGCGAATGGGGCTGCGCGCAAATTGGAAGAAGGTCGTCGCGGACGCGTCTCTGTGGCAGTTTGTGGAATGAAAAGATTTTTTTACTTATCTAGGTGGAAAGAAATGATCACGATCTTCATCTTGTTCTACTTTTGTTGGCCGGAAGCATGTTGAGGTAAATTTTGCTGGGATAAGTATCAAGGATAGATGATTTCGTAAAGCATTGGCCAACATGAGATTGAGGATGAGCTCTCACTCCCTCTCTCAGGCTTCACAACGCGAGCATCACTTTCAGCTGTCTACAGTAGCAGTTTTTATTTTGCTTTTTCAAAAAAATCTTCAGAGACTCGAGTTGGGATTGCCTACTTACGCAGAAGATGTTGAAGGCGGTCTTGACCTACAAATTTGAATTTTCAATCATTTTACCCGCCATCGCCGGGCGAGACGGACTGAGTTTATGTATCTATCCCGAAGGAGGACAATGTTCAAAAAATGAAAAGTAACCGTATACCGTTTGTTGACAAAAAACCTAGTTTCAGTGTCGAGGCGTGCTATTTGCCATTTTTTGCCGTTATTAAAAGGATGAAATAGAAATTGTCAATGAAAAACCATATCGTTGATCCCGATAGATTGATGTCCGCGAAAAGAAACGAAAAAACTCTTTGACAGGAATCACCAAAGACGAGCGGCAGTTCTCAATCCTGCTTTGCTTTTTTTTTACTTAAGAAGAGGCAATGTCTGGCTTTGTTCACGACGACCCGCGGCGGAGATATAGCGGTCCGCGATTGATATTGATAAAACGACGATGGCAAGTGATTAAAATCGGCGTCCGTCGGAGGCGCCGGCCGCCTCGGATTCTGGCGATTTGCGGCGCCCAAAAGATCGCCAAAAAAAAGCGCGCGCAAACTCAGAACGCCGAAGCCGCATGGTGCGGCCACGATGTTGGGGCGCTTTTGATGGCAGTCCGACCGCCATGAGAGCGGCCACTTTTTCGGCGGGCTCTGGTGTTCGGTAGCTCTTGAAAAAGTGCAGCCGTAAGAAAATGGAGACATACACAAAAATGAAAAAGCGCGCCAGAGGCACGAAGCACAGAAGCTCGCGGGCTTTGGCCCCGATTTTTCTTTGCTTTTTGGGCGCCCCCCGCGGCGCCCGGATCGGCCCCAAAGCGTTGTGGCTGGCTTCCGGAGAGAAATTTATGCAACTTGCAAAAGGCCGTAACGTTATCCGCGACAGACTGCCCGGCGGGCCCGCGAAAAGCAGGCGCGCGGCTGGGCCGCGGGCAGGGCAGGACGAAGGCAAGAAGCGCAAGCGACCCCACTACCTCCGCCGCGGCGTTTAGCTATGTTCGTTATTCTTAGAAGGGTGCCCAGCGATCATCATCATACGTATCTGGAGAAAAGATAAAGAGGTAATTTGGATCACTTTTTTTAGGGGCTTGAACTATGATTCACGCCAGCGACGCCCAGGCAAGCGAAAAAGGAAGTAAGTAGATTATATATTATGCCAAATATGATTCGCTTTCGCTAACTTACTACAAGATCAGGGAGGAAAGGCTTTCGCAGCCTTTGCACTGTAAGTATGTAGGCGTACTATCTCTGTGATCCGGAGCTGTGGCAGTTCCATTTTAGAGCTTCTCTATTTTTTCTATTGAGTTCTAGTCGAAATATTTATTACTTTTACTTGCCGAAAAGGAAATGGAAAAGCAAAAGGAAAGAGGAAAAGGACAGAGGAAAGAGGAAAAAAGGGACTTTCGTGCGTGCTTCCTTGCGTGTGGTCGCTCACGCGCGTGCGTGTGTTGTGTTTTGAAAACCTGAATCGCAAGTGAAGTGCTGAGCAAATTACGGCTGCAAACATGATTTTTTTCAACCGCATGTATTCCGCACGCGGGAAAAAAAAAATAGAAAGACCTCCGTGGACTTTTTGATTTGGGCCAGAAGGCGATCGCAGCTGGCGTCGCTGCCTCTGAAACAAGAGCCAAAGGTGTACATAAATGCGCCTCGGTCGGAAAAAATAAGGTTTCAGAATAACACGTCGGTCCAATTTTTTATTCACTTTCTCATCTGCAAAGACTGCAGGATAGAGCTCTGTCTAAGGGATCACGTAGGAATAGATTAGCGCCGATAGTATTGCAGCTTGGTGGCGTCCTACCTCTTCGGCCTGAAAAATACCGAAAAGTACTTGATTTCAGCCTCATAGTTGCAGCACGATACAAGATGCCAGCATCGCCAAGAGCTACTTCTGCTCGCCCCGCCTCGTCTTCGTCATCTCAACCAGCGCTCCCAGGCGAGGGTAATGCAAAAGGAAAGCCCGCGTCTCGCGCCGAAGGAGTGCCTAAAAATCTTGCCGTCTCGAGCCGCGAGCAGCAACACGAGTCGTCGCTCTGGTGGTACAGGGGATTGAAACTGTATCACAGGTAGAAAAAGCGTATTGTTGTAAAAGCAACTGCTCTAGTACCTCAGCACTGACCATTCCAGGTTATTACAGGTCCATTTCTTGTAAGTGGTGGTGTGCAAGTGGTTGTAGGTGCAACCAATACGACGGCATTATGCCGTCATAATGTTCTTGTGCCACAAGTCAAAGGGACAACAAGTTAACATCAGCTGTGGTGACACAGAAACCGTGAAAAAGAAAAAGTTTCAGGTAACCAAAAAGCGAATGGAAAAAGATAAGCACGACGTCGAAGGGTCCATTCATTGGCAATGGGAGACTTCGACAGCCATATAGATTCGGAATAGATTCCAAATAGATTTGAAATAGATGGTTTCTGTTTTCCGAAAAAGCGTCTGCAGTTCTGCGGCACGCGATCGAACGGAGAATAAAAACAGTCACCGAAGTCGCGAGCTGGGCGAAAAATGAGAACAATTCTGACCAAAATTTCCCGGGCCGATGAGAAGTGGCCACAAGGTGCCTGCCCTAGCCCGAGAAAGTGGCCAGGTGAAGGGGGTAATCTTGCAGCGCAAGCGCCGCGCTATGCTTTTAGTTGGGCCTAGACTCTCGGACCAAGTAAGAGCATACCCTGGCGCCTGGGAAAAAGATTGCTCTGGCCCGCAAAAGTTGGCACAGGCGCCACGGCATTCTTTTGCCGGGGCTGCCAGGTTTTAAGGCCAGGCACTGTCACAGCGGTGCGCTTGTGATGCGAAATTCTCCTGGCCCGAGAAAGTGGCCAGATCGATGATGGGGGAGCGTGGTGTTTCTGATGCGAAAATGTTCTGGCCCGGGAAAGTGGCCAGATAAGGGGGGGCGATCTTGAAGTACAAGCAGCACGCTGTGCTCTTACCTGGGCCTCCAGACTTTGAGGCTCGGTAAGAGCATAGCATTGCGATCGGAAGGAAAAAGACCGCATCGGCCCAAAAAAAGTTGGCCCAAACACCACGGCACTCTTTTACCTGGCCTGGCAAATTTTTTTTTGGGCCAGGTGGGAAAAAGATAAGCACGACATCAAAGGGTCCATTCATTCTGTTGCAACATCAGCAAGTCAGAGATGTTATTGACACGCTTTTTTTCCGGATACGACTCTTGCGGTGGTTTCCGTTTTCGTCGCCATCGCGGTGCAGTACTTCGTATGCAATTCAGATTCGGTCTTGTTTGCTAGGGTCTGCGGAGAATTGAATGAGAAATGATTTACATGATTTTGTTTTGCATCCATATGTCTTTTCACAGTCTTAGGCCCCTCACAGACAGAGATTGTACAGAGCCGTATTCCTGTGATTACTCTACAACTACGTAGACCCACGACCAGACACAACTGTTGTTTGCAGTCACTTATACTCTTCCCCGTCGCAGCTGCACCTACCCCCGGATCACCAAACACCGGAGGAACAGAAGGACGTTACCCCGCTTGCCGGAGATGCAGATGCCATGGGAAGTCGAACCGCGAACGCTACCATCAGTGGCGGTGTCGCGCGCGGGGATAAGGATTCGTCCAGAAGCGAGAGCAAAACTCACACATCTTCCTCAGGATTGGAGGCAGGAGCTGAGGACACTTCTAACCAATCAGCCACGTCAGAACACCTCAACAAAAACGCCGAAACAAGCCTCGAGGCGGGCGGGCACGAGAACATGATAGAGAAAAATGAAAACGAGCTATTTAGGACGTACGAGTCACAAGCACCACCTGAGTCATCTACTACGACAGGCGGAAACAAGAAAACCACTGCAGTGCCTACGTCCTTCCGGTTTGCGGACATCCAGGAAGTGGAGTTTTCGGAGTACAAAGACGGTTGGAAGAGTGAAACGCTTCTGGAACTGCTTGGTAGCCACGTGAAGGCCCGCGTTCCGTTGATCCTGCGGAACGTCGGGGTGCCGCGGGGCGTGGAGTCGCTGGACGCAATCGTGGAGGGCGTGGAGCTATCAAATGCAAATATGTCTGGGTCTGGGAGATTGCAAGATTTGTGATGCTGGATTGCAATGCCCCATGAGGTCTGAAATGCAGGGCTTCGCATGACAGATTCTGTGAGGTCTTTATCGTGCCTATTGTGCTGCATGAGAAACTCCCCCTCAACTTGGTCAAAAGTGCATGGCTTTTGGCAATCACGCAACACAAATTTTTTCATGCTTGAGATTTAGCATGACAAGTTCCACTCTTTCCAGACCCAGACATTTTTGCAACGCACAGGAGCAGGAGGACCAGCGCATGCGAGCGGAGGAGAAGCGGCGAGGGGAGACGCCTGGCGACATGAAGGGCGTCGTCAGCTCGAATCGCGAAAAAGGAAAAGACAAGCTAACTGCGTCGTACGAGGATCTCCCCGCGGAGGACTGTATGAAATGCAAAAATGTCTGGGTCTGGATGAGTACTTGCGAGGTTTGTCATGCATATTTTCCATGAGTCATGATGTCTGTGATGCATGCCTAGCATCACAGATTCTGAGCTTTCTGATGCTCCTACCGCATGAGAAATGCCCTCTTTGCGTAGCAACAACTGGAACTCTTTTCCTGTTCATGTACAGATTTTATGTAGAATCCAAAGGCAGCATCACAAGTTGCACCCTTCCAGACCCAGACATTTTTACATTTGATAGGCTACCCGCCCGGGCAAATGGATGAGGAGGACGAGGATGTTTCTGAAAACCTGTTGACCCTGTACGCGGTATCCAGTGCTGCAGACATCTGGGTCTGGAAGAATGCAAGTTGTGATGCTGCGTCTGGATTTCAAAAAAATCTGTATTGCGTGAGCAGCAAAGGAAATCTAATTTTGGCTACGCAGAGAGGGCATGCGTCATGATGCGGAATAGCAATAGGCATCAAGAAGCCGAGCCCTCAAAAAACCTGTGATGCTAGGCGGGCATGCATCACAGACATCATGGCTCATGCAAAACGAGCATGATAAGTCTCAGAATCTTCCAGACCCAGACATATTTGCAATTGATACGCGGCCCCCCACGATTACTTTGAGAAAAAGTTTGGTAAGTTTGGCTCCGAACGGCGGTACGAGAACCTGTGCAACGGCAAGGGCCTTCCGTACGGCCGCTTTGAGGCGCCGATCCGCAATGATCAGGTGTGGCTCGCGCTGAACGGGTCGAGCCCCCTGGAGCGGTGGGGCCCGGCGGTATCCAAGAAAAAAACATTGAAGGTGTAAGTTTTTTGGAGGAACAGCATTACAAATTTGTCTGGCATGACAGCAAAAACCTGTCGCTGTCATGCGCAGATAGTACGTGAGAACGCCCTTTAATGGACCCTACGACGCATGCCAAGCATGACAGACGCAATCATCTTGCATGCTGCGCATCACAAATTTACACTAACAGCGTTTTTTTCTTGGATAGGCGGTCCACCAGGACTACTGCGAGCACCTGCACCTTCAGGACGAGGAGGGCCTGCTGGACCGCCCGGCCGATTTTCGCTGCACGATGGGCCAGATGCGCAAGTTGTTGAAGGTAAAGAAGAAAACGACGGCAGGAGCTTCTACGCCGACAAACGCGCAGGAGCAAGGACCACGGGCGGAAGTAGTGGCACAGCAAAGACGGGACCGCGGTAGTTACCAGCTGTACCTGCGGGAGGACTTGCTGGGAGATCTCGCGGACTATCCCGGCGCGAACTCCCCCGTGTTGCCGTATCTCCACGACGCCATTTTGAAATCCCCGAGTACGCCACCGATGGAAATCCCACTCGACCCGGCGGGGCACGACACGAGCCTGCGCTACGAGTCCCGGGTGCTGCGGGGTGGGTCGCCAAACAGCCACGCGTTTGCGAACGTCGACTGCTATTCGAACCTGCTGCTCAGCTACTTTGGGCGGAAGGACATGTACCTGTTTGACGCCTTGCCAATTGTTTCCACGCCCGAGCTATGGATTGCAAATATGTCTGGGTCTGGAAGAATACAAACTTGTGATGCGCATTTCAGAAGACAGAAAAATCTCTCATGCATGGGTCTCAAAAGCTGCCCACTTTCTGCGAGCAAAGTGGGGGATTTGTAATGCGAATGCGGCATCGCGGAAGCTTGAGCTTCTCGAAACCTGTGATGCTAGATCTTCCATGCCAGACCTTCTGCGTCATGCAAAAACAGCATATCTGCTCTCCCAGACCCAGTCATATTTGCACTCCATACGAGCCGGCGCCGACCAGGAAGTGGGAAGCCGACGGTAAGAATTCCTACTCGTCCAGCTTCGAAACCCTCTGGAAACTGCTGCGCATCGGGGAAGATCTCATGTTGGACGCCGGCGCACCGGGCGCGGAAATGGAGGCAAATACTGCTGCGCCGTCTTCGACGTTGGTGAGTGGTCAGGACGAAGATCATGTTGACGCCGTTTTGTCAGGCAAGAAGAAGCAACAGCAGCAGAACCACAAGTCCGCACGGCAAACAGTCATTGTGGACCGACTCCGGAAACGTTTCGCCGCTCTGAATCTGACCATCTCGAAAATTTCGCTGGCCCCCGGCGACGCCGTGTTTATTCCGGAACTTTGGTAAGTGGTGACGTCGCATGTAGCTTTATGTATGAAAGTGATGTCTATTTGGGGAAGATGATGGTAATCGAACTCAAAATGAATACGAACGTATTTTTAGCGTTCCTTGATGTAGTTCAGCATGAGAACAATCCGAGAAAACTGCCTTTTCACGACAAATGGAAATGACAAAAATGACTCTATCTCTGTAGGTACCATGACGCGGCGATGGTTGATGCGGTGTTTGGCATATCCGAAAAAACATTCATCGTGAAACAGAAAGTTCGCACGGGTAGAATAAGACGTAGTTTTCAAAAATAACGATAACCTCTTTAGATGCTGGCAGTGCTAAGCCTAAGTACAACAGTGCCACTCGTTCTTGTGAAGAGCAACAGCATGAGGACAAGGAAGTGCGTCTTTACTGCTGCCTTTGCATCTTTGTTTTCATCTGCACAACCAGAATGCCATGTCAACATGCGACTTTTCTGCTAAACGAGGAACTTTTTTTCGTCCTTCCATAGTGCATGAATGTCTTCTACAGCAGCAACGTCAATGGTGGCGAAACGCTGTGCAAGTTCCTGAAGGGCTGTATCGAGGGGGAAGGAAGGGCCTACGGCTCGGCACACGACCTGTGAAGGACGGGAGAAAAAGGATTTTGCATCACTTCTCGCCTACCTAGAGTAAGTACGCAAGCTAGTACTTCTTGTACTTGCGGGATGGGTCCATTTCTTGCAGAGGAACTGCTAACTACTCCAAGTCGAGTTGTTGAGCACTCTTTAGGAGCCTCCTCATCTACTCGTCAGCGATATGGTTGGTGACCAGCCGGGTCGTAGTCTTTTTTCCTCCTTGACAGGCTACGGACCGGAATCATGCGGTGGCCGGGTGTCGGCCGCGCAGGCAGTTGTGGCGGCAAACAAAACAATGACGTCGGGGGTGAACTGGAAAATCCCGGTTAGCTACGCTTCGTTATTCGACGACGGCGGGCAGCAGGCGTAGTAGCTGACACGCGGTCGCACGACGTGCTTGATCTTTAGACTAGTCTGAAAATGAATCCCTGGTGAGATGCTAAATCCTATTTTATGCAGCATCCACCTCATCATGGTCATCAACATGATCGCGGCCATGGCGATACCGATAGTGGATTGTGGTTACAAATACGATGAATGATTTTTAAGCTTCAAAAAACGAATTCTGTATGTGGCGGTACCGGTAGGTCCGTGTCCTCGAAATTATTGTTTGATAGCTACAGGCAGCGATGTTAGGTTATGTTGAAATGGCGTACTCTCACATGCACACCGAAGTACGAGTAGGACCATCGTTAGGACCAGGACTGCCTGCTTTTCAATTGCAACCATCTCCGATACTAGTAGAATCTTTTCAACAACATTCCAAAAAGTAAATAAAAAGAGTCCACCTCCACGACACCAGTGAGTCTTCTTCTTTCTTCCCACACTGAAAAAAGAAGTTGGCGATAAAAGAAATCTATCTTCAGATGTGTGGGTCTTGCTGCCATTCGTGGTGGCACGCCCAAGAGGCGAAAAAGCGCCTCTTCATTGACGCGGGGTAAAACTTTCCTGTCTGCGAAATAGCCCATGGTAAAATTTTTTGCATTTTTCATCGTAGAGTCTTTTTGTCGTTTCAATTTTCTTTTCACCACTCTCTTTGAGTTTGACGTCAAGTCACGTTGCGTCCGTTCCTCGAGGCGAGCATTTTCGCTGTTGAAATGCTGTCGCAGTGTTCTGTCCAAGAGAGTACTAGATGGGGATGAAATACTGGCTTTTTTGTGGTTGCACCGTGCGTACTTACAAGTGTGGCGTTCTTGCCACATGTATGTAAAGTTATGCGACCTGCTAGTAAGCTAGTTAACGGGACCGGCCCTGGTGCGTAGTTTTTCTGTGAGTCTCGTCGTTTTTCATGTTCTGTCCACAAATCATGAATTTCGTCCACGACCGACTTTAGCTGCCATTACGAACAACGAATAAAGATTTGCAGCCGTTAAAGCGGCGCAACCTACTTCCGTGATGTGTAATGCACATCAGAGTGTCAGAGTTTTTGCACGGATGGCTTGATGGCCACAACCCGTTCCATATACTGCTGCCTTTGTCAGAAGTGTTGCATGAAATAGACAAATTAATGACCATGGAGGTCCTTTGGTTTTGGTGTGTTCCCTTTTTCGGCTCTGACAGTGACACTTAGTGCTGAAGAACAAAAACCGCCCCCCGCCGCAACAAAATGGCGTTCTGGTTTTTCATGTGCCTCTCCCCGGAGGGGCACATTCGCGTGGCGACGCTGAAGAACCACATGTGGCAAAACAACATTTTATGCAAGAAAAAAACTGTGTAAGTGTAAGTCTGTGATGCAGGAAATGCAAAACTGTGAACGCTTGTCGTGCTGTATGTGCGACGTCATAGGCAACTTTCATACGGGTTTCCACTGATACTATTACTAGCTGCGCACGACAGGTTCTTTTCCCTGTAATGCAAAACAAATTTGTGATGCTGTTCTTCCTACGAAGTTCTTGCACTTACACAGTTTTTTTCCTGGATACATTCTGCTGAAATCCTACTACCCCGAGACCCAGCTCCCCGAGTGGCAGGCGCTGAGTTGGAAGCACCGACTGTTGCGGCTGTTGTCGTACCTGCTGGTCTTGCTGGTGTGCTCCGCATTCGCAGGTATGTACGGCATGGGGGAGGTGGAACAAAAAATTCTCCGGCGCGACACCTGCCACCGTAACTGCCTGTTAGCCAGTTTTCCCGACAACAGTGCCTGCGAGGTGCGGTCGGACCTGGTATCCTGAGCAAAAACGTCCCCACCCCAGTAGAGTCAAGATGGGGAATCCGCTAGACAAATCCGCCACCTCTGGTGGTTTCGCATGACGAATTTATCCTCGTAGTGTAATCCTGTTTAGCTAGTTCCGAAGCATCACAGATCTAGCATATCATGCTGATTCTAGCATTACAAATTCCAAAGCATCAGGATAAGAAAATGGCTCTTATTGGGCTCCGCATGAGAAACTTTTTTCGCATGCAGATTTGCATGACAACTCTGGTGTGGGGACATTTTTACTCATGATGCCTGGCGGTGGTTCATTACCAGGGCAACACGTACACCTCATTTTTCAACTACAGCCTCCCGGCGACCACGACGGACCACTTTTTATCCTGAGCAAAAACGTCCCCACGCGATAGTCAAGTTGGTAAATCTGCAACACAAAGCGTCAAGTTTTGGGAGGTGTGCATGCCAAGTTCTTTCCATCTGCAATGTAGTGGTGGTTAGCAAGGGAAGGCGCATGAGAAAGCCACTTTCTCATCCTGTTTACAGCATTACAAACGCCAGAACATGACTAGAAATGCCTCTCATGGAGATGCGCATTAGAAATGTTCCTGTCATTGCGCTTTTGCATGACAACTCTGGCGTGGGGACGTTTTTACACAGGATACTTTTCTAGCAGTCTTTACGCCGTGAACACCAGCGCCGCCCGCTCCGCGGTCACCGGGACCTACTACACCCCCGCGGCGCAATCGGCGGCAACCACGTCGCTGCAGCGCCGCTTTTCGTTATGAACTGCAAAAGTATCGCACTCGTATAAATGCATATACAAATTTTCTCAGCATGAGAAATAAAATTTGTAATGTTGATTCACTTTAAGAAAAAGATCTGTAATGCAAGACTTGCATTTATACGAGTACGAGACTTTTGCACAGGATATTCGTCGGAGCTCGGGGATTTCCAGAAGTGTTTGTCCTACAAGGAACGGGTATCCAGGAGCAAAGTGTGTAAGTGTAAACTTTCTTTGAGGAACAGCATCACAAATTTGCTCTACATGACAGACAAAACCTGTCATGCGTAACTTGTAAGGGAAAACACACATGAAAAGAGGACTTCGTGGCTGTCTGGCATGACAGGCGTATTACTTTGTTGCATGTTCTGCAACACAAATCGACACTTACACACATTTTTTCTTGCATAACGGGAACCCTTGGTCTACAACCAGTGCACGGACAACCGGCGCGAGATCGCGGACGGAAAGTGCATATGCATTGCAAGTATAATCCCTGGATGTCTGGAAGGTTGCAACTTGTGATGCTGTCTCAGGATTCAAAAAAAAGCTGTATTGCATGACCAGCAGCAACAGGATTCCAGTTTGTTCTACGCGGGAAGGTGGAAGTTATTTCTTATGCGGAATAGGCATCAGGAAGGGTTCTAAAAATCTGTGATGCTAGGGCACACATCACAGACAATCATGGGCCATGCAAACTATGCATGACAAACCTGGCAACCTTCCAGAGCCAGACATATTTGCATTCGATAGTGCGAACGGGTAGTCGTCTGCTTCTCGGGGTGCAAAATCACGGAGGCAGTCCTCAGCGCTCACCTCGCAGACCAGGCCGCGCTGCTGTCTTCGTATGAAATGTTGAGAGCATCTTGATGGTGTGCCCCCGCTGGTGCCAAGGCTTTGTCTTTGTCCTAGGCAGCACTCCGCAAAAGTTTGCGCTAAATTGTCTTTGTTCCTAGGCACAACTCCAACTGCAGCTCTCTCTGCTGCGCTCATCTGACGTTCTTGCCTCTAAATATAGGGGGCGGCGCGGCTGGCATGATATTCGTTTCTAACTGTTTCATACCCGTGGATCCGGCACCGGCGGCGCCAACAGCACGACTTCGTACGAGACCTTCGAGTGCAAGGACGGGCGGAAATTTCAGAAGTCCCTACTCGACAGCAGCACCGTGCAGATTAGCGACAGGAGACGGCTTGAAGACGAGGAAGCGGTACTTGTAGAGGAGGAGGGCGAGGAAGAGGAGGCGACAGACGAGACGGATGAAGATTCGGACTACGGACTGTCGCTGGACATCAACACTGCTGCGAAACCGAACAAAGAAGGGCGCAGCGGGAACAGACCACGTGAACTAGCAGACAACCTGCTGTTTCAACATCAAGAGCGTATTGATCATACAACTAGGAGGTTAGTGCAACTACAAGAACACCACCACCTGGAAGATACAGCAGCACGACGTCCGTCGGCGTTAACCTCCATGACCATCGTCTCTGCCGTCGAGACCGCACGACAGTTGAAGCGGATGGAGGAAGAGGCTCGTCGCAGCGAGAAGACTACTTATTTCTGGAACAGAGTCCACCTCTCGTCCGCGGGTACATTCGTGGAAAACTCTTTTCACTCGCTGTTTTATGTCGGGCGCGAACCGCGTAGTCGTCCCCATGGGGATTTTGGAGTAGGAGACGCGAAAGATGTCGTAGTTGGGGGAGAGCATGAGCAACCCGCAGGTCCTCTGCGGCAGCACGAGGCGCCTAATCCGCATGATTCCTTCGACAGCACTGCGGAGACCATGAGACTGGGGCGGCGGCTGCAGCTCCAAGACGAAGAAGGCGAGATTGCTGAACCTGGGGAGGAAATCAACACCTTTCATCCCGAAGATGCAGTTCCTGGATCAACATTCAAGCAGTTACTGAAAAATAGCTTCATGGGCGGTGGAAATAATCGGCTCCTTTCCAGCACCGCGTCCAGCGCAGAATCTTCGAACACCGACACGCGGCCGGCCTGCAGCTCCGTGGAGCAGGCAAACCAGTCGCTGCTGTGCCTGCCCTATTCCACGAGCGTATCGCAGGAAAAAAGATTGTAGGTGCAACTTTTTCGGAGGAACAGCATGACAAATCTGTCTGGAGAGCAAAAACCTGTCATGCGCAGATGGTACGTGAAAACGCGCTTAGGTGGAACTTTTAATGCATGCCCAGGATGACAGCCGCAATCACTTTGCATGTTGCGCATCACAAAGTTACACTAACAATGTTTTTTTCTTGCGATAGAATGAGTACGAAAACTACTACGGTTTGTTCGGGACTTTTTGCTTCGAAAAGGAGCTCGCCGACAATTCTACGACCAACTGTATCCTGAGTAAAAACGTCCCCACACCAGAGTTGTCATGCAAATCTGCATGCCAAAAAGGTTTGTCATGCGGAGCGCCATGAGAGGCATTGTCTAGTCGTGTTTTGGAATTTGTGATGCTACAATCAGCATGATATACTAGATCTGTGATGCTGCTGAACTACCTAAACAGGATTACACTACGAAGACGAACTTGTCATGCCAAACGACCAAAGCTGGCTGATTTGTCTAGCAGATTTGCCATCTTGACTCTGGTGTGGGTACGTTTTTACTCAGGATAAACTGGTGCATCTCCGTCGGTGGTATCCTTCTGGCCATTATGAAATGCAAAAATGTCTGGGTCTGGAAGAGTGAGAGGTTTGTTGTGCACACACTGCATGACCCCTGATGCCTGTAATGCATGACCTAGCATGACAGATTTTTATTCATTGGGCTTCCTGATTCGTATTCCGCATGAGAAATGCCCTTCCCGGATAGCGCAAAATGGACTCCTCTTGCTGGTCATGTTGCAATACAGAACTTTTTAGAATCCAAAGACAGCATCACAAGTTTGCATTCTTCCAGACCCAGACACTTTTGCAGTTCATAGCCATTCTGGTCGCAAACACGCTGCAGTTTTTTTACGAGAACCTTTTTCTCTACATGTCGGTGCTGGACGAGTCGTACGATTTCCAGGAGGCCTACCGCAAGTGCTTTTCCCAATTCTTCGTCATTTTCACGCACTCCATCCTGTTCGTCACCATGCTGGGGCCCTTTCATATGGAAGCGTCAGGTTTGAAATCGTCAAAGTTGAAATAATTTGTAGCGCATAAAATGCATGACCCGAGGCGCGTGTGTTGCAGAGCAGGCAAGTGAGGCCGATTGTAGGCCCGTTTGGGGTTACAGCTCGAGCTGCTAAAGTAGCATGAGAAAATCGCTCTTCTTTGCCTAAACAGCATGACAAACAGGACTTGGGGACCACCGAAGTTTGTCTTGCGCCACTTGGAAACTGGGTTCCAACCGGCATCCATTTTATGCATGACAAATTATTTCAAGAACTTTGTCGATTTCAACTCTGACACATCCATATTTCACCAGGCGTCACGGATGGACAAGGTGGAGCAGATCATGGTTACGTTCGCACTGGTATGCATTGCAAAAGTATCGTACTCGTATAAATGCATTACAAATGTCCTCAGCATGAGAAATGATATTTGTGATGCGGATTTACCTTAAGAAAGAGATTTGTAATGCATGATTGCCATACGAGTGCTTTTGGTTTTGCACAGCATAACTGGTCTTCTTCTTCGACCAGGTGAAGAATCTGCTGATTCAACCGGTGATCTGGTATTTGGTCATTCGCCGGTGTGTATGAAGTGCAAATATGTCTGGGTCTGGAAGGATGGAACTTGTGATGCGTCCTGTGGGTCACACAAAAATCTGTGTTGCGTGATCGCCAACAGTTGTCCTTTTATATTTGACCAACATGAGCGGGAGTTTCTCATGCAGGATAGGCATGGTAGAGACTTCGCAGAATCTGTCATGCTAGGTCCTGCATTCCAGACCTCATGAGGCATGGAAAATATGCATGACAAGTCTGCACTCTTCCAGACCCAGACACTTTTGCACTTGATAGTGCGGCCGGGTGCAGCCCGGAATCCAGGAGTACAACGAGGAGTATCTGCTGCAGTGGGAGTGTGAAAAGGAAAAATCCCCCCTCCCCATATCAAAAAGGAAATCTGTGATGCTGGATTTGCGTACACAAATCAGATTCGTATTGCAGGAAGGCATTGCGACCAGATCCCGAGGCTGGCGAGTGGCGTATGGGTCTAGTTGTTCAGCATTGCAAACGGCTGACCTTTAGGCCCAACAGCATGACAAATCGCTTCCATAATGGGGCGGAAGCTTCTACCTTTGTCTTCTTACAAGACAAATGTGATTTGTGACCTCAAATCAGCAATGCAAATTTTCGGAAAGATACTTTTTCGATATGGGGAGGGGGGATTTTTCTTCTCAATAGGGAGTTGCAGGAATCGCTTCTAGACGAAATGCAGCGCAGAACGCGGGAGTTTCTGGAAAAGCGCACGGTGCTGGTGTTTATCATCGGGTATTGAGTAGAAGATCTTAAGTCGTCGTTTTCGTACTCTCTTATCCACCGAACCCTTTTGCTCTTTTCAATTTCATGCTGCTACCACATCAAGAATCACAAGGAGATAATTGTGCGCGTTCTCTTCAACATCGATAAAAGTTTCTGAAATTTGTCAAGGACTTAACTACCTCAACAGTCTCGTCGGCTTCTACGCGTCGTTCCTCATGCTGTCCATCGTTATCTCCGACTGCTGGAAGCTTTCGGACGAACCGAATGAGTGCAAAACCTCCTCCTTGTGTCCGGGGCTGTCTGAACAGGGGCGATTGTCGCTGTACTACGCCTTCACATACCTGGACTTCTGCATCATGCTCCTCTTCGTGCTGGAGATCGCGCTGAAGCTCTTCGGGTACGGAACCACTTTCATCCTGGATATCATGAGGAAAAACTCCCCCTCCCCATATCGAAACGGTATGTCTCCGAAAATTTGTGTTGCTGATTTGTGGCCACAAATCAGATTTGTCTTGCAAGAAGACAAGCGCAGGGGCTTCCGTGCCATTTGCGGAGGGATTTGTCATGCTGTTGGGCCTAGAGGGTAGCCGTTTGTAATGCTAAACAACTAGACAAACGCCCCTACCTAGGCTGAGGATCCGGCAGTGATGCCGTACTGCAAGACAGCGCGCATTTGTGTACGGAATTCCAGCATCAGAAACTTCGTCTCGATATGGGGAGGGGGGATTTTTGCCTTTCATCCTGGACCCCTGGAATTTCTTCGACTCCGTCATCGTGCTGGTCTCCTTCATCTGTTGGTTCGTGTTTCTCGGGTCCACCGTTGGTACCACGGGGTTGGGTATCCTGTGCAAAAGTATCGCACTCGTATTGTAATCATACATGCATTACAAATCCTGCTCTTACGGCAAATTAGCAGTACAAATTTCATTTCTCATGCTGAGGAAATTTGTAATACATTTATACGAGTGCTTTCGCTTTGCATTTCATATTGGGGCTGCTCCGGCTGCTCCGTCTGGTGCGCGTGATGGTGATGATCTCCGATTCGCGGCGGAAGCTGAAGAAAGTCACCAAAACGCTCGCGGACGGGGCGAAATCGCACGTGGAGCGGGTGCTAGAGCTTTTGGAGAAGCTGCAGAACCTGAAGATTCCGGCGCAGACGGGGCAGGACCTCGAATGGATTGTGGACATGATCCTGGAAAACAAGCTGTACAAGGTGTCCGTCGATGATCCGACGGAAGACGAGGGCAAAAGCAAAAACGACAGCGAAAAAAACGACGCCAGCATGACGGCGTGGATACAGCAAGTAAGTTGACTGCATGTTTTTGGAGATAGAAATCGATATCGTGTGGTGGTCTCAACAGAAGAAGATCCAATCACGTCATCCTCAGCATCGTTTTTGTTTTGTCTGCTCATGATGAACGAAGGAGAAGAGCATACAGTTGCCAAATAAAATCCGTAAACAAGCCAAAACTTTTTTCTTGCTTCAGCACGGGGTTCGTTTATGAACAAGACACGAGAATGAATCCTATCATCTCCAACAGCTCGGTGACGGCACGGCGAATTCGTCCGGGACGGCGACGGCCGCCGGCATGGGCGGCAGCGGCGAGGACAACGTGCGGGGTATTGCAAGGAAAAATCCCCCCTCCCCATATTGAAAACATGTCCTTCCGAAAATTTGTGATGCAGATTTGTGACCACAAATCCTGTCTGTCTTGCCAGAAGACAAATCTAGACAGTCCGCCGCGATATGCAGGCGTTTTGTAATGCTGCAAGGCCTACAGGGCAGACGTCTGCCATGCTAGGTTCCTGCACCAAAAGGCACCCCCTCACGCTTGCGATCTGCGTGCAGTGCTTTCCTGCAAGACAAGTGTGATTTGTGTACACAGATCCCGCATCACAGATTTCTCTTTTGATATGGGGAGGGGGGATTTTTCATTTTGATACGGGGCACCTACGTGGCGCAGTCGCAGGTCCGCGGGTCTTATCAAATGTAAAAATGTCTGGGTCTGGAAGAATGCGCGACTTGTCATGCAGCTTTTCCCTGACCCATGAGGTCTGGAATGCAGGACCTAGCATGGCAGATTCTGTGCGATCTCTCTCATGCCTATCCTGCATGAGAAACTCCCTCCCGACTTGGTCAAAACTGGACGACTTTTGGTAATCATGCAACACAGATTTTTGCATGCTTCAGATTTAGCATGACAAGTTGCATTCTTCCAGACCCAGACATTTTTCCAGTTGATAGGTCTTTTGCCAACCGCGGTTCCGTGGTCAATCGGGGCGGGGTGCGGGGTATGGATTGCAAAGACATCTGGGTCTGGAAAAGTGCAAGGTTTGTCATGCAGGTTTTCCATAACCCATGAGGTCTGGTATGTAGGACATCGCATGACAGATTCTGCGAAGCCTTTCGTTCCAATGCCTATCCTGCACGAGAAACTGCCTCTCGATTAGGTCAAAAGTGCACAGCTTTTGGCAATCATGCAACACAGTTTTTTGCCTGATTCAGATTTAGCATGACAAGTTGCCATCTTCCAGACCCAGACATTTTTACATTTGATACGGGGGAGCTACACCCGGGGGTCCTACACCCGCCAGGCGGGGACGAGCTCCTACACGCGGGGCGGGTCCTACACCCGGGGCGGGGGCGCGGGCATGACGACGTCGGTCCGCTCCATGAGCCGAGCGCGCCGGCCCTCGGAGGTGAACACCGGGGGCAAGCAGGCCACGCAGGAGGACATTGTGGCGCAACTGCACTCACAGCTGTACTTACGGTCAAATTTGTCTGCCGGGGAGGAGTATGAACTGCAAATATGTCTGGGTCTGGAAAGCATGGGATTTGTGATGCTAGCTGTCGATCACACAAAAATCTGTATTGCATGAGAGGCAAAAGGCGCTCAGATTGTTGCCACTCAAAGAGAGCATTTCACATGCAGAATAGGCATGAGCAAACCTTTATTGCGAAAGCTGTGATGCCAGCACTGCTGAAGCTTTAGAACCAGATGGGAGTGCACGCCCGGACGGATCAGAGCATAAGGCTATACTAGCGCTTTTTGAAAGTAGATTTTACCTTCCCTTCTTCTTGCTTGCTCTTTGTTTTCCCCGGGCCCTACTGGCACCAAGCAGTATTTTTTTTGGGTTGGGGCACGACACTTTCGTTGTCGTTATCCTCTCGGGTTATGAACATTCTCATAGTAATTTTAGGTTCAGACCATGCGGTTTGCGCTTTTTCTCTGATCAGGCGGCCCCTACGCCCCTTCGCCACATCTTCTTCCCTCCGATCTACGTCCTGCTTCCGTCCCGGTCCGCCGATAGGGTTTTATGGGTCTAGGGTTTAGGATATTTGACTTTATTGCGAAAGCTGTGATGCTAGAGAATGCATCACAGGCATCGGAGGCCATGTACAATTTGCATGACAAACTCCCCAAATCTTCCAGACCCGGACATATTTGCATTTGATAAGGAGGAGCAGATCGAAACCGCGTTGCGGCTGATGGACGACTGGTCGTGCGATATCGAAAGAAAAAATATCCTCTCCCCGTATCGAAATGGAAATCTGTGATGCAGGATTTGGGTACACAAATCGGATTTGTCTTGCAGTAGAGGACTGCAGACAGATTCACAGCCGGAGTAGGGACGTTTTGGCGTAGCCGCCTAGCAAGGCAGGCATGTCCTCCGTAGGTCATACAGCATTGCAAATTGCCCGCAGAACACGGCGGGGCTTTTGGATTTGCCTCCTTGCAATACAGAGACGATTTGTGGCGTCCAATCAGCATCACAAATTTTCTGAAGTATCGCACTTTGGTATGGGGAGGGGGGATTTTTCCTCACAATATGCGACATGCTGATGGCGGCCGAGGTGTGCGACGTGAACGCCATTCCGGTGATTTTCCTCAAACTGCTGATCTGCTACGATTTGGTGGGCATTTTGAACTTGGATTTCGACCTGTTGTTCAATTTCTGCAGTTTCGCGCAGGAGCGGCACCGCGCCCAGGTGCCGTTCCACGGGTTCGCGCATGCCTGCAACATGGTATCACAGGAAAAAACTGTTTCACTGTGATGACTTTGCAAGATCTGCATCAGAAGTTTGCTACACATGACACTGAAACTTTGTCATGCGCGCTTCCTAAGGGAAAACACGCTTGCAAATCTAATGCCTTGCAGTTGTAGCAAGACAAAGAGTTCTGTGTCCCATTTTCTGCATCACAAGTTCACAGTGAAGCAGTTTTTTCTTGCGATACATGGCGCAGTCGGTGCACTACTTTCTGCAGCACGGGCTGCTGCAGCAAAACCCGAACCTGATGCCGTATCAACATGAAAAATCCCCCCTCCCCACATCAAAACGAAATTTCTGATGCTGGATTTGCGTACACAAATCCGATTTGTCTTGCAGTAAGGCATCGCAGCCAGATCCTCAGCCTAGGTAGGGGCGTTGGTTTGGGTCTAGTGGTTTAGCATTGCAAACGGCTGTCCTCTAGGCCCAACAGCATGCCAAATCGATTCCATAATGGCGAGGAAGCCTCTGCGCTTGTCTTCTTGCAAGACAGACATGGCTACTTGTGGTCTCAAATCAGCAGCGCAAATTTTCGGTGCCATACCGTTTCGATATGGGGAGAGGGGATTTTTCCTTATGATATGCCGCTGCACATGTTCACGCTCTTCTTCGGGTGCATGACGCTGTACCTCGAGTACCCCGGCTTGTCGAACGACTTCCTGATTCAGGTGAAGCACCCGCGCGCCATCCGATACAACGACAAGGCTGTGAACCAGTCCTACTCGTTGTCCTTGACGTTTACCAACCTAGCCGACCCGGAGCTGAACTTTCTCCTGCACGTGCCCAAAGACATGCAGGAAGCGTTCCGCAAGTTACTGATCGCCGCGATTTTGAAAACGGACTTGAGCCAGCACTTCCGCGAGGTGAGCTACCAAATGCAAATATGTCTGGGTCTGGAAGAGTGCAGACATTTGTGATGCAGTTTTTGCCTAGCTCAGATCGTCTGGCATGCAAGCCCTAGCATCACAGATTCCGAGCAGGTACCCCAATGCCTAATCCGCATGACAAGTGCCCCCTTTCTGTAACAGGAAATGGGGTCTTTTGCTGACCATGCATGACAGATTTCGTCATGATGTAGAACTCGCATCACAAAGTTGAATCCATCCAGACCCAGACATATTTGCAATGCATATGAGCCTGTTCAAGACGAAGCTTGCCGCGGGCATGGACACGCTGGCCTCGTTCGAAGATGTGGCGTTGCTGCTGGCGATGACACTGAAGCTCGCCGTATCCTGAGTAAAAACGTACCCACACCAGAGTTAGGATGAGGATTTTGCAACACAAACCTAGGAGTTTTGTGAGTCACGCATGACAAGTTGAGCTCTGTAGTGTAGTGCAGGCTAGCAAGTGCAGCCGCATCACAAATCCAGCTGCTCATCCTGTTCACAGCATCACAAATTCCAAAACGCGATTGGATATGGCTCTCATGGGGATGCGCATTACAAGTCTTCCTGTCTTTGCAAATCTGCATTACAACTCTGGCGTGGGTACGTTTTTACTCAGGACACGCCGACTATTCCTGGTGCTGCCGGCCGCTGCAGCAGATGCTCCGGTGGAGCGAGAAGCTCCATGATGAGTTTTTCTATGCACTGCAAAAGCTGCGAAACAGGTGTGAATAGATACCTCCAGGATGATCTGCAGATAGCAATTGCACGACAGAAGTGCTTCCACCGTAGATGATCGAAAGCTTGATATTTGTCATGTAGTTCGCCGGGCTCGCACGATAGGTCAATTTCATTTGAACTTTGAGGTGGGCCTGGGCTACTTCCCTAGCTTTTGCGATCCATACTTTCAACCAGGGGGACGTGCAGCGAGAGTTTTTTCCGCAGGTTTCCCCGTTTTGCGACCGCGACGCGACGGACACGTCGAAAGTAACGCTGGGATTCATTCTCGTCGTGTGTCAGCCGTTGGCCATCGCCTACAAGCACGTCGTGGGCAATGATTCTGCCTTTCAGAAACACGTCTTGCAGGAGGGGCTGGAGGCAAATCGGAGCTACTTGCAGAGCTGGGTAAGCTAGGAAAGGTGTTGACGAGGCTTTGAGTTAATTGACTTGTGAAATTCTTTTTTTGAAAGTAAAAATATTGTAGTGCAAGTGCTAGATCAAGATGCTGATGTAGTTTCCGTGTACGATCGTTTGATTCAGTTTGAATCCAGTAGACTTCAATTTTGCAGCTACATAACTACACATTCTTTCAGTGCTGCTTTTTTTCAATTCACCTGACTGACTCAGAATAAAACAAGCCAATTTTTGACAATCCCCGAATCAGTGAAAAACTGAAAACAATATCTAGAAGTAGAGAGTGAAGTAGTGAAGTTGTCGAGGACAAGAAAGTCGGAAAAACAAAAAATAGAAGGGATGCCGTAAAGTGAACGTGAAGAAACTGAAAGGCTATAAAGGAGACGGATGATTGAAGTCAACATTATCGGATTTTTTTTGAAGACCTGTTGGAGCACTGAACTCAAATGGCAATGCGACTTCAACAACATTCGCACAAGACGAAGACTCTCAAGAACAAGAGCCGCGATACAAACGGTGCACACGACAGGTCGGAAATAAAGCTAGCGGCCTCGGTAATCGTCCGCGAAGATCGTCTCTGAAGGCTTGTGGATTAGCCGAAGCCACCGGCTTTTCTTGGACCGTCGTGTTCAAAAGGAAAATGCAGGATCAGCACATCGCCTTGGCCTTGGCCCTGTTGAACTAAGAATGAAAAGATCCTGATTTTGATAAGCCTGGTTCTCGGTCCTTTTTCGCTTTTTCATCTGTTGATGAGATCTTTGTCGTTCTTTGGACTTTCACTTTTTTTCGTGCTTCCTCTCTTCTTGTACTTGCGAGTACTTGCTTATGATGTACGAAGATGTTCAAGAACATCGTTTGTCTTCGGTCACATTTCATTCGACCAGAAGCGGGCCAAGCGTGTGGGCAGCAGACAGTGCAGAGCTTCTCCATTTACCTATGCAGGAGAATGATTTATCACGACCAAGAATCAAGATGGCATATTCGTCCTTCGCCATGAGTCCTCGAGGACCGCAGCTGGTTACTGCATGAGCAATTTCGGTCGGCCGGGAACACGCACACCTGCAAGAACACTCTTGTCCTCGTGACCTGCCGTGAGTTCTGAGTTCGGTGCTCCTCACGCTAAGAAGTAGACTCAAGAAGGGCGAAAGGAAAGAGAGGTTCCGCACTTCTAGGTCGCGTTCATTGTCGTGGGCTGTCAACGACCGAGGACTCCTGCTTTCTAGTTCGCGACACAGACCACGGATTCATCTTGGTGGCAAGAACAAAACACACAACGAAAATCATGCCGGACCGCGGAAACGGTGCGAACGGCTGGACAGCCGATGAGGTTTTCAGTACCATGAAACAGTCGGCATTGGCCTATGACGACATTATCCTCATGCCCGGGCACATTGACTTCGGGGTACTTAAGATGATAGATAGAAATAATAGGGCTCTTTTTCGTACTGAGTTTCGCAAGATTGACGGCGACAGAAGCCGGAATTGCTCCAAAAAGACCGCTGATGATGTTGCGTAAGATTGCACAACTCCGACTGCGCTCCTGTCCGATTTCGTAGAACTCAGCTACTTAATCTTAAAAATCGTTTCACTCCATCTACTCAGGTAGAAAACGTCGACCTTTCCACCCGGATCACGCGAAATTTGGAGGTGAAAACACCAATCATATCCTCTCCCATGGACACCGTGACAGAGGCAGAAATGGCCATCGCCATGGCGCTGTGGGGCGGTATCGGCATCATCCACGGGAACCAGGACGTGGAAACGCAGTCGCAACAGATTTTGGACGTGAAAAGGTACGAGAATGGGTTCATCATGGACCCTGTGTGCATGACACCGAACCAAACCATTCGCGATCTGGACAAAATGAAGGAGAAGCGGGGGTACAGCTCCGCACCAATCACCTCCACGGGCGAGTTTGGCGGGAAACTGCTCGGCATTGTCACCAGCCGGGATATTGACCTGGTGGAAGATAGAAATTCCAAGCTTTCCGAGGTGATGACCACGGATTTAATCACCGGGATAGAACCAATATCCCTGCAGAAGGCCAACGAGAAACTGCAGGAGGCGAAGGTGGGCAAGCTGCCCATCGTCAACAAGGAGGGCGATTTGGTGGCGCTGGTTTCAAGGACAGACCTGAAAACCAATCGAGAATACCCGCTGGCAAGTAAAGACGCGAATAAACAGCTGCTGGTACGAACATTTATAGACAGGGAGACCATGATGTCTAATCGCGTGTGGTTTGCATTTTTCCGATTATTTCTTCCGAATCGATTCTTCTTCGTTGTCAGCACTGTGGTCCACACGATGCAGAAGACCTGTGATGCGGAAATCGAATTGAAAATTCGACGTAAATTCATTCAAAACAGGTCGCTGCAGCGATACCCTGTCTGTCCCACGGCGAAAACGAAGACGCTTTTTACCGGGCACAGAGATGCGTACAATGTGGCGTTGATGTTTTGTGTTTGGATTCGGACCAGGGGGACTCACAGGGGCAGATCGACTTACTGAAAAAGATCAAAAAGTCTTTTCCAGGCATAGACGTCGTCGCCGGAAACGTTGTCAGTTGCAGACAGGCTAAGGTACCGTATGAATATAAGGTGTTGCAGCTCCATTCACTTTTTCATTCGGTATGCACGGACGAGATTTGTATGAGTGTTCGCTTCTCTCCATGCAGATAAATGGCGTCTTGCAGTATCGTACCCCAATAATTCTGATCCCCATGCTAGTAAATTACAATGATCCAAACCGCGCCCCAAACCAGGCTCTTTGCGACGCCGGAGCGGACGCCATAAAGGTGGGAATGGGTAGCGGCTCAGTTGCCATGACCGGCGATGTGGCGGCGGTGGGTAGACCGCAAGCAACTGCGGTTTATACGGTGGCAAAATACGCGAGAGAAAAATACGGGGTGCCGGTCTTGGCCGGTAAGAAGGGAAGATGTTTTATTGTCCTGCGACTTGTTGCAACAAGGGCGTGGTGTTCTTGGGACCACGTGGTGGTGCTACCTATCTACGTGTATTGATTGCTATCATTCGAAGCATTCCTTTTCTTCACAAAAAAAAAATTTCCCAGATGGCGGTGTCGGTAACAGTGGGCAAATGATGAAGGCGCTGTGTCTTGGCGCTGCCGCTGTGGTTTGCGGATCCATGCTCGCGGGAACAGAAGAAACGCCGGGAGACTATTTCTACCACAACGGCCTCCGCGTGAAGGCGTTTCGAGGTGATACCACATACAGTAACATTGAGGGACTTTACTTACTTTTTCGCGCATTTTATTCGCTCTCCTGGTACGACAAGGAACAGGAAGTGGTGTGTTGAGAGATAGACGAAAAGCGGATATCGAAATGCTCATCTCGATTATGCTCTCTTCACCTCGTAGTCCAGCTCGATATAATTTCCTTTCTGTATGCAAGGTATTCGTGGCACGGCTTCCAGCGCCGGCGGAGGCGGTTCCGGATCCCTGAGCCCAAGCAGCCGCACATATCGTGAGGAAAAATCCTCCCTCCCCGTGTTGAAAGCGCATCCTTCTGAAAATCTGTGATGCGTATTTGTGACCACAAATCCTGTCTGTCTTGCATGCAGGCAAATCCAGAGAATCCGCCGCATCATGCAGGCGGTTTGTGATGCTATTGGGCCTACACCATCGACGTTTTTCATGCTAGGAGCCTACGCCAAAACATCGCGGCTCAGGCTTGGCATATGCCTGCAGTCCTCTACTGCAAGACAAATCTGGTCTGTGTACTGAAATCCAGCATCAGAAACCTCTTTTTGATACCAGGCGGGGGAATTTTTCCTTTTGATAGCACGGGTAGAAACGCAGCGAGTGGCCACAGGAGGACCTCCATGCACCTAACGACCTCTTCCGTCCTATCCTGAGTAAAAACGTACCCACATCAGAGTCAGGATGGGGATTGTGCAACACAAACCTAGCCGTTTTGTGAGTCACGCATGACAAGTTGCACTCTGCAGTGTGGTGCAGGTTAGCAAGTGCAGCCGCATCACAAATCCAGCTGCTCATCCTGTTCACAGCATCACAAATTCCAAAACACGACTGGAAATGGCTCGCATGGGGATGCGCATTACAAGTCTTCCTGTCTTTGCAAATCTGCATTACAACTCTGGCGTGGGTACGTTTTTACTCAGGATACGTCCGGACGGGGGTCGCCGGAGCAGTGATTGACAAGGTATAGAACAAACTATCTTTTGATGCAAGAAGGACGGTTTGAATACCGTTTGCCTGCCAATCCGGAGATGAATCTGTTGTGATGGATCGTGTGACGGTGCCTGGTCGTGTGTGGCTAAACGCTTTTGGCTTGATCAATGCAGTGAGGTGCATAGGTTTAGGTACAGACGAGAAGCACTTTTCTACAATGATACCATCTTGTTGACCACAGGGTTCCGTCTCCGCTCTAATTCCCTACGTTCTCCAGGGCGTGAAGCACGGCATGCAAGATCTCGGCACGAGAACCATCGAGCAAATGCAACGAGGGCTGTACGAGGGGGAGGTCCGGCTCGAGTGCCGTTCGGCCGCGGCGCAGAAGGAGGGGGCGGTGCATGATTTAGCGTCCGTACCGACCGTGCAGGACGGAAGCAAAAGCCGGGTCGTGTCACTGAATAACAAGTGGATGTAGTAACTCATTGGCGAGACGCCGTCCACGAAAGCAAGCATCTGGAATAGCAATAGAAGTAGAACTCGCCAATGTTCTTGTCCACAGTAGAGCTAGCATGATTTCGCTGTTTTGATAAAAAGGATTCAGTGAGTGGCTATTTTGAAGACACACGAAATGTTGACATACGAAATAGACGCCGGCTAGCGCAAGGCTGATAACGGAGCTAACCTGTCTGTCTTTTAAATTTTGTACGTAAAAAATCATGCCCGAATTCAAAGAAATGCAATTTTTCAAGAACAACCCAATGTAAGAACTTAAGTTCTCTCCATGGTCGTGTGCTAGCGCTATTAGGAAGTCGGGAGTCAACATTTTCAGCATGGAGATACCGGACAGCGGGTGGATGCCCATTGCGGTGGATGGCGAAAGCTGTGGTCCTCGTGTTGGGCGACTGCGCAGCTGCGATACTATCCATCGTTTTCACTCAATTACACCCTGGCTCGTCCTGGTTGAGCATCGTAGTTCTTCAAATCATTTCAGTATACCAAAACCTCATCGCGTAGTACTAGTATCTCGAGAGAGGAGTGTCGGTTTTCCATTTCGCGCTCCTGCGGGACAACGATATTTAGTATGAATGAAATGAAAATGATCGTTGCCTGGCGGCACTTGATGGAGATCGGCGTACATCATTATTTAGAGTCGCCATCGAGAGACTTCTCTAGAGAGATCCATTGGGCCCAGAAGCGTGCGTCTGCCTCGATGCTGCATGCGCATCGTCATTCTTTCTCGTTGCTTCTTCAAGTCGTTTCGTCGTGATGAGGAGTAGTAGAGAATGTGTGGTTTGCAAATTTATTTTTCTACCGTCTGTGGTTTTTCTTTCACACTTCAAGTCGATTGTGCTAATAGTCGAATCAATTGTGAGTGCACACTGCTGCTAGTTCACCGGCAGCGGAAAAAAATTTTCACTGCATTAAAAAATGAACTGCATTTGTTCTTGGGAAGGTGCTCAATCCATCTTCTCCACCGCCAAATTTTGCTGAATAAATTCCGGCCAACTACACTCACTCCGCCGAGCCAGTCCCAGTTCCGGAGTTGCAATTACTACCCCTTGCAACCACGAGCGACCACCGCAGCCTGGAAGTAGAATCAAGTACTTACTTACTTCACCTCCTTCAAAATGGCTTCGGCCAACATTGCCGCCGCGCCGCATTACAAAGTGACTCCAACGGCGGTCACCCGACTCGTACCGCCAAATGTGGAGGATTCGCTGGACTACGACCAGTCGTACGATCAAGACCACGACTACAATGACTACGACGAGTACAACAGCGACGAGGATTTTTACGGCGCCGCACAACCGCAGCAACCCAGCTCCGCCAACAAGCAGCCCCGACGACCGGCCACCGCCCCGGTCGGACCGCGGAACACCGCCGCCGCGGCCCGCGGCAGACCCACAACGAGAAAGGTGAATTTGGTGAGCAGTAAGGAAGACGCAACTGGTTCCAGGGACGACGAGGTGTTCCAGTTCCTGAAAAAGCGCCGGAGACTGCCGCACCGACTGCGATCGCCCGACCGCGCCGAGGCGGAAGCGAAAGACTTCAAGCGGCTGCACGAGACCTACGAGGACCGGGTGCTGCGGTGGGGCTCGCGCGACCCGGGGCCCAACGTCTCCAAGTGGGAACGGAAATTGCTCGCGGGGCTGGAGAAGTTGGAAAACCACACGACCCGGCCGCGCGGCGTCGCGGAGATTCGCCAGGTAATCAGCGTTTTCCCGGAGCACAGCGTGCTGAAGTTTCAGCACCTGGCGTTCAACCAGCGGAAGCCCATGAGCAACCACCACGCGAAGCGCGAGCTGCTTTTCCTCCTACCGGAACTGACGAAGCGGGGGTCGTTCCCGTTTTTCAAGCTGCGAGCGGGCTTGTCGTTCGTGTTAAACCACTTGAAGGACGAGCAGTTTTGCCCGGCGGTCAGCCGCTGCGTCGTGGAAACCTACAAGGCACTGGTCAGCACTGGCGCTGGGGTTGGGAATCCGAATTCCAGTGCCTTCAACGACTCGCAGTACGACCTTTCGTCGAACAAGGACCAAACAACCGGGGTTGGCGAGCCAGATGCCACTTTTCAGCTCTTCACGAATTTCCTTCTGGACCGAGCGATGCGCCGAAAGAACGGCCGGAGTCTGCAGGAAAGGAAGGGCTGCCTGCTATCCCGTGTAAAAACATCCCCACCCCAGAGTTGTCATGCAATTCTGCATGCCAAAAAAGTTTCTCATGATGATGATGATGATGATGATGCGGAGCCCTATCAGAAGCATTTTCTAGTCGTGTTTCGAAATTTGTAATGGTAGGGCCAGCATGCTATGATAGATCTGTGATGCTGCTGACCTACCTAAAACAGGACTACACTACGAGGACAAACCTGTCATGCCAACAAACAACCAAAGCGGGTTGATTTGTCTAGCAGATGACTCTGGTGTGGGGACGTTTTTAATCAGGATTCCTGCTCGTGCTGCAGCAGTTGCTGGTGGAGTACGGCATTGAGGCGTTTTTGGACCTGAACAAGGTGCTCCAACTTCTCAAATCCGCGCACGACTTGCACGAACCCATCCTGACCGTTCTGTCCCAGTTGCTCGAAAGGAAGCCGGGGGAATTCACGAGCTCGCAATTAACGTTGATAATCGCGGTTCTAGTGAAGCATCTGTCCGGCCCGAGCGCGAAGCCGGATTTTGTTGCGGGGAAGGGCGGGACGCAAAGGGGAAGCAGAGATGTGGTGGAGGTATAGACATTTATGAACATGGTACTGGTGCGCTCCATGAATGTGAAATTCAGTTGTCATTTGGTAGATACACGTCGCCCGGTCTCTGAAACCTAGGTGAAATAAATGTAGACTACAGTGATCATCGCTATGTAAAATTGATTCAAGCATCGTAATCGTCTGTATGAGATAAAAGTGAAACAACAATATCCAGAACGACCCTGCGACCTCTCTTCCCGAGGAATTTTGGCTGACCAAGGACCTCGCCGTCATCTGTTCCGCGCTCCTCGGCCAGATCGGGCGGTACGTGCTGAAGAATTTCGGGAACCTATCCTAAGCGAAAACGTGCCCACCCCAGTGGTATAGTCAAGTTGGGAATCTAGCAACACAAATCTCCAAGTTTTGGGAGCGGTGCATGACAAGTTTCCCTCTGCAGTGTAGTTCTGATTGGCAAGAGAAGCCGCATGAGAAAGGCATTTTCGCATCGTGTTTGCAGCATTACAAATTCCTTTCATGGAGCTGCGCATTACAAATGTTCCTGCCATGGCGCGTTTGCATGACAACTCTGGCGTCTGCGGCCTGGGGCAGAGGGGGGGCAAAGTGTGCTGCAATTCCTTTAGCATGACAACTCTAGCGCGGGGGCGTTTTTGCTGAGGATAGAACCAACAGCCCCACTTGGTAGACAAGCACCGGTCGCTCGTACTGGGCACGCTGGCGGAGGAAAACCTCGACCTCTGGCGCCTGGCCGCGGGCAGGTCGGGCGCCAACTTGCGGAAATCCCTGAAGTTTTGCCAGGAGGTGTGGCAAAAACCCGCTAGCGCAACCTCCGTCCCCTCCGCGCCCATGCGGAACTCGGTCCGGAAAGACGCGCAGTTTTCCAAGAAGGGGCTGGTGCAAAGTTTGGTCGACGGGTTGCTGGAATCCAGCAAGGCGGCAGCTTTCAAGGACTATCAACATCTGGGAACAGCGACGTCCAGTGGCAATAGAAACGGCGGGACTAGTGTATCAAAAAATTATGTCAACATGGATGCCGCCACTGCTGCGAAAAGTCTATTGCCGAACCCGGATGAGAACCTGCCGAGTCTGTCGCCGGAAGACGACGAGGAGGACGATTTTCAGAACAGTTACAACGGCCCCGAAGAAGTCATCGACAACAGCGCAACCAGCAGCCGAAAGGCCAGCAACAGCTATTCCGGACAACGGAATATTAATTCCTCCTCAAGTCATCTGCAACCGCCGCAGCCGCCCGGCGGGGTAGTGGTTACGTCGGACCAAGGTGCAGTACTATTGCAGCGGGAGGAAAACGTATCACAGGAAAAAGTGTAGTTAGAGTTACACATGTGTTGCAATTTCAGCATCACAAAGTTGCTCTGCATAGCAAAAGACTACAAGGGAAAATGCGAATGAACAGCGGCTGGAAAGCATTTCCTGCATGACAAAGGTTGTCTGTCTTGCTGGTCTTGCATCAGAGTGTGTAACTGTAACACTTTTTTCTTCGCATAAAACCTCGGGCCGCACAGCATCCCGCTCGACGAAATCGCGCACGAGCTGGTGATACCAAATGCAAATATGTCTGGGTCTGGAAGATTGCTAGCTTTGTCATGCAGATTGTCTAGGACCCGTGAGGTCTGGAATGCAGGACCTAGCATGACAGATTCTTTGAGATCTCTATCATGCCGGTCCTCCATGAGAAAGAACTCCCTCTCAACTTGGTCAAAAGTGGACAACTTTTGGTAGTCACGCAACACAGATTTTTGCATGATTCAGACTTAGCATGACAAGTTACACTCTTCCAGGCCCAGACATGTTTGCAATTCATAGGTGAATCGCAGCGTCAGCCGAGCCGCCAGCCGCGAGTCGGGGAGCAAGCGGACCGCTTCGAACAGCTATTCGAAGCTGGACCACGCGGTTTTGGCAGGAGGAACTACGAACAACGCCTCGTCGAGCCATATGGCCCGCTCAGGTGTTACGATCTCAATTGTTGCAATAGAGTCTGGAATTTGTCTTGCATGAACAGCACCAGTACCATACAAACACTTGGCGTTTTCGCAATACACATTTCGCCACATAATTCTCATGGGGTGTGGAGTTCCGAAACTAACTTGTCATGCGCGATCCTGTGGGAGTAGGCCAGATGTTACGCATTTGTGCAACACAAATTCCAGATTCTATTGTAGCGCTTGAGATTCTTGTAACACCTGAGCACGTTATAAGCCACCGCGGAAGCTTTTCGTCCAGAGGAACGGGGTATCAAATGTAAAAATGTCTGGGTCTGGAAGATTCTGAGATTTGTCATGCATGTTTTGCATGACCCAGGATGTCTGTAATGCACGACCGCGCATCACAGATTTTGTGCTGGCTTCCTGATGCCTACTCAGCATGACAAACGCCCTCCCCGCGTAGTACAAACTAGACTCCTCTTGCTGGTCATGCAATACAGATTTTTCTAGAGTCCAAAGTTAGCATCACATGTTGCATTCTTCCAGACCCAGACATTTTTACATTTGATACGGGGTCCGGGGGCGGTGTTGTCACAGGGTCGGACGCGGAGGGAAGCAAGGTATAAGTGTACTACAACCGGAGTGGTTGTTCTCATGATGTTGAGGTTGACGCAGTTGTAGTAGACACGTTTTATCTGTAAGTAAACGACTTGGGCGCAGCTACTCTCCTTCTTGCTCGGACAAGTTGCCACTTTTGTTTATCCAGAGTTCGTTCTTGTTCCTGTTGTATTTCGTTGGTAAAGTCGAATCTATGAGAATGCAACACGGTAAGCAACGTGTTCTTTCACATACTGACAACGAAAGGTGCTCCAGCGGGCGGTGAGCGGATCTTCCTGCGCAACCGTCGAGCGGCCAGTAGAAGGTTCGTTTCAACAAGAAAACCAGTTTGTGCACAAGGCGTTCAATAACAATCAAGAATTTGACCAGCCGCGGGTGATCGGGAGCAACAGCTTCGAAAAAAACGCCAACGACTTCGATGAAGACCAGCAGTTGTTCTCCCGAATCCGCGTGAAAAGCACCAACATTGGGCGGGCGGGACAACTCCCCGTCAACGAGTCGGAAATACGGAATAGCAGCAACAAAGGACCACATCATATACCGGCAGCACAAGAAGGGGTCAACAGCCGCAGTGGCACAAAGCTGAATCTTTCTTCCTCCGCTAACAGTACGGAGCTGCACTATGGAAGCGCGAACTGCGACCCAGAAAGTCTGCTGGACTACGAAATCAGAACCCACCTGAACGCGGAGAATGTGGTGATGCGTGGCGCAGGAGGTGCTGGGAGAAGTAATTTATTGCAACGCGATGATCTACTCGATCAGCGCAACATCGAGGCTGACGACCATTCTGAATCCAATTCCTCCTCCGCGCAAGAGCAAGTAGACGACAACCAGGAGACGGCAGCGCGACGGAGATCCCTCCTTCTCCGCCAGGAGGCGAACCCGCTGCTGTTGGCCACCTCCCAGAGACAAAACAGCCACACCCGGGGGCCAACAACTACGTCTGCAAGGTTAGTCACCTCCCCTCCGCGGTTGGGCGACCCCAGCTCGCCGCAGCATCACCCCAGGAACAGCTACTCGTTCAACAATGTGAACAGCAACAGCCGGAGGTCCAGTTTGGGCGGAAGTTTTAGCAGCGTGCTCACCCGGGAACAAGGCGGACGAACTTCTACTCGTGCTGCTGGCAGGAACTACAACTATGAAGATCAGGAAGCAAACGCCTTTTTTGACATGTACGAGCCGCAGGATGTGGAGATGTCGCAAGCTGCACAACAAGGCTATCATGATGGTCACCCTGCAAGAACCAGTTCTTCGCCACAGAAGGGGATGAAGCAGCATCCGCAGAGAGGATCACATCACCTTTCAGGGAACAAGAACTATGATCCGCAGCACCAGCACCAGCCCGTGGTCCTCGACAAGTGTGTCTCCCAGGCGCTGGAATTGATTCAGCACGAGGGGGATGTCAACACGGGGTTCGCGAAGGTGTTTGCCAACGGGAACGAACAGAGCCTGCGGCAACTGCTGCACAGGTTGACGAAAATCAGTCACAACATCTCCGCAACACTGGACCAGAAACACGCAAGCTATTTGTTCCAACTACTTTCGGCACTTTTGCCGAAGGATTTCAAGCAGCGAAACAGAAATGAGCCGAATACTATCGGAGGAAAACGACAAAAACACTGCTTCGCTGTATTGAAACTTGTGACGTAAGACAGGAGCAGGACGCAAGAACACAGAATGATGTTCTTTTCTTGCTACTTAGAAATGTAAGGCAAGGGAGCCATCGTGTCATAATTTTTCCTCCTAGGAAAAAATGCGCCTTCTATGCCGTGGGAAATTTTCTTTGTCATGTCGAGTAAGCTAGCAACAATTATTTGCGATTTGCATTTTAATTGTTGTGCTTGTGGCAATGAATTGCAAAATCGTCTCTAAATAAATTTCGATTGAAGCTAGTGCATAATTTTTTTCGCACGATACACAGTTACGCGAATCTGCTGAACACTCTCCAGTGGATGAAGGCAATGGTAACCAGCAAAACTTCGGTTTTGCAACAGATCCAGAGCAGCAGCATCACCAAGCTGCAGCAGCTGCTGTTTCAAGCCACAGAAACCGGCGACTCGTTTGCGGGGCTAGTCGGGGGGAAGAATGAGCTGGCAAAACACTGCGCGCAGCTGTACGCCATGCTTGAAAGGGGAAAGTTTGGATAGAAGTAGGCGGAACGTGGTCGTCGACTACAACGTCGAAGCAGAAGTGTTCACTGGTCGTGGTTGCGCTGTGAAGGTGGTGTGCTAGTTCTGGTGTTACCTTCTCTACTGCTATGAACACTGATACCGCGACGTACAGGGACAGCTGCTTTTCTGTATTCCAGAAGAGTGATACTATCAGTTTAGGTTATTTGTAAGATCATCTTCGTGGCAGCGGTTAAATGGTGCGGGAGGGGAGCAGATGTTGAACAGGATCTGAAATGCAAAATCAATGAAAAGGTACAGGTTTAAAAAAATAAAGATGAACGACCACGACTGTTGAATTTGAAAACCTGGAGCTGTGGCTTTGCAATTTGCTATTATTGTTCTTTTAAACAGTAGAGACGGCGCTCACGCCGGCGGTGACGTTGCAAGTTTTTTGTGCTTCAGAAGTACAACTTACTTGCTCCTTTCTTGCAAGAACACGGCTTATTAATTTAGACGGCGTATGATCAATCTGGTCGTGGTCCCCACTAACTCGTATACTGACAGTGACACTGTGTAAGTACTATTCTGTTGAATCAATCGGATTTCAAATTCATGGAAAATGCACCATGATTGATCTCTCTGGATCCTCTCCTTTGGCACAGAATGAGATCGACTTCGACACGTAAAGATTTGGACATGATCAGTGAATCTAAAGTAGAAGAAGTAATGAAGGATCGGTCGCGCTCGTTCTTAAGTACTTACTCCTAGTGTCGGTCGTGCCAGATTTTCGTATTTTTTTTCACGACCCTGTTCCTTAATCAAAAACGAATAGTAGTCCACAAATAAAACTTGTTGGTCGTCTTTTGCAACTACTTGCTAGAGTTCTTTTCAAATAAAAGTTGTACTCGGAGCAAGAACTACTTCCACTTCTCTGCAGTGATCTCCTGCCACGCCAGAGTACTTATTTGCGCATGTTGATCCAGTGGGCCGCAGCGTCGGTCTTTAAGAATCTGTTCTCGTTAGTACGAGGAGTTCTTTTACTTCGTGTTGCAGGACATAAAAAAACGTAGTCGGTATAGTTGCGTTCTGATGTGGACGACCTTTTTGTGAACAAGCATGCACAACTAAAACTTGTTTTTGGACATCATGATCTGGTGCATCGTCACCTTTGACCTCCTCGAGAAGTCGGTTGTGCGAAAATACTTAAGTCGGGTAAAACAATCGACAAAGTCGGTCGCTGTTATAGGTCGGTTGTAACAAGAGAAAGGTGGTTGCGATTGTGTGGTAGGCTGCAGGTGAAGGGCTGAGCAGATTTATTGCGGACCAACCTTTGCACTGTTGTATTTCTACTTGCAATTTATCAAGAACATTCTATCGCGCTCCAATGAATAGAGACCTACTACAAGACTCTACAACACGACCGCATTGCAGCCACATCGAGCCATCTTGCCACAGCAGCTCTGTAAGGAAAAACTGCAGCATTATGCAGCTTAGCGGTCCACTTCACGTTTCTAGTTTTTGAAAAATATTTACCGTGATTAGAGAATCAATGTCAATAGAACCGTTGAAAGACAAGGAAGATCATAGTCGAAGAAAGTAGAGGAAAAGTTAACTTCTAACAATCTATCATCGCGATCTTTTATTTTCGCCGTGCGGTGTAGTTTTTTCGTGACTAACTATCAACATTTACTCTTTGTTCAAAAACTAACACAGCAAAAAGATGTCTCCGCTGCCACAGTTATCCTCATCGGCAAATTCAAAAATTGCGGGACGAGCCCGAGCCGCTCTGCTGGGTACAACCGGTTGTAGTTGCAACCTGCTCTTGCTGGCGATTCAGTTCTTGGGCGAACTGAAAACCGTTGCCGCGGTCTCCTTAACCAGGGAATTGTGTCTGCACAAGGAGCAGCAGGAGAAAAATACACGTGGTGATGGTGACGTCATCCCGCCTCAGTGTGACGAGAACGCGAGCGACGCGGCCTCCTGCGCCGCGAGTCCGAAACCCGGGTGCAAATACTGCATCAATTTTCCTCCGAAGGAGCGGTGTCGCGTACCTGTATCGCAGAAGAAAAAAGTGTTACAGGTACACATTGTGTTGCAGGCCAAGCAAGACAGACAAGCTGCGTCATGCCGGATACGCATAGGAGCCTCGTTTCATAGGTGTTTTCCCGTAGGATTTCCGCATAGACAAGTTTTCGCTCTCATGCAGAGAAATTTGCGTTGCTGAATTAACTACAAATGTGTAACTGTAACACTTTTTTCGTGGGATAGCCCGGCCCGGAAGATTACTGCGCATTCAGCTTGTCGCGTGACCAGGTGGACGCGTTTAAGCAGCCCTACGATCCGTTCGAACGAATCCCGACGACCTATTATAATGAAAAATGCCCCCACCCCCAAAGTTGCAAAACATTGTGATGCGAAGTTTCCAAATGAAAGCTTTTTGTCATGCATGAAAGGAGTATGGCAATGGCTATCTATGGACCTTTCTGATGCAGAGTCTAGTCGTGTATCGCATCGCTTGCATGACCAGCGCCGCTCTTGCTGGGGTCTTTTGCAATTCAAATTTTTGCTATTCACGATTGGAGACCTGTGATGCTGATAGATGCAAGAGGGCGAGTGTTTCACTTGGAAAGGTTAGCAATACAGATGTATCCATCAAGTTCGGGGGTGGGGGCATTTTTCATTGCAATACAACCGCGGTGTGCGACGAGGTAAGTTTGATCGACCAGATGGAGAACGAGATTTGTGAGGCGGGCATTTGGAACATCACCGTGACCTGCGACAAGATGGGCCAGTGCGCCTCCGTCGGGCACGATCCCTTCAACTACGTGGAGAGCGGCAATGTCGACCTGTCAGACAAGGCGTCCGTGTGCCGAGAGGCCTACGGCCGCCGCAGCCTCGGCCTGGAAGAGAACGCCCCAGAGAGTGTTCTAGACAACCGCATCAACGTGGATAATTATTACTTCAAGCTGAGCCACAGGCAGAAACGCAGTGGGTACGGGTTTCTATTGTCCACCCTGATCAACTATCAAATGTAAAAATGTCTGGGTCTGGAAGAATCATGCTGTTTCTGCATGATACAGAAGGTCTGGCATGGAAGCTCTAGCATCACAGGTTTCGAGAAGCTTCCGCAATGCCGAATCCGCATGACAAATCCTCCACTTTGGTGACAGAAGTGAGCAGCTTTTGCTGCCTATGCATCAGAGATTTTTGTGTGTTCTGAAATGCGCATCACAAGTTACATCCTTCCAGACCCAGACATTTTTACACTTGATATCAACAATGCGGGGCTGTCGCTCGCGTTTCTGAACACGTTTCGCGAGCAGTACTACATGAATCGCGATGACCACGACGACAAGCGCGTGAACGTCACGCAGGGGATCCGGCACATCGTGATGAATCCAGACGCGAAGCTGGGCCTGTTGAAGCTGCCGGAAAACTGCAAAACGAAGCTGCAGTCCGGCAAGTGGCTGGTCAAGAGCTGCTTCACGGACGCACTGCAATCCCACGTGGAAAACTCGCTGCGTCAGTTCACCGACTATGCATTGCAAATGTGTCTGGGTCTGAAAACTTGTGATGCTGGGTGGCGTAATATATATCACAAGGAGGCCACAAGTGCTGGCTCAGCATGGCAAGTTTCTGACCTTCTAGATGTTGCCTACTCTGCGTGACAGACTGCGTTTCTACATGACAGAAAAATGCGGCTCTAGGGTAGTACTAACGTGCATGACAGATTTAAGAGTCATGCCAGACAAGCATGACAAAAATGCACTCTACTTCCAGACCCAGACATTTTTGCATTTGATACCGACGCGTTGCGTCTGAGTCACGGCGAATTCGACTACCAAGACTTCTTATCAACTGTAAAAATGTCTGGGTCTGGAAGATTCTGAGACTTGTCATGCACGGTTTGCATCCGCCATGATGTCTGTCATGCATGCCCTAGCCTCACAGGTTTTCAGAGGGACTCTTGATGCCTATTCCGCATGACAAATGCCCTCTCCGCGTAGCAAAAATTAGAATCCTTTTGCTGCTCGTGCAACACAAATTTGTTAGACATCCAAATGCAGCATCACAAGTTCGGATCCTTCCAGACCCAGACATTTTTACATTTGATACTTCTCCTATTGGGTCCACTTGCCCCGTCACAACATGAAGGTCAAGATCGTGCCATCGGGGGTGATATCCATTGCAAATATGTCTGGGTCTGGAAAGTTAGAACTTGTGATGCTGGTCTTGTATTCCTGTGAAATCTGTATTGCATGACCAACCAAAGTCGCAGCCTCTTTTGTCATACAAGAATGCAGTTTCTCATGCGGGCCGCGCATGAGGAAGCCTTCTGGAAAGTTGTCATGCTTGGCTGCATTCGCGGCCAGTGTCTCCATCATCCACACTTAGCATCACAAATTTCCAGACCCAGACATTTTTTGCACTTGATAGGTGAGCTCCGTGTGGGACGGGGATGCGGATGCCGTGGGTCAGTACAAGTGGGATTGGCGGGACGAAGCGTTTGACTGGACCTTTTTCGACGACGATGGGACACCAGAAAGCGACAAGGATGTTGACAAGAAGACCGCCCAACAGTCCGTGTTCCCGCTCCAGTCGCGGGGCGTTGTGACGCGCAACGACAAGACGATTGTGTGCAAAAGGTCGGTGTTTCCCGACTCCTGCCCCCCCTCCACACACGAGCCGGAAAACGAAAAGAACGAGAACCAGGGCCCGAACGACGGGGCGTATTACTACGTCGGCGGAGGGAACGTGTTCGATCTGATGGCCGATGCCAAGAACGAGAAGCTGAATGCCGGCGACGACGTGTTTCTGCTCTCGTACTGGGAAGAAATGACGCGGCGCTGGCACTCGGCAGAGCTCATGCTGGGAGGCCAGAGTGCGGGAACCATGATCATGAACGGACTGGGTAACGACTTCTTGTACTTTGGACTCTCTGGGGACCCGCCGCCGCACTTGCTAGAGACCGACAGCGAGTCCGGAACAAGCCCTTACCGCCTGTCTACGGACGGGAATTACGAGCAGGGCTGCAAGTATGGATGTGTCAGGTGTGAAATCGTCAAAGTTGAAATAGTTTGTCATGCATAAAACAGATACCAGTCGAGTCGGGCGCCCACTTATCAAGCGGCGCATGACAAACTTTCCGAGTACCGGAATCCAATTTGTCATGCTGTTTGGGCACAGAGCACTGCTTTTGTCATGCGAGTTTAGTAGCTCTATTTCAAACCGCCCTGAACAGGCTCACAATCCGCCTCACTTGCTATCCCTGCAAGACAGGCACTTCATGCCTTGCATTTTATGCATGGCAAATTATTTCAACTTTGTCGATTTCAAACCTGACGCTTCCATAGCAAGGACAAGCCGCATCTGATCACCGGGTGCGACTTTACGAAGCCCAGCCTCGAGTTTGTGAACAGTCCGAAGGGGGGGCGCAGCTGCGTATCAAATGCAAATTATATATATTTCTGGGTCTGGAAATAAAGTGGAACTTCTTGTAATGCGTGTCTTGCATTCCTGGAAAATCTGTGTTGCATCAGCAGCAGAAGAGGAGCTTCCTTTGTCATGCAAAGACGCGATTTGTATACGCCTTTGCTAAGCATCAACAGGCGTCTGAAAAACTTGTCATGCTTGGCTACCATAATTGCAAGCGCTTCAATTTTTATGCGCAGCTCAGCATCACAGGTTTCCAGACCCGGACATATTTGCAATGCATACTGCGAGGTGGCCAACAAAACGCTGGAAGTGTGGCAAACCAATCTGCAGACGCCGCGGAAGCTGTCTATGACCTGCTCAAGAAACGTTACAATCTCAAACGTTACGATGTGTTGCATGTTGCATGACGAGCATTCCACTTTCTGCAATACAAATTTTGCCAGATTGTAGTGCGGTTTGGGACTGCGGAACTTGTCATGCGCAATCCTATGAGAGTTGGCTACATAATGCACCTCTTGCATCACAGATTTCGATATTCTATTGTAACGTTTGAGATTGTAACAGCTGAGCACGTTATACTGTTCCCGCTGACGGCGAGCCGTTACCAGACGGAGACTATTGTGAGGAAAAATCTTCCCTCCCTATACCAGGAAAAAAGGATACTTCTGAAAATTTGTGATGCTGATTTGTGACCACAAATCGTCTCTGTATTGCTGGAACGCAAATCCAGAGACTCCGCCGCGTTTTGCAGGCAATTTGTAATGCTGTATGGCCTGCGGAGGATATGCCGGCCTTGCTAGGCACCTACACCAAAAAGCCCCTACTCCCGCTTTGTATCTACTGCCTGCAGTCCTCTACTGCAAGACAAAGCCGATTTGTGTGCACAAATCCCGCATAACAGATTTCCATTTCGATATGGGGAGGGGGGATTTTTCCTTGGGATAGAGACCTGCGATCCCGAATGCCTCAAGGAGTGCCAATCTGCCAGTTACAGTTGCTCGGAATTGTCCGACTCCCTCGTGTATCACTTGCAGAGACCACCGATTCGGGCCTGGAACTTCCACAGCGATGCGCGCTCGTGAAGCTGTTCTGAATGGATAGTGCTGTATAGAAGATTTATGTCGTCATGCAAAAAAACTACGGGCTTTCTGATCATGCGCTTGGTTTATTTTACAACGCAATACAAAACCGTCCAAAGATTTGTCATGCTCCGCAGCAGGAGGACTACTTCTAGTGCCTCATTTATTTTTCCAGCAAATCCTAGCATAGTATACTTGTTTCCAGAGCCAGATCGATGTTTGTTTTTGATACCGTGGGCGGGCGCCAGTTCCGCGAGGCCTGCAGCAGCATGCAGTCCTTGCGATGGGATGAGCCGGTGCATGCGTTGGGGGAACGCAACGTATACACGACGATGCTCCCGAATAACAAACCGAATACCTACATTGTTTACGACGCTGGCTGCCCCGACCCAACGCTGTCCGAAGCGGAAAGGGAAGCGAAAACCGCTGCGGAACAGGAGTTGACCCCGGAAAAGGTTCGGCAAAAAATCGAGGACCCGGCATTCTACAAAACCAAGCTGTCCGTGGGGCAGCAGATCGTGAACATCCAGGTGCAGTTTGCGCCTGACGATTGGAAGGCTGACATTATTTCGGGCGTTCGGGTATGCTCTACAAAAGTACTTCTATCGCGCAACTTGTCGTACAACCACTTTCAATAATTTGTTGCATGACAGATCTACTTGTATAAATTCATTTTCAATTATTTACTACAACTAGTACGATTATACTTTTGCAATGCATAGCGGGCTGTTGATGCACTGGGTGCGATCGAAAAGCCGTCCGACGCCCGGTTTGTGGAGCATAACGCCGGGCGGTCGATTCAAGGGGCGCCGAAGTGGTTGTTTGCCGTGTGGTACGGATTGCAAAAATGTCTGGGTCTGGAACTCAAACTTGTGTCGCTGATACATGCATTGCAGACTGGTTGCTTGCACGGCCTAACAATAGGGGAAGTCTTTATTTTTCTCCTCAGCTTGTTCTTGCGGATGCGGACTCATACTCATTCGTACTTAGCCATCCAGCACGACAGAAAAAAATGGCTAATGATCCACCTCGTGTTCCTGCATTGCAGATCTTCGTGTCCTTGAAGTTCCGCAACACATCAAATCGAGACCCAGATGACGTGTTTGCAATGCATATGGGGTTTTCCACAGACGCAAGCTGCGAACTGAAATACCCCGACCTGGTTCCGGGCGGGTGTGGCAAAACTTTATCCGAGCTCGACATGATGCGGGTCCAGAAGGCGGTCTTTCCCGGGGCGGGATATCCTGAGCAAAAACGTCCCCACCCCATAGTCAAGTTGGCAAATCTGCAATACAAACCTCCAAGTTTTGGCTGTCGAGCATGACAAGTCTGGGCTTGTAGTGTACTCCTGTGAAGCTAGTTCAGCAGCATCACAGAGCTAGCGCGTCATGCTTATTGGAGCATGACAAATTCCGAAACACAGCTACACAATGCTTCTCATGGGGCTGCGCATGAGAAACATTTGCAGCTTGCAGATTTGCGTTACAACTTATGGGGTGGGCGAGACGTTTTTACTCAGGATACGGGAAGCCGTGCAGTCAAGGAGGAGGACTGCCCGCATCTCAACTCGAAACGGTCCTTCCAGACGAATGAACGCGACTATCGCACAGAAAAAAGCCAGCAGGGCATTCGGAATGCAAAAATATTGATATAAAATATTGATATAACCGCACTAGAACAAAAAACAAAAACTAATAAGAAGTTGTATCCTAGGAAATAGCATGCTATGGGCGGCTCGCCCATGGCAGACTTTGTAGTTTTTGCATTACAAATATTTCCTGCTAGCTTTTTTTCGTCCGATAGCGGCCCGCGCGGGATCGATTCCTCTGATCCTCGCTGCCAGCCCACGACCGGCGGGAAGTGTAACGCCTGGAATTTCGGAGGTATAGGATATGTTATGATATGACGGCGCCAAGGAAATAGGTATACCAAATGTCGAAAAAATAAACCTTGACAACTTCTGACTGGTGTGAGTAGTTTTTTATGTACGATTTCGATTGTTTTGTTTACTAGACTTGACAGGGACCACGTCGACAACTTCGCAACAACTTTCTCTGCGAAGTTGTTTCATCCGCTTCGCGTCTCATTCTGAATACAAACTCCACTTGTACCAACAGGTCTGCGTTCCCGTTTTATGGGCCTGGGTTGGATGCACAACATCTCCGTGCGCCCGCACGCGTGCTTGGGGACCACGAAGAAGGTGAAGCCGGGCATCCAGCGCCTAGCGCCCAGTATGGGGTATTTGTCACCTTTTTCCATGTATGCATCGCAAATCTGTGTCTGGGTCTGGAAGGATGTAGCTGCTGATGTTGCGTTTGGATTGTGCAAAAATCTGTATTCCATGAACAGCAAATAAAGCAGTCCAGTTCATCTTTTTGCCACGGCGAGAAGGCATCTCTCATACGGTATGGGCATCAGGAAGCCCTCACAAAATCTGTGATGCTACGGCATGCATCACAGACGTCAGGAGTCATGGAAAATGTGCATGACTAACCTTGCAGCATCCTTCCAGACCCAGACACTTTTGCATTTGATACCATGCTGGTGATTGCGGACGGCATGGCGGTGATCCACGAGGCCGGGGGAAGCAACCGGCGCGTGATCGTTGGCTATCCTGAGAAAAAACTGTTTCCGTCTCAACTTCTAATGCGCAACTTCCTTGAGACAGAGTTTTGTCATGCTTGAGATGCAAGAAAGACGTCTTTCATATGTGTTGTCCCTTGCTGTCTAAAAAAACGCATCACAGATTTTTTGTTTCTTGCTTCGCAAATTTGTGTTGCTGAGTCTGCAAAGAGAAAGATTTGGGACTGAGACAGCTTTTTCTCGCGATAGTGGCGACACGGAATTCACCCTGAAGAAGAATTACCACGGCGAGGCACAGGCTGCTTAGTAGTCACTACTAATTTGGGACATATTTTCAAGAATGTTGGGAAAACGAATCTACCACACATTCCGAACCGCTTCTTTGGGGGCATCACATGAACGTGACATGTTGTGTTTGAAAGCATAAAAACAATATTCATGGTTTATCACCGATTTTCATATTTTTCTTACACCTAATTTTCACTGAAAAAAATCTTCTACATCTACCGTACGAACATGCACCTACTTTTTTTATCTACATGAACATCGCCGTGTTTCGACAGAGATTGATATACAACAGTGATTGACCAAGACCAGTAGCATTTCGTGGTCCATCGGTACGAAACAAGTTTTGTACTCAAAACAGTAGATGAAGTAAAAAGTCATCTCGCTGCAAGTACAACATTTTTGAAGCGCATCCACAAAAATCATGGTTCGCATCTATTTCACATCGGATTGTCTTCAAGGATTTCCTTTCAAATGATATTTCTTCTATCGATTCAGTATTATCATTATCGGACCGCTCTACCAGTCCCGCAGATGCGTTTGAACTTTTATACGAGAATGGGTAAATTCTTCCTCTACCTTGGAAGGAAGTCGATTGCTCACACTCAATCACAATTTTGTAAACATCCGCAGCTGTGACTACAGTCAAAAAGAAACAATCTAAAAACCGGGCATCAACATGGTCGTCTTTATGTTGCAACATTGTGCGCAAGCGCGTGCACGCATCGTAACCAAGCAACGCGGCCAGTGTCTTCTTGCTGAGTTGGGACTATGTGCACGAGTAAAACAAAGTAAAGCAACAGGAACTAAGCACAGTTTCTTCAAGATCAAGGTAGACATGATGATCACGCAGTTATTCTCAAGAGAGACGAGGACGAGAGGTGGTTTGCTTGTGCTGTGGTATCGATCATCAAACGAGGTGTAGTAAGTGAGCATTCTTACACCGACAACGACAAGGAAGAGAGTGCGTCCTGCTGTCAACATCCGTGGCTATCTCTGTCTTGCACTTGCGGAATCTTTGCCGTGCTGCCACTAGTCCCACGACGGCACACAAAAGACACCGACTTACCCGGCGTCGTCGAGGAAGATGAAAGGTTGAGTGTTGTTGTAGTGTACGAAATATATGATCGACAATAGGAGGAGCTGAATAAAGGGGGGAATCCCATAATTCGGACGAGGTGTGGATAAAATAGAGAAAAGCAACAACAATTATAGGCGCTGCAGCAACAACTCTGTTTTTCTGCCGTATCGACCGGGGAGGCGGCTGTCAGTATGGCAGGGAAAAAACAGGTTGTGGATGTGGTGCGGTCGTGCGCGAACAACTGAGGTGGCACGGAAGTAGAGGACGACTTCTACCGGTGGGTCCATTCATAATCTTGCGAAATAAAACACCATCAAGCTCCTACATCTGCAAGAACCTGCTGCCAGAACCGATTGCGGATTTCTGATGCTGACCTTTACCTCCGGAACTTTTTCTGTTGCGCCGTGCAAGAGGGCAAGAACTACGACTACATGCGGCTGGTTGTGCTGGGTTTTCTTCCTGTATTGTAGCATCAGTCAGAAGAACTACTTCTTCAGCACCACTGCTCCTGGCGGCACAGAAAAGGATAGGAACGCTGGTGACCACGTCGACAACTATGGGTCGTCGTCGTGGTCTCTGCTCCTCGTTCGCGCCAGTAGTTTTCAGAACCACGCGGGCGGAGGTAGAAGTGCAAGTAGCAGAAGTACGACGACGTCGGCGTCCTCGAATAAAGGAAAAACAAAATCAAAATCTCGAACATCAAGTCGCACCAATGTAAATGTTGCGGCGGCATCAGGCCTTAGTTCGACGATTTCGAACAAAATAAATCTTGACAATGCCGCGAAAGACACAACATCAGCGACTGCATCTTCTTCATCAACAATCGCTAACAAGAAAACCGCAGCAACAGCATCGGAGAACGAAGCTGGGTGGGATCAGTCTCTGTCTTTCGCCACCCATTTCTCGTCCTATGGCTACAAATTTAAGAGCGAAGACGCGGCCAATGGAGCAGCGAAGACGAGTGCAAGTGCGAGGCCAACTGCAGCTACGTCTACGTCTTTATCGACATCGTCACAGTCCTCCTCACACACCGTTGCGCCAATCGAATTCGGCATCGAGAAATTTCGCACCACGTCGGCCTCAACATCCGCAACTTCCACGTCCGGTCAGGCTCATCGGTTTGAGGACCACGATGATGACGGGGTGCAGGATGCGAACGAAAACGCGGCGGCGCCCACTTTTCAAACCGCCGAGCAGGCCGATGGTCAGACCTCTGCTGGCAGCGTCGAACAGGGAAACAAGCAGTTAAAAAACAACCGGGAGGCAGCTACGAGTAGTGAAGAACAAGCAGCGGTAGCGGCGAGCCAGAGTGGAGGTTCTTCGTCCTCTGGGTCGTCAACATCCAGCAGCTCGTCCGCGGAAACATCAAGTGACGTAACAGCAGGAGGAACAGGGCAACAAGGAGAGGAAGCGCTGAGCGGAGCTGGGGGCGAAGGTACCACTGGAGCAGCCGCTGGTGCCACCCAGAATATTAAAGCCGGAGAGTTGTTGCCAAATCACGAGGAGCAAGCGACATCCAACACCAAGTCTGATACTCCTGCTTCCCCGGATACGTTGCACTTCCCGAGAAGAGCAAGAGATGGCGCGGCAGAAGAGAACACCAATAGCAACGAAGGGGCGAGTGCGACTAGTACTAGCTCCTCTGCCTCTACTTCAACCACGGAAGGGAACAAAGCATCTGCTGGCTCCGAGATCGCGACGACTACCAACGCAGAAAGTGCACCAGCAGGAGCTTCTTCGGAAAGAGCCGTAGAAGAACGAACGCAACAAGGCGGAGGTCAACTCGCCTCTGCCAGTCAACAGGAGGGCATTCCCGGCCTGAATAAAGGGGAACTGCTTCCGAATCGTGAGGAGCAATCGAGCGCGACGTCTTCCTCATCTGACACCGCTAGCACGGAAACGGGTACGGACGAGAGTACCGTGCCGGAGACTTCTACCAGTAGTGGGGAAGATGTTGCTGCAACAGCATCATCATCCACCTCGGAGGTGGTTTCCACGACTAGTGGCAGTGCTACGCAGAAGAAAAATGGCAGCAGTAAAAATGGTCCAGGTAGTGATCCTCGTGTTGAAACAGAAGCAGGACCCGTCAAAGCTGCGGAACAAACGCAAACACAAGCTGCAGCATCAGTAGCTGCAACTTCCTCCACCGAGACGACCAAAGGCGCAAGCGAGCAGAAGAACTTTCTCTCATCTACTTCGTCGACCAATCAACAAGCTGCGCAAGAGCAAACGCAAACGCGGCAAAACGAAGCAACTGCGAGCGGTTCGTTGAAAACAGCGAGCGCAGAACAGCAAAACAAGCAGTTAGCAGCCAGTACTTCTACCTCCACCGAGGCAGGAGCTTCCAGGGCGGGAACTACGTCAACCGTCACCGGCGCCAGTGTTGCGAGTGTCGCGACGAGCAGCGCCCAGCAAGAACTTGCAAGTCAGCAGCAAACCGCAGGAGCTGCCTCCAGCAGCTCCACAGCTTCGCGCAGGAGCGGCATCTCGACGGGGGTCGCAAACACGATTAGCCTCGGCGCCGGGGCGGGCGGTATGAGTACCAGTTCGTTCGGAGCTGGTGCTGGCACAGCCGCACAAACGTCGAGCAGCCAACACCAGTTTCTCGCCTCCAACGCAGGAGCTGCGGTAAAACAACAAACGACCAGCGGGAAGACCGAGAGCCAGCAAGAAAAGCAAATGCAACAGCAATTGCAGCAAAACCAACAGCAGGAACAAGGTGGTGCTACTTCGAATATGAATTCCAAATTGTCTCAAGGGGTCTACCTGGCGAACGAAATCGTTCTCGCGGACCAACCGTCCTTTGAACAGCCGGCGAAAAATTTCGAGGACGTGTTATGAAAGGGAAAAATCCCCCCTCCCAAAATCGAAATGGAGTTTCTGATGCTGGATTTGCGTGCACAAATCAGGTGTGTCTTGCTGGAGAGGACTGCAGGCATATGCCAAGCCTGAGGCGAGCGGTTTTTTTAACATAGGCGACTGGCATGACAGATGTCTATGCTGTAAGCCCAACAGCATCACAAAGCGCCTGCGTAATGCGGCGGATTCTCTGGCTTTGCCTTCTTGCAAGACAGACAGGATTTGTGTGTGCAAATCTGCAGCGCAAATTTGCAGACGGATCCGCTTTCAATATGGGGAGGGAGAATTTTTCGTCAGAATACGCGTATTACACGGTCCCGATCCACGTCGGCGGGCAGGAATTGGACTGCGTTCCAGACACCGGCTCGTTTTCGATCCTGGTGTTGTCCAAGCAGTGCGACTCGTGCGGCGACGTGCTGAGCTACCTGACGCACGTGTTTGACCCGACGGAGAGCGAGCCGCCGGTGCATATCAAAATGAAAAATCTCCCCTCGCCATACTAAAGCGGAGACTTGTGTAGCACGATTTGCTACTACGAATCATCTTGTCATGCTAGAAGGCGAAAAATGCGGACTGTAGTGCTGGCTGGCGAAGGAAAGCTTTGCGGCTTCAGTATGACAGGAGGCAACTGGAAGTGGGAAACAACGTGACAAATTGCCTGCAATTTAAGCCGCAACTGCGTCTCTTGGCCTTCTAGCAATACAACTCGATTTGTGTACGCAAATCCAGCATCACAAATATCCTTTTCAATATGGGGACGGGGGATTTTTTTACGCAATAGCGCACCACCTCGATCAGTATGCGGAGATCACGTTCGGGTCCGGGGTATGCAAGAAAAAAACTGTGTAAGTGTAAATCTGTGATGCAGAAAATGCAAAACAGTTACACTTGTCATGCTGGATGTGCGTCAGAGGCTATTTTCATATGTGTTGTTCGCGTACTAGCTACGCATGACAGGTTTTCTCTGTTATGCAAAGCAAATCTGTGATGCTGTTCCTGCAAAAAAGTTACACTTACACACTTTATTGTTTCTTGGATACGGTGCGGTCCACGTGGAGGGCGGGCAGACCTCGGTGAAACTCGGGCGCGTCACGGTCACGAAGCAGAAAATGTGGGAAATCAAGCAGATGGACACCGGCATGCAGAACATCTGGGACCAGGGCGCGCGGTTCGAGGGCATACTGGGCATGGGCATGGCCAACTGGGTGCCAGACAGTCGCGACGAGTCGACGCTGTTGAGCAACGCCCAGATCACGAAGTTTGGCATGTGCTTGGGGGATGTGCGGTACGAAGAGCGAGTTTTTCCGGTCCTCCCGGTCGTTTGCCTTTAGTACGCAGCTGCATCATAGGGGTAGAAATGCGCGCGCTTTCGGTTTTGCATGAGAGCAGTAGTCTCCTGGTTTACGTACGGGTCTAGGTCGTAATTGTAGAGGAGGCCACTGCCGCTGCGAACGTACTAGATCATGCAGTTTGTCGTGAATATCAACATGCGAAGATACAGAAGTAATGCAAGATTTCGTGCCAATAGCGGCAAACGAGGGAGGAGGCGGGAAATTTTGCAATCTGATACGGGTGACAAAACGTCCAAGATATACTGGGGGCAGTACCCGGCGGGAATCACTTATCATGTGGTATAAAGGTGTGGTGAATTTGATTGCTGCTCTAGTATTGTGAATGTGATCTTGATGTCGTTCCAGAACCAAGATAATGTAGATTAAAGGTCAGTTATTATTCTGATGCGCAATCATCAATAAAAAAAAATATGCGAAACATGGAAAAATAAAAATGAAAACTATCCACCAGACTCCCGTCGTGGGAAAGAAGCACTGGGCCATCCAAGTCACGTCCTTTGGAGTTGGCACCAAGGAAGACGATCTCCAGACCTGTGACCCCTGTGTATCAAATGTAAAAATGTGTGCGTCTGGAAGGATGTAACTTGTGATGCGCATTTCAGAACCCACAAAAATCTCTGATGCATACGCATAGGCAGCAAAAGCTGCTCACTTTCTGTCTACCAAAATGAGGGATTTGTCATGCGGATTCGGCATTGCGGAAGCTTCTCGAAACCTGTGATGCTAGAGCTTCCATGCCAGACCTTCTGTGTCATGCAGAAACAGCATGACCCTTCCAGACCCAGACATTTTTACATTTGATACTGTGCAGCTGTGGTCGATTCTGGAACCAGCTCCCTGGGTATGAGGGTGCACAACTCGCCCTCGTTTTCCTCTGTCATGAGATGTAGTCCCAAATACAAAACAAATTAGTTACTTAACTCAGCTGCTGTCTTATGGCACCGCTTGCAGTTGCATGACAAAGTCCAAAGAAAAGCACTTCACGACTCTGCCGCTCGATCTATTTGTCATGCGCAGACTGCGCGCTTGCCGGTGTGTGTAGTGCCGATGTTCATGCCAACGTGCAAGCGATAACGGCGGGGAGGCGAGAAAGGGGTTGTGCACTCTCATGCTTGGCGCCCCCTCGGGGTTGCTCTCCACACTGGAGGGCATGATCGTGGATAAGGAGGTATCCTGAGTAAAAACGTACCCACACCAGAGTCAGGATGGGGATTTTGCAACACAAACCTAGAAGTTTTGTGAGTCACGCATGACAAGTTGCACTCTGCAGTGTAGTGCAGGTTAGCAAGTGCAGCCGCATCACAGATTCATCTGCTCATCCTATTCACAGCATCACAAATTCCAAAATACGATTGGAAATGGCTCTCATGGGGATGCGCATTACAAGTCTTCCTGTCTTTGCAAATCTGCATCACAACTCTGGTGTGGGTACGTTTTTACTCAGGATAGGAGGGTCAGGGACTCTTGTCGGACTGCAGCAACCAAAAGGAGCTGCCAGACATTGTTCTCGGCCTGAAGGGAACGGATGGGAAGTCTTAGGGAATGCAAAAGTAGGGGTCTTATTAGTGGCAATTGCATGAGGACAAATCTTCGCAAAGATGAAACTTCTCATGCAGATGAATCTAGCTTCAAAAGGAAAAGCAAAATTCCTCTGCTCTGCGTGGTTGCAATTATTGCGAGCAGTATCTCCAGCTTTTGCACAGGATAATTTTTTCCACGTTACCATCCCGGCCAGCTGGTACGTGAAAGCGTCCGACTCCGGGGATTGCAAGCTCTCGCTGATGACCACGCCCCTCCCGACCAGCCGCGACTTCGGGCCGGTCTGGCTGTTGGGGCAACCCTTCATCCGGGAGTACTTGGTGATGTACGACCGGGGAGAAAAGCCGACCATGTCCTTCAGCCGGCGGGAGGGAACACCCGGAGACATGACGGCCTGCCCTACGTTGAACGGAAATCCGACGGAATTAACCTTCCCCGCACAGCAAGTGGATAGCGCGAATGTACTTGAAAAAGTTTTTTTTACCATTTTACGAAAATCTGTTGTGCATTTTTGTGTTGTGATCGTCGCTACTTCTATGCTATCTCATAGTCACTCACCAATGCCGCGTCATGTTTCGTAAGGTTTTTCAATACCTTTGCCTTACACCTGTCGAATTGAACAAAACAGGAAACTCTGGTGACCTCCAACACGCCGCTGCAGGGCGAAGACATCCTGATTCACAAGAAGCACGACCACCAAGAGGAGGCCACGCATATCATTTGTAAAAACATCCCCGCCCCAGAGTCAAGATGGGAAATCTGCTAGACAAATCAGCCAGCTTTGGTCGTTTGGCATGATAAGTTTCTCCTCGTAGTGTAATCCTGTTTAGGTAGTGCAGCAGCGTCACAGATCTAGCATATCATGCTGATTATAGCGTCACAAATTCCAAAGCACGACTAGGAAATGCCTCTCATGGCGCTCCGCATGACAAACTTTTTTGGCATGCAGATCTGCATGACAGCTCTGGCGTGGGGACGTTTTTACTCAGGATAACGCACGCCTCAGATTCGTCCGACCACAATCCGGCAACCATTATCTTCCCCGAATCCCAACCTCGGCAGGAGGTACGTGACGACAGCACCAGCAGTAGCGCGAAGGTGAGCAGCAAAAGCCCGATACTTCAGCCGGCGAATGTGCCCAAGCCCATCCTGCCGATGGACCGAGATTCGCTTGCGGCCGCGAAAGCGACGCTGGCCGGAGCAGGTGGTGCTTTTCCGACTGCACCGGGAAAAACCAGCTTGCTCGAAACCGAGCAGGGAACAACATCAAGCGGGAGTACTTCCGTTCGTAGCAACCGCGAAAAAAACCAGGAAAAATCTTCCGAGAACGTCAAGCAGGTATCCTGAGTAAAAACGTACCCACACCAGAGTCAGGATGAGGATTTTGCAACACAAGCCTAGGAGTTTTGTGAATCACGCATGACAAGTTGCACTATGCAGTGTAGTGCAGGTTAGCAAGTGCAGCCGCATCACAGATTCATCTGCTCATCCTGTTCACAGCATCACAAATTCCAAAACACGACTGGAAATGGCTCTCATGGGGATGCGCATTACAAGTCTTCCTGTCTTTGCAAATCTGCATTACAGCTCTGGCGTGGGTACGTTTTTACTCAGGATAGCAGGAAGTCGGCATCGAGTTCACGCTGAAGGCCGTGAGCAAAAAGGCGAAGAAAGTCGTATAACGCGCTCAGCTGTTGCAATCTCAAACGTTACAATAGAATGTAGTTGTAATCTGTGATGCAAGAGTGCATGACCTAGCCTACTCCCACAGGATTGCGCATGACAAGTTCTGGAGGCCCAATCCGCACTGGGATCTGGCGAAATTTGTATTGCAAAAGGTGGAACGCTGTGCGAGTCTGTCATGCTCATCATACAACACAAATTCCAGATTCTATTGTAACGCTTGAGATTGTAACACCTGAGCACGTTATAAGTCGGGGAGGCAATCGGGGACGTGCCCTTTTGGACTTTGAGAAACTTTGCGGACGGCATTTACTAGGGCGGGAAAGTTTCTTCAAGGTAACAAGAATAAAGTTCTTTGAATTCTTCGTGATTTCGAAGTTCATAACTTTTTTTGACGGGCACAGGTAGTACTACTGCATGGCTCCATTGCAGACGCCATCTTCCTCGCACCTCCAGAGGCAAAGAAGGAATAAAGGGCAGAGAGATTTGAATAAGCGTCAAAGTCTACACTGTACAAGGAACAAAGCAAAAAATTTCTGCGCAAAATAAATCCTCGTGCCAGATGAAGTGAGTGGAGGGGGTCGTATTCAAGCTCTAGCGTGCAGAAGAATTAACCATACCACCTTCGAGAAGATGTAACAGCTCAGGCATTCAAAACAGAACTTCAACACTTTTTTAGGGTAGAGATGGATCGAATATAGTCGATAAAAAGCTAGTATAGTTGTAGTAGTACAAGAGGATGGCGATACAAAACCCAGCGAGGAGCTGGACGCCATCAAATGTTAATAGCATCAGCATGCAACGCCGCATGATATCAAAGTGTGCGATAAAAGCATAGAGGTGATTGTGAAGAGGTTGAAGTCATTAGGGTTTCAAAAAAAACGAAACCATACGAAGTATGAATGCAACGATTTCGCAAAAGTAGTACTCAACTGCAGCTGCACGAAGACGAAGTTGTGAAAGCCGTTTTTTCCTGGCCAAGCCAGTCCTATCAAGAATGCAGCAACGAGTACCATTTTGATATCAATACTAGAGCTGGTTGTAGCAATTGCTTAGCCTTTCAAACGAAAGAAAATTTTTTTCAAACAAAAGCTAGCTTCGACAACGTATATCAATGTACTACCGCCTGTTGTAATAACTGTTTCACACACTGTCACTGCATGAATGAACAAGCTGCGGCTGCGCACGCCATTTTTGAAGCAAAAATCCAGAAAAATAAATGCACCCTGTATAATATTCCGAAACCGAAACATCAAGATGGGAAAAAACAAAACCAAAGCATGAGCATTGCCATGCCAAGCGGCTGCAGGAGCGCTCCCACTTTGCAACGAAACGCGGTCACTTTTTCCACACGTGGGCGGCGTGATTCCTGTTCAGCTTCAAAGATCAAGATCGTGGGAGCTCCTGTAATACCAAGCTGCTGCTGGTAGTGGCACCGGCAATAACTTACTACGCAAAGATCTGCGGCTGCAGCAATTATAGCGCCGGCGTTTTTGGATTGTGTTGCTGCCATTTTCTGTTGGAAGTTTGACTGTCTTTATATATTCTTTGTGATTGTTCCTGTGCCTGTCCGAAAAGTGTTCGAGATCCATGTTTTGGCTTTCTATTCTACCGGCATGGTTACGTACTTCGGTAGGAATCCGAATCTCTCGAAATCAATTTCCGACCTTGCAGCTTGATGAAATAAAACTTCCCAGGCAATCAAAGGCAGAGAATAAATGTAATATCAAAAGCAACCCAGGTTTGCTCACTCATCGTCATCTCGTCTGCTCTTGCCTACTTTACCTTGTATACGGCTTTTGAAACAGCCATAACTTTATTCATTCCGTTTCGTTTTTTTTTTGATTACAATTTTTGGCTCGCCTATCATCTAACTGTAACCCGCCGTTGTCGAGGCTCGTAAAAATACTCATCTTTCTATTTGACTTTTTACTGTCGCCGTCCTCGTCGTCGTTCCCCTGATCTTTATCGAGAACCACGGCATACGTAGTGCAACAATGGTTGCGTCCCCCACCAAGACCCTCTTAACCTCTTTGTGGTTGTGGGACTGTGGTAAACGAGCCCTCAGTTGTGGTAGTGGGACTCTGTTTCGGAAGCATGACTGGATGTAATGTGCGCAGGTTTTGTGTGCCAGTTTGTGCTCCTGCCACGCTTTACAGCTAATCGCTTCCATGTACGCCCAGGACCTAGGCGCTCAGCTCGGGCTCCTCTAGAATCTCTGCGCTAGGGACAAAGACGGCGGGATGCCTTCCGTTTCGTGTTATCTGTGAAGCTGGCTGCGGGACATGTTTTTCCAGACAGGTCGCGGGAGTACTTTTTGTGTAGAGGCTTTCCTTCGTGACCTTTTCCCGCCCCTTTTTCTTTCAGGAGAGTGTTGTGGTATAGTTTGCGGGACGTCGATAGTCTCGGCTTCACGCCTAAGGGCTTTTCGACAGCGCTTCGGAAGAGGGATTCCGATATTCGAAAGGGCCTGCAGTAAAGCAAGCCAACTCAAGAGGCCCCGGGTCTTGAGAAGTCTCCTTTCGCCAGATTCAGAAAATAGTTGGAAATAAGTTGGAAGCCAACTTTTTTCTGTTTCCCATACTAAGAGTCCCTGATCCAACTTATTTTGAACTTGTGTCCAACTTATTCCCAACTATTTTTTGAAATTGCCCAGGGCCGCCAATTTCTTTTTGAATTGTGTCGGGGGCGCCAATTTCTTTTTGAATTCCATCTCTCCCGCCAATTTCTTTTTGAATTCCGTTCAGGCCGCCAATTTCTTTTTGAAATTGCTCAGGCCCGCCAATTTCCTTTTGAAAGTGGGCACTCTGTATGATGTCGCTATGGTATTGATTTGGTCTGTGGCCTGGCATATATGTTAGGCCCTAATGAGGCCCGACCAATCGGAGGGGGGAGGCTGCTTCTGGGCTATCTTTCGGCCGCCCCGGGAACAGAATTGCGCTGGCCCCATGCGTTGCGGCTTTGGTCGGGCGTGGTGTGTGTCAGATGAATTGCCGAGGGCCCCTGGCGGTCCAATCTTAAGCGGCCACACCATTGTCCAGAGCTTGTGGCCGTGCCAATTCCAAGCCGCACACCCTCCCAAATGAAGCACGCGCAAAAATGGATGGCGTTGCGCTATTCAAGCAAGTTGCCCCGCACAGGCACACGGCATGGGACCCAGGAATGGTCCACATCCGGATCGTGGTCTTTCATTTTGGCGGGAGATTCGGCATTTTTATGGGCAGGCGAAAATTGAAAACCTTGACTTTTTGAATTCCTTTTGAAATCATTTTGAATATGAATTAACGCCAAGGCACTTTGCGATTAACATACGTAGTGCAACAATGGTTGCGTCCCCCACGACCAAATGAACTGCAAAAGTATCGTACTCGTATAAATGCATTACAAATTTCCTCAGCATGAGAGATAAAATTTGTAATGCGGATTTCCCTTAAGCTAAAGATTTGTAATGCAAGACTTGCATTTATACGAATACGATACTTTTGCACAGGATAGACCAAAACCCTCTTAACCTCTTCCGATGAACTTGAACATCAGGACCACGCAGTAAAAAATTCGGAGCCTGCTTTGAAAAAACAAAAAATGCCGTCTATCAAAATGAAAAATCCCCCCTCCCCACATCAAAACGAAATTTCTGATGCTGGATTTGCGTACACAAATTAGATTTGTCTTGCAGTAGGGGACTGCAGGCCCATATCATGCCAATGTAGAGAGGTTTTGGCCTAGGCACTTAGCATGAGGAGCGTCTACGCTGTAGGCCCAGTAGCATTACAAATCGCCTGCATAATGGGGCAGAGCCTTTGCCGTTGCTTTCTTGCAAGACAGACACGATTTGTGGCCACAAATAAGCATCACAAATTCTCTCAGGTGTGCCTTTTCGATATGAGGAGGGGGGATTTTTCCGTACGATACCGTCAAAACTAGACGATGTGGACCTCACGGTCAAGATCGTTCCGACCACCCCCTTATCAAATGCAAATGTGTCTGGGTCTGGAAATTTGTGATGCTAACGTTTGAATAAGATTGGCGCTCTCAGGTGCAGCCAAGCATGACAAGGATACTTGTCGCCGTCTGATGCGAAGCACGCATGACAAACCGCGTTTTTGCAGGACGAAAAAGTAGGGCCTTTCTTGCTGGCTGTGCAACACAGATTTTTCAGGAATGCAAGACATGCAACACAAGTTCCAGAAATTTCCAGACCCAGACATTTTTGCAATGCATACCCTTACACCGACCAGAAACCCGGAACTTCCGGGGTGCGGAAGAAGACCAAAGTGTTTATGCAGGAGAATTACATAGAAAACTTTGTCCAGGCGACCTTGGATGCGGTTCCGAGCGACACGCCAAAAACGACCCTGTTGATCGCGACAGACGGACGCTACTACTCCGACATCGCGATCCAAAAAGTCTTGCAGGTGGCGCTTGGGAACGGGGTCAAGGAGGTGCTGGTAGGGTTAAACGGTTTCTGCTCAACCCCAGCGGTGTCTGCGGTCATCCGCACCTCGAAAACGCCGATTTTCGGCGCTTTCATCCTGACCGCGAGCCACAATCCCGGGGGCATCGACGAAGACTTTGGCATCAAGTACAACGGCGCCACGGGGGGGCCGGACGAGGGGGTCTATCAAGTCATGTACAAAAACAGCCTGAACATATCAAATGCAAAAGTGTCTGGGTCTGGAAGCATGCAAGTTTGTCATGCTTGTCTGGCATGACTCGAGAATCTGTGTTGCATAGGCACGAAAAGGCCCTCTTGCCTGTCATGCAAAAACGCAGTTTGCCATGCGGAATACGTAAGACATGGGAGCCAAAATATTTTGATTTATCATGCATAGCTACGTATTGCAGTGCGTCTACCATTCACTTTTAGCATTACAAGTTTCCAGACCCAGACATTTTTGCATTTCATAGAACATCAAGGAGTACAAGTCGATTGCAAACTTAGGAGCCGTACTGGGAAGTACAGTTTGACGAGTTCTTGTTGTTTGATACGGTTTTGAAAATTTCTTACTGGCCCGGGGCTCCTGGTAATGCGACAAGCATCAAATATTGATTTAACATGAGAGCGAATTCAGCAGGATATAATTATGCATGTTTTCAAAAAGAACAACTAAATTTTTATTTTCGTGCGTAATTTCCATCATTTTGAACCGCACCAGCTGAAATTCAAATTTCAAAAGGCACCGCTCCCTCACCCTGGTTCGCGGCGGATATGGACTACACGTTCGCAGACCGAAGCGTGAAAGTGATCGACACCGCAAAAATTCACTGCGACCTGTTGAAGGAGGTCTTCGACTTTCCTTTGATGAAGCGGCTGATCCTATCCTGAGTAAAAACGTCCCCACCCCAGAGTCAAGATGGCACATCTGCTAGACAAATCCACAAGTTTTGGGAGTTGTGCATGACAAGTTTGGCCTCGTAGTGTAATCCTGTTCCGCTTCTATTTCATCAGCATCACAGACCTAACACATCATGCCGATTAGAGCACGACAAATTACGCAACACGGCTGGAAAATGCTTCTCATGGGACTCCGCATGAGCAGAAATATTTTCAGTTAGCAGATTTGCATGACAGCTATGTGGTGGGGACGTTTTTACATAGGATACATCGCGCACCCGAAATTTTCCGCCAAGTTTGACTGCATGTGTGGGGTGCAGGGTATGGCATTCTCAAACGTTACATTCTCAACTGTTACATGATTTGTCATGCAAAAAGAACATGAGCCGCCAGACGATCAAGCTGCTTCGCATGACAAATTATCGAAGGGCTAAACAGCATCTAAATCTGTGCCAAATTTATTGTAATGCAAGACTTGCAACCCTGCCCCTTTCCCTATTGCTGTTTTTGCATCGCTAATTCGTGTAACAGTTGAGAATGTAACGTTTGAAAACGCCATACAGGGGCCCTACGCGAAGAAAATCTTGATCGACGAACTGGGAATGAAGTCGGAAAGCATCTTGAGAGGTATAGATGAGGTGGACATTAAGTTCTTCTAAATACATCTAGCGCGACAAGGACAAGGACAAATAAGGCTGTTTGTAATTATCATGCACTGTCGGACCTGGGTACAGCGGATGAAGAAATAAAGGAAATCAAAAAAGCAACTGTAGTTTGTGGTTGTGCAACATGTACTTATGTACCTCCTAACAGTGTGAGGTGGACCAGGGCGTGAATAAATAACGTAGAAACATGCATTACGTATCAGGAACTCCCCTCCCGGACTTTGGCGGCCATGACGCGCCCCACCACGGCCACGCGGACCCGAATCTTACACACGCACACGATTTGGTAAATAAGATGGGTCTGGACACGGAAGGAAAGAAGTTACCGAACACCAATCCCGCGGACTTTCCTTTTTTCGGCGCCGCGTGGGACGGGGACGCGGACCGAAACATGATTCTCGGGCGGCAATTATGCTTTGCAAATATGCCTGGGTCTGCAAGACCGAAACCAAACTTGTGATGCTGCATTTGGACGCTAAAAAAATGTGTAATTGCATGACCAGTAAGAGGAGTCAAATTTGGCGACTCGGAGAGGGCATTCGTCATGCAGGATGCGCATCGATAAGCGCTCAAAAAATCTGTGATGCTATGGCATACATCACAGACATCATGGATCATGACAAAGTTGTGCTCCTCCAGACCCAGACATTTTTGCATTTGATAGCAATTTTTCGTTATTCCCTCGGATTCCTTGGCCTTCATCGTGGACCAGGCAGACGAGTGCATCCCGTACTTCAAGAAACAGGGCAAGCTGAAATCCGCAGCGCGGTCCATGCCGACAAGCAGGGCGTGCGACACCGTCTGTGCAAAGAAGGGGATTCAAATGTATTGTAATAGCTTGAGTGAAGATCATAGAATCTTCCGCTTGTAAGTACTTGGTGAAGAGTAAGTTGATTCTTGATCTTGTCGGTAAGAAGTCATCGACGTGTAAAAGAAAGTACTATAATTGGTGCACGTAGAAATTTCTGCTCCTTTCTGATGAACAATCCAGATGAACAATCCAAGGCTCTTTGTAGTACGGTAAAGCTCTAAAAAGTTTCATCTTCTTCTGAAGATGTTTTGCATACAGCATCCAGCTGAAACAAAACAAAAGGTTCGAGACTCCGACCGGGTGGAAGTTTTTTGGGAACCTGATGGAGTCCGGCGACTGCCCGGCGTTCAAGGGCAAACCGCTACACAAACCCCTGATCTTATGCGAGCGTCAGGATTGAAATCGATAAAGTTGAAAAATTTGTGATGCATAAAATCGATACCAGTTGGATAATCCAAGCAGCGCATGACAAATTTTGGCACCATCTGAATCCAGTTTGTCACGCTGTTTAGGGAAAGAAGACGTCTTGTGTCATGCTGCTATAGCAGCTCTATCGCAGACCCCAAACAGGCTGACAGTCGGCCTCACTTGCCATCCCTGCAAGAGAGGCACTTCATGCGTTGCAATTTATGCATGGGAAATTATTTCAACTTTGTCGATTTCGATCCTGACGCTTCCATAGATCTGCGGAGAGGAGGCGTTTGGCACGGCCAGTTGCCACGCGAGGGAAAAGGATGGCATGTGGGCGGTCTTGTGCTACTTGCAGATTTTGGCGGTCAAGAACGAATCAAAACTGGACAGTATTTTTTGTCACTTATTCTGGTTTTATATATTTGCCTCGGATTTTGTGTCAGTAAAATTCTTCGAGTGCTTTATGCTTCCATGTATGAATGTATAGTCGGGTGTGCATACTTAATTTGAGAAGTGACGGATCGTGAAACGACAATTGCAAAGACGGTAGAACAAGAAGAAAAGCGAGCCGCTATTGAACCGTCAACAAACCAGCCGCCGACGCGACCTTGATTGGGGTAGAAGACATCGCCATTGCGCACTGGCTCACGTACGGGCGTCACTTCTTATCGAATGCAAAAATGTCTCGGTGTGGAAGAATGCAGCTTGTGATGCTGCATTTGGATTCCAAAAAAATCTGTATTGCATGAGCAGCAAAGGGAGCGCGTTTTTTGCTACGCGGAGAGGGCATTTGTCATGCCGAATAGGCATCGAGAAGCCCTCAAAAAATCTGTGATGCTAGAGCATGCAACACGGACATCATGGCTCATGCGACGCGTGCATGACAAGTCTCAGAATCTTCCAGGCCCAGACATTTTTACAGTTGATACTTCTACGCACGATACGATTGGGAAGGGATTGACAAGGAGAAAGCCGAATCCTTTTTCAAGGCATATGGTGCTCTCAAATGTTACATTCTCAACCGTTACATGAATTTGTAATGCAAGAATGGCAAAAGTGAAAGGAAGGACGTCGCCCGTCTTGCATGACAGACTTGGCACAGGGCCTCAGCCTGTTTGGCCGTCTAAGAATTTGTCATGCGATGCAGCTTTATGGCGTTGATAGTCAAGGCAATTTTGCACGACAAATCGCGTAACAGTTGAGAATGTAACAGTTGAGAGCGCCATAAGGCACTGGAGCAGAGGATACCGGGCCTGAAGGGGCAATCGATGGGCGCGCCGTTTGACGTGAAGATAGAAAACGCGGACTCTTTTAACTACACGGACCCCGTGGACGGAAGTTCGGCCACCAACCAGGGACTGCGCATCTTTTTCTCGGACGGTATTCATTGATTTGTGTTGCGTACTTTGTGATAACAGAGCCGCACTGTCATGCAGGATCTTCATCACCGAAAAAAATGAAAAAGCAATACAATTTTCAATTTACTAAAACAGGCTCCCGCATCGTGTTCCGGTTGTCGGGCACCGGCGTGTATCAAATGTAAAAATGTTGTCTGGGTCTGGGAGATTGCGAGATTTGTCATGCTAGTCTGGCATGACTCTTAAATCTGTCATGCACGTTACAACCCAAGAGCTCCATTTCTCGGTCATGCAGAAACGCAGTTTGTCATGCAACACCTATAACATAAGCTCAGAAACTTGTCATGCTGAGCCAGCACTTGTGGCTTCCTCATGTATGATACGCCACCCAGCATTACAACTTTCCAGACCCAGACATTTTTGCAATTCATAGCGTGGTTGGCGCCACGATCCGGGTATACCTGGAGAAATATTTGAAGTCGACAAAGGTCGAAGATTTGGTAAAGAACCACTTGGACGAAGTCGAACCGTTGGGCGCAGCCATGATCAAATTTACCAAAATCGCGGACTTCACGGGACTTCCGGAACTATCCTGTGCAAAAGTATCGTACTCGTAGTAATTGCAAACATGCATTACAAGTCTTTTTCTTAAGGTGAATCCGCATTACAAATTTCATTTCTCATGCTGAGGAAATTTGTAATGCATTTATACGAATACAACGATACTTTTGCAATGCATAGGAACCCACACTGCGGACATGAGGACGCTGCTGGTGTGTGGCTGCTCAGGAGGAAAAACGTAGATTTTACACAGCGCGGATTTTTTTGAAAGATAATAAACAAAGACGAACGTCGTGGTAATTAAGTACATGAGCGCGGCTGCGAAGGAGTGATATGAACTCCTAAGCCAGAAAATTTTTATGATAGGCTTATCTACTTGGAGCAGCACAAGCTGCGCCCGAGGTATACATAGATACTCTTTTGAACAAACTCCCGGCCGCGTCGAAGGCCGATACTATCAGAACCGCAAGAAAACATGCTTGTTTTTCGCGTTTGTCATGTTGACGACACCAGTGATCCTCTGTCTTTGCAGAGTAGAGTAGACGATGAAACAAGGAATAAGCATAAAGGAATACAACACCCAGGCCAGTTTTTGCTGGCACAAAGACTAAATACAAACGAGTCGGGAGTTGTCCGCGTCTATCTTCCAACGATGAACCAGCGACAAGACAGATTCATCTTACCGCATGGGATCGAAAGAAGATTAAGATTGTTCACCTCACTCGTCAGAGTAGGTCGCGGCGACAAGAATTGGCACTGAGTCCTCTTTGTCTCTTTCCGTGTGCCGAAGTAGATGACCACTGTAGCTCTACTCGGTGCTTGCGCGGGGCACAGCGATCTTGATGTGAAGTCGTGAAGTGAACAAGCATTATTTCCACCATCGCTTTGCAGTTTTCTATTTCCTGAGCGTTCCTGATCATCAGGTGTAAGTGTTGGCTGTTTGCACTCACAAGAAGAAAGCATGTACGAGTCCGAATAGTTGAGAATGGATCATACTGAGCCTCTGCATATTCTGTCTTCTAAATTTTCAATGTTGCCGACTTTTTCTTCTCAGGCTCACCAAGGCTCCGCTCCACGTATCTGCACCTTGATCCTACCAACACTACTACACGCATACCTTGCTGTGTCTATTTTAAGGTCGGATTTTTTGTAGATGATCCTGTCGCACAAGCCGCAAACCTAGAGTAGTACATAAGGATGAACTTGCTTCAAGAATTAAGATTTGTTTATTCGCCTTTCTTCGTGCGCCACGCCAGGGCTTTTGCTGGCGTCGCTGACAAGTGCAATAATTAAAGGATGGCTGCTTACTAGGAATTCACTGTGACAACTGCTTTCATTTATTCGGCACACGGCCTTCGTGAATGGTTTTATTTGGGCACCTTTATGACCACCGCTAGTGCCTGCCTACTTTTTTTCGGTTTATTATAGCGAATAAGTAGACGTACTAGATCTAGAACTAGACCTGCCATAGTAGATGTAGATCTGATTCTGCAATCCGATCATGAGCCCTGCAAAGTTTTTGCTTCCTCGCGACCCCCTCTTTTCCCCCGCGACATTGTTCATACGACCCGCTCATCGAAGATTTCTAGCAGGAGATCATATTCAGGACGCTGACGACCGTTGCTCTTCATCTACTAAGGTGGAGAAGGTCTGGTTGAACTACAAAGAGCCCGTGGTCAGCAGGTGCGAGGGTCGTGGCCGACACGACGATGTTTTTTTCCGCAGGAACGCGGCGGTCGAAGCGGCTTCGGGACAAAACCTTGGGCAAGGGCTTTGCCGAAGTTTTGCGGAGAGAGGAGCTATTTTGCAAACCCGTGCCAGTAGACGATGTTGGTCAGCAAGAACAGCAGCAGATATTTTTATCAAGACCAACAGGAGCAGCAGGAGGAGCGTCTTCCTCTTCTTCCAGTGCAATAAACCCAAACTACAACCCAATCGCTGATTCTCCACAGCAGCCTGTCGCCTCCTTTGCTTGCGACGTGTGTCTACTCGATGTGGAGGACGATGACGAAGTCGCGATTCTGCACCCCTGCGGCCACAAGGGCCACGCGGATTGCGTGCGGCTGTGGAGCCAGCGGGAGAACACCTGTCCGCAGTGCCGGAACCGGTTCCCCAGGTATGGAATCTACGTGCCAATCGTAGTGCCGATCGAAGATGGCGAAGTTCTTGACCCCACCGCCGCTCCTGCGCCAAATAGCAAACAAGCCAGTCCACCAGGTTATTTGCAAAAGTGCTGGAAGCTGGATCAGGTTCCCGAGGTGTTTCAAACGGACCAGGACCTGGAGGAAGAGCAGAGAAACGCGAGAAACAGAAGGCGGAAAAGATCGGTGCTCGCGACCGTACTTGGCGAAGAGGGGGGGTCATCGGGGGAAGACGGCAGCTTTTACACAGAGTCGGACCCTGAACAAGAAAAGGACAACTACACGAGGGACGGTAACAAAAGCATAAGCAAGCAGAACAACCACATCGTCAAGGGCAAAAACGCAAAAGGCAATAAGTTGGACAACAACGACATTTTTCACGTCGCACCTGTTGCGAAGAAGAAGGCCAGGAAAAGAAAAATCCTGTCTTTCCGGGACCACGACTTCGAGCGGGCCTTGCCACCAGGAAGTAAAGGTAAAACCCCGACGACGACGACGACCACAGGAAATGCAAGTTCTGGCGGGGTTCTCGTCGGTACTTCGGCCAGCGCGTCGAGTTCGTCTGCGTTTCGGTTGCCTGTGTTGTCATCGGGTGCAGCTTCCGAGACCACGGGTGGACAACAAGGAAATACAAAGCACGATGAAGACGACCAGCAGGAGCTCCTGCAAGGGAAGAACCTTTCCTTGTCGCTGACATCAAGGGACAAAAATAAGTCGGCTCATCTTGTTTCTTCTACCCGTGGCGCCGTCGAGGACGCTGCAGAGGAGGAAGCGGAGCTGGTGTCCTTCATCAGCGATACGAGCGACAGCAGCACGTCGGACGAGTCGGAGTTGCCATCCGATGATGATGGAAGCGCGTCAGCGTCATCTGTCAGCAAGGACGACGAAGACGTGTCTCTGGACGAGGAGTCGAAAGCGGTTTTTTCTTCCGCGGTGGCAGGGACTACGACACAGACACTAGGTCGCCACAATCTTCAAGGTGCACGCAACGGGACCCAACACCCCCCAGGGCCGCAGCCGAAGATCGGCAATAAGGACAACGTCGAGGCTGAAAACACGACAGCACACCTGCAAGTAGATGACGAGCCAGCCGCAAAGAGGGTGAAGAGAGAGCAAGAATCAAAGAATCAGGACTACCAAGAACAGCAAAATCGACGGCGCCCACTGGAAACAACTAGTAAAGGCCATGAGCCTGCGGCTGCGAACGAGTTGTTGCTGAATCATAAAACATCGAAAAAGCGACAGCGAGCACATAGCAGCAGCGACGTGGTAGTCGCGACGGTTCAAACAGGGTCTTTTGACCCCTTTGCATCCGGAAATACGCAAGGCGCCGTTTCGTTCGTTGCGGCAGAGCAGCACCCCGGTGATGTAGCTAAGTCAGGAGTTGGTGTGGCGACAAGCATGGAAATAACTGACGGTAGTTCTTTGTTTGGTGCAACTGCAACTAGTACATCTTCAACTGCGGTGAAAACAGAACAAAGGCAGCACGGAGACGGCTGCACGACAGGAGCAGAAACGGGGGCAGCGACGACCCAAAATAAAGTTCTTCCCTCCAGCAACGCTATCAAGCGCCGCGCGATGCCAAACTACGTGACAGGCCCCGACTACCAGTTGAAGCTGCAACTCCAAAATCATTTTCTGACGGATGATTTTCTTGAGGAGATCGCGCACAAGGTGAAAAAGGCGCGATTCCAGGACAAAATCCGCCAGCGGTTTCACTCCGTCATCCTGGCCAACAACCGACTACGAGCGCCCGGCGTGCTCCACCTGCTTCGCGTGTGTCAGCCCACGCAGCTGCTGGACCTGAGCAGCAACCGCGTGAATGGCACGGGGCTGATTGCCATCGGCTATCAAATGCAAAAATGTCTGGGTCTGGAAGAATGCAAGTTTGTCATGCTTGTCTGGCATGACTCGAGAATCTGCGTTGCATAGTCACGAAAAGGCCCCCTTACCTGTCATGCAAAAACGCAGTTTGCCATGCGGAATACGTAAGACATGGCAGCCAAAAAATTTGTCATGCGTCGCTGCGTATTGCAGTGCGTCTATCATTCAGATTTAGGATTACAAGTTTCCAGACCCAGACATATTGGCAATCCATATCGGCCTAGAACTGCTGAAATACTGCTTCACGCGCATGAACAGTCTGGCTGCGCTATCCTGAGTAAAAACGTCCCCACCCCAGAGTTGTCATGCAGATTTGCAAAGACAGTAAGACTTGTAATGCGCATCCCCATGAGAGCCATCTCCAATCGTGTTTTGGAATTTGTGATGGTGCAAATAGGATGAGGAGATGGCTTTGTGATGCGGCTGTCCTTGCGAAACTGCACTACAACACAGAGGGGAACTTGTCATGCATGACTCCCAAAACTTCCGGGTTTGTGTTGCAGATTTCCCATCTTGACTATGGGGTGGGGATATTTTTTCTCACAATATGCGCCGGCGGGAGGCGCAAATGCTGGGACCACGTGGGCGAGCAGTGAAAATAAAATCCAGTCCGCTTTGGAGGTGAACCTCGCCGACAATGGGGAAACGTTGAGTCCCATGGGCATCGTCACTTTTCTGGTGATATGCATTGCAAATATGTCTGGGTCTGGAAGAGTGAGCGCAACAAGGTCTGCGTTGCTCCGCTAGCATGAGAATCAATGAAGTCTGTCATTTGGACCTTACCCAAGCACTAGCACCCCTTGTTTTGTCATGCAGAATCGCAGTTTGCCGTATGCAACTCAGAAACTCGTCTTCGTCACGCGTGGTCGCCTCATCAGGCGTCCTCGTGATTCTTCAACCGGCATCACAAGTTCCCAGATCCAGACATGTCCGCGATGCATAGCTCCTCCTGGCCCAGGGATCGATGGATTTTGAAAGGAAGCTGCGCGAGCAGAGGAACGCGTTGCTGAGGGAGCACGGCATGGAGATCGAGGAGGAAAAGAGCGAGAAGATGGCGCTGCGCTGGTGGGTGCACGTCGAACGAAATGAGCTGCACGACACGCCGGAGTTTTTGAAGCTGTTGGATTCCAAGTTAAAGGAAGCAGTGGCCAAGGCGAAGACAACAGAGATTGAAACGAGAAGTAGCAGTTCTGCTGGACAAGCAGCAGCTGAAGAGAGGAAAGGAAACAAGACCTCCTTCGTTACCGCTGGCGGACAAGAAGTGATTTCCGAGCAAGATCCTTACATCGCAGACACGTCAGACTTCATCTGTCTTGCGCAAGACCCCGAGCGGTGCAGCAGCCGAGGTCACAACTGCGGCGCGTTGCTGCATTTGCCCAACGTTTTCCGGCAGATAAGCACGGCTCAAGATCAGGCAGGTCCTGGTGAACAAGCGGATTCGAACTTCGTGCCGTCTCGCCGTACTACAGTGCCAATGCTCCCGATTGGAAAAAGCAAGCATTTCGCTGCCGCGATGGGTGGTGGTACAACTGCGGAAGGGGTCCTCGCGCAACGAACTTTGCTCTCTGGGATGAGAAGTCGTGCGGATGACCCATTTCTACTGAACGGCATTACAACACCACCGACAACATCCGCTTATAATTTCTCTACTGGTTTTGATACTACATCTGCTCGCCTGCAAAACCGGCAGCAACTGACGCGGAAATTTTCCGATTGGCAGGCGATGCTGATCCAGCCGCACGCGGGCGACGCGAAGGACAGCGCGAGCGTTGCCAGCGCCGAGAAGACAATTTTGAAGTTCTTGCAGCACCTTTTTCGACTGGCGTCGTTGTCGAAAGAAGAAAGGATCACCGAAAAAATCAACTTCGAGCAGGCCAAAGCGGAGAAAGAAACGGCGAAGGGCCAATTCGCGCGGCCGGACAAGGACGGAAGTACGTCAAGGCTGCAGCATGGGGAACGACGAGCGGTAGAAGTTTTTGGTGATGGTGTCGCAGCAATAGCTTCAAAGCAAGAACTTTTTTCTTCTCGGCCGTCGAGAGGACATGGACAGCATTTTTCCACGATGGACTATCAAATGCAAAAATGTCTGGGTCTGGAAACTTGTGAAGCAAATCTGTGAATCGTGAGCGCACTACAATATGCAGCCAAGCATGACAAGTTTTTGCACGTGCCATGTGCTTCGTATTCTGCATGGCAAACTGCGTTGTTGCATGACAGGCAGGAGGCCCCGTTCCTGCTTACGCATCACAGATCCAAGCGTCATGCCAGACAAGCATGACAAGTCCTGCATTCCTCCAGACCTAGACATTTTTGCAATGCATATGGACATGGTGGATTTCATTCGCCGCAGAATGCTGGCGGTCGAACGGCAGCTGGCGAGCACAGCGAAGGAAAAGGCAAAGAGAGACAAGCCGCGCTCGGGCGTCGGCCTTCTGAACGAGAAGATCCGGAAACTTCCACCGTCGCTTGCCGCTTTGGACAAGAACGCGTTTGTCGATTTGCGGGAATTTCTTCTGAAGGAGGAAGAGGATATCCTGCGCAAAAGTATCGCACTCGTATTGCAATCATGCATATACGAATCTTGTTCTTAAGGTAAAGCAGCATCACAAATTTGATTTCTCATGCTGGAGAAATTTGTAATGCATTTACACGAGGAGTGCGATACTTGTTTTGCAATTCATAGAGGATGTAGAAGTTGTACAACAACCTACCAGTAGCAGCGACCAGGACGAGGAAATCGAAATGGTAGACCGCAGCACGAGCCGTCATCAAAGTAATGTTGAAAGGACAAGCAAAATGCAAAAGGGCCGCGCAAGAAATTCTGCCTCAGGCGGCAGCTCCTTCACACCACTACCCCGGGTATTCGACCAACAAGTCTTCAAGCTGGAACAAAAAATACGACTGAACAGTCCGACAATGAAAAATGGCATGAAGCCGAACAACTCAGGAGCTGCTGGCACTACACCAACAGGTGGCAGCAGTGCTAATATGAAGAGCGGGATAGAAGATGAAACCCTCGAAGACGACTTTCGTTCCCCATCCCCGTCGCCCGAGAAGATAAAACAGGAAGCAAAGTCACAGGATCATCGTTCGGGAGTGAAAACATCAAAAACACTACGAGCAAAAGAAAGACCGCCAGCACATGAACGCGACGACACAAGAATCTCGTTTGCGGAGCTCTTTCCGCACCTGTTCTCTCCGACAGAGATCGTATCAAGTGTAAAAATGTCTGGGTCTGGAAGAATGCAACTTGTGATGCTGCATTTGGATTCCAGAAAAATCTGTATTGCATGAGTACCAAAAGGAATGCATTTTTTGCTACGCGGAGAGGGCATTTGTCATGCGGAATAGGCATCAAGAAGGTCTCAGAAAATATGTGATGCTAGGGCATGCATCACAGACATCAGGGCTCATGCAAAACGTGCATGACAAGTGTCAGAATCTTCCAGACCCAGACACTTTTACAATCCATAGATCGAAAACCTGACCTATGCTATCGCGCCCCGCCGCCCTTTTGTCATCGCCGATTTCGCGACGGTCAGCCTCATACCCGACCGCAGGACCGGGAACCCGAAAAAGGTGCGTAGTACGGAGACCAGGGGGGTATCGAAGAAAAAAACATTGCTAGTGTAACTTTGTGATGCGCAACCTGCAAGATGATTGCGTCTGTCATGCTGGGCATGCACTGTAGGGCCCATTCAGTGGCGTTTTCACGTACTATCCGCGCATAACAGGTTTTTGCTCTCATGCCAGACGGATTTGTCATGCTGTTCCTCCAAGAAAGTTACACCTACAATCTTTTTTGCTTGGATAGGGGGTCAGGCTCGCCTGCGATTACGGTGCGCAGGAGGAGCACCAGGCGACGATGAAAAAGTTACTCACGACTGGACAACCGGACGACCGCATAAAGGCGCGCGCCTTGATGCACGAACGGCTTTTCGGCGGAACGTCGCACCAAGACGAGCAGGAGGACCTCGTGCTTTCGCTCAACCCAAAGCTCGATCTGCATAAGCCAGTCGCAAAAAGAAAAACGTTATGAATTGCAAAAATGCCTGGGTTTGGAAGATTGCAACTTGTCATGGTAAATCTGAAGCATGCAAAAATCTGTGTTGCACGAGTGCCAAAAGCTGTAAACTTTTGACCAAGTTGGAAGGGAGTTTCTCATGCAGGATAGGCATGGCAGAGACCTCGCAGAGTCTGTCATGCTAAGTCCCGCACTCCAGACCTCATGGGTCATGGAAAATCTGCATGACAGGCCTACACTTTTCCAGACCCAGACATTTTTACATTTGATAAACGTTTCGGCTGAACTTCGACGCCCTCCGGAGACAGGAAGAGGAAGCCTTCTACCGCGAAAACCTCGTGCCCGCCCGGAAACTCTTGTTGGCGTCGCACCTGTATGCATTGCAAAAGTATCGTACTCGTATAAATGCATTACAAATTTCATCAGCATGAGAAATACAATTTGTAATGCAGATTTGCCTCAGGAACTACTACTACAAGACTTGCATTTAGACGAGTGCGATACTTTTGCACAGGATAACCTGCCGAAGAAGCCGAACGGGGCAGAGGCGGACGAGGAGGAAAAGAACGCATATGCATTGCAAATATGTCTGGGTCTGGACAGCTTAAACCTGTGTTGCGTGTCTCTCACTCCTGAAAAATCTGCATTGCATAAGCAGCAAAAGCGCCACGCTTTCGTCATGCAAAGTCGCAGTTTGTAATGCGTGCCGCGCATCGGAGAGTGTTCGAAAAATTTGTCATGCTTCACTGCACTTTAAAACGCGCGCAATCATGACCATTCAGCATTACAAGTTTCCAGACCCAGACATATTTGCAATCCATAACGCGGAGCCCGAACAAACTACTGTCCTGGCTCGCTTGGGGGGGTCGGACGGGCGGGACCAGCAGGAGCTGGCATTGGACAACCAGCTGAACGTACCAGAGTGGACAACTCCCCCGCCCTCTCATTTGCATGGCATCATGAGCAGCAAGACAAACACCAACACACTTGGAGCCTGTGCATGACAAGTTCACGGGCCGAGTGTAAGTAGTACTGTTTGGGCTTCCGAAATTTGTCATGCAAACAGTGCCACAAGGCATCAACTCCATTGGGGACTTTGCATCACAAATGAGGGGGAGGGGGACTTATGCACTGTCATAGAACGCCGAGTGGGTGAAGCGAGAGATGGAAAACCAGAAGCAGCACACAAGCTTCGAGAACAAGAAGCACCTAATATCCTGAGCAAAAACGTCCCCACCGCAGAGTTGTCATGCAGATTTGCAATGACAGGAACACTTTGTAATGCGCATCGACAAAAGAGGCAATCGTGTTTTGGCATTTGTAAAATGCTTTAAACAGGATCTAGGAGTAGATGGGTTTTTGAATTTTGATGCGACAGCGACTGTCCTTGCTAACCTCAACTACACTACAAAGGCGAACTAACTTGTCATGCGTGGCTCCCAAAACTTCTGGATTTGTGTTGCAGAGCTCGCAACTTGACGGGGACGCTTTTACACAGGATACCTACGCAGCGGGGTCGGCACGGTGGACAGCAGCACGCTGGACCGGGGTTGGGAGGAAGACCAGCTGGAACTTCAGCGTGCTTATGCATTGCAAATATGTCTGGGTCTGGAAACTTGTGATGCCAAAATGTAGATGATTGAAACGCTTTCGAGTGCAGCCAAGCATGACAAGTTCTTGCAACGTACGTAGTCTCATACGTAGCGCGCATGACAAAGAGCGTTTTTGCATTACAAAGAACGCTGTGCGTTTGTTAGTCATGCAATACAGATTTTCTTTTTCATCATCATCTTGGACGAATGTAAGGCCAGCATCACAAGATCACTTTTTCCAGACCCCGACATTTTTGCAATGCATAGTGCTGGAGCAAGAACTGCGGGAAGTAGTCGAGGGGTTCTCACTGGAAACTACACATCACCGAGCGGAGGAGGTGGTCCTCTGCGTCGTACAGGTGCTAGCGGTGGTGGGGCTAGCGTCGTGGGCAGTAGTGCCGCCTCGACGTCGGCTTCAGCTTCACGCCCAGGAGGAGGGGGCCCAAGTTCTGTCGTTCCGGGGCACTACGGTTCTTCGGCAAGAAGTGTAGGGCAACGACCTGGCCAGCCTGTATTAATCGCGAGACCAGGAGGAACTGCTACTTCCTCTTCTAGTTTCAAAGCAAGCAAGTTTTCGATGGGAAAAACGAACACGAGCGCAGCCTTCGCGGCCGCGCGGTTCGACGCACGGGCGGGAGCTGCACTGCAGCGGCCAACAGCCCAATTTGAGCCGCCAGGCACGCAATTAAATGGAGTCGCTGGTGCTGGGAGCAGCGCAAGAACACGCCAGGAGCCCCCGGTCGTGGCCAACGTTCATCAGGAACACCAGTTGGCTTTTCCCAGTGCTGCTGGCGTTGGGACCACAAGGACTACACCATCGGGAATTGATGTTCCTTCGTCCTCTAGAAGTACAGCCATCGTCCCCGTTCTTGCATCTTCACGCCCGATGCTGCCCCCAAGCAACCCGCCTCAAAGAACGCAGCAGGAGCAGCCGCCACCTGGGCTTGTCACAGCTTCGGCATCCTCGTCCACGACCCCGGGGACAAGATTTTCAACGCAAACAGCTGCGCAACCGTCTCCAAATTCAGCACAAGAGTCCGCCGTTCCGACAGCGCAGGCTCTGATCGATGACCATTTCACGGACGAGGCGACTGCGCTGGTGAAGTCGAAACTGGCACAGAAATTGGAGTATGCATTGCAAAAGTATCTTCGTCCTGGTAAAGGAAATCGCATATACAAATTGGCTCACCGTGTTGACAAATCATCACAAATGGAATCTCTCATGCTGACTTGGCTTGCAAAGGAGATTTGTCATGCATGATTGCGATTAGTTTTTACTTTAGTACGAGAGCGATACCTTTGCGCCGGATATGGAGCGGGAGCTGAATTCGGCACGGATCGAGAGCGACAACGCCGTGACAAATTTGGACACGTATCCTTTGTAAAAACGTCCCTACCCCACAGTTAAGATGGGAAATCTGCTAGACAAATCAGTATGCTTTGGTTGTTGCGCATGACAAATTTGGGCGAGCAATTTCATCGTATTCAGCTAATGCAACCGCATCACAGAGCTAGAGCGTTATGCTCAGTGGAGCATAACAAATTTCCAAACGCGACGGGATGAAATTGCTTATTGTGGGGCTCAGCATGAGAAACATCTTTGGCATGCAGACCCGCATTACAACTACAGGGCTGGGACGTTTTTGCTCAGGATAGCACGTGGCTGCGCTACAGGCCCGACAGAAATGTGACTTTATTGAGACGCATACTGCAGCGCATGGAAGAGGAGGACGCGGAATTGCGGAAATTTTCGCTGAAGGAACTGACGAGAAGGATCGGGAGAAGAAACCGGTAGGGCGTGGAACTACAATCGGATTTCCTGAGTGTGGACGCAACGGCGAGCTGCAAATGAAAATCTAAGTCATAGCTTTACTGTCCATCTAGACGAGGAAGAACGAGAGGCTTTTGCGCGATGGAAATTAGCGATGGACGATTAGAAGATCGAGAATCGAAAGGCAGGCGACTGCTCAAAGATTTATTTTGGCCCTGTCTACAACTCCGCAGGCACAGGCAGCATAGCGCTGCTGTCTTCGTACGTGGCGTTTATTGTTGCAAGAAGTTGTTCAAGCAGTCGTGGCAAGTTATAAGGCACAGGGCCGCCTCAAAGACGGACAGTCAGCGTTCTTATGTCCTCCTGGCTGGATTTCTGCGAAAACTATTTTCGTTTCGAAGCAATGTCAAGCAAGTAGGCATGCATTTTCCACTGTGGCGCATCATGTTCAGGATACAGTCACAAGCTCATCGTGTAGGGAAATCGGTAAAAAGCGGTGCAAAATTACGATTCCGATCACTATATCCCTATACCCATACCATCGTGTGAAGTCGTGATGTGCGCGTAATCGTTTTACTCGGGCCCACCATGTTGATTATCGTGAAGATCGTGTTTTCAGTAAAGTGTAAGTGTGCACTATAAATAAGAGCCATTAATATTAAGCATAAGCACTTTCTTTTTAGAAGTCTAGAAAACGTGTTTGGGTTTCGTCTGTTTCGATTGTTGCTTGTAATAACAGGCTCAGGTTGAGGCTCAACTATGACAGTGTTTATTGTTTTTTATTTTTTTTGAACGGCAACCGCCGACAAGTTCAAGTAGATGCCGTGCTCGCTGACAAGGTTGCGTCACAAGTATAATCACGAGAACCCATGACAACCGTAAGCACCAGAAGACTCGGCGCGAGGCCTTGCGCCGCCTGCCCCACTAGATCGCCAAGCTCGACGATGTTTTGCGAAAAAAAAGCAGCTTCCACGGTATTCCATTTCCGACTGGGCAAGATGAACGTCTGGGACTGGGTGGTGTTATTTTTGTTCAGCGTGAATATCACCGTCCCCACTGCTTTCTTCGCGGTCGCGGCCTTGCAGCTCGGCCCACGTAGGGAGAGGCGTACAAGCGGGTCCAGTGAAGATGGCGGCAACACACAAAGGCAAGTCGTTCACGGCCAGGAGAAAGAAGGTTCTTCATCTACGGCTACTTCACGACCGGACTCTGGTACTTCTACACGAATCCCTTCTTCCACTAGAAAAATCAGCTTGATCCAGCAGCGGAGAAAGCAGCCAGAGGAACAGGTAAATCAGCAGCAAGTCGGCGCAGTGCCATCAGCAATGCAACAGCAACCCCAGGCGGCTGCTGCTGCAGTGGGAGGAATAGGTACCACAGGAACAGCTACTCAAATGGGAGTTGTAGCCCCTGCGACCATTCAACAGTCCGCCGGTATTGTGGAACAACAGCAGCAGCTCCCCTTCGGCGCGCAACAACTATCAGGAGGAGCACAGCCCGCAACTTTGGGCAGTGGGATCGGGCAGCAAGCACAGCAGGGACAACAACCTCTTCTTCAAGCTGGTGGCACAAACGCGATGAATGTCGCGGGTTCCGCCCAACAGCCGGCGCTACTGGGGGCTTCGAACAACGTTGGTCAACAACAACAGCCAATTATACAAAACAACGGGGGCGGGTGCACGGGTAGCATGTGTGGAGATGATTCTTCGTCTTCTCAGCTAGGAACGCAGCAGCTACCGGCTTTTGCGCAAGGCTTAGCGAACCAGCAGGCGGGAACAATCCTGCAGGCCTCGCAAACTGTGGGGGGAGCTACAGGAGCTTCTGGAACAACAATGCTAACGGGCACCGCGCTAGGTGCAGCTGCCAACGCGTTATTTGTGGTGAACGCGCCCCTGTCGGCCGTGGCGATGGCGACTATGCAGGCGGAAATGAAGGCGCGCGTGGACGCCTGGTTTGCCGCAGAACAGGCACGGAACGACGTGACGGCGGCGCTGGTGCAGCAGGTCGAGGCACTGGGGAAAATTGACTACATGATGACCGCGAAGTGCGGGGGCACCTACGAGGGCTGGAAGCCGGAAAACGACCACCAGGGAGGCGTCGGGCCGGTGGCGGAGATTGGGTTTCCGGGGGCCTTATCCTGTGCAAAAGTATCGTACTCGTATGTAGTGAGGTCATAGTAATTGCAGATATGCATGACAAATCTTCTTCCTAAGGTAAAACAGCATTTTTACAAATCCCACTTTTCTTCTTGCCAAAATTTGTAAATGCAATTTATACTAGCGCGTTACTTTTGCAATGCATAGGCCTGCATGAACGACAATGGCAACGGGTTTCGGCAGGCCTTCGGGTCTCTCGGCGGGCCGGCCATGTTTAACGGGGAGACAATCCCGATGCCGCCGGCGGGCAACATCGGACTGATATCACAGGAAAAAAGTGTATACCGTTGTTACACATTTGTTACAATTACAGCATCACAAAGTTGGGCGGCTGCATAGCAAATAAAACTTGTAATGCGTAGACTCTAAGGGGAAACACCTATGAAATGGGGCTGGGAAGCTTTTGCTGCATGACAGAGGTTGTCTGTCTTGCTGGTCTTGCATCTGAGTGTGTAAGTGTAACACTTTTTTCTCACGATAACTGACTTTTGACGTCGAGTACGCCTTCATGCACGGGATGTCGCTATGCAAGAAAAAAACGTTGTTGGTGTAAATTTGTGATGCGCAACATGCAAATTGATTGAGCCTGTCATGCTGTGCCTGCATTGTAGGGCCCATTCAGCGGCGTTTTCCCGTACTATCTGCGCATGACAGGTTTGTGCTGTCATGCGAGAGATATTTGTCATGCTAATCCTTCAAGAAAGTTACACCTACAATCTTTTTTTCCTGGATAGTCGCTGGGCATCATGCACTATCTGCATGGCGGCAACTATATCCTAGGCCCAGGCTATGACAAGAAATATTAAAAGCTGTTTCTTCACTCGCAAAGCATAGAGGTCTTGTGATACAGAGAACGCAGTAGAAGCAGAGCAGATGATGTGCTTCTGTTGCTGCACATGCAAGGCAATGGATTTGTTTTTGTAGGCGTTTATTTGCCCCTTACTACCTAGGAACAAGCCCGCATGGCAAATCTTCTTCGTGGTCGTGCTGTAGTAGAACAAACTTGTGATGCAAAACCTGCAAAATCCTTGCTTACTCTCTCTTACTTTTTCAGTGAAACAGTTTTGTTTTCGTGGGATACGAGCGCGCAGGTGTGGCACGATCCGTATGGAGGTCGGCTGTGGGAATACATGCCAGGTATAAGAAAGTAGTTGTAGTACTTAAGTTCATTTACATGCATGCACAACCAAGACGAACACCTGCTACCATGAAACCACAACCAGATGCTCGTGGTAGATTAACTTTTATGAAGACACAAATCTAATAGATTTACCGCCGTTACAGTACTTATGTTTACCCCCCACCAGGTGAAGATCCGATTATTGGTACTGTCCTTGCCGCCGCCTACGCGATCGGGCCGAAGCTGCACAACGTGGGATGCACCTGGAAGCATTACGTGTGCCAGGACGAGGAGTCGAACCGTTTCAGCAACAACGTGCAGGTTCCCAAGGAGGGCTTCTTCGACATTTACTGGAAGCCTTTCGTCGGCGGGATCTCGGTGGGTGGCCAGAGCGTGATGTGCGGGTACAGTTGGATCTGGGGCAAGTCACAGTGCGTGTCGGACGAGGCGCTGGGCGCGCTGCACGAGGTGACAGACCGAATGTTCATCGTCTCGGACTGGGGCGTATCCTGTGCAAAAGTATCGGAGTCGTGGTAATTGCAGTCGTGCGTTACAAATCTTTTTCTCAAGGCAAATCCGCATGACAAATGCCATAATTTCTGATGCTAAGGAAATTTGTAATGCATTTATACGAGTGCGATACTTTTGTAACTCATAGGGCGCCACGGGGAACAGCCAGAACTTTGTCAACTGGATGGGGCAAAAGTACGAGGGGGACAACGACGCCCGGAAATACACGGCGGCCGGCCTGGACGCGGAGCAGCCCACTGCGATGGCGGTGAATCAGGGAAATATCGGCGCCGCGGCGATTGAGGACAAGCGGCGGTCCGTCCACCGGATTCTGGCGTCCGTGCAGGATATCGGGTACGGCGAATTTATATCCTGTGCAAAAGTATCGTACTCGCATTGCAGTCCTGCATTACAAATCTTTTTCTTAAGGTAAATCCGCTTTACAAATTTCATTATCATTTCTCATGCTGAGGAAATTTCCAATGCATTTTTCATACGAGTGCGATACTTTTGCAATGCATAATTCAAGCCGATCGACATTGGTCACCGTGTGTCCGTCGGCGACGCCGAGGCGCAGAAGTACGGCGGTAAGCTATTCTGAGTAAAAACAACATCCCCACCCAAGAGTTGTCATGCAAATCTGCATGCCAAAAGAGTTTCTCGTGCGAAGCCCCATGGGAAGCTTTGTGTAGTCGTGTTTTGGGATTTGTGATGCTAGAAACAGCATGATATGCTAGATCTGTGATGCTGCTGAACTACTAGCTAAACAGAATTACACTACGAGAACAAACTTGTCATCATGCGAAACAACCAAAGTTGGCCGATTTGTCTAGCAGATTCTCCATGTTGACTCTGGTATGGGGACGTTTTTACTCAGGATACAAGCAGAAAATCTTGGACGAATCCAAAAGTGTGGCCATCGCGCTGGCGGCGGAGGCGATGGTGTTGTTGAAAAACGAGGGCAACCTGCTGCCGCTCAAGCAGCCGGCGCTGCGCAAAATCGTGAACTGTGACATCGACCCGCGGCAGGGGATCACGAGGTTCCTCGGTGGTCTGCCCATGAACGGGAACGACTTTGGGAGCGGCGAGATCTGGTATCAAATGCAAATATGTCTGGGTGGTCTGGAAACTTGTGATGCTAAAATGTGGATGATGGAAACAGTTTCGAATGCAACCCAGCATGACAACTTTTCAGAGCGCTACTCTCATAGGAAATCCGCGTGAGAAACTTGCATCCACAAAAGAGGCTGGCACTTTTGCTGCTTATGCAATACAGATCTTCTAGGTATGGAAAGCTAGCAGTACAAGTTCCAATCTTCCAGACCCCGACATATTTGCAATCCATATCTGGCAGGAGATCCCGAAAGTCAGCGACGGTCTGAAATCGGCCGGCATCACGGTGGGTGCGGGCGAGGCGTCCCTCGTCTGTTTAGACGAGCGGTCGGCGGAAGGGCGGCAGAGGGCCAACATTGACATCAATTGGAAGGACGGGGGCGAGGGAAAGCTGATTGTGTTCATCGGATGTCCTATCAGGGTGCACAACTCCTCCTCCCCCTCATTTGTATTTTTGCATGACCAGCAATACAAACACCAGCACAGCTGCACGTGGAGCCTGTGCATGACAGATTCATGCGCGGCCTCGTGTAGTACTGTCCTCTGGGCTGCCGGATGAATCTGTCATGCGTAAGAGTGACGCGAGGGAGCAGGAGCTGCAATTGGATTTGGGATTTTGCATGAGAAATGAGAACGAGGGGGAGTTCTTGCGCACTTTCATATGTCCCGGGCAGGTGCGGATCAGCCAGTGGCTGGACCGCGCGGCGGTCGTGATCGCGACGGTCTACTCGGGATACGGGGTGGGCCCGGGGATCGCACAGGTCTTACTGGGAAAGCACAACCCGCACGCGCACCTATCGTTCTCCATCGTGCGGGATGGCGGGCAGATTCGCGGCGCCGCCGAGAATTACGCGGAAACCGACGGACCCAGGGGGGATTTGGTTGGGTACCGGCGACTGCAGAAGGACAAAAACGCAGCGGACTTCGAGTTCGGTGCTGGGCTGTGCTTTGAAGGCTGGGAAAACTTCGCCGTGACCGTGGTGGAGCACAACCTATCGCTCCGCCGCCTGAGCTTCTGCGTCACGAACAACAACAATGCCAAGGCCGCGGACGAATTGCCCACGGCAACGGTGCAGTTTTATGCGCAACAGGGGGATCGGCCGTACAAGGAACTGCTTGCGTTCAGGAAAGTAAAATACATTGCGCCGGGCGAGATGAAGTGCTCCTTCGTCTTCTACGACCCCGTGGCCGGGTGGGATGACGGGCAGAAAAAATTTGTGCCGATGAAGTTCAACTTGTTCGTTTCGCTGGACGGCTACACCAATGCGGTGCCAGTGGACAAAGCGTTGGACACAGGATCGGCGATCGCGGACGCTTTCGACCGGAAGGGGTATTGATGTCTTTTTGTATTAAGCACGAAAATCTTTTTCTGTTCTGTTGCAGTAGTTGCAGTTCATGCCTGATATGGGGTCGCCAACGTTGTATTTGCCTCAGACCGTAAAAAAATTTCTGCGCTCATTTTTTCGCCGCGCAAAGCTAGTAAACCTGTGCACGCTAGTGAGGGGCTGACTTGAACGCGGTTGGTTTTACCGAGCTTGTCAGCAGCAGTGCTCTAGTAGGTAAGTGAGCATTGACGCGAAGGGGGGCGGGGCGCTGGGGGTTCTTCTGTGGCTGATGTTTTCACCTAGAAAACGCCAGGCGCGCGCAATATTTTGCTCCGTTTTCCGGATTGCTCTCTCCGTGCAGCTATTTGCCGCTATGGCCTGGGTCAGCGTGTGAGGCTGGAAACGCCCCGCGAGATGTCTACACAGGCCCTGGCCTCGTCGTCTCCAGCGGGCACCACGCACATATGTTGCCCGCGAAGGCCTTTCCGGAGCCCTTCCAAAAAGGGGGAGCCGGAGGGGAGCGCGGAACCCTAAAAAAAAGCCTATTGCTTTTTCTTCGAATCACGATGGTGCTACCCCTCCCCAAAAGGGGTCCCGGAACCCCTCTGGGAACCCTTCCCGAAAGGCTCTCGGGCTTTTCGCATTTTAACGAAAAAGCCGCAAAGGCAAAAAGCGCGCGCGCCTGCCGGTACACGCGCGCACAGCTGCGCGACATTAGAAACAAGGGGAGGCGCAGCCGTGGCCGGTTCCGTTTGCGCCCTCGGCTCCGACCGAGTTGCACAGATTGAGGCCCATTGTCTAGCGGCTGGACTGCAAGAGGACCTGCTGCAGCACCTCCAGGCTGCAGGGGCGCTCCGAGGCAAGTCCGTGGAGCAGCAGCGCCGTATAGCTCCGTCTTTAGCCACTGAGAAGCGCTGCGAATAAGCTACCTAGTTCATTAGGTGTGCAACATAGTGGGGGGCTCTACGTGTGCAACGTGATGGATATCAAATACAAAAAAAGGCGCGCGGAAAATTTTTTACAGCTTGAGGCAAATACAAGTTTGACGACGCCATACCTGATGGCCTGTATTTACTTATCTCGCATATAATACTTAAATTCATCTGCACGACTTCTGGAGGCTCAGGATGTTCTTGACATGCACATGACTCCAGGTACTGGCGCTACCTACGTGAACGATACATGTACAACGCCATTCAAATCGGCGCCCCAGCTGACGACGAGATTGCGCAGCACATGCCCTTTGCGCAACCCTGGGCCGCGTGGTGGCAGGAATGGGTGCAGCTGGGCCAAGGAGCGCTGGGTCAGGACTTGGCATCAAATTCCTTGGTGTCCGGGGGTGCGCCTACGACTTTAAGCGGCCGATGATTTTTTTTCTTTCAAGAAGCTTCAGCACACCTTTTTCACGAGACATTTTCACGGAATTATCTTTCACATTCGTCGTGCAGATTAAATTTTCACATTCTACTTACCTTCACATTCTTGTTCACATGTTCGTGTATGACCTAAGTTCAGGGAACGTTTGCGGCTCTCGCTTTTTCTGTAAGATGAAATTTTCATAAAACAAGTGCCATTTTGAAGTCGACGATGAAGCTGCTCAAAGCTTTTCTCGCACAGCATGCCACTTGATGTTGATCATGTTTGTACAATAATTGAAGTTGTTGATCCTACAGCTACATGTACGCATTTTTGCCTTTGCCTATTTTGGATGGTGAGAAGAGAATCCTCAGACAACATGATGATATTGATGTGGGCTTTATACCATGAAAGAAACTTCATTGTTGTTCTGTTCGGGTCAATTATTCCTACTCGTCGCCTCGGTCTCTCTGCACTTCGAGAAGGCCAAGAACGAGCCGATACACAAAAAACAAAAAGTGCTCCTTCCGTTCTTGCTGCAAGTCTTAGCTTTGAAAAAATGGCTCCTGTTGTCGCTGCATCAGCATGTTGAATATGAGAGTTGTTGAAATTTGGTTTCGAAGAAGTTTTCAAATTGATAAAAAGAGCATCTTTTCCCACCGGGTTCCGTGGCCGTCCTTAATTGCTGAGAAACTACAGTATGATGGTCCACAACGATGTATTTCTGCTTCTTGATGTGATGGAAAACATGGACACTACCCAATCCCTTCTAGTTCTTCTATGTAGAACCTATTCGAGAAAGCTAGTAGTTTCCGCACCGAGCTGAAATGCCTTTGATGTCTCACTTTCCTTGGGCATCGTCGAAGATCCTTCGTGCTCTTTAAAGCGACTGCATGACACAGTAAAAAAAATCCGAAAAGATGTCGTCCTCCGGTATGATCAGCAAGGGTGCCCTGGCGCGCATGGGTGCCGCGTCGGCGAAAAATAACAACTACCAGGGTGGAGGTTATAATAATTCCTCCAGTTCCAGCAGCGTGTTAGTGCATGACAGCGAGTACCAGGTGCACCTTCCACAGGAGTGCAAGGATTACTGGAAGAAAAAGCAGAATCACAAGTTGGCGAAATTGATGCAGACCGTAATCAAGGATCGCTTTCTCGGCAACCGGGACGTACAGTTGCAGCTCCCTGCCTCGCAAATTGCCAACGAGCTCGAAGAAGCTTTGACAGATACGATGGTGAACAAAAACAACTGCGTTTTCTGCATCCTCGGCCCGCCGAACTCCGGGAAGAAAGCGATTGTGCGGACGTGCCTGCGAAAACTGGAGCCCAGCTGGCGGCAGAACGCCGTAGTTGCGGGTGGAGGTGGTGTACCAAATGCAAAAATGTCTGGGTCTGGAAGAATGCAAGTTTGTCATGCTTGTCTGGCATGACTCGAGAATCTGTGTTGCATAGGCACGAAAAGGCCCTCTTACCTGTCATGCCAAAACGCAGTTTGCCATGCGGAATACGTAAGACATGGGAGCCAAAAAAATTGTCATGCATAGCTGCGTACTGTGGTGCGTCTACCATTCACTTTTAGCAAGACAAGTTTCCAGACCCAGACAGATTTGTAATCCATATGGTGGTGTGCAGGCTGCGGGACAAACGCCAGCGATTAACGCGGCCATGAGCGCGAGGAGGAACGTATCAAATGTAAAAATGTCTGGGTCTTCAGTAGGACACGCCCGAGCAAATAAATCCATTAAAAGTTCGCTAATTTCGCCGTAAATTGAATCCCGCCCTGAGTCTAGAGCGGCCGCCCCCCCTGTAAAAGATTGCCGGACGGAGACTCGGCCTCGCCTCACCTCAGGCGGCGTTCTATTTCGAGGCGCCAAGTCGTGGCGCATAAGCTGCAGACGAATCAAGAAAAGCACTCGGATCGCACTGCAGAGGGGGCTAGGGATCGCGTGTAGAATGTCACGGGCTTCATTCTCAAATGCCATGGCTTTGCTCGCACAGAGGCCGGAAATTCTGTAACGTGGGCGCGCGGTGCGCAGCATGGCCGGTGACGGAAGATCCTCTTCATGGCTTTGGGGTATGCGCGATTTTGAATATTTCACAGGGAAGCATCTGCTTTGAAAAAAGCGCAATTTGAAAAATTCAGCAATTTTTGATTAGCTCGTAATTTGTTTTTCAATTGTCCGTAATTTGTCCGTAATTTGCGCGTAATTAATTTTCAAAGGATTTCAACGGGTTTCGGGCACCCCAAAAATTGCCCGTAGTTGAAAAAATTAATTACACCGACAAATTACGGATTTTCAAAAAAAAATTACACTAAGAATTACACTTTTTTTCGGGCCCTTTTTTATTCATTTTTTCCGGAAAAAACGCCGGGGTTTTGCCTATTCAAAACATCGGGACGAACAAAAGGTACGAGGGCCCAATCTGGGGCTTGAGCTTCTCAACCAGCACCGGTCGCGAGCTAGCTCAGCAAGTAAGCAAGTGGCTGTGGGGCTTGGGAAGCCGGTTCAGCGGTTATGTGGCCTCTTTTATTTTCAATCCATTGCGCAGGATAGTAAGACGCATGGGCCCTCAGGAGGTGATCTGCCTCGCCAATTTATGACGCCCTACCCGGGCCTTAACCTTTGGGCTGCCGCGTTTTTTTCTTTTCGCTGGCCAAATCAGCTGCCCGATACAAAATTACGTACTTTTTATCGCGCAATTACCGAATATGTTTGCTCGGGCTCGTCCCATTGAGGGTCTGGAAGAGTCCGAAATTTGTTATGCTGTTTTTGCATGACACAGAATGTCTGTCATGGAAGCCCTAGCATCACAGATTTTTAGACGCCTTCCTGATGCCTATTCCGCATGACAAATGCCCTCCACGCGTAGCACAAACCGGACTCCTCTTGCTGGTCATGCAATACAGAATTTTTTAGAGTCCAAAGTTAGCATCACAGGTTCCAACCTTCCAGAGGACCCAGACATTTTTGCAATCCATAGAACGCGCAAATTCACAATGGTCCTCCATATTGTAGTAGTTCAACGGCGGGAGCGGTGGGCGGAGATGTTTTGCCAAGTCCGGGCGGAACGAACATCGGCAGCCAGCAGATGGTATCCTGTGCAACAGTATCGCACTCGTAGTAATTGCAATCTTCATGCATTACAAATCTCTCTCTTGGTCTTAAGGCAAATCAGCATTACAAATTTCATTTTCCATGCTGAGCAAATTTGTAATGCATTGATACGAGTGCGATACTTGTGCAATTCATAAATGGGAGCTCCTTTGTCGGCGAAGCGGCAGATTAAAGTTGGCACCCCGGACAGCGCGATGCCGCGGAAGCGCCAGCGGCTCCAGCGCTTGCACACACCAGTGCAGATGCTGGAGAAAAAAGACGGCCTAGAACTTCATGATCGTGTCACTGGGCAAAACGCTGGCGCTGACGGAGGACCCTCTGCCGGTCAACAGAACAGCATGAAGCAGCGGACGATCACACCGGTAAGAACTACTACAACCAGGAACAATACTAATCGCACCCCTGGTGGCGGTGTAGCGAGGGCTTTTACTCCCGGGTCCCGCGTTGTTGTGGCAGCAGGAGGAGGGACGACCGCAGCGTCGTCTTCGCAGCAACTTGTTGTTCCAGGGAGTAAAAGCAGAGAAGTTCTTGTAGATCTGCAGCGGCCAGGACAAGCTCCATCTGCTTCTTCCAGTAGCTCCGCTGTTGTCCCCGGCTCCGCAGTCCTCGGCAATGTAAACCCACCTACTACTACAACTTCCGCCGCTGCGACGAACATTATCAAGCCCGTGTACCTCCCAAAAACGCTCTCGGACGACCAGCAGCTGTTTAAGACCATCATTCACCAGCTGGGCGAACACGAACAAATCATACGAACTGCAAAAGTATCGTACTCGTATAAGAAATGCATTACAAATTTCCTCAGCATGAGAAATAAAATTTGTAATGCGGATTTACCTTGGAGAAGAAGATTTGTAATGCATGACTGCAATACGAATGCGAGGCTTTTGCACAGGATAAATCACGGCGGACGATAACTCCCACCGCATGCAGTGGCTCTGCGAGTTATGACAGTGCACAACTCCACCCTCGTCTCCCCCTCATTTGTATAGCATGAACGGCAATACAAGCATCAGCAAGTGTGCCGGTTTTGCATGACAAATTTGCTGCGCTGGAGGAGTGTAGTTCTATTTGGGCTACCAGAACTTGTCATGCAAACAGTGCCAAGATGAAAGTAGCGGATTGTGTATTTTGCATGACAAATGAGGGGGAGGGGGAGTTGTGCACTGTCATACGAGTGGCTCCAGTTCTACACCAAGCGGGGCTACTCCGTCGTGTTTGTCGTAGAGCAATTCGAAAATCTTCTTCTCGGCGGAACCGACCGACTCCTCTACTCCGTCTTCGACCTGATGACGCAAAACAAAGAATTCCACTTTTTCATCGTCGGGGGCTGCTGCGACCCGGCGGTCTTCAGTCGCATGAACAAGCGCGCGCTGAGCCGGCTGGAACTGAAAACGCTAGTGGTGTCGGACGCGTGCAGTCCGCTGGTGTTGCCGGATAAGGATCCGAACAGTAAAACTGCTGCAGCAGGAGCAACACCATCCCCGAAGGGGAGTCCTGCGGGTAGTTCAAAAGCGGAAGAAAAACTTGCAGCACCGGCCGTTGGTGGTGCGCTCCAACAAGAACAATTAGCACATCAACATCCGCAAGCCTTGGACATGCAGCGCATCATCGCGATCCTACGTGCGCATTTGCAAGTTCCGCCGGATCTGACACCGCACCTCATTCGGCAGACGGGGGTCAGTGACATGATCGCGAAAAACATGGCTGTGGAATGGATGGCAAACTGTGGCATTCTGTTAAAATGTTACGGGCAGTCGAAGTGCTGGCAACGGGCGATCTGCGACGCCGCGCCGCTGCGCTGGTTCCTGATGCACTTAACGAAAGATTATTGGTATACTGGGGAAGCTGCGCGAGACGAACTAGTTTTCTCTGACCACGGGGGAAAAAGATGGATGCTAGGGGTAAGTACTTCCCATCATGTGTAGTGCTTCTCAATTATGTCTTTTGCTTTTTTGTTCGTGTTCTCGTGCTGGTCGGAGGCGGTCCGGGTAGGATCGTGCTCTGCTGTGATGTCCTGCTTGGTTTCTTTCATCGTGTCTTGATGTACTGCACTGTATCAATCTATGTGACATCAGATATTGTTTCTTCAAGAGAGTCTTTCATCATTCCAAAAACCTTATCAGGACCCGTCCACTTCCTTCGCCGCGTCGCTGACGGAGTTCGACTGTGTCGTTTTGGTCGCACTGCACAAGCTGTGGAAACGCAAGCAGCAAACGGCCAACGCAGAGATCCGCAAGACCTGGACCGAGATCAAGGACGAGATCGAAAACTTTAAGAACCGCAACACTAATCTCGCCGAGGTCGGGAACGTGCACACCGGGCGGTCGGTCTTTCTCGGGCACAAATCTTCGTCCGTCAACTTCCAGCGCATGGTATCAAAGTGAAAAAATCCCCCACCCCATGCGCAACAGACAACTTGTGTTGCTGGATTTGTGTACACAAATGTATTGCAGCAAGAGCTTGTCGGCATATTCCTATTCGAAGCCCATTTGGGTCCGCACCCGGCTAGCAGCTGCGCATGAATAACAAGTCTAACATAGGCGAAAACGCATGACAGACTGGCTGCACAATGCGCCACATGGGTGCCGTCTGCCTTGTACGCAGCACAAAGCTGATTTGTGGCCACAGATCAGCATCGCAAATTTCCTTTTCGATATGGAGAGGGGGGATTTTTCCTCACAATATATGGACATCAAGGACGAGTTTTACAACGTGTTGGACTACAGAACCAGCTTCGAGAAGCTTCTCGACTTGGGTTTGGTCAAAAACGCGAAACTGCCAGGGATTGCGGGGATGGTGAGCGGCGGCTTAAACGCGGATCGGAGCGGAATGACTCTGCTCTACGAGCACCACCCGGTTTTTTTTCCCGGATTTGCGCTCGTAAACGCCTGGGTCGACGATTTGAGAAACCGATATGGCGTTCTCAAATGTTACATTCTCAACTGTTGCATGAATTTGTTATGCAAAAACAGCAATAGGGAAAGGGGAAAGCTTGCAAGTCTTGCATCACAAATTTGGCACGGATGTAGATGCTGTTTAGCCATTCGATGATTTGTCATGCGAGGCAGCTTGATCGTCTTGCGGATCATGGTCATTTTGCATGACAAATCATGTAACAGTTGAGAATGTAACATTTGAGAACGCCATAACCGAAATAAAATTACCGGCGGGGGTGGTCTTCATATGCTGGGCGTCAATAGCGGGACCACGAGAGGTTCCATGTTCAACACTTCTAGCTCAGGGGGCGGCGGCGACGCTGACGTGGCGAATAGGAACAGAAGCAAAGCAATGAACCCGCTCTACAAGTTCGGAGCCGACTTCCAAAACTGGGCGTCGAATTTGTGATTTCAGTATATGAAACGCGATAGACATAGGATCATTTTCATGTTGATCTGATTTTTTCTGGAGTTTGCCCAGTCGATTGTTCCGCGGACGAAGAAAAGCGAGAGTACCGCTTCATAACCTTGTTGTTCGCGTGGTCTCTAGTATTTTTATTAACAAGCGCGAGCGCCGGACGACGAGCGCTGTCCTCCAGATCGTTTTGAATAGAGCTCCTGCTCATGTCATTCTTTTTTATTCGGACACACCGACTTGCTGCGTGATTGCCTTTTTTTTGCAACTTTTTTACCGCTTCGGTTTAATCGCAACACTCGTAGTTGCCCGAAACTTGGCTTCGGTCCTCGTGAGTTTTTTTCTGTATCGTCATCGTTCGGTGGTGAAGTACTGCTTTTGTTTCGCTTTCGTCTTTTGTCGCCTGCTTGCTTCTTTCGGTGAATGTTTTTGCGCTCACAAATCGGTCACGGTCGTGCATTTTGCTACAACTCCTGTGCTGCAAATAAAAGAAAACTTCCCTTCGGTTTTATTAGGCTTTTTTCGCACGACAACTTGAACTTCTCGGTACAGCACGGTGGAAAATCCCAATTCATAATCATAGCTCTTGACCACTTCTTGCACCAGTCACTGACTCGTAAAAACTCATCCCCGATACTTAACCGATATCGTAAATTTCCTGTGAGAACCTCACGTTTTACAAAAGCTTTTCTACCGCTTTTTTATACAAAAAGACACGGAAAGTCTTTCAGAGCACTAGATAGAAGGTTTGACTTCCCCTGTGCATGCATCGCAGTAGCTGCATGATCACTCATCACCAAAGAATTAGAAACCGGCACCGACATGTGGTACCGAGATAGAACAGAAGACATTAAGTAGCACCGAGGACTAGTAACAGTAGCTAACAAACATGACGACAAGCAAACAGCACAACGCTCACCTCCACAATTTCTTCTCGGAGTTGCGGAAAATTGAGGAGCAGCAACTTTTGCAAATAAGGGGGGAAAACCAAAACGACCTCGAGGACCACGATTATATTTCCAAACTCAAAAATGCAGAACATCAAGATCAACTTCCTGTTCCGTACCCCGGACCGGACATTTTGGAGTTCACGAAATTGAACTTGCCCGATGTAATATGGAAGAAAAAAACTGTGTAAGTGTAACCCTGTAATGCAGAACATGCACCAGAGTCACGCCTGTCATGCCAGACAACCATGAAGTCCTCTTTTCATGTGTGTTTTCCCTTACAAGACGCGCATCACAGGTTTTCTCTGTCATGTAGAGCAAATTTGTGATGCTGCCAACCAAAGAAAGTTACACTAACACAGTTTTTTTCTTGGATATGTAATTGCACGAGAAGGGAACAAAAACGAATCGAAATCCTTTGCTGATCGTGATGTACAAGTTCCAGTAGTAACGCGGACATTTCTGTTGAAGGGTGACCGACGGGGTGGAGCGAAAAGCGCCACCAGTTCATTGCCGCACGACACGCAGGGCAGCTCTTGGTCAACAACAACATCTCCCGCAGAAGCCGCGGCCGAGCAGATTTCTATTTCCTCCGTTCACGAAGACATCGCCCTCCTCCTCGAGGGGTTCTCTTGGGAGTATGGCGACTTGCAATTTGCGTTTCACCCCTCGGTGAAGCACGTGGAAAACTTGCAAAATTTCGAACTCGCAAATCAGACCCGGGAATACACGAGGATACGCGTTGTGGAAGTCCGGATTTATGATTTTCATTCGACACGTCGTGCGCGACGTTCTGGCACTGCCGCTTCCAGCGCTGAGCAGACCAGGACTCTGGAAGGGGAACTACAAGAAAACGCCTCGCCCTCGGTTTCATGTCCGGTGGTCAACGTCGACGATACTTCTGGCACGGAAGCGAACTTCTGGCATATCCGGGTGCAGAAGCTGCTGTTACAACAACGACAAAAGGACAATGCTCATCGAAGGAGCGGCGCCTCCTCTCTGTGCCGCTACTGGGACGTGCAGGTCTTCGGTACTAGTGAAGATGATCGGTATGGCCGCCAGCCCGTGAAAAATAACAACAACAAGTATCGCATGCTATATTCCGCCATGGACCACTTTCACGCAGCGGAGCAACGACAACCACAACGCGAACGCGTCCCCAGCCGTACGACCGCACCAGGTGGAGGAGCGCTGTCGAGGAAGAAGCGACAGGTTGAGGAGGAAGAATCCGAACTGATTCACCAACAGGTTAATGTCGACGTGCACCAAGAAGTAACCTCGGCCCGACGTCCTGCAGAACCCGTTGCATTGGACGGTGGTCCTCCCCACGAGCACGAGCTGCAGTTCGCCACGAGCAGTAGGATTGCCGAGAAATTTGACCGCGCCAGGCTGGAGCAGAAACTCACCAAGTTTCAGCGGTTCGAGACCGTCTCTGGAAGTTGCAATAACGAGTTGGATCTGGGGTTGCTACCGGCGTTGTGCCAGGACTATTACGACGACATGGACAATAAAATGTTGCAAACGCTCTGCTTATTCTTCGACGGCTCTTGCGCCAAGGCTGCAACTAACGAGCAGGAGCATTATGCCCTTGACCACGACATGGACATTTTTACCAACCAACCAGTAGTCGCCGACAGCGCCGCTGTACTAGAAGAGAACGATCATCCACGACTACCAGATAAAGTTCTTCGTCCCCGCCCTCCAAGAACTCCCTGCTTCCTCACCGTGGGCCAGTCCTGGGCGCCGCTGCTGCTCTTCTACGTGAACCTATGCAAGAAAAAAACTGTGTAAGTGTAACTCTGTAATGCAGAACATGCATCAGAGTTACACCTGTCATGCCAGACAGCCATGAAGTCCTCTTTTCACGTGTGTTTTCCCTTACAAGCCGCGCATGACAGGCTTTCTCTGTCATGTGGAGCAAATTTGTGATGCTGTCAACCAAAGAAAGTTACACTAACACAGTTTTTTTCTTGGATAGAACCAACCGGTGGTCTTTTTCGTCGATTTTGACCCGAAAGTATTACAATGAAAAATGCCCCCACCCCCGAACTTGGGAGCATTTGTATTGCAAACCTTTCCAAGTGAAACACTCGCCCTCTTGCATCTATCAGCATCACAGATTTCCCAGCATGAATAGCAAAAATTTGCATTGCAAAAGATCCCAGCAAGAGTGCCGCTTGCCATGCAAGCAATGCTATATAATACGCATAGATTCTGCATCACGAAGATTCATTATTCCTTTACATGCATGACAAAAAGTTTTCCTTTGGAAACCTCGCATCACGAACTATTGCAACTTTGGGAGTGGGGACATTTTTCACTGTAATAGAAAGAATTGTTGAAAGTCGCGATTCGGAACGAGTTTTGCGCGCGGCTCGGCGGAAAGATAGGAAACAAGGACGAGGTTGATGTTGATGTTGATGTTATTCAAAATGGGACGACGTCGAACTACGATATCACTTCGTCATCAACTACAACTTTTACTCCCTTCACCGACGCACTCGAGGAGACGGTGGCGTTTTTGAAGGCACGACAACAAACTACTACGAGCGGTGAAGAGATGTTGAATGATCAAATGGTCCTTCTGGAGGAGAGAATTCTGGACCTGTTGCAGGAGCTGTTGCCACTGACGGCAATGACGAGCGAAGGTGCCGGTTCCAGTCTGTACCAGACCCGTCTCTGCACCGAGGGCTGGACAACATCTTTTCCAAGTCCCAGTTGTTGTGCAGCCAGGAGCACTCCTGCCGTACTCTATGATGAGAACAAGTCTGTCATGCAGTTGCAGACCACTGCAGCCACGACATCTGTAGTCAACGATGTTCTGCAACACAAATCCTACTCCCTTGCCTTCCTCCAGTTGCTCCATGCGGTTCGGTTTCGCGATGTTGCTTGTAGTGCGACTTGTAGTTCAACAACATCAACAATTTCAACTCCTACTTCACCGCAACAGCAGCTTCAAGTAGTCTACCGCCACGTGAATTTACTCGAAGACGCTTGGGAGTTCAACAATTTAGTCTTCGAGCACAACCTGTACCTGAAATACCAGAATTGGTCCAATGTGCTGCAGTACATTCCCTGTAATAACGGCGAGCCGTGGCGCATCGCCAGGGCGAAACTCGAGTTGTATAGCAGCGAGAGTCGTGCACCAGCACCGTTGATTTCATCTTGCAGTACCGTAGCCACATCAAGTATGACCACGAATAAATTCGTCGAGTCCTACTCCCGTTCCCCACACGGCGGCTTGTCCAGAGTGATGGTGGACTGGAAGAAGTATTTGGATTGGCGGGAGGGAAAAGTTTTATTCCTTGACGAGACGAACACGATTGCGAATAGTAGACGGGGAGACGGACCGACAGGTCGTGGCAGCATGTTGCAGCAGCAGCTCTCAACTACGGAGGACACCAACAACAATCAACATCAAGTTGTCAGCGACATTTTTCTCGCGTTCGGAGAGGATTTATTTTCGCAAGACGAAGAAGATGAAGACTACACATCAGACCTCCAAGAACGCGGCGACCGCGCGCCGCGACACCGCGACATTTGCCGGAGACAGGACAGAGCAGATAGAACAGCGGCGCTGAATCTAACGAGGAGTCACAGCCACGATCATGAAGTGGCTCAGTGGGGCGGTCCTGATATTGAAATGGAGGACCGGGAAGCACTGCAAAGCAACGCAAATTCAAATCCTGCGCTACTAGATTTAAACGCCAAAGAGACGAAGAGCAGCAGCATCACAAATACTTCTACTTCTGGTACTATCAAAAGCGCCCTGGCGTCAGCTTTCGCCATTTTCTAAAAAGACCAAGTGAGCAATAAAACGCACACAAATTATAATGCAGAATTTCAACAAGAAAAACGGTGCCGCACTAAACATCATCACCGAGCAGGAAAAGATAACATGGTGCAGATGGCTCTTTTTATATACTTCATGTAGGTAGTTAGTACTAAATACCAAGCCACCCCTAAAATTAACTCAAAGAATTTTCACATGAAGCGACAAAGATTTTTTGAAAAAAAGTTAGTCATTTTTCATCTCGTACAAAAGGCAGACTGGGAACAACGCATGCCTGATTTTCATATGAATACCCCAGAACTAAACGACGCATGGTCCTCTTACTTTTGCGCACAAACGAAATCATACTTCTAGTCAGCCCCATACTCACAGATCATATTCATTTTCGCACACGACTGCTGTACCCCAGCGCATCACCAAAGAGTAATCAATGTAGTTAGTACGACACACATTCTTCACGGCCTTTTCATCTGCCTAACAAGATTCTGGATTTTGGTTGACAAAGAGAAAGACAATAGGATGGTTAAGAAACCGACACAGGAGGAGAGGCTGTACTCAGTGTGTGCACTCAGAAGTGTGTTCATGTAACTACCTCGTGCGCGGTGTCTCAGGACCTGTTTTTCTTCGGTGTCGTTAAGTACGTTCTTCGATGGCTGTGCTTGATGCAGTCGGTTGCAGTGCTGGTTCTCGGTTGCTACTGACTGACTCGTCTGCCTTGATCTCGATGCGAATTTCTTTGGATCATCTGATCATATTTTTAGTATCAGTTCCAGAAAGATCATTAAGATGACAAATAGGAGATCTTCACTTCACAACAAGACGTCCGTCCCAGCGACCAGCTGATGCCCGTCCCGCACTACGCAAGGGCTGAGCGACCGAACGCTCTCTCGCGGCACAAGCGCCGGCGCCACCGTGCCGGGCCGCACGCCCTACCTGCCCGGGGGGAATTCTAACCACCCCAAGGAAACGCGCTAGAGCTTGAGGAAGAACAGAGTCGCTTGTAGCGTCCACATTATTTTCCACCGTTTGATGAACAGATCGCTTTCGCTGTCGCACACTAATTCCTCCGGGTCCACCAAAGTACAAGTCTTCATCTTTTGCTCTGTCTCAGCAGCAGCACTTTCTGTTTCTTTCGCCTCCTTAACCCGAATGAGTTGTAGACGGAGTGAATGGGTTTCGTTTGGGGACGGAACAAAATCTCATCGTTGCTTTGTCGTATCGTAATTCAACACGTCAGATCAGAAGTGGGATCGTGCTGTTTTGTCGTAATGCGTCGGAACAGATGGCAACGTGTGCGCACATTCGTAGTACAAGTTTACAATTTGAAACTACTACAGATCGGTTGACCCATCTGGAGCACGGTTCTCTGTTTTGTAAAGATTCAAGTCGAATCAATGCGAACAAGACGAAGTGAGTTTTTTCGTGCCGACTTAACTCTCAGCTTTGCCTGTCAGCACCAAGTGTATATTGCGACGTAGTAGCAAGCTGCTCGATTGTCTCCCTGAAAAAGTATCTAATAGTACGATACTCGTGTTGTCGTTGTCCACATGCCGAAGCGTTAATACCTCGTCAGAACGTTAAGACTGTAAGGTAATCGCCGCCTCTGGTGACACCATGCCACGACGCAATCCAGACCGGATTCCTGATAGGGAGCCAAGGAACGACCTGCCCAATAAGTATAGAGAATACCTTCGGGTATGGTATGGCGAAATCGAGAGTACACGGGGCGGTGTCACGAAGGACATGCTGATCTGGAATCCAAAAACCTCGCACCCGATTTCAAGAGCCAAACAACTGCAAGGCCGGAAGTCGGCATTTAACAAAGCGAGAAAGGTACTTTTTTACTTCTTGTCACCATTTCGATTCAGTGATTCTACTGGTGTCCGCGCCCTTTCGCTTTCCCGGAAGAGCGAGGTCGGGCGAGTTTAAATTAGACCATGTTTGCTTGCACGTTCTTCAGGTTACCTCATGTGGCCGACCGACAAGACATAGCACGGTGGGCAGCGGGCACTTATCTTCCTCTACTTTCGGCCCCTCAGAGATCGACATGCTTACTATGCGTCAATGTCAATCTATAAATGTTGATATTCCAAATTCTTTCTAAAAAAAAACTTACCTCAGGAGCATGGTCGTCGCAATGGTGGTGAAGGAGGCTTTGTGCTGGTTGGGGGCAAGACCGCCGCGGGCAAAAAGAAACACAAAGAAGTTATGGACATACTTCACGAGCATCGTGCAGGTGGAGGAGCAGCTCCAGCCGGCCACGAGCCGCAAGATCAGCCAGCTCGGCCCGATGCCGCGGATGTGCGTGCTGCTGTAGGACGAGCTAACGGTGACGAGGACATCCATCAAGCCCCGCTTCAGATCCCGGACGCAGAACCCGCCGAACAAGACCTCCCTTTCGAGGCGGGGGAGGAAAGTGTCATGATGAATGATGTCGAGGCCCCGCCTGAGATCCCGGACGCAGAACCCAAACAAGACCTCCCTTTCGAGGCGGGGGAGGATAGTGTCATGATGAATGATGTCGAGGCCCCGCCTGAGATCCCGGACGCAGAACCCAAACAAGACCTCCCTTTCGAGGCGGGGGAGGATAGTGTCATGATGAATGATGTCGAGGCCCCGCCTGAGATCCCGGACGCAGAACCCAAACAAGACCTCCCTTTCGAGGCGGGGGAGGATAGTGTCATGATGAATGATGTCGAGGCCCCGCCTGAGATCCCGGACGCAGAACCCAAACAAGACCTCCCTTTCGAGGCGGGGGAGGATAGTGTCATGATGAATGATGTCGAGGCCCCGCCTGAGATCCCGGACGCAGAACCCAAACAAGACCTCCCTTTCGAGGCGGGGGAGGACAGTGTCATGATGAACGATGTCGAGGCCCCGCTTCAGATCCAAGAAGCAGCAGACGAAGAGGACCTGCCACCTGTTCAGGTCGGGGAGCGCAGTGCTGATGCGGCCGTATTCATTTTTGTCGAGAACAAGAATACGACAAAACTTGTTCTTCGATGGTGTAGTTGTTCAACTCTCGAAGTACTTTTTTGCGCGATCCCTGATATGATGAAAGCTATAGTGATAGAGCGGACCACTTTGAACAAAAGAGAGTACAACTCACTTTGGGTTCATCGGACTAAAACAGGCGGGCGGATTGCGTGCCAACACAGCCGGCTTCACCTACGACTGGTCCTCCGACTCTGAAGGAGAGCGCGGCAGTGATGACAAGTCCATCGTACAGCAAAACCTCAGTGCGAACACGACGTCGACGGCTAGCTCGTCGGGGCCGCCGTCCTCTGCGGGGCCATCTCCCGTTCATGCGGATGAAGCCTTCCGCAGCTTCGCAGCGAGGCAGAACACCCAGTGCCGATTTGGGCTTTTGCCCACTGCAGCCACCGTGAAGATCTCGTTGAAACGCCGGCGTTCGAGCACAAATGCCGGGCACATGCAGAAAAGAGTGGGTGTCCAGTCGGCAAGCGGGAGCAGGAAGATGAGGCGACTTGACGCATCGTCGGGGCCCTAGGTGGAGTTGTTCAAAACTCTTGATTGTGTTCTACTCAAGCTCGTTTTTGTTTTACAGGTACATTTTTTGATTTGTTTTCACAACGCTTAGGCTTACACATTGACTTTTGATCTACTGAGTCACTGTATCTACATTTACACTTACATACTTTCGCTAAAGTTAGATACCAGCCGCTCCCCTGGGCCGAAGAGGAGCTATTCCGACTTTTAGCAGCATCGCTGTGGTGTCTTGAACTTGATTCGCATCGTAGTTGATTGTTTCTCTCTGTATTAAAAAACTTGTTTGGCGTCCGTGTGCAACCTCCCCACTCACTTTGAAAGGGAAATCGATTGTGGCTTCTCTTGATGCTGGAAGCACACCGCTTCCATGACCTTTGTGGCGCTCTACCTACTTCTTCATGTATAAAAAAAAGCGCAACTGATTCCTTGATGAAGTAGGTAGAGTCGGATACTCGCTGGCACTGGCTTGCTTTTGCACAAATCAATGCATGAAGTGAACGAAAACGAAAGGTGAAGGCGGAGATTTGTGAGATGAACAGCAATAACAGATAACATATTGGTCGAGTTTCGCGATGACAATGCGCGCTGTATATGTTCTTTCTATTAATTTCACTATGGATCTCGCGTACTTGTACTTGCGGGACCGGGAGGCGGCAACCCCAACTCTGCATTTTTATGAGTGAAATAGTCAGCTCAGACACTTCTACAACTTGATAGAAAAATGCAGGGAGGGCGTCTGAGTATTCTGTTTCGGTATCGCGAAAGAACGCTCGGGAATGTATCTTTTTTCTAGTCAGCGCGCCACGGCTTTCATGGCCTGCTGCTCGCTGCAGGTTTGCATTTCGGCACTGCCTTGGAGTGCAACCAGGCAGCGAGATACGGTTTTAAATTGCTGGCAGTGTGCAGTTTTGTTGTAGACCGAGAAGGCCCTGTCCAAGGGCTGCATCTTGCAGCGGGATAAGCTTTATCCTCCTGGCTGGATGCTAGTTTCGGCTTCACGCAGTCGGAGGCACAGGATGCAGGTTTCTATTTCGAGAGCCAACAGCAGGGCTCGAGCTGCATCTGGCGAGCAGGACAAGGCTTTTCCTCCTGTGCGGATGCAAATTTCGGCGTCACGAATGCCCGGGAGTGCATCTAGTCAGCAAGATGCGGCCTACCCGGCTGGGTGGATGCAGCTTTCAAGAAGGAAATTGCTGAGGATTGCATCTAGCCAGCAGGATTAGCCTTATCCCCCTGGCTGGATGCAAGTTTCGGCTTCACGAATACACGGGAATGCATCTAGCCAGCAGGATAAGCCTTATCCCCCTGGCTGGGTGCAAGTTTCGGCTTTGCGAATACACGGGAATGCATCTAGCCAGCAGGATAAGCCCTATCCCCCTGGCTGGATGCAAGTTTCGGCTTTGCGACTACACGGGAATGTATGTAGCCAGCGGGATCCGGCTTACCCTGCTGGCTGGATGCAGGTTTCTAGTTTGAAAACGCGGAGGGTTGCATCTAGCCAGCAGGATAAGCCTTATTCCCCTGGCTGGATGCAAGTTTCGGCTTCGCGAATGCCCGGGAGTGCATCTAGCCAGCAGGATGCGGCCTACCCGGCTGGGTGGATGCAGCTTTCAAGAAGGAAATTGCTGAGGATTGCATCTAGCCAGCAGGATAAGCCTTATCCCCCTGGCTGGATGCAAGTTTCGGCTTCACGAATACACGGGAATGCATCTAGCCAGCAGGATAAGCCTTATCCCCCTGGCTGGATGCAAGTTTCGGCTTTGCGAATACACGGGAATGCATCTAGCCAGCAGGATAAGCCTTATCCCCCTGGCTGGATGCAAGTTTCGGCTTCACGAATACACGGGAATGCATCTAGCCAGCAGGATAAGCCTTATCCCCCTGGCTGGATGCAAGTTTCGGCTTTGCGAATACACGGGAATGCATCTAGCCAGCAGGATAAGCCTTATCCCCCTGGCTGGATGCAAGTTTCGGCTTCACGAATACACGGGAATGCATCTAGCCAGCAGGATAAGCCTTATCCCCCTGGCTGGATGCACGTTTCGGCTTTGCGAATACACGGGAATGCATCTAGCCAGCAGGATAAGCCTTATCCCCCTGGCTGGATGCAAGTTTCGGCTTTGCGAATACACGGGATTGTATGTAGCCAGCGGGATCCGGCTTACCCTGCTGGCTGGATGCAGGTTTCTAGTTTGAAAACGCGGAGGGTTGCATCTAGCCAGCAGGATAAGCCTTATTCCCCTGGCTGGATGCAAGTTTCGGCTTCGCGAATGCCCGGGAGTGCATCTAGCCAGCAGGATGCGGGCTACCCGGCTGGGCGGATGCAGCTTTCAAGAAGGAAATTGCTGAGGATTGCATCTAGCCAGCAGGATTAGCCTTATCCCCCTGGCTGGATGCAAGTTTCGGCTTCACGAATACACGGGAATGCATCTAGCCAGCAGGATAAGCCTTATCCCCCTGGCTGGGTGCAAGTTTCGGCTTTGCGAATACACGGGAATGCATCTAGCCAGCAGGATAAGCCCTATCCCCCTGGCTGGATGCAAGTTTCGGCTTTGCGACTACACGGGAATGTATGTAGCCAGCGGGATCCGGCTTACCCTGCTGGCTGGATGCAGGTTTCTAGTTTGAAAACGCGGAGGGTTGCATCTAGCCAGCAGGATAAGCCTTATTCCCCTGGCTGGATGCAAGTTTCGGCTTCGCGAATGCCCGGGAGTGCATCTAGCCAGCAGGATGCGGGCTACCCGGCTGGGTGGATGCAGCTTTCAAGAAGGAAATTGCTGGGGATTGCATCTAGCCAGCAGGATTAGCCTGGTCCCCCTGGCTGGATGCAAGTTTCGGCTTCACGAATACACGGGAATGCATCTAGCCAGCAGGATAAGCCCTATCCCCCTGGCTGGATGCAAGTTTCGGCTTTGCGAATACACGGGAATGCATCTAGCCAGCAGGATAAGCCTTATCCCCCTGGCTGGATGCAAGTTTCGGCTTTGCGAATACACGGGAATGTATGTAGCCAGCGGGATCCGGCTTACCCTGCTAGCTGGATGCTGGTTTCTAGTTTGAAAACGCGGAGGGTTGCATCTAGCCAGCAGGATAAGCCTTATTCCCCTGGCTGGATGCAAGTTAGTTTCGGCTTCGCGAATGCCCGGGAGTTCATCTAGCCAGCAGGATGCGGCCTACCCGGCTGGGTGGATGCAGCTTTCAAGAAGGAAATTGCTGAGGATTGCATCTAGCCAGCAGGATAAGCCTTATCCCCCTGGCTGGATGCAGGTTTCGGCTTCACGAATACACGGGAATGCATCTAGCCAGCAGGATAAGCCCTATCCCCCTGGCTGGATGCAAGTTTCGGCTTTGCGAATCATGCGCGGGAATGCATTTGGCGAGCAGGATGCGGCTTATCCTGCTGGCTGGGTGCAGCTTTCTAGCGTGAAAATGCTTGGGGTTGCATCTAGCCAGCAGGATAAGGCCTATCTCCCTGGCTGGATGCAAGTTTTGGCCTCGCGAATACACGGGAATGTATGTAGCCAGCGGGATCCGGCTTACCCTGCTGGCTGGATGCAGGTTTCTCGTTTGAAAACGCGGAGGGTTGCATCTAGCCAGCAGGATAAGCCTTATTCCCTTGGCTGGATGCAAGTTTCGGCCTCGCGAATACACGGAAGTGCATCTCGCCAGCAGGATGCGGCCTACCCTGTTGGATGGATACAGGTTTCAAGAAGGAAAGTGCTGAGGGTTGCATCTAGCCAGCAGGATGAGCCTTATTCCCCTGGCTGGATGCAAGTTTCGGCTTCGCGAATACACGGGAATGCATCTAGCCAGCAGGATAAGCCCTATCCCCCTGGCTGGATGCAGGTCCCGGATTCGCGAATGCATGGCAGTGCATCTATCCAGCAGATTGCGGCCTATCCTGTTGGCTGGAAAGATGCAGGCTTCTAGAGCGAGGTTGTTGAGGGTTGCGCCGGACCGCGGCTGCGACAAAATCAAGGGTCCTCGGACCCTCGAGTTTGTCGTTGCGCCGGACCGCTGCGACAAATTCAGGGGTCCCCGGACCCTCGAATTTGTCGCTGCCCCGGACCGCTGCGACAAATTCAGGAGTCCCCGAACCCTCGAACTTGTCGTTGCGCCGGACCGCTGCGACAAATTCAGGAGTCCTCGAGCTTGTCGTTACGCCGGACCGCTACGACAAATTCAGCGGTGCGGGTTGCATCTAGCCAGCAGGATAAGGCTCATCTCCGTGGCTGGATGCAAGTTTTGGCTTCGCGAATGCACGGGAATGCATGTAGCCAGCGGGATCCGGGTCACCCTGCTGGCTGGATGCAGGTTTCTAGTTTGAAAACGCTGAGGGTTGCATCTAGCCAGCAGGATAAGCCTTATTCCCCTGGCTGGATGCAAGTTTCGGCTTCGCGAATACACAGGAATGCATCTAGCCAGCAGGGTAAGCCCTATGCCCCTGGCTGGATGCAAGTTTCGGCTTCGCGAATGCACGGGAATGCATCTAGCGAGCACGATGCGGCCCACCCTGCTGGCTGGATGCAGGTTGTTAGTGTGAAAATGCTGGGGGTTGCATCTAGCCAGCAGGATAAGGCTTATCTCCCTGGCTGGATGCAACTTTTGGCCTCGCGAATACACGGGAATGCATGTAGCCAGCGGGATCCCGCTTACCCTGCTGGCTGGATGCAGGTTTCTAGTCTGAAAACGCCGAGGGTTCTTGCATCTAGCCAGCAGGATGACCCTTATTCCCCTGGCTGGATGCGCGTTTCGGTTTCGCGAATACACGGGGACGGGATGCAAGTTTTGGGCTCGGCTTCGCGAATACACAAGAATGCATCTAGCCAGCAGGATATGGCTAGCCAGCAGGTTACGGCTTGCGCTGCTGGCTGGGAGCAAGGTTCTCGACCGAAGTGAATGCATTTAGCCAGCTGGATAAAGAGCCTTATCCTACTGGCTGCATGCAAGGCTTGATGCCTTTGCAGATACACGGAGGTGAGCCTGAGCGCAGGTCTCTACTTCGAGATTTGGTTGGGGCGCATCTGGAACTTCATCGAGCTTTCCTTCTTGGAACGCTCGTCATCCACTGCGCGCGTAGTCCATGTCAATAGTCATGGTTGGTGCAGTCGTGCCTAGCGCGCAACACGTTCTTTATCTTTTGATACTGCAGCGGATGCTCAATAAAATAGACACCGCACGAGCAGACGGCAATGTTACTCTAGGGCTAGTACGCATACAACTGGCTTTTCCACCGTTTGATGAGGAGGAACAAGAAGTCCGGTTTATTTCTTCGGGAAGTTATCAACATGATTTCGGGGTGGAATGATAGGGTGGCTCAACATTCAATAATATTGCTCGGGGAACACCAGGGGACGAGGTGCAATATCGAGTCGAGTGGTTCTTCTTTTACGAACATGCCAACGAGCTCAGCTTAGTCTTCAAGTAACTACAGGCGTGCTCAAAGAATCGGTCAGTATCAATTTGTTTCGCGGGGTTATGCTCTTCAGGTCGTGCAACCATTTGTGGTGTTTTTCTTGGGAGACAAAGCAAAATCATAGCAACAACATT